GGCGATTCGAAAATCCCATATATGGCTATCATAATTTTCTTCTTCAGAAAAACGAAACTGATTAGATACACCAATACCGTGCAAAAGTAGAGCTTTCATATCATCCTCTGTCGGTCCTATTTTTTCCCCACATTCAGAAAGAACAAAACTAAGGTCCTTGATTTTAGTCAAATACATATTTATATCTTTGATTCCTTTAGGAGATTGCAGCCATTGTGATTTGAACACTTCATCTCTCTGTAATCCATAACGATTGGCAAAATCCAATGCTGACTGGTATTTACCATTTCCAATTAAGATACTGTACATTTCATGAACAGATTTCTGAGAAAGTGACATCAGACTCCAAGACATCTGGGAAACATCAAATTGATCAAAACTGTCTTCTGTTTTTTCCTCCATGTCTTGTGGGTCACTTAATTGTCCAATGTGGTCAGATGGAATTTTTCTGTGATCAGAAGATTTGCTCTCTAAAAGAAATATCGACCCCTGTACTTCCTGTGCTCTGTCCACAATGGGCATGGAGTATGCCAGATCATGTTCCAGGACTTTTGAGCCGCTGAGCATATCAAGCATCATAACAATTCCACCCCTTTTAATAACAGTCATGATGCAGTTTGACCACCAAGTAAAATCCACGATGTCATTCAAGTAACCATTCTGCTCAGTCGATAGGTTATTAGCAGAAGATGAATTTGATCTCTCCATGTTTTCGAAGCTGAAAAGTGCCCAGCTTTCTTTATCAACCCTAAAAACATGCAAATGTCCTGTTGCATCCAGAGTAGAGACAAATTGGCTTTCTGGAGACATTAGTACCTTGGGATATGCCAGAAACTTAATGCCATCTTGCAGTCTGTAATACTGGCCTTCAAACTGAACATTTGACAACTGTTCAAGATTCAAGTTCTGACATCGACGCCAAATGGAAAGGTGGCATCCTGATCAAAAGGGTGCAATATCAGTGCACAGAACTACAAATGAGTTTAGTCCCAAAAAAATAAATTGTGAACAAAAATCACATGTACTCTCCCGTGATCCAAATTTCTTTGGACCAATCAATGTTGACAATAAATATCCTTTAAGATTCAGCTCAATGATGAGAAATCAATAAAATTTCTTAGTTCTTACAAAATTACATCATTGAGAATAATAAAAATTGACAATGACAAGTAAATTTATGCAAGCTCTGTAACGTAAGGTCATTCATTACACTCCACACACAGAAACCTGTCAGCTCATCTCTTAATTCACCAGAAACATAAGCCAACACTAGCAAAATACGTCATTAACGGAATGAATGCCTACCAGGTTTTTTACCAGAGGTTACAGAGCCACTGCCAACGCCACCAACCATGAGAAGCAGAGAATTCTCTGAAGCATACTGAAAGCAGAAAACATCCTTAGGGAACTGCGGTTTAGCTGCTGAACTGCTATTTGACACACAGCTACTGCTAGGCTCTCTACCAACATCAACATGATGAAGAAGTCCATCTGACGTAACGACTATGAAACTACATCTGCATGTTTTCCAATCATATAAATCAGATGTCGAAACCCTATTATTTTTGTGCATACAGTTTGAAAAGAAAATTAAGATACCTGAAGGGCAAGTGCAAAAGACCTTAAAATTAGCAGACTGCTTGTGCGAGAAAGTATTTATACTGGAGAAAGTATTGACCATTCAAGCACCAAGAGATACTGTGCCAGAAAGACTTACAGACAAGATCCAAGACCATCACCACCATCCTGAGGAATCAGACCAATTACAGGCGAAGAGATTCTGAGTTGCCTCTTAGTAAATTGAGCTATCTGTACACCACTTGCTTTGATGAAATACAGACTATCCGTGTTGTCAACAACACCAAGTACATTGTGTGGTTCTGACCACGTTCCACAAGTATATAAACAAGAGCTGCCACCTGGTGTATCCAAAACAAACAAATAAACACCTCAAGCCTCTGAAGGCACAAGAATTATGCAATGATCTCTTATCACAAAGCATAGAGGAGAACAGACAAACAATGGTTATTTACTTTCATAAAGAGTCTATTCTTATACTGATTATCTACGGCATTCTCTCATGAAAACTTAAAATCAAGTCTTACTGGTAAAAAGACCGGATGGCTCTTGGTAATCGTCCTCCTTTTGCAAGATTGTTATCTGACTCCCAGTAGCAACAGCAACATGTTCACCCCTTGGGGAGATAAACAAGGAGACAGGCTTCTTAGCATTTGCTTGATTACTCTGGCCTCTCCACTTCTCTTTGAGTTGGCTTATACCTGTTCGCATGAACAGAGAAGGGAAAAATAACACGTAATTAAATCATTTGAGAACCCCACAAACCCAAGTCAGAAATGTTCCAACAAAGGAGACAATGACACATAAAGACAGAAGGAAAGAAATAAATAAGGAACAGTTGCGAGTCACAGATTAGGAATGCAGACAGCTGATAAACAGAGAAACAATGAGGATCCCAACGACATAAGATAAAGTGACCGAAATAGGCTCTTAACTAGTACCATCTATTCACTAGAAGCGTGGTGATCTAATGCTCAAAATAAGACTGAACATATCAGTCAAATTGGATACCATACAGAAGCAAAATCAATCTGTCTTGTTTCTGAACCATATCTTTTAATCTCTAATGATCAGTCACAAATTGTCCCAAATCCAATATGAGCGTGAACAGAATTTTGGAACCCAGGTCAGGCCGCAGCTATATTGCTTAATTCTCAACTCATGCCAAGACTAACAATAATCTGATTCTGGCCAAAAAGCAACTTGACTCAAATTGACCGCCGCTATCCACTGCCGAGAAGGAGTACCAAGCCGAAGGTGAATCAAAAGGAAGTTTTTTTTTCTTTTTTTCTCTAGTTCTAGTGAAGAAATCGCATACCTCGAACTGAAAGAAACGAGAGGAAGCCGCCGCTTCCGCCATCATTACTCTGAAGCAACACAAAATAGCGGGAAAAGGAATGATAAGCAGAGGGCAAAACTATCGTCGGAATTACGAATTGGAAACCTCGTTAACGAATCAAACAGCGGGAGAATTATCAAGGAAAACATAGAGATCGATCTAAGATGCCAATACCTTGGGAGGGAGAGGAGGGTAATGGGACGAATATGGCCCGGAGGCGTGACGTCGCTCCTCGTAGAGCACTTCTCCGACGCTCCGTTCCTCCATTGCTTCAATTTCCGACTCTTTCCTCACGGAGACGTTCCGATGATTGGCATTCACCTGCCGGAGGGGATGAAGAAAGAACAACGACGTTCGGCTACGAGAGAAACCCAACCCGAGTCGAAATGGTTACTTTGTGCGGAGACCAGATAGAATTAGAAATGCAAGTTGATATGGGCTTCGAGACATATGATCCATATAACTAAGATGGGCCCAATCAAGGTGTCCATTCCATACTAGGCCCAGAAAGGGCTTCAGGTCTCAATGTCTCAAATGGCCTCCTTGGGCGACCCAAAGGTTACATAACGTAGGAGTTGTTTGCTTGTTGGATCTGAAAAATGAGGGTTTTGACCAACAAAAACTTTGGGATTTATGCTGGATTTATTGGATTATGGATTTGAAGAGTATAATGTTTGAATAATAGATTTGATGATGGATTTGTGATGGATTTGTTAAATAAATAACTAACCATCAAGGATTTGCAAATCCCAAAACAAGATGTGGGATTTACAAGTCCGTGAGGTCCACATATTTGGTTCCAAAGTAAAGACCAAATTCGTGGACCCCACGGATTTACCACCCTTCAACAAACAATGGACTTATGTTAAATCCATCAAGCTTGGGATTTGGGTACCAAATCCATGACCCAAATCCAACAAGCAAACGACCCCGTAATGGCACAAGTTGCAATCTAATGCAAAGACAAATATTGTCACATAACGAGCCTCAAGATACTCTTGCCATTTTTTTCATCCTTGGTTTTCTCCAAGCCGTCCATGAGTAGAAACGTATATAGTGAGACGAAAGTATAATGTAAAAACATCGTTGTCTTTCAAGGAGTTAATAACTTGGAAATAGTCTAATCTGGACTCCATGTTTACCGGCCGGGAGACGAATATGAACTTAATTACCATATGCCGAGACAAAAGGGAACTTTTTCCGGCCGGCCACCGATCGGCTAGCTAGTTTGGGTACATGGAATGCCGTTTTTGTGTAGCTCCACGGACCATAATGGTCGATCGGAAATTAATAGTTGTTTGCCAATTGCCAGCTGTTATGCCGAATATTGCCGATATGATAGCTGTGGCGGAAACTATGGAGCTTTCCCTCGCGTATATATAGTTTATATAATAAACAACAATGGCGCATCTCGGTTACGCCGTGGATTTTCTCTGCAGAATTTGGTGTATACGACTTATATGCTCCAGAGCATAGTATGCTCCAGTTGATCTGGACATTAGATTTACATGAACTAGCTCCGGCCAATTTCAACGGTCAATTCTTTTTTTTCTTAAATTGAACTTTGCGTTTGGGATTAGAAAATCGGGGCCCGGGGTTTATCCATTTGAGGTTAATGGTATAGTATCATACTCCAAACTCGGTTTAATTCATGATCTAGATAGAGATATCTCACTATAAGTACATGAAGCGTATTATGCTGCAAGAGCGCACGAGTCTCACCCTCCATAGTAATCAAATTTAAGATTTTGGTCTCCAACTTTATTTAATACCATGATATAGCACACCATTATAATTAATTTTATACATTTTCTTCCATCTATTTATCGTCAGTTTTGAATACATGAAGTTGTTTTAGTAGGTTTCATAGAATACAAGCAAATTATACATAATTCTTGTTTTCGTAAATTCACACATGTACTTTATAATTTTTGAAATTTTTTAAATTGAGCTTGCATTAAAACGAATGGTATAAATCGAAACGATGGTTATAAAAACTAACAAGTGCGTACATAACTTGTACTGTAAATAGAGTGTGTACCAAACACGCACACTTAAAAAAAAATTGTGCAAAAACAGTTGGTCCGAGTAACTTGAATTATTAGGAGAATATATTAATTATAGATCTTATATCACTCTCTAATACGTCCCTTCAAACAAAGATCAACTCACATGTTTGAAGTATATGCATAAGTCAATCATACATACCTTGTGCTTTGGACAAATGACCACCTTGTCAAACCAGATTTGATATACCATGTAATAAACCAATTAATCTAAACAGTTTGAATTATTTTAAAAAACGCTAATCGCATACATCTTATATCACTCTCCAACAAACATATATCATTAGCATATATATACATATATGACGTCCTTTGTGTTGAGTCATGCTCGCGTGTGATGGTATAAACTATAAAGTAGCTTTTGCTTATTTGCTTATGCTATGATGAAAGGATGGTTGGTTGCTCATTGGGTAAAAAAGGTCCTATCAATCGAAATTGTGAAGAATCACTTTGCATTTGTGTATTAAATATTAATTAGCGGTCCATCTAATTGTGAACATTAAAAACTCGAAGGATTCGTGACTTCCTATTTCAATCCCTTGGTCTTCTAAAACATTGAAAATGTAGCATCATTTTGATACCTTACACTTAAATATTGTTGCGAATTACAGTTCTCGTAAATACATGACAAAAACAAACTTATCATAGAGGAAATACGAATCCTTCTTTTAGTGCTATTTATAGGCCTCAGAGAACCCACTCTACTCACCACCTAACGGAAAGAAAAAGAGGGGAAAAAAAAACTGACGAGTCGGCTCATCGGAGGAAGTAGACATGGCGTGATATTGGTCCGGCTCATCTCCCTCACCCCCGCCGGCCGGCAGTACGACCGATCGCCGGCCGGTTGCGGGGAAGACGAGCCGAATCAATATCACTCTTGTATGCTTTTCCCCATTTCCCATATACACTTCGTCACACCGATCAGTTAATTACTAGCATCATCGGACGATCTTCTAGCTTGGTACGTATAATCTTCTATCAAGATCAATGGATCATCGCCAACTAATTATTATTGGTAGTTCGCCACCGGCCGGTCGTGATGGTCGGGAGTTTTATAATATATGGACAGTCACCGTCCATATAATTACGTGATCATGGGCTTCCTCTCATTATTATCGTTTGATCATCTTTGTCAGGTTTAGAATAGCGGCAAGCAGGATGGGGTTTTCGCTGGAGATACTCTGAAAGTTGGTGGGAGTGAAGAATAAGATATGCTCATTTTGTTGGTTTTCGGCGTTTCGGAAGAGACGACGACGACTATATACGATCCCTTACACCATATTTGGATAGACAAAAAACTCAGAGAAAAGTTGAGAAATGATTACATTTGGCCTAAGTTTTGAGAATTAGTTGAAATAGGTGTAAGTTAAAAAAAAATTGAAATTTGCTGAGTTGGCAGTGACATGGCGCGTTGACCGTTAGTCAACGCGTTTGACCGTCCAAGTTAACGGTCAAAAGAAAAATGGCAGTGACATGGCTCGATGCACGTGGATCGATCTGGTACTGGTTTGAGTTTATTAAACTCGAACCTGTTCAAACTTTCGTAGTTTGGGAAGTATTTATAAAAGTGATGTATTATGGGAATTACTTTCAATTTTTACTAGCATTTAGGGAAATAATCATGTCCATTATTATTCGATGATACGAAATTATACACTGTTCACATCACAAACCAACCCTCCTAACTTCCTATCAAAGACAACACCATATGACGTCGCCGGCGACAGATCAAGCAGCCGGACACCCATCGACGTAAACCCCTTTCGCCGTCGGACAGCTCGCCAGTGGACAGCCGTCGGGCCTCGTCCCCCACCAATCAACCGCCACATTCCGATTCTGCAGGCAGAAGAAGATCATAATCGTCATAAACGCCGTCCCGGCATCCAGCCCGCCAGAGCACACATAATTGTACCGATTCCACAGCTTCGGGCGCCACCTGTAGATCACAAAACCCGACACGAACCCGACCGCGATCCAGCTCGTATAATTCACCGCCGATGCCGGCGGCATCACGGAGGTAGCCCCCAACAGCACCGGCATATTAACGTACCGAATCCACGTCTGTGACGGAAAGGCCTTGTACGCTAGCCAGACGAGAGCCGTCGCCAGAGCTCCACCTCCGAAGAACCAATTGACGTTCCCGTACTCACCCAAATCGCCGAAGATCCTCCTCGGGCCGACCAGCCCCCAAATCACGGAGGCGTCGAAGAAAACCTTGTCCATCGGGCACATCCAGGGGCTGTCGGCGGGGAGCTTGTCCTGGTCGCAGAGGTTGGGGATCGATTCCATCATCCACCATGCGGTGCCTAAGTAGACCATCACGGCGACGATTGTGCCGACTACTTGGACGACGAACATGGATCGAGGCGGGATCTTCATGTAGTGACCCAGCTTGAAGTCGCTCAAGAAGGTTAAGGCTTGTGCCATGCTGATGTAGCCGTAGACCTTGAAGCAGATGTTGGCGACGGGACGCTCTGGGTATGCGTACCCGATTATGTACTCTGTGATTATGTTCAAACCCGGTTGCTGCAATTCCAGGCAAACACCAATATCAGCGTAATTAACCAGTTAATCTCAATAAAACGGCTTGTTAGGAGAATGTTACTTATAGATCTTATATCATCCTCTAATACTTAGTAATGTCGAATCGTATCATCAATGATTTTAGTGACTTCTGCCTGAATGGGGTTGGAGACTGAAGATAACAAATTGCAACCATTTTTCGACGATTGAACCTAAATCTCGAAAGAGTTGGGGGTCTAATAGCCTCCATCCTACCACTTTCTAGGAATTCTCAATATATGACGGCTATAAATTGGAGTGAGTAGAGACTGAAGACAACTAATTGCAACCATTTTCGACGATTGAACCTAAATTTCAAAGGATAGGGAGACTAATGGCCACCATCATACCACTATCTATGAATACACACTCATATTATAACGTCAGGCAAATCGAGTGTGACTGTAATAACCTACTCACCGATTGGACTACACGTAGCTCCGCCACTAAATCAGATCATCCAAGGGTTTAATTTTAGTGTCCTCGTACCTGGTTGGTGGTGGCATTGATGATACCAATGGGCAGGGTGAAGAAAATGGCGACGGCACAAGCTAGAAGAACTCCCCACCACTTCAGCTGCAGAGTCGCATTGTAATACTCACATGCGAACAGAATCACAGCAATGTTCACCACCAGAATCGCCACAAACCACCAAACCGGAACCTGCTTGTACCTCTTCATCAGCCGAGTGTGCACATCCATCTTCCTGTCCCCGAACGCCCTCCTGCTCTGCCTCACCAGATCCCTCCCGTTAAACAGCAGGACATGAACAACCGTAGCAGACAGAGTAGCAAACCCAATTCCATACGTCATGGCGAAGAACGTGCTCAGATTGACACGACCGAGCTGCGAGTAAACACCCCGATCGAGCTGGAACCTCGAATCGACGATGCTCAGGATGTCGTATCGAGACCCGTTGAAGCGATACAGGTTGCTGGAGTAGATCGGAAACGTCTTGGCCTTGTAAGTGTCGGACCAGTAAGTGAGCGGGGTCATCACGTACATGACCAGGACGAACCCGACCGCCACATTGGCGGTTGCGAACCACGGGCTGGCCAGCGGGCTGCCCAGGTAGGACGAGATGGTGGACCAGTCGAGCCCGAACGAACCGATCCCGAGCCCTTTTAAACCGGAACCGAGCTGCTGGCCGAGGACCGAGTTGGGGAACATCCAGCAGACCCAGGAGAAGGAGGTGAGCATGGTGAAGAGGTAGCCTGGGAAGATGTAGTAGGAGAAGCTGGTGGTCAGGACGATGAGGAAGAATTGGGTTCGGGTTAGACCGGATTTCGGTCTCTTCCCGCTTTCGTGGAGTGCTCTGAAAAGAGAGACTTGGACTAAGATGCTTGGCCACCACATTTCCTCTGCCTCCACGAGGTAACGCCGGAAAAGTCCTGCCCAGCCGAATCCTAGCACCTAACGGATTCCACATCAAGCCAAAATTAGACCACATTAGGGTTTAATTAGCAATGGGATTAGACCAAAAACGGTGAACGTTTGTTCGGTTAATTTACCTGAGTGGTGATCATGACCAACATGGCAGGAACGAAGGTCATCTGCCGTTTGTAATACAGCTTGACGGCACTCAAGATGTGGGTAGCGTAGACGGTGCCGGCGCCGGCGTTGGCGAAGATGGTGATGAGGACGTGTTCTTTGACATTGAACGGGCCCGGGTTCATGGTGAAGGCCCACCTTGTCCCGGCGAAGAAGACACGTGTCGGGAGAGTCTTGGCCAGGAGGTGGCCTAAGGGGACAACGGCGATTTGGGCCGAGATGGCGGAGATGGACATGGGCTGGGTCCGGTACCAGAAGAACTGGTTCGCGAAGGAGAGGATCACGCAGGAGGCCAGGCCCAAAACCCACATCCGGAACGTCATCACGGGGAGTGTCGGGTCGTCGGTTTTCGGCACCGTCACTTCCACCTGCGGGACGACGCATTTCTGCTCCTCGTCGCCGGCGACGGCGAAGGCCGTCTCTGTTTCTGCCATGGCTCTGAGAGAGAGAGAAAAGATGAGGAGAGGAGGGGGAGCTGTTGGAGTAAGCGAGATTCAATGAGTTCTCAGATTCAGGATTCGGTTTTTATGCAGGGAATCACGAGGGGGAAATTGAAAGATTCGGTTGCCACGTGAGCGGGATTTGTTTCCTGAAGTTGACCAGACATTTTTTTTTAGGTGGCGGGTTTCATTTAGATGGAATTACTAATTCTAGGGCTGGGAAACGGTGAGCATATATGGTCTATGGTAGAGACTAAGAGGCTGAAGTATAGACCATAGATTATACGGTCCGGTCTAGATCACGTCTGGTTTGTTTTTATTCAGGTAGACCATACTTAACGAAAAATGAATAATTTGTTTATTAACCACACAAAAAATTAAACCAATAACCAAGAAAAATAATTGTTATTTGCCTTAAAACATTCATCCTAACATGCATGAATAATTTTGATACCCTTAATCTTAGTACATAACAAAGATACAAAGTAAAAGCATCCCAACTTGCACTATAACGTCATAAACATTTACAAAATTTCATATGGAGACACAATTATTTCTACTCTCTGGTTAAATGTGGTTGTGAATGAAGGAGGGACGAGATTCACAAAACTAAGGTTGAGACCTGGATGTCGTTGTGAGAGTTGGGAGAGTGGTCGAATGGGCTGTTAACATATATTGACAAGTCGGTTGGGTCCACGGTTCGGTCCGGTAAACCACGGTCTAGAACAGACCAGACCAAGAGATCAAAACATAAAATAATACCGACCATGGACCAGACCAAACCATACTTAACGGTCTACAGTCTGGACCAAACTGTACGGTACGGTTTGGACCACGATTTTGGGAAATTGTTTTGTCTATTTTCTAACAGTCTTGTCTATTTTCCCTGCCCTAGAATCACGGGGGAATTGTTTTGGGAAATTACTGAGCTGGAATGGGTAATTTTGAAATTAATGCGTTATTATGATGCTTGCTATATGTATCAAGTTTTCCGAAATTCCAATTGAGACAAGAATACAGACAGATTCACCAACCCATTTTTATGGGTTAGATTCAATCCTCCACTATTTAATAGCTAACAAACCAATCTGGAGTAGGTTAAAAAAGGTAAAATGGGATAATATTTTGCTTAATGTGTCGTTTATAGGTATAGGTGCACTGAATTTCTATCAATGACTCTATATCTTGATTACAATGTTAATTTTCTTTAAATCATTCTAACTTAATTTTCATCCCTCAGCATTTCAAAACAATCTTCATCATTATTTATAGAGGAGTTAGACTCCTTGGCTAATTGTTTAGGAGATGGGATTAGGTGCTAACCCACCGTGATAACTAGCAAAAAATGCTACTAAAAATAACGAAATCACTATGGATTATTATAAAATCAATACAACATCTAAGCTAAATCACTACTAATTCAAACTAGTAGTAGTTTTTCCCTTGGTTAGGACGGTGCTAACTATTGTACAATTAACACCGTAACTCCTCCCCTCATAGAGGGCACTCTTTGCGCTATGCTATTGATATTTTAGATTCCGATACACGTCGTTGGGGTCTTATTGACTCTCGAAATGATTTTACCATTCACCCGATTGTTGAATAAGAAATAATGACACGTTGGACCCGTCATCAATTTTTCGTAAAAGAAAATATACATATTATCACCATTCATCTATTCTGTTTATTTATATGCTATATAATATGTGCACTAAACAATCTATAGTTTGGAAGAAGAAAAAATTATACTAAAACCCATCAATTCAATAGTCACAGCTGGACCATACCTAGACAATCTATTCAGATTTGTGCCTTTGCATGCACGAGACGACCCAAAAAAGCATAGAATTGGGAGGCAACTTGCAAAAGCTTTTATTGTGAAAGTGCTGGCGGCGACCCACTTGATGGATTCCTCAGCAGTTTTTGAGGAAATTAAGCGTTTACTTGCTGGACTTCATGACTTTAAAATACAAACTCTTTTTTCCCCTATAACATCCATCACACTAAATATTCATCTTTGTTAAGTAAGTTGGTCCAACCCGGTACAAATGAGAGCATTAATACGAGCATTAATGCCGCGCGCGTCACTTCCGTTAATGTTAAATATAATTCTACCTAACTAACCTAATGCACCCCTCGTAATAAGGTCTTCTCGATCGGATTGCTGGGACGGCACGAATTTCACGAATCCCGAGAAAATCACTCAAAAACCTCACTAGAATAATAAGGTCGTCTCGATCGGATTACTGGGACGGTACGAATTTCACTAATCCTGAGAAAACCGCTCAAAAACTAAAAAGGGAGTTACTTAAGCGTTGAATTAAAAATTAGTCAAACACTCAACAGCTAGCGGAATGATTACCATGGTGGGAAAACGAAAACAAGTAGATCGAGCAACCAGGTCTGAAATGAATTCAGTGAGCTAGCAAGTCAACAACCGCCCAAACCAGCTAGCCATAGACCGTGGAAGAAGAAGAAGCACGCAAGTTTATAAAGCAACACTGATCTTCACTACCACAGTATTGTAAGACTTGAATCTTTGAAAGGTCTGGTTGTTACCTTGCAATTCAACGTCAGCGTTAGGCCTGCCATACCGTCGTACAAAACTGACTTTGTCCCGTGGCTGATACAACGCTACATCATCAGAATCAGAGGCCAGCTGACTATCCCCAGTTCACAGGTGTGAAACCGGGTTACGGTGGTCACCATAGGTGCAACAAACAAGCTCAACAAGAGGCACAAGGACCAGGAGTGGGACACAGAATCCTAACAGAATATATATGCCTTCTTATGAACACAGAGCTGATGCTCAACAAGAGGCACAAGGACCAGGAAGTGGTCGTAGAGTGTAATCCAGAACTGCAAACGCTTCTAGTGGAATGCAGTATTTTTGTGGCATTGCATTGTAACATATGCTGCCAAAGAAGCTGTTTTCTAACTGTGAACACATCGACCATGCACAGGCTTTAAGCGTATAAGTGACTAGTTAGATTAACGCATAGGCGACAGACCTGCAATAATCCGTTATTCATATCAGCATATAGAGCAGTATCAGCAGTTCGAATTCAAGCTGATACTGAAAGTTCTATTGTAACAGCTCTGGAACTTGTGAAGCCCAAAGACCCTGGAGTCTAGCTCAACCATAAAGTGCATTGTTGGTATGCTGCTGAAATTGGTGCATCAGATAGACAAGGCACAGAAATGGCAAGGTACTAACTAGCAGAAACGCACCTTCAAGTTCAAGGAGCAAAAAAACAGCATGTCAACAAACATTCTATGAAAGGAATCAGGATGGCTACCTTTAAAGCTAAAACGGCAACCCTTCACTGAATTTCTGGATAATTCTTAGTAAAGAGAGGGTTAACATCGATAGAATAGCACAAACATAAGATCCATGGTTGAGCAGCATACATCACTCATTCTCCGTACACTCTCTGAGATATGAGCTAAGCTTGAACAAGCATGGAAGTCTATCCATGAATAAGTACATCACTCCCTAAGATCACCTCTCATTCGTAAATATCAATACATAAACAAACATTCACCGCACCGGCAAAATAAGGAACAACAAATCCACCAGAATTTTGTAAGAACTCTAGATCATTATTCAAAGCGTAAACTTTCCAACTCTCTCAACAGACAAGGTAAGGGGTCTGCATCCGCCTGCGCTGCAAAGACGCATAATCGAGTTTATCGACCTAGTGAAAGCATCCATTAGGGCAATCACATAATACTCGAAGTGAGGCTGTCGTTTAGCCAAATCCTACATAGACGGTTGGATGATTTTAGCCGAATCCATTGTTACTTAATTGACGACCGCATGAACAGTAGTAAGAGGTCGAGCGGGATTAGTAAGCACTAGTCACCTGGCAAAATCATCGTGTCACTCAACGCTTGCCACGATGCCCGCTACCTGATCTCGCACCAGGATAGCGAGCAAATTGCAACCTTAACTGAAGCGAATCATGATCGTGCTCATCAAACATATAACCTGCAAAAAGCGAGCTCGACTATTTACGCACGCAGGATGACCGCTGACGGTTTCGAGCGACGTAAGAATTCATTCACCGCAAAATAAGCACTCAGAAACATACTGCACTGAACGTACTGCACGAACATTAAACCAGTTTGCACACACGTAAGAATTGAGGAGCCAACCATTCGATCCTTCCCGCAAGCGAAAGGACACCGAGGACGATTTGGGTATAAAATGACCAGTCGCTTTGGTGTTGCGAAAAATGTTCAAGCTCAGTTGAGTTCGCAAGCGGACAACCAGATAAAGCCCCACTTAGCAAGACAATCTACCATTGTTATCAATTTGACACTCAGGTTTTGGTATGTTAAGCATAATGGAATATCCATATCTGAAGCAGGAACCAATCTAAATGGTACCACTTGAATCCACAAGAAAACAATTGAAAATGGGCAACTATTAAGAGGGAAACAACACAAATGAGGATGACTTTGATGCTAACATAATGCATGATAAGGATGCTTTACCTTGCAAGGCATCCAGAGCGGTGGCAGCATGGGCGGGACTCATGAAGTCAACAAAGCAGAGGATCAATGGATCTCCCCCAGGCTGCACAGTGTCAAAATCACAAATCAACTATGTAAAAGTTCCAAGACCAACAATAAACAATTCACATACTATCATGATAATGAGAACATACACGTCTCGACTCCTTGCTCACTAGTCGAACTTCTTTGTAACCAACAAACGGGCGGAATATATCTGTCAACTTAGATCAAGGAGTTACGAAATAGAAATATATCGTTGCAATACAACCTTGAAATACAATCACAAAGCGAAGTTAAAAGGATACGAGAAACTTCGCGCCTCGTACAATCAGAGGGCAAACCCTCTACATACAGCGTACTGCTAGCATCAGGAGGGAGGGAAAGATCACTCCTTCCACCTCCGAATCCAAGGTTTCTGTCACTCATTGGAGCACCCCCAGGCTCCATGCTTCCCATACCTGTACCCATGGATCTCGCAGGTTGTCCATTACCACCACCATATGATGAAGCTTGCTGCAGAGAAAAGGAAGACTTTTGAACACAGTCCAGGAACCAAGCAGGACTGCAAAAACATTCTAGCCCATGTCGATATTATATTTAATCAAAACATCATTACCATACTGCGTAGATAACGGTCATAAGATGATCCAAGGGCATCTGTATCTCTAATTACTCGAACACCACCACCACCACCACCACCACCACCACTTCTTTCATCTTCACGGCCATAGTAATTGATGAGATCACGCCCACCAGGACCATCTACAGAGGTTATGTAGCTCTATATTAGCACAAATTAAGCATCTTTTCTACAACTATTGTACGCCGGAGATTGTCAGAGGGCATAGAATTGCAGCAACAAGCATGTTTTACAACAGAATTCAATCAAAATCCAAAATTCGCACAAACCCAGATCGGTAATGTCATCGGAAGAGGGGGGCAACCCTAATCTCAAATCTAAAGGAAGGCCGACAAATAAGAGCTGTAATTCCGAGAAAGCTCAAGGGGGACTAAGACGGGAATGAAGGAGAAAGGAATTGAATTCACCATATTCGCCGGTACGTGGGCGTTTCCCGACGAATGAAGACATCGGAGGCTGCTGCTGGTGCTGGGGCTGCTGTTGCTGTTGATGTTGCGGTTGCTGCGACGACGGATGCGGAGGCTGCCGGGGGTCGGCGTATCTCCAGTAAGCGTCGGACATTGCTTCGGAAGCAGAGAATATGGAGGCGGTCGTTAATTTCCGGTAACCGTTACAGAGACAAGAGAAGAAGGAGGGAACGCAGAACGGTTTGTTCGATTCGGGGATACGAGGATGGAAGAGGGAAGCCGGGGAGTTTTTCCTCAACCGCTTGTTCGGTATACCGCCGGCGGGAGTGGGTTAACTAATTCGACGCCAACAACGTCTGGCCCAAAAGTGTTGAAGTCAGGCCCATGTTTATTGATGGGTCAGGGAAGGACCAAGGCTGGGCTTATGCGAGTGTCTCGGCCTCTCAGCCCAAGTATAGATAATTGATGAGTACACGTTTTCGGCGTCTTTCGTACGATTACGCGATGGACGAAACGATCATCCATCAATAATGAACGATGACTAGCTGGTCTTTGGAAAAGAGTAATAAAAGACAGCAACAGGTAGGAAGAAGTGTAGTGGTTGAAAAATAGGGGGTGATGAAACGCAAGAGAAATCTTGACTTTGGGTTGATTTCACTCTATAAAATTTTGCATCTTTGCCCCTAAAACCAGTCAAGACAACTATCCTTCTCCCATTTCTCTCCCAGTTAAGACACAGCTGATCAGCCAGAGAACCAAACAAAATGGACAAGGTATGTTATCTTGTTTAGTAATCAGAAACATCTTAATCTTATGTTCATTTAACTTAGGCAACACACCACCACAAGTCCACAACGTACGTAGTTGAGTTAATCACGTTCTTAATTACCTTCTTAATTAATCTGTCCATGCTGTCCTTTCTGTTGGGTTCTGGGTTTTGGAGTTTCCAGTTCAAGATGGCGGAATCTGCAGGTGGGCATCCACTGTTCAGCTGCAGGAACTGCAGAACTCCTCTTGCCTTCCATGCTGATCTCCTCTCTAAGAAGTTCAAGGTGTGTTTATGATTATCAATGATGATCCACTCCATTTTTCAGTTTCTTGGATCAACAATTTTCCCACTATCGATCCTTCCTAACAAGTTTTGGATACTGGGATCCAGTCTGATCCAGTCTGATCTTCCTCTAGCAAATTGTGGTGAATATAAGATGTTTGACCATGGGGATGAATCTGTTCGATATGTAGGCAAAATCAGGGCAAGCTTACATGTTCTCTCATGTGATGAATGCGGTGTTGGGGCAAAAGGAAGAGAAGCAGCTGATGACTGGAGTGTTCACCATTGCCAGCATCTACTGCAGCCGCTGCGGCGAGGGGCTGGGCTGGAAGTATGTTCTTGCCCATGATATGAAGCAGAAGTACAAGGAAGGCAACTTCATACTCGAGAAATCCAAGCTTGCCAAAGAATACTGATCCCAGACCCGCAATGCTATATATCTGCAGGCTGCAGCTAGCTACTTCTGTCAAAGAGTTTTCTAGTGTAATAAAGCAAATACAACAACGCTACTGTCAAACCCAGCAGCCCTGGTGGTTATGTATGATGGTTATCAGTGCTAAAAAAAATGGGTGGTATAATTCATGGGTTTGAAGTTTGCACAAGATTGAATATCACGTGTTTTGACAAATGAGGGTCGTCGGGGTTCGTACATCAATTCGTACGGAAGACACACCACAATCACATAATGCTCTGATATCATGTCAAATGATAACATGTGAATATGCTACTATTGTATTACACACTCTAGATTTAAAGCCGCAAATCGTATTGGTGGATCAATTACCACGATACGTTCTTATCCTTCATCAGTTCATCATACACCACAACTCCATTAATTCATTATTCAATTCATTTTTGGGACTTTCCCGTCTGTCTTTCGTTCTGTCTTGTCATTTTTACATTTCTTTAAATGTCAGTCTTGAGTGTCACAGTGGGAATCAATTTTGTCGACATCTTTGATCCTTTCCCCGTCCCAGTCATCAAAACTCCAATTCTTCCAATTCGCCGAAGAAAATGCCGTCTTTACTCTGAAAGTAAGTAAAAGCTCAATCAATCAAATCTTGCACGCCAACTACTTGATTCCGTCCTCTGCTCCACTTCGCAACTGAATCATCTCTCTTCCAGTACCAGCAATCCCTTTCGGTAATCTAACTCAACAAAAACTCATACTTCTCGCTCTCTGCTTCAGCTTTACAAAGTCACTCGAACTGGGTTCTCGCTGATTCATCTTCAATTTTCTGGGTTTGTTTTCCTTCCCGGCGAGCAGAAACCTGGTCGCCGGAGCTTGAGGTTGGCCGATCAATGGCGGAATTCCTGGTGGGTCCTCGCCTGTACAGTTGCTGGAACTGCAGAAACCATGTCTCCCTACACGATGATATAATCTCCAAGGCTTTCCAGGTGTGAAAATTTACTTCTCTCGTTTCCCCCTGAAACATGATTGCCTCATCGGCGCTGTTAATCACGGCAGCTTGATCGGCCGCCACTGTTTCTCTGTGTCTTGTTTTTTTTTTTTTTCTGATTAGGGGAAAAATGGCCGAGCTTTTCTCTTCTCTCACGCGATGAACGTTGTTCTGGGTACCAAAGAGGATAGGAACCTGTTGACCGGCCTCCACACCGTCGCCGACATCTACTGCGGCGATTGCCGTGAGATTCTGGGCTGGAAGTACGAGAGAGCCTACGAGGCTTCCCAGAAGTACAAAGAAGGCAAGTTCATCCTTGAAAAATGCAAGATTGTCAAGGAGAACTGGTAGCAAAAACTAAAACTAGACAGGGCACTCTGTTTCAAAGGATTCTGTTTTGATTATTAGGAACTTCCAGATTGGTGATTTGTTTATAAATATGTTCGTTCATCATTCTTCCAATGTCTAAAAATAGCTATTCGATTTGGATTTCTCATGTGTAAAACTGTAAATACAACTCTGATTCACCACCCCAAAAGTCTTGTTCTGTACCTAAGACTGTTGTGTGTGCTGTTCTAGTAATTTGACAGAAGAAATGAAGTGCCTTTCAATCTGCACTACCAGGAAGCTGTTAACCTCTTCATCCATTTTGATCAGAAATATAGATAATGGAACAAACGAACTGCAGAGTTAGTCAGCCAAGTCAGGTTCTTCGACTGTATCTATAAGAGAAATGCCTTCTACTAGGGTAGTTCTGTGTACTAGTAGTCTAGTACTACTACTTAGAAGAAGAGAAAGGGCTTCAATCTTCATTACCTAAGAACTGTGAACCCTTAAACTGCAGGATAAGTAAACCAAGCTTGCAGGGTCTTTGACTGTTGCTGATAAGAGAAAATGGCCCTCTACTAAAGCTTGAAATCTAAGGTAGTCAGTGTATCTTCTTCGAGCAGGCTTTCGCAGGATCAAGAAGATCACTAAAGCAACTTAGTGTAGACAGATCAACAGCAATCCTGGACAGCTCGTGAGCCTCTCAGCTATTTCGCTAACATCGATCGTTTCCCCTTCATCTCTACCCTTACCTAACATCTCCATTTTCCCAAACTTGTCACTTTCCATCTTGGCCAGCTTCCACTGCTAAAATTAATACGACGAGGTTGTGAATCTCAGAGTTCAAACCGATACAGAACTCATTACCAGAAGAACAGGTGAGCTTCTGCATTCATTGATCAGTAATATTAAGAACAAACTACAAGATTAGTCATCATCAACTAAGGGTGTTCGATTGTTGTTAATAAGAGAAATGCATCATTCCCTCTACTGCTAACTAAGCTAATCTCTAGACAGTTCAACAACAGCCTTGCCCAGCTGGAGCCTAGAAACAATCTCCTTGATGATCAGAACAAACTACAGGATTAGTGATGATCACCCAAGTAAGGGTATTCGACTATTGTTAATAAGAGAAATGCCTTAAACCTGAATCCCTAAGCTAACCTCCGAACAATTCAGCCCTAGACTGTTCGACAGCGATCTTGGCCAGCTCGAGCCTAGAAACAATGTCCTTAATAATCTCTTCAATGCATTTTGCCTTCCCAGCAATCTTGCCCACTTCATCTATATTCATTTCCAATACCTTCAGCTTCTGAATCTTCACACCTTCCAGCTCAGCCACCCTCATCTTCCTCTCTTCAAGCTCCATCTCCATCTCTTTGAGCGCCTCTCTAGCATCTTCAACTCGTGATTCCAGCTGCACCATGAAGCTTGCTTCATGCTGCAACTCATCGTCGAGCTTATAAACGGCCTTCGATCCCTTGGTAATTTCTTTGCTGAGCTGCTTGTGTCGAGCCAGCACCCCGATGTTGTCCTCATTGTCTTGCAACTCTTTCTCTGTAGCAGAGAGTTGAGAGCAGTAGCAGATATATGCCCTGACTACATCATAGAAAGACCGGTAATCAGCACCGTGGACTTCCAGAGATGCGAAGGCGCTGTTCGCCTGTTGTATCATACCGTCGACATCGTTGGGAGATGCTGTTGTTAGGAAAGCAACGAGGGCAGTCTTCACATTAGGGATGGATAATGCGTAGGCTTGGCGGATTTGTGAGCTTAGCTGCTTGGCTTTGGCCGGGGAACCTGGAGCTGGAGGTCCGACCAGTTTGGACAGTGCATGATGAGGCTGATGTTCCTTCGGTGGTGGAGTTGCTTCATCTGCCTGGAAGAATGCTTCCTCTACCTTTACACTTAGCTGCAGATCACCACGACCTCCATTACCCACGTTATGATTTTCTTGCGTTGCTGGTTTGGGTGTTGACGTTTCCCTTTTGATTCTTTTCTGTTCTGATCTCTTGTTTGTCCCAGAAGAGCTTGATTGTGGACTTCCGGTGAACAAAGGTTTCTGAGGGAAAGAAGGAAAAGCAAAGACAAATCACCATCAACCACAAAATAGCATTATAGCTTTGTAAGATCCATACAGAAAACCTCTCTAGTTCTTTATGAGAAAGGCTTCAGTCCTCGATTTGTATTTGGAAGCCAAACGAGGGAACTTTAAGACAACAATGTTTCCATTTACTCACCCACATCTTAAAAACCTCTGATTCTCAAACGTATGCACATGCATCTAGCCCTCATACTAACAAGATCATAAAGAAACAACAGAATCCACAAACTGAACCAGTCGTGTAGCTAGCTAGGTTTTCAACAGCCTAATCTTAGAAACAAAAGTCTCTGTTCGGAACCCAAATGTAGCCATGTAGGAAATCGCTTGCAAGGAAACCCAAATTGCAGACAAAAAAAAAAAAAAAAGAGAGGGATTCTGAAAATGGAAGACATTACCGTTGGTGTATCATCCCCTGCAGTAGGTTTCCTGGAGTCGATGGTGGTTGGTGTTTTGGGCTCTCCTCCTTTCCTAATAAAGAAGCTCCTCCTTCTTGGAAACACATGAGATGAATCTCCAGGGGACGCCATTGTTGCTCTCAAGATACCAGCTACAGAGCTACTAAAGCCAGTGACTTCCTTTTTCTGAAATTTTGGAGGGTTGGGTGTGTGTAATAACTAATAAGGGAGACTGGGAGTTGACTAAACATGGAAAGATTCAATCTTCTCCTTTCTTCCTGGCTCAGAAATGAACCACTCTCCACGCTATTACTGGAAATGACAAAATTGCAGAGGCTCCATCCAATAGGGAAACAGAGGAACCATTGTACGAACGCAGCAAGGCAATCTTTTTCAGCAAAACAAAATCTTTTCAGCCCTCTCTCTCTCTCTCTCTCTCTCACTCACTCTCTCAACGGTCTGCAATTGGGGAAAGAGGCCAACGCGGCCCAAAACTCTGCCCTGTTAGAACCAAAACAAAATATGGTCCAGTCGCTAGAAACAACAATAAGGCCCAACAAGGCGATATCTCAAGTTTCAGGAAAGAATTGCTCGAAAAAGTTTCAGGAAAGAGGAGGAAACGGGTACCGGGAAGCAAGAAGAGTGAATAAACGGTTGACGAAGGCGGAAGAATTGCCGGCGCAGTTGCCGGACAGAAGCTGCCGAATCAACTCCGACAGGGATCCGGGAGTCGACTGGATCTCCGAGGAGCTAGATACCGGAGGAAGTGGAAAGAGAGCCAGTTAACTCGGGAATCAGCTGCTGCTGCTGCTGTAGATCGGCGAATTCATCGCCGTAGCTCTTGTTTTGGTTGCCTGGTACGGAGGTTAGTGTTGCGAGCTGTGATGAGACTTATGCTCTAGTAAAGATTAGGCATTTCTGGGCCTGATTAGTCGATGACGGCGTAGCTTAATGTTGTTCGAGGAAATTAGGATATACAATCAAGATGCTAGATGTTAGTTTCAAATTTCAATGTGATTTGGGCATATTACCTGGATCATGAATTCTACTGAAGCTTGGAAAACACTCTGAACCAGAAAGCAGGCAGCTTTTCTTCAAGTCATCGGTTAGAAACGGAATCAGAGAGAAATGGAGTCCAAGCGAAGCTCCAAGTTGAATATCGCCATTCTTCACCCTGACCTTGGAATAGGTAAAACTAAAAGATATATTCATTTATGACCTTTTTTGTTGTCATTTACTTTGAGGTTGTTGAAGGATTGTTACCGTACTCGTTTGACCGATTCTGAAATCTAAACTGCATATGCATTATGCATCACTTTGAAGTTTCCTGTTATTTGATGTTCAATTTGTTTCTTCGACCCATCTTCGTACTTTGTAGGTGGAGCTGAAAGGTTGATTGTTGATGCTGCTGTTGAACTTGCATCCCAGGGTCACAAGGTTCATGTATTTACAGCTCACCATGACAAGAACAGGTGCTTTGAGGAAACTGTTGCAGGTAATTGGAATCATGGATTTCAGTACTTTATGGCTTCTACTCCCCTTGTTATTCTGTTCTCCTTACTGAACTCATAAGTGGGTTTACTTGCTGGTGTATGTTGGTGGGACTGCCCCTTTCGATTTGCCTTAACGAGAAGGAGAAGTTTCTCGTTTTCTGATTTTTTTTTTCTTTTTGTTTGGAAGATTGGGGTATTGTGTTCACTGTTCAGCATGATGGCTTGACGTCAATGTAATGCGTGCCAATTGGCTTTGCAGGCACTTTTCCAGTTACCGTATATGGTTCCTTTCTTCCCCGACATGTATTCTACCGACTTCATGCTGTATGTGCATACTTGAGGTGCCTCTTGGTTGCTCTTGGAATGTTGTTCCTTTGGCCATCTTTTGATGTTGTACTTGTGGATCAAGTTTCTGTTGTAATCCCATTGTTGAAACTCAAAAGAGCAACAAAGGTACATATCGATTTCCCTGCAAAACTGTTAGCTTCATTCTCAGAGATCCCTTGTATGTAGCTTTTGATGTATGTTCTTGTTTTACCCAGGTGGTGTTTTATTGTCATTTTCCAGACCTCTTGCTGGCTCAACACACAACCGCACTCCGAAGACTATATAGAAAACCTATCGACTTCTTGGAAGAAACAACAACCGGTGTGTGACTACAATATTATTTTTTCTGTTCATTTTCTAACTCATTCTTGGCTTGGATTCTCCTTCCTTGAACTTCTGTGTTAAATCATTCTAAAACCACTCTCCGTATGGGTTGCAGGAATGGCAGATATGATACTTGTAAACAGCAAATTCACTGCATCTACTTTTGCTCGAACATTTAAGCATCTTCACGCACGAGGAATTCAGCCTGCTGTTTTATATCCAGCTGTTAATGTGGAGCAGTTTGAAGAACCTCATTCTCTCAAGTAACTGACATGCCTGTCTATCTTTCAAATCTTTCCAGTACTACAATATTTTACTTCATAAAGTTTTCTCCCAACCATTTATACGGCTTGGTTTTCATTTGCGTTGATGTGAAATAGGTTGAATTTTCTCTCCATCAACCGTTTTGAAAGGAAGAAGAACATAGAATTAGCAATTTCAGCCTTTGCCAAGCTTCACAGCCTCGGGGAACTTGGTAATGATAAGCTGAGGGATGCTTCCTTGACTATTGCAGGCAAGTCTGTCCTTATTTATTTTTCTATCGAAGAACTTAGCTTCTATTGGCAGTAGACTGTGAAATTATTATCCTAGAGGATCAGTTGTACATAGTAGACTTGAGGAATTCTGTTGTAAACCATCACAGGCGGATACGACGAGCGTTTGAGAGAGAATGTTGAATACCTGGAGGAGCTTAGAAGGCTAGCAGATATACAAGGAGTGTCCGATCGTGTCAAGTTTGTGACGTCTTGTTCCACCGCCGAAAGAAATGATCTTCTCTCAGAATGTCTATGTGTTATCTATACACCTAAGGTAGGATTCATTCTGAATCCATATGACCCATTTTCTTTTTCCCCACTTCTCTGTTTTCTGGTTCTAATATGTTGGTGATAAACGAGCAGGATGAACACTTCGGCATTGTCCCAATTGAGGCGATGGCAGCTCATAAACCTGTCATTGCATGCAACAGTGGAGGCCCCGTCGAGTCTATCAAGGATGGAGTTACAGGATTTCTCTGTGATCCTACTGCTCAAGCATTTTCACAAGCCATGGCCAAATTCCTCGAGGATCCAGATGTGGCGAAGAGTATGGGACTCGATGCCAGGCGGCATGTGGCAGATTCATTCGCTACTCGGATTTTCGGGCAGCGCCTGAATCAATACGTTACCAGCATTGCTGACACTAAGCAGGAATGAAACTTCAACTCTTGTTGCATACTCGGATAGACTTAATACCAACAGCCTGATTTTGCAGTTTTGTTCCTCCTCCCTTGGCGGGGTTCTTGAACTCCATACTTAGTTAAGTTCCATTTATCTTTTTGCTAAACTTGATTAAGGAAAATCCATATACATTTGAAATCCAATTATCAGCCAATAAATAGCTCATTTCTTACACCCACCTAAAATTTAGGATTTTCTCCAAAATTCTACAATTACCAAAATGAACTCCCATCATACATAACTCTACATTTTATAATTCTTGTTATAAGTTATAACTCATAAATGATATCATATCACCATGATTAAAAAAATACTGAAAATTGTAAACAAATTATTGTAAATCACATAGGTGGTACATTATTACATTATGTAGGCGGGTTTTCTCGATAATAAGATATAAATAGGAAATTTCCATGTCGAAAACCAACGCCATTTAAACATTATTTTCATATCCGAACAAATACCAAACAAAAGGATGATGAGATTTGATATGTTCGTTTTTTCCCTTTAATAGAACCAAACACGTATTGTTAATGTATGCATTTCATCGATCAGAAACAAATACAAAAAAGTTAACCAAAGAAACAAACATTAAATCTCAATACCAAAACGATCATTGCCAATCTAAACCATAATCATATTTCCTTCGAATCTCCACACCTATTGAGGCCCATGACCGAGGTTAGGGCTCGAAATCTAGAGGAGGGTTCAAGGGATAGTTTGAGAACGATGACCAAAACACAAATTTAGTACGAGCGCGAACAAATGATGATATACTTCTGGGTTCTTTTAAGCCTTCAGTAATATACTTGTGAGTTCATATAAGTTGTAAAGAGTTAAAAGACAAATGAAAGGAGACTGAAGCCAACAATAAAATCAAAATGAACCAATGAAAAATGAGATCAATCTAACCACAACCACAAATTTTATTGTAGGTTTACTGATGAAATAAATTATTACTGACACCCACCTAAATTTTACAACGTCCAACAAAGGGGAGTGGCTTCCGCGTAAAAGCACTCAGCCGCTCCGCAACCATTCCTCTTCCTCCATTCCATTTTCTCCTACCCCATCAAACGCAGCTTCTGATCATGGCTTCGTCCCCCGCCGCCCCAATGTTTCTCCGGCGGCGGACGCAAGCTCCACGCCCCGCTGCTCCGGCCCCATTACCCGGAGATTCATCCGATGATGACGGCGAATACGACGACCTGTGCTGCGAGGAATGCGGATCCGGTGACTCACCGGCTGAGCTGCTTCTCTGCGACAAATGTGACAGAGGATACCACCTGTTTTGCTTGAGACCCATTCTCGTTTCCGTCCCAAAAGGCTCCTGGTTCTGCCCTTCTTGCTCTAACCAGAAGAAGGTCAAATGTAGGTTCCAGAACGCTTCCTGTTCCTCCTTTAGCATTCCGCCCTTGTAGTACTGATGTTGGTCGAATGATTTTGCACTGTCTGCTTTGGTATCGTACCCGGGAATTGAAATATTCTTGTGGGTATTGGGTATTGATCCATTACAGCTGCAATGTGTGCAGTGCTAGCATCAATTTTCACTCGAATCGTTGGTTCCTTTGTCTCACTGGCGAGGGATTTAGTAAGTTATGTTGCCTAGGTGAAAAATCAGGTAGCTTAGCAAGGCAAGTGGGTTTTTGCTCTGCATGTTGAATCTGAATCCTGAGAAGGTCACCGTAACTAGTTTGCCTGCCATTGACTAGGCTGCACAGCTAGACCCAAAACAAAGATGGGGGCTTTATGTTAATATAATCACCGAGCTACGAGATTGCTGTTCATTTGGCTTGCTCAATAGGTGGACTTCAAGTAAATTTTTTTATGCGAAGAACTGAAGAAAAGTTCTAAACTTGTTGTTCTGGGTCTGATGTTACTTGTGCATGTCTTGTTGATCGTTTGGAACAGCATTTCCTCTGGTCCAGACCAAAATTGTCGACTTCTTTCGCATCCAGAAGCCTTCAAAACCAAGAAAGAAACCAGTTGAGGGTAAGTAATGTTTTTAGATCGATGCACGAGACTTTGATCTTGCTTTCCTTCCTTAGTTTCGAGCTGTAAGTAAGTTCGGGGCTTTTGAGCTATTGCAGACAGCACAAAGAAGCGGAAAAGAGCGGGAAGTTTAGTCATGTCCAAAAAGAGAAGGAAGCTATTGCCTTTCAATCCAAGTGAGGACCCTGACAGAAGGTTGGAACAGATGAGATCACTTGCCACAGCATTGCTAGCCTCTGGAACAAGGTTTTCTGATGATCTTACTTACCGAAGAGGCATGGCACCTCGGTCTGCAAACCGAGCATCTCTTGAGAAGGCAGGAATGCAGGTAGACACTATCGGGATTGATTATATATTTGGTGGGAATTGCCCATTTTTTAGACAAATAGAAGGATGAAATGTTCCATTATTGGAAGCCAATATGGATAGTCGTATAAGGAGGTGACTTTAAAATTGGTCTTATTGGCAGTCTATGTTTATTAGTAGCCTTCAGCTTAGTTTAATAAAATCCTGAAAGTTACTGATATGGCGACAGAGAGTTGTTGATTCATCATCTTCTTGGCCAAATTGCTGTTTTGGAGATTGATAGGGTTCAGACTTCAGAATCCTGACATTTTCAGAATGACAACTTTATAGGTCTTGTCAAAGGAAGACACCCAAACCTTAAATCTGTGCAAGAGAATGATGGATAGAGGAGAATGCCCACCACTTATGGTCGTTTTAGATCCTCTGGAAGGGTATATGTGTATGTGTGATTAATGTTACTGACCAGAGCAGAATGTTATGTATCAATGGAGATTCTTGTGTAATCTCGTTGCTCAAATTGTAAGCAGGTTCACAGTGGAGGCAGATAGATTCATCAAAGACTTGACCATTGTCACGGAGTACGTTGGTGATGTTGACTACTTGGAGAAACGTGAAGACGATGACGGGGACAGCATGATGACACTGCTCTCGGCTGCTGACCCTGCCAAAAGCCTCGTCGTTTGCCCTTATAAGCACGGAAATGTAGCTCGATTCATCAATGGAATCAACAATCATACCCCGTAAGTTCATGGTCTAACTTTTTTAGGCCTCTTCCAAAGGTTGTCGAAAAGGGACTAGTCACCCTAACTCTTGTTTGATGCTGTGCACTGCAGGGAGGGGAAAAGGAAGCAGAACTTGAAATGTGTGAGGTACGATGTTGATGGCGAGTGTCGAGTTTTGCTGATTGCGAACAGAGATATACCAAAGGGAGAAAGGCTATACTACGATTATAACGGGTATGAGCATGAGTATCCAACCGAGCACTTTGTTTAGAGTCTGCTGGCAGTCTAACAAGCTAACTATATAGAGCATCCGTCGTCCTTCGCTGCACCTTGCATTCTTGGTAAACAGGAGTTTGAAAGAGAGGGGGGGAAAACTTGATCATCCTCCTGTTCTAGTGTAGTCACCAAATTTTTGCAGCTGCATTGTTCTTCACTAGAGTTGATCACATTCACAGGATCTCACAAAGTTGTGATGTATACTTTTTGAACTATCATTCTTGAAAAATCTCTATATTGAAGCCATTTCACATAGCATTCAGTTGAGTGATTGCCGCATTTGGATTGCCAGCCCTTGCCTTGATAGTTGATACTGTTTGGGGTCAGGGAATCATTAAGCTCCAACTGTTAGTTTTGTGATTCTCGTCAAGGAAAGATTACAAAAGCAAGAGCACAAAACTCTCCATAGGAAAGCTTGTTGAGTGTTCTTAGTTGGGCCATGAGAGGTTAGATACAGGCCTCAGCTTAGTATAGTTGGACTAGGGACAATTGTGCCAGCGTTTCAAGGATGGCCCAGGTTTGCCATTTGTTCGTTTATCTTCAACAAAGGTGAGGTGAGGTTTCAGGATCAAATGAATCACAAAAGATGAAATGAGCAGAGTTCTCTATTTCTGCCATCCTTTCTCTGCTAGATCTCTCATTATCCATAATGGTTTCCTGGTGAGGTTTGACGAGAGACCCCTCCACTGAAACAAAGGTAAACCCTAATCGCCACAACGAGAAATGGTTCGAAGTAAGAATCACTTAAACTACAATGTGTGTGTGTGTTTCAATGGCTGATGAGACTTGGACAGTGCAATAGTTACATGCAAGAAAGGCACTAGCAGCAGGCAGCAGGTACTGTATCAGTTGGCATTGCATGCCGAATCAAAACTACATATAAAAAGACTGTCAGAACCACAACAACACAACACAAACTTTCCTGCAAAGAAAAGCTCAGAGAGAAGAGAAGAGAAGAGAGTAGTAGAGTTGTTGACAAACGAACACACACCATTTTGGACCATCCTACTCTCTGAATTCTCTGCTGCATGCCCAGTATAGTACCTTCAAAGCAAAACCCAAAAGATTAATGAGACTCAGATAGGGTGGTCCATTATCAAGCTCCCTACCATAACCAAAAACTTGTAGCTGGGGGCCCAAAAGTTATTTAGAGAGAGAGAAGAGAGAGAGAGAGAGTATAGCTGTGAGATTCATATCAAATGGACCACTGATGATGATGATAATTGGAGTTTATAGCATTTTGCTAACATGCTGATATCGTCGAATATCACTCGTCTCTCTCACGATCACTGACTCGATATATGCTTTTTTTCTATTTTACGAAAATTGTACGAGTGCACGTTCCAATAAAAAAAAAGATACAGTGAAACGTTCAGATTTTTTTCCGCATTGCACAATGTCCATCACCGAACCGATACACAGCGTTTGTGTTCTTTTTACAAGACGTACGGTCGCTTCGTTCCTGCAATGGACTGACAAGATTGTATACGCACATGCATCCAGGATTCACATGACTGTACAGTATCAGCTCGCGTCGACGACGCGCCTACCTTTAGCATACTACCTAGATTGGAGGTTACATATAGGAGGAGTGGGGGCAATGCAGCAAAGAGAGATGATAGCCAATTGCAGGCCCGTGCTGCCATCCCCCCAAACCTCTCTGGCTCTGCCCTCCACAAGGGCAAGTGGTCCTATAATCCCCTGTTTTGTTATGCATTAACCAAAGAGAAGGAAAAAAAGAGATGGGGAAAAAAAATGGACCCTAAAGTTTGTGTACTTGTAATTGGGTGGTGCAACGGTCCAGCCCACCACCAGCACCAGTGAAGAGAGACTTTAATGCAGCAACCAGCAGACACTAATGGAAATCAGTTACCACTTACCAGCTTGATGGTGGTGATGATGAATGAGATATGGTCGTTTTGGTATCTCTATAGAGATGAAACGACCGTCCAAAAAGCTCTCTCAGATCCCAAGGAAAAGGGCAGTAAGGTTGTTCGTCTCAGTGTTTTCCTGCTGCTGGCCGGCTGTAACTAACTGCAGCTGCACAGAGATCAGATCAGATCAGATCCAGATTTGGGATGAATGAATATGATGAAGAAACCACTCATTAACAAAAACACAGCAAATTGTATCATTGTTTTGGGGAGGGGAGGGGATCTTTTCTGTTTTAGCACACAATGTGACAGTTTTGGTGTACCTTACCTTACCTTTACCACACCCGGCCATCATTCGATACAGCGTTGGCTGCTTTGGTTCACTCACTACTTCATAATAATAATCTGATTAAAGACGTCATAGTTATCAAATTTATCATGTGATAACTAGCTATCTCGTACTGTATTGGCGGTTCGACCATAAAGATTTTGAGAAGAGTTGCACTATTCTGTAGTGAATTTTTGGAGATCACCTCAAGAACCCATGTTTGAAAGGCAGAGGAAGAGTGATAAAAGGTAAAAGGAGGAGATGGAGAAAGCTTCTTGATTTGGTGCATTTCAAGGTTCAATGGAACAAGGGAAAAAAAACCAATCAACAGAGAGTTGCAGCAGCTGCTGCTGTGAAGTATGGAGACCCACCAGCTTTGCTTGCTTGCAGCTAGCACAGCTTGTTTGGTGGAATATTGTCTCCTTCCTTCCTTATCACCCTCACACACAAGAACAACTTTTGTATGTCAATCCAGTTGAAGCAGATGGTTATACATAATGTATTGTTAATCGAGCCGTTTCGGTCGATTGGCGGTTCAAACCAATCCTTTTCATTCAGATTCCTGACTCAGTCACTAATTAGCCATTTTAAACCAAGTTTTGTGCTAGTTTCGGGTGCATTTGCGGCACATTATATAATGTGCCAATAAGTTCCAACAAAAGAAGTTAGTGGGCGGCAACAACTAAAACACTTTGATCAAGAAAGATAAATCGCCCTTAATTCTACCTAATGTAGCTAGCTAAGCTAACTAATAAGATCTTGAACGTACATTGTATCAATGGAAAGTCAACTTCAAGTCCTTTTTTTTTATAAATTTGATCCAACCAACGCATATATATGCTATACATGCATTGCATGGATTCGTGCTTGTACCCACAGGTTGTAAGATCTTTCATTAGATTAATTAATTTATTACACATGGGTGATCATGCTCGCGACCACCGATATTTTTCATGAACGCAGATGATGATCAATGTCGACTATATGCAGGTCATTTCGTCGTGACGGATATAGTTGACATTTCAGTTGCAAAAAAAAAGAGAGAGAGAGAAGAGAGAACAAAACGCTTGAACCCTCAACGCCAATTGTTGATGAGTTCGGCTGCCTACCTTACCACGACATCAACTTAGTAGATCAATACTGCCCGTGTGGCTCGAGAGAACTTATACATGTTGTCCAAATTGTAGGATTTTTTATTCCCAACGGCAATGCCCGCGTTTGCTATGTACGATGTAAAATTTTGTCGAGCCATGTTAAATCCTGGAGCCCCTCAACTTTCAAGTTTCAAATGCGTGTAAAATTTGTAACAAATTCGGAAAAAATAATAATTAGTAAGGCTCTAGCGCCCCTCCCCAATGAGCATATGCATGGTTCAAATTCCTCCACCTCATCAATTAGTTTTCTAGCCTTCTCGGTCAGATTTTTTTACTCCGCCACACTTGTTGATCGATTCGAGCTGAGTTCGAGTGTACTACCATCGTGCTTTCTTTAAGTTCAATTTAGTGTAATTAATATCCGAGTATTGGTCCCCCTAGCTCACCAATTGATGTCTTGTGCATTGGCGCAATTGAATACGTATGTGAGTACGTATGTAGCTTGTAAAACACGGATCACCATGCATGCATAAGTAGATGGATAATTAGCCAAGAAAAATAGGAAACATAATTAAATTGATTAAATTAGGTTTGACTAACCCATGAACAGCAACAACTTCCCAAATTCGGTTAATGTGCATTCTTAATTATTTTAATGATGTCGGTAACCACCAATTTGACCCATACCTTCAAACCAGTATACTATGAAATACACTATTCATGAACTTTGACTAGAGATCATGGCCCCAAAAATATCCACACAAAAAAATTAGAAACCAGAAATAGGTCCTAATAATTTAGAATGTTTGAGATGGTGATGAAATGGTTCCGATGTGAAGTTGACAACCTGACTTTTTCAACTGAGTCGCGTATGAAGAATGAGCAGACATGGAGACATATAGTCGAAGTCGATCGCTGGGAAAGAGAAGTCGAACTTATAACTTCTTTCCTAGACATGCGAACTCGTTTTACGAAAGAAAACTAACTCCGGCGAGAGGCGAGCCCGAAGAAGAAGAAGTTATGAAGGGGAGAGGGGGGTTGCCGACCCAACCTATTGTCACCTATAGGGGGATTACAGACTAGCTCTCTTTTCATGTTCATCGAACTAAATCTTACCGTCGTCGCAAAACTTTGATTTCCACACTTTATGTTCTTCTTTGTAACTTGTTTTCAACTAAATACGAAATGGAACGAATCCTATCTCGCATTATAAAGAACCTTATATTCGATTTTTTCGCGCATATGTCCAAAAAAACTATCTTCTTTACCGACTTTAAGCATATCACAAAACTATAAAAACACTCGTATTTCGGATTCTTTCAAAACCCTCAAATTTAGAGACTTAATATACACACTAACCACTATATAAAAACACTCTTGATCACTTGCATAACAATTCACACATCAATGATCGATTCCACAAAGCAAAACCTTAATTTATACATAATGAGTTTCGACAAAAGAACAAAACTTTGATTTTGCCCCCCTCGTGTACCTCCAAAGATGAGTAATAATTATGTCTTGTTAATGCTGCTCTTAAGCTTTGGGAGAGTGGGCGGTTTTGTAAAGGGACAATCATTAGGCGAGTTAATCACAGAAAATTAGGCACTAAAGTTTGAATTGTTAGCTAATATGGAAACAAATGGTTAACTTTTCTTAGTGCCCCTTTTTTCACTTTGACCTTTTCAGAGTTCTTTTGTATTGTCACAGTGAGGACATGAACCTAACTAAACCTGACTCAGTTGGTTGGTCCTTTGAGCTCAAAGTATTTTGGGACAGTAGCAAATTGAAAAATGTTTGATTTGATTTCAAATTCTTATGAGCACGGAATTTTGTATAAAGCGTGGGAATCAGAAAAAATATGGGTATGAGATTTTCGATTCTTATATATGTGAAATCTGAATAGTTGTCACGTACCAATTTTCGGAATACTTTTTCGGCAAGTCATAGATGGAGTTTTAAGCTAAATGATGCATGGTGTGGAATTTTGATCCAAGTAGAACCATTTTTTTCATGACACAAATGTTAATTTTCCCCCATTCTAGAACAATATTCCTCTAGCTCGAGACTATGAAGAGGAATCTTCAAAAGAACATGGCCTTCAATAATTCTTTCCTCTTTTTTTTTTTTTCCATTATCAAACAAATTATTCTCTTCTCATTCATTTCTTAGTTGGGATGCCTTCATTTGTAATATGATGTGGTTGCTGAATATTACAGCTAATATATATTCCATGATCAAGTTTCTATGTTTCTTAGTAAGAAACTTTTTAGTAATGATTACCGTGTTGACCAACTAATAATCCATTCTCGCAAACAAACAAAAGATTTTCTCTCCGAAGATCTGGATAGAACACTCAGCACAAAAAAGTTAATTAGGCATGACGATCTAACACTTATATGACATATCATTAACACTACGACATATTGACGACTCACACCTAAATTCCCCCCCCCCCCCCTCACAAAGCTGCTCCAAAATTGGCTTGGTTCCAAGATGTAGAACTATTAGTACCGTGTCCAAATTGCACAATAATTCTTGCTAAGAAGAATGCCCATGTTACAAAGGATGGATGATTGTTTATAGCATTGGAGTAGTACTCTTAGTAACAGCTCGAAACTCATGATTGGCACGATATGATAAAGAATTTCTCCATACTTTCCCATATACTAAAAATCTTCCTACGCTCAACATCGACAAGACCAACAAGACGATTATGCGGCGACTTTCAGAGCATCTAAAAAAGAGTAGCTTTTTTCATGTATGATGATAGGGTCCAAATTCAAATCATTATAATCACTCGTGATCCCATTAAAAAAATTGTTAACTACTTCATCTAGACGCGGAAAACAAAGAATTAACGAAACTCCTGCTCATCATCATCTCAAATAGGAAACAATCCTCTTCTCATTTTATTTCTTTACACTATTTCGAATTGTTTTTTTTTTAGTTTTGTCGAACGATCGTTATCACTCAATAGAAACTCGCCCAAAATTAAAAAGTTTTAGGATTATATAGGTACCTATAGCTAATTAACTACTTCATAAAAGAGCAAAAATATGAGTATGGATGACACTTGTTGGGTGGCTATGTGAGTGTGTGTCACTGTATTGTAAGAACCCCGCAGAGAGAAGTAATTTACTCATATGCCCCTTCCCCTTCAAAATCTCGTTTCTCGGTCCATCCGTTCACGAATATCAAGGAAAATAATAATATTAATGATAAGCAAATAATAATTTATAAGTAAAAAAATACATTATTCCTTTTCTTGTTCGCCCTTCGGCTTCGGGGGGAAATCAGGAAAATCCATTTTATTTTCCAGTTATTAAATCTTTATTTTTAAATGATAAAATACATATATATGTCTTCTGGAGTTTGTGGTGGTAACTGGGAAAATTCTATTTATACAAACCCCACTCCCTTCCTTCCCTTCTTTCTTCTTCTTCTTCTTCTTCTTGTTGAAGGGGTTTCTCTTTGTTTGTTATTATATAAAGCCTCTCGTTTTTATCATTGCAGTGGATTTTCTCTTTGCTTTCTCCAGAGGCACGAGGAGGGAGACAGAGCTGAAAAGGAATTCTAATGGATGCTTCGATCTACGCCTTCTTCAGTCTCCAATATATCTCGTTGGAAACCTGATATTACCCATGTAAGAAAACTTGCAAACATATCATTTTCTTTCCCATTAGGAATTTCCAACTCATCTCTGTCTATCTGCTTATTGAATTGAGTTCCTGACTCGGTGCTCCCATCTTTTTTGCTTTTACTGTTATTGGGTTCGATTCTCTGGTTGTTCTTTTGAACGGGTTTCTCGAAATGCAGTCATGTGATCTCTCTAATTCTCGTTAATGGGGTAACTTGTTTCTGTGTTTGTGGCGTTCTTTTTGTGGGAGGGGGGGCTTAGCTGGGGTTTGCATATTGGCGTTGTTTATGGAAAAAGGATAATGAAAGCGTTTTTTTGTGGAATTGGAAGGAAGATAGGTTCAATGGGCTGGAGGAGGAAGATATGGGGATTCATGTTGGATCTCGTGATGTGTAGTTTATTAGTTATATTGTCACTCCGTCCATGTTCTTTTAATTCTTAATAAACCCCTCTCTGTTTTGCTGCCAAAAGAAAAAAAAAAACCACCCTTGAGTTCTGTGTTGTTCTTCACATCTATCTACTCCTTGTTTTACTGATGGTATTTTGTTCTCATTTCTATTCTTCTCAGCTCCTTGGGATTGCTTCTTCTGGTGTGGATTTCGATGGTGGTGGCAGGTTAACTGGGACCTTCAAAAGCTGTTTTCTTTGATGGGTTGAACTCAAGCAGGGTAGCAATGGGCAGCTTGAGTGAGGAAGAATTCCGGTTTTTCGATGCTGCTGATGATATTGCATCGACAATCTCTGGTGGCAGTAGTGACATCTTTGATTGCCAGCAGAGTTTGGGAGATATCAATTCAGCTGCCTCTAGCCCTCGTTATGCATTGTGGGCCGACGCCCCCAAAAGTGTGGAGGAACGACGAAACATGTTTTTGAAGTGGATGGAAGTTGAAGGTTCATGCCCAGATGGAGATTTGCCCAGTCCAGGAGGAAGCGGGATTAATAGAATGATTGAAAGTAGTGGGGCTGTGTTGAGGAACTCTTGTTATGAAGGCGAGTTTTGTTCGACAAGGTCTTCAAGTGCCATTCTTCTGGAGGAGTTGGGCTCGGCTCAAGAGTTCGTAGGTAGAGATGGGAATTCAGGTGGAGGGCTGGCTTCTATTGTAGATGAAAGTCATGACCTTTATTCACCATATTTAGCAAGAGCTAGGGAATGTAGTAGTAAAGCTTCTGGCTCATCGCCTCCTTCACTTCTTCAGCTTCAGCCGAACTGTGAGAGATCCAATGATAGTAGCACAATCAGCAGCACAGCTTCCAAGACAGATAAAAAACGGTGGTTGAGCAGGTTGAGGTCAATGGCATGTGCTGTGGATGGAAGAACACAGGCTGAGAGGACGAGCCATTCGGTTGATGATTCACTTTTGTATAGGACACGGAGGGTGAAAGTTAGGCAATCTGGGAAGCAAGTAAAGGAGCTCTCTGCACTCTATAGTGGGCAAGATATCCAGGCTCACAGGGGCTCGATCTTGGCGATGAAATTTAGTCCAGATGGGCAGTACCTGGCAAGTGCTGGTGAAGATGGGATCGTGAGAGTATGGCAAGTTCTTGAAGATGATCGATCGAATGAACGTGATATTCCAGAAATAGATCCTTCATGCATCTACTTCACTGTGGATCATTTATCCGAGTTGAAACCCCTCATTAGTAATCAAGAGAAGACGGTTAAAATGAGGAGTTTGAGGAAGACATCGGATTCTGCTTGTGTGATTTTCCCTCCTAAAGTTTTCAGAATATTGGAGGACCCATTGCATGAGTTTGTTGGTCACAGTGGAGATATCTTGGACTTGTCATGGTCAAATGATAGTGTAAGTCCATATTTTCAAAGCAACAGCATTTCTATGATAGTCCTTGTTCAACCGGAATTTGTTATGCAGAATATGTAAATAAATTAATACTCTGCTTGTGTTTTGGTGCGCTGTGCAGCATTTACTGTCGGCTTCAGTTGACAAAACTGTTCGTCTATGGCAAGTAGGATGCAATCGATGCCTTGGGATCTACTCACATAGCAACTACGGTAATGTTTCTTTGTTATCTTTTACTTTCTTTTTCTAGATACATTGTCATAATCATCACTTATTTATCGTGCTTTTTGTTCCAACTCTTTGTGGTGCAGTTACTTGTGTTCAGTTTAATCCTGGGGATGATAATTACTTCATGAGTGGTTCCATAGATGGGAAAGTTCGGATTTGGGCAATTTCTGGTTGCCAAGTTGTTGACTGGGTCGACATTAAAGAAATAGTTACAGCAGCTTGTTATCGTCCAGATGGGCAGGTTCCTTGATTTTCTTTTCTTGCCCTTTTTCTGGCCATGTAGTCTTTGGCATAACAGTTTTCTGATTCAAGTTTTCCCCCTTTCCTCATTATGCAGGGATTGATTGTTGGCTCAATGACAGGCACTTGCCGCTTGTATAATAGGACTGGTGTGTTCTCGTATCTAATTTGTAATTCCTCCATAATTTCAGATTCAACTTCTAATGGTGTGTAGAAGTAAGCTGTACATGCAGATTTTTGACAAAGGTTTCTGCTTTTCGATACCTCAGACAATCGCTTGCAATTGGATGCACAAGTGTGCTTAAACACCAAAAAGAAGTCACCTGGAAAAAGAATAACTGCCTTCCAGGTAATCATTAGCCACCTTACTAAGTGTATTCTTCGAGCTTAATGCATATCCTTCTCTAACCTTCTCTAACCTTTTACTTGGAATGTATGCTTTCACCTTCAGTATTCCCCACAAGACTCGGACAAGGTAATGGTGAGCTGTGCCGATTCACAAGTCAGGATACTGAAAGGGCTCAATGTGATTGCCAAATACAAAGGTATGTAGATCTCCATTCCTTACCCAACTCTTCAATAAAAAATTTGATGTCACATATATCAATTTTCGTCCTTTTTCTCTGTTTATAGGCTTGAGGAACACTGCGAATCATGTATCGGCACGGTTTACTTCAGACGGAAAGAATATAATATCAGCTTGTGAGGATGCCAATGTTTATATGTGGGATAGTTTTGGCTTGGAAGACTCATTCTGCCCAAATGGTAAAAACATCAAGTCTTGTGAGCGGTTCTCTGCTGATGCATCGGTTGCACTGCCTTGGTCTGGTTTCAAGAAGTCTTGGAACTCGGAAAATGGAGAATCTCTGCCTTTTTCTTCGCCTGCAAGTTTCAATCTGGGTCAAGAATACTACCTCGAGTCCTATCCCAAAGGTTCAGCAACCTGGCCAGAGGAAAAGCTTCCAAGATCAAGCCCTTCATCAGCCACGCCATTAGCATCGATGCATAAATCCCAGTACAAGTTTCTGAAAGCTTCATGCCAGAGCACTGCTGGCTCTCATGCATGGGGTCTTGTCATTGTGACTGCAGGGTGGGATGGCAGGATTCGATCTTACCACAGTTACGGCCTGCCAGTTCCAACCTGAGATTGTTCTTGGTTTTCCGGAGGATCAACCTGGTGTTCACTGTCTCAGGCGTGGATGCATTATGCTCGAATCTCGATGCTCAGCTGGGCCCATGTCTGATGAACGCTTAGGCATGACAAGTGGTGGGGTATGGTTGGCTACAAACATAGACCTACTTGGGAATGGATTTTTCTCATTCGTCAACTAATGGAAAGATATGCAGAGGTCATGTCTCAAGAAGAGGAGAGGCCAGTATTAGATACATTATTCTTCTTTATCCATATTGGAGGCAGGTCGTGGGTCAGCCACTTCACAACAAGATGAGGGGTACCAAAACCTGGTGGCTGGAGTTCGTTTTAGGGGCAGGAAATGGTGGGGGTTAGGGAGCTTCACACCATTACAACATATATTGGCGGTTCTGATATGAATGATTGAATTGCTCTTGTCTGCCATTTCTTGCTTTCAAGGTAGGGTATATGCTTCACCTGACCGGTGGGGGCATCAATTTTGAGACGTCAGCATCTACTTGACTTCTTATCGGAAGTTCATCGAAGGTGGCTGCCAGCATCTACTCATAACTCATATATCCAAACCATCGATGGAAGTCCAGCTGCAGTCGAACCAGTATCAAATTTTTTGAATGTTGCTTTCAACAGAGTTGATGATCTCTGTATGTGTTTATTTTCCTCCCTCTTTTTGCAGTTACTGCTCTTGCTCACAGGATTTTTGTACATGTATCTTTGTATTCTTAAGCTTATTCTAAACCCCCTCCCCTTTCATTCGTCTTGGATTATGTCCATCCTGTTTTCTGGAGAAAGTATGAAGAGATGAAATTCATGCCTGAACATGTAGTTCTGGGCAGCAGATGTTTTTAAAGGTTTGTCCTTTGGTGTAAATTGTAAATGTTATGGAAAGGAGAAGAAAAGGAAAAAAAAAAAAAAAAAAGAGTTGTGATCACCATTTTGGCTATGTACACTCTTCTGTCCTGTGTTGTGGTTGGATTCTTTAACTTGTAACTATCCTGGGAAAGTTTCCAGTATCTGGTTCATCAAGTTTCCAGCTTTCTAGTTACTGTATTTTGTAGTTTTGTCATTTACACCAAAATCAGGTACCTCATGGATTTTCTCTCCAGAAAGTACCTCCTGCAACTTTCTGCTGACAGAGTGTCACTAAATATGCTGTCCACAGATTCCTTTCCAGAAAATAATAGAGGATGGGGTGAATTGTCATCATTGAAAGATTTAAGAGTTTAGAAAGGACACTTTCTTTCTCAGGCTTTCAGAATGAGGGATAGCCTAAAAACTCAGCAGACTAACAAATGATACCATTCCATTCCAATCCAAGCTTTGGTATCCCTCCACCACCAGCTCAGCTTAGGAAAGAGATAAAGAAAGATACAATATATAATTAGTGGAAGAGGAGGATCAAAGTCAGTGATAAAAGAACAACTCACAGGGGAGAAATAGGAAAAAGAACCAATGCCCAGAATCCACAGAAGAGGTCTTTTAGGCTTTTACAGACAAGACAGGACATGAGTTGAATGAATGATGCCCAACTTTGAAACTATTTTTTCACCTTGGGGGTCAAAAGTAAAAAAGTGAAATTTATATACTTAACCTTCTCCGTCCACACCCATATTTCTTTTCATCCATGAGAGAAAAAAAGCGTCTGCAACGAAACTTTTCTTAAATGAGTTTAGCATCTATCTGAACAATCTTAACTATGATCGATATAAAACATTGCTCGAATAGTTTGTTGGTTGGTTTTATGATACCCTTTTAGAACGTACATCTTGATTCGAGTTTCGAACATTCGCGTTGATGATTCTACATACATAACTGCGATATGAACCCACGTTATTAAACATTTTCCTTCTTACTTAAAAGGCAATGCAACATTTCCCAATTATTGTTATCATTAAGGCAAAGTTAAAAAGCGATTTAATCAAGTACTTAGTTGAAAGTAAGTATGTGAGTGATGCCGGCGGTTCCTAGATTAGGAGACAAAGGGAGGCTACGTGATTGGTAAATTGGGGACAAAACCAAAGAATCATTGTACTTGTTGTCACCTTAAATGATAAAAACAAACAATTATAAGCTTACTTATTACATAAAGACGAATTGGCAGTTGTATTGTAATGATTCCATGTTACATACTTACAAACACAAGCAAGAACGCTTTTTTGTGTTATTTGACAATTGTCAACAACCTGGCCGCCTTCCTCATCAACTTGCTTCTTGGTTTTAATCTTCAAAATTTCACATATAAATAATAATAATAATAATATTAAGAGATGATATCTATGCCGTGCCCGAAACATTGACAAAAACCACTCTCCCTATCGAAAACTACTCGAAATAGACTTCGATTTCTTGGTTATCTTAATTATCGATTAACCGAACCATTTTTAAAACCAAAAACCATTTTGTCCAACCTCCAATAACCGACCGAAGTTCGGTTACTTCGGTTACCGGTTCATCATCCAAGTTTCTTCGTAAGAACCGACAGCATTCCGGCAGGCGGCCTGCTCGGCATCTGCTAGTCCAATAAACAAGAGGCCCAAGCCCATTTTCTTTATTCAAATTTTTTTTCTGTAAAAGCCTTAAGAGGGTGGTGGACTGTTCCGAGGCAGGCCCATATGAAAACCGTACCTTCGGCCCCAAAGGCCCAAGCCCATTTTCCTAATTTCTTGGCCCAAGCCAAAGTCAGAGGTCAACTCTCTCGTATTAATCCTTTGCCGCCACCGGCGGCAACCACAACTTTTCTTCTTGCAACAGTCTGGTAGCTCTCATCGTTACCGGTTTTTGATGCTGTGGATTTGATTTAATAAGCAGGTCAACCATTTCCCTTCCATAAAGAAATGAAATGAGGCCTTGTAGGCCACGGAAATCGCTTCCCGGAAATCTCCATATAGAGATTCCTTCCTCCATAGCTTGGAACTCAGAACCTTCTCCTCCTCTGTTCTTTGGCTCACAAAAATGTCGGGTATCGACAGTAGAAGTGCCTGGCTTCATGATCGCCGGAGAAATCCCGGCATTGATCAACCCAGTAGTCGAGGCAAAAAGTACAAGAGCAAGAAAGCCGTAGCGGATCGCTCTCAATTACTAGTTGCAGCGGCGGTAGCAGCAGCTGGGTATCCAATCAGGTGGAACGACCTTCCCCTGAAGCTCGCGATCAATCTAGTGTCGAGTAATGGCACGCGACTGGAAAATGTCTCTCCCGGTGGCGTCACCAAATCATGGCGGTCACAAAAACAAACAAATAAATGCAAGTCCAGTCCTCCTCCGGCCACTCTGCCACAACTTCAGCTATTCACCCCTGAAACCTCCGGTACCGTTCCGGTCTCTGTTTATTCTTCCTTATTTTCTACCGGAAATCGGTGGCTGACCAGGAAAGACGGCCCCTTTCATCGATGCAAGCCCCAACTAGTCGGATTTTCCATCGAAATGGCACGGGCTACAGGGAGAATCCCCGATCGCCTTCGCTATTATCTGATAAATCTAGAGGATGTTAATTCGTATTGGGGATGTCTCCCTTGCTGGAACTGGGCTGCCGACGATGACTCACATCGCCCAATCCATAGAAGCACAATCGAGGATGCGGTGGTGATTGTCCTGACTGGGTTGTCCCTCCCTGCTTTCGCCTGTTTTCGGTCGGATGAACAATTGCGAAATTTCGCCTGGAAGAAGCACGATTCACCAATTAACGACCCAAATGGATCGGGGGCCGATCGGTTTGTGACGCTGTGCAGCGGGATTTGGTTGAGAGGGAAGTTGTATGCTCTGAGTCTGCAGGGGACTCTGGTTGTCATCGAACAAGAGCGCGGCAGCTTCTCTTCCACTTCGCAGAATCGCGGCTTCAGAGTCGGTTCCATGGGCGAGCAGAGGATGGTTCCTGGTGTTCCGTGCAAGCATTTCCGTGAAATCCTGGTGGAATCGGAAGGAGAGATTCTGCTGGTATTTCTCATCTTCAGGAAATCTGTGGAATCTGTGGATGGGGTGGAAGTGCGCCGCCTTGATACCCGGAAGCTGGAATGGGTTCGCCTGCACGACTTGGGAAGCAGAGTGCTGTTCTTCGGGACCAATTGCTGCGTTAGTGTACCCGCCGGTGAAGCAGAAGAATTGGGTTGCCGCCGGAGAAATTGTGTTTATTTCAAGAACACTTGCTCGGGGACCTGGTCCCAATATGATATGGAAATGGGCACGATCAATCGCGTTACTGGCCTGCAAGATTGATCGGATTCTGTAGTTTGATAGAAAGTCGACCAGACTGAGAGTTCTTGGTGTAATTTTCCTTTAACCTGCACAAATAAATACATCTATGGTCGTCGCAATAGATGTCTTGTTGAGTAATTTTATATCCGATCGAGTTGCTGTTTCATTATGAACAATGATTAGATGAGTTGTAATTGTTGAACAAATCAAAACCACTAACTCTGATGAACACCAATTCCCAGTTGAACAAACAGAGCCAAACAGTACAATTGATGAACACCCAAAAAGTAAAGAAACAGAGCAAGGATCAAATCCCCCCAATAGAAGTAGTACTTACTCACTTCCTTCCTACAACAATAACCAAGGCGAAAGACAAATCAACGACGAAGGATCCCGTCTCCTTATCTCCTCTCAGGCACGAAGAGAAACGACCGGATCGGCGGCGGAGAAGATGGGGGCGGAGGAGGAATTGGACTTGGAGATGGAGTTGGAGAACATGAGGGGACGATCTTGAGCTTCCAAGGCGTCGTCAGCGTCGTCGGAGGTGGAGAGATTGATGCAGGAACAACGCTCCAAGGACGCGAAGAAAGCTGATGCCATGCTCGAACCTACGCATTTCAGCTTCTCGTACGACCAGCAACCAGATGCTCTGCCGCCGCCGCCGTCCTCCATATCGCCGGAGAGCTTCCTCTTCCCCTGCCCTTTGGTTTTTCTACCGACGGGGAGCAAGAGAGCCAGGCTGAAGAACTCCAAGAAAGGGATCGGAGAAAAAGCGAAAAGGAAACAGAGAGGAGAATTGGTGTGGGTGGAAAAAGACGGCAAAGTGGATCAATGGTTACTCCACGCTCTGAACATCATGAGCAATAAGGAATTCAATTATTTCTTCCTTTACAACAAAGGAAAGGCACCGCCTTGGAGATAACGCTTTGAATTAAGCTTTGGTATATAAAAAATGGTAAGAAGAAAAGAATACGAGATCCCATGTTGTGGAAGCAAACATAGAGGACGGTCTAATTTTCAGCCGGCCAAGTTAGGTAGAACCATCGGTCAACTAGATCAACAGTGATCCCATGTCCCTTTCAGTCGAAAATCTCTGTATAAGTCTAAAAGATTGAGTCTTTAGTATAAAGAATTCAATAGGCAAAATCTAGATCAGTTTGATTTATTCATACGATAACCCATACCCGATTTACATCCTTTCCGAATGCAAACACACAGTGAAAACTGAAAAGTCATAACACCACCAAGGCACCAACCATATCTCTACGACTAACGAGCTATAGTAACCGTCTCCATAACAAACACAAACTCTAAACAAACCAAGGGAGACGGCGCCGGTCCTTCAGATCTTGACGGCGGAGCCAAACACCAGTGCCACGACGACGGCAGCAGCAGCCAACGCTACGGCGGGAGAGGCAGAGGTGGCGGCAGAGGTGGGTCCGGGAGCTGGAGCAGGGGAAACAGGGGACTCTGCCGCCTGAGCGACGGCGGCGAGAATCAGCGCCAGAGTGGCAGCGAGCAGTAGGGTCTTGGAGGGAGCCATTGCTGGAGCTGGAAATCGAGATCGAGATTGCTTTAGGGTTTTTCTTCTTCTTTTGAAGATCTGGAGAGGGGAAGTGAGGGCAGAGTGATGAGAAGAATTGGGAGGAGAGTGGAGAGTCAGGGAGAAAACTCTGTTTATATATTTAGCGTGAACGCAAAGCTGGAAGGGAAAAAGGAATTAATTGGACAGAGGACGACTGTATGGTCCGGTCAAAAGGGAGTCGTCTGTGCAGCTGACAGTCAGTCAGTCAGTCAAGTCTACATGCCATGTTGGAAGAAGCCATTTTTGGTGTCTAATTGATTCTATTGAGATAGGCACGTATAATCACATTGGATAATCGCTTATGCATTGTTTGAGTTTACGCTATAATCATTTGAGTGCGAATTGAACGAGTGAGGTAAAATAAGTACGATAACTATAGTAAAACTCTTTATGGAATGATTTGAAGGTTACGTCGTGCAACGATTAACGATGTTTCATTCCGCGTGACAGTCGAATTCGGTGCACGATGGGAGGGGAAGGAGGTTTTCTTTTTCTTAGCAAAGAAGCAAGAGATAAGAAAGGAGGAGGAGCTTAAAGCAGTGAGCTTTCTCATTGAATAATAACAATAACTTGGCGATGATTATGCCACTTGTGAGGGTTTGTCGCTTCATTTGCTGGAGAAAAGATGTTAGAAAAATTGGCGCTTCTTCATCCCATCCGGCATTGAAAGGAAGTGTGTAATGATGGTTAATACGTTTCAACTCAATTGTTACAGTCAGTTGGCGGTAAATGCTAAATATGCTATGGAGCAGTGAATAACAGAATTTGTAAGGTTGTGGTGTTTAATTGTTGTGGCCATGACCGCGGGAAAATGAAACGCGCGTCGTAGCATCTTCTGAGTGGATAACGAATCAAACTTCAACTGGAAGAATGGACAGCGACAGCGAGCGATCGCTCCAGGAGCTTCAAAGATAAACCTCTCACCACGCTCGAGACTAATGGCGACTCTTTCCCTTTCGCTTCCGCTCACTCGACTCTTTCCCTAAACGGCAGCTCCTGGCGCTTCATCACTACCCTAGCGCCAAATTCACTTGCTGCTGCTCTTCTTCTTCTTCTGGTACGTACCCAAAACAATTTGGCCGACACCAGACAACCATCTCTTTGTTGGAATCGAAGTTAAAGATTTGATCTTTGCAGGGAACCATGGAGTGGGCTCGAGGACGGGAGAAAGCCCTAGGCTTTTTGGGTTGAAAGAAGCGAATGGTGTGGCTTGTGGGATTCTTGCTGCTTTGGCTGTCACTGCTGCTGTTGCCTCTCCTGTAATTGCTGCAACTCAGGTTGCTTCTCTGATTCCTCATCTCTGAACCATATTGCCCACTTTACATTACTGGTCTTTCCAACTTAGCAATTGAGTTGAGAGCCCCAATTTTGCCTTTTTCTTGATAGCATAAATCAAAAAGCTCTTTAGACGAATTCAGTGGGTTTACTTGCTGCATTGTTGAACTGGGTTAAATGATGACGCCAGTGCTTTTGTTTGAGCAGTTGCTCTTGTTGATTTATGGTTTTATGCTTTGACAAGCAAAGGGTGGGAGAGTAGAGATTGAATGGTTGTTGAGTTGAGGAAGAGGAATGATTGGGAACTCCTAAGAAATGATGTTGCCAACAGTGGGGAAGAGGGGTTACAACTTACAACCTTTCCTCCAGTGTTACTGCTTTCTTAGTTAGTTGCTGTCATTGTCCTACAATGGTGTATCGATTCAAGTACCTTGTTTTGAGGCCGGGTCCTGGTTGTATGACTGAGGAATGAGGATCCTGCTTTTGTAGTTTGTTTTCACGCCGTCACTGCAATGTGTTGTGTAGAGGCTACCCCCATTGTCAACGGAACCAAATCGATGTGAGAAGGCCTATGTTGGGAACACAATCGGTCAAGCAAACGGTGTTTATGACAAGCCGATCGATCTTAGGTTCTGTGATTACAGTAATGACAAGTCCAATCTTAAAGGGAAATCACTTGCTGCAGCCCTAATGTCGGGTGCCAAGTTTGATGGTGCGGATATGACAGAAGTGGTCATGTCCAAGGCTTATGCTGTTGGAGCTAGCTTCCAAGGTAAAAGCTTTGCTGCACTTATAGAGTTATGGTAGCGTGATCTTGGCAAGCAATTAGGATTCTGCATTGTATTGATAGCGGATTATATGTCAGAACAAGGTTGCGACTATGTGATTGATCTTCTTCATGTTGCAGGTGTGGAATTCTCGAACGCAGTTCTGGATCGTGTGAACTTTGGTAAGGCCAACCTGAAAGGGGCCATTTTCAGGAACACGGTGCTATCGGGTTCCACGTTCGAGGAAGCTGAACTGGCCGACGCTGTGTTTGAGGACACCATCATAGGTTACATTGACCTACAGAAGCTCTGTACAAACACTTCGATTACTCCGGATGGGAGGCTGGAATTGGGATGTCGATGAAACTTGCTCTTTTTCTACCCTCTTGACATTGTTTATTGCTGTCTGCCTGTCTCTATGTATTCAAGAGTACATGTGAGTTCCTGGATCCAGGCTTTGGCAGTCACACCTGGCTGGTACCATATTTCTTAGGCATCTATTGTATATGGAAGTTACTGATTCATTGTGCGTTATATTTTAATGATTAATTCCATTGTTCATCTTCATTAACTAGTTCCAAACGAAATGAACATAAATGGCGCATCTAGTGTAGTGGTATCATAGTACCCTCCCACGGTACTGACCGGGGTTCGATTCCCCGGATGCGCAATTTTTCATTTGATTTGTTTTGGTTACTATGGCTTTCCTCTCAATGTAAGAAGTTGTTAATTATCTTCCTTAGCTATGTCTAGTAGTCCTAAGTTTTTTCTTTTCTTTTGGTTAGTTTGACTTTCCTCTCAAAGTTGTTAATTTGTTTTCTTAACTATGATCAATTAAATGGGTCGCAATTGAGTAACATTTGACATTAATCATTCAGTTCAACATCGTTAGGTTTGCTATAAGATCAATAACTCGTTTTATTATCCAGTTCTGGAATTGAAATACCAGGTACATAATGTTTGCCCTCAATTAGACGATAATGGCGAGATTACTATTCTGTCAATCGTTGTAAACATTGTTTCACGATAGTATGGATGAGTTCAGGATTGGATTTTCGAAATTCGTTGGGTAAGATACAGTTGAAATCAGTCGTCCATACTCATTAAACATTGTCTGTATAACTCTTTTGGCATTTAGTTTTGGAATCGACAAGCCAATTACGATAATTTATACTTTATAAATCGATCGATAATGATGAATTACTACTGTGCTAGTCATTGTAAACATATTTTCACGGTAGTATGAACTATAATTTTGGAAATTCATCATCTTTGAGAAGATACAGCTAAAATCGAATCATCCATGCCTGAGCCGAACATTGTCTATACTCTTTCTAGTGTAAATTTTGGAATAAAACAAGCCAATTAATTTGTCACATAAAAGTTGATGTAGTTGGTCAGTACAAAACTTTACAAGCGGCCGCGGACGCCACCGGAGCCGTCGTCGTCGTCCCCCTCTCCACCTCAACGATCATCCTCCGATTTGCTTGGAGAAGTAGTTGGATCCGACGGTCTGTATCAAGCTCAGCACATATAGTTATGACGGAAAAAAAGTGATCGAAGAACCAGTTGAAGATGAATCACTGTTACTACTCGGATCTGTGGTTGGTAGCGGCCGTAAGAAGTCCAGCAACCACACAAACGCACCAACCTCTCCCAGCCGGAAGTAGGTTTAGGATCTTGACAGTTACGTATTCACGCACCAACCCTCCTCCTCATCTCTCAGCCGTGAAGGTACAGTTGAAAGGAGTGGAAGGAAGGTCTACCACGTCATTGTGTTTTTCGCCCATCATCGATCATCCTCCTGCTTCTCTCTCTGTCTTGGCAGCAGTACTCCATGGCAAGTATATATATAGAGAGCAAAGGAACCCGGTGGAGAGACAAGCTGCGACAAGGAAAGAACAAAGAAGATAGGTTTGAGTTAGACGAATGCTGCCATCATTGCCTCTTGGTAAAAGTTTCTTGCTCAAATGAGTGTTCCAAAGCAACAGATGAGCAGAGGCTAGTGTTTTTCTGTTGGCCTGGACGCTCACTTGAGCAAGCAATGTTTACACAAGAGGTGCAAACCCAGCTTTCTGCAGTATCGGCTATGAGCTGATATCATGGCTCTCCTCTTTCCCTTTTCTTCCAACTGCTCTCTCTAACACGGTTAACTTGAGATTGAGGTTTTTGCAGAAGGAAGGCATAATTAGGACTATTCTTTTCCCTCCTCCTCTCTCTCTCGCTTAGATTGCTGCTCTGCAAAGAAAAATCCCTCTGTCAGACTGCTAGTGATGATAACTTGTCCGCCAGGTAAAGAAAAGGACTATTCTTTTCCCTCCTGTTGCATGCCAGTCTCTTTTCTTCATCTTCTTCTTCCTCCCTCCTCTCTCCCGCCAACATATTCAATCTCGAATCCACACTGCTACTGCACCACCGCTCTCCCCCAATTATTAAATTCTTAGACGCACAGCATTTCCATGTTCAGAAAGATCGATCAACCAAGTAAAGCATCTCTCTAATTACATCTTAAAACTGAAGCAATCCCCAAAGCTTCATCCATGGCAGCTGTTCATCGTTTCCTACAACAACCCACCTCCACTGCTCGACAACCATGGCAATGGCCGCCTCCTCGTCTCCTCATCATGCCACAATCGCTCTCATCACTCTCCTCTTTATCCTCGTCTCCGCTGCCACCACCAACGGAAGCATCGGAGTGAACTACGGCACGTTGGCCGACGACCTGCCTCCGCCAGGGGATGTAGCCAGGTTTCTTCTACAGTCCACGGTGATTAACAGGGTCCGGATATTCGACCCGAACCCGGAGATAATCCAGGCCTTCGCTCACACGGGCATCCAAATCACAGTCACCGTACCCAACGACCAGATCCCTCGCCTCGCCAACCTCTCCTTCGCCCAGCAATGGATCAAATCCTACATCCAGCCTTACTTCCCGGCGACCAACCTCGTCCGGATCCTCGTCGGCAACGAGGTTCTGTCCACGGGCAACAGATTGCTCATCGGAACCCTCGTCCGGGCGATGCAGACGCTCCACGCCGCGCTCGCCGGAGCGTCCCTGGACCGCCGGATACAGATCTCGACCCCTCACTCGCTCGGGATCCTCTCCGCTTCGACCCCTCCGTCAGCCGGAAAATTCCACGGCGGGTACGACGTCCACATCCTAAAACCTCTACTCGGCTTCCTCAGATCTACGAATTCCCCCTTCTTGATCAACCCTTACCCGTTCTTCGGCTGCTCGGAGGAGACTCTCGATTACGCCCTGTTTCGGCCGAATCTAGGGTTTCTGGATCCGAACACGAGGATTCGGTACACCAACATGCTCGACGCCCAGCTCGACGCCGTCTTCTCGGCGATGAAATTGCTCGGATTCGGCGACCTGGAGATCGCGATTGGAGAGACCGGGTGGCCGTCGAAGGGCGAACCGTCGCAGATCGGGGCCGGGGCGGAGAACGCGGCTCAGTACAACCGGAATCTGATGCGGCACGTCAATTCAGGGGATGGGACGCCATTGATGCCCAATCGGACCTTCGAGACCTACATTTTCTCTCTGTTCAACGAGGATCTGAAACCTGGCCCAACCTGCGAGCGAAACTTCGGCCTGTTCGGCCCGGATCTGACTCCGGCGTACGACGTCGGCATCCTCCGTCCCACGGTATCCACCGCCGCCGCCGCCCTGCAGTACTGCAATGCTGCTGCATTACTATCCAGTTCGGTCGCGATTCTTCTACTAACGATGGGAAACTGATTATTACAGGCGAGATCCTCGGTACCAACGGCGAATCCTTCGCCGGCGGAGCCCGACGGAGGAGGGGAAAGGAAGGGGGCGGGAAAGTGGTGTGTGGCGAAAGAAGGGGCGGAGGTGGACTCGCTACAGAGGAATATCGACTACGTTTGTGGGGCCTTGGTTGGGCTTGGGCCTGGGTGCGGGCCCATTCAAGAAGGCGGGGAGTGCTTTTTCCCGGACACGGTGCGGGCCCACGCAGCGTTCGCCATGAATGCGTTTTATCAGGCCATGGGGAGGAACGACTACGACTGTGATTTCCGGCGAACCGGTGTCATCACCGCCGTCGATCCAAGTCTGTTGCTTTTACAGCTTCTTTTTTTATTCGTTTTGTTTTTACGTTTTGACTTGTGATGATGGTGGTGGACGGTGGTGCAATTTTGCAGGCTATGGAAACTGCAAGTATGGGCATTAACGCCGGAGATTTCACAAGCCACGGCGCCGATCTACGGCATGCCATCACATCGGATCATTGTTCATATTCACGCATTTTAAGTTCTCTACACCGTATATTCACAAGAGCAGCGAATAGATACATGGTGTGCATGCAATTGTGCTAGAATGTTACTGTTAGTTAGGATAGTTTTCCTTTTGTATTTTCAGCTATTAGATTAAATTACGACAAAAAAAATGTTTGAGTACCGTGAAACGGTGTTAACAACGTGTTGATTATCTTGTATATCGACATACATAATACTCATAATTGTATGACATGGAAGGATAGCATATTTCAAATTCTCTGTGAATAAATTTTAGCTCCTCATTCGAAATTCAGGATTCATGCACTCATGAATCCTCAATTTAGGGCTGGGAAACGGTGCGGTCTGGTCCAGACCAGACCATCTATACGGTCTATGGTCCAGACCGAGAGGCTAAAGTATACACCACAAACCAGACCATAGACTATACGGTTCGGTCCAGACCACGCCTGTGCAGTCTGGTTCGGTTTGGTCTGATCCAGATAGACCACACTCAACGAAAAATGAATAATTTGTTTAGTCAACCACACAAAAAATTGAACCAATAACCAGGAAAAATAATTGTTATTTGCCTTAAATCATTGATCCTAACATGCATGAATAATTTTGATACTCTAAATCTTAGTACATACCACAGATATAAAGTAAAAGCATCCCAACTTGCACCATAACGTCATAAACATTAACATAATGTCATATGGAGACACGATTATCTCTACTCTCTAGTTAAATGTGGTTGTGAATTAAGGAGGAACGAGATTTACAAAACTAAGGTTGAGACTTGAGTGTAGTTGTGGGAGTTGGGAGAGTGGTCGAATGGGCTGTTAACACGTATTTACAAGTCAGTTGGGTCCACGGTTTGGTCCGGTAAACCGCGGTCTAGACCAGACCAGACCAAGAGATCAAAACATAAACTAGTACAGACCATGGACCAGACCAAACCATACTTAACGATCTACAGTCCGGACCAAACTGTACGGTACGATTTGGACCACGATTTTTCTAACGGTCTGATCTATTTTCCTAACCCTACCTCAATTACCTCAAATCTCTAGACTCTAGAGAATGATTACATTATTTTAACAAAATTACATTTATTATCAAATTATACGCGCTAAACCAACAAACGAGCCCAAAACGAGGAAAAGGATGGTTCTGCACTAAAGATAGGCCCATTCTGCAGGCCCGCATCACATTTGATAGCCACGTGGGCGAGTTTACCATTACGCACGCCCACAGCCGTCAAACGAAAAATCGTCATATTCATTATTCACCGTTCCCGGATCCACCGGGATATCACTCCACTCTGTTTCTCCGGCCACCGCGGCCTTTCCCTCTTCAATCCGAATCTCTGATTCTTCCACCTTTTTTCCACTTCTCTGATTCCCTCCGTTTATTCGTGTTTCTGGGTTTCTCAATTCGGCCGTGAATTTCCCCCCTTCTTTCTTTCCTTCTTCAACATGACTGATTGGCAAACATTACTGCAATCCATCTTACTGGCCCTCATCTTCTCTTACCTCGTCGCGAAGCTCATCTCCATCGTGGTCTCCTTCAGAGATGACAACCTCACGATTACGCGCAATCCCTCCCCGGCGGAATCCAGTCGACAGTACCAGCAACTGAAATCCCGCGATGAAATTCGTGGCTCTAGGGGTTTTCCCGGCGGTGTTAACGAGACCGATTCGGTCGCTGCCGAGCTGGGTAGCGTCAGGAACGAGAGCGTGGCCGGAATTGGTGACGACGACAGCGTGGATACCGATGACGACGACGATTGGGAAGGCGTGGAGAGCACCGAGTTGGACGAGACGTTCAGTGCGGCGACGGCATTTGTTGCGGCGGCTGCTTCTGACCGGCTGTCGCAGAAGGTGCCGGCGGATGTTCAGTTGCAGCTTTATGGGCTGTATAAGATCGCCACCGAAGGACCTTGCACTGTTCCGCCTCCTTCTGCTCTCAAGATGACGGCTCGCGCTAAGTGGTATTCATCAAGATCCTGTCTTTGAACTCAAGTTTCCTTTTTCAGTCCTCTTCGATTAGTTGAGTTGACACTGAAGATCGTTTAGGCTATTGGATTGAAAAAAAACATATTGGCCAGGCGTATCTTGAGACGATTGAAACGAAGGGAGCTGTTCTTTTGATTGAATGCCTCCTGCAGCAATAAGAGATGTTGCTAAGAGCTCTGGCCAAATGCAATTGATTAGGAGACATCTTATGCTTGTCCCGGTTTAGTTGTTGATATACTTAGTTGATTGCTGTTGGTAATTCTTGTCAGGGGAGCGTGGCAGAAATTGGGTTCTATGCCACCAGAAGAGGCGATGGAAAAATACATTGAGATTGTTTCACAGCTTTATCCTACTTGGGATGCTGGTTCATCTGGGGTAAGGGATCAGCCTTCTCTGGTAAAATTTTTCATTCTTCGTTTATGTGGACCTGACTAAATGCTAGTTTGTTTCTCTCTCGATGTTTGCCAGAAAACTAGGGCCAGAGATCGAGATGGACGGAGTTCTGATTCCAAAGGACCCATGGGACCAGTTTTCAGTACCTTCGTTTATGAGGAGGAGTCTGGGAATGAGTTGTAGGTTTTCTGATTCTTGATGCAATTAAGGTCAAGTTTGAATTTCATGAAAGTTTAAATCTTTGAATAACAGTTTCTTACGAGGAACTCTATGGTGGTCTTTGGGACCTTTGTGCTAGTTGAAGTGTGTACTTATGTACATTGTTCTCCATAATAACTTAATACGAAAATGTCCATAATTCCTTAGAATGTGCAGGAGTTTTGCCAACATTTTATATCTCCAGCCATGCTATCTTGTTAGCAGATGGTTTGTGTGAGTGCAAGACAGCTTATTAATCTTTTTATGAATATCCAAGATAGCTTTAGTCAATGCTGCGTGGCAAGCTCCAAATTCGACATTTGCTTGTGAGGGCGCCATTAGCATTTGTTATCATATGGGTGGGTATGGTGCGAGACATGCTTGTGTCTTCGTGTTCTCCGGATTGGGGTCATGTGGAGCGCTTTGCCACTGATCTCTGATTTGAAAAGATATAGCATAGCAAATTACACAAGCTTCAAGATATGACATGGTTTTGAACAGTTGTGGAGAGATGCTTAGTTGTGGATGTAAGACATCTGTTACTTCAGAAAACTGAGAGGTTTTGACTTTCTTTCTCTTGTCTCAGAAAAATGGATGCTGTCCACGCATTTGCCAGAGAAGGAGATGCAGATAGTTTGTTGAAATCTATTGACCATGACGTTTCTGTCAACTTGAAAGGTTCATTTCTGTCCTTGCTTCCTACTTCATCTTTCGCATAATCAGATTATACCTAGTGTTATGTTAACATGGACATCGAAGTTGTATCTCTAATTGCTTTAGAATCTTTAGTCAACTACTAATCACCATTGAGTGAGTTGACAGTAATCCCCAAAATTTTGTTGGAGAATCGTACCTAAACTGTGCATGGTGATCGATTCAGATAGTGAAGGGCGGACTCCTCTGCATTGGGCTGTGGATCGTGGTCACCTGAATATCGTGGAACTCCTCGTTGGACGAAATGCTGATATAAATGCAAAGGTAAAGTCAAATACTTGTTCTGATCCCTTTCCTCTCTCAACTCTTTGATCATGTTTCCAAGAATTCTGGTGTTCTGTTTGAATGATTTCGTTCTGCGAGAAAAGGCAGAGATCGAGTTTCTTCTTGTGCTGACAGTTGCTGACTTTGGTTATTTTTCGCGTTTGATAGGACAACGAAGGGCAAACTGCACTGCATTACGCTGTTGTCTGCGAGAGGGAAGGTATCGCTGAATTTCTAGTGAAGCGAGATGCCAACGTAGATGTAAAGGATAACGACGGCAAGTATGCCAGGGATTTATGTGAGTTGAATTGGTCTTGTCTCCAGACAGCAGGAGCACAAAAGAACGACTAACTAATGGTAGTTTTATAGCTAATCTTTAGTTATGCATATAGATAGCCTTCGAAACTTTAGCCTATGTCAGTGTTGGGATTTTGAAGGGTTAGAATGGAAATGAAATGGGAAAGATCCAAGAGAATTTTTTGAAGTACCATATTGATAAGTCGTGGCTGCGAATCCTGTCGATTTGATGTAATATGTTGGTAGTCAGTAATATTGGTTTGTGTAGCCAACCAAATCAAATCAAACTGAGTTGAACTGAATCGAATCGAACTGAATCGAATCGAACCGATATGGCGGTTGGAATAACCAAATCGGTCCAAATTTCATGGGCCGAACCTATACAATCACAATGGTTAAACTTTTAAATGAACCATTGCAAAGGTATGTGTTGTTTTTTCAATTCCTTCAAAAAGTGTAAATTGAACGCCCTACATGCCAATTATCTCATTAAATTGGCTTATTTACCAAAATAATAGCTAAACAAAAAACAAATTCCAGATATAGCCACCTCTTGAAACTATTTTCAAAACTAGTCACCTAGTGTGTTCTTGGGCGATCACTCTAGTTTCTACGCTACTTTGAGCAAATCAATTCCATATCAATCATGTATCTTTTCTTTTTCACAAAAAGGTACTCAAACTTGATAAAATAACTCTTCTTTAGTTTAAGACTCTGATACCAACTGATATGAAGTAATGTTTGGATATGATAAACAAATGTTGTGTGAACCACAAGGTATCTCTACCATACGAAGTATAATACCTAAAGAGCTACCATGACAAAAGATTTTGACCAAGCTAGCTGATAATAATTTTACTGAAGACCCACTAAAGTTATGGAGTTTAAATGGCATCACAGCCAAACTCGAATTAAAAGATCCGAACACAGTTATCAGAGCTAGAAATATAACATATACAACTCAAATGATTGAGGAATTTGACAAACAAATTCCTGAGTTACTAGAAAAAGGATTGATTCGTAAAAGTTTTAGTCCTCACTCTAGTCTCATGGTAATCAATCATGCAGAGCAGATACGAGGCAAAGCTCGTATGGTCATAGACTATCGTCAACTAAATAAATTTACCAGATGGATCCTGCTGCAAAGAACCCACTTTGCTGGACATGCAAGAAGACCGGACACACTCGGAAGAGTTGTCCTAACTGGACTACCAAAGCAAGAGAAAACAAGAAGCCACAGAAGCTCTGGCCTACAAAAGGCGAAAGAAAACAAATTTCCTGGTCCCCATGGGGACGAAACGAACAAAAAGGTTGGAGCATCAACACAATAATGATATTCATGAAGAAGTTTACAAGCAAAATAAGTCCATACAACAACTGTTCAAGGAGATATATGAAGCAGGACATAAAGCCGTGAGACTCCTCAGTAAAAAAATGGGGGAAGTTCGATCATTATATCCTTTATCAAGGATCTAAAGGTGTCACAGATACCTCCTAAAAATTCAAGTATTTTTCACAAGGAAAAAAGAGCAATAAATATAGAAAGAAAAAAAAATCAAGGCTGTTTTTGGCTTGTTTCACTTCCAACCGTTAATACCAAATACCTCCTAAATAATCTTTTTCCCTTTCCTCCATCTTTCACAAAGGGCACAAACCAACAATGGCTGAAGCAATTAGATTCCCCCGCCCCTTTTCCCTCCCTTTCCCAAATTCTGTCATTTCCATCATCGCCGCCGCGCTTGACCGCCGATCACCAATCACCGGGTGCCATCGTCGGATCCAGAACTTAGTAGAGCGCTGGACCGCGCGCATTTTATTGGAAAAATGGCAAGGGCGGTAGTAATAATCCTCTACGCCCTCCTAATCACCGGCGCCGTCGCTCTCCTCTTCTCTTCCATCCCTCCGCGGCAGCCGGCAGCAGCAGGTGTCCACCGCCGGCTCGGGTACAACAAGCTGCCGTCGTCCCCAAACTTCGACCCGCCGCTCTTGGAGAAGACACACCGGCCGGACGATGCAGTCACGTACTTCGGGGAGGAAGGGAGGTTCAACATAACGAAGAGGCTGGTGGCGCTGTTCCCGGCGGTGGACAAGTCGCCGGCGGATGGGAGGATCGGCTTCTCGGAGATGGCGGATTGGAACGTGGCACGCGGCAGCGATCGGTTGGCGTACAGGACGCAGAAGGAATTGCTGTCCCGTGATCGGGACGGCGACGGCGCCGTTAGCTTCAAGGAGTTCTTCCCCCAGTTTTCCAGCGTGGATTTGGGTAAAAAAGGATAGGGTAAAACTTACAAAATCTCATATTTTACCAGACGAAATTTAGTATGAAAATAGTTTTTTTGTTTTTGTTTTTGTTTACAGCAAATAATGAGATGGGTCATGGTCAAGCCGGATGGTGGATGGAGTTGTTCAAAATAGCGGATGTGAACGAGAATGGAATTCTTGACTTCCACGAATTCAACAAGTGAGCAATGTGTCTAGGATCATTATCTTTACATTTTCGTTTTATGATATGGATTTCGACGGTAAATCACCTATCGCGCTGTGATTGTAAACTCAATCATAACGGTAGGCAAGTCAAATCAGCGCATCTTAACAGAGATTTTTTACCTTATTTTTATATTGAAGAATGATAATTACTGGTTTTCATGATCTATATGCAGCTTCTTGCATCCAGAAGATAGCCATAACACAAGAATCAAGATATGGTTGCTCAAGGAAAAAATTAAGTGGGTTAATATTAATCAATTTCCCATATGGCCATATCTCTCTATTGATCATTTCATCTCTTTGACCATCAATATTTGACTAATAAATGAGATAATTTGGAGCAGGAGGATGGATGATGATGGTGATGAAAGGCTCGATTTCAACGAGTTTGTGACATACGCTTACAGCGCTTACAAGACTTACGTGGAGTTTGAGAAGATCAGGGTTCCTACTGCAGAAGAAAAGTTTGCAGATCTCGATGTCGACCATGATAAGTAAGTAGGCGTGTAAAATTAATTCGAAAAATAATCATTAACCCATTGATAATAATCATGGTTTATCTCAATTTCATCAAAAGATCTCTCGTCGTCGTAATAGAAACATGAACATTAATTTATTTTTTTCCTTCATTTCTCCATTGATTGATAATAATCAGCTTCTTGACTGTGGAGGAATTGCTGCCAATACTTCCATACCTGAAGCCTGGAGAGCTGACTTATGCCAAATCCTACGCCCATTATTTGATCGATGCGGTAATTAATTAATCTTTACTATTTATTATTTTCATATATACACGGGAATTATCAAACTAATAATTGTTGATTAATCTTGATTTCTTAATTAATTGTGGGTTAATTGGCAGGCTGATGATGATGGAGATGATCATTTGACATTGCAAGAAATGCTTAACCATGAAACTATATTTTACACCGCCATTTATGATAGTGTTTATGAGAGTGATTATCATGATGAACTCTAAAATTAATTCCAGTCTGTTCAATCTCTCTCTATTTCTTCCTTTGTATAAAACTTTTACTTTGTAACATAGTTTTGGGTTAGAGGGTACATATTGCTACTTTCACAAATTCACTCATTTTTTTTTTTCTTGTTATACAATCGAAAATATACATCCAAAATCAAATGAATCTAATGATCAAGAGATAACAATTATAAATTTAATTGTATCATCTACACCGAGATAAAAAATTATGTCGTAATTAGCCCGCCATGTATACTCAGACCCTCTTATCGTTTGGCTCGGTTTCTAATTGACTCACGTCCTTCTCAGTTTTTGTTATTCGACAGATAAACATATTGTATTTTATCATCTCTATTCTTGGATATCTATGAAAAAAAAAAATCAGTTATTCGCATTTCATAATAAACTAAAAAAAAATCATAAGTTCACAAAAAATCAACTAAAAAAACGTAAAGTAATAATTTTGGTACGAAGGAAAATCTGACCGTTAAATCAGTTAGAGATGAAGCTTTTGGTTCTCCTTGATCCTCTTATCCATCTCTCAACCGGAATTCACCACTACCCTCTTCCTCTCTCTCTCTCTCTCTCTCTCTCTGCTTATCCGATGTACCACTGAGCCAACTCGTCTCTCACTGACTCGACTGGTCCGACGCACCCAATCATGGCACTGTTCGGGCCACAGCATCTGGAGCGATTTGTCCTCACCAAGCAGCTCGGCTACTGCTGCACCGCCAGCTCCGGCGGCGGCAGTTTCTCCATACCCACATCCAACGTATCGACCGTCTTCGGTGGTCGCCACCATCAATCCACCAAAACCCTTCACTGCCCCGCGATCGCCATCGACGCCCCTAATTCTTCTTCTCTCGCCGATGTTGCCGGCGTCAGGTGGGGGTTCACTTCTCTTCAGGGCGCCCGTGAGGAGATGGAGGACGACATCGTCATTCGCTCCGACGAGGGATTCTCCTTCGCCGCTGTTTTCGACGGCCATGCCGGCTTCAATTCCGTCAAGTTCCTCAGGTAAAAAGACCTAATTTTGTTCTGATCAAAATTTCCCCCAAATTTTCCCGATTCTTGTTTTTGAATTCGGTTCCATACAGGGATGAATTGTTCAAGGAGTGTGTTGTGGCTTTACAAGGTGGGTCGCTATTGGGCGGGAAAGACTTCGGCGCCATTAGAGCGGCTCTTGAAGGGGCGTTCCAGAATGCCGATTCAAGACTGCTAAGTTGGTAAAAAAACGTAGTCTTTCATTGGCTCTTGGTGTTTTTATAGCTTTTGCCCAAGTGAATGATGCAAAATGGTAAAGCTAATTTAGACTGTGTGTTGTTGCTATCTTGTGGCGAAGGCTCGAAACGAATTACGGCGAGGATGAGTCTGGTTCCACTGCAACTGTGGTGTTCATTGCAAGTGACATGCTCATCATTTCGCACATCGGGGATTCGACTGTGGTTAGCATATTAATTATTTAGTCAATTTGCATATGATCAATGGTGTCTATTATTAGAAAAGAAGGGGGAATGTTCATTAAATGTGGAATCATTTGGTTCAGGTGTTGTCTCGTTCTGGTAAAGCAGAAGTGTTGACTGATCCCCATCGTCCCTATGGAAACAACAAAACCTCCCTTCAAGAAATCAGAAGGATCAGAGAAGCAGGTGGATGGGTGTGTTTTTCTCTGTTCTTTTTTGTTTGCTCTTATCTATTACATAAATTGGATTCGTTTAAGAAATGCTTTCCCTTGACTGATACGAATTATAGTTACCTGTGTAAGCAATGCAACTGGAAGTCTTGAGTTTTAATAGAATCCATTACAAGCTAGTCTTACAGTGAGTGATATAAACTGACTGCAATGCCTGTAGATAAACAATGGGAGGATTTGTGGGGACATAGCTATATCGCGTGCATTTGGTGATATTCGGTTCAAGACAAAGAAAAAAGAGTATAGCCCATGAGTCACTTCCTTTTGCGATAATGGTTTTAGTTCTTCATTTTACATTTGGTTGGAGTACCGGCATCTGATGGTAGTATATACGGTGCATATGGCTAGAATGCTTCAGAAAGGAGTCCAGGAGGGGAGGTGGACAGAGAAGTTTGCTTCTCGGTATGGACATTCTTCATCCTTTTGAATTCTCTAATCGTTTCAAATTTATTCTGTTTCTAGTATTAACATCCTTACGGGTTATATATGATCGTGTGACAGAATACAATTCAATGGAGACTTGGTAGTTGCATCTCCAGATACATATCAAGTGAGTTTGGGGTCAGATGCAGAGTTTGTAGTATTAGCATCTGATGGCTTGTGGGACTACATGAACAGGTGGGTGGTTTGGCTATACATAGTTTGACTCTCTGCTCTATAATGAAACTGTGCGAGAAGATCAGTAAAGCTACATTTTTTCCTGTTGTGTATTTTAGCTCAGATGCAGTTCAATTTGTTAGAGATCGACTTAAGCAGCATGGAAATGTACAGGTAACCTGTCATATCATGTTTTCTTTCCTAACAATAAACAAATGCATAACAATCACCTTAATTCGATGAAATCAATGCTGCTGCAGACATTACTAACTACTTAGTAGTTTCATCTTCTGATTTCAGCTAGCTTGCGAAGAACTTGCTAGCGCGGCTCTAGATCGGCGTTCACAAGACAACATCAGCATCATCATTGCAGATTTAGGGTAATGCACTCTCTGTCTCAACTCTTTTATCATGATCAGTAGCTCTCTTCTCTCGTTTTTTATAAAAAACTTCAAAAGGGAAGTGTAAATCGTGGAGTGGAGGCTTATTTCTCTGGTTTGGCTTTTTTCGACTGGTGAGCAGGAAGACAGATTGGCAAAGTATACCACCACTCCAGCAGCAGAACTTTGTGTTTGAACTAGGCCAAGCTTTCGCTACGCTTGGCATCGTCTCTCTCGGAATATGGATGTCATCATCTCTGCTCTCCTTATAGATTAGACAAAATCATCGAAAAAATGTGTATATAGAAAAGATCGACTCCAATCGACATAGACTACTTGTACATGTTTCGGTAACATCCAAATAAATCGCAACTTTCTGTGGCATGGAAAGTTTCATACTTGCAGCCATAGCTCTGTTGAAGTTGAATTGGGAGTGTGATGATGGGATGACAGTGTTGTGAGCTATGGTAGGATTCATTTGCTGGGTCATTTTCATTATGCTTTTTGGCAGTGGATGTTCTTAGACTAGCTGCAGCCCACCATAGACTTATAGTGGGGATGAAAGAGTTGAAAATGAATTGCAGCAGAAGCTACGTGGATTTGTTATGGTGGTGGCAGTTTCCTGACCTCTTTTTGTGCCAAGCATAACAGTGGAAGGGGAAAAGATAAGAGGCCTGGGTTTCAAAGTCGTATTAAACTGATACTTTTATATTATTACATCATGTAGAGATACATCAATTAACTAATGTAAATACATATATTATATAGTGATTTAGCTGCTTCTCTTATTCTTAATCTCGTAGTACAAAAGTAATCAACAGTAAACAGCGGTAGTCAATGAAGCAGCTGGGCCTATCTGAAACGGCGAGCGCTAATTAATCAATGATGATGATCATAACTAATAGTGATTTAACGATGCTAAATACGTATTTATAGTTTACTAATAAGGGTGGTGATGATGATTCTGGTTTGTAATTAAGGGTTCCTGCCTCTGCCCTTGCGAGGATCGTGTCTAGGGTTTGCGCCAGTTTCATCATAATCTTTCACATCCATCATAAGCAGCTTCCTTGTCTTCATCATCACCTTCACCTTGTTCTTCAGTTCTTGGTATCCATCCTGCATATTCATCATCATTATTTGCTGCTGATACTACTTAATAATATATAGTACTTATTATCTGCTGTAATGGCTTAATGTATTTTACCTTGTAATAGAGAGGGAGATCATCATTTGGATCCACCATGATGCCTTGTTTGGAGCCCTCAGCCATTCCTGCTGCAGCACAGTACTCCATCAGTTAACACCATGATACTAGATCAGATGAAGCAAATGGGTGACCAGTTCATACAAAAGGACACTAAAAGGTAATGGAGGAAGAGAAACATTGCACTGATACCTGCAGAAGTTGAAGATGAGCAGCTGCTGAGACCAGTGAAGAGGCAGAGGTAGAGCAGCAGCAGACAGGTGGTGAGCATTCTTGTGGTACTAGTTGCTATAGCCATGGATGGGGATATCTAGCTAGCTAGCTACCTAAATGGCTTGCTTGAAGCTCTATGTGGGTCTTTAACTTCCTCCAACTTGGTAATATTTTTATGCCAGTAAAGCTAATGGATGGGAAGAAGAGGGGGAGATGGGGGGAGAAGCCATATCCTATTTATATATGAACCTTTGGTAGTGGACAAGGGAATTAAGGAAGGGCTTTGATCACCACAGACAAATTTCAGAAGGGTTGAGGGGGCAGAAAACTGGGTTTTACTGAGTGCACCCACTCACTGCAAATAGCTACAGAGAATGGTGATGGTGATGATGATGATGAAATGGCATTATAACTACTTTTTTTTTTTCCTCTCTAAGAGCCACTTTAGGCCAAGAAATGTTGCTGTATTATCCCCCAAAAGTCAACTATACAGCCCATTTGTTTCAGATCAGTGTAACATACATCAAATGTTAAGAAAAGTGCAGTGCATGTGGCGACAAAGGAGAAGCAGAAGAGTAAACACAATGATATCCCCATATATAATTTGCATGGCTTCAACTTTGGAGGGTGGGCAGCTGTTTCTCTCTTCTTGTAGTTGTTGCTGTTCTGCACTCCCCCACCCACTTATACTTCACCTTTTTTGGGTGCCACTGTTGATGTTGCCTATTTGATAGAGTATGCATTCATACCCTCCCTTCATTTTTCATATCGATAGAAACTTATCGAGAAGTTATTTATTTTGGTACGCAATTATCGACTTCATGCAATTCATGTACACCATCGCATTATATAACACGGTGAATCTCATTGCCTGCTATCCATACTCGGCTCAATCATAATATGTGATCACATAATTATCTTTGTTATCGCGTTGTTAAAGCATTTTATCCTCGAAAGAACGGAAATTCGATATCAAGCAAGTATTTAGCAATTAGCACAATTATAGTATCTCAAGAGTTGAGTATCATAATTGCTCATTGTGACATCACATCTTCTTCATGTTGTTTCGGACAAGTTTAGTTTGATCATCAATTTCATCCTTGCATGGATATATATGTTTCAATCAACCTTTATTGCAAAATGATCGACCTAATAAGTGTGCAAATAGCTAGGTGAAATAACACTACGTTGTGTATGGTTATAAAGTCCATCCACGCATGAGACAACTTGCCTAGTTGTCTTCTTATGAATAGATCCACCTCTTTATATATCGATCGTTCGAACTTTATGAACATCTCAACCACATTATGATCAAACCGATAACTAATTCTAATAAATCTCGGGTACAATCAATAACAGCACAACTGCATCGAATCCCACCACCAGAACCACTCCAAACTCGAGATGAATCCGAGTTACCATTGTTGACCTATAGCAATTGCAGCTATAGTAGTGCAACTTCATCCATCATCTATAGATCCTATAGCTGACATGATATGAGTAGAGTAATGGAGATGATGATTGAGGACTTTGCTAAACCCAAAATGGTGCATAGTTAGTTGCTTTTCAACCTATGAAAGAAAGAAGTGACGAATCACACAAACAGAGGGAAACTCGAATGGAAATTTGACCATACAAACACGATACAGTGTTATGCCATCGATCCTTTCAACATTGTCATGGAAAGTGGAGGGAGGGGTCCTGATTTTCCCACCCATATTTTCCCGAGAAAGTGCACACATTTTCTCTCCCTCTTTTCTTTTTCATCCGTGGTACCAAACAGCACTTGAGAACAGAGCAAAAAACTATGAATAATTAAAGCCTTTGGATGCTCCATCGTGTCTCGGCATTTCCCCCGGCCAAAGTTTTGTCAAGGTCAAATTGGGATAGTGGTAGGCACTAATGGGTGAAAGGTAGAAGGATTGATTATGAGATTAGGGAGCAAATCCATGATTGTTTATTGTAATTTGTGAATGAAGATGTTTAGAGAGAGACCAATATATGTGTTGGATTCATTTGTTTAATGTTCCTTGATTGCCATGAACTCGACAAATTGTCTTTAGGAAAGTAGGGTAAAAGTTTATGTGGGAAAAAGAAGTGGGGTAATAGCTTGGGCTAATAATTATGTATGTTGGGTTCATAAAACATTAACTAAATAGGTGCACTTATTATGTTTAAGGCTTGATTAAAGTTGTTTGATTATGTGAGACTCGAATAAGTAAATGTTATGAGGAGTCATTACTAAGGAAAGAAGATGACCGATCAAACGTTGATATGAGTTTGGCTTCGATGCTCCTCTTCCAAGGCGGTCAGGTGGTGACTTTGCTATATGTAGTAAGAGGAGGGACACCTGTAGCAGTAACTCATGCGTGTTAGAGAATATCCAAGACAACATCTTTTCGATTTTTCGAGACTTCGATCCCAAAAAAAACTACTTGAGATTATCAAGATCTATGATTCTAAAACGTGGATGGAGATGATCCTTGACTTTTGTACATGAAGACCACTTCATGGCAAGCAAGGAGAACAATCATTATCAACATAGATAGAGTGACGGCAAACATGACAGCCGCCCGATAAACGAAACTAGAGGTTTTGGTCTTGGATTGGTAAAATCGAAAAGCAATAAGAGTTCGGAAGATTTTCGTATACTAATTTTGAGATGCATATTTGAATACATACAAATATTCCTAAAAATACGATGAATTGTCTTCCTTTCATTTCGATTTTGTCAATGCAAGTATATACAAAAGATACCTTCTTACATAGTCCTAAATCCTTTCTTCTTCTCTCTTACATATAATCATGCAGATGAGTGAAAACCATAGAAAAAAAGGATAACACTCAAACCAAGGTATTCAAATCCGGAACAACAGAAAACCAATTGAACCCAAAATTCCCCTTCTCCGGCAGCAGAGGGCACTTGGGCAGCCACCCCCACTCCCTCGCCGCGACGTCGAACCACAACACCTCCGGCCAAGTATTGCAACACAGGCAAATCATCCCTCCATGCCACAGACAATACAAATGCTGGTAATTGTGATAACAAACCGCCGCGAATTTCCGGCACATCTCCGCCGGCATGCTCCCCTGTTCCACCCATTTCCTCCCCGCATCGTCCAGTTCCCACACCTTCACCTCACTCACCGTCCCATACCCCATCGCAATTCCGCAGATCAAGTACATCTTCTGCTCGCCGGCGTCGCCCACCAACCTCACAAACGAAACCCGACTGCCGCCGGCGATGAGTTCCCCGACGCTCAATGCTCTGTTCCACCTCCTCTGCTCCAAGTCGTACCCAACGATCGAGTACGGCTCCACGGTGTAAAAGTAGAGGGAATCACCGTGAATTACTCCTTCCTGGCGGGTATTGGTTTTAATATTAGGGGTAATGTCGTCGAATTGGTGCCAACGACGGGAGGCAGAGTCGTAGACGAATCCCTGTCGGAACGAGATGCTGGGGCAGAGGGCGAAAATTTTGTAGCCACCGGAAGAGCGGGTGGGGACTACTAAGGTTAGGGAGTCAATCGGGAAAGGATGATTTGGGAATTTGATGATCCTTGTAGATTTGGTCAAGAAATTGCAGACGAGGAATGAAACAGGGGAGGCAGGGAGGGAAAAACAGAGGATGCCTTTAGAGGAGGCGAGGAGGGTGGATGAAGCAATGTATCTGGGGAGGAAAGCGGAGATGGGTAAAGAGCGGTTGCGCCATCGGCGGCGGAGGGTGTCGTAGACGGCGAAGCGGTTGCGGCCGAAGTGCGGGTGGGAGAGGAGGAGGAAAGAGGGTGAAGGTTGGGAGGATTTGTAATTGGAGAGGAAGGCAGGGGAGAGGAAGAGGGAATTGAAGCGTTTGCATGTGGATCGGAGAATTAAGAGGGTTTCGAGAGATGCAACGGAGAGGATGCGATAGAGGATGTCCTCCGGCAGCGTGTTCCAGATTCTGGGATCCATCTCCGGCGAAGTTTCCGATGGGGCCGTCACCTGAAAATTGAAACGGGGAGTTGAAGAAAGGATCCGTTAGAGAAAAGGTGAAGCTCACAACACAAAAGGACAATAAAATGGCTTATTATTGGTTTGTTGAATTGGAGTTTAATTATTATTATTATTTTTTTTTTTGTATTTTAGTTTAACGATTTGATTCTTGCTATTATTGATAAAATATTTTGAAAGGTCAGTTTTGGTAACAATGGAACATATAATCTTGCAAATCGACGAGATATAACTTTCACATTTATAAGAGATTTATATAACTAGATTTTAGATGACTTAGATATATAAATATAAGATTTATGATGGAAAAAGCAACAAAATAACATGATTATTCATCCCCCCCCCCCCCTAAATTTATGGACTCTATGTACATCTATACTCCAAATCTAATCTCCAAACGACCACTTAAAACTGTTTTAAAACACGAAGGACTAAATCATAACGCTTACGAGCTGCCATAAGGAATTGTAAACGATCACAAGTCAATGTGGAATTGAGTTTGGATCGCATTTCTACCATAAAATCACGTCATTGATGTTGCTGATAAAAAAATATTTTTATCATATGATACGGGTATCACGGTATTAACATGTACAGAATGTCACCTACCGTTTTAGCATAATAATTTGTTCGAAATTTTCAGTAACAATTATAATCAAAATGTATAATTAGACATGGATATGATACGGATCATATACCGTTTATCAGGAGGATGAACTCACCTGTTGCGTTGCAGTCCCGCCGCCGGCGGAGGCCGTGTCGTCTTCGCCGGCGCAACAGAGTCGGAGCTTCCATCTCGAAGCCCGTCTCTTCGAACGCAGCCCACTATTAATGTCACCGAAAAAGAAACGATATGACCACCAAAACTTCATCCTCTCCCGCGACAACATTTCCTCCTTATTCGCCGCCGATGAGTGGCGATCATGATTCGATTCCTCTGCCGCCGGCGAAAGGTCCATGACTGTACCACCCTAACGCTATTCTTTTCGTATAATATTGGGTTCTATATAGAAGATGGAAGAGACATTGCCGATACCAAAGAGCTTGGCATTGCCGGTCGTCATTTTATGGGAAACAGTGACATTATTATCCTTCTTAGCTTCTAACACTGCAACTTTTTCATAGGACGGCCTTTTGACTTTCCTCCTGTTGCCGGAAGAAGATTCCATGCTACTAATTAACTATTTAGAGGGTGGTAAACAACAAACCCCAATCTTAACCACACACTAATCATGATATTAATCCAACGGCTGGGATTCGAGAAAGGACAAATTAGACATTGATGAAAGAAACTAAATATTAAAAAAAGGCTAATTAAATTATCATTTTTGGGTATGGAAATCGACTACGAGGGAACAACGGGCTATTTGGTCCAGGTTTTTTGGTTTTACTCGAAACCAGACCGTATAATCCGGATCGAGATTGGACCGGGACCGGATAGTAAACAATCTAATCCAATCTTTGGATTTAGATTTGAGCAAAAAAAAATCGTTCGGGACCGGATCGAAAACTGGATAAAGACCGGATAAGAGAGCTCAACACCCAAAACTTAAGGATAGTTTGCATAAACGGCCAGAAAACCTTTGCACTTATTACAAAACTTAACCAACTCCCCACCCTTTCAGGCCTTAGGCCACTCAAAAAACCCACAAGCTCAATATAAAATCAAAGACCGAATTGGGACCGGACCGTATCAAGACCAAACGGTATCCAATCCAATCTTTGGTCTTTATATCTTCAAAAAGACCGGATTAATTTGGGCCAATTTAACCGGACCGGACCGCGTATAGCCACTCCCTCGGGAACAACGTTATAAATGTCTTCGAGTTCATATCTCGTAGTGGTTGTATTGTAAGTGGTACAAAACCATCAAAATACGATGAATTGCTACTACATACAAAAATCATCAAAACACATGTGACTGCATAATTGTTGTATATGATATCGTCGTGCTACAAATCCGATCCATTGATCATATATATAGGTAACTGGTAGTGGTAGTACGTAGATTTCAGTGAACCAGTCGATCGATCCGTTTTCTACGAAAATGCATGCAAAGTAACGGTTACATATATATACATAGATACCCTGCATAAGAATCGTCGGCTAGCTAGCTCTGCTGTGCAGAATTTCGCTTCTCTGGCCATAGCTGTGTTCAGGACAAGAGCATCTTTTGTTTGTCTGTAACGTCACTTTCTTACAGGGATTTGCCGGCGATCGAACTCCAGTTTTCTCCGCCAACAGCGCATACAGGGGAGGAAGAAAAAAAAAACAGAGGAAACGTACGTAACTATCCACATACAGCTACCAGCTCGATCGAGAGCTATAACATTGACAACGGTTAATCTTCTGGTGGGTGTAATGTTACTAGAACTGATCAGCCCAGCTGCGCGCGGTGGTGGTCGTCGTCGACGGGCAAATTCTCCGACACGACAATCATCAGAGGACCCGTCTAGAGGGGGGGAATCCGACAACAGCTGAGCAGGAACGAAATTCGTTCGGATTCCCCCTGAAGACAGGTCCGAGATTGTCGAGCCGAGGAATTTGGCGTCGACGACGATGACAGACCATCGCCAACGAAATGTTTTCCAGAAACCTTCAATTTGTGAGTTCCTTCAGCTGATAATTTTCTGATTGTACACGACAGTGACGACAGCTTAAAACATTCCATGTTCCTTTCACCCGCTTTGCATCAGCAAATCAGCAAAAACCACTACCTGCATTGAGGTATAGAAGATGCATATAGCTCTCCTTTCCTTTTCAAGGCTTCCGCGCCAGGAAAGGAGGATTTGGTAACAAATGGTACCCATAAATCATGATGATCCTTTACTGTAAATCTGTAACAGCTGCTATCTTTCAAACACAATATGTTAAACAGCAGATGAAGATGATTTGGAACCAACATTTGTATCATTCATTCCATGAATGCAAAAGATTTATATAATCACCTTTTTTTACTTTCAGACCTGTAATAAAAACAACAAACAAAAAATTGAATAATGCAATGCAAGATGCAATTTCCCCCTCAATAATAACTGTTGAAGATGAGACCTCCTCCCGACCAACCAACCAAGTATGCCAACCTCAAAAAAAGAAAAAAAAAAGAAGCTGCCAAGTCTTCTTCTAAGTACAGCCTGACCATGACAACAGTAATAGACATTAATGATGACAGATACAGGAAATGGGGATGGATACTAAACAGAAAGAGGAATGAAAAATGTGAATCCCCCAATAGAAAAAGGAAGAAAGAAAAAAAAAAAGGAAACTGAGCAACAGAATCTGGATCTTCTGCATGCATGTTTGGCCCCAGGAGGTCTTCAAGTAGCCACAAAACTTTGAACAACCCCATTGCAGCCAGCCATCGACCTGACCTAAGGGTTTAAGAACTCAGACCTTACGGGTAGTAATACAGTGAAACAGCTCTAGCACCATGTAAGGACTGACCGACCGACCTACACCCACCAATCGACCACCAACTCGGCTGCCTGACTTGACTTGTGTCTCTATCAACCAACTCACTGCCCTTGCGGTGACTGACTTGTGTACCCAACTCTATGCAATATGATGACGCCACTTTTCAACAACCCCTTTCAACTGATGACGACGACGACTTCGACCCACCATCTTTGAAGCGACTGACAATCCAATCCCCCCTCCGAGACCTCATGACTCAATCAACCCCATGAAGCTGACTCAAGAGCTAGTGACTGACTGAAGACCCTCTTTTATCAGAAAATTGCAGATGACGATGACCTGACACGGAATGCAACCCCGGACCTGACTCTCAAGATGCATGCAGGACTCTAAAAACAAAAAGAAACATGCCAAAGCAGCACAATAACCTCAGGCAGAAATCGCACGGGTGATGGCCAACTTGGTCCATTCAGCAGATTCCTTAATCGAACCGTCTTCTGAAGACAAACATTCATTTAAAAAATCTCTACTAGAAACAGAATTCTGTATCATAGTTCCTGCGTTACTTCCCAATGTGTCTGCCAAGTCTCCAAGTACCCCAATAGCTGTTCTCATAACCAAATCATCCCTGCAATACACACACACAAAAAGAAGTCAGTACCAAACCTTTCACCAGCGCAAAAGAGAGAATGAACATGAAGGAAGGTTAGCCACTCACATATCCTTTTCCACGTAAATACTATCCAAAAACTGGAGGATGTGTGGTGCATAGGGAATCAAGAGTTGGGTCTTAGTCGAGTTCTTAAACCCTTGAAGAATTCCAGAGTATGCCTCCAAGATTCCGTTTCTAAGAGAGTTTGTGTACTCAATCATCTCATCATCAGCACCTGCAGTGTGGGCAGACAATTCCGCAGCACTTTGGAGCATTGGCATGGCATACATCAGATACTTTTCAAAATCCTGTCCTATTGCCAGTGCAATGTCGCCAAGGCAGGAGAATATAGGTGGCTTAACAGATCGATGCAACTGGTTGCTCGACAAATCCTTCAGAAGCTGTGTCATGATCCCATCGCAGTAAGGTAGGACTTTGTTTTCTAGTGCCCTGCAGATATCGCCTACCACTCCAACTGTAACAGAGCACACCTGGTACTCTTCAAAGTTCTGAAGACCCATCTCCAAATACTTGTAGAATTCCGGCATGTACTTAGCAAATTCTGGGCCACATGCATAGGCAAGAGATCCGATAGCAAGCATGGCCTCCTCATGCACTGTCGCACTTTTGCAAGCAAACACCCTAAGGAAGAGACCCATTATTTGGTCAGCAAACTGCATGAACCCATACTTGGTCTGATCGGACGCGCCTAGCTTTTGGATGATGACCTGCAAACACCCACATAGAAGACCATGTAATTCACCTTGCTTCTCCCTTTCATCAGATGAGAGCTTCTGACCCTCAAGTGTATTGTGAAGCTCCAACATTATCACAGGAACTAGTTGCAACACCAGAGTGGCAGTTTCTTCTGTTGAACACCTAACCACCTCATTCAGTGTTTCATAGGCAGCAGTCCTTAACCGACCCTCGCCTGCATCTTCACGGTGAGTGACCGTGAGAAGGGCCTGAACAATTTCCTGGAAGTATGGAGTCAAAGGGGAGGATGGACCCACATCCTCATAACCTTGAGCAAGGAAGTAGAGTGCCCCACAGGCCTTCCCAGCTACATTTGGTACATCCGTCATACTTTGAAGAAGAACAGTAACAATTTGCTGGCAATTTGCCGGCGTAATGATAGGCGCATCCATTGTTGAACCATGGAGAAACTCAAAAATACGTCCAAGAGTCCAAGCAGTGGTATCTTTCACATGAGTATTTGGGTCCTTCGTTAGAGCTGATAACATGAAGTTCAAAGCAACATTGACAATAGGTGTCAACTTGTCAGGAGAAGGACCCTCCAAAATTGAGCCAAAAGCATAAGTAGCTGCCTCTCTCTGTCTCCAATCAGGTTTTGTTATATTCTCCTCGATGAATGGCATAACAAGTGGTACAATATCATCTCCAACAGTGCGGGCAACGAGCCCAAGGCATGTTCCCCCAGCCATTGCAATATTCCAAGCCCCTTCATCCTGATCCTGATCCTCCTCTTGCTTCAAAAGTGTCTCCAACAAAATTGGTACAAGAACATTGAGAGCCTGCTTGACAAAATAGGAGCATTGTACATCCGAGTCCCCAGTAAACTCACCAGCATACTCTTCTAGGATGTCTATCTCCTCATCACAAATTGAACTCCAGAATTCAATTGCTTGAAGGGCTACAGACTCTACATCTTCCCTCACAGCTTTTGCTGTGATGGTGAAAATGTCATTCATATAAGGAGTTAACTTCTCGTAGTACATCGACGCAATCGACACCAGACATTCAAAAGCTGCCAGACGGATCTTCTCTTCTTTCGACAGAGCAGCCTCACAAACAACTCTCATGATATAATCACGCTCCATGTCATTGCTAAAGTTCGCTTGAGCAAAGCCTAGGGCATTGTATAATGCTCGAATGGCAGCTAGTCTCACATCATTGTTTCCTTCCGACGAGCTCATCCCTTGAACAACAACAGTCAAGATTTTATTCACATTATCCTGATCAACAGCATCAGGAGAGACTTCCTCGCACAAGTAACCAAGAGTCTCCAGTGTAGCTTGCTTGACATGAGGAGGTAGCTGATGAACATTGGACAAAAGAGATCCAATCAGCTCAGGCCACTGCTTCTGAGGGAGCTCAATTCCAGCAACTTTGGCAACTACTTGGGCCGCAGTTGAACGAGCATCAGGTACAGGAGAAGAAAGTGTCTTTAACAAGCATGATTTTATCTGACTCTTTACTGTAGCATCCAACATCAACCATCTCTGAACAAGCTCAAACTTCCTATGTTGTTCCTTAGCATCTAGAGCATTTTTTAGTATCAAACCAGCTAACTTCCGGCTATCAGCAGGTTTATCTTCATTGGCCAGCTCACCAGAGAGAGAAAACAAAAAGGCAGGGAGATTTTGCTCTTGGAACTGCTTCAAGCTATCTTCAGCTTGCTTCCGGACACTACCATCTATCGATTGTGCGTTCAAAAGCAGCTGAGTCACCTCCATGGCCATGATGTATCTGTACAAAAAAAAAAGTCAGACTGATGACTAAATACTGTATAACATCAGATGCAGAAGTGCAGGTTGATAGCATAAAGCGCCATATAGAGAAGAAAAGTAGCACAAGAAAGAAGTTTTCATGACATTATTGTTCTGTCTATGATCTACAGCTCCCCTCATCATCTTTCAGTAAGCATATATGTAACATCAAATAGAGGGGGAAATGGCAGAATGATTGACAATGATTTGACATGGAGGATCAATCACATCTATATGCATGGTATAGAGGAGACAGGACACCAAATCACTTCATTCAACGTATGTCCAAAGAGCCCGTATCATAAGTAAAGAACACAACGAAGACATCCCCTTTCTCGCTCAAAAACACTACTTTTACTTGGCAAAGATTTCAGAACACCTGGAAAATAATCCATCTCCAAGTGGGCAACGCATAGCTCAAACCACTCATAATCAACTTATGCAGTCCGACTTCGTAAATTCAAACTCTATACACATAAAAGAGCAAATCCAAATTTAAAAAAACTCTGCTTCGCTGTCATATTCCTGCCCAGCAGAGCTAAAGTGAGCTGGATTCTAACTCAAACAAATCACTATTTCAACCGACTAATTCATCTTCACAGTCCAAATTGATCACAGCATGTAAAACCCAGAAAGCTAGTCTTCCCAGACAAAGCACTCAGATTGCAGAATGGGGACAAGAGTGAGGGATTCAGAAGCAGGATAATATATTCGATCAAGCTTGGAAACCATAGACGGAAACGAATCAAACCGAGAGGAGCGTCCCAATGGGCAATCCAACAAAAAAACTAAGCACTCTACTGCCGCATCGGATAGCAGGACAAACCCAAAGGAGGCAAGCACTAGAGATCAAGCTGCCCCCCTAAGACAAACCTAGTGAATCGGAAACCATAAGGAGAATCGAGACTAGCAGACTGTTACTTACGGAATAGGAGAAGACTGGAGACTGGTGTCGCGGCAGATCGGCGAGGCGCGACGGTGACCACTGAACCCTAGCAGAAGCGCGGGGGCTGGAGAGAGAAGGGGGAAAAGTGGGCGGAAACGCGACGGACGAAGGAGAGGCGGACGCCAAACGAAACTTGAATTATGATACAATTTTTACAGCAAATCAATGGCTTATGTAGTAAGGGAATTATTGCCTGCTACACGCTCCACACTACAGCAAAGCAATGCTTGTGTGGATCCCGCTCCTTACATTTTTGTTTTTTTTTATTCGTTTCGATCAATCCGATCTTTATTTTTCTCCTCTTCCAAACATTTTTTGCAATTTTTAAGGTGATTTATAAACCTTCATTTAAGAAACGGGTTAAGTGCGTGGTTGGTCACTGAGATTAAAAAAACGTTTATGTTTGGTCACTGAAAATATTTAAATCCAATCTTGGTCATTTAAATTAGTTAAATGGTTCAAGTTTGGTCACTCTCCGTCCAACTCCGTTAAATGTGTCTGATGTGGCAGTCAACTCTTAAAGTTGACCGTTAACTCAATGACATGACAATTAAAAAATAATAAATAAAATAAATTGTAATTCTCTACCACTTCCAACTCATTTTCACCATAAAGTAAAATAAATAAATGTTTTATTGATTGTGAATAAACCAATGAATCGAAAATTCTCGAATGCTGCAAATCGGAAGCTCTCTTTCCCGGCCGCCCTCCACCTTCTTAATGTCATTGATTGGAGAGTCTTCTCTAATAAACCTCTACTATTTGCTTCTCTTTTGCAAACCAGTACTAAAGCTCTGTCATTTCGCTCTAGACTTCAAATTCATGCCCATGTAGTGAGTCCGGCCTCGAGACTGATAGATTTGTGGGGAACAGCTTGCTCGCGCTTTACTTCAAGTTGGGTTCTGATTTCGTCGAGACTAGGAGACTTTTCGACGGGCTCCATTTCAAAGACGTTATTTCCTGGAACAGCTTGGCCCAATCATGTAATTTCCAGCGCGTTGATTGATATGTATGGAAGGAATTCGGGTCTCGATGATGCACGCCAACTGTTCGACGAGTTGCTCCAACCAGACGCTATTTGTTGGACGAGTTGCTCCAAGGTAAAGAAGTTCATTGCCAGTATGTGAGGAGAGGTGGGTGGCGAGATGTCATTGTGGAGTCGGATTTAGTCGACCTCTATGCAAAATATGGCTCTGTCGATTTCGCTTACAGGGTGTTTGAACAAATGCTTATTTTACTTTATTGTGAAAATGAGTTGGAAATGGTAGAATATTAAAACTTATTCTCATGGTTAATGAAATTTAGGTTTAATTGGTTTGGTTATTACCATGGTAACCATTTGAACACCCCTAATGGAGAGGCAAGTGTAATACAGTTCGACGGTAGGGATGGCAACAAAACCCGAACCCACGGGTACCCACCCGACCCAACCCGGTCAACGCGGGTAAAATCCGTGTTGACGGGTTTTGGGCCGGGTTCGGGTTTAAACCCGCTACACTATTCACCGGGTCGGGTTGGGTTTGGGTAAACCCACCCCATGGGTACCCGCCCACACACATATAATTACTTTCCCGGTATATTTAATATTATAAATAATATATCTTCCTTAAATAACTAATATTCTATAGGTTTGTGGAGACATGTATAATTTGTTCTTTCTAATTGTTTAGAATGAAGTTGATATTATGAAGTTGAGAGTGAAGAAACTTAGTTGATGAGGAGCTTTCAATTAATCTTATTGTTTATATATGTTTATCTTTAATTTTGAACAATTTGTATTGATCATTTGCGGTTTGCTTGTATGCTCTAGATTGGTATTTTTTGTATGATTAATTTGTATGAGAAAATTGATGTTAAACTTTTATTTTGAAAAAAACTTGTTATTGTAAATTTTTATCACAAAAACCCACGGGTACCCATGAACCCGCGGATACCCAGCGGGTTGGGTTGGGTTTGAGTTTTTCAAACCCAACGGGTTTTACCCCGAGTTTTTTTGGCCGATAAACCCATGGGTTTGGATTTGGGTTTGACAAAACCCGCCCAACCCTACCCATTACCATCCCTATTCGACGGTTGACTGAGCACCGGGCCAAATCTAATACGACGGCGTTCACTGCAGAAAGGAAGTGAAAACGCGAAATTTGATCGTTGATACCGACGGAGTACCGGTCGTGAACGTTGTTTGAAGAAGAGGAGGGAAAATTCTTTCGTCATTGACGGTGGGATGCAGAGCTGTTGCTCGACGATCAATAACCGTTGCTGCTTGACGAAACTGTGCTGCTCTCTGTCACAGAAGCTGTGCGAACGACGGCTCTCAATGACAATCGGCGAAAACTAAGGTCTCTCTGTCTCCCAGCCACTCTCCTACATATCTTTTCGAATTGGGGCCGTCCTGAAATCAATGGAGTTACGCTATCGGGCTTCCTAAAAATCCCTAAGATTTGGGGATTTTTTCTTTCAAGCTATCTCTGAAGTCAAAGTTACAGGGAAGTTTCAAAAAGTCGACGGCGAGGGTAAGTGAGAAATCGCAAAGATCGATTGGTAGGGTATTGATTGAGACTACTTCGACTGAATTTGTCGGAGACAGGGGGGTTTTAATTTGGTCGCCGGGGAGGGCTGGTTGGTGGTGATCCCGTCGGAAACATCATCTTCAAAATGGAAGAGAATCAACCAACCTCTGTGAAAGTCAAAGACGCTGTCCACAGATTACAGCTTTCCTTGCTCGACGGTATCCAGAATGAAGACCAGCTATTTGCAGCTGGGTCATTGATGTCTCGGGGTGACTATCAGGATGTCGTGGTTGAACGCTCTATTGCAAAGCTCTGTGGTTATCCTCTCTGCAAGAATTCTTTGCCTTCTGATCAGCCTAGAAATGGCCGGTACCGCATTTCTCTCAAGGAACACAAAGTTTATGACCAACAAGAGACGTACATGTACTGCTCGTCCAGTTGTCTTGTTAACAGTCGAGCTTTTGGTGGGAGCTTGCAGGAAGAGCGATCCATGGTTCAGAATCCAGCAAAACTCGCCGAGATTTTGAGGCTGTTTGACAAACTGAGCTTGGATTCTGCTGAGGGTATGGGTAAGAATGGCGATTTGGGAATGTCGAACTTGATGATCCAGGAGAAAGCCGAGACCAAAGTTGGCGAGGTGTCTTTGGAAGATTGGGTTGGTCCATCAAATGCAATTGAAGGTTATGTGCCTCAAAGAGATCGCAGCTCCAAGACTTCATCACCAGCAAAAGGTGATAGCTACTAGTTAGATTTAGCTTTTGCTCTTATTACTACATCTACTAGCATTCTGTTGCGCTTATACTTGACAGAGAGAAATAAGTGTATGCTATCATGATAATTCAGCTACAAAGACCTTACCATCCACCTGGTTCCAGATTTGGGGTCACCATCACCATCACCATTTACCTAGTACCTTTCACCTTTCATTTTTTTTTTCTGAGGGTAAATCCTTGCTCACCAATAGTATTGTTCCGCGTCATATTACTGATCAAGCTTTTGAATGTGAATTGTAGGTCAAAGATCCGATAAAGTCAAATCGAGTTCAGAGAAGTATTCATTTGTCAGTGACTTGGACTTCACAAGCACCATCATCATTAGTGATGAATATAGCATCTCTAAGTCTCCTTCAAGCTCGGCATCATCTGGTGCGGCAGTGAAGGATATAGAAGGGAAGGGATCTAGTGGAAAGTTCAGGGCTCAATCATCTGGTTCAACAAAGCTGAATTCGGGTAAAATCTCAAGAACTTCCAACTCAGGCAAGGCTAAAGCAGTTAAGATAGATGGGACGGGCCATCAAGACGTGGCTTCACCATCAAATCCTCAAAGAACTTCCAGTTTGATCAATGATGGAGCTAAAGAGACCAGTGAAGTTGACATCGGATCTGAGTTTTGCCAATCCAGGCTGAGGCCCTCTCTTAAGTCTCCTGGTGCAAAGAAACTAGGTCGGTCTGTTACTTGGGCTGATGGGGAAGTTGGTACTTCCAAAAATAGAGGTCTTCATGAGGATAGGGAAATGAAAAGAAACTCCACCGATACTTTGATTTCTTCTGATGCTACGTGCAAAGGAGATGATGATAACAGTTTGTTGCTTGAATCGGCCGAAGCCTGTGCAATGGCTCTCAGGCTAGCAGCAGAAGCCGCTCTATCTGGAGAGGTTGACATTGCTGATGCCAGTAAGTAAACAAAATGAAATTTTGGCCAATAAATGGACTGCATATTGCAGATTTAATTTATGATAAATCACTCAGTTTTACTACTTTGCATCTATGTGTAGTTTCTGAAGCTGGGTTAATCATATTACCTCAAGCAGACACTACTGATCATAGAAAGTTAATGGAAGATGATAATATGGAAGGCCAGGAGTCTGTAGATACTAAGTGGCCCAGCAAGCCTGGTATTCCTCGAACTGATATGTTCGACCCCGAGGACTCCTGGTACGATGGTCCTCCAGATGGATTCAGCTTGGAGGTAGGTTTGTTTGAATGAAAGCAGTCATGTTGTTACCTTGACAACTTAATACAACAAGATAATCTCTAAATCTTCTTTCACAGTTGTCCCCATTTGCAACAATGTGGATGGCACTCTTTGGATGGGTAACCTCATCAAGCTTGGCGTACATATACGGGAAAGATGAAAGCTCCCATGAAGATTATCTGTCAGTTAACGGGAGGGAGTACCCTCATAAAATTGTCTTAGGAGATGGTCGCTCTTCTGAGATCAAACGAACTGTCGAGGGTTGTCTAGCTCGGGCTTTACCAGCTGTGGTCACCGATATGAGGCTACCAATACCAAATTCTACCTTGGAGCAAGGAGTGGTATGAACTATGAAATTCTTTATGCAATGATTATGCTGCAACGATGTTTGAAAAAGCTCACGATAACCTAAATTGGAGTTCTGCAAATCCTCAGTTTCAGGACAAAACTTTTCTCCATTAGAAAAACTGATGCACTATTAAGCTCCTTTTTGAAGGTGGTCTGTGATTCCTTTGTAGGGGCGTCTGTTGAACACGATGGGATTCACGGATGCAATTCCAGCACTCAGAATGAAACAATGGCAAGTGGTAGCTATTCTGTTCCTGGAAGCTCTATCTATATGTCGGATTCCGGCTCTTACCTCTCACATCAGCAATAGGAGGGGGGTAATTCACCAGGTGAGGAGGAACTAACTGATTGCATCATCACTGTTTATCTCTATATTTGGTCAATTGGTTACCAATTCATTCAATTTGCTCTACTTTTGGAAAAACCAGGTGCTGGAGGGTGCTCGTATTGGTACAGAAGAGTATGCAGTGATGAAAGATTTAATGATGCCTTTGGGGCGACTACCTGATTTTGCATCACAGAGTGGAGCCTAGTTATTGTCTAACGAGTATAACTGGACAGCTTCCGACGATCCTTCCGAAAGTCAGATCGCACTAGAACGAAGTGTTTTTGCTTCGAGGTTGTTGATTGATTAACTTCTTGTTGGTTGCCATCTCGTGTCCTTCAACTAGAGCATCAACACATACTTGTAAGTAGAAACCGAACCATGGAGGGAGTTTTGAAGTCGAATTGTCCACCGCAACACCTTCTTCTATCTAAGCTTTCGATTCGTTGCCCTGTAATGAGATTTCGAATATACGAACAGCTGGATTGAATGTCATGTCTCCAAGACGAACGATAAATTTGTGATGAACACGTACTTGCAGTTCTGAAATATAAATCAGCTATGATGTGCTAATATCGAATTGAACTTGGCCGGAAATTCCTAATACGACGTAGTTTCCCCAAAAGCTTGCATACAAATCCTTGCCGGAACTCTGCCTCAGCTAAAAGGGTAACCTTTCCCGCCAAAAATGAAAGCCTCGCTTTCCGTCTGTTACACAATCAAAGGATGCCAGCTCTCAGCCCCAACGCCCTCGCTTCCCTTCTCGAGTCCGCCGTCTCGACTCGCCACGCTTTTCTCGGCAGAGCCACCCATGCCCAGATCATCAAGACGCTGCTTACTTCACAGCATCCCCTTCCTTTCCTCGACAACCACCTGGTCAACTTCTACTCCAAAATCGACCTCCCGGGTCCGGCGGAGCTCGTTCTCCGGCGTGCATCCTCGCGCTCCGTCGTCACCTGGACTTCCCTCATCTCCGGATGCGTCCAGAACGGCCACTTCTCCGTCGCCCTCCAGCACTTCGCTAGCATGCGCCACGAGGACATTCTGCCAAACGATTTCACCTTCCCCTGCGCGTTTAAAGCTGCGGCTTTGCTCAAGCTTCAGTGCATAGGACGGCAGGTCCACGCGTTGGCTATCAAGATAGGGCAGATCGCCAGTGTCTTTGTTGGGTGTGGAGCGTTTGATATGTATTCGAAGATTGGGTTGGTGAGTGAAGCTGGTAAACTGTTCGAGGAAATGCCTGAACGAAACATTGTCACGTGGAATGCGTATATTTCGAATGCGGTGCTGGACGGGAGGCCGATGGTTGGTGTATCCGCGTTCGTTGCATTTCGGCGGGCTGGGGTTGGAGAGCCTGATGGGATAACTCTGTGTGCGTTTCTGAATGCATGTGCTGATACGTTGAACTTGGTGTTGGGGAAGCAATTACATGGGTTCGTGATTAGGAGTGGGTTTGAGGATGATGTCTCGGTGTCGAATGGGCTTATTGATTGCTATGGAAAGTGTAAGGAGGTCGGACTGGCTGAGATGGTTTTTAATGGAATGGAGAGGAGGAACTTGGTGTCGTGGGGTTCCATGGTAGCTACATACGAACAGAATGGTGAAAAGGAGAAAGCTTGTATGGTGTTTATGGAATGCAGGAAAGAAGGGCTTGAGCCAACTGATTATTTGATTTCAAGTGTGATCAGTGCTTGTGCAGAGCTTGCAGGACTAGAAATGGGCAGGTCAGTCCACGCACTTGCTGTTAAATCATGTGTGGATGCTGATATTTTCGTCGGAAGTGCCCTGGTAGACATGTATGGAAAATGTGGAAGCATCAGTGATGCTAAGCAGACCTTTGATGAGATGCCCGAGAAGAACTTGTTTGCTTGGAATGCAATGATCAGCGGATATGCACACCAAGGACATGCTGATATGGCCATTGCACTATTTAAGCAGATGACATCTAAGGTTGCTCCGAACTATGTGACGTTTGTCTGTGTCTTGTCAGCTTGTAGTCGAGGAGGGGTAGTCGAGACTGGCATGGATGTTTATGAGTCGATGAGGAAGAGGTATCACATTGAACCGGGACCAGAGCATTATGCCTGCGTCGTGGACATGTTGGCTCGATCTGGAATGGTAGAGCGGGCCTATGATTTCGTAAAAAGATTGCCCATTAGACCAACTATCTCCATCTGGGGAGCTCTTTTAAATGCTTGCAGGGTGCATGGGAAGCCAGAGATTGGGAAAGTGGCTGCTGATAAGCTATTTGAACTCGATCCAAAAGATTCTGGCAATCATGTCCTGCTGTCAAATATGTTTGTTGCTGCTGGCAGGTTGGTGGATTCAAGTTCTCTCGTTTTTCTCTTTCTCCTGTATGTTCTTTTCCTTAAAGGTATTTTATTGAGTCACTCGGTTTTGGTTTGGATGCAGATGGGATGAAGCTACTCTTGTGAGAAGAGAAATGAATGATGTTGGAATGAAGAAAGATGCAGGCTGTAGTTGGATTACAGCTCAAAGTAGAGTCCATTTCTTCCAAGCTAAAGACACATGCCATGAGAGAAATTCTGAGATTCAAGACATGCTGGCTAAGTTGAAGCAGCAAATGGAAGCTTCTGGCTACATCCCAGACACAAGCTATGCTCTTCATGATTTAGAAGAAGAAGAGAAATCAACGGAAGTTTGGCATCACAGTGAGAAAATCGCTTTGGCATTCGGACTCATAGCCATCCCACATGGAGTACCCATTAGAATTATGAAGAATCTGAGAATCTGTGGCGATTGCCACAGCGCCTTCAAGTGCATCTCAGCCATTGTTGGCAGAGAAATACTGGTGAGGGACAATAACAGATTTCATCGGTTCTGGGATGGCCAATGCTCTTGTAAAGATTATTGGTGATGAGATGAAGAAATCTGGCTGAATTAAACTAAGGATGGCACCGAAGAGCTTCATCAGAACAGAAGAACTGGCAGCAGCCTCAGCACCTATTCTCAGCACATCCCCAGTGGAATCTACATCAGACTCGCAGCCAAATTTCTACAAGGAGGTCATATTCAATTCCAGCAATGAGCAATCTGATCAGTTATTTTGTTTGATTTCTTGGTTTAAGAATTTTGTGCTGACTGGGTGTCGGTATTTGATTGTATAGCAAGAACAGATATGTGGGCTCTTGGAGATGGAGACTTCGATTTGGATTCAACGCAATAATCCTGAATCTGCTGACTGCATTCTCCCTCCACCTCATTGATATAGGACCCCCCAAACCAAGCTTCAATGTACTGTACAGAGGAGACAAATTCGCAACATCTCCCATCTCACCCGAATGGTTGATTGTTTGGAACTTCTGTACCCTCTTTTGTGACTTGGTGAAGAAGCAATTTCGTCATCTTGAATTCTGTAATTTGTTCCTCTGTAAGAAACTCTGGAGCTGGGTATTGAATGGTGGTCCAGTCCAGCTTTGGAGAAAGGGGTAGAGATTTTCCAGAGGGCATTTCCATGGCGTTCAGTTGGGCAAGTTTTCTTCTTTTGATCCACATGGTAAGAATATATGCAAATATAATAGTGTTGTTGAGCAGACTGATGACAAGTTTTGATCCACATGACAAGTTTTCTTCTTGTCCCCTAACCTTGGTCTCTTCATGTTCAGGCTCGATGGACCGGAGGCGGCAATTCGAGACGGGTAGGATAGCTTTCTGATGGAGTCTAGTACATAGATTATCTGGCCAAGGTTCTCTCTCATTCTAGTATCAGGGAGTTCAGTGCAAAAAGCCATGGCCTGTGTGACGAGTTCCGGCACTATCCTAAATATGCTACATACAACATTTCATCCCTTCCTGTATTGATAGTACACTAATGTTAAACAAAACTTCTGCTTCATTCATCCTCTTCTAGCTAGTACTCGACCATTTGTTTAAATTTCTTCATCAATGTGGCCAATCGCTTCTGTATAAACACTTTCTCGTCTTTCCTTCCAACCTTGTCCAAGTAGAACACTATCTTCTTCAGAGTTGGCATCGTCTCTCGACTCCCGACACCAAAGTTGTCCTCTTGAATCTTCAGCACCTGTTGGAGCATTGCGAGCAGTTCAGCATCTGCCTTCCCTAATCTACTCTGGATGGATACCAAACAATCCAGAGCTTCCCCTGTGGTGGAGAAAAAGACCTCACAAGTCAAAATCATGGTCGTTTTCAGCTCCGGATGATTCATCAATCAAAAAATTTAATAACTGGATCGATAAAAAGGAGCTGTAACTTACCAGCAGGGATGGAATCCTTCCCAAATGCTTTCTGACGAATGTGCAATGCCTCGAGCGCAACTTTTTCTGCTTCATCGTCCCTTCTCAAATGGTAGAGGGTAACTGCAAGTTGCAACATTGGAAATGTAATGGATCCATCGTCATCGGGGGTCCCACTTTTCCTCATCATCTCCAAGCTTGTTTTCAGGAGCCGCTCAGCCTCCACAAAGTTTTTCGACTGTGAGTAGGAGGTGGCAAGGTTTAGGAGATGGGTTACTGAGCTGGGGTGTTCTTTCCCTTTATACTTCTCAGTAATCAACAGGCACTCTTCCAGCAGTTGCCTGCCCTCTTTCCCTCTTATGATCACAATCAAAGTTAATTTCGGCCCCAAAAAACACAATTTTTACGAAGTTTTCAGCACAAAGGGGGAAAATGCATTCTCACAGGCATTTTTACCTTCCTACCACGTGAAGCAGTTCAGCTAAGTCGATCCTCATCTTCTCCATCACACCATCATCAAACTTCGTGTAGCTTCCATTTTTCATAATCTGAAGAGCATTTTTGTATAAATCGATAGCTTCTTCAGCTTTCCCTGCAAGATATGAGCATGTATATGTTGAGACCTTTGATTTTATGGAAGTGATGGGGGGAAAAAAAGGATAAGCAATATGTGTATAGCATACACTGGAAGTGATGGAAAGTTGACTTGGTTACCTGATGCGCACTTTGCATGGGCAACAGAAGCCATGGCCATTCCCACTCTCCCATCACCCTCCCCATATAGCTTGGAGTAAATGCTTAAGATTCTGGAGAGAAGAAAAAACAGCTACATGAATAAAAAACTAGGAAAAATGTGAACTCTTTATGATTAGGTAAAAGAACATACAAGTATACCTAAGAAATGGACTTTCTGCATCAGCAGCTTTTCCTTCCTTGACTAAAAGGCTGCCAAGAGAAAATAAAGGTACAACCAAGTCTTCACTTTCAGCACCTCTGCTTGATTCCAAGATATTGATAGCACGCTGGTAGATTTCTACAGCTTTCTTGGCCTTATGAAGAGAACCAAGAACTTTTGCCATCCCCAGCAAAGGCGACACAAGGTAAGTGCTAGACTGCCCTACAAGAAACAAGAACAATGCCACAGTTGAACTCAATGCTTTGTTTGATTGACCAAGTGGCTACTATTGAGGTTCATATACAAAACCAGTTTCAAAACAGTTTCCAGCCTCTCTTGTTCTGAAATTAAATGTTTCTTATTGCGATAGTTTGACACCCATGAAACAAAAGAAATTTAAATCTTTGATGAAAGAAACATTTGCAAGGGTGTCGTCCTGTCAATAATCCGCTGGATCCGCACAAGGAGATCCAAGGAGCCCAAGTCTGACAACTTTCCAAGTTTTTCTTCAGAGTATGAAAAGAGAAACTCCTACAGGGCATCTAAAACTTGTAGTCAACCTAGTAATAGATTCTAGAAAGAACAATTACTAGTTATTAGTACCAGAGCAATATAAACTCAGTTAGCCGTAGCTGGCAAGAGCAGGCAGGCAAAGATTTCAATATACCATATGGCAAAAGTTCTGTTGCTCAGTAGAATGAAAAACAGTTCCACTTACCATACTTTTTCTCTAGAAGATTGATGCCTCTCTGATATACAAGCATAGATTTCTCATACTTCCCCATCGCTGAATACATGCTGCCCATATGTGTCAATACTGAATCCAGAACAGGTATGTCATCATTTAGCAGGTCAACAATCTCCTGCAACTGTTCAGCAAATCATGTCAGTAGAAATACTAGCTAAGCACACAATACAGTCATGAAAGATTATCTTTGTAAATCAACAGTCAGGGGGAAAAGGTACTAACTGTATCCAAAACACGTCCAATAAGATCCAAGTCTCCAAGAAGCAAGTGGCCCAAGGCTACAATGTCAAGGGTGGCAGCCTGTTCAATCCCTTTGGTACCTTCAGCAATCTGTTCTTTGACAAATTCATAGTTTGCCTGAAGCAAGTCTCTTGCTTCATCCTTGCTTCCCATTTTAACCATCGTTTTGACTTCTTCAAACAACTCCTCCAACTGCATCTGAAAATCGACCGCTCCATCTGAGTGGCTCCTCGACTCGCCAAGAAATGGTTCACTCCTGCTAACCAAAACTAACACAACCGAGTCACAAAAATCTGTTCAATATTTTCAATCCAAAGAAGTTAACAAAAGAGAAAAAAGGCAACAATATATAGAGACAATGACCGCAGAGGCATGCAGCATAACTACAAAAACAAACTCTCCCACCTCGTGGAGTCCCTCGATGCCGAGGCTCGGGAAGAAACGTCATTTTCTTGGCATGCCGTATCTGCATCTGCCGAGCCAACAGAAGCGAACATTCTCGATGTCCAGTGGCGCCGATGGGCAATTGTTGAAGGGACCATATATAACTTGGTATCGAATTGCTGTTTTCCACTCCGAATTGAAGCTTTTAAACATATAATGTCTTCCCACCTGGGGATCGACTGTGCACATACACATGCTCTAGTGAACCTGAAACGTCAATGGAAGAAGATATACAAAATTTTAGCTTTAAACTATCCACAGTCTGCAAGCATTTGACTTGCTCGAATTGAAAGTTCAATCAATTGCAGCCTTCCTTGGTACATAAGCTAGACAATCAATACGACTGAAAGTAACACAATCTAATATTCTGCATAATTCACAGCTTCCAACTAAACACCATTAACCAAGAGTTCTCAATTCAACCGTTTTTAAACAGAATTCGCTCAGTTCTTTCTCCTTCCGAACGAAGATACAAGTATTCGAACTCATAATTTCAACTTAAGAACTCTACAAACAGTACGACATGCCACTTGCCAGCGACACAGGCTACCTTATCAAGAAATGAAGCGTGAATCTCTCAAAGCGAAGAAAGAAAAGAGAGCGACAGAGAGAGGACGTACTGATTGTCGGCGAAGCAGGGAGACGATAAAATAGAGGCGGCCATTCGCCGGCAGCTAGACCGTTACCTTACCGGAGAGGAGAAGCGAAGCAAGAGCCTTACCGTATCATCTCAAAAGCTATCAGTAAAAGGAATTGCTCAGTGTTGTCAATGGCGATCGGTTGAAGAACGGAATATTAATGGGCTCAGCGGAGGAGGTTTGGGTCCGGTCTTGCCCAATCGTATCAGGCCCAGCCCAATTCCCATCTCATTCGGGCCCAGAAAGGCCCTAAATACCAGAGGGAAATGCCGCGATTGTGAAAACAAGTTTCCCACTCCTTCCGGCTACGCGCAGTTCCTCTTTACTTCTAACCGATTCTGTACCGGTCTCCAGTAATGTCCGACGAAGATCCCGCCGGCGGACCCCCGCTGCCGCCGCCATTGCAGCAGGATTCAGCTGAGGATCGCGTTCTTACTGAAGATGGTAAGTAGCTTCTGAAATGCAAAACCGCCGGTTGATTTTGCTGCTCTCCTACTTTCTGAAAATTAGGGTTCCTTTGGGCAAGGGATGGAATCTAGCAGCTCATTTGGCTGCTCGTAAGGTTTACTGTAGTGATGATAGTAGTTGAGAGCGGGAGGAAGCACTTTTCATCCTGCCCTTCTCTCACTCTTGCTGGAGATCTTCATTTTATTTTGTCATACTCTCTGCTACTCTGCCAATTAGTTATTTCTTCTCATTCTGCTGTATTTGAGAAGTCGGCTTAATACGGACTAACGGGAATTTGGCGAGGTGGGTTTTCACTAGCTTGTAGACCCTGAAGATGGAACAGAATTTCATCATGGCTGACTGTAGGTAGTTGGTCTAACAGAACTACTTTTCCCTGTATCAGTTATATCGAGTTGCAAAACTTTCAAGAATCAACTGATGGAGTTTATACAGAAGGAGCGAATTCCTTCACCTGTTTACGAGACGACCAAAGAAGGTCCCTCGCATAAACCTATCTTTCATTCAACAGTGATAGTGAATGAAGTACGTTATAGCTCTCTTCTTGGCTTTGGAAGTCGTAAAGCAGCAGAGCAGTCAGCAGCACGGACAGCCCTCTTGGAGCTAGCTAAATCTGGTCAAGGCGATTGTAGCATTTCTCAACCAGTTGTAAGTGTATCATTAAATCAAAACAGTAAAATGTTACTCTTTTTTTTTTTTAGTTTGCAATTTCAGCCCGTTTAAAAGCAGCATGATGAACAATCATTCTCTCAGTGTAGTCGTATACTTCATCTTCATTCAGTTTCCTGACCGTTGTTTGTGTTTTCTTTACCTCTTCAGCATGACACCGGGCTATGTAAGACCCTGATTCAGGAATATGCTCAGAAGATGAGTCTTGGGAATCCTTTGTACGAGCATCAAAAACATCCTGGAAATGTCTTTCAATGTTCTGTGGTGATTGGATCGAGGAGGTATCTTGGAGAGGTGGCACCATCCAAAAAAGTAGCTGAGAAAAAGGCTGCAAGAGTAGCTTGGCTTGCTATTAAGGAAGGACCTGCAGAGGTATCCAATCACTCAGCTGAGAAGTCCTTGGTGACAGTAAGTCTTAGCAGGAAGAGGGTATTGGAAGCCCCGAGTATCCCAAACGAGACAACCAACACCAGTCCCCAGGCTAAGAAGGCTCGATCCAGAAAGAAACATCATGGGAAGAAGAAGAAGAAGCCTGAGAGTCAATTACCAGAAAGTGGACCAAGTGAACATACTAGCAGTGATTGTCATTTTGAAGATGGTGACCCTGGAGCGGCATTGGAACAGATGAATGTCAGCATTTCAACACACGGACTCCAGCCACCGTCTTCGTCGCAGCTGGATTCAGCTGGTGATCGCGCTCGTACTCAAGATGGTAAGTAGCTTTGGAAATGCAATCCTTATAATCGCCATTGATTTTGCTGCTCTTCTACTTTCTGAAAATTAGGGTTCCTTTGGGCAAGGGTGGGATCAAGGCTCATTTGACTGCTCATACGGTTTACTCTGCTGCTGGTAGTAGTTAAGAGCGGGATGAAGCTCTTTCATCCTGCCGTTGAGATTGTTGCGATCAGCAACAGTTATCCTGTTTGCTGCCAGTCCCTAAGCCTCTTCTCTACCCCTCCAGTGTCCTGCTTATTACTTGAATTGTAAGAAGAACATCGTGGAATGTCCTTCCAGTTGCTTGATTCCCTCCTGCGCCTAGTTATCGATAGACGTAATACATGATTAGATTATTGTCAGTCAACTCTTGCTGAAGATCTTCATTTTCTGCTTGATGTACTTCTTTTGGCCTACTTTTTGGAACCCTGCCAACTAGTTATTTATTTCTCTTTCTACTGAACTTGAGAAGTCGACTTAATATGGACTGAAGGGATCTGGAGAGGTTGTTTTTCACTAGCTTGGTAAGCCACTAGACCCTGAAGATTGCACAAGCTTTTAGTTCAGCTATGTAGGTTCTCGCGTTGGTACTCTCTCAACAGTTGACTTATCGGATAAATATGGAAGAACTACTAGTGTAGTGAATAGCAGTAGCACTACCACTTTCTGACTCCTGGTTTGATGAAGTTTTCAATTTTATTTTGCTCTGAGGTGTACGGAAAATTCTGTGATCTAGCAGTTTCTTTATTTCTTGAACTTCTTTGAAAGGATCATGATTCAGTTAATCTTGCAAAGCCAGATTTGATTCTTTCTTGTGTTGTTTCATAATGACTAATAGTAGGTAGTTCGTATAACACAACTAATTTTCCCTGTACCAGGTATATTGAGTTGCAAAAACTTTAAGAGTCAACTTCAGGAATATGCTCAGAAGATGAGTCTTGCGGATCCTCTGTACCAACTTGAAGACCATCGTAGACATGGTTACCAATATTCTGTAGTGATTGGGTGGAGGAGGTACCTTGGAGAAGTGGCAACATCCATAGAAGAAGCAGAGATAAAAGCTGCAAGAACAGCTTGGCATGCTATTAAGAAAGGACATACAGTGGTACCAGATAGATCAACTGAGAAGTCCTTGCCGGCAGCAAGTCTTAGCAGGAAGAAAGATGAGGACTGTAGTTTGATTACAGCTGAAAGTAAAGTCCACGTCTTCCAAGCTAAAGACACATCCAAGGAGAGGAACTCTGGCATTCGGAAAATGTTGGCTAAATTGAAAGAGGGTGTAGAGAAAGATGCGAACTGTAGTTGGATCACGGCTCAAGGTAAAGTCCACGCCTTCGATTCTAAAGACACATCCCATGAGAGGAACTCCGACATTCAGAAAATGCTGGCTAAACTGAAAGAGGATGTCGAAGCTGCTGGCTACGTCTCGGACACCAGTCCTGCTCCCGATGTTTCAGAAGACAAAGAAGAGAGATCGGCCGAAGCTTGGCAGCACAGTGAGAAAATCTCTCTGGCATTCGGACTCATATCCATCCCTCCTGGACTACCCATAAGCATTCTTAACAATCTGAGCATCTGTGGTGATTGTCACAACACCTTCAAGTGCGTATCAGCCATTATTCGCAGACAATTTCTCGTCAGGGAGAGTGACAGAGTCCATCGGTTCTGGAATGGCCAATGCTCTTGTAACGATCGGTTCTGAATCGTTCATTTCTCGGTCCTTTTCTGTTCAGGATTTTATCAGAACTGTGTCAGAGGAGTTTCATGTAGCAATGAGATGAAGTCTTTTTCGATGTTTGTTTGCACTTGCAATTTATCTGGTTTTCGGGGGCAAGAAAGGTTTGATTGTTGTACTGTATTGGAAAACACAGGAGAAGATTTAGGCCCATCCTCGCCCCGTTGTCGAAGAACTCAGCCCATCATATTACTCAATGAGCTGACTGCGCCTAAAGCCCATTATGATAAGGGCCCAACAAGGCCCTAAAGGCTAAATGCCAGAGGTGAAAACAAGTTTCGTTTCCCTCCCCGTGTTTCTCGCACCCTGCTCTGGCTTCCCACTATCTGTTTGTCACTTTGTCTTACGGTTTCCAGAAATGTCCGACGGACAACATTCCGGCCGGCCCCGGGCGTCGTCGTCGCAGCAGGTTTCTGCCGGAAAATACGCTCGTACCGAAGATGGTAATTAGCTTCCTGAATGCGATCTTTATGATCGATGCTGGCTTATGCTAGCTTTCTTACTTTCTGAATACTAGGGTTCCTTCCGTGTCTAGTAGAATGAGTCCCGATTCCTGCTCGTTTTCCTGATAATTTACCTGGATGCTGCTCTTACAAAGCTTCATATCTGTTTCAGTTGGAATCTTTGTTTGGTACGCTTGGCATTGTAATAGCTGAATTGCGTGGGGAATCTGTGGGATTTGGCTCTTGTTGGCCCTTCAGTGTCTAGTTTATTGCTTGAATTGTGAGCAGATCATCGTGGAATAGCTCTCTTAGCAACATGATATGGCATGTCGTTAAGATTGCTTGATTCACTCTCTTGCCCGGTTCATCATGGATTAGCTGTACTCTTTGATACTCTGGTCATTAGTTATCTTTACTTCAACTGAATTTAGGAAGTTGGTTTAATACTTGGTATAAAAGGGATCTGGAAAGCTGCTTTTGAGACTAGCTTGCTAGACCCTTAAGATAGCCCAAGCTTCAAGTAATTAGCGAAGTGGGTTCTTGTGTCGGTAACTCTCTCGATAATTATCTTATCAATGAAATATGGAAAGAACTACTAGTATAATGAATACTACTACTGCTCTCCTAGTTTGTAATAACATTGTTGATTTTGCTTGCAATCATGGTTGTGTGAGGCGAGCGTGGGATTCTGTGTTGTAGCAATTTACTTACTTCTTATTCTTCTTTGAATGGATGAGTAGCATGCTTATCTTGCCAGATATATTTGATTCTTGTGTTGTTTCATCATTAGTTTTTTTAAGTAGTTGGTATAATACAAATGTTGTCTTGTGCACAGGTGTATCGAGTTGTTACATCTTCAAGAGTCGATTACAAGAGTATGCACAAAAGGCAGGATTTCCTACACCTGTATATGAGACAACCAAAGAAGGCCTTCCTCATGAACCTTTCTTCAAGTCAACGGTAATAGTCAACGAAGTGAGATATGACTCGCTTCTTGGATTTATAAATCGTAAAGCAGCGGAGCATTCAGCTGCAGAGGTGGCCCTCTTGGAGTTAACTAAATCTGGTCAAGTGAATTGTAGGATTTCTCAACCAGTAGTAAGTGTTTCGTTAAATCTTATTAGTGAACTCTTACTTTTTGTTTTTAATTCATATATCCAGCCTATTTAAACACAGCAGAGGGATAAGTTTACTATTGATATGATTTATGAACATTCTAGCAGTGTAGTTACTTCATCTTTGCTCAGTCTCCTGACCGTTATTGGTGTTTTCTCTATCTTTCAGCATGAAACTGGGCTCTGTAAGAACCTGCTTCAGGAATATGCTCTGAAGATGGGTTACGCGAATCCTTTGTACCAGCATGAAAAACTGGAAACACGAAAACATCAATGTGGTTACCAATGTTCCGTAATGATTGGAGGGACAAAGTACATTGGAGCAGTGGCAACATCCAAAAAAGAAGCAGAGATAAAAGCTGCGAGAATTGCCTGGTTTGCTATTAAGGAAAGTAGTATAGAGTTATCTGAAAGATCAACTGAGAATGCTATGCTGACAGTAATTCCTAGCAGGAAGAGGGTGTTGGAAGCTCCAAGTGTCCCAATGGAGACAACCACCACCGCTCCCAAAGCAAAGAAGGCACGATTCAATAAGAAAATGCCTAGCAAAAGATGGCATGGGAAGAAGAAGCCCACGAGTCAAGTACCAGAAAGTGGCCCAAGTGGACCTATTAGTAATGCTTGTCATTCTGCAGATGGTCAACCTGGAGCACAGTGTCAACACATGGCTGTCGGTGGGCAGGCACAGTGCCAATATCCAAGAGGAATGGAAGGTGCTCTAGGAGAAAGCATCAACAGCAATCCTACTCTAGACAATAAAAATCTGATGTTGCAACAAATGGGCGGGCATGGTGCCAATATCCAAGAGGGAAGGATCAGTGGCAAGTCAAGCAACACAGGATGGCTTACCCTCTGTTGTGGGAACTCTGGTGAAGACTCCAAGGGAGATCCATCAGTAGCAACTGGTGCCCCAGGGGACAGCGCACCATCTGCTGTGGGAAGTTCGACACCTGCTCTTGTTGGTGACAAAGGCTGCCAGACTGCCAGTGTCAATCACACCTGTGGTCAAGATTTTGCCGGAGTATTTGGAAACTCCATGGGAGATACTACAATGGCAAATGGAGAAGTCACAGAAGATGGCAGACTGTCTGTTGTGGGAACTCAGGCCGCTGATGTTGGTAGCCATGGAGCCAATATCCATCACCCAAACGGTGAAGATTCCATTGAAATTTTACAAGAATCCAAGGGAGATACAACAATGGCAAGTGGAGTGACGGAGGGTGCCAAATTTTCTTCTGTGGTAACTCAGGCAGCTGATGTTGGTGGTCATGGAGCCAATATCCATCACACAAATGGTGAAGATTCCACTGATATTTTACAAGAGCCCAAGGGAGATACAACAATAGGAAGTGAAGATGCCAAACTGTCTGCTGTGGAAAGTCAGGCAGCTGATGTTGGTGGTGGTAGAGCCAATATCCATCTCACAAATGGTGAAGATTCTACCAAAACTTTTCAAGAGTCCAAGGGAGATACAGCTTTGGCGTGTGGAGCCACAGAGGACTACTTATTTTCTGCTGCTGGAACTCAGGCACCTGATGTTGGTGGTCAGGAAGGCAACCATGAAACCAATATCCACCCCTCGAGTGGTCTGCATTCCACTGGAACGATTCAAGATTCCGAGGGAGATACATCAATGACAAATGGAGCCACAGAGGACGCCACGCCATCTGCTGCTACAGAGGATATTGTATTATCTGCTGCTGAAACTCAGGCACCCGTTGGTAGTCAAGAAGGCAGCCACGGGACCAATATCCATCACACGAATGCTCTTGACTCCACTGGAATGATTGACACTTTCGACGGGGATACATCCATGGCAAGTGGAGCCCCAGAGGACGACACGCCACCTGATGTTGCTCGCGACGAAGGCTACCAGACTGCCAACGTCCATGAATCCAATTGTGGCGATTCTACTCGAGCAATCGAACGCCCCAAGGAAGATGAAACTATTGCTGAGGGGAGCCATGGAGTTAGCCAATTTGCCAAACAGCTCAACAGCTGATCAGTGCTAGATCTTGCCGGAGGTCGCTAGTAAGAATCACCTCAAGTCCAGCACTGCAAGAAGCTAGTGAGAATACTTAAAAGGTAGCTAGGCTGATTACCGTCTTCCTATAATGTAAGTACCAATAAATACTTCTTAATGTAAGTGTTATTGGATGTATTAAGGCGGTAATATATCTCATTTCTTGGGCTGAAAACTTAAAATTGAACCAATTTGATGGCTAATTTCTTGCGTTTATATACGTTAATCGGCATGCAATTGAATTGGTTCAACCGAAGAAATTGCTACTGGCCAACTAGGTGTGCGACCAACGAAGTGTGGAACCTTGTGATTTAACGGTAGGGATAGCGGGTGCACTCTGATCTGTATGAATCTGCTTGCACCAGAGCACTGCCCTCAGGCAAGTTCAACAATCTTTCTCTCGACACTTCACACTAGCCATGGCAATGGGTCGGGTTGGGCCGGGTTTTGTCAAACCCAAACCCAAACTCATGGGTTTATCCGCCAAAAAAATTTGGGGTAAAACCCGTTGGGTTTGAAAAAATCAAACCCGGGTTCATGGAACAAGTTTCTTTCAAAATAAACGTTTAACATCAATTTTCTTATACAAATTATTCATACAAAAAACACCAGTCTAGAGCATACAAGCAAACCGCAAATGATCAATACAAATTGTTCAAAATTAAAGATAAACATCTATAAACAATAAGATTAATTGAAAGCCTCTTCCTCGTCAACTAAGTTTCTTCACTCTCTACTTCATAATATCAACTTCATTCTAAACAATTAGAAAGAACAAATTATACATGTCTCCACAAACATAAAGAATATTAGTTGTTTAAGGAAGATATATTCTTTAGAATATTAAATATACCGGGAAAGTAACTATATGTGTGTGGGCGGGTATACCTAAACCCAAACCCAACCCGGTGAATAGTGTAGCGGGTTTAAACCCAAACCCGGCCCAAAACCCATCAACACGGATTTTACCCGCGTTGACCGGGTTGGGTCGGGTGGGTACCCGTGGGTTCGGGTTTTGTTGTCATCCCTACTTCACACCATCATGAATTCCTTTGATGTAACCTATGAATTACTGCCTCTAGCATTCTCTCGTACTGCCTCTTGTATATAGAGTTTTAAGTTTTACGTCCAATTTTGTATGTGTAGTTAAAACACACTCAAGGTCAAGTACATGATATTCATATCCAATCTATACTTATAGAATTATGAAAGCAAGATCCATACCCTACCCAAAGTCATCTAAGCATCTACAAACCTCCAAATTCATATACACTTAACCCATACCCTGCCCATAATGAATGAGTCTATTTGAGTTTAGATAAAACTACCCATGCCCCATGGTGGGTAATTGCCATCCCTACCCATAATCACTTGCCTTATCTCTAAGTAGTAGCCCTTGTTCCATACTAGCAATTCTCCATGTTCAAGAAGTATCCAAATTTTTGCTCGTAATGTGATCGCTACAACTACACTCCTAACACACAGACTAAGTGAAACCAATCAATAGGGAGTGCAGTATAAGCAATAAATATCCAATCCTCAGGTCTGTAGATGTATTATTACTCGGTTTCAATTTATTTTTTAGCAAATTGGATTCATATTAAACAATTACAACTACTCTAGCAAACTACAGAACATGTTATACTAACTATAACTAATTACAAGGTAAGAACTCACTCATGTAATGATTCCTCCTAACCACTGGTTGGATTAATAATTAATAATTCTCAAACTTATTTCACTCTTTATCCATATTGCAGAGAGTATTTGACAAGTCTTGAATACTAATTAAAGCAATCAAGAGCCTCTTGATTCAATTGTTTAGAAGGACACTATCCTCCACTAATACCATCGATCAAGGCAGTTCACACTAGACTTCCTCTATTGGGTCAGATTCTCACCCAATACAAAATAATGAATTGACTCACTTTCTCATAATTGATTCCCCTACTTCCAATCAATGTTGATATATCAACCTAATTAGATATTCTCTCATAAGTCACAGCAAAAATCAATAATCTTGGTTAAACCTGAATTGATCCATCAAACATACATAGATTGGATATAAACTCAGGTTTAAAAAGTAGAGTAATTAGGCAAACATCAAATCAAAACAAATATATATAGCTAATGTTCCTCAAACTCATGTGAAGGAAAGTTACTCCATAGAGATGATATAGAATAAATAAATTGCCTCATAGCCAATGTTATCAAGCCATTATCTAGTTGAGTGGTTGGACTAGGTCTGAACGGAGCCGGTTCCCAAATAGCCTCTAGAAAGTCATTTTCCCTCCATGCCGATAGCTTGTCAAAATCGTAAAAAAATCAGTGGTATATCGTGGAATGTCAGCTGGATGAACTTAGTATAACTTGTATCAGTTATGAAACCTAATGAAATATCACCGGTATGACAGGCACAACGATATAAAACTGGGTTGACAATGTTTCTAGTAACGAACTGATTAACAACTTTTCCATCCTCTCTACCTTCTCTCTCTTCCACTCCTTTTTCTTTTCCTTCTTCCCTTTCTTCCCCCTTTATGTTACAGTTAACAAAAATTCAACTGAAGCCTCCTATCATCATTACTAAATTCCAAATTTCATCAAGACTATCCCGATCATCGAGTTGGGGCTTGACAATTAGTACCCTAATTCTCTTCTTTTTATGTTTGTTGTTTAGATCTAGACTAGAAATTATGGCGAATAGTAGCACAATTGTCCGCGCACGTTGCTGAAGAACGGATGAGTGATCGTCACCCAGGGGCGGATCTAGGTGAAACCTCCCCCCCCCCCCCCCCCCTCTCCCAATCAATGTTGATGTATCAACCTAATTGGATATTCACTCATAAGTCAAAGCAAAAATCAATAATCTTGATTAAACTTGAATTGATCCATAGAACATACATAGATTGGATATAAACTCAAGTTTAAAAAGTAAGAGTAATCAGACAAACATCAAATCAAACAAATATATATAGCTAATGTTTCTCAAACCCATGTGAAGGAAAGTTACTCCAGAGATGATATAAAATAAATAAATTGGCTCATAGCCAATGTTGTCAAGCCGATCCTTATCTAGTTGAGTAGTTGAACTAGGTCTGAACGGAGCCGATTCCCAAAACAGCCTCCAGAAAGTCATTTTGGCTCAATGCCGATAGTTGGTCAAAACCGTAAAAAATCAGTGGTCTGTCGTGAAATGTCAGGCGGATGAACTTAGTATAACTCGTACCAGTTATGAAACCTAATGAAATATCACCGGTATGATAGGCGCAACGGTATAAAACTGGGTGGACAATGTTTCTACTAACGAACTAATCAACAACTTCTCCATCCTCTCTACCTTCTCTATTTTCCACTCCCTTTTCTTTTCCTTCTTCACTTTCTTTCCCCCTTTCTGTTACAGTTAACAATTTTCAACCGAAGCCTCCTACCGTCATTACTAATTTCCAAATTTCATCAAGACAATCACGATCGAGATGGGGCCTGCCAATTAGTCCCATAATTCTATCTTTTTTTTTTTTATGTTTGTTGCTTATACCTAGACTAGAAATTATGACGGATAGTAGGACAATTGTCTGCGCACATTGCTGAAGAATGGATGAGTGAACGTCACCCAGGGACGGATCTAGCTGAGGTCTCGCCCCCCCCCCCCCCCCCCCCAACCAGAATTTTAAACCTATATGAAGTTTGGAAAATTGCATATAAACAAAGGTTATTAATTAAACTATTATGTGCGAAAATACAACATACATCCCTTCCTAGCCTAGCCTAGCGGTAGGTGATTGAGCAGAGTTCGATCCTGCTGGATAGCATGTTAATTGAATTTTATTTCTATCTCATTTTCATTTTTTCATTAATGTTTTTCGTTTTTTGTTTTCTTTTACCAAAATGTTGATTTATTTTAATATTTTGGTTTAATACACTTGTATATCCAAACTTTCACGGTTGTGCCAATAATATCCAAATTTTCCGAAATACCACTTATATCCATGTTTTAAAGTTGTTCTTTGCCAAATCTATCCATTTCCCAATATCTTTTTGGTTAAATACACTTGTATATCCAAAAACACCGTTAAAGAATGTGAAGGAATTGGATATAAGTGGTATTTCAGGAAATTTGGATATTATTGGCACAACCATGAAAGTTTTGGATATACAAGTGTATTTAACCTAATATTTTCTTATAAGTTAACGTTAATGTTTTCTCTTTTTTGTTTTTTTACCAAAAGATTAATTTATTGTAATATTTCCTTATAAGTTCAATCATTTTAAACACACCAATCTAATTTTTCAACTTATGAATTTGTATTTATTGTCTTGGTTATATTAATTATCTTTAAACATCAATATATACATATATTCAGTTGTAAAGATATTAAAAGATACGCTATATACAAGTGTATTTAACCTAATATTTTCTTATAAGTTAACGTTAATGTTTTCTCTTTTTTGTTTTTTTTTTTACCAAAAGATTAATTTATTGTAATATTTCCTTATAAGTTCAATCATTTTAAACACACCAATCTAATTTTTCAACTTCTGAATTTGTATTTATTGTCTTGGTTATATTAATTATCTTTAAACATCAATATATACATATATTCGGTTGTAAAGATATTAAAAGATACGCTATATATTGGAATGTTAATTTATTTCTTGTTCATATAATATAAGCACTTGTTTGGAATATAATACCGTAAAAATTTATCTTTCATTCATATAATTTAATCACTTGTTCATATGATTCACCTTTACTCGATAGTAAACTAAAAAATCCCCCCCCCCTCCCCCGTGAACCTTAAATCCTTACTCCACCCCTGTCGTCACCTAAACGCAAACTACAAGACTAGTCATCATACCCCAGAGCAAACTACATGATTGGCCATTACCACCTAAGAACCAAATCTTTAATACTCTCCTCTTCTCTCTCTCTCTCACAACATTCTCTCTTCACTTCAATTTCCTGGATCATCCAAGAATTCATCCACGTCAAAAGAAAATCTCTCTTCATGAAGAGATCCTTTGTTTAGACCCTCGAATGGATCTTCTTCAGCATTCCCAACTGAACCTCCTCCATCATTTGCTGCACCATTCCCATTATAACTTGTTCAACCAACTATTATTCATCCCTTGGAGGTTCCAGGAGCTCCTCCTCCCTATAAGGCTCCAGATCGTGCTCCTCCCTCCTCCTCCGTTTGAAGCTCTAGATGCTACTCACTCTTTTGAAACTCCATATTCTTCTCCTCTCTCTAGTCCTGCTTAACGGTAGCTCGTGGAGTTCTGCGGGAGTGGCCGCTGCGAGCACTGTGAGACTAGCTGAGGGAGAGTCTAACACTAGAGCGATTGTGGGAGCGATCTGTGCTTGATTACACACTAAGAAGGTTCAACCGCTTGTTCAAACCCTCGATCAGAGAAATGAGCAGTTGAACAAGAATTCATTTTTGAATGTCAAAGACGGCTACATTATGATTAATGTCATTCTTTAGGTGGTTGACGACGTAAGCGAGCATGGGTAGCTTCATCAGATTGTTGGTTTCCTCTTGCTGCGCAACATCATCAGTTATGACAAATTTGAGTTGGTGAACTTTCTTGACCTTTGCTCCCCAATTCTTCATGGATTTTCTTAGCTCGAACAGATTCTTGTAGATGTTGTCCAACTTCTCGAACAAGATGTTCGTTTTCTCAAGAAATTTCTGACATGTCCTCGAGGTAAGGTGCGAGGGTAAATCTGCTTGTACTGACCACATTAGAAGCAGGTGGTATACTTTGAGGCATAATCCCTGGACTAGAAGGGCCTGGAAAAGCACAACCAAAAGTATCTTAAGCCACAAGACCAAGCTCCACCATCTGATCCACTGAAGGCTGGTGTAGATATACTTTGAGGCATAAGCACTGGAACAGAAGGGCCCGGAGCACTACTGCCAAAAGCACATTCACTAACCAGACCAGGCTCCACCATCTGATCGTACGATGGTTCAGTAGCAGCCCGGTTAGGGCGATGCCCGCTTAGTTACCCTCTCATGATTGGTGAGGGAGCTACGAGATATTGGACCGAAAAGCACCCTAAGTCACCAGATTTGCAGAGAATTACCTTCTCACAGTCAAAGGTCAAGATATATAGTAGTTCACTTCACCCTCAAATATCTAATATTGGAATCTTAATGGATGATCTCTGTCTGCAACGCTTCCATCATGTATATCTTCAATTGATCCTGAGACGCAACTTTCGCAGGTTTGTATCAGTTCAATTTATCGACATATTTTTCTTCTTCTTGACAAGGACCTTCAACTCGACTAGCTTTCACATGTTTTTTACTACTAATTCCTTAAAATTTGGTATAACCATCTGTTATAGGATTCTAGTGGATCAATTTTTGAGATAACAAGACCAAATGAAAGTGAACGACGTGAAGATTGTGCTAGCTACCATGAACAACTAAATACTGTTTCAGTTGTGGCTCTTAATTAAGTGGTTTGTTATAATCCAATGAGGAAACTATGGAAACAACTCTCTGGAGCAAGTGTGAAACTCGTAGAAGACAAGCCAGATGTGAGTGAAAAAAGATTATCCAAATATTGATTAATTTTTTGTCTCGAAATTTTTAAAAAATTACATAACTTTTTTTCCTTCAAAATTAACAACTAACTATAACAAATTTTAAGTGAAACATAAAATTTAGACGAAAAATAAGTATGATTTATTGAAATAAATTGAAAAAAAGGTAGGAACTAGGAAGCTAAATTTGGTTTCTTAAGGAATTGGGGTAAAAATGTGTTTTGACAAATAAGAAAGACATTTTTTTATAGTTTATAGAGTTGAAGTTAGTCATGCCTATTATTGGGAGCTAAAAAAATGGAGGGTTGGAGTGGGAGAAAAAAAAAGAAGCTAAAAGTCCAGGTTTAGCTATTTAGCTTACTAAGTTGGAATTAGTCTAGCGAACTAATCAACAACTTTTCTCGCTAATGGTGCCTTTAAAAAATATCAACTTCTTTTCCCTCCTCTCTACTTTCTCTCTATTCAACTGTCTGGAGCGAGTGTGAAACTCGTGGAAGACAGGCAAGATGTGAGTGAAAAAAGATTATCCAAATATTGATTAATTTTTTCTCAAAATATTAAAAAAAAGTTATATCTTTTTTTCAAAATTAACAACTAATTATAACAAATTTTAAGTGAAACATAAAATTTAGACGAAAAATAAGTATGATTTATTGAAATAAATTATAAAAAAAAGAAGGTAGGAACTAGGAAGCTAAATTTGGGTTCTTAAGGAATTGAAGTAAAAATGTGTTTTGACAAATAAGAAAGACATTTTTTATAGTTTATAGAGTTGGAGTTAGTCTTGCCTATTATTGGGAGCTAAAAAAAATGGAGCATTGGAGTGGGAGAAAAAACAAAGAAGCTAAAAGTCCATGTTTAGCTATTCAGCTTACTAAGCTGGAATTAGTCTAACGAACTAATCAACAACTTTTCCCGCTAATGATGCCTTTAAAAAAATATCAACTTCTTTTCCCTCCTCTCTCTTTCTCTCTATTCTTTTGCCTTCTTCCCTTTCTTAATAGTTTATGTTACTGCTTATGATTCTCGATCGAAGCTTAACCTTTGATTGCAAGAAGATAAGTCTTTGCGCGGAGCTTCTTTCCTTGAAGAACTTTGTCATTACAAGGATAACGATCTTTTCGACCCACAATCTCGTAGCTCACTCACCATTCACCAACCCTGAGAGGGGGCACTAAGCCACAGCCGTCCAAATCGCCCCGCTACTCAGTCGGAGGAGGATCAGAGGGTGGAGCTTGGTCTAGTGACTGAAGGTACTTTTAAGGGCCCTTCCGGTTCACGACTTATGTCTTAAATTATACCACCAATTTCTAATGTGGTCGATACAAGCAGAGGTACCCTTGCACCTTACCTCGAGGACCAGTCCCAGAAATTTTGTGAGCGAATGGACATCCTATTCGAGAAATTGGACAACATCTACAAGAATTTGTTCGAGCTCAAAAATTTCATGAAGATTTGGGGAGCAAAGGTCAAGAAAGTTCGCCAACTCGAATCTGGCATAACTGATGTTGTGGGGCAATAAGACACCAACAATCCGATGAAGCTTCCGCTGCTCTATTTATGGGTCACCCACCTCGAGAATGAAGTCAATCATGATGTAGCCATGTTTGACATAAAAAAAGGGCGGTTGCCTAGTAGTTCCTTTCTTTGACCGAGAGTCTGAACGAGCTGTTGAACCTTCTCCCTTGTGATAGGCTTCGAAGATCCTCTGTAATATTGACAAGGGAGAGACGAAGCGTCGGCCCTCTTGATGAGTCATCGAGCATAGATCACTCTCGCAGTCGCTCTAGTGATGGACTCTCCCTCAGCCTGTCTCGCGGTGGTCGTAGAGGCCGCTATTGCAACACTCCACAAGCAACCACTGAGCAGGACAAGAGGGAGGAACAAAATCTGGAGTTTCACATGGACGAGGTACATATGGAGCTTCAAATGGAGGAGTTTCCAAGGAAGGAGCAAGATCTGGAGCTTCCAAGGGAGGATACCTGGAACCTCTAAGGGAAGAATAATAGTTGGTTGAACAAGTTGGTGGGGGGAATGGTGCAACCAATGATGGGGATGTCAAGTTGGGAATGCTGAAGAAGATCCATTTGAGGGAGCTCTTCATAAAGAGACAATTTTGTTTGACGTGGATGAGTTGCTGAATGATTCGGGGAATCGAAGTGATTATTAATGAGTTTGTTCTTAGGTGATGATGCAGTTTTCTCTGAGGTATGATGACTAATTTCGTTAGGTGATGATCACTACTCCTATAGTTTGTTCTTATCCACAAATCAATGAATGTAGAAGGTGAACGGTTTTCAGGTTATTAGTTGTAGAAGGGTTTTAACTCTAAGCTGAACAACTTTGAATTGATTTTAACTGTGTGACCAATTAGGGTGGTCAAGTTTGAAAGTGAACAAGTTCCCATTGATGCTAAGGCAGGCACGAAGCATTAGAGAGAGCATTAGCGAGATTGTAGAGAGGATTGGGAATTGTCCTGATTTTCTTTTGATCTGTCTACTGGCTGAGCTACTTTCATCGTCTCGATCGTACATGGAACCCTCTCAAAGGGATTACACTTGCTACCCTCGATTTCAAGCTTAGTAGAGGGCATTTTCTGTTAATGACAACAGTCAACGACACTGTAGGCTTGGTTTACTTATCATGTAGTTGAACTCATTTTTCTTCTAGCCGGTAATAGTACATAGGAGATAGGACTACCCTAGTAGAGGGCATTTCTCTTATCTATACAGTCAATGAAGCTGGCTTGGTTGACTAAATTACCCTGTTTCAAAGTCGAGCAGCCATTCTGTTAGTTATCTTTCAACCGCAGCTCAGGCTGGAACAAACGTTCTGCAGCTGGCAGAAGAGGGAACCAGACTAAGGACTTGAGCAGTCTTTTCCATCTTGATTTTTCGCTGAGACTTCTGTCATATCTAAACATCGTTCTGGCTTTCCCTAATCATACCAAAGTTGTAAAAGCAGAACCAGAAAGGAACCCAAACCCAGCTCAGATCTGCTCAAACATAGGATCCCTAAGTTGAGAGATACATGGTGTGCTATTACAGGCCATGTGTGTTAAACTTAAAACACATACAAGCTGCAAAACTTTGCCTTTTTAGATAACAGCAGTGTTCTCTTTCACCAGTTACCATATTTGTTCTCAGAGTAACTCTCCACCAGTAGATTTGCTACCTTAAGTGTGCATCATCTAAACTAACCTCAGAAAAAACTAAGATCATCCTATGTTCCACCAAGCCAAGCCTTCATCCTCGTTGCTCATACTCCGGGAATGGGGAACTGGGTTGTCAAACCCTCGACCTGCTTCCTGAGATCTGACAATTTATCTTGTAGAGGGAACTCTGGCGATGCAACGAACTTCAAGAAATCCTGCAGCTTTGGCCCTGAAGCTAACGATTTAGCTTCCAGTGATATTTGCACCCCTTGGTGAATCAACTCGGCTGTTGCCACAAATTCGCTCTCCTTGAACCCTCTGGTAGTCATGGCAGGCGAACCAATGCGAATTCCACCAGGGACCAAGGCACTTTTATCGCCTGGGACTGAGTTCTTGTTGAGAGTTATGGAAGCCAAGTCCAGGATTTTCTCCACTCGAGCTCCATCAATTCCCTGTTAATGGATGTAAATCTAAGAGACTGTTTGGGACATCAAACCTCGGGCAACAAGAGTAGACCAGTTTGCAAGAAGCAAGAAACTTACCATTGGCCTCAGATCTACCAAAACAAGGTGATTATCACTCCCGCCAGAAACAAGCTTATATCCCAATTCGCCCAGTCGCTGTGCTAGCGCCCTACAATTGGAAACGACCTACGGGACAGACATAAACTAATGAGATGATACTGGCATTCTTGATTTTCACATGAAAACGGCATCCACAAATTTGTACTACCTGCTTCTGGTAAGTTTTAAATGCAGGGGATTGAGCATGCTTTAAGCAAACAGCTAGGCCTCCAATAGTATGATTATGAGGACCACCCTGTAGCAAGCAAAACAACCGAGTGAGAGAATGGCATAGAAACCCTAAAGAGAATACACCTTTGCATTGGGGTTTTGCTTACCTGTAATCCGGGGAAAACAGCATTGTTAATGGAAGATTCTAAGTCAACACCGAGAATAGGGTCCTTCCTAAAGAAAATCATGCCACCTCTGGGACCCCGTAGAGACTGAAGGAAAACAAATGCAGGGTTGTTAAGCATTTGCATTCAACTGAGCTACTTCAAAACTAAACAAGAAAATTATAAACTTCTATTATTAAGATTGTCAAGAGAGTTTACCTTGTGTGTTGTTGTTGTCACAACATCACAGTACTCGAAGGGATCACCAACCACAGAGGCAGCGACTAGCCCACTTATGTGAGCCATATCCATCATGAGGAAAGCACCAACAGAATCTGCTATCTTTTGGAATTAAAAATATATCATTAATCAACTTCCTTATTGCAACTCAAGGCAAGGGGAAAGTAGTGTGCAGAAAAATAAAAACAAACTTACTTTCCTCATGCGAGGATAATCAAAATCGCGGGGATAGGCACTGGCACCAGCAATGATAAGTTTTGGTCGAAACAGAATAGCAGTCTTTTCAAGCATATCATAATCAACCAGACCTGGATCAAGAAGAGTTTGATATATAAGACAATATATAGACCAATATCTTCAGGTTCTAAGTTAGTATTTTTAGATGCCTTGCCTGTGGACTCATCAAGGCGGTAGGGCATAGACTCGAAGTATATTGAAGTGCCAGACACCCGTCTTTTAGGAGTCATGAATCCATGAGACAAATGTCCTCCATGTGGCAAATCCAAACCCTGAGTGGAGAAAAATGAGCTTGTACAATCCGAAAAGTTAAAAGTTAACAGCACCGCATTCAGAAGATAGGGCTACTAGACAGGTTACCATGATTCGGTCGTGCGGTTTAAGAATCGCAGTGTAAACCTCAAAATTAGCAGGAGAACCAGACAATGGTTGCACGTTAACACCCCACTTGTTTCCGTCCAAGTGAAAAGCGGCCAAAGCTCTTTCTTGACATAGTGTTTCAAGCTCATCAATATGTTCATTTCCACCATAGTATCTGAAGCACATTCAAGGAAAGAGCTTCAGGCACAAAAGGGCATACAAAAGGTAGAGATTTTGAGCCACAAATTGAGTAAGGCTTTACCTTTTACCAGGTAGACCTTCAGAATACTTGTTAGTCAGACAAGAACCAACAGCCTCCATAACTGCCCGAGATGTAAAATTCTCGGAGGCAATGAGCTCAAGGCTTTTGAACTGCCTGTCCTTTTCCTTTCTGATAATATCATGAACCTCTGGATCAGCATCAGTAAGTGCATGGTCCTGGAAGCCACTTGTATCGCCTACGTAAAACCAAAATTGCCACTTACGCTAAATCATTTCCTTCTAGTTCGTGTTTGAGAGACAGAGAGACTGCGAGTTTGAGATAAAAGTTTCGAACCTTCAGCTTCTGGAATCGGCACAGAGACGGATGAGGGAGGCCTGCCAGTCACCAAGCTACCTTCAACAGACACTTTACAGGGTTTCAATGACTGGAGCTTAACCTGACGCGGGAAGAGAACAAAAGTTGGCTTCTTGGGAGCGAAAGATGTTCCTTTGCTCCAAATGGGCTGTTGTAGAGAACCCATAACTGCAGTTCCGGTGCAAGCCTCCATATCTAATTATCGGATTGAAAAGTTCCTGCCTTTAAAAGGAACCCAAAAGAGTTATGGGGAAATTAGGATTGGGGAATAAAGAGAGAGGAAGGAAAACAGCCTGAAGAATAACTACAGAACCAGAGCCCAGAAGATAGCGTACGAAGACCGACTGAAACAAATGATAGGGGGAAAGGGAAAGGAGAGAGAGATAAACCCTTCTTCACCTATGGAGCGAGCGGCTACCAAAGCAGATGGTTCTGGCAAGAGCCGAAAGCAGAGGATTTTTTCCTAGCTGGGGCAGTGGAGGCGCATGAATGAATGGAGAAAACCCTGAAACGAAGGGAGGGAGTAAGGCGAGGCGAGTGACTGAAGAAGGAAGCGGTTGGGTCGCATAAATGCAATTATAGGTTTTTCGGGTCGGGCCGAACCATATTATGCCCAAGTATTTTTAAGATTCAAAGTTTAACTCGAGTTGGTCTCTCTTAAATTGATAGAAGGTGATTACTATCACTATCACTATATAGAGATCCAAATTTTGAATATAAGTTTTAAATTTAAATTGAATTTTGAATATAAAATAACAAAGATGATATGCGAAGTCTATAAATAACAACCAAACGAAAATTATGGTCTATATTTACACATGAAAAATCGACAACACTACCAGAATTCTAACCAATACCTAAAGATTCGTTCTAAGGTTAGTCCGTTGTAAAAAGATTTGTAATCAAGTAACTTGCACCTTTGTATAATTCTTACAACACTCTCTTCGGACATAGGTCGATCCATATCTCCCTGTAATTAATAAGTGATTCGAAAGTATTATTTCTTCTTTACATAACTGATGAGATAAATTTATCCGAATAAATCGCAAAAGTCGGTCCAAGCACTACTCATCGAAGTCATCGATCACAATCTAAAACACAAAATGAATCTCCTCTTGCATTACAAAATCAACTCACGAAACACACAGCTAAAAATACGTTAATTTCCTCTCTACTATTGACTTTTACTAGTTGATTATCTCGTCTTCCGATGACAAGCTATAAGAAAAGGCTCAATGATTTAAATTCAATTCCCAAGATATCAAATATTGCTGTTTCAATATTGTTTGAAATATGTGTATACTATAGAGTTGTGACTTATGACATTGACCAAGGATGATTATACATTTGAATAAAAAACTTAATTCCCCAATTTTTGTACTTAAAAGAAGGAAAAACAAACTAAAACGCCACACCGTTTCACCATCAGCTAGCCTCCAAGTAGGGATGGCAATGGATCGGGTTGGGGCGGGTTTTGTCAAACCCAAACCCATGGGTTTATCCGCCAAAAAAACCCGGGGTAAAACCCGTTGGGTTTGAAAAACTCAAACCCAACCCAACCCGCTGGGTATCCGCGGGTTCATGGGTACCCGTGGGTTTTTGTGGTAAAAATTTACAATAACGAGTTTCTTTCAAAATAAAAGTTTAACATCAATTTTCTCATACAAATTAATCATACAAAAAACACCAATCTAGAGCATACAAGCAAACAACAAATGATCAATAAAAATTGTTCAAAATTAAAGATAAACATATATAAACAATAAGATTAATTGAAACCCATGGGTTTATCCGCCAAAAAAACCCGGGGTAAAACCCGTTGGGTTTGAAAAACTCAAACCCAACCCAACCCGCTGGGTATCCGCGGGTTCATGGGTACCCGTGGGTTTTTGTGGTAAAAATTTACAATAACAAGTTTCTTTCAAAATAAAAGTTTAACATCAATTTTCTCATACAAATTAATCGTACAAAAAACACCAATCTAGAGCATACAAGCAAACAACAAATGATCAATAAAAATTGTTCAAAATTAAAGATAAACATATATAAACAATAAGATTAATTGAAAGCTTCTTCCTCGTCAACTAAGTTTCTTCACTCTCCACTTCATAATATCAACTTCATTCTAAACAATTAGAAAGAACAAATTATAGATGTATCCACAAACATATAGAATATATTAGTTATTTAAGGAAGATATATTATTTAGAATATAAAATATACCAGGAAAGTAATTATATGTGTGTGAGCGGGTACCCATGGGGCGGGTTTACCTAAACCCAAACCCAACCCGACCCGGTGAATAGTGTAGCGGGTTTAAACCCGAACCTGGCCCAAAACCCGTCAACACGGGTTTTACCCGCGTTGACCGGTTTGGGTCGGGTGGGTACCCATGGGTTCGGGTTTTGTTGCCATCCCTACCTCCAAGCCTTTATCCGCCACGCCTTCTTCTCCATCTCTCTGGTCCACACTCCCGGCTAGTGATGGCAATGGGGCGGGCCGGGGCGGGTACCTCAATTCCCATGCCCGCCCCACGCTACTACGGGTCGGGGCGGGTAAAACCCGCGCGGGTACGGGACGGGGCGGGTCGACCCACTCTTGCATGTTGTTCAAAAAAAAATACAAGTAAATTTTACTTTTTACAATAAAACGTAGGGAAAAACACTTTAAGAATGAAAAATATTGATAATAGAATGGATAATTGAGCCTAACAAGTTGAAAGATCTACTCTAACTAGTTGAAGAAAAGTCAAAATAGGATAAATATGGGGTAGTTATCATAAATGGTCACAAACCTATTCACTTTGTACAAAATGGTCACAATCCTTTAATTTTGCACGTTTCGGTAAATAAAGTTTGAGCAAATAACGAAACGGTCAATCCGTCCAATTCCGTCCCAGATCGCCACGTCAGAATGCCACGTCAGCCCACTTAACCCGATTCTTCAACCGATTCAAAACAAAACCCTTACCCACACTCATGACTAGATACGCCCCCCCCCCCCTATAAGAACAAATCCCTTACCTTTCACCTCCATTATTCATCCTCTGTTTCCCCCTTCCCCCTTCCCTCTTCCTTTGAACGCAAAAAACCCTAAAATCCCAAATCAACACAGGCCGAAATGGGTTCCCTGCCTACTTGTAAGTGTCAAGACAGAGTTGTTTTACTAACATCATGGACGGAAGATAATCCGGGTAGAAGGTTCCTCCGCTGCAAGAGAAATTATTTGGTAAGGATTTTGAATTTGATTCTGATTTCTGTGTTGACTATAAGAAGATTTGGTAACCATTCTCTTCTCTTTCATTTTATGAAGAAATTATCCCACCACTGTGATTTTTTTGAATGGGTCGATCCTCCAGTTGAAGCTAGGGCCAGAGCTGTCATAAATGGGTTGTTGAAGAAGATTAAGAACATGGAAATAAGATCAAGGGAAGAGAGCATGCTGAATGAGACAAGTTCTTTTTCATCGACGGCACGCAACGATGAACAATCTAGAAGGGGCAAGCAAAGCGAAGATCTGTATGCACGGACAATTAATCTAGTTTATGTAGTCGTTTGTGTGATTGTAGGAATAGTTATTGGTAGATATGTGTAGTGTAGAACATGAAAATCCTCCTGTAAACTTGTTTCTGTTTTGTTCGAACTAAGTTTGTTCAGTGATTCTGTTTCTGGTTTGTTCAAACTAAGTTTGCAACGTTATTTGTTATGGTAATATAGCTTTTTTGTCGACAACAACATGGTCATAATACTAATTAATAATAGACAGAAAGATCACAATAGTTTTGCCAGTGTAACAATATGGTCACAATCTTTTGGTCATTGTAACAAAATGGTCACAAAGGTATGGCATAGAGAGACTGCTGTAAGAGTGACTTCAGTCAGCGATAGAGACCTGTAATGGACATTAATTTGAGGAAAGACCATCAAACCTGCATATTTAAACATCCATATTGTAGATTACATTCACCAAGCTGATTAGATCCTACTTGACATGGGTTGGCTCGTCACGAAAGTTTCAACAAGCAATCGACATGTCACAAAAAAGATGTTCACAAAAAATGATCTAATCAGCTCCTAAAAGAAAGTTCAATGTCTGCTGGTTCTTCAACTACTCGTTATGCCTGCCACGACCCCTACCATTGTTACCACGACCCCTTCGAACTGTGACCTTCACCCTAGGCCGGTTCTCAGATGGTGGTACAAATGCTGGAGTAGGCATGAAGGTTGAGCCCTCGACACGCTCGCCATCTTGAAGAGATGCAGCTACTGGAGAGCCTCCCATGTGTGGCGGAGAGGCTGCCATGTGTTGAGGAGATGCTGCCGATGGACCTGCTGCATCATCCCCACCAGATTTCTGGAAAAAAATAATAATAACAATATGGCAGCATCATTTCCATTGGCCATAAACATATTTCGGAAGATTAATGTTAAAGAGAACATGGGCAGATTCTCACCTTGTCGTGGAATCGGCTATTGTGTCCTCTCTCGTGGCATACTGTGCACGTCATCTCGCTTCCACCTTTGGACATAACTGTGTATGATCTTCCACGCTTATCTTTCTTTGATTTCTCCAACTCCCATGCTTCCTTACGCCTCTTCTTCTGTATAGGACCCCTCTTCTTCTGTTGAAATATAGGCGATTCAAGCTCAATGCAGTCATCATGAATCCATTGACTGGAATCATTGAGAGGGCGGACAACAAAAGAGTATGCTTTCTTGCATGTGTCGACACGGTAACAATCATCCATATACCGCTCCGGATGATCGTTGTTCATTTTCATGCATGCAATTGCATGTTGACAAGGGATGCCATTGAGCTGCCAACTACCACAAGCACATGTTCTATTCCTCATATCTACAACATATCTGCCCCTATGTGATTGCACCTGATATTCCATATTCCCATTGAAGGTTGGGAAGCAAAAAGCAGCCCAAGCCTTGTACATTTTCATCTTCTGTATGGGCTTTGGGCAAATACTAACTCCTTTCTCTTCTAGACGCTGCATTATCCTCTTCTTTACAGCAACTCTCTTCATTACTTTGCCAAATATGTCTTCTAAGCAAGAGAGGATTGGCATGTCTCTCGACTCGAGAATGTACTTGTTGAAGCTTTCACAGTGGTTGTTAACTCCCATGTCACATTTGGTGTTTGTTCTATAGAAGGCCTTGCACCACTGAGTTCTATCTCTTTCCATTAGCCATTGATGCGGTGTTTGATCACCAACCTTATAGCCTTCCCCAACTGTCTCTATCTCCTCCATGACTGCCAAATATTGTGCCCGATAAGTCGAACCGGCAGCACCATAGAAAAGATCTCGGAGCTTCTTGGACCTAGTGAACTTGCCACTAAAGTTCACGAACATATGGCGGACACAATAACGATGCTCGGCATTTGGGTACATAGAGTTCATCACGTTCATCAAACCCTAGCATCCAAAAAGCAAGCAAGACAAAAACACACAGTTATAACTATACCATCATAACAATAATAACTCAACATACAACAGTGGTTGAGAGGAGGGGATTTCATTCCATTTAAATGAGCCCCTCCAAAGAAGGGAGTAGACCAGAAGTAGTAACAAAAGAAATTCACAGTAAACCACTTTCACAACCACGAAACAAGCAACAAAAGTTAGATAGAAATTTACCTTTTGCCTATCGGACATGAAAGTCCAATTTGGTGAGTCGTCTATCTCCAAATCCTCTCCCAAATGTGCCATGAACCATTCCCATGTATCTGTGCATTCTTTCTCTACTATTGCCCATGCAATTGGGTACATGCAGTCATCACCATCGATACCAACAGCCGAAAGAAGCTGCCATCCAGGCATAGCTTTGAGAAAACACCCATCCACACCAACCACCCTTCGGCATCCAGCTTTGAACCCTTCTTTGATTGGACCCAAACATATGTAGATACTCCGAAAAACATTCTCAGCATGTTCTATGATCACTATAGTGCCAGGATTTTTTACCTCCAACTCTTTCTTGTAAGCATAAAGCTTCCCAAACTGGAGACTATCCTCCCCATGAACCAATTTTAAAGCTAACTGCTTGGTTCTATAGGTCTTCATTCGGTTGATCTTCAAACTCAAATCTGTTATCACAGTGTGCACGAGATTTGGTATCGACCACGATGGATCCAACTTAAACCGAGTTAGATACTTCTTGGCAAGGAATGATGGTGCAGCAGCTCGTAAGTCTTCATCAACTCCACAAGTATGCTCCAGATTCCCAGTTCTGATTTGCACAGTGTCACAATCTCTTAGCTTTGCAGCATAGAGTTTGAATCCGCAGTTCTGTGAGCACACACAGATGCAACGCTTCTTGTCGTTGGTGGGAAACTTCACATCTCTCCTTTGCACAACAGCATGTGACTTGCAAGCAGCCTTGAAATCGTCAAAAGATCCAAATAGATGACCAATCTTCAACTCAGGTGTAACATCCCAAACCTGGGATATTAATTCAAATCAATTTGGTTCGATAGAAGGAATAATGTTTTTTTTTCCAAGCATAATCGAAGACTCAACGCCAAAACCAAAGGAGCAAACGAGGATTGAAGTGGGCTGGAGGAAGAAAATACCCGGCCATGACCAAAAATACCCGGCCGGGTATATTTCTTAAGTACCCTATCGGGGATTTTGTTAGGTCCGATCAGGGATTTTGTTAGGTCCGATCGGGGATTTTGTTAGGTCCGATCGGGGATTTTGTTAGGTCCGACCGGGGATTTATTAGGCCCGACCGGGGATTTTGTAGGCCCGACCGGGGATTTTCCCCTTAAAAAGAACGGTTAGTTTAATAATACCCGGCCGAAATCCAAAATACCCGACCGGGTATTTCGACCGGGTATCGCGACCAGGCAGCCTATAAAAGGAAGAGGAAGATACACAATTCATACACAACACGTTTTCATTCCGAGTTTGAGAGAGAGAGAGCAGTTTCTAGAGAGAGAGAGAGAGAGCGACGAGCAAGAGCTCTCAAATGCTCTAGATTGGTTTTCAACACCTTTGGAGGCCAGTTTGAGCTTGGAGAAGTGCCGATCAACGTCCAGGAGCCGGAATCCGTCCTTCGCAGATCGTAAAGACGAGGAGAATATTATCAAGGAGTATTGGAATTTTTACAACAGCTGTGCAGAGTTGATTTACGTCATAAATAAGGTGTGTGGACCCTGCGGTGAATAGGCGGTGTTTTACTACGTGCTATATGTTTAATATTGAAACATAGCTGAGGATTTAACGAAGATAAAATGAAGAATGTCGTTATTATGATTTGGGGTACTCGAGTAGAATTGGATGGTTCATAATCGAGTATTTGGAATTTACGATTTTGTAATTGATTCCTACGAATCGTGAAATTCCTTGAGACTTCGTTGTAATTATTTCAATAATTCATGACGTGATATCAGGCCATGAGTTATGTGAAATTACGCCTGCGATTGAATAATTATCCTAATACGATTACTTGGGATAATTGTTAAACCACAATCGGATTCGTGAAAATTTGAATAATGGACAGCTACCATGGGAGAATTCTGTCTAGGCTAGTGGTTTTTAATCGAGACCTTTGTGGTACTCGTCCACTTACCTGGGAATTCACCCGGTGAAATCTTTTGGGAATATGGTTGTAAGAAGTGCACTACGAGTAGTGGCACTCATTCCTCTTCTCAGAGTTTTACCACGGCGGGTCCGCCTTTCAAATTACTTGGTGATTTTCACCGATTAATGGTTAACGAACCATGTACGAGGATTCAAACCGTCCACCTTATACGTTGAACGTACGATAACGATAATGGTTGCTAATGAATTCCTACTCGATAATTGAATGGATGATTTGATGAATTTAGTATGCATGATATGCACAAATTACCCTATGGCATAGACTTGGTAATTACACCAAGATCGATTGAGATGGATGATTATTATATTGAGATTATGATGAGAATGATGATTTTATATGATGTTCATATTAATCACATAGACTTAGAAAGGGCCTGCATTTACCCCCAACCATTTGATATCATTACTTACGATCATTAGGATCGATGAGGCCAGTGGCCAGAGAGATATGATTGTGGTTTCTGATATAACCACTGAGATGATGAGGCTCGAGCGGGGGTGGATGTATGGTGACCTTGGCGCCAAATTAATAAAATGGAAATGCATTGCACTTGCACATTGTTTGGATATTGGATGCTAGGTTGAGAATTATATTAGGTTGAGACTTCAACCTAGATGCCATGATTAGGTGGTTAATCGATTGATGTGGAAAACGTATCCATAGACTTCGCCGTGTAGGAGGGAACAGCGCCACACACTCAGCTAAATTAGTTAGCTGACCCATTCCCCTTTTGTGTTCAGATCCGTAGCAGAGGGACCGAGCTTGGACGTTGGAGCTGTGCAACTGCTACTCCATCATGAGGTAGCGGACGATTGGTCGGAGGAGAGTTTGAACTATGTTTTGTGTTTTAAACCAAGTATCATAAACATGTATTATGTTGGATTTGATTGCATCGAACTTGATCGATTGAGTTATTATGATTTATGGATTGTACCAAAGTATGTAAGATGGAGATTTGAGTTTCAACGAACAAGTGTTTGGATTTGATGTCATGAGTTGGATGTTGTATGTTTAATAAATGAGATTGGATATTAATAAAGGTGTTAGATTCACCTCGAGTTATGTTTAGTAAACAAAAGTTGCATATGTGTTGAATGATGAGTTAATACGTAAACCCCGTTAGTATTTTCTGCTGTGCGGGCGAACCAGTGGTTCGACCCATGAGTTTTAGGGTGGGGTGTTACATCAGGCATCTGCATATCCCTTTCAACCCTAAACTCAGGAAAAATGGTGTTTATGTTGAACACGTCCTCTTCTTCTTCGCTGCCCCATCCAGTCTTCTCCAATAACTCACCTTCACTTGCATACAAGTCGTCTCTCTCGAGGACATCTTCATCTAGAACTTCTTCATTGGCGTTAGTTGCAGCTGGTTGCTCTTTATGGGATGACCCTGTGGAATTTTTACCTTGACTCCCCCCTGAAAATGTATGTCCATGTCCCCTTTTAACTGAAACTGATGGCGCTCTAATTTCTTCCACCTCCCTCTCACTGCTAGTGTGAACGAAATGAGCTGTATCTGGGCTGCCACAACTGGAATTTGTATGCTTAACATACAAATGAATAACCCTGTCTTCAGGAACATGCCCGCCCATCTCCAGAACATCCTTATCACTCTCCAAAAGCTTCAATCCATTATGCACATCCACACCAGGCATCAACCAAAAGAACTGCATCGCCTGCTCCACTTCTGCTGTTCTGACCATCTCTTTAATTTCCAGCATTGACAATTTGTCAACATCGACAAAGTCAATGTAATCAGTCTTCCCATCAGTGTAGCCCGTGTCGCCAAACTGCCCCATGCTGTGAATCTCAATGGTGAAAAGTCCAGAATTTCCTATAAATAGCAATGAAATCCATTAAATTGTACCCACTAATTCTAATACAAAAATGGGGATCATCTGCTTTGAATCCACAAAAAGAACATAATAGTATAATGGGACCAACTACTTTCAATCCAGAAAAAACGAATAGGATAATGGGACCAGGCACTTTCCCTACCACAACCCGACAACAAAATCAATTCTTTTCCCCAATTCTTTAATAGCAACAAAACCCTCAACACCACATTGTTCTAAACCCTAAAAATTCTTCTGAAAAGGGAGAATTCTTACCATAGTCGGGCTTTAGATGGCGACTCCGGGCCGAACGAAGCTTCCACTCATCCATTGTTCGTTAGCCGGAGCAGCTATGAAATTTCCAGCCACGCATGCACAGAATCGGCCAGGCTTTAGGGGAATATTGCCGAGGATGACAGGAGGAGGGAAGATCGGACGAGGAATCGATTGTCGCCGGCGCGGAGGGCTTGGCGACGGCGACCTAGCTTTCCGGCGCGAAGGAATCGCTCCCGCGCGTCGAGCGATGACGAGCGAGCCACGATCCCCTGCGATGACCAGCGAGCGAGCGACGGCGCCGAATCGGTCTCCCAACGCGCGGCGGCGTTCTGTCTCCCTTCAGAGTTCCAGTCGCGATTTTGGGGGGGTGAAGAATGAAGACAGACTGAATCTGTCCTTCAGGGTGAGTCATTAGTAAATGGTTGAACCGGTTGGAGTCTCGGGTTAAGTGAGCAAAATCATTTTTTATTATTTTTGGGCTGATGTGGCATGCTGACGTGGCGATCTGGGACGGAATTTTGGACGGAATTGGACGGATTGATCGTTTCGTTATTTGCTCAAACTTTATTTACCGAAACGTGCAAAATTAAAGGATTGTGACCATTTTGTACAAATTGAATAGGTTTGTGACCATTTATGATAACTACCCGATAAATATGTATAGATATTGTAAGAAATTGAGATAAATGAGTCTAAAACGGGGCGGGGCGGGACGGGGCGGGGCAGGACAGGTCAAAAATAAATACCCATGTTCCGCCCCACGCTACTACGGATCGAGTAATACCCGCTTCATCACGAGTCAAATTGGATAATACCCGCGGGTGGGTTGAAATTGTCATCGCTACTCCCAGCCCTCACCCTCTCAAGTCTCAACTCTTCTTCCTCCTTCTTTCCCTTCTCTCTCTGTTTTTTCTTCTTCTTATATATAGAGACAATTAGACACAAAAAAACGCTTCTCCATCGATCCTTCTCCCATTTCCTCTGGCTTCTTCTTCTTACTCTCCTCCCGGATTCCCCCAAATCCCAATTCCCCGCCTTGTTCCCGGGATTCCGGCCGGCGATTGCAGCTCTGTTTAATTCAACACAGTTGACGAGTTACCCAGATCGTTCATCATGCCCTTCTGCGAGATTTCCAAGTATCGGCAGGATCCCCCATCTCCCGCCGGCGCCGACGACAATGGCGTCAAGATATTTTACAGGACGTACGGTCGCGGACCAACCAAAGTTCTTCTCATCATTGGTATAATTCTGTCATAAACTTTGCCGCCCCATATTTTCCTCTATATTTTTATCCGTCCTCGTTGATGGATTTTAGGCGGGGGTTTATTCGATTTAGGATTGGCGGGGACGCATGATTCCTGGGGTCCTCAGATGAAGAGCCTCGCCGGTACGGTCATCCCCAATAATGAAATGGAGCCGGTTGACCTTGCCGGCGACGGCGATGGTATTGAGGTTTGTGCTTTTGATAATCGTGGAATGGGTCAGAGCTCCATCCCCGTCGAACGATCCCAATACACGTGAGTTCTTCTTCCTGCGCCTAATTTCCGCACCAGAAATGTGTGTTCAGACCTTTCCGTCATGTCATTTTCATTGATGATATCGATATGAAATCATTCGTTCACAACCCTTTTATTCAATTGCTCCTTTTTTGGCAATTCTTCATTCTAATATATAAGTTTGAACTTTTTAAGTGGTGGGGTTATGGTCAATTTTTTAATATGATGGCGTTAACATGATTCCGCCATTTGGGCTAATTTCAATCGCTTAGAAGATGTAGAAAAGGGATGAAAGACTACTATATAATATGGGATTTCCATTCCAGTAAAGTTCAAGGAAATGGAAGCGTGTTGTAGAATCCAGCAACGGTTTTAGTTTGGTAGCATTTCTTGTATAGTTTGATTAAGACCCTCATCTGATTGCTTCTGTTGTGCTCATTTTCACCTCCCAGGACGACAATAATGGCGAAAGATGCTATTGCGTTAATGGATCATCTAGGCTGGGAAAAAGCTCACGTCTTTGGTCACTCAATGGGTGAGATGGTTCTCCTTTAATTGGGTTTCTGTATTGCATCATAAAGATAAAACACTTTCAATAGCAATCCTACACAGCTGATTATGATGAACATGATTAGAATTGGTTTTAGTAGTGACTGCACAGCCTTTGATCTCAATTTCTCTATACCAAAGTGATGCTGAGCCTGCAAGTAACTGATGTTAAAAATGGAAACTGGTTCTTACTTCTTACTGCAACTTTCAGTATGTGGGAATCACTGTTTCTCATTATGATAAACTACATGAAACAGGGGCTATGATATCTTGCAAATTGGCTGCGATGGTGCCAAAGCGAGTCCTTTCATTGGCATTGCTTAACGCGACTGGTGGAGGATATGAATGCTTACCGAAGGTATTCTTATGACATTGTTCCGATTGTTGCTCTGTTGATCTACCCTTTATTTGTTGCTTGTATGAACTGCCAAACGTGACACGCTGGTCGGCCTAGCCTGCCAGCCATGTCAAGCCTGCAAGAATAGGAAGACTACTTTTGCTGTTTGAATATTCTTTGAGAACTTTGAAGTCAAAAGAGGCAGTTAGAAAATAGCTGGCCTACGAGACTACTCTAATAGTACAACTTCCTAGTCCTCGAGAAGAATTCTAGTCATCTAATTAACGATAATGAGATCACTTCTCGCTACGACGATGCAATTATAAGTATGAAATGTCAAATTCACATGCTTGAATACTTCATTCCTAGGTTTGCTTTCTACAGTTCTCTGCTGTTCTTGAGGGTTATATATCCCTGTCTTTGCTTTTTGCCTTGTTCACTTTGGTATCTTCAAACGACCAAAACACAAGACTTTGGCTTGCTCGAAGAGTTGTTCTGTAGAATTAGGAACGCTGGAATAGAAAAGGGCACATTTTGAGCCTCGAGACAAACGCTGTAGAAGGTCAAAGTCCAAATTTTGTGGCGTTGGCATCAGAGTTTGAAGAAGTCAAGTGAATAGGAGTGGTAGAGATCTGGTCAAATTCAATAAGATCTCTTTTGTACGTGTGGGTCATTGAAGAATGCTCAATTTCTGTTCATTTTTTCACAAAATAAGCCACTTGGAGCCTGGAGGTGGAACAGATTTTGGGGGTTGTTGATAGGGATGATGGGGCATATGATTCTTTTAACTTGCCTACCGTGGGTGGCTGTGGTGAACCCCTTTTTAGTCTTATCCTACACTTTTTTTGTGATGATTTGCATGCCAACAATTTTGACATTTCTTCTCTTTTAGTGCATAAAATGTGAATGGAGTTTACTTGTCCATTCCGAATTGAATGAAAATGATGTGATTGCCAATGTAGATGCCGTAGCAGCTCAAACCTTTCGATGGTCAGCTCCACTGTTAGAGCATGCTTAATTATGTTACAAATAATACACTGAACCAACAGTAAACAACGTTCGATTTTAAGCGCAACTAGTGAATAGATGCGATATGTTAGCTTCATGGCTCTTGTATCTTGTATGTCGTATAAGGTTGCTCAAGGATTTGTGGAAGTTGTAGGGGGGTTACCAAGATGTTAACTTTCTTTTCCCTCGGTGTAGCTTGACCGCCGGACAATGTCGGTAGCAATCCGATTCTTGAAGGCAAAGACTCCAGAACAAAGAGCTGCTGTTGATCTGGACACCCATTACACCAAGGTAATGGGACGAAAGAAACCCTGCCGGAACTTTGTACCGACAACTCAAGTTGAATTCTCCCTCTCTGTTACAATGCGAGATGCGGATTGCTGGATGCCCACCTAGAAACTGAAAAGGAAAATTGTATGTGTGCAGGAATATCTGGACGAATGCATTGGCTCCACCACTAGACGACAGATTCTGTATCAAGTAAGAACAGCAACATTTTCGGCACCCTTTCTTGCATGATCCAGAATAAATTTTTTCATAACCTTACTATTAGACATTGATGCACATAAACACGTAACTGGTCTTGAAGGTACCTGCAGTGATTCTCATAAAAATGTTACCTTTATATCTAAAAAGTGATGCTGCTTCTGGCAGGAGTATGTTAAAGGTATATCATCTACTGGGATGCAGTTGAAGTACGGCTTTGATGGTCAAGTCAATGCATGTTGGACACATAAGGTGACAAAATCAGATGTAGAAGCAATCCGGAGTGGTGGCTTTCTTGTATCAGTCATTCACGGCAGGTGAGAAATGGCTTCATCTTTCTCTAACCTAATTCTGCTGCTCTCTCTCTCTTTGTCTACCTCTGTTAGCAGTGGGGTTTTATGTGCTTGTTACTACCCTACTGTTATGTACCTACAACCAAACTGTTCCAAAGTTGTACCAACAGAAAGGAGATAATCATACAATCCTAAACATATGTAAACTACTATAACTTAAAACACGAAATTCAATTAGTGAGGACTTCAGACATACCAAGAACATCATACTCTGTGGTTTACGTTGCTTCATTTAAGTCAAAGCCTTTTATACCAACTCTGTGTGGAATTTTTGTTAACATATAGGATGTAGGTATATGATGACTTGCCTTTTACTGAGTTCTATTTACTATTGCTTATGAACCTGAACTCTAAAGGTTATGTGTGGGTCGGCTTGCTAAACTACTTGTCAGTAAGTAAAAACTAAGCGTACCTGTACTTGCTTAAAGACTAATCCATGGACCTATAAATGATCTAGGTACGACATCATCGCACAAATATATTATGCAAGGAGACTCGCTGAGAAGTTGCATCCGGTTGCTAGGATGGTTGATCTTCATGGTGGCCATCTAGTGAGTCATGAGAGGACTGAAGAGGTATGTTCACATTTCCTCCGAATAGAGTTGGCTCTTCCAAGGAATGCAGCAGATCTGTAAATCAAGAGATATACTATTAGCATACGAAGGGTTGTATCTTTTGAACCAAAACTGGTCAAGCTAAAATCACTGATATCATCCTAATGCATGCAGGTATACTTGCTTGAGTAAGTAACAAAATTAGGGTCACAAAACTGTGAGAGATCGAACATGTTTGATAGTAAGTTTGATCCTTCCAGATGTTGTCTTTTCAGGTGAACCAAGCTCTTGCTGAATTGATCAAGGCTTCACAAGCAGGAACCAGCCCCGAGGACTGGACAAACATAGTCCAGGAACGCTCCGGTAATTCACATTTTTCAGCTACTCGAGCGTTTGCTTGTGTCCCGAGATATCTAAGAGGGCTACTTTCTTGAATCCATAGTCCACAGCAACAAACATTAATATAATCTGTTAGTTTGGTCTGGTTATGTCAAACAGGGTGGTTGGCGGGGAGGAAATCAGCAGATAGAAAAAAGAGTAAAGAAGGTCGGGTAGCCGAATCCCGGTCAACATCATCTGGCATCTTTACAACGAGACTATATGCGTCCCTTGTATATTTACTCAGTCTATTTGTGTTGGCATTTGAATCCATGAGGAAAGCTCATAGAAGCTTAAGGCCAGCCAAAGTTGGATCTTCCCTCACGTAACAGAGCTTTACAAGCCAAATGAGACCCCTCCTTCCAGTTTTTTTTTTAACCTTCCAGGTAAAGTTTATACCTTTGGCTAGCTTCTGCTGTTTTCCATTCTTCAACTCATTAACAAAAGATCATCTTAACACAACCGCATTTTGTCCAGGAGGGGTTTAAAACCGGAACCTGTGTAGTTTTGCTTACACAACTCGTGTGTTTGTCGGGTGATTAATCCGGAAACAGAGGACAAGAAGAAGGAATGGGAAGAGGTGATGGAAGGGAGCTATGGTCTGAGGCTTCAAGCCATCAATGAAGGCAGAGATCAGATGTAAAGCTCCGACGCCCTCCACTTGATGTACATAAAGTGAAACAAAGACGAGAGAGGTAAACCAGAGGAAGAATGTACATGCAAAGTTCAAACTTGTGGAAGACATAGACAGAACACTCCCTGTGTTATCTACTGCTGAATTTTTGTGTGAAAGAATTAAATGAAACAACTACATGTATCTGATCATTTTGTGGGACGCATCAAGCATATGTTTATCTGAGTGAATCGACTGTGTATTCCCTTTTCGATTGTGGAAGAACATCTGTGAAGCGTTTGGTTAATCAGATTGATTCCACAACCAATATCTGAAATGCTTTTTACGCTCTGTTAGCTTCAAAGACTATTTCATCTGACCGCAGATTAAAAAAGCCACAACTTAACAACTAGTATGATTAGAGGACAAGAGAAAACCAAATTCTTCGCTGGGATTCAGAGGGAAATCGAATACACCATCTTTGAGAAAATATTGAAGAAACATGTTTGTTTCCAACGAAAGAAATATATGTTACTCTGTTTTTTCCTTGCGAAAGAAAAATGTTGATATCGCCACAATTCACTTCAATTCAATCACAACAATAAGACCCGACAATAGAAGAGCAGAGAGAGAGAGGGAACGTGCCTGAAGTAATTCTAATTCGTCTGCGGACGGTGGCTACTCTCTGTATTTTCTACTCTGCACTGACCATTTGCAGGAGAAGAATGGCTGGCGAAGCTGAGAGGGAGATGAATGGCTGGCGAAGCTGGTAGCAGGAGAAGAAGCAGTGGCGGCGGCGGCGGCGGCAATCTTGAATTTGGGTAGGAGAAGAAGTGCAGTTGTCTTTAGTTAGTTGTCAGACCATTCGGTGAAGAAGGCAAGTAGTTTAAAGAGGCAGAGGAATCGGGCTGGTAATATTCCTTTCTGGGTACCGTTAATATTCCCTTTTCCCCTGCTTTGCCGCCAGCGAAGATAAGAGTGAGTGCTCTTGTTGGTTTCCTCCACAGAATATTCCTTCCCTTGTTCTTTCTCCTCGTATTGTCAGGATTAGAGGTCTGCAGCAGCCCGGTTCGATCCAAATCGTACCAAATTGAGATAGAACCGGACCAACATCAAGGAACACTTATGACCAGAGCTAGAGAAAATGTGTTTTAACTTCAGATAGAATTGAAATTGAATTGCACATTATTCAATCTTGTCCAATCTGATTCACAGGTCGATTCAGTTAACCCCATTTGGATCCAACCGCTTAGAGATGCGAGTGTTGTGGAAGAGCGAATGGCCAATAATAACGGTTGAAATTGGGTTATGAGTGCAATCTCTGCAACTGCGGCAGTTTGTAACAAGAAATGCACATTTGATGATTTGAATGAACTATAGAAACAAGAGTTCAACCTCTGCAGAACTACATGAAGCACCTCTGATAATTTGCAGACCATTGACGGTATATAGCAGAGGAGCAAGAATGGTTCTATATCACATAGGAAAAAAGAAAAGGCTACAAGATGTAAGACAGACATTGACACTGTCACACTTGAAGCTGGAGAAAGAAAATACTCCACGTTGCAGGTTGCAGTCCTTTGATCCTTTGACCCTATATCAATGGTGTTCTTTCTGTTTCCATCAATATTCGTCCAAGTATGTATAAAGCATCTCATCTTTCTTCGATTTCCTTCGGCTAAGCAAAGCCTTGAGGATGCGTTTGCTTTTGCTGGGGTATTGTTCAATGTCTTTCGAGTTTTTCTCGGCTGGGACTCGCATCGACAATGATTTCCGTGGCTCTGATGGATACTGTGGCGAGTATGAAAAACAGAAATGAAAACAGAGCTATTCAGAGTTGTTTCCAGCAACATAAGTTGGTTAACTAGTTATGCTGATCATTAAGATGATCCAGAGAAGCATAATCAGTGTTTATTACCCGTTGTCTTGCTGCAGAAGCAGCACTTGGAGTAGTAGGTCTACTTGCTCCTGGTGTTGTTGGTCTACTTGACACAGAACCAGAGCGCAGAAGAGGGAAACGGTGTGGTGAAACCGTTCGCTTATCTGATTCAGTGGCAACAGACATTACTTCAGTTCAGAAAACCAAGAATTAGAGTAAGGGTGTGCTTGTTTTAGAAAGAAGTAAAATTGGCTTAAAAGCTAAAACAAGCACACTTGAACAATTGTTCAATCTAAAAGGCCGAAAAGTGGACTCTGACCTTGTTCTTTCTTTGATGCTGTGCCTGTAAAGGAAAAGGTTGAAGATCGCTGAGGAATTCGAGGAGATGGTGATGGTGTGCTCGCTTTGCTGCATCAAGTTCAAATGAATTAACTTCATTATTTATAGGATACAACTATTACAGTTTTCTGTAATCCTAAGGGCTAAGGGTATCTCAATACCTTACTGAAGCTGGTGGTGTTTCCTTAATGGTAGCTCGAACAGCTTTGCCAAGCACGAAAGAAGTGTACAAACAATAAGACACTGAAATAGTATATGCCAAACGAACAGCAAGCAGAAGAAAAGCAAAATCCTCATAATACCATTACTAAATTGGCGCCAATCATCTTCATCGTCAAGACTGCATCCTTGGTATTTTACTTTAGTGCGGATGGAACCTTGCATTGCCTCCCCAACTGAAGAAAAAGAATTGAGAGATCTGGTATGAGTGCAAATGTCTGAACCTTTAAAATCCAGAAGGATAGAACAAAAAAAAAATGTTTTCTGGAAGACAGAAACATAAGATTAGCATTATTGCCTGGCAGAATGTACCGCTTGTGGTACTTTGGCGCATTTATCACCAGTGACTGTTGAGAGATGCCTTCATGATCAATATACTCTTGGCAAGTCCTTAATCTCTAACACACCACACCAGAAAGGAGCAAACCAATGTCAGCGCCCATTTCATCATTTGTCAGACATCCTTGAGGGAAAAAGCTTAGCAGGATATGAACATTTAAGCAAGAAACAGCTAATGAAACCAAGCGTAGCTTTCAAGCCAGCCTAGTTGTTCATTCGCAGAATCCAGAAACAGAGATGATCTGAATTCTACTGTGCAAATGAACATGTGACTAGGGCCCAGGGAAACCAAGGAATTGAGGTTCAGAATGTTCAAACACAGATAACTGAACCCAACTAACACTAAACCGAATCCTATCTGTCAGCTGCAGGATTCTACCAAACAATTTGCTAAGAAGGCACCATATATTCTAGAATTATGGGCATTCATGGGACTACAGCCAAAAAGTTTCTTTCACAATGCCACAAACGTCTTTTTGCATTCATTTTCATCCTCAACATAATGCTTCTTTACCATACTGTACCATTTTGTCACCAGCACAGATCAATCTTACCTCATTACATGAAGCCTATTCTAAACCAGAGAAACGTGAAGTTGCTTTATGATCTTAAAAAAGAGGTCAATATAGTACACAATGTATGAAAGGAACCAGCTGTGAACAATACCTGTTCAAGACAGGACACTCTAAACTCTGTTCCAGTAACTTCGTCTACTTTTTCATCCAAGAGATCATTAACCTTATACGTCACTGAACCCAAATGATCCACTGTATTCACCAGAGCTTTGATAGCATAATCCTTCAACGTTTCCACCACTCTGCAAATTCAGCACTGCAATTGTAAATGAAACCAAAGAGGCAAACAAAAGAAAAACTGAACTGGGCTGCATCATCTTACATTTGCTTCTGGTCATCATTCGTGTAAGATAGCTCAAAGTACTCAGCAGCTGAGTACAGCTGTGTTCTTAAATTCTTCAAATCCTGAAGTTCAGAGACAGCACAACATTAAACACTCTGCCTTACCGGGACTCTAGTAAAGCACCAAAAGCGTGTGTAATAGAATTTCAATGGATTAGAAGGCGAACTAGTAACAGAAGGGTACCCTACAGTCCCTACTAAAACTAGAATGTGGTAGAAAGCCTATGAGACATGGCAACCATTGGGCTATCACATCAAATCTAACATCATGTAAACTTCGTATCTCCATCCAAAAAAAGCAATTGTGCCATTCTTTCTTACCAAGCATAAGCTAATGTATTGATGTGAATGCTTAAACAAGTAGAAGTACCTTGAGACTATCTGCGAAGAGCAAGCTCTGCTGCATAGAGACCTCATCATAATTTGACGCCTCTCGAGAGACCGAAGATGCGGTCATGGTAACCATGGAAGAGACCTACTTCTTGAACCAAGCCCTTCCTCTCCCTGCTAGAGCCGCAACGAAAAGTCTCACTGGAGAAGTAAGATCACGACAAAAACATTATTCAGCATTGAATCATAAGCTACAACTCAGATAAGCCAAAGTTGCTGCAGAATGCTGGAGCCCCAGTAGCTTGAAATGGATAAGAAACTGAGGAGTATAATAGCTAATATAATAACTAGAAACACTCCACTAGAGAGCTGCATCATGTATGTACTGCAAACGTTCAAACTCCAAAAAAGCATGAAAGAATCAAATGCCAGGAGACAGAAACAACCTTTAACGACAAGATAACAAGAGAAAAGAGACAAAAGCAACAATCTTGAGCTCAAGATTCTGCAAATACTAAGATTTTAATTCTGTAATCCATACCCTACTTTCAGCCATTAGACAGGCTTCTGAGTCTGCTCAGAGAAGGGAAAATATATATTTACAGGGAGGAAGAGAGAGGGAGAGAATCACACCAAACACTCCCAACAACTGCACTTTGCTCCTCCTTAAGAGACCTAAATAAGTAAACTCCATCTGCATTCTTCAACTGTACTCCTCCTTCCCAAACAAAGTATTAATATAATTCACAACCCATAAAAGTGATCGACACCCAATTCTTTAAGTACATCCAAAAAGGCCAGAAGATAATCATTTCCCCGGAATTCCCCTTGTTTTGGTTCCTATATGAAACGCAACAACCATGAATTGGAGAAAACTACTATTTAGTCTCACGCAGATTCACCTCGATCAAAATGGTACACCAAAAGGGATTGATTTCACCTAAAACCCTCCCCTGACTCCCCACCCAACGAGCAGAACCAGAAAACAGAGCCAATTGGGGGATTCTAGGCAGTGAAGAATCAACGAGACTAACCTGATTCACCCTCACCCTCTCTCCCAAATGAGAAACCCTTCTACGCTGCAAAACCCAGCTCCTCCATCAGCAGAAGAGGGGGAAGGCAGGACGTGTTCGGAGTGGCTGCCCTTCTGGCTTCCTAATGCTAGATAACGACGGCGTTGTCTGACTAAGCAGCCAAGTGAGAAACAATGCTCCGCAGTCCGGGTGGCTTAAATGGTTTTGAGAAGAAGAAGAAGAAGGAAGTCAGCTGGTAGAGGTACATAAAGCCGAGACGGGAAGAAAAGCGAAACGGTACTGTGGATGGGAAGGGAAAGAGACAGAATTATAAGAGAGAGAGAGTGGTAGGAAGAAATTGTGCCATGAAGCAGAAGAAGAAAAGGAAAGAGGGCGTTGCCTGAAGGTAAGCACGTAATGCGGTGAAGGCTGCGTGATTGAAGGAAAAGACTAAAGAGCTAGTGAGGGAATTTGATCTTTGGGGAAGACGAACTTTATTGGTAGAAGAAGAAGAAGAAGGAAGTCGCACTCGGTGGGGGAAATTGGGTCCCTGGTTTGTACTAATTAGTAATTAGGCTTTAATTCAGGCCCAAATTTGATGTGGATCCCCACCTGGCCCACCATTTCATGATAGGCATTTTTCTTCTGGGCTAATCACTCCAGTGGGTCATCAGTTGACAAAGCTAATTATATAGCTTTTTTTTTTTCTTTCTGTCAAGCAAGACCAAAATTATTTAAATGATTGTTATTGGATGGGAAGGATGAGACTTTTACGATTAAGAAAAAGAAGATGATCATCTTAGTGTGGATGATGTCAATTTGATCGGAGTAATTTGATTTTTTTTTTAAACTCGTTGTGTGCGGATTCATGTTCACCCCACAAAAAAGGGGATTTGAGTTAGAATTTCATGGGAAATCTTCCTCTAGATTGAGCTTTTTTGTCGAACATCTACAAATCTCAAATCATAAAACTCAAATCGAAATAAGTTAGCTTGCAAATCATATACCCGATTGTATGTGTGGGAAATGGGATGAATGAAAAATAAAAGAAATGTGTAGAGTGAATGCAATTAAAAGGGGATTAGATTAGAGAGGCTACTAAGTAATAAATATAAGCAGCCCCACCAATGCCGGCGATGGTTAATTACCAAGTAATGATCGTTATTGGTATTTGCTAATCGTAATTAATTACGTACATACGTTCATTTCCCCCCCCCCCCCCTACACTGACTGGATTAATTTCTCAACTTAAATTCCCGATAACCACACCACATAATAATTACATAACCACTCTACTTATCCCCATTACTAATTATTTACTGCGCCTTTCTCACAAATCAATTATTTCGATTTTTTTTTTTTACAGCCCACGATTAACCGCTCTCCCACACACCACTTGAGGCCTATAAATAACCTAGAACCACAATTTTCACCCCATTAGTAGTCTTGATGATCATGAAAATTCACAATGATTATGAAATGCTAGCAATGGAGCAGCAGACGCAGTACTTTGATCATCATGATCAGCAACAGCCGCTACTCGACGACGACGAGGACTGGTCTTTCATGGAAGACTGTTACGACGCGTAAGTCCTTTTTTGATATGATGACTTTTTTTATTTTTTCGATTCATACAATCGGTAGTATTATATCTTTGTTTTCTTCGTAATGTAATCAAGTTATTCCATTAAACTAAAAATCATTTCTACATAAAAAAGAAGAAGGGAAACATATCATTTTTACTGACATGCAGGCTACAATTACTCGAGCCCCAACTTCCGGCGCCGGCTCTATTTATAAACCAATACTCGGAAAGCGGCGGCAGCAACATGGGCCAGAGTTTGTACGAACTGGGCCACATAGATCAGCTATGGACCCATTGGCCCAATAACCATTACAGCCCTGGCCCGATGACCGACCCAATGGACTTTGGTGAGGTGGCGCCGGCGGGGACAATTACAAATGAGGATTTCCTCACCGATCCCGTCACATTTGCCGTTCCGCCGCCGGAGAACATTCCAGTCGACGCTTCCGTGAAGCCGGAGCATGAGCATCATCATGGTGGTGAAGTTACGGGTGACATCATCATTCAACAAAATCAGGGGCAGACGACGGCTGCGGCGGAGGAGAGTAATGAAGCGGCGGAGGAGTGGCGGCGACGGAAGGTACTGTCGGGGAGGTTTGGAACTGGAAGACATACAGAAGTACTTCCACGTCCCCATCACCATAGCCGCCAAGGAAATGAAAGTTGGTTTAACGGTGCTGAAGAGAAGATGCAGGTGATGAGTCAAATTCACGTTTTAAAACTTAGAATCTGTGTTTTTACATAGAATCACGATTTTCGGAGCCTGAACTCGCTCATCCACAACGTTAAGGAAATGGGGATGACGGAGGAGACGGTGGCGCTGTTGGAAGAGCACAGAAGGCTTATTGAGAATGAACCGGATATTGAGCTTACAGAGAAGACCAAGAAACTGAGGCAGGCTTCTTTCAAGGCTAACTACAAGAAGCGACGTCGCGCCACCTCTTTCCACCACCACCACCACCTCCCCGCCGCCGCTACTACCGTATTAATTTAGATTAATTCTCCGGCCGTCGTTTTATCCGGTGGCCGAGAGAATCTTATTAGTCGAGGGCGGCTATTTGTCTTGTGTGTTCTCTTCTCTTTTCAGCCTGATTGGCTAGCTAGAAATCCACAGTTGTCTTTCTCAATGGATGAATAGCTAGAATCCAAAAACTGGAATTTGTGAGTTCCATCTTCCATGTGCTTCCAAGTCTCTTATATCCCCAATTTTGTTTCGTTTTTTCCCTTTTTTGTTTCGATACGATTCTCAAACAACAGCAAAATTACAGTACCAAGTACTATTCTTTCTCCGGCAGAAAAAGCCAACTAAGGTAGGCAAATCTGACAGGGAGGGCGATCGACTACATGACTCAAACAACACTAAATTACTGTATTGAGGATAATTTTTCTCGGAGGAAAACAACACAAACAAGAAGATATATCTATTTGGCTTAGAAATGGTAATTTGGCAACGCCTGAAACTTATATCGATACCTAAATATATTTATCTCGTAGGTAAAATGATCAGATTCAGAATAGATCAAATTCGTAATATCTTAACAGAGAAGATCTCGAGGTGATTACCGTTCAAATTTGTTGAACGAAACAAAACATATTCCACGCATATGTACATACAATAATAACCATGATTATACAGAGAAAGAAGATAGCGATCGTGAAAGGTGAATACTGAATACCGTACATATATTTAATCAACCAAAATGTACACCAAAAATTCCCAAAGCTGAACTCAAACACCTTCATGTCAACCCTACCTACTAACTCCATTAGTTCATCCAATATCAAACTTCAACATTATCGCCGGCTTTTACACAGAAACATACGGTTTTATACGGTACGGCCGTCGTATATATATAAATAATGCAGAATTATTGACCCGTTAGCCACCAACTCCATTAATACTCTCTCCACTCACCCGACGACTTCACTCTCCCCAGCTTACCTCCTTCTAGTTGGAACCATCATCATCTTCTTGAAGCTCCTGTACATACTATTCTGCAGATCCATCAAATCAAACAGTCCAATATTGTTAATCAATTCACACAGTAAACGAATTATGGTTAAGTTAATTGGAAAAAAGGTTAAGGATGTTGAATTACCAAGCATGCCTGTGGCCGGCTTGCTGCCGACAAGTTGAACAAGCTCCGCCGCCTCCTGATGATCATCCTCGTCATCTTCACATTCCGTTGATCATCATCATCCACGTAACTGTTGATCTCCGTGGAATCGAAGTTGGCCACTTGTTGTTGATCTTTCTTGTTCCGCGCCGCCGCCGTCGATGACGTCATCTTCGTCACCAGATTCCCCCACCTGCTCGACCCGAAAACCCGACCCGTCGGCGGCGGCGGCGGCGACCTCCCGCTCCCGCTTGTAAACGACATCGACCGCCTCGGGGCCGCCGGGTTTCCCTCGTCTTCTCCCTGCCGCAAGCTCAAACACGCTGGTGACGGCGGCAGATTCGAAACAACCAGCCTCGGAGGCAGCTCCAGGCACCGATCAATGACTTTCGACTCGCCGTCGGTGACGTGGCGGTGGTGGTCGAGGCGGCGAGGAGGCCGGGGCTTGCCGGGAGCCTCCTCCCACTTGAACGGCACGGAGGCGAGCCGGTTGATCGGCGGCGTGGACGGCGGAGGGCCGGGAGAGCAGTGGCGGACACTACTACTACTACCCTTCACTCCCGCGGGTAGCGAGAACAGGGAGAGCTTCGGCGGCGTCGGGCTGCTGTTTCCGCCGCCGCCGCCCGGCTCGTCCCAGACAGCCGCCGCGGCTTGGTGGAAACGCATCCTATAAAGATGTGATCTTTATCTATAACGGCGGGTTTGGAAGAATTCGGTGAGAGACAGAGAGGAGTTTTTTTTTTTTTTTTTGTATGCGAAAGGGAAAATTGAATGAGGGAATGTGTGAGAAAGAAGAAAATGCTTAACGCTCCCAGCTGCGCGCTTCTTCTCCCTTCCTTCTTTATCTCTCACAGTTTTCACGAGATTATTAGGGTTAGCTCGGCTACACACGTATATGTGATTTTATAAGAATCAAATCGGGTCGGTGGTTACCGGTTAGTTAGGCCAGTAGAATCGTCAAAACCCAATTATAATAGTGGTTCGTTCCATTTGTTTGGACGGTTCGAGATGTGTCGATCATGTTTGACATGGATCAGATGAACCACCACGATTTGACTGGTACACTTTTCTAACCACAAAAAAGTTAAGGAATTTTTTTTAAACGTAAACTAAGGCCATGCAAGTTGAATTACTAATTTCATTTTTGCTTAATTTTAATCGCTTTTCGGTCTCCTTGTCGACTTTACGTGGTTCACTATCGATTGTCACCTTAATTATTAACGCTAATTTAATAATAAAAAACTGTGATTTCTTTTGTGAGGTGGTTTGAATGATTTGTTAGAACTTTCGGTGGTGATGATGCTATGGATTTGAAATTATTTATGGTTAGTGATAAATTCAGCACTAAATTAGTGTACTATATTTGTCTTTTATGTTATTGAGCATGAGCGATTCTATCAACGGTTAACAAATGGTTCGATAACGATTAACCACTGAACTATAAACCACCAACTTTTTCGATTCAGCGTTCATTTCGAATATAAAAACAGAGTTGTAACAGTTTTAGACCAAAATAAAAGTAGTGGCCTGAAGTTTTATGACGTTTGTTATCTCTCATTTATATATATGTAATCGATTCACTACTCTTACGAAGAATAGGGTTGCATATTTAGTGACAGGTTGAGCTCGTTTAGGTAATCGATTTGTATAATGGAACTCTCAGCCTATACACAAAGAACAAACTATGAACATCTGCTAACTTGTTGATCACGCCACAACTTTCCTTCTTATTACAGTAAGATTATATTTCATGTGTCTCTCTGGCTCTGCTATAGACTATACATCACATAAGTGTATATAATTACCGCCTCAAACGTATCATCCCTTGGCAAGCCAAGGTCCCTTCGAGATCCCCAATGATTCGTGCGATTCGAACCTCGAGACCTCTCTGGACTTCCTGCAACAACGCCTTCACGTTGTCCGCGAATCTCTTTATGTTGATGCTTCCTCCTGATTTATTCAGCTCTTCGGGTACCTCCACGAACCCTGAACCAATCTTCGACTGCACATCCATCAGTTTCTGCCCTGTTGACACCATGTACCTCTGCACATGAAACGTCTCCTCCAAGTAATGCTCCAATCTCTTCATCTCTCCCTTGCTTCTCTCTTCCCTCTTCGAAGAAGAAGAAGAGGTCTCCACATCACTGTCATGCTGCAAACAAACATCATTTCTGACATTAGTTATATGGATGACGAATCTTGATACCTTACCGAACACGTTGCTTCGTTACTTCTTCTGCAACTAAACCAAGTCACTGTCTTTGAAAGAGTACTAACCATGCGCTGGCAGAGTTCGTCAGTTTTTGCTTGGAGGGTCTGGTACCTACTGATTTGCCTGTTGAGCAGTGATATCAGCATCAAGAAGTCCTTTACCCCATTGTCTTGATCACCTGAATCTTCTTCACCACTCTCTTGCTTTTCTGTCAATCTCTCCAGCATGAGGAGCTGCTGCTTCAGCCTCTTGATCTTGTAAGAGACTCCAAGGGCATGGAGGTCCATCCTCCATAGATTATTACTGCTGCCATTTGTGCTGATGACCAATGCATTGCTGGTTGTTGCTACGCTTTTCACACTCTCAATCTCTCCCATGGAGCTTGGGCTTCCTTCGTTAATTGTAGGACCCTGTTCGGTTACATGCTTCTCTTCTTCAAACTCCTTATCAGGGGACTCAACAACCACCATTATACCATTCTTGGGTTGGTCGGAAATGGTTACTTGAAGCTGTTGTTCTGATTGAGACATTCTTGCTTGCTGTTGAAGACAGCTCACTTCTTCCTTACTCTGCAGCAGTAATGCTTCAAGTTTCATATTCTCATGCCTTAGCCGGGATAACTCTTGGTTCAGTGATTCGAGGTGAGATTGCACTCTATTGGATTCTATATGACTGCTCAGAAACTTCCTTCGAAAAGCTTCCAGCTTTTCATCTTTCAGCCTCAACTGCTCCACAAAAGCATCAATCTCCACATGATGCCTCTTCTCGATTGCTTCTGCATACCTTTCTGCTTCCATTCTAATCCATCCTTCCAATCTCCTTACATCAGCTGCCATCATTACACACAATTTTATTTTTAAACATGAAGGACATCAAAGAAAGTTACATTAATATTTCATCAGTTCACTTTATCATGTTTTATACTTCCCTATACGATTATAAGTGCACACAGACTTTAGATTCACAATCCCATCACAAAAGGCACATTAACCAAACCATGTCTTATCTCCGTCTTAGGTCTCAAAACCCACCAACTTCAAATAACATCTGCCAACCTATGATATTCAACAACTTAAGGTGGTGCTTAGGACTTACCTAGCTCAGCAGCCCTTCCAACAGGCGAGTAGTCATCAGTCAAAGGGGAGGAAGCCGTATCCGGGTCGTTCAAGAACTCAGGATTCTCGTACTCAAACACATAATTATCACTAGAATATGATGATCTACCTTTCGTGAGACCATCATCATCTTGACTGGCATTTGCAAACATGCTTCTCAATGAATGCTGCTTCTTCTCATGCCTAGTCTCTGATGCAGCAGCAGCAGCCTTCCATCTTTCTGTCTCCAATTCGGCCTGCTTCCTTCTGGCCTTGGAAACCTTCACTTCCTTGAGCAGCATTTGCTTCTCACTCACATCAACCTTCGTTCTCCTCAAAATTGCAGACAAGATCTTCTCTTTCTGCTCCAAATCCATTCTCAGTTTCACAACTTCTGCAGCTGATTCCTCCTTCTGCTCCATAGCCGAATTCAACTCCTGCCTTTTAACCTCAAGCTGCCTCACCAATCTACCCATCTCAGCTTCAACCTGTCTCTGGTTGGAAACAAGCTCGAGAAATGCAGTCCTGTGTTTCCACAGATCCGCAGAATGCTCCTGAGCTTCCTTTCTCATGGATTCCCTCAACTCTTCCGCCAAATTCTCAACTCTAGTCAGCTTCTCTTCCAATTCCTTCCTCTTGTTCTCTTCTTCCTCTAATGTCTTATCCTTCGCCTGCAACAAACCCTCCATTCCCCCAATTTTGTCGTGCAATTCAGAGATGGATTGTTCTTTCTCGTTCTGGAAAAGATTCAATTGGTTCATTAGGGCTCCAATGTGCAGCCTGAGCTTCTTCCTCTCTATAAACCAGGTCTGCTCCTGAGAAGCAAAAATCCCGACGACTTTCTCGTTGGCCTTCCCGTCCTCCTTCCTCATTTGCTTCAAATCTTCGATCTCCATCTCGGCAGCCTTCAGCTTGCTGAGAAGAAGATGTTGGTGGCGTTCATTACTTTCTGCTGCCTCCCTCTCTCCATCATCGGAGTTCGCCACATCTCCCATTGCAGGCAGACGAGGACAAAGAAACTGGGTATAACTGGAATTGAGTAGCTCTAAAAAGTAGGTCAATGCGAACCCATTACGCAAAATCCACAATTTATCACAAATCCAGCGGAAAGATTGCAACTTACAGAGGAAATTAGCGGAGACTCGGCTCAAATTGGGAAACTGAAGCAGAAACCAATCACCCTCGAAGAAGAAGAAGAAGCTCTGAACGTGAAGGAAGAGAATGGCGAAAGCATGCTTCTCTGGCTGGCTTCGGAGAGAAGGAAAGTGTAAAAGAGACAACCAAGCTGCCAAACTGGGGCGTGGGAGAGGGAAGGAAGCTGCTGGTGAGCTGAAGTCACAGTAACCGAAACTGGAAACAGAGGCTGACAGGGAAAACGATGAGGGACAAGAAGAAAAGCTGGGGAAGAAAATGTATCTTTTCCTTCCTTTTCCCTCTTTTCGGGTGGCCTGGTTTTCAGTGAAAGACAGAGTCTGACCCGCCCGCTATAAACATTTCCAGTTGTCCACTCCTAAAGTTTCTCCCTTTTTTGTTTTATAAACCTGAATTGCTATTTGTCGCCCTAAAATTTAAATTATTTTGCCCTAAATCATACTATATTTGACAATTATATCCTTATACCCAATTCAATCTGTAATCCTTAACTTGGACCATTGCTGCCGTTCCCCCAACCCGCCGCCACTCCTCGTACGACCATCGCTATCGTTCTCCCAATCCGTCGCTGCTCCCATTCCCCACCTCGCCGACCATTTTCTGCTTCTGCATGGCTTCCAAAACAGGATTCATTTCTGCTTCTGCATTGCATTTTCAGACAAGGATTCCCACTACTAATTACCATCCGAAGCCTGCTTCCTCAGTTGATTCCGTATGGAAACCAGAATCACTAATGAAATTAAAGCATATATAATTGTGTATGAAGAATGGCCAGTATGCTTTATTATGCATTAGTTTTCGTGTTTACCTTTGGGCAATTAGCTCTCTTCCTCTCATGATATGGGGCTAAGGATATTTAAGTCATTTTAATGAATGTTAGGGCGATAAATAAAGAGTTTTAGGGCGACGAATAGCAATCCCCTTATAAACAGGGTATCAATCTTGACTTAAAAGGGTTTACAAATTACAAACAACGCCATACTATGAGTTGATAGGCTAAAATTAGGATATGAAGTAATGGTAACATGTCATCCCAAAAAAGCATTGCAAGTTACTACATGAAGCATGATTCGTGGAAAATCTGAGCAATACAAGTATTTCAGTTAAACGAAAGCATTTAATGAACTACTATAACATGGATGTAGTTTGGATATAAGTGGTCAGCTTATAAGACCGAACATCTCAGTCGAATTAAGGGATATGATAAATGATTATATAATATGAATGTGAGTGATCTACTTGTTGAATTAACAGAACCAATGCAAGAATACCATTGTGATGTATTGGGCCTTTATGGAACCAATAAAAAAGATTCTGCATTGTTTTGTAATTATTGTTCTTCTAGAATTTTGGCTATTGTCACATTTGTAAACTTTGAGGACTAATTAGTACTGTGATCATAGTGTGGGTGTAAAAGTAATAAAAACAAACACACGGGAACAACTAATAACAGAATTAGTTCTCTCGTTTTTTTCTGGATTCCTTTCTCAGTCTCTCCTTTCCTCTGCTCAGTCTTCTTCCTCGAGTTCTCACCGGGAAGATCTCCGGCGAAGGTCATATACGTGGCATCCCCGTTTTCCCACCAGCGGCGCCTTCTCCCTTTCGTCTCGTCCCGGCTTAGCTAGATTGCTGCAGTCGTTGAAGAAACCCTAGAATCTCTGCATCGCTTACTAGTTTCTCCATGGGGGAATTGAAAATGGAGGATGTTACGCTCCCGGCACTCTTCGAGCAAGCTCGGAAGATCCATTCTACCGCCACGGAGTCCTGTGCTGATCAGGTAATCGATCGCCAGCTGATTTTTTTATTGATCGATTGAGCGGTTCCTTTTTCTTTTTGTTTTGAAGTGATTTCGTTCCGTTTGCGAGACCTAATTTCGGATTTTTCTGTCTGAGAACGTGTTATAGGAAGCGCTGAGAAGAGGGTGCGAGGCACTGGAGAAGTGCGAGGAAATGGTGGGCAAGCTGGGTTTGTTCTCCGCTAATGAGTCCAAGGAAGATATTAGCACCGCCAATCTGAAATATATTCTGGTAAATGATCCTTTTTTCTTTGTTTCATTGCTCACGTTGGCATTGTCTTACAGTTCCTTCAAATTTGGAAGCTGTAACAATTATGGAATTCAAGTATTGTTGGGTAATGGATGGCACTAGCAGCGATTTTCTGTGTGGCTTGTGGTAGAAGAGACGTGGGATTTGGTTGTATCTGTCTGGGAGCTATATTCTCCACGTTGGGGCTGGAGCACGCAGAAACTATGACTGTAATCAAGATAAGTTGGCAAGCAGTAGATGTAAGAGTTGCCGGATGTGTGCAATAATTGTTGAATTTTCTGGCTGTCTGGTAAAAGATAGACTACATGGTTGGCATTAATAGATTGTGTGGCAAAATGTACAAAAACTGCCAGTCTTTATGCAGCTACTTCTTATTCGTAAATGCTTTCTTGTTCATATCCATAATACACATAGTTGTTTATTTTGCAGGTGCCATTTTACCTTGCTGAGCTGACTGAGAAAATTAATCAGGATGATAGGATTCCGATACTGAGAGCCTCCCAAGCAAAATTAAAGGTAACTGCTGTTCATTAGCAGTAATCTCTTATGTCTGAATTGAACATTGGGCTTTAACGCGTAGGGATGTGCATTGTTGTTGAAAAGATTCATTTTTATTGTTGATGGAAAAAGATACTGGTTTTGGTTTTTGATCAGAAAAAGGGACTTAAAATTGCTTGGGCGCAATATACTTACATGGCCAATTGAGTTGGAGCTCATTGGCACCAACTTCTAGTGCTAAAAGATAGACCCTGCAGGAATTTATTGCGTTCTGTGAGGCAATGGAACTTGCACCTGTGGAGGAGCTGCAGGCATCATTGCAAGGAGGTCCAAATTCAGTTGTGGATCGTAGGGCTCAAAAGGTGCTTTGATTTCCTGTGCAAGTTTCTTTAATTAAAGAACAGATTACTTTTTTTTTCTTCCAGATTTCTACAATAGATGTATGGGTTTGTTCAGATTGCTAGGTTCAAGCGCCAAAAAGCTGCAGAGGCAAAGTTGCTGGAAATAATGGAGCGGAAAGAGAGGCGTGGTCGTTCGACTAAGGCTTCTGCATTGTCTACGCCTGTTGAAGCTGGAGAAGAAGACCTTCTGGATGATGATGGAGAAGAAGAAAGGGAGGTATGTCGTAATGGCTGTAATTGTTATATATCTGTTGAGGTTATAGAAGTTTTGGAAGTTATTTGTCTGATTCTCTATCTCTGCTGGTGCCTATATTATATGGACCAATTCTCTGTGTTTTACAATTCTATACCTCTGTATTACAACTAGGAGACTGCCATGTCCTCGTAAGACTGCAATAATACTTGATGTGATGCCTTAAATTCAATAATACTTGACGTGATGCCTTTATTTCCTCTAGACATCAGAGTATATATCCTTTGAATTGAGGAGTTTTTGTTTTCTTTTGAATAGATTTCAAAGCTGATAAACTCATTCCACATTTCTACGGGTAGCTTTTGTTGTTTAGTAATACTTATGTTTTGATCACCTTGTACAGGCTTGGCTTACAACCATATCGTTGGCTATCTGTAAGGTTGGTGTTTCATCTCATTTGATCTGCTTGAAACGGTAAAGTAGTATTGATAAGCATCAAGTCACCATCTGACCATTTAATGCAACCACAGGCTCTTGATCTATTGGAAATGTTGAAGAAAGAAGACGAGATGCTTTCTGCTGTTAGAGAAAGACTATTGAAGGTAACAGATACTTAGAATCACAGTTTGAATGGTGTTTTCAATATTGCCAAGTGCTTATTTTATTTGATATTGCAGGAAGGAGATAATGAGTTTTCTCAGGCAGTGCTTGATGAACGAGCAAAGAAAGCAGAGTCATGGCATCGTGGTGCTGCCACTCGAGCACAGTTTACAAAACCTTCCCCTCCGATCACATGTGCTACCTTTGCTCAAGATATACTAGAAGGACGAGCAACTGTTTCCCAGGCACACGATCACAAGCACCAGCCCATGATATTTGGGCCAGCAAGTCTCATTAATTCGCGCCCAACAAACGAGAGAGAAAGGATCGCTGCGCAGGTCTTCCAACCTGGTCACAGGTACATCTATCTCGACATATTTATCCTGTTCTCACTGGGGTCTTAGCATACTGATCTTCTTTTCTGACATTTGGAAACTTATGTGTAATAAGGTTGCCGACAATGAGCATAGAAGAAGCTGGGTTGGCAGAGATGGATATTATGAACAAATGGCAAGAGAGAAATGTTAAGATGATGGAAGAAGCCAACTCCGCCTGGTACAAGGACAACAACAGTGGTAAGCCGAGATCAGGTGAAGAGGAAGAAGATGATGAAGACGATGATGATGCAGTTGCACGGGCTAGAGCGTTCGACGATTGGAAAGATGAGAACCCTCGTGGCGCGGGCAACAAGAAGCTTACCCCTTGCGGTTGATTGCTCGCTCTCTGGTGTTGTTTTCGGTTAGCTGAAGAACAACGGATCCATAAGCCTGGCTTATATGTATTGTATTTTGTGAAATTTTGATGTGGCACCATTGATACCATGTATTTATGTTTTAGAAGTGAAGATTACAAAAGTTATAATCTTAGTACTCTTAATTTACGTGTAATCCTCCAAAACAGTTTAATCTATCTTGATATGTTTCTCAGTATCACAACTTCAGGTGTTGGATTCGAGTCTCCATGAATTTCTCTGCATCTCTGGTCACTAATGGAGTTTCAAAGACCAGTATGAATGTATGCAATAAACCCTAACTTGCTAGTTCTAAAAGTTTGTCAATGAAAGGATTGAATATACACAAATCGCATTTGCAGTCAACTGATAAAAGAGAAATTCACAGGGCATGGAAAAACAGCCCTCTGATATTCATCTCCTCCCCAACCCCTATACACTAACATTTCACAGAGGAGGATCAATAGTTCAGAAGGATGAATGAAGGAATCCATTCAAAGGAAGAAAAACTATGCATTTGCAGTAATCCCCCAAAGGAGGGGGAAAAAACCCACCATGAAACTGAAAGAAAAACAGCTTCTTTTGTTCTTCCTTCTGTGAGATCAAACAGTTCCTGTTTTCATGTATGCACCTCTTCTTCCAATGTACAAAGCTCATGTGTAGAGAAAAAAACAGAAGGATAAAAACATTGAATCAGGATTCTTCTTCTTCTTCTTTTTGATTCAGTCTTGATCATCTATCCATCAATACAGGTGAAGCCTCTGCAAACCCACAACCAAACGAAGAACAGAACAGCACAAATCACCAAATCCAACGTCAAAACCACCCAGACATGCTTCCTCCACATCTGCTTCGCCTTCTGCCTGCTCTCCAGCATGTAAAGCCCGCCGCTTTTCGGCGTCATCGCCACCGAGAACTCCCTGGTATGGTGCCCACTACCATCAACACTCCCATTCTCACCCACCAACACGCCACCACCACCATTCATCATCATCTTGCCGCCATGATCGCTCATCCCTCCGCAGCTCAAGCTGCTCCCGTCTTTCCCCCTGTGATGTCCGCCGCCGCCGCTGCTGCTCTTATCCTCCATTCCCCCAATAGAACAAACCCCCGACGACCTCTTCTTCTTCTTCATCAGCAATGGCCGCGTCACCGTCTTCTCTTTCGTCGAGTCCATGCTCGGGTTCCGGCTGTCTTTAGACGTGGTCTCCGTCAGGGAATCCCCGAGGTCCAAATCCAGAGCCAGGATTTCACGGAACAGAGGGTAGAACTCCGCCTGGAAGCAGAGGGAGGTGAGATTGTCCAAATCCCTGACGGAACTCGACGCGATGAGCTCCAAGAACGAGACTTTCACCCGGTCGATGAACCAGGAGGACTCCAGCTTCGCGAGATCGTGGTGGAAGACGGTGAAGTAGACGAAAGGGTCGTCGATGAGGAAGGTGTAGGTCTTCTTCTTGGCGGTGTGGGAGAAGGTCTTGTGGTGCGGCGGCGCGATCCCGATGCATTTCTGTGCGATCTCCTCGATCCCCGGCTCCGCCGGGGAGGCGAACTCGGCGAGGATTGTGGATCCTTTGGCAATGCAAGCGTAGAGGATCAGATCTGGATTCGAAATCATTTGATCCCCTTCTTTTTTTTCTTTTTCCAATTCCCTTTCCCCTGTTTTTTGTTGATGGAACGAAACAAATCAAGATACTACCCGCCAAAATTGGCGGCGGCGGTGAGAGCAGAGGAAGGGATTGAAATGGACGGGAAGAGATGACGCATTTGAAGCAGAGGGAAAGAAGGGGAGGGATGTATTAGGGAACCAGAAATTGATCGAAGAAGGTGTTTGGTTCCCGGGGAAAAGAGATTCTTTTCTCAATCATGAATTTCTGTTTGACCTGTACAGAGAGGCATCTTGATTCGTTTTTTCTCCTGTTTTTTTCTGTTTCTTCTTCTTCTTTTTCCTTTCCCCTCTTTCCTTCTCTCTCTCTAGGGATTGAAATGGAGGGAGACGAAAGGAAGAGAAGGGAAAGGAAAGGGGGTTTGGATTGGACTTTGGGATTGCTCAAACCAATTGTTTAAACGGCTCCCCATTTTGTTACTTCCAACAAACCATACTTTGTAAAACAATTTTCATTAGGAAATTGGAAATGAAACAAATCGATGGTAGATTGTAAGCTCTCGAATGAATACAAATATAAATAGAGTTTTTTCTCTGAACATAAATGCTAATCGATTATGTATAATGAATGCACAAATGAACCCGTTGAAAGTTACCTACTTTATTCTGAGCGAGGGACTGAAGCACCAATCCTTTCTAGTTTTGGCTTCTTACATACATGTACATGTCCTCTTATAATCTTTCATGTAAGAGATTGTTGTGACGTTCATCTGTCATTTTGTGGTGATGATAATCATATGCGTTGATGACTAATCAAATTTGGATCGATTTAAACCCTTATTGATGTTTCGTTGAAGATAATCACATAACGGTTTGTGTTGGTTTTCTTATTGATTGTTACCTATGGGATTTATCTCTTCTTATTATGATTGGTTGATCAAAAGGAAGGATAAATACACATAAAGAAACTGGCATGTGGAAGTGGTGGAGATGATGGAGAGCATATTATACTCTACTCTCTTATTTTATGGCAAAGCCACCTAACAATACTTTTATTATGTCATCTTTCTATCTAGTAAAATCAAATGTGTACAGCTTGAAACTAACAACCACGTACAAAACTTGATTAAAATAGAATCACATGGTAATGGAGCTCACAATCACATCACATTGTGCTGCTAAAACCAGGTCCTACCATCTAACAACAATATAAGAACTACAGCAATAAAAATAGGAAGTGATGACTGCTGAGTAATGGAAGCATGGCTGGCCAGCAAAAGAGGGTTCTGTGAGGTTTTTTCTTTTTCTTCTGAAGAAAGCTAGCTTGATGCAGCAGCAGTAGTAGCAGTAGTCCTCTGGTTTCTAGCAGTAAGGGGGATCAATGAAGGCCCATTCGAAGACCTGCTCGTATTGGACGGCAGCATTCTCCCATGAGTAGTCCTTCTCCATGCCCCTCTTCATCATCGCTTCCCACGACTCTTTGTGATCTCTGTATGTCGATATCGCAGTTCTCAATGCCTGCAAGAACACCATTTCCCATTCATAGATAATGGTTAGAGTTGAACGAACCAGGTTCAGGGGGAGTGGAGGAGAAGGCACTTGCTTAAGAAGCAGTTTTCACGTGAATTGTAAGAAACCCAACTTACCCATAACATCCTGTCTACTGCTAAAGGGGAAAATGTCCACCTGTCAATACATCGGACTAGTCAGGACAACCGTAGGACAACATTAGGAGCTGAAAGATCAGCCAGGAAACAAGGCCGAAAAGGGAAAACACGTACCCTGTGCCATCACCTTTACCGTCTTTAGCAAATGGATCGAACGTCTGCACTGTGTCCTGAGACAACAATGACCACATTATTTAGTACAGCATACAACAGTCAAGACACCATTTCTTTTCTTTCTTTTACTTTTCCATATGGACATGACTTACTCGAAGTCCTCCTGTGCCATGAACCACCGGGATAGTTCCATATCTCATAGCATACAGCTGATTCAGTCCACAGGGTTCAAATCTCGAGGGCATCAGCAGAATGTCGCAGCTGTCACAATTCCACACGAGCTCCATCATTAGTCTCACTGGTATTTCTAGCAACTAATTTGTTTATGAAACATAGAGATAAGCTTTGATTATTACCCTGCAGTTATTTTGTGGGAAATCGGAACATTGAATCCAACCCAACCTCGGAATTTGTCTTTATGGGCTGCCTCTGCTTCTCTCATCCAGCCTTCATACATTTTATCTCCAGACCCAAGCATAACCTGATGCATAATGGATAATTTTTCAGTTTCTTCAAAGGACATCCACATTGTACTCGGTCAACAATCATACGACCTCAACTAATAGTACTATAGTAAATAAACTTGAAATATGAACTCACTTACGAATTGAACATCATCATGCAGAAGCTCAGGAATCCCCCAACGAATAAGGTCAACACCCTTTTGGTAGTCTAATCTCCCTATAAATCCAATCTACAATGCAAGTGAAAAAATTCAATCAGCAACAGAAGAGAAAGCTTCAATTCCTACAAAAAAAGACGCAAGCTTTATCGTCACTTTACCATGGGACATTCAGGTCTAACAGGAAGGCCCAATTCCTTTTGCAATGCAATCTTACACTGAACCTGCAAATCGTAGATAAAGTGGTAAGAGGGAAATTTTTCATGACAACTACTTAGCAGAGAAAATGGGAAGATATTCTACCCAAAAAGAAAAGGGAAGATATCACCTTTCCAGAAAGATCATCAGCAGAATAATGGGCTTCTAAATGTTTATCACTTGATGGATCCCATTCGTTAATATCAATGCCATTCGTGATCCCTAAGAAATAGATTGCAAGTGAGGAACAAAAGGCTTAAATTTGGCAGAGAAAAGAAATCAATGTATCAGATGATCATAAAGTTTGAGTGTACCATTCAAAACAATCCTTCGAGTGCTTAACAACTCATTAAGACCGTTTCCACCTTCAACGGTCGTTATTTCCCACGCATACCCCTGAAAGGTTTTCAGATTTACCACAACATATGTGAGCATGATATTCCAGGTAAAACAGAAGCAAAAGTAGGCATATAATTATGAAATTATTCTACCTTGCTAACAGTCAATATCCGGTCTGATGTCACAATAGCACCCTTTAGCACATTGATCGCTTCACCTGTGTCAAGAGCATGGGTCCTTGCCCATTCAGGGAAAACCCATCCCAATGCCCCATACCACTCTGGAGATAATCCTAGATTACCATAAGTTACTGCTGGCTCTACTCCCTTCAACGCAGAAGAACAAAAAACTTGGTAATGAAGCTGACAAGTTGGTCACCACATAGGCCTTTTGCATACACAAAAATGTACAGCTCCTTAAACAAACTTGCTGCAGAAATTCAACTAGCAAAATACACCTGAAGTAAGCCTACCTGATGAGCAAGATTGTGTATCACAAGAATACATCGAGCGTCCTTATAAACACCATATGGACGGTACTTAGCAGCCAAAAGTCTGAACCAAAGGAGGAGCCAAAATCAATATCCACAGTAATTGTCTAGCATCATCCTTCCTCTAGGAAGAGCACATTCTTAATTTAAATTAAGGGCGAGTTGATATTCTAAGAGAAACAACAATCCCAAGCAAATATCATACACATCTTACTTGGTCAACAAGGAAAGAGCACTTACACAGGAACCAAGCCAGCATGCCAGTCATTGACCATGAACAGGCATTTCTGGCCATAGGTGAACCCTCCAAGTGGGAGCACTAGCGGTGCTTCACACGCTGCATAGCAGAGTAAAGCGAACCGAAACTGCATATAACCAAACAAGAATGCTTACCAAATCGTGAGTTCAACAAATCGGGATCCAAAACTAGGCAGCATTCTTAAAAGCCCGCACTAGTGGTGATCACAAAAGTACCTGGTTATCACCAAAAGCACCATTGATGTCTCCATAAGGATTCCCAGGCCTATGGTAAGAAGGATGGTCTACGAACACCTAAATGAAACACGCCCATCCAAGCTACATTACTACAAATTCACCAACTTTCGAAGAGTTTTAGACTATTGAACTAAAAGGGAGACAAAAAGAAATTTACCCAATCAACTAGGTCCCTGTACTCATGAAAAAAGGCCACTTCTTGCTCCCCTCCAAAGCAAGCAACCTTAATCCTACAGTCAGCATCTAGAGCAGCGGCAAAGGTATCGTCTTCAGGACTATGTAGATACCTTGGAGAGACAACCATAACACGGTGTCCTCGAGCAGCCAGTGCAATCGGCAATGAACCACAAACATCTCCAAGCCCGCCGGTCTTCGAATAAGGCGCCGCTTCAGAGGTCACGAACACAATACTGTGTGTCACTTTCTTCGGAGCTTCGTCTACCCCTTCAATGTCGCCATCTGTCTCCTCTAAGTTCCCAGAAATGACTTCCGCAGGAGTTTCAGTTGCCACCTCACCTGTGAAGAAAGAAAGAATTTATCAAATTCGAAATCGTGGCAATTCGCAATGGTGCAACACAGGAATGAAGAGATCATTCCAATTGAGATGAAATTTCGAAAAGAGGTGTTTACCATTAATGGAGTGAGAGGTGGACAAATTGAAGCCAACGACAGAACCAGAATCATCAGTCTCGGGGTCAAGCAAGAAACCCTTGTTGTCTTCTTCTTCTTCCTCCTTCCCACTTTGAGTGTCCTTATCAGGCACACTTGATGTGGGCGAAGAAGAGCCCTTGTCAGAAGCAACTGCAACCAGCTGTGGGAAGCCGCCATTGCCGCCACGCCTTGTGCGGGAGAAGTAAGCAAAACCCGTTTGATTAACCGGCTTACCTTTGATTTTGGTGGGTTCGCTCTTGGGAAAGGACTGAACCCAGTATCTGACTGAGAGGGTGTCCATCTAAGAGAAATTGGAAACCTTTTCTCCTTTCTAAGAAAACAGGGGAAGAAAAGGTTTAATCGAAGTAAGCACCGGAAGGAAGAAGGGATCAAGGTAGTTGAAATCACAAGGAAAATCAGGAAAAAAAGTGATAGATATTAGCTGTGGGATGAGAGAAGTAGAAAAGAAAAGAAAAAGAATTTATGGGATTTGTTTGCTTTTCTCGGAAATGGGAAGGAAGGAGTGAGAAACGGAGGAAGAAGAGGAGGGAAGTTGGCAGAAAAAGCGCCAAAGTGTAAAACTGATCCGTTCCTTCAATGGCGAAACAGGAAGCTCCATGTGAGTGAGTGATAAACATTTCAAGCCGTCCATTTCCTTCGTCTCCTATTCTCCTGCTTACCGCCTCTCATCAAAGATCAACCTCACCAAGGTCCGTCCATGTGGCAACTGGCAACCAGCTGCATAATAGGCTGTGGAAGTTTTGGAGTCTTCTCTCTCAATTCTCTGCCTTCCATTCCATTCCATCTTGGGCCTAGGGTTGTTCCTTTTTTTTTTTTCATCCTTGTACTTGATGGATGTTTGTCGACAAGACCAAAATCTCTTTTTATATTTTACCAACCTTACTATACACTAGTGTCAATGGCACTCAAAGAAATGGCAACGGCGTGTTAGGGGCGGGTACGGTTAACTTCTAACTCGCCATGTCAACTAATTTCTGACTCGTTTAGTTTTTATGTTCAACTACGAGTCGGTAATTTTTGCTCCATTAATTGTCTCGCGCGCGCGGCAAGACGATCAGAGTGAGATTTGAAGAAAGCATGGATAGAGAGATTGCCACATTGGGCTATCATGCAAACAAGACAGATGGTAACTGTACCTTTCATTGACCGAGTCAAAGATCCGTCTCGTTCAAGTGCGAGGTTGGGTCGGAAAAATATGTCGGAGCTATCTGGTTTGCCATCCTATTGGCACTCTAATGAATGTCTCATTTCTTTCAAGCAGAGATTAGTATTGTCAACCCATAAAAGAACTTCATCATCACAACAGCAACCTGACCATTTTGATACGAAATGAAAAACACACAAATCATATAGTAACATTACAATATTTTAACAGACTGAACATTTTATTACATTTAGCCTTCTGGGCTTTATGAAGTCACAAGAACCAAAAAAAAAAAAAACATTTTTTTATAGGACAATAAACGTTAATGAACGAACTTATAAATAAAATCACACACACATACATAGATTTCTATATATGCATTATGGTATGATATGTCCTCGTCACCCAAAATCATGCCTCCACCCGTGGCCATCAATCCCCGGCAGCTTCCAGTCGTCGGCGCCGCCGCTCGAATCCGGGCTGTACCCTGCCGGCAGCCGCCGGGAGTGAAACCGCATCGGGTTCGGGCTCTTGGGCACGTGGTAGATCGCCGTGCCACCGCCGGAGCTGGAAGAGTCGCAAACCGACGACGACCCGACGACATACCCTCTCTTCGTCGACGAGTTCCACTGCGGGGTGTATGGGCTCACCTGCTTCACCGGGCCCATGTTCGAACGGGCCTTGGCCTTAGCGGACTGGGTCGGGGCCATGTAGCTGGGGACGTTGTTGGGCGTGGGCGGGGCCTGCTGCCTTCTAGTACGGGCCGAGTACACGTGGCTGCTGCCTGCTGGGTCCATGACGCCGATGCTTATGTTGCCGATCCCGCTGCCGGCGGCCGTGGTCGGAGTGGCCACGTCCATTTCCACCGTTTTCTCTGACTGGTCGTCGGTCGTGGTGGTGGTGGTCGTGGTCATGTAGGAGTTGTCGGTTGGGCCGAACCGACCACCGTGGTATGGCTGAGAGGACATCCAGCGTTCTAGCCAGTTCCAGCCCCACTGGGCTTTTGCTTGCTCTTCGCTGTACAGGCCCAGGTCCATTCCGTTTGGGCTGGGCTGCGGTAGGTGTTGTTGCTGCTGCTGATCGATTGTCATTTTGAAGATGGTATACAAGACATTAATTTTTATTTATTTATAAAAGTATACAAGACATTATTAGATCAGCAAAAAGTGTAGATCAAGTTTAGGGATGTATACTTCAATTTGATTAACATCCAAATTCGATTGATTTTAGACCGTATCAAATCAGTAGTAACCGTAATCAATGTAGTCAAAAGAGAGTTTCTACGTAGAAACGGTTGGGTGATCTGAAAACGTAAAATCGTAAGTTTTTAAGTTTTAAAACGCGATTTTGACTGCATTGACCGTAATTACGACACTATAGAATGGGATGCATACCAAAGTGAAGCGAGGTTTACCTGATAGGCATAGGCATAAGCAAGGGCCCTCTCCCTCTGAACCACAGCCTCATGTTTCCTCACCGCATTCTCCTTCATCTTACCGGATGTCTGATGATGCCGGTTATCCCAGCTCTCCACCACGTAGCTCTTCTTCAATGGACTCCTCGAATTCATCAAGTGACCTTGAAACGATGAGTTTCTATGTCCATCGTCCTCTTCCTCCTCTAGTACTACACCTTTCGTGTGCAGCTTCTCGTGAGTCAGTTGCATCCGCCGTGCTCTGACCCTCGCCTGAACTCGCACCAGTGCTTGCATGCACCTCATCGTCATCTGCGCCTGCTTCCTCACGTTGTGGCCTCGCACCAGTGCTTGCAGCCTCACCAGCCCCTTCAGTGCCCGCAACGCGCGCCTAGCCTGCACCAAAAAGGAAGTGTCACTTCTGATGCCCACAATTATTTTGGAGTACAGGTAAATCAAGACTCGACTCGGCTCAGATTAACAATGGAGGTATCCGGGACCATCGACATCGAACCAGAAAGCAAGGGAGGTGGCAAGTAAATGAATAAGGACAAAAAAAAAAGTACACAACTAGACCTAATTAAAAGCTAGTCACGCATTGCTTGGTTCAGAAGGCATCTTTTTCCTCCCTCTCTTTTTATCTTTTGTTATCGTAGCTAGGATGCCCTGAATGGCACGGCAAATGATGAAAGTAAACACAGAAAGGGACATATGATCGTCGTCAACCAATTCATTATAATAACAAAATCAATTAAATGTAGTCAGGAGGAAGGGGAAAAATATTTACAAGGTAGCCTCTGTAGTGGGATTGAATGAGGGTAGCGGCTCGATCATCTCTGGACTGACGGCCATATCCGGCGAGTCGAACGACTTTGGCTGCGGCCTGAGCTGCTGCAACGGCCGCTTCCGCTGCAGCAGCAGTCGCCGCGGCGACTGCAATGGCGTGATTCCTGTCTCCCGAGACAGGGGTCGTCGTGCCGCCGGTGTCGTCGTTTGTGACATGATCGGGGGAGCTCTCGGCCGCGGGGAAGTGCTCGAACGAGACTACCTCGGGGGCCTCGTGCTGCTGCCATTTCTCACCACCACTACTATTGTTCTCCTTCTGCAAGAAATCAACAATTCGACAAATTTAGCAGCTACGTGTAATTCAGAAGGGGTTACAATCGATTTAATGTTGGGGTCTCGAATGTTATGCTATTTATGTACATACGCTGAGCGAAACATCGAAAAGCTATGAAATGGTGAATCGTTAAGTCGTTGATTCTAGGTCGTACTCGCTCTAAATCCTGATTAGTTAAAAAGTGTGGGGTTTGTGGGGGGTGGGTTGATGGTGATGAAACAGGGGAATGGGGGGAGAAATTGCACATGGATGTTAGGAATCCAGCCATGGTGGCATGACAAGAATGTGTCAAGACAAAAGGGAAAGAGGAGGGTCCTAATTCAGGAACAAATTTTAATGGTGGTGGCCTAGTGGTGGTGATGGACACAGAGGGACCATCAGTACAACTAACTTGCATATTGGAAACAGAGCTAGCTATAGCTTCACTGTGAGTATTTACACCAGTAAAATACAGCATAAAAATGCCATCTTTGATCTTGTAATTTACCTATTTGGATGGTTCTTCTTATGGGATTGCATAATTAGATAAACCCAGAAAGAAAAAAGACAAAAGAACCAGAGAAGAGTCCAAATCAAAACACGCACACAGAAGACCCATGAGTTCATTAATGACACAAAGCTTTCTCTGTTTTCTTTTGTCAAATCTTTCTATTGTTGTAGATTGTCACGACCTAATTAAGATTGGTGTGGGGGGAGCACTAATGAATGATTGAATACCCTGTTCGTCAATTTTGAACTACAATTGGGGGAAGAAGATGGCGGTTACCTTTTTCTGGGGTGAATCCTTATTGGAGTTAGATTTGAAGACTTTCTTGACTGAAGAGAACCATCCACCACCACCGCCGCCGCTTTTCTTACCCATCCTCTTCTTCCTCCGCGTCCGCTGGTCCGATCACCTTCAATGTACAAGAACCCAAAACTTCCCTAAATGGGGAAAAAGGCTGAAAAACCAAAACCAAAAGTCCAAAACCAAAAACAAACACCAACACAAAAGGAGCTAGCAATGGCACCTAGAAAAGAGGAAGCGACTAGGACCCAGAAGTGGATTCGGCGAGAGTGAAGGTTTGCTGAGTGACTCTGCTCTCACATTTCCTTCTTCTTCTTCTGGCTTGCATCCTACTCTGTGTGGAGAGAATCAAGCCGGAGACAATGCTCTGTTTCTCAGGCCTCCAGAGGCGAATCGAGAACTTACAGGAGAAAGAGAGAAAGGAGGGAGTGGAGAAGAAGAAAAGAATACTATGGAGAAGAAAGAAAGAAAGAGAGAGGGAGATGGAGGGCGGTGGTGGTGGTGGTAGAAGTAGAAAGGAAGGAGGAGAGTGGGAAGAAGGAAGTAACTGTCAAGCGGCGGGATCGCCGTTACCGTATTTATCAGAATCACGGTCGCGCCCTTTGCAAACCTACGCCTTTAATTTCCCTCTCTTCTCTCTCGCGCCAGCGTCACCCAATTATGTTTCGACACCTGTCCGTTAGATCTCCGATATCCGATTTTTGTTTTATTGACTTTCTCGGTGATTTTTTCCCTCTGTTTTTACTGAACAGAAATGGTCACCGAGCTTATGATTTCTGACAAGTTAGTCACTGAATTTGGTTTTTGATAACTTTGTCGACCTAAATTGAGGGACCAATTTGTCAGTGGTCCGAAGCCCAGTGGGTATTAATGTAATTGACCCACTAGTTAATTTGTCATGGCTAATTGGCTATCATTTCTTCAATTATAATCGTGTGCATGATCGATCTAGTAACTTGTAAAGCACCAAGAGGATTATGCAATAATCAAAACCCATTTACTATTGAATATTGATCGGAATTTTAAGGATAGAGATGCTTATTATGATTGAATTAACTAGATAACGTGTACACATTAATATTTTATATGAGTTATGATTCTATGCATAATCAAATATTCTTTCAAAGAATAAAAAAATTCTTGTAAATTTAGGAGATCCCAAAAACAAAAGTTCATACTTAGCTTGAGATTTTTTGTGTTTGCTCCAATGTTGCTTTTTATTTTATTTTTTTTACAGTTGTATGGAGTAGTACAAATTGGTGGTGTGCTTCAAGTGGAATACAATGAAAGATGATGGATGTGTCAAGAATCAGTTGTTTTTTACAAACTCACAATAACTCGAGTTGTTGGTAGAAATTCAACAATGGATCTTACATCACATATTAATTAACACGGTCTTTCAAACGAAAGTGATCACTCATATATGATTGAAGTCTCCACAGGTAGCAGACACGCCATGCGCTTGCCAATGTCAAAGAATACAATCTCCGCCACATAAGATTTCGGTATATCATGTCAAGAACCAGTTGATCATAATAATTCGAGTTGTTATCAGAAATTCAATAATGAAATCCCATTACCACTGTTAGTTAGAACAAACAAATTAATAATTAGAAGCAATTGGACTCCATTACTAGCGTCGTATTTGGTTGGTTGGTACGTATATAGGGTGGCTTAAAACACAAATGAAAACTAAGCTACGTAGCCATTAATTAATCCCGATTTTAAGGCTAGGTTTATAGAGCCTAATTAGTTGGCTAACGACGGCATTATGTATTGCTTGGATTGAAAGTGATGATGACTCATACAAAGATCCGGATTAGTTGTTGAAGAAGAGAATGAAACGAGGATGGTGGTGGTGATAATAAGGTGGAGCAAGCGGGAGGGTCAATATATTAGTGGTTAGGTCTGTAATTGCAACTTTGCTTTACATGGAAGGGAAAGGGATCCACACAGTCACAATGACATTCAATGGTCTCTCTTTGTTTTCATGCGATTTGGTGTTGGTGATAGGGAGCTTTCACCCAATTTATTACTCTTTTTCACTATAACCACACCACCACTACCGATCGCCTTGTATACATACTCGATATCGTAAGGAATTGATTAAAATTTATATATGGATATCTTCTAACAACAATTCGAATATAAAGATCAGCTGGATTATGATTTTGTTGACAGTGCAAATCCAGGGGAGGCCTTCCCGGGCCAAACCCCAGCTCTCCTCCGGGTATAGAGCTGGTATAGCAAATGAGATCTGCATGTTTACAGTCCTCGCTCCGTCTCTTTAGGGCCAATGCTAGCCTGCCGGGGTATCTAATTTTATATTCAAATAAGGTACAATGGTCTACTATGTCCTCGATTTGTCCGTGATTTAGTATCATGGCTGATTTGTTATTGAGATCATGTGTTCAAGTCCTCACGAACCCCATATTAATCATTGTCTTAAAGACATGGTATGACTGGTCTGTACAAATTTAAAACTAATGAGTTGACTTTCAATTGAGCATGTAAGGAAGTGGTTAAGATCCATACACTGACCTAGAACGTGATATGACGGGTCTATGCAAACTTCGAATCCATAGACATTCATGTACACATATTTTTGTCTTTAGTTGTAGGTATGACTCGTATGAGTTATGACGATTGGGCAAAAGTTTGGTGGGTGCCATTGCAGCCATAGGGAAGTCTCTTTCAATGATGACTCAAAGTTTGGGACCAACACAACTACACAAGTGGTTTTCGGACCCTTTTTTATTGCACTTGCACAAGTGTTGGGTCATAGGTGTGGTTTCAAGGTCTTCAACCTTCCATGCAGAGACGAAGAAGGAGTAAATAGTTAAGTTACTGGAGAACTAACAAGAGATAGCCAGATAGGTATAATCTAGATGATAGCCATAGTATTTTGTTGCTATAAGTATCACTAACGTTGTTTTGTTAAGGTCAATCAAGGGTTGAGCGATTAGTGTTGTTGATTAGGTATAGTATTTTGCGACAAAAAATGTATAGAATGGTTACTAAAAATTGGTATTTATATTTACCATGAACAATTTCCGTCAAAGACCTTTTTAGCGACCAAAAGGCAGGGGCCGAATGAAATGGTCCTAACTCCTAAAGATGCTCTCTTTGGTTGCCATAGGAATTGGTGAATGGTGACCTCGTTGATAACACTGATAATAATAGCATATAGCTCAAGACATGTTCATGTTGCAATGAAATGCTTTAGGCATGCAGTACAGTAATAAGCTTGAACTGTTACACATGGGATTGACATCGATATTAACCGGTGGTGATTGTACTGAGGAAGGGAGCTTGTGGATGCTGCTGGTTCAAAAGTTTGGTTGTCACACCTCACACTGAGCAATCTCCATTGGCAGACCTGATGACAGCGGTTAAAACTGCAGCAGATCAATCAAACCAAGTTTACACTTTAAGAGAGAACTAGCTAGAAAGGCATGTGCTAGCTCAAGATTCTGTTTGAGAAAGAGTAAGCCAACCTTTGGAGGATCGGTAATACACGAGGGTAGGGGCGGAGAACTTGAAAATGTCCATGCTGCCATTTCCATTTGCAGAGTTCAGCAGCAATCCATTCTTCTCCAAATGCTAGGCGAATTCACATACTATCCAAAGCGTAGAAGTATATCCTAAAGACATGAATTACTTTAAACAATTAAAGCTTCTGATGACTCACAATGACAGAACATAAAACTTACTATTCTCCACAATGAAATTCTTGGCTTCCAGCAACAGCGCACCCGAGAATCTGATTTTGCTCATTGCTTCTCCAGGTCGTGCCTTTTCGTTTCAGTATCCCAAGGCCCAAGCATACCCATGACTACAGGTTGATATGGCAATGAACAACCAAGAGTAAATAGAATAGTAATATTCAGGAATTCAGATAGAGTTGATCAATGACTAAACTAATTGTTGGTTACAATGTCGTTTGATAAATGCTTACCATCAGATGAGGAGCGATGCCACATGCCTCCTTCCTAGTAACATACAGCCAGACTGAATTGCCCTTACAGAATTCAGTCTCCTAAGTAAAGGTCATGCTTGACAGGGTTCAGTTTGTTGTGTGCATTGATTGTCAAGACTGCAAAGAGAAGTCTTTGCAGAACAATCAGAATCATGGTAAACTTGTTTTGGTTGCTTCAACAATGCACATGGCCTAGGAACTGGTGAGACTCTGGTCTCCTTTCCCTATCGCCTTTTGCAATGTAATGCCTTTCTCCTCTATAGACTGATCCTTATGCTCAATATCCAACACAAGAAAGTTCAGTCAGTTTAAGAGGATCCTCAACTGTAGTCCTCTGTGCCTTACGGCTAGTTCTACAAAAATAATCATATGTGATATACATGAGGAAATCCAGAAAGAGTGTCTTTTCATATGTTCCCCGCACAAGTTCCACCTTATTCTGGATATTGCTGAAAGCTCTCCCCATAATCTTATAAGAAATTTCATCCAGAACAAATGGAATCTCACTCAATTGCTTGACCCACATCAAGGCCCTCTCAGGCATTCCTTGCTTGCAAAACTGAGACAGCAATATATTGGTGGTGACAGCATTTGGCGCAAACCCCATTTTAATTAGTCTGGCACTCAAGATCACCGCACGATCCAGAACATCTGTACATACTCCACTTATCAAGGTGTTGTATGTTACCGTGTCTGGAGTAATCCCCATTGTGATCAACTCATTCAGCAGGATCACAGCTCGATTCATTTTTTGAGTATTACAATACCCATGAATTCGGATGTTATACGTGTTGATGTCTGGTTCCCATCCCCCGGCATACATTCTCTGCACTAGCTCATCTGCATGAACCGTTTCAAATGCTTTGCAATATCCACTGATCAAAGTGTTGTATGTGACAATATCAGGAGGGGTTAAACCAGAACGAAACATTTCTGCAAATGCATCTTCCGCCATCTTCATGTTTCCTGCTTTACAGAATCCGCGAATGATGATATTCATTGTAAATGTGTCAGGAAGAAGGCCTTGTTGTCTCATCCCTTTCTCCAACTGCAGAGCATGACTTAGATTCCCAGAGTTGCAAAACCCAAGGATCAAGGAGTTGTATGTAAAACTATTGGGGATGCAGCCTTTCATTGACATTTCCAAGAATACATTATATGCCTCTTCCATCAAGCCTGCTTTCGAAAGGCCATCAATGAAAGCTGAATAGGTAACAACATCAGCATGCATACCCATCCCTTCCATTTCAGCCCATAGACTGCAAGCCCCATCAACATCCCCTCTCTTGAAACACCCATCCAAGATAATCGTAAAAGCTTTTCTGTTGATACGAAATCCCTTGTCAATCATTTTATGCAAAAGTTCTGTTGCTTCTTGCACTCTACCTTTCTTGGACAAGCCCATAAGTAAGGAACTGCATGTCAGAGAAGAAGGGGCTATACCGAAAGTGAGCATGAGTCTATAGACTTTATAGGCATTCTCTTCTTGTCCTAATTGGCTACAGGCAACAATAACAGAATTAAAAGCAACACTACTTAGGCATACTCCCTTCTCCAGAACATCTTTCAGGAGTTGAATTGCTTTGTCCATGTGCCCTGCCCAACATAGCCCTGCAATGGAGATATCATATAGTGAACAAGGTGGAAGCACCCCTGATACAGATACATCTGTCAACAAGCGGTCAACATCCTCTCCGCTCCCATACCTATAATATCCAGCGACTAAAGTATTGAATGTCACACCATCTGGCGGTATGCACTTACTTTTCATTTCTTCATAAAGCATCTTTGCCTGAGTGACTTTCTTTGCCTTCAGATATCCATTTAACATCGTATTGTATGTTGAAACAGTAGGCGAGAGACCGAATTGCTCAATCCCATCAAATATCTTTCTTGCTTCTTCTACATTTCCTTTACTGCAGAATGCATTAACAATAGTGTTTAATGTAGGTATACTTGGTTTACAACCATTTTGAATCATGAAATCTAACCAACAAAGTGCCTCTGAAGTCTGGGCCCTCATGCAGCATGCATTGATCAAAATGTTGTACGAATACACATCTGGTTCACGCCTAAATTTCCACATTATATGCAACAAACTCTCGGCAACTCTAACAAGTCCCTTCTGACAAAACCCATGAATCATAGTGTTGATATTGTAATTACAAGGATGATACCCTACGCGAACAACGTCCCTGAACAACTTCCACGTACCAGCGAAATCACCAACTTTGAGCAGAAACTTCAACAGAATAGTGATAGCAGATGAACTTGGCCTAACTCCTGCCTCCCTCATCCTGCCTAAAATGTCAAGCGCCTCATAACCCATATTTGCATTCAAGAAACTGCGCATGATAGTGTCAAGAACTGAGAAATCAGATTCATATTCACTGTGTTTGCCCCACATAAAATCCACCAAGTCTCTACTCCTCTGAGACCCGATTCTCCTAAACACCCACGAAACAACATCCTGTGCAAGACACCTGAAATTCTCTGCAGCCAAGGCGTGGGCCGCAATGCAGCAGGACTCAACTGTATCCTGAGAATTATCATTCTGAAACGCAAGTTTGAAGAGTGCAAATGCGGCTTCACGGGATTCCAACAGTTTCATGGTCTTCACTAGGAAGTAAGGGGAAAACTTGAGAGAAAATGCCTTCAAGACGAATCCTTTCTTGCTCTTTATCAATCTAGACAGTCCGACAACTAATATCCGGCATTCGTTCGAGTTCAAAGGATGCGCACCGGAGCAAGGGGAAGAAGGGCAGAACTGATGGAGGTAATGCAAGCTAGAAGAATGAAGCCGCGCAAAATGGAAGTCAAGTGGCCTAGGTGAGTGAATTGACAATGGGTGCACCTTAAAATGGCTGGCAATCCGCAGCACTCTGGCAGACATCCGCAAGATTTCCAGACCCACCTCAGCCCCCCCTTCAACTTGGCTCAAGTCACTGGGTCATCGGTGAACAATATCCAGAGGCGAACCAGTCCTCCATCCACAGCTGACTTGGTCTTCTAGTACATCTTTTTTCCAGCGAACAAACATGAAGAGTCTGATTTTGAGGCTCCACCATGAATATAAAACAAGCCACCACAAAGTAGACTCACCGCGAGAAACGAATTTGCGTTGTAGAAAGAGGCGGGCGAACAGAGGTTGGTCGGCGGTGAAATTGCAGCAGTGGGCGAGAAGGAGCAAGGCGACGGGTTGTGGGAGCTGGGGATGGACGGTGATGGGCCGCGATCGTGGGCTTGGTGGGTGGGACAGGTGGGCCAGAAGAGGGAATTAAACTAGTGGGCCTTGTGGGTATTCAATCACCACATCACAATCTCCAAATAAGCAAATTGAAGTTGTGATTCTTCAAACAATCAGTGTATTATCATTTGATGTATTGAATCAATTGATGTATTAGGAAAATATATTGTTTGGACTTGGAGGCTTAGATTGTGTTTTTGTTGCAAAGCTGCAAAATTTAATTTTGAATTATTGTGAAGAATCTCAACAAAAAGTAGAGATTGTTAATCCCTCAATTTTGAGTGATTGTGGTGGTGCCTCCAAAAAGTAAATGCATGTATTATGGTTCAATATAAGCAAAAAAAAAAAACGACTTAATCTCACAAATACATGAATTAGCTCACTCAATGCCCCATTTGAAATCACAACTTCCAAACGAGTTAGAATAATGCAAGCATTTCTTTTCAAAATACCTCCTATTCAAAATGTTGCATTCAAAAGCATACCAAATTGAAAGAAATTGACCGTACCTAAACCCCTTTGAAAAGGCTCCTTAACATAAATGAAATCATTACATCGCGAGGTCACAAGTTCATGATGGTGACCCAGAGTACAAGAGCTGCAAATAGTTTATTCTTCTAAAGCTGAATGAACAAATCTTCAGCACATTACATCAACAAAACCAAAGCGTGCGTACAAAGTGACACAACCAAATGCAAGAATCAATGCCACAGCCACACAGGGGAACAAATACATCGAGCCGCAGAAGCCGAAAACATTCCAGAAAAAAGCTTCAGAGATCCCCCCCATGCCATCGTCAACCATGAGTGTTGAGAGCTTCCCACACCAGATTCTTTGGAATAGGATTGGAGACGTCCCTGGCTTGCAACGCGACGGCTCTGAGTGTGTTGTAGGTGAAGACATTCGCCATCCAGAACGAGGCACAGTTGTAGGGCAAGTTGTGCTTCTTGCAGAGCTCCTGAACAAATGGAGACACCTTTCGAAGCTGGCACCTCGGCAGGCGAGGGAACAGATGGTGCTCCACCTGAAACTGCAATCCACCATGGAACCAATCCATCCAAGACGGAGACGATATGTCGAGCGTCCCCTTCGCTTGCTTCTCGAACCAATCGTTCCCAGTAGGTGGCCCGGCGTAGACACTGGAGGAGAAGTGGTTGAGACAGAACTGAACATGTTGAATCCCAGTGACCGCGAAGCTCACCACCACGAACATCAGCCTCTCCCCGAAATTGGGCAGGCAAGAAACAAGCAGAGGGTACCAAATCCAGAACACAATTAGGCCAACGATTTCTTGAACCCTGTTGGGCACCCTTCTCTTGGACAGCAGCAGAGCGAACGACTGCGCAAACAGATTGATCCTGGCCAAGCACATCACAGGGTAAAATGTCAGGTGCTGATAACTCACCAGGAACCTCGCGGCGGGGTCGAAGCTCAGCTTCCTGTCGTAGAAATGAGACGTCATTGAGCTGAACAATTTGGAAGAGACGGCGAAGAACGGAATGTGCTGCAGATCCGGATCGAAATCTAGGCTGTTGCAGGCAATGTGGTGGGCATTGTGGTTCCATTTCCACCACCCGATGCTTATCCCAGCAAGGCAATTCCCAGCCAGCAGCTGAGCAACCCGATTCAGCCGGCGGGTCGCCATTATCTGGTAATGTCCAGAATCGTGCCCGAGCCAGCCGCTCTGTATCCACATAAACCCTAACATCCCGGCAGAAAGCAAATGAACCCAAGTGCTGTCGCTGCAGAGGATGCCGTAGAGACTCATAGCAAACAGCACCGCCATTACGACGAACGAAATTAGGACGCCGTGCCCTTTCTTCTCGAAAAGCCCCAATTTCGAGAACTCAGCTACCAGCCTCCTGTAATCTTTGGAGACCTCAGAGACTGTGTAGTCTTGGAGATGGTGGCCAGTGAAGAACCTGTCGAGGTGCTTCCAGGCGGTGCCCGGATGGAAAGCGAGGAAGGCGTCGGAGGCGTCCTGGCCGGCGAGATTCATCAGCGGGAGCTGGCCTCCTGGGTGGGTTTTGGTCCAATCGGTGACATTGTAGATCTTGCCCTGTATAGAGATCCATAGATCTCCCGCCTTGTTGTGCTTGGCGAGCTCCTGCTGCGAAATGTACTTCTTCGGCTCCGCCATTGCAAGCCCGGAGAGAGATCTGATGTTTAACAGCTCCCAAGTCCCAACTGCGTCAATCTCTCTACTTTCTAGCTGTTCCTCGCTTTTGGGGGTACTGATGGGAGGTGGAGAAGCCTAGAGTTTTATAACGGGAGCAGATGGCAATACAAAGGTTTCAACTTTTTGTAAGGGTTGAGCTAAAATTTTCGATTATCAGCTTCTCACGGGTACAGACAGACTCTGGTAGTGCAGAGTACTGAGTGGGAGTGCGGGGAAGAAGATGAAGATTGAAGGTAACGATCGAAACGAGTGGTTGGTGCTGCCCATGGTGTGGGGCCTAAGCTAGCAAAGGATTGGGGGAGCGCCATAGAAAAACAATTTAAAACCAGCACAAAAGCGGAATCTTTCTTTTTTGATGCGGAAATATCCACTCATTCTAGCCACTGACCCGGCGGGGACGACAAACTGTTACAGAGTAGAGTACAGACAGCAAAATATAAATATCTTGCAATCCACCGTGATTTTAATTAGGTTTAGTCGGTAATTGGTTTTAACTAATAATCGAACCGATAACGGTGATGATTTGTTAACCGATAATCGATAATGTTTTAGTGGTTTGGTTTCAATTAGTTGTATTTTGTTTAGTGATTAACTTTTAACCGACTAATCGGCTAATTGTTAATCGATAAAAAAATTCAATAACAGCATACTAGTATATTGATATAGTTTGAGCTTTGGCTAAGAGGGAAAGTCTCCATACTAAAAAAAACAACCAAAATAACAATTCCTAAAATTCCAATTTACACCTATTGCATACAAGCCTCCCACACTCTCAAATATGTTTAAGAGTTAGAATCTGAAAGTCACCCATCTCTGAAGCCATTTTGCAGTCTACAAGGGGACGCGGCGCAAAGCCAACCTGTCTGAAGCACTGCTTAACCCTAGTCGTCCTCACTTTAAGCAAGAAGGGTGTGACTCACTTGCTATTAACAACTAACACCTGCCAGCCTCGAGGCTCAGGCCTAGTCGCCTAACATATAATCGAATTCGAACCTATTTTCTCGTAGAAATTGTATCATTATAATTTTGAGTAAGTTTCCCACAAAAAAAAAAATTTAATTTTGGTGTGAATTCTATACCTTAAATGTCTACATTAACATATAGCACAAGTATATTATAGATCCCCAGTTCCCCACATTTCACAACTTCAATCATCCATATCCTTCATGTATCGCAAGCTAACATATGTACAAAACAAACTGACATCACAATCAATTCGACAATTGAAAAAGCACATACAAGAACAATCCAATACAAAAAAAATGTCCTCACATTCAATCGAACGATTGAAAGAACACATACGAGAACAATCCAACAGTCTCAACACAGTGATCGATTGCCCAACCAACTAACCCCTTAAACCTTGGCACTTCAATATCTCGAATGTGTGAAACCAAGAAGTAGCAACAGAGATGGAGGAAGACGAGTAGAAAAACCCAAGGCAACTGTAAAAAAAAAAACGAACTTTCTTCTGCTGTCAAACAAATTATTACACAGGCCTCCGTAGTTGCGGCCTCTGCCCATTACATTAAAAACAGGCATGAACACTTTGAAGCTTTTATATGCAGCTAACTAGTCTAAAGCCCAAATGATGAACATGGTTTTAAAACTCGACGTATATGTACATACACGTAGGTATGTTATCTCCAGCTCCAGAGCATTCGCGATGTCAACCAGCTTGGAACTTGGAAGAAAGCTGCAAACTTGAAAAAGAACCAGGCTTCAGAAGTTCCAGGGTCTCTGCGCCAGCGAGGGGAATTCTGATCTTTGTCCACTGTCAAAAACATTTTTTGTTCTCATAGATAGAGGCATACAGAATATCATTTGCAGCATTACACACTACTGATGTCGACGCGGCCTTTCTGGAGCTGAAAAGCAGGGGTGATCCAGCTCCCGCAACTGCACTGTATGCCCGACCAATTGAAGTAGCCCAGTCGAGCGTCACAGTGCGCACATGACAACTTCCCCTCTAATCCGCCATCCTCAACTGGACAACAAAAGGTGGGGGCTACAACCATTACTTACTTGAAATAGTTTCCAGATTTTGTGTACAAAGCTAATGTGCGAAGCATAGATCAAATATTGAGCTATCTGGATAGGGTATCACAATAACTCGGGAGCACTATCCTTACTCGAAAAGGGAAGAAAAAAGGCACAAGGGAAAAGTCCTACACTAAAATGTTATGCATCCTCATTTTGATATGTTCTAGCAATTAAAAAGATTGTACTAGATCTTAAAGCAGTGGACATCACTATAATATTATGCCTTATAACCTCAACTTATTGATGATGTCTAAGCCGATGTATCTGCCTTAAATTCTTCTCTCGAAACAGTGGCCATATTCCTAACTACCGTCTCACCATCAAGATTCAAGGGTGCCAAAATGTTTTGGCCACTAATTTGAAGAATGCCCTCATTATAATCCAAGTTTTCAAGCTGGATGGAGATCAATAGAAGGGGTGCGCACTATTGGTTTCAGAAAGATAAAGCATATGTTGCTTATCATACAATATTTAGATCTTCTAACTCGATTAATTTGGCCTGTGCTTCTAAACAAGGAACACAAGCTACTAGTTAGCTTGTGGCATTAAAAATTAGGAGAATAAGTATTGGCATACCTGCTTTCATCCACTGTAGAGGTTCAATAAAGATAGATGAACAGTCAGTTTCATCAGACTTGCTAAATGGATTGCCACTTCTTCGCTTGTTCCATGAGAAGGATGACTCGCCCTCTCCCGGAATATGACCTACAACATTACCCTCTAATGCAACTAGCCTTCTGCACTTCTTGCAACGATATGCTTTTACACGCTTTTTTTCTCCATTTAGTGGTACTTCTGTCTGTGTCTGAACTTCTACAGCTATACTGGGATCCGCAGCAAACTGATCGCTTTCTATCTTCTCTCCCCGGTTATAGCAGTCACCTGGAAGCACAGGCCGCTCAGGATTTTACACAATACAAAAGCTCGTCCTCACTTGTATTTCGTATCCACTAGGTATATTGAAGCAACCCGAAAGCATAAACTACTATTAAAAAAACAAGAATCGGCAACAAGCAAAATGCATTTAATCTCAAGCTTAGGCTCCAATAAGGTACTCATTCAACTAATATTTGCATTCAAGTTTCTTATAAATATATACCATCAGTGCAGCACTTCCCCACCGAGTGCAGATCCAGTAGAGTGATGTTCCTATTTTAACCGATTTCTGCCTCGGCATATATCTATCCCTTCATAGTTGATCCATCAAAAAGTATGATAACCTACACTATGATGCATGAGAGACACTCTCTCAACCTCAAAAGTCCATGGTTGATATCTCTGTAGAAGTTTATCCTGAACTAGGTAAGACTAGCCAAACCAAATATCACACAGGGAGCTATTAAACCACAGATGACAGATGAATCGAATTATTTTGAATTCCTAGTTCATTCTAAAAACAACACCAATCAATCAGCACCTTGCAACTAATGTGGGTTGGTTCCTGTGAGATCAGGGGAAAATGCATACCTAATACTTTCACATGGAAGCGCTTGTATATAGAACTCCCATGATCAACCTTGAAGCCCATGTCCTCAAACATTTTCAACTGCAATGAAGAAAAACGAACAAGCTGAAAAGTTTGATTCTTTACAACCATGAAGAAACTAAAATTATACAACCACCAAGCTATACAGTCGTTTATAAGTCTGATGCACAGTGTCCTGCATCACCTGATCTAGAAAGCCATCATTGGGGCATACAGACTCACAGCTTTGCCTTAGTGATTCAAGGGCATCTGTTGGAGTTCAAAAGATTATGGGAAAAGCAGGCCATTAGCAAATGTTAAAAGTAAAATTGAAAGCAATTGGAAGACTGGTATTGCCCCAGCCCCCTATAGCATATATACAACGATTCCTCCTAACCTTCCAGAGTGAGCTGTTCAAGTCTCATCAAGTATGCTGTAATGATAGCTGCACTGAAACAAAGACGAGAAATAGACAAAGTCAACACCCCCAAATACAGCAGCGAAGCAACGGAAATGCTCAATCGCTTGGGGTTTACGTACCTCCTGGACACACCAGCAAAGCAGTGAACAAGAACGGAGCCTTCTTTCCTACTCCGATCAATGAAATCCAAGCACGGCTCCAAATAATCCAACAAATCCGCACTCTCCGTATCCCTAATCGGCACCGCCATCCTCACCAGCTTCAATTCCTTCCCGGCGTGCTCCAGCGAGTACATGAGCTTGCTGCTCCTGGAACCATCCTCCTCCTCAGCCGCAGCCGGGCCGTCGCGCTGGCGATTGAAGTAGACCTTCTTGATCTCCTTGGCCGGGATCGAGACGCCGGAGCGCCACTCGGTGAAGAAAGAGATGGAGGCGGAGCTCAGGACGGAGAGCACGTGCGTGATGTCGGAGGTCCCGCTCTGGAGGACCTCCGCCGCATCGGTGATGTTGCCGATGAACAGATTCTCCCGGACGAGGTGCGGCATGTCAGAGAGAGAGGAGATCGCCGGTCGTCGTCGGCGGAATTGAGTGGGAGGTGTGCGCAGAGAGGAATCAGGATTGAATTTCGTCTGCGTTCGGAATGATGGGCGAAAAAAGCTTTACTATCGATATTAAATATATTATTAATTGCATTTACTACTACAAAGTGCAACGGTGGCCTGAGCGTGTGTGAAGTAGAAACTTTTAGAGCAAAGACTGAGAATAGAAGAAAGGCATCTTTCTTGCTGGCTAACTTATACGGGCGGATCACGGTGGGCATCTAGTTCGGTAAACTCAGAACCAAAAACTATTATAACTCGTTGAACTGAGCTGATTGTATATGATTTGAGATTCAGTCGTCTATCTTTAATCTAAATCGAATTTAAATACTCTCGTACTCAGTGGCGGAGGCAGCATTTCAAACTACCCATGTCCTCTTTTCATAACTTAAATATATAAGTATCTAATAAAAGAATTATTTAATAAAAAATGATTATATCCAAATAATATATTCATAAATTAAAAATAACCGATTATACTATCATACTTTTTAGAAACTACGACGAAGGAATTTCATATAGTGAAAGAAGCGCAAAAACATTTGTTGTCTACACTATTATATAAGTCTCTTTCAATGTATCTTACTAAACAAGCATTAGCAAACTGGTCGCCAAATCGACTTGGAAACTTGTTCTTAATATAACTCAAAGTTGAAAATGCTCTTTTTACACTTGCAGTTGTAATTGGTAGGTCAAAACTAGTGGGATTGCAGTTGTCGGTAGACAATTTCAGAGTTGTTGGGGAAAGATCGAATAGGCATAAGGAGAAAAGAGACCCGATTAGTTCTTTATTGCAATTGGAATTTCGTTTATTGTATAATCAATTAATTTTATGTCAATTTTGGACAAGTAATGAGTTGTGTTGTAGTGACAGTACTCTAATACTACTTATACGTGTTGTGTTACATCACCAATATAAATATATATAGCGTATTTTATTCCACCGAAATTTACATCTTTCCTAGAACAAGACCAAAAGGCCCTGCCTCCGCCACTGCTCGTACTAGAGCCACAAGTCGGCAGTAGCTGAAGCCCACTTCCAGCTTTGTCCTTCTTACTTCCAGCACTGTTGTGATAGGTTGTCACATTACACCGAACTTTGATCCATTTTCGGTTAAGGGTAAACTGAAAAATATTTTGGTTGAGATGGGAACGAGGATGTGTTTGGGTTGGTTATTTGGTTTGGTTTGTTCTGCCCAACCCGACTTAGTGCCCACCCCTAGAATGATGGACAATAATTATGTCCACATCGAAGCAAATTGAATCTTAAATTGATATTTGGATCGAATCGGATTGGATCAATATAATTCGTCATTTAAATTTTTATTTATTTTCTTCCTAAATACAAATAAAATAATGGAACGAATATGAAATTGAACCAGACCGAACCAGACCAAATGAAGCATATACACTTCTGGCCCAACTCTGATCCTCCATCTTCCTGTATTTTTTCGGTCCATTTTTTGTTGTGGTTCGTTTCAACTCTGAATCAGTGAATCTGACAGGATCATACTCATCACTAATTCAGTAATTCTATCTCATTGCCCATTTACCTCCTTCTTTCCATTTCTATTTGGTGAGAAATGGTGACGATTCTAAAAATTAACAAAAGCCTTTGTATTAACGTATGAAAAATAATGCAATGTTCTATTTCCTCTCTTCTTAAAGAAGCTGATGACTCTTATCCACCAACAATTCTTGTTTATGGCTATTGTCGCACTGCTGTGGAGGATCTGGCGATCTCGCAATTGGGTGGTTTTTGAAGGTAACAATACGAGCTATCGGCCTTGATGCGCCAATTTAACCAGCAATATGCGGAGTGGGAAAGTTTGTCAGTGGATCAGGTTCTCCGTTCTTCTGCCCTCTGGTATAACAGTGGAGTCCTAGTGGGGGCTCCCTTTGCTGATTGTATGTAGGATGGGGCAGTTAGGAGTGGGTCTCATTCGGCAGACAGAATGGTTATTATGAACCAAGAATGTCAGATCCTTTTGGTTCAGGGGTACAGTTCCTTTTCATTGATGACCCGATGATGTTAGAATTACTTACGCTTCGTGAGGCCATCCTTTGGTGTCTGGCCCATGGCTTCACAGAGATACGTTTTGAAGGTGATGCGAAAGTAGTCATTGAAAAGATCATTCGGGCAGATAGCAGCAATAATCGGATGGGCGCGATTCTTGAAGAAATTGTGATGTATTTTGCCAATCATAGTGGGTTTGGTGCGCGATTTGTAGGATGGCGTAACAATAGGGTAGCCCACTTGGTGGCTCAAAAAGCCCTTTTTTTGTATCCGACTATGTGTCGTGTGTTTGATTTTCAGGTCTGGCTGAACTCCAGGATTGTAATTACATATCTTTTTGAATCAATGTATGATTATTTTTTGTAAAGAAAAAGTCATTTACAAATGGTATATGTAAGCATTTTCATCTATAGAAAACCAGTTTATTTTTGTTTCCCAACCATCCATACCTTCATTTGTTTTTAAATGTTCCTACTCGCCAAAGTGGTAAAAAAAAAAACAACACAACCAAACAATTTCCCAAAATCTCACATAAAATAATTCCAAGACATATTGAAACATAAATAAAATAGTCTTAATCAAACAGAGTATGTCTATTTGACTTAAAAGTCACCGTAACTTGAAAAAAATGGTCAATCGCTTCTGACAATCGATAGATCGCTTCACACAATTGATTGACCACTTCCTACATCTAATTTACCTCTTCCGTAAAATCGATAGACCACTTCAAAAAACCAATCCATCGCTTCCAATCAAGCCAATTCATATAACATACAAGAGGGTGCATGGAAAAGACCTTGGCATGAATTCAAGTATCCTTTTTTATAAGTCAAGTAGCTAGAAACCAAGTGGCCTAGGACTAGGAGAGAGTTTAATTAAGCAAGTCGTTGACGATTATGATTTAGTAACCAGCCGAGCTGTTGCTGCAAGTGGCGGGAAGGATTAGGTAATAATAAGTGTTTTCTTATCACTAAAACGTACCATCATGGTTATAAACTTATAATAAACTCTCACTGTCATGTTTGTGACTGAACTTTAGAGTCTAGAAGGAAGAGCTAATAGAGTTTCGTTCCGTTGCTTTCCAATGTTTATCATGGAATTCACATATTATAATCTAAAATTAAATATCGAGAGAAGGTACAATCACCTTCAAATTACGCATAGTTTACATAACAAATTTGAGCATTTCTAATATACTTTAAAGTATTAGTAATTTAAATTACAATTTGAAATTGTATCATAATGTTAAAGATACAAATTGAAATTGTATAAGGAAATTTGACCTTTATATTGTGATACAACTTGAAATAAAGGTACAACTTTAGTTTGTATCATAAAAGGGATTTTAAGTCTAGATACAACCTAAAATTGTGTCGTAACATTAAAGATACAACTCCAAATTATACGGTAAAAAACAAAAACTAAAGCACCAATACTGTAAAAATTCTCAACAAATTCAGTTGAAATTTTTAGTGAACAAATTAAATAGAAATCGCAGATTAACCACGCGGTGGGAATGAGTCGAAGAATAACATGGAATCTACTTTGAAATAAAAGGCGCCAACATGAATTAATGACTATATTTTTTTGCTAAACCAACCATGATTTGATTATTGGTAGCAGGTATTTCTGTTGAAAATTCAATTTTATTTAACCCAATTAGAACCACACTGGTCAATCAAAGAAACAATCAACCCCGATTAAGTCTTTCTTTAATCAATCAAGCCAACTTTATTTTTCCACAGGAAATCTTCGTCAAATTTCACTTAACCCTATATAAATATCCCTCTTTCACGCTAATCCAGATTAGCCAGTTAATTACAAAGGTTAACAAAAAAAAAATGAAGAAAACCTCTCTGCTTCTCCAATGGCTACTCCTTCTTCTACCACTAACAGCTTCCCTCTCCCCGTCTCCCTCCAACGTCGTCGACGGCGACTGCTCCGACAAATGCGGCAACGTCACCGTCCCCTACCCTTTCGGAATCGGCGACCGGAAATGCGCAATCTCCGCCCCCTTCCTCCTCAATTGCAACTCCTCCGCCGTCCTGGTGTTCGGCAAGAACATCCCCGTCACCAACATCTCCGTCGAGGAAGGCACCTTCTCCGCCGTCATTTCCGCCGTATCCCGCTGCTACAACAAGACCGATCCGGCGAGGAACCGCACGACGTTGGGGCGGGCAATCAAGCTCGGCGGCGGGCCCTTCCGGCTGTCCAACGTCCACAACAGGCTCACCGCCTTCGGCTGCAACACCCTGGCCTTCATGACCGACAAAGCCGGCACCTTCGGCACAGGCTGCGTCTCCTTGTGCGGCCGCGGCCGCGTTCCCGCCGCCGCCAATTCGACTTCGGAGCTCTGCTCCGGAATCGGGTGCTGCCAGAGCGCGATTCCCCAGGGATTGAAGTTGAGGACTCTGAATTTCACGGTTTCCAGGGCGAGGAGCCGCGGCAGGAATAATTCGGCGTCGAATCCTTGCGATTACGCTTTCCTGACGGATGTCAGAAGCTTCGATTTCGGCAGGGTGAAGCTGTCGGAGCTCCCGGAAAGGAATCCGAGGAACTCAAAGGCGGCGATCGAGTGGGTGGTCGAGGAGAAGACATGTAAGAAGGCGAAGTCGAAGTCGAAGTCGAATTCGAGCTCGTACGCTTGCCGCGAGAATTCCAACTGCGTTTACTCCGAGAATGGGAATGGTTACAGGTGCTTGTGCCAGCCCGGATTCACAGGAAACCCCTACCTTGGCTGCCAAGGTAAAAATCTGAACCTTACCGCGCGATAATTGGTCGTTGGCCTCAAGATTCGAACTTTTTTTTTTCGTCGTCCAATCGAAATACTGATTACGGGCGTGTTGATGTTTTTATTGATCACAGACATCAATGAATGTGAGGAGGCAGAGAATTACCCATGTCATGGACGTTGCAAGAACACAAAGGGGAGCTACACTTGTAGTTGTCCAATTGGAATGCGTGGTGACGGCAAAGTTGCTTGCCAATTATCCAGCGTTACGGCCATTGTTGCAGGTAAAAGAAGTGCTTAAGAGTTAAAAACAGTTCGTCTCCACTATCATACCTTCAACATATCAAAAGCTTACCCAAGTTTTTACTTTTTTACTCTGTTTTTCATTCGCCAGTAACTGGATGCATCATCTTGCTATTCACGATCGTTCTTCTGACCTTCATCATCTACAAGAGAAGAAAGAGAGAGAAGAACTTCTTACTCAACGGGGGAATGCTACTAGAGCACCAAAGGGTGAGAATCTTCAAAGAATCCGAGCTCTCCAAGGCCACCAAAAACTACGACCCTGCCCACTTCCTCGGCGAAGGAGGGTTCGGCCATGTCTACAAAGGAATCCTGCCTGATAACACACTCGTCGCGATCAAGAAACCCAAAGACTCAATCGACAAGGCTCAAACCATTAACCAAGAATTTCAGCACGAAATCGCCATCGTCTCGCAAGTGAACCATGTCAATGTTGTGAAAGTGGTTGGACTCTGCCTCGAGACCAAGCTCCCGCTATTGGTCTACGAGTTCATCCCCAACGGCACGCTCTTCGACCACATTCACAAACAGAGGTCGAAAGTGATGTCTACATGGAAACACAGGTTGAGGATCGCGACGGAGATCGCTCAAGCGCTCGACTACCTGCACTCGCTGGCGAACCCTCCAATCATCCACGGGGACATCAAGTCGACCAACATTCTTCTCGACGAGGGTTTCAGGGCCAAAGTCGCCGACTTTGGCGCCTCTGTTCTGATCTATCCCGACCAGACTACGGCTGTGCTTAATAAGATTCAAGGCACGCTGGGTTATCTCGACCCGGAGTATCTCGTGACGGGTGATCTCACTCCGATGAGCGATGTCTACAGCTTTGGAGTGGTCATGGTGGAGTTACTGACAGGGGAGAAGCCTTATGGGAGTTCGACCAGAACAGGGGAGAAGGTTAATTTGATTCAGTATTTTTTGAATTCGGTGGGGGATATGAATTTGGGGAGGATTGTAAATTTCGGGGCGATTCGAGATGGGGAGATGGAGGAGATTGAGGCGTTTGCTGAGGTGGCGCGGCGGTGCTTGAGTTTCAGCGGGATGAAGCGGCCGGCGATGAAGGAGGTGGCAGAGGAGCTTGAACGGCTAAGGAAATTGAATGAGAATTCTTCTTGGGGTTCTAATCGGAAGGGTGAGAATGGCGGAGAGGAGACGGAATATCTGTTGAGGAAGGATGGCGATGAATCTTGTTCTTTATCGTTTAGTGGGTTCTCAGAAGTTTTGATAGGGACGACCGAGGAGCAGCCGACGGCGGAAACTCATAGCAACGTTTCAATGAATATGGAGTCGTATGAGTTTTGTCGTTGATGGACTCCATTTTGCCTTTGTTTTTGTCTATTTTGTTTCTCAAGTTCCAATTCTATTTTTATAGAATAAAAAAATTTATAATACAAAATATTTCAATAATGACATATCTGATTTGACCTACTAAACAAATACATTAAACTACTTTTCATCAAATGTTTGAAAAGTAGCAAAGGACAAATTGGTCCAAAAAGCATACTTAGTGGCAAATATTCTCTCGTTAGTTCTTGTTTCATTTGCATTTCGGCTTCTTGTGACAGAGTTGTCCCTTCTCTAGTCATTAGTCAATGCATATTTAATAAAAGAGTTCGGGAAGACTGCCTCATTGGACGACAGATGGCGGATTGGTAATCCAAAAGAAGTTAAGGGGTCTGGAAATGCAATGCAGTAATTGGACCCAAATACCACATAATGCAGTAATTGGGTTTAAAACCCACGTTTGGGAGAGCAAAAAGGGTATGGGAATTGGACCATGGAAATTGGCTTCAATTACCACATTCATGGTAATTGAGAATACTACACCTCCCCCTAGTAATTTGACATTACCACGTTTTCTTACTTCTTTTTCCAAATTCCACACCATCAATTCCCACAAAACTAAACCCTATCCAAACGTGAAATTTTTTTCAATTTCCACAAATCAATTCCTTGATTTTGTAAAACATGGAAATTCAGACAAATTCCAACGTTTTCAAATTTCCACATCCAAACGAAGAATCTCCCCCCTAATCATTTTTTTCAGAAAAGATGACCCCTGTTCGTCTAGTGCATTAAGGTAATAGAACGTTCTTGGACGATGCCCATTACATCATAGTGTAACCATTTAGTAAGTCCCGGTTTGTACACATCGAAGAGATGTGTGCCAAAAGGGGAGTTATGATTAAAAGGAGCGTCGTGCCCATTACATCATAGTGTAACCATTTAGTAAGGATCCTCCACCTAATCATTTTAGATTTCGCCTCCTCAAAAGTTAGAGGTGATTCAACCTGTCTCTAAACTTTTGTGACCAAACAGATCATTTTACATCTATTTTTTTTTTTGGGGTGACAAAATCATTTTACATCTACTAATTGTAAGGCTTTAGGTTTACATTAGCTGTAAATTGATAGGTATGGTACAATATTCGCAATAAATTGTTTTTAGACATAGATATTATTCCTCTGAAATTGAAGGGATACATGATTTAGTGCAATCGTAATCCAACTAATACAACAGCATTATGTAAAATCATTAAAATAAAATATCGCATACCGCTAAATGTACAATAATTAATGTAAGACTCTTGAGAAACAGATTAAGACGACATAACTACATACGATGGGTCATATCAGACCATTACGATACCGTCAAGGTTGTCAACCCGCGGGTTGACCCGGACCCGGTCGAGCTAGTGGGTCAAGGGTTAATGGGTCAACCGTTTTAGCCCGGTTTCGCCGAAAATATAGAAAAAGTCATTATATTGTACTTATCCTCATAAATTATATCAAATCTTATCTAACATATGACTTATAACATATAATATTACACCAAAATAACATATCGTACTTAGATCCAACATATAGTGAAAATTCACACACACTTATATAACATAAATATTCAAATGTTCAACTTAGGAGTCCAAAGATTGAGTTAGGCGAAAAGAAAAATCGGAAAATAGGCGCATTTCGCAAAGCAAAGAAAAAAATGACACAATTTGACCTCCAACCTGGTACCTTATAGCGGTCGGCCCGCGGGTGCGTATAACCCATTTTTCACACCGAGTCAGAGTCAAAGTGGGTCGACCCGCGGGTCAACCCGCGGGTTGACAACCTTGGATACCGTCTACACTCTAACCTGCAACATACAGATCGATCTAATCTGCGATTTTTGTTACGATCCGCTCTATATTTATTTGTTGACATGAACTAATATCGCTATAATTACGACCTATAATTTCCTGTAAGAACGCAGAAGCCACACAAGAGTTCCACCATACCAACCAAAATTTACCATTTCCTTGTGCTATGAATTTACACGCTTGGGGAATGAGTCCAAGCCAAATAGACTATGTTAAAGAACCGGGCAACCATGGAAAAATAGCGCCAAAACCCTAATTTAATAATTTGAAGTAGGTATATTTCTGTTGAAAATTCAATTAATCCCAATTAGAACCTAGACTAATTACACTTTGGTCAACCAAAGAACTGATCAACCCCTCTAATGGTCTAATCTCATATAAATCCCTCCCTCTTTTTCCCCTAATCCAGATTTTCAGTTAATTACTTGCAACACAAAACAGAGAATGAAAATGGCAGAGACAACTCTGCCGCTCATAACCGCTACTAATCTCTTCCTCCTTCTGCTAGTAACTTCCCTCTCACCGTCTTCCCCCAACGTGATCGACGACGACTGCTCCGACCGATGCGGCAACGTCACGGTGCCGTACCCTTTCGGAATCGGCGACCAGAAGTGCGCAATCTCCCCTGCTTTCCTCTTCAACTGCAATTCCTCTGCCTCCCTGGTGTTCGGGAGGAACATCCCGGTCACCAACATCTCCATCGATGAAGGCACCTTCACCGGCGTCATGCCGGCCGCGGCCAGATGCTACAACCAGTCAGGTTTGATGGCGGAGTACACCAAGCGGCCGACCATCACGCTCGGCGGCGGGCCGTTCCGATTCTCCGACGTCCACAACAAGCTCACTGCCTTCGGCTGCGACACCATGGCCTTCATGAGCGACAGAGCGGGCAGCTTCGGCAGCGGCTGCGTGTCGCTCTGCGACCGCGTCTCCGCCGCGAACTCGTCGCGGCGGATCGCGGACGCGAACTCGGAGGTCTGCTCCGGGATCGGGTGCTGCCAGAGCTCGATTCCACAAGGATTGAAGACGATGAACTTCACGGTGGCTAGCCCGGGGAACCACAGCAGGATCCTGGACTCGAATCCTTGCGATTTCGCTTTCTTGGCCGACGTGAGGGTTTTCGAATTCGGGGAGGTGGAGCTGGCGGAGTTTCCCGAGAGGAATCCGAGCAATTCGAGGACGGCGATCGAGTGGGTGGTGGAGGAGAAGACTTGCGAACAGGGGAGGTCGAATTCGAGCTCGTACGCTTGCCGCGAGAATTCGGATTGCGTTTACTCCGAGAACGGAGAAGGTTACAGGTGCTTGTGCAAGCCTGGGTTCACCGGAAACCCTTACCTTGGTTGCCGAGGTAAAGTTCGAAGCTTTCGGAGATGAATTCAAGATTTTGAAATCTCTACGATGGATTTAAACTGATTCCTCTGTTCGTTCGTTGTTGTTTCATTGATCAGACATTGATGAGTGTGCTGAGCCAGAGAAGTTCCCCTGCCATGGAAGTTGCAAGAACAGAGATGGCGACTACAGTTGTAGCTGTCCAGTTGGAATGCGTGGTGATGGCAAAGTCGCTTGCCAAGGGTTTCGTGTTACCGCCATTGCTGCAGGTAACCAAGAAAATCAAGTCAACCATAGCCCACCAATTGTTTTCTTTGACGAATTTTTCCCTAATGAATCAGTTACTCTGTTTCTCATATCCGTTTTCCCCTGCCTGCAGTATCCGGAGGCATTATCTTGCTGTTCACAATCATTCTTCTGGCCTTCATCCTCTACAACCGAAGAAAGAAGGAGAAGAACTTCTTACTCAACGGTGGATTGCTACTAGAGCACCAAAGGGTGAGAATCTTCAAGGAATCAGAGCTCTCCAAGGCAACCAAAAACTACGACGCCTCCCACTTCCTCGGCGAAGGAGGATTTGGCCATGTCTACAAAGGAATCCTGCCGGACAACACCCTCGTCGCAATCAAGAAGCCCAAAGACTCCATCGACAAGGCTCAAACCATCAACCAAGAATTCCAGCGCGAGATCGCCATCGTCTCGCAAGTCAATCACATTAACGTAGTCAAGGTGGTAGGACTCTGCCTCGAGACCAAGCTCCCGCTCTTGGTCTACGAGTTCATCCCCAATGGCACCCTCTTCGACCACATTCATAAACAGAGGTCCAAGGCGATGTCCACCTGGAAACATAGGTTGAGGATCGCGACGGAGATCGCTCAAGCGCTCGATTATTTACATTCCCTGGCGAACCCACCGATCATCCACGGGGATATCAAGTCGACCAACATTCTCCTCGACGAGGATTTCAGGGCCAAAGTCTCCGACTTTGGTGCCTCTGTTCTGATTTCGCCCGACCAAACGGCCGCCATGTTTAATAAGATCCAAGGCACGTTGGGCTATCTCGATCCGGAGTATCTGGTGACCGGTAATCTCACTCCGATGAGCGACGTGTACAGCTTTGGAGTGGTCATGGTCGAGCTTCTGACAGGGGAGAAGCCTTACTCTGGCACCTCGGTGAGAACAGGGGAGAAGATTAATTTGATTCAGTATTTTTTGAATTCGATGACGACGGGGATGAACTTGGGGAAGATTGTAAAATTCGAGGTTGTTCACGAAGGGGAAATGGAGGAGATGGAGGCGTTTGCTGAGGTGGCGCGGCGGTGCTTGAGCTTCAGCGGGATGAAGCGGCCGGCGATGAAGGAGGTGGCGGAGGAGCTTGGACGGCTGAGGAAGTTGAATGAGAATTCATTGGGGTCTAATCGGAACGGTGGGGAGGAGACGGAGTATTTGTTGAGGAAGAGTACCGATGGCGAATCTTGTTCTTTGTCGTTTAGTGGGTATTCGGAAGTTTGGACAGGGACGACGGAAGAGCAACCGCCGACGGGAACTCATAGCATCGTTGCGTTAGATATGGAATCGTATGAGATTTCTCGATGATGATGATGATGATAGCATAGCATGCACCCACTTTAGAATTTTGTTGGGGTAATATTATATGGAGAATCATGTATTGACTGGTTTTACAATTTTGAATTTAAAGGTGACCATATGTTATGTTATGTGATTTAACGACCAAGTCGTTGCCTATTCATGTTCATCGTGCCTCTAAAAGAGAACGAGACATGAAACAATTAACGACCAGCTAGGCTGCTACTGTGCTACAGCCTACCAGCGAAGAGGTTGAAGATAGGGCTGCAAATGAGCCGAGTTACTTTTTTTTTTTGCATAAAAGGAGGCCAGAAGCCAAGAGAAGGAGATTACAGGCGAGAGGAGGGGGAAGAAGAAGTAGCTACAACTCTGCGCTCGAAAGCGATACCCACGAGATCATCCTGAAGAATCGAAGCTAGTCCATGAGGCGGGTTCACAAGCTCATGCATACCGTAGGGATAGACGAGACTGTGCTTCGAGCAGTCCGCGGCTCTATTCCCTTCTCGGTATGTATGAGTGATGTTCACCAACCAGTTCTGTCCTAGCTTCCTACGAATAGCCGCAAGCAAGGTAGCATAAGGGTGTACATGAGCCGAGTTACTTGCGAGTGGCTCGACAAGACCCAGACCATCAACCAAGAATTCCAGCACGAGTTGGCCGGCCATCGTCTCGCAAGTCAATCATATCAATAGGTGGAGAACAGCTTTCCGACAATGTACGAGAAGAGCTGGACCACAGGTGTGAATTGGACGGTGCAGAGTGATTCGAGTTGTACAGCACGGAATGTAGAAGAAAGACGACAAATATTGAAACACAGTAGGAAGTAGCGTAATCTCCTCCGGCTACAGGTTCATGTGACTTGGACTGACACTTGTTATCTTCTCCACTTTTATAGTACTTGAGAGTTTCAGTGAGTAGCTCAAAACAGAAGCGAATACAATGGAGAAGAACACTCTGCTGCCGCTAATAACCGCTACTAAGCTTCTTCTCCTTCTCCATCTCCTTCTTCCTGCAGTGACTTCTCTCTCCCGGCCGCTGAATAATCCCAACGTGATCCATGACGACTGCTCCGACAAGTGCGGGAACGTCACCGTCCCGTACCCTTTCGGAATCGGCCGAGACCCCAAATGCGCATTCTCCGACGCCTTCCTCCTCAATTGTACTTCCCCAGCCGCCGCTCGCCCTGAAGTACTCGTCTTCCGCAACATCACCGTCACCAAGATCTCCGTCGAGGAAGGCACCCTCTCGGGCTTAATTCGCGGCGCCTACAGCTGCTACAACAAATCCGGCCCGATGAGGCCCTACCGATATTCCAATCAGTCCATCACGCTTGGCGACGGCCCATTCCGTTTCTCCAACGTCCACAACAAATTCACGGTCTTCGGCTGCGACACCATCGCATTGATCATGAGCGGCGACTCGGGCATCTTCATCGGCGGCTGCATCTCCTTCTGCGACGGCGTATCCGCCGCCGAAGCCTCGCGGCGGATTTCCGCGGCTTCGAACTCGTCGGTCTGCCCCGGAAACGGGTGCTGCCAGAGCTCGATCCCCCGTGGATTGAAGACGCTGGACTTCAAGGTGGAAAGCTCGACGAACCACAGCCACATCTTGGACTCGAATCCTTGTGATTTCGCGTTCCTGGCCGACGACAGGGATTTCGATTTCGGCCGTGTGAACCTGAGTGAGTATCCCAATTGGAATCCGAGCAATGCGAGCACCGCGATCGAGTGGGTGGTTGAGGAGAAGCATTGCAAGGAGGCGAGATCGAACTCGAGCTCGTACGCTTGCCGCGAGAAATCCGATTGCGTTTACTCCGGCAATGGGAATGGTTACAGGTGCTTGTGCAGTGCTGGGTACAGAGGAAACCCCTACCTTGGTTGCCAAGGTAAATTAAACTTGAACCTTACATTGGTAGTTGACGACTTCAAGATTCAAACTTTTTTTTCCTAGACTCAAATACTGATTCGATTGCGTTTATGGGTCTGTTGTTGATTTTTCTTAAATCACAGACATCAATGAATGTGAGGAGCCAGAGAAGTATCCATGCCATGGACGTTGCAAGAACACAGAGGGGAACTACACTTGTAGTTGTCCAATTGGGAAGCACGGCGATGGCAAAGTTGCTTGCCAAGTATCTTGTGTTACGACCATTGTTGCAGGTAAACCAAACTGGACAATCGAGGATTATAACCAAAGTGTTTGATGTTTGGGTTAATAATGACGATTTGCAAGAATCAATTCCTTCTCTAATGCCACACTAGTATTTTTTTCATCCATTCCAACCCAAGTTCATCTTGATTAGTTACTCTGTTCTCACCCTGTTTTTCCCTCTGCAGTAACTGGAAGCATCATCTTGCTATTCACGACCGTTCTTCTGACCTTCATCATGTACAGACGAAGAAAGCAAGAGAAGAACTTCTTGCTGAACGGTGGCATGCTGTTAAAGCACCAAAGAGTGAGAATCTTCAGGGAATTGGAGCTCTCGAAGGCCACCAACAGCTACGACGCCACCCGCCTCCTTGGCCAAGGAGGATTCGGCCATGTCTACAAAGGAATCCTGCCCGACAACACCCTCATCGCGATCAAGAAGCCCAAAAACTCTCTCGTCGACAAGTCTCAAACCATCAACCAAGAATTCCAGCACGAGATCGCCATCGTCTCCCAAGTAAATCACATTAATGTTGTCAAGGTAGTAGGACTCTGCCTCGAGACCAAGCTGCCACTCTTGGTCTACGAGTTCATCCCCAACGGCACCCTCTCGGACCACATTCACCGGCAGAGATCGAATCTGATGTCTACATGGACAAATCGGCTGAGAATCGCGACGGAGATCGCTCAAGCGCTCGATTACTTGCATTCCCTGGCGAACCCACCAATCATCCACGGGGATATCAAGTCGACCAACATTCTTCTTGACGAGGTTTTCCGCGCCAAAGTCGCCGACTTTGGCGCCTCTGTTCTAATCTATCCCGACCAGGCAACCGCCATGGTTAGTAAGATCCAGGGGACGTTGGGCTATCTCGACCCGGAGTATCTCGTGACTGGAGATCTCACTCCGATGAGCGACGTCTACAGCTTTGGAGTGGTCATGGTCGAGCTTCTGACGGGGCGGAAGCCTCACTCTGTTTTCTCGTCGAGAACAGAGGAGAATGGTAATCTCATTATGTGTTTTTTGAATTCGGTGGGGGATAGGAATTTGGGGAGTATCGTAAATCTTGAGGTGATTCGAGGATGGGAGATGGAGGAGATTGAGGCGTTCGCTGAGGTGGCACGGCGGTGCCTGAATTCAAGCGGGATTGAGCGACCGGCGATGAAGGAGGTGGCGGAGGAGCTTGGACAGCTGATGAGGAAATTGAATGAACATGATCGGACGGGTGATAATGATGGGGAGGAGGGGACTGGTGGTGAATCTTTTTCGTCTATTAGTGGGTGTACGGAATTTTGGACAGGGAGGACGGAGCGGCCGGCGGAGGAAACTCAGAGCATAGTTGCTGTGGAGTAAAACGCAGATTTGCCGGTGATGAAAGCATGCCGGGGCACCAAGACAGGGCTATTGGGCTTGATACGTCAGGCCCTAAACTAATTGATAAAATGGGCTAAACAATGCAGCAGCCCACATTCTTCTTCATTCACGTGGCATAGGGCCCACTTATCTTTCTTTTCTTGTAATTGTGCAATTTCTACCAGAATGGCGTATGTAAATTAACATTTTCGCATATCTCACATTGTTAGATTCCTTATATTTCATCAACAAAGAGATCATAACAAACCCTATTGAATTTGTGAATATAAATTTGAGAAAAAACATTTAGAGTCAGTAAGATTTTTATCAAGAATGGTAAGATACGAGATTTTATAGGTTTTACAGTTTTGTATAGTAACCTAGAACATGAATCCGCAATCGAATGTACCTAATCAAGTATTCCAATTTCCAACATTGCTTTTCTTTTCAGGCAAATTCATGAATCTTGGGAGAGTGAATCAACACATGATAAATACCAACATTAATATTCCTTATTTTGCAATGTATCCTGCAAAGATTCCCAAAAACCAGTAACCAATCATGGAATCTACACAGAATCTGGAACAAAAATAAATAACCAGCTAATTTCACATAGCATACACGGCAAATTAATTAAGGAGCTCCGTATAAGGAAAGGATTTTTCTTATTTGTTTCTTGTAATAAACATTCTGTACTACTCAATTCAATGAAGGGCGCAAATTGGGTAAAAAAAATATCAAATTATATGGCAGGTATAAAAGCGCGTGGAACTAACACACATCTATCGTCTTTCGTACCAAAACACGAGCGTGATCGTCCGATAATTTTCAAGTGCTAGCTAAGTACTAAAAATGGTGACAACACTCAAACATTTGCACCTTCTTCATGTTCTTGCTTGCTGCATTCTTCTGTTGATGAACTCCAATTATCTGTTATCTTATGGCAGTGAAGATCACGGTGATAGAAAGGTAAGTGTCAATTAGTATTTTTTTTTTTTGTTTAACTTAATCCTTTTGGTGATTAATTCTGTTGTGATTTTTCAGGTGTATATTGTGTACATGGGAGCATTGCCTAGGGGAATGTATTCCCCTTCATCTCACCATCTTAGTTTGCTTCAAGAGGTTGTGCAGGACAGGTATATATATGAAAGATTAGACTGCCAGACGACGAGGATAAATAGCGATCGACAACTAGTATCGTATCAACATATTGATTACATAGATAAAACGATTTATACTTTTTTGTGTCTTTTTTACCAGTGAAGGATCAGAGCATATGATCAGGAGTTACAAGAGAAGCTTCAATGGATTTGCAGCCAGACTCACAGACAACGAGGCCACCAAGCTTTCCAGTTATGTGCCCTAGTTGTAGTTTCCTTCCTCTCTTTACCCACGACTTAGTTTCGTCATTAATAGTTGCTATTCGCAAATTGTTTCAGTGACCATCTGTAATAAAAAAGAAAAAGAAAAACCGTTTTCTCTCCCAGGCAAAAGCGGTGTCGTTTCGGTTTTCCGCAGCACAAACCTAGAGCTCCAGACAACCAGATCGTGGGATTTCCTGGGCCTCCAACAACCCACCGGGATCACGGCCGGTAACTCCACCGCCGGCAGCGACATCATAGTCGGAATGATCGACTCCGGTGTCTGGCCGGAGTTGCCCAGTTTTAACGACCGCGGCCTCGGTCCTGCTCCGGCCAAGTGGAAGGGCGCTTGCAAAGGCGGCGCAAACTTCACCTGCAACAAGTATATAGATTTCATTCTCCAATTAATCAAATCTCCGCCTTTCAAACTTGTATGATGATTTTATTTTATCTATTTTCTCCAGGAAGCTGATCGGAGCTCGGTACTACTCCAACGAGGCGGCTTCGGCGAGGGACGCCGACGGCCACGGGAGCCACACGGCGTCGACGGCGGCGGGGAGCGTGGTTCCAAACGCGAGCTTCTACGGTCTGGCGAGCGGGGTCGCAAGAGGAGGACTTCCCTCAGCGAGGATTGCCGCCTACAGAGTGTGCGACCCTAGCGGCTGCTCGTCGGAACAGATCCTCGCCGCCTTCGACGACGCCATCGCCGACGGGGTCGACGTCATCTCCATTTCGATCGGCGCCAGTTCCGCGCAGGATATCGACACCGACGTCATCGCAATCGGGGGATTCCACGCGGCGAAGCAGGGCGTCCTGACCGTACACTCGGCCGGCAACAGCGGCCCCGATCCCGGCACCCTGGCCAGCGTGGCTCCATGGCTGCTATCCGTGGCGGCGAGCACCATTGATCGGAAGTTCCGCACCAGGGTCGTTTTGGGAAACGGGAAGAAACTCGTGGTATGGTTCCCCCCCAAAAAATCCCCAATTTTACTCTGTTTCTTGGATTTCTTGTTCTGATCGGAATTATAAAAAAAAAAAAAAAACAGGGGAACTCAGTAAACCCATTCCGTCTGGAGGGGAAAGATCTGCAATTGGTATACGGCGGAACTGCGTCAAGATCTTGCGAAGAATCCGAGGCTAGGTGAATGTCAAAAGCAAATTGGGTTTGCAATTTTGCATCTATGAATCCTCAATTTTGCATAATGAATTCTGAATTTTGCCTTTGTGGCACGAAACAGAGCATGCAGCAGTGGCTGTCTAGAACAGAGTAAGGTGAAGGGGAAAATAGTGGTGTGTGATTACAAGTACGGGCAGGATGAGGCATTGAAGGTCGGCGCTAAGGCGGTTGTGTATCCGGACATAATCCCTGATGTGGCTTTCCTCTCTGTTTTGCCGGCGGCCCCATTAGATCTGACGAGTTTCGATTCCCTTGTCTCCTACGCGCGCTCCGGTGACAAACCGGTGGTGAAGATGCTGGTGGGAGAAACCGTGAAGGAATCTGGAGCGCCGGCGGTTGCTAGTTTCTCGTCCCGCGGTCCCAATATGATCATACCCGATATCTTGAAGGTATGTGTCTTCTGCATCGAATTAATTTACTCTGTTTTTGTTGCTTCGTGCATTGGCCTTAAAAGGGTTTTGGTTTATGGAGAACAGCCGGACGTGAGTGCGCCGGGGGTGGATATTTTAGCCGGATGGTCGCCGGAAGCTCCACTGACCGATGGGGACAAGAGGCGAAACCAGTTCAATGTGATATCAGGAACTTCCATGGCCTGCCCCCACGTCACCGGCGTTGCAGCTTACGTCAAATCCCGGCATCCCGATTGGTCCCCTTCCGCTATCAAATCCGCCATTATCACCACCGGTAAGTAACGAACTAACAACTCAATTGAATGTTTATTATCTTCTCCATTCGTCACCATGATCAATTAGAAGTTAAATGTCATTTAATCATTCGATTTTTTAGGGGGGAAATTAATTATAGATATTGTACGAGATTTTATGATATACTTCAAATCAAAAGTCAAACACACAATTTAAACTTTGCAATATTTCATTATAGATCGTTGTAATCAATTATTAATGTTGAAGATGATGAATATTAGAACACTATGTATCATAGATCTCACTAACTCAAATTTTTAAAAGAAAATTGATTACCGATCTTATATTATTCTCTAACATAGTTGCTTCTTACTCCTGTGTCATAGCAACGGCTATGCGTCCCATCAACGGTTCAAATGATCTTGCCTACGCAGCGGCAGAATTCGCGTACGGATCGGGGCAGGTTGATCCAATGAAAGCCGCGAATCCCGGGCTGGTGTACGAAGCGACGCCGGCCGATTATGTCAGAGTGCTCTGCAGCTTGGGTTACGATACCAAGAGGCTCCGGGCCGTGACCGGCGACAAGAGCACTTGTCCTGCTAAGAAAAACGGCACCGCGACGACGTCGTTGAAGGATTTCAACTACCCGTCGATTGCAGCTGCGGTGGATACCAAGAAGCCGTTCAAGCTCGCGTTCTCGAGAACCGTGACCAACGTCGGCGGAAAGTCGACGTACAGAGCCAGAGTCGTACAGGAGACGAAGAAGGGAAACGCGGCGGCGGCGGCGGCAATGAAGATTGGGGTGACGCCGGAAGTCCTGTCGTTTGGAGGTGCGGGCGAGAAGAAGTCTTTCAAGGTGAGTGTCGCCGGCGGAGGGATTGACGAGCAGGGGTTCGCGTCGGCGTCGTTAGTTTGGACGGACGGCGTCCACAGCGTCAGGAGCCCGATTGTTATCTACACCAGTATAGCAGCTTATTGAATTTCTAATTTTCCACCGTGGAATATAGTTTAAAATTATTAATGCTGCTTTACTAAGTGGTTTTTTTTTTAGAAAAAATTTATTTATCCGTTGAGCTATTGGTTCTATATTTTTTTTTTTAGGGAAAGGAGGGACCGCACCTCCTGTAATTTTATTAATTAAGCCAAATGGCTAGAATCCAGGTACAGATCGTTCAAAAGGAACGATGGGGAGATACCTATCCAACTATTACAATGATTTAAATCAATCTGAACATGTGCCAAAGTGTGAGCCACAGCGTTAGCTTCTCTATGAGTATGCTTCCAGGTGTAACAGTCCTCAATACCCTCCGCCTGCAGAATGGTCTCGCACACCGCTCCAAGTTCTGTCAAATCAACTCTCTGCTGCCGCAAGGTGTTCACCAATGTTAAGCAGTCCGCCTCGACTTCAAAGGGGCCCATCTGTTGTTCATTCATCTTTTCCAGCGCAAATAACACAGCTCGACCCTCTGCGACTGCTGGGCACCATTTCACTGCTTCCCTTTTTGCTGCTGCATACCTGAAAGCTCCAGTCCAATCTCTCACAACCATGCCCAGACCTGTTCCGCCCTCTCCCAAACACCCTGCATCCGTATTCACCTTCAAAATTCCAATCCCCGGTGGCTGCCAAAATTTTCTCCTTGTACCTTGCTCCCTTCTTCTTCCCGCTGCCTGTTGTTCATGTCTATACTCTAGAATCCAGTTTTGGGCTCTCATCGCCACCTCTTCCTCATCCAGCTTCTTCCCATTAAACTGCTGGTTATTCCTTTCGTTCCAAAGAAACCACATTAACGAACTAACCTCCCCCGCGGTATCTGGGCTTGTTGAGGTAAGAAACCTGTTCATGCTATTGGTTCTATATTTGTTTGGCTTCTTATGAAGGGAATTTTTTTTATTTACTAATTGTGTGTTTGTGAATTGTGATCCATGCATAATGGTTTTGGGGTTTGGGTCACGTATTTGATGTAGGATCAACATTTTCAGATTGGAATTCGCCATTGTTGCACACTTGCACTCGTGGTGCGAGAAGAAAGCTCAGACCATCCACATGGTGGAAGGGAAAAAAGGGTGGAAAAAGAGGAGGAAAAGGGTGGAGGGATGGATTTGGCCATAATAGGTAAGAGGGAAAAGATGGTATTGTGGGAGGGTATTTTTTTTCGCAAAATCAATCTAGCGTTGATATAGTAAATTTATTTTGACAATTTTTATTTATTAATTAATTAAGACGAACTTTTTGATATAATTTTTTTTATTTGGACATATTTTTTTCCATCACTAATTAAATATGACATTATCAATGACGAAAAATATAGTTCTTGGAAATATGATCGTTGGAAGATTAGTCGTTGGTCAATATGACGGTTAAAAAAATATGATTATCGGCCAATAACATATAATAATCTCAAATTAAAACACTTAAGTGGGCTTGCAATTTTCCATTCGAAAGTTTTTGGTGCGGGCTGAGCCCGCAAGGGTAAAGTAATTCATGGACAAGCCCTCAAACAAAAGAAATAATTTTCCATTAGAAGAATTTGGATGCTATATTAAAGAAATAATTTAGATGCAATTTTTTTTGAATATTATGAGATAAACCAAAATTTATGAATAAATCTATAATATAATATATAATATGTAAGTTATAAAAATAATTTAATTGAATATAATAATGACGCTTTCGTCGCGCTCTCATTAGTGATTTTTTCTAAAAGTTGTCACTCTCTCGCTCTTGCTCCCGCTCCACAAATTGGTTACCTAAAGCTGGATGCCAAATTTAAAATTTAATTTGGACAATTGTAAATCCAACTGTTTACTCTAAAATCATACCCAATTTCCTAAAGGGCTTAGGAGATTAAGAAATTAATGAAAATTCTAGGTAGTACATGGACTTCAAGTTAATACATTATTATTCATTTTGGGCCGCTAGATGTTCATCTCGATCAAGACAACATTATTTTTTAGGGTTCTCAGATACCCATGTATCAAGTATCATGTATGTTTCACCCATCCATTAGCAAAATTGACGTCATTTAACATTTCAACTATTGCATGCTTTGGGGGAGGGCTCTTCTTTTCAAGCTGCAAAGAGAGTTATCAGAAAATTGGGCAAGAGAACATTTATTAGGGTTTTGAAAAATGAACAATCACACGAAAAGAAAGAATAAAAATAATCCTGTTGAAACTTGAAAGAATTAACTTCGCCCATCATATCACTATGAGCAGCTTTTAATGCAATTAGACAAAAGAAAAGGCAAGAGATGTGATGATCATCACACAAGCAAGCAAGTTGCGTCGCAACATTTTGTGTTCCTATTATTTGACAAAATATAGTAACACACTCTAGCTATCACATGAAATGCCAACCATACGAAACGGATTTCAAATATCATTATGAATTCATTAACATGTTATAGAATGTTCGCGCATATCGGTTTTCTTGCAACCTAAGTCACATATAGAAATCAAAGTGAACATAATGCTAGGGAGAAGAAATCAAGACTCATGCATAATTTTTTTTTATTAAATTATGCATAAACACTGTCCGAACCATTAGGATATACTATTTCTCCTTAAGGAATTTATTCCCCCTCTACGATGGCCAAGGTTATGGAACTATTCCTCTCACGATAGAACAGATGCACATTTTCTGACTGTACCGCGGTACTGGTACTTGAAAATCCAGAAACCAACGAACGACGAGAATTTGCACGACTCTATTTTTTTTCTTCTCTTTCATGGGTTTGTAGAGAGGAAAATGAAAGAAGAAGAAAAACTATTTTTTTTTTGTAAAAAAAAACCTTTTAGAAAAATTCACGTTTTAAAATAGAGGGGGTTGGTGCTATTTATAGGATAGGAAGAGGTGCGCATGAATAGAGGGAACTCTTTAGGTGGATGGTTACATCCCAATCGACGCATTAGTTCGTTTTAAAATTATGAATCATGCATTGTATTGGTTCCGCCCATGGATATTGAACCAGTTAGTTCATTCCAACGGCCACATCAGTTCGGTTCGGGTTGCTTCCACAGACCAATTTATTCGATCTTAGCTATTTTATGAAAATTCTCTTTAATTAAGTGGACCAAAAACAAAATAGGATTGGGGTATGATCAATTGCGTTTCTATCCTTGCTTTTTCAACGTTAACACTCGATCATATATAGGAGAGAAACCCTCTTGCAGATCACTAATTAATTAAACCCTAATTACTTCATCTAGTTGAAGCTGTACTGGGATGCTGCTAAAACCCAGAACTAGATATGAAGGCAGCTCCAGCAATTTGAATTTGCCTTTCTTGGGGAAGCAATAGTTTCTGCAAACTGCACGACAGAGTTTCTACAGTGGGCAAACCATATTCATATCTCTTATTCTCTTTTCACCGCTCCCTCCCTTTTTCCATTAATGCGGCCCTTCTCATCACCATCTTTTTGCCCAACAGATCACAACCAAGCCTTGCAGATCCCAGAAACCTAGCTAGCCTAGACTCGTTTCCTCCTTCCCAAACGATGGCTTCTTCTTCTTCTTCTTCTTCTTCTTCTTCTTCTCCTTCTTCTTCTTCTTCTTCTTCTGCATCTTCTCTCCTGATCGTCTCGGTTGTTGTCTGTCTCCTGCTCAACTCATCCTTGACTGCCGGGATCAATGAAGAAGCTCCGGCGGCCACCGCACTCTACAAGGATCCAACGCAGCCCATCGGCGCCAGAATCAGGGACCTGATGCGGCGGATGACCGTTGCTGAGAAAATCGGGCAAATGACCCAGATTGACCGTTCCGTGGCTACTCAAGATGTCATCAAGAAGTATTTCATCGGTACGTACGTTACGGTAATTAGCTTCATATACTTACCTTCATCATCAGTTGACTTTTACTTAGATGGGAAATCAAATATGACTCAGGGAGCGTGTTGAGCGTCGACGACAGTGTTCCCGGCGTCCGCCGTGAAAACCAGGTGATAGTCAACAATGGGTCAGCCACGAAATGGGTGAAAACAGTCAACAAGCTCCAACAGGCAGCGGTCTCGACCCGACTCAGCATCCCGATGTTGTATGGGGTCGACGCTGTTCATGGTCACAACTACGCCTATAGGTCGACCATCTTCCCCCACAACATCGGCCTCGGAGCAACCAGGTACGTACGTACGTAACCCGCGCGTGTATTTAGCAGCAGTGTTTGTGAAACCCTACCGTATCGCGCGATCGAGGGTCACAAGGATGATCTGTATGGTTGTTTTTTCATGGATGATCACATCACAGGGATGTGCATCTGGTCAAGAGAATCGGTGCTGCAACGGCGGTTGAATGCAGGGCAACCGGAGTGAGATACGTCTTCTCGCCAACCATAGCTGTAACTAAACTCCATCTTAAACTAACCTCATAATCATTAGTTTCATAATTCCTGATCATCATTTCATTGCTTAATATATAACTTGTGTTTCCTGTGGGATAATTATATTGTAGGTCTGCAGGGACCCGCGATGGGGGAGATGCTACGAAAGCTTCAGCGAGGATCCAGAGGTTGTGAAGAACATGACAGAGATCATTTCAGGGTTGCAAGGCCAAGCTCCTTCCAAGTCAAGAAAGGGCGTTCCCTTCGTTGGAGCGACCAAGGTGGCTGCCTGTGCCAAGCACTACGTGGGAGACGGCGGCACGAACAAGGGAATCAACGAGAACGACACCGTCCTTCAATGGAGCGAGCTGATGAGGATCCACATGCTGCCCTACGTCGGTGCGATCGAGAAAGGAGTCGCGACGGTGATGGTCTCGTACTCGAGCGTGAACGGGACGAAGATGCACGCGAATCGCGATCTCATCACGGGCTACCTCAAGAACAAGCTCAAGTTCAGGGTACGTACGTACGTGTGCTGATTTTTAAACGTTTTGTAATTCTTGATCATATATATACGTACATGCATGCCTGTTGGTGTTTGAAAGTTTGTATCTCTATATATATGTACGTGTTTGTCTTCCAGGGGTTCGTGATCTCGGATTTCTTAGGGATAGACAAGATCACCACCCCACTGGGTGCCAATTACACCTTCTCCATTGAAGCCGGCATAGGTGCAGGAATCGACATGGTAGGCTACTTACCGCCATGAACTAATTTTTCATTTAACCGTACCATTTGGTCGATCGAGTAATTAATTAAGCTGATGATGATGATTCATGTTATAAATAAATATTTATATATGTAGGTGATGGTTCCCTACAACACCACCAGCTTCATCAACGGCCTCACTCGCCTGGTGAAGGAGGGATTCATCCCAATGTCGAGAATCAACGATGCCGTTTTTAGGATCCTCAGGATCAAATTCACAATGGGACTGTTCGAGTCTCCCATGGCGGACTTGAGCTTGAGCAACAAGATCGGTAGCAAGGTACGTACGTGATTGATTAATTATTTATTTTTCACAAAGCTAGCTAACAACTATTTCTATATATTCAACTAATTAACTCGTTCGTGCGTTCGTCTTTACTCTTAACCGGCCGGCCAGGAGCATCGAGCGCTTGCGAGGGAGGCGGTGAGGAAATCCATGGTGCTTTTGAAGAACGGACACGATCATCACAAGAAGCCATTGCTCCCTCTCCCCAAGAAGGCTCCAATGATCCTCGTGGCCGGCACCCATGCGCATAACCTGGGGAACCAGTGTGGTGGCTGGACGATCCGATGGCAAGGTGTTGCTACCAACAATCTCACCTCAGGTAAATCATGATTCAATTTTCATTTCAAATGATCGACGACATTACAATTTCCCTGCTTGGTAACAAAAACAAAAACAAAATTTTAGGTACCACGATCCTCGAGGCGGTGAAGACCGCAGTTGCTCCCTCAACTCAGGTAGTCTACAGCGAGAACCCGGATGCCGATTTCGCCAAGACCAGCAGCTTCTCGTACGCCATCGTCGTGGTTGGGGAGCCGACGTACGCCGAGTGGGACGGCGACAGCCTCAGCTTGACCATCCCTGCAGCGGGGCTGAGCACCATCGACAGAGTCTGCGGCTCGGTCCGGTGCGTTGTCGTGCTCATCTCCGGGAGGCCAGTAGTGATCGAGCCACACCTCGACAAGATCGACGCCCTCGTCGCGGCGTGGCTTCCGGGCACCGAGGGCCGAGGAGTAACCGACGTACTGTTCGGCGACTACGGGTTCACTGGAACGCTCCCCAGGACGTGGTTCCGGTCCGTTGACCAGCTGCCGATGAACGTCGGCGATGCGCAGTACGACCCGCTGTTTCCCTTCGGCTTCGGCCTGACCACTGACCCAATCGAGGGCTAGGCTAGAGACAGATTATTATCCAGTCCAGCTTTTTTTCTTCTTACTTGCGCTAGCTGCGCCTAGCTAGTAGTTAATTAAAACAATGTCGTCTGATTGTGGGAAGTCACATCACTGTGAACTGTTGTTGGGTCAAATTAAAGGGGTTGATGGATAACTAATTAATATATGTGTAAGGGTTATTATTAAGCGGTGAGTTTGGACATGTGACATCATGCTAACTAACTAGAAATGATTAATCCAGAGATTATCCTTGGCTTATTTGCTTCTACTGCTAGCAGTTTACCTTTCTTTCATGAATTACAAATATCACAGGAAACGATCTGATCTAATGCATGCATTAAGAGCGATCGATGACACTTGATATTATTAGAATATATAAAGCGCCTATTTTGCTTAAGGGGTCCAGTTGGGAGTGGGCATGTCCACGGTAAGCCCCTGTACACCCTCTTTTTCCAACGCAAGATCCCCTACTTTCTCACCAATTACCATCTGTAATTTCCCCTGTTCCGTTCTGTGTTTCCCCCTTTTTCCCCGCGTTGGGTTGTTTTCTTTCCTTCTCCTGTGTCTTCCCTACGTCGTATGAGTGGCGATTACCCAAGTAGTTTTTACTCTTTCAATCCAGCTAGCTAGCGTGAGGCGACTACTCACAGATCCATTGGCAGTTGTCCGAGTTGGAGAATGAATTCGATTTCGCTCTAGCCTCTTTCACCTACTTCCCATGTATGTGCACGATTCAGATGAAGATCACCCACTCCCAAGATCGATCTGGAGAGAACCACTATATGAGGATGGGCGACAGCGGCAACGGAGCGTTTCCGAGATCAATAGAGGAGAGATAGCTGATTCTGCCATCCAAGGCAAAAGCTTCCTTCCTATAAGAGAAGAGGGTGCATTGGGTTCGCATCCCCATCTCTGGTACGCCTACCACAATTCCCAATTGCCATTCTCAAGACTTCCTACTGTCTAATTGTATTTCTGCCGTTGTTGAATTCCTACGACTAACAACCCAGCTCTATGGATTTAAGATAAAATCAGTCCAAAGCAACCCAATTGTTATTGGTATGCTCCAGCAATCAGATGTTAATTAGTAGAGACACGTACTTGCGTAGAGCAGAACCTCCCTTGCCTTAAGAATCAATGAGGTACAGGGTCTCCTGCACCAGGGGATACTCAGGTTACTACTCGAAATGTTTACTCTGATTCAGAAAGCGAATTCGTAGTTATACTATACTGTTGATTGGAACGAGCAGAGAGATGGAAATATATTAGCCTTCTTTCTAAACCATCTCTTTATTGTTCTTATATATATATCTTCTGAGAATGACAACACATTTTGATTCCTTCGTTCTGTTAGCAACAGATTATAGAGCTTCATGGAGAAAAGGGAGTGAACATTATGGGAAGAATCCATCAGTAAAGGCAGGGTATCCAACGAGAGCAGTTGAGGAAGTGAATGCGCTCAGTGGAGCAGTTTAGAGTTCTTGACATGACCACTCTAAGTAATTTCAGAACTAAACTCTTTAAGCTTAGACTGCTGTTAAATAGTATGATTTCATATTTTAGTTAGCTTAGATTCATGTATTAGTGCCTTCCTTTTCTTTTTATGTTTAGAGATCCCTCATTCAACCATCAGCATGAGCTTGATATATCATATTATTTAAATTTGTTTATTTATATGAATACTTTTCCTATACCTTCTTTGAGATGTGTTCTATATTCTATCACAGGCTCCCAACCTTAATACAGATTTAGGTTCTGGATATTTGATTGCTTTGCATGCCATAATCACCATAATAAGCTATACCTGCAGAGTCTTTCTCATCATTTTTATAAAGTTGGTACCTTTGGTCCATGTGATGCGAAGTCGTCACCTCCCAGTAATCCTTAGGTTGGTTCTGATGTAATGTCTACTGACTGAATAGCTGATGTGCATAATCATCCTCCAAACACTTGGCCCCAGGAATCAAGCAAGAGCTGTACGTGGATATGTCCAAGGAAATCGTTGGGGCTGTTAAGATGCTCAAGTTGGATCCAGGTCAGTTGCAAACGAGACATAGAAAGGTGTTCTTATGATCATGTGCATGTCCCATATCGATTCTATGCTAATGATAATCAAGAAGGATTAGCATCAACTGATATTCCATGGAAGGATTGTTGCAGCTTGCATTTACTATGTATTTGGTAAAACATTACTTATATTGAGTGCAAGATGGAGCTGTCAAAATGGAAGTTGCTATCCGTCTTCATTGTATCTACTGCTGGCTTGATCGTCATTTGAGATTAAAGTTTTGCAAGAGTCCATATTCTCCTCTTCAGCGAATCTTCCATATTCTGTTTTAGTACCAGTCTCAAACTGCTAATACGGACTGCAACGATTGGGGTTGGGGAGTCAAATAAGAACTAAAGCATTTCGCTAATGATAAGTTCTCTTCCCTCTTTTTTTGCAAGAGTCCAGATATATTCTAAAGTCAGATCAAGGTTAGAGAGCTCCGTGGTCCATTTTTTTTTTGTACGCTCCATTCCAAGTCCCTTCAACTACTTTGCAGTCTTAATTAAAAGAAGAATTGTGATTATGCATTTCTCTAAACCCAGTTCTTGGTTATTCGAATAGTTTTCTGCTACATTTGTTTCGCTTTGAATAAGTATGACAGTTGCTTTGAAAGTAGGTGTGATTTTTGGTTAATACGTAAACTAAAAAGGTTAATGGGTGTTATCTTGGAACTGTATTTATCCAATTCTGTTTTACGTCTTAATTCATTTTCCTAATGTATTGTATATACTATAGAAAGGCTATTATTAATACATTTTACTTGGTCTTGGACACCTGATCATGTTGGACTAAAAAAATTGCAGAGATGAAGGCACGCTTCTAACATTTATCAACCTCTTTAGATTTTATACTCACCACCTATAAAAGTTTAGAATTGGACAACTTATAATACGAAAATACGATTGTTGTAATTTTTAATAGTCAAGTTCTGTGGACTTTCAATTGGCTGACTATAAAAGTTCAGAATTTAATAATATATCATATAAAAAAGTTGTTGGAATTTTCTTTTGTCAAACTCATTAGATTTTCAATTAGCCAACAATAAAAATTTAGAATTGTATAATCTATTATACGAAAAAAACATGATCTCGCAGCAGAGCGCGGGCCATTTAACTAGTATATGTATATATAGCAGCTTGTTATACATCATAACATGTCGATCTTCAGGATTGGTTATGCGTAGCCACATTCCTTGACAATGCTTGCATTGTTCCGCACAATGTCCTCCTCGAGATCCTTATGATGCGCGATCAAGCGTTTAACAATGGCGGCATCCCAGTTGCTATCGAATGCAGCACAACAAACATGATTGAAGGGCCAGTTCAGGCCGAGCAGGTACCTGATCGTTAACTCTTTGCATCTTGCAAGGTCCACTTTCAGGAAAGAATCTGCGTCGTCATCGTGGAGGTCACGGGCCATCACAGGTGTTGCAGTTGCAGTTACGCAGACCAGTACGCTAACGATAGCCACCGCCACCCACAACGTTTTCCTTCTCGTTTCTCGTCCTCCGGGTCTCGCCATGATTGACTTAATAACTTCTTCTTGTACAACAAGAGATCACAATGTCAAGTACGTATCTCTTTGGATATATCAAACACAAATGTTTCTATATATACTGATGCATGGCTTCTGGTAATCAGGACAGGTTGGGGTTTAATTTCTTCCAATTCTTTACTGTACGTAGTAATTAAGGTTTCCATAAGTACTATCATTTATTTTTCCCTTTTCTAAATAAGGAGGTTTCCATCGGCATTAAGTATCAACAAAACAGAAGCTAGCTATGAAATCAAAACCTAGATCAATAGCAGCTTCTCCGTTTTGTGTGTAATCAATGAGCAGAGCTCGTTTCAAAAGGAAACGTAATTCTAATAAACTTAAGAAACCGTAATTACGTGAAGAAGAAACCTCAACCTGGGGCCTGTCATCATCAATATCAGGGGCGGAGCTACGTTAGGATAATACGTATAAACAAAAAAGATATTTAATAAAAATAAAAAAGCGTGCGGGTTATAACATAAAACCTGAAATGGCCTAGCGGAATTGACATTAATGTTGAGTAACCCAATGGTCACGGGCTAGATTCGTGAGGTGAACATATATATCATCTTTTTGTCTTTGGTAAGCAGTAGTCTTCTCCTTTCTATTTCGGAAGCTAGTTATTAGCTAATTGGACTATTGTCATTATATTTTCTTATGGTTTGTAGGGAATTTAATGTGAAAAAAGTTTTGAGTGTTACTAAAAAATTTCAGCAGTGGATCCGTGGACTGATTTCTTCTCCCTTCATCTCAGTTCTTGTCAATGGAGAAACTGCGGATTTTTTCAAGATGGAAAAAGGATTACGGCAGGGAGATCCTATGTCTCCATTCCTATTTAAGTTGGTCATGGATATCCTATAATGGATGCTTGAAAAACTTAGAGAAGCAGGTATGATCTCTGGGTTTTGTATGAATGAAGACTTGGCCTGTGGTGAAGTCAGTCACATTCTTTATGCTGATGACACCATCGTTTTCTGCGAGGCATCGGAGGACCAAGAACATGAATCCGCAATTGAATGTACCTAATCAAGTATTCGAACATTGCTTTTCTTTTGAGGCAAATTCATGAATCTTGGCAAAGTGAATCAACACATGATAAATACCAACATTAATATTCCTTATTTTACAATGTATCGTGCAAAGATCCCAAAAACCAGTAACCAATCATGGAATCTACACAGAATCTGGAACAAAAATAAATAACCAGCTAATTTCATATAACATACACGACAAATTAATTAAGGAGCACTGTATGAGGAAAGGATTTTCTTATTTGCTTCTTGTAATAAACATTATGTACTCAATTCAATGAGGGGCACATATTGGGTAAAAAAATATATCAAATAATGACGGGTATAAAAGCGCATGGAACTAACACACATCTGTCGTCTTTCATACCAAAACACGAGTGTGATCATCGATAATTTTCAAGTGCTAGCTAAGTACTAAAAATGGTGACAACATTCAGCCATTTGCACATTGTTCATGTTCTTGCTTGCTGCATTCTTCTGTTGATGAACTCCAATTATCTGTTATCTTATGGCAGTGAAGATCATGGTGATCGAAAGGTGAGTGTCAATTAGTATTTTTTTTTTGACTTAATCCTTCTGTAATTTGTCATCCTTTAATCAGCAAAAATACGTGTAGGCAAATTCCTACTTATCAAGGTTTTAATCAGCAAAAATCGGTCATCGATAAAGAATATTAAAATTTTGGGTTCCATCAAGTTTGTTTCACGGATGGATTTGGACTTTTATGAACTATGTCGTTTGGATTTTGATTTTGGTTTATGAATTTTGATGATTGGAAGTCGGAAATGTTGACAAATGACAAAAAAAAATTGAAGAAATTTGTTAGATTACACCATCTTTTTAGCGGTTTTCCAAATCCATAATCCGTGAATTTGATTCTTGGTTTGAATCTTACGAATTTATGAAACTCACGAATTCGACATCTGAAAGATCAGACTATGAGACGACGAGGATAAATAGCGATCGACAACTAGTATCATTGGTTATTATCAATCTTCACCGGCTTTCTGGACGAGAGTCCGAGACCTATATTCTGCAAATGGCTTTACCATCATCCGTACCGATAACGCCTTGAAGACTCGATGGAAAGTTATCACCCATGCATGTCAGAAGTGGAATGCAGCATTGAGACGTGCAAATGCTCATATACCCAGTGGATCTAATCAACATGACGTGGTTAATCATTTCTAAATTTAATTTTTAATGATTTATTTAATTTTTATTTTTAAGTTATAAATTTTAATAACTTTGTGTTTTATTTTCTTAATTGATTATCTAGATGAAACACGTAAAGACTATCTTAACCACAAGAAAATAAGAGAAAAATGGTTTAAAGTTAATTAAGATCATCCAACTTGAAATACGTACTAATTTTATTTTTGCTTCCTTTTCTTCTCGTCCTATCAGCCTCTTTATCGGACTTATATAATCCAATATGGATTGCCACCTTAATTACTAACTTGAATTTTAATAACAAAAACTATGATTTCTTTAGTGAAATAGTTTGAATGATCCGTTAGAATGTTTTGGTGATGGATGATACGGGTTTGTAAATTATTTATGGTAAGTGATAAATTTTTATATATATCAGTGTGTTATATGTCTAATTTATGTTATGTATGGTGCATGAGCAAATAACTAACGATTCTATTATGATTAATCATTGAACTATATGCTACTGATTTTTTCAGTTTCACCATCCGATCCGATTCTGAAAACAAGTTACAACGTATTCCCAAGTCATAATCCTTGCCTTTCAATGTCAGCATTTGATCATATTCAGGTTAGGAGCAAAGCTCAGAAAAGACCTTATCTCAACGTCGTCACTATTGATAATTTTGATGCAAACTAAACCTAATTACTTCATCTAGAACTAGACTTGCCTTTTCCGTGGAGACAATAGTTTCTCGAAACTACACGTTCAAGTTTCTACAGTGCTCCCAATCGGTGATGCGCGACGCTCGATACCCGCTACGGGTATATAAGGGCTTGAAGCCCTCCATGGAAAGGCGTCTCAACTTTTCCCTCACTTTCCACTTTGACTCTCTCTCTACACTTTATCTCTCTTCATTATTCTCTCAATTCACTCTAAACATAAACTAAATTGATCGTCGAAGCTTAATCCGGGGGCATTCCCGTCTTCCACAGGTTCTCTCCCGACGAGATCAGACGAACGAATCGTGAGTCAACCCCACACAACAATCATTATTGTTCGCATCCAGAGCTAGATGGTATAAACAAGAAGAAATTGTCTATTATTGACCAACTCATCAAACTTACAAAACCCAAATTAAAAAGTTATATAACAAAAAAAAAAAAAAAAGACTGTAATACAAATATGTTCCATACAGGGAACATACAGTTATAGTAGTGGAAATTAATTGTAGGTCTTTTGTAGATTAATGAGTCAAAAAATTTTAAAACCTACTTTAGATATAGAAAAATTCTTATCTAGATAGCAATCCAAGATTAATACTATTCTTTAGGGTTTAACTGTCGGTATCAATGAACAAGCACCTCCAGCCACCGCCGTCTACAAGGACGCAGGCTAGCCCATCGGAGCCAAAATCCGCGACCTGATGGGTAGGATGACTCTGGCCGAGAAGTTGGGGCAGATGACGCAGATCGACCGCATCATCGCTACTCACGATGTGATGAAGAAGTACTTCATCGGTAAGAACTAATTAGTTTCATAATACATATACTTATAGCTTCTATAACTTTTCCTTTGACGTGGAGTGTGCTTTGAAAAAAAGATGGTGATAATTAATTAACCTGACCAATTTTCTGCAGGGAGTGTGCTGAGTAGAGACGACACCGTCCCCGACATCCGCCGCAATGACCCGATGAAAGTGAACAACACGTCGGCGGCCAGATGGGTGATGACGGTGAACAAAATCCAGGAGGCGGCTCTCTCGACTCGCCATGGTCCATGGTCACAGCTACAAGGTAATGGTATTTCATTTAGGGTTTGTGGCCGTTAATTAGCATTTGGGGCTTGTATCTTGTGTGCGTGTAACCGGAGGGGTAGGATGTCAATTGTAGCCATGATTGTGGGTAGGGCTGTCAATTTGATCTGGTTAACCAAACCATTAAGTATGAAAAATCAAAAACTAAATCAACCAAATTTTTAGAACCCAAAATCAAAACTATTAAGGGTCTGTTTCTGGTTACCAATAACATATATGGTTTAGTGATTTGAATCTAGTATAACCAAAAGACCAAAAACCAGTTCAAAGTACAAAGTCAACACATCCAACTTACAAAACCCAAATTGAAAAGTTATATATAAAAAAAATAGATTGTTATATAAATATGTTCCAGACAGTAATAGTAGTGGAAATTAATTGTAGCTCTATTGTAGATTAATGAATCAAAAAGTTAAAAACCTACTTTAGATATAGAAAGATTCTTATCAAGATATCAATCCAAGATTATAGGGTTAAATGGTGGTTTTCATTTTCAAATACGACAAAGGTCGTCGTTATGGATTGGGCCAATATGCTATGTCCCAATACCAAAGACACATAATTGTCCCCAAAGATTCAAATATTTGAATCAGTTTATTTTTCTACTTTTATGAATTCAAGACAACATGTCTTCCTCTTATGCAATGTTTTTCCGCGACAACAAGGCCGTCTCTTAGTCTTAAGAACTATTTTTCACGACAGTAAGTCGTCTACAATGAGTATTTTTTAGACCAACAAATCTTTTTAAGAACTATCTTTCAAGATAACCAGTCGTCTCCAATAACGTAGTTTTCCCCCCCTTTCTAACAACAGGTTGCGTCTTCGAAGAACTATCGTCGATAAAAATCACTCTGATGACGAATTGATATTGACAAATGAGAGATCGGTATTACTGATGCATGTAATCTCAAAATTTTTTTTCTTGGTGTCACTTGGAATGGAAAATACATGAATAACTACATATGGAGGAACATTGTTGGTAAAACCCTAAGGAAAATATGAGTTAGGAACTGAGGACATATATAAATAAATATGTTAATATTCGTTCATAAATCCCATTATTAAACAATGCAAGCAAGTATTCATTCATAAACTAAAACAACAAGTGTAAGAAAAACTCAAGGAAAATCTGCAGAACAGTAGTAGCCACAAAGTTTGCATATCCAAGCATTGCGAGCCCCGATCTGCCACTTCCAGTCGTCATCGTCCTTCCGGCGAGCGATTATCTCTTTCACAATGGCCCTGTCCCAGTCTGCATCAATTCCTTCACAACATCTATAATCGAAGCCATTCTCGCCGAGCAAGTAAAGCTTGGCTTTTTCTTTGCACGTTAACTCGCCGGCGGCCACAGGTGGCACGATTGCAGCTGCACAGAGAACGGTACTAACAATAGCCACCATCCTGATCAGCTTTCTGGTCGCTAATTCTCTTCCAGATATCGCCATGCTTAACTTGTTAATTGTTATTACGGTACGATCGAGAGATTATAATGTCAATTAATACGATCTGTTTGGATATATAGTGATGGAGGGTTGTGAGGACAGGTTGGGGTTTCTTTCTTCTCTTCTAACAGTCGTAATTAGGGTTTCATTAGTGTATTTAATTTCGTTTTGGAAGTGTGGTTTGGGCATTTAAGTAGGCACAAAACGGAAGCTAGCAGCTATAAAAGCAAAGTAGAGAAAACCTAACGTTTCACTTAGTTTGCGTTTGGAGTATAGGAAGATTTGGTATTGTTGCTATTATATTAAATTGTTGTGTAATATATATAGGGTAACAACGACATATTTCTCCCTATCTCTATGTAACATATATTAATGTGATTGCGGTTTGCACCATACCATCAATAGATCTATGCGCGATTTCTCGTCAAGTGTTTTACTCATTGTTTTTCAGCTACTCTAAACTTCTTGAAAAGTAACGATCCTAGAACGTTTCTTGGATACGATAATTAAATTTTTTTTAGTGTTTATGATCTTATAGTGGCGTCCAATTGAAATTTGTACATATTTGATGGGTTGTTTTAAAAAATAAAAAAACTTCGACAATTATGATACACTTAGATTATAAGATAATCCAATGATAATATTTTGATGATTTTCCTTTTATTTTTATGACGAGTATAATTTCATGAACTTTAATTTATTTGTCAACATACAAAAGGCATTCATCCTAACCGATTTTCAATTACTGACATCGAACAAAGTAAATATGTGGTAAATCTCTTAATAAGACTCGAAGTCCTTCATGAAGGCAACGTCGTCATATTCGTTTTTTTGAGAAAATTTATAAAAAGGAGCAACTTCGACCGTCGAAATCAAACTGCGAAAATAAATCGTCTCATCATTTCTAATGCAGCTCAATTAAATATTTAAACCTAATTGAATACTTATCCCATATAAAAACAATTTCAACCCCTTCATTATAATTTAGTAAATCCACCAATCATCTAAGCTTCTCATCTACATTATTCTAAAATCCCAAAACTAATGTGTCATAAGGATAAATGAAAGATCACACTAAAACAATGAAAATTTAGAGAAGAATAATCCCAAAGCTAGAGCCTGCCTATCTAACTATCCTGAGATCCTCCAGCCTTGGCCACCAACCCAAACCCTAATGGAAACAGCGGGTCATAATTCTTGTCGCCGGCGTTCATGGGCAATTGATCCACCGACTTGAACCAAGTACGAGGAAGCTTTCCGGTGAACTCATAGTCCCCAAACAACACGTCAGCAACCCCCTGCCCTTCCGTCCCGGGCAGCCAAGCCGCAACGAGCGCCCTCGCCTTGGGCAGGTAGGGTTGAATCTCGAGCGGTCTGCCCGATACCAAAACGACGACGCACTTCACCCACTCGCACACGTTGTAAATAGTACCGCGCCCTTCTTCCGATATCGTCAGGTTGGCGTCATCTCCCCGTGACCCGGCATACGGCGTCTCCCCGACGACCACGATCGCGTAGGTGAAGTTGTTGGACTCGAGGAAGTCGGCCGGCGGGTTTGTGTGGTAGAAGATCTCCGTCGTGGGATCGACGGCGGAGGTGATGGCGCTCAGGATGGTGGTTCCGGCGGTGATGTTGTTGCCGGTGAGGCCTTGTTGGGACATGGTCCACCCGCCGCACTGGTAACCCAAGTTGTTGGCGTGTGTTCCGGTCACCAGAATCCTGGAGCTGTGTTTCGGAAGAGGCAGCAACGGACCTGTCTCGTTGTCCCCGTTCTTCAGGAGCACGAGCGATTTCCTGACGGCTTCTCTTGCCAGATCTCGGTGAGCCTGAAACGTTTTAATCCGAGCGCCGAGTAAGATCAATGACATCGTAGGGCTGGGAAAATAGATAAGATCGTGAAGAATGGTTTGGATCTGTTGGTTCATAGTCTGTATTATGCAAGATATTTTGATCTCTTGGTTCGGTTTGGTCCATACCGTACCGTGGACCCAACCAACTTTTCGATTTATATTAGCAACCCGGCCACTCGACTACTCCGTCCCACGCTCCCCAAAGAGACCTAGTCTCAACGTTGATTTACATAATCTATTCCCCTTTCCTTCATTCCACCAGAGTGTTGAGACGATTGGATTTTCATATGAAATTATGTTAATGTAACGTTATATGGTGGAAGTTGGGTGGCTATAATTTTGTCTCGTTGTCATTTACTTGGATGTATAGTGTCAAAATTATGCATGCATATCGGAATTTAGAATATGTTTTTTTCTCGATTGTTTGTTTGATTTTTTATGTGATGGGTCATTTTTGTTCAACATAGTGTATTTGGTCCAGATCCTACTAGACCGGACTGCACATATCTAATTTAAACTATATAACATTTGGCCTGGTCTCCGATATGTGTCCTAACTCTTTGATCTAAACCGTAAATCATCTATGTAACCTCAGATCAACCAGACCGCATCGTTTGCCATCTAGAAAGATCAATCTCATGAAGGGTGTGAAAGGAGATTATCAAACCTGGCTTCCAAGGTGATCCACATGGGCCTCGTCGGCCCAAGGATCCTCAAAAAGGCCCATAGCGTATTTGACTCTCAGGATCCTTCCAACTGCATCGTCAATACGCGATATAGGGATGGCCTTCAGGTTGACAAGCTCCGTCAGGACATCGATGAACATGGTGTGATTCTCAGGATCCATGACCATGTCGATCCCTGCTGAAATTGCTCCCATAACAGAGTCAGTGTAGTTTGCATTCTTGTCGACGCCTTTCCAGTCCGAGATCACAAACCCCTGCCAAAAGTCACATTTTCTCAATTGAAATACAATCTCAAGTGAAACTTTGCATCCAACTCGATCATTATAAATGACAAACGGACCCTGAAATGGAGGGTGTTCTTGAGGAATTCAGTGACCAGAAACCGGTGATTGTGGATCTTCTCCCCGTTCCAGCTGCTATAAGACGTCATGATCGTCGAAACGCCCTTGATCACCGACGTCATATAAGCCGGCATATGAACGCTCAGCAAGTTGTGGAAGCTTCCCACTGTGTCCTCTTTGTCCACTCCATTCTTCGTCCCACCATCGCCCACATAGTGTTTGGCACAAGCAGCAACCTTTTCCCTGTTTCCATCGTCCAAAACAGAGTATCAGAAGAAAACCCCTGTTTTCCCTCTGTTTCGACAGTAGGTAGCTCTCGTTTGATCTTAATTTACCTTCCCCCGACGAAAGGAGAGCCTGTTTTCCAGCCGGAAGGCATGTCTCCTTGCAACCCTGGTATGATCTCTGTCATTTCTCTCACAATCGTAGGATCCTCACTGTAGCTCTCGTAGCACCTTCCCCATCTTGGATCCCTACAAACCTGCCATAGATACAGAGTATATATGGAAAAAAAGATAAAATCTTTAAGCAGAAACAGAGTAAAAACAGAGTAAAAAACAGAGGAAAACAGAGTGGTGGAATGTGTGTATAGTTTTGAGTAGTATACAGCAACACAAGGAGCAAACACGTAGTTGATCCCAGTAGCTCTAACTTCCAATGCTGTTGCAGCGCCAATCCTCCTCACCAGGGCAGGATCCCTTTCAAGAATTGGAAACTGTTAGCATTCATTTTATTGAGAAAGGCGATTTCACAGAGTGGGGGTGAAATGAAATCAGTGATACTATTACTAACCTGGTGGCGCCGAGGCCGACATTGTGAGGGAAAATGGTGGCTCGGTAGGCAGTGTTGTGGCCATGGACGGCGTTGATCCCGTACATCAACGGAATCCCAAGCCGGCTGGACATCGCCGCAGCCTGCAGCTCGTTGATCGTCTCAATCCACTCCTGAGGAGTGGCCGTCGGGGACGACGACACGCTCCTCTCTCCGTCGCTGTAGACACTGCCGATCGAGTAATTCCTTACGACGTCAGGGCTCGCTGCTGCTCGCTCGATCTGGACCATCTGCCCGATCTTCTCGGGTAGCGTCATTCGGTTTAGCAGGTCCCTTATCCGAAGATTCATCGGCTGCGTCGAGTCCTTGTACCTCATGTTGCCCTCCTCCTCTGACACATCTAGCGTTGCCATGGCTGCCACCAAGAAATGGCATACCAGGAGGTGAGTGAGGGGAATTCTTACAGCCATTTTGGCCACTGGAGTGGAAGGTGAAGTGGTTGAAATGGTAAAAAAAAAAACTTGTTGTTGAAGTGTGGAGTAGGATTTGTTGTTATATAGTAGGGAAAATGTCCAAGAAACTCGGCAGATCTCAATGAGAGATGCTAGAGACAGAATTGGTCAAGTAGATGGGGAACAGGGGAAAGAATGTTCTTTATTTGGTCTTGTGGATTGGAATTCCGTTCAAGGCCGAAAATTCTTTGTAGCCACATCAATGTTTCAAATGGGAAGATGGTTTCTAGTACTCGTGGTTGAACCATCGTACTAGTAAAATCTTATACCGATTTGAGCTTCGCTAAACAATATTTTCGATCGAACTGCCGGTACGTTTTTGCAAACCGTATTTCGACATCCATTGAGAAGCCTAATTATAACGGCACATGATTGGATTATTATCGATTAATATCATTTCTCTGAACCATAAATAGTTATTCCAATGGATCAACAAAAGCTTCAACCCTTTCAAATTGGTGAAAGGAGGGACTTCAGTGTCTAATCCATCCCTTTTCACTCGACGACTGTTCATGGTGCTCTGCCTCCCACAATCTGGAAACAAATGGGATCTCAATTACCTTCACCTTCCTATAAATCCCTATTCCATGATCACATGCATTTCCTCATTCACGACTCTTTTAGATGATGCCTCAAACTAGGCCAGGAAAAGCTTTCTAACTCTTGATCGGCTCAGTGGTCAGCCCGAATCCAAATGGAAACAGAGGGTCGTAATGTGCATCACCCACGTTCATTGGAAGCTGACTGACTGACCTGAACCAATTTCTGGCCAGCTTTCCAGTGAACCCATAGTCGCCGAACAGAACGTCGGTAACGCCTTGCCCTTCAGTCCCAGGAAGCCAGGCTGCGACGAGAGCGTCGATCTTGGCGAGGTACGGCTCGATCACTAATGGCCGTCCTGAGATCAACACTACGACGCACTTGATGGAGCCACAGACATTGTTGATTGTGCTCAGGCCAGCTGCTGGAATTGTCAGGTTCAAGCTGTCACCCTGAGTCTCGGCGTATGGTGGCTCGCCAACGACCACGATGGCGTAGGAGAACTTGCTGGACTTGACGAAACTGGCGTCTGGTTGCTCGCTGTAGACGACTTGAGTGGAGGGAGCAACCGCGCTCTTCACTGCTTTGAGGATCGTGGTCCCTGTTGATTTTCCAAGGAATCAATTCCAAGAGAGTTAAAATTCTGATTATGAAATTGTAAGTTTGGGAAAACAAACAGCATTGATACAGAACAGGAAACATACCAGATGTCAGATCATTTCCAGTTTGGCCTTGCCATGTGATGGTCCATCCTCCACATTGGTTACCCAAATTATCAGCATGGCTTCCTGCCACAAGAATCTTGGCTGCTCTCTTAGGAAGGGGCAACAACGGCTTATCAGCAGATTTGCCATTCTTCAACAACACAAGTGACTTCCTCACAGCTTCTCTAGCTAAATCTCTGTGCTCCTGTTAGAAACAGAGATTATGTTAGAAAGAAGCAAGGATTCTAGATACCCATTTGGACCAAGGGTTTAGTGATTGACCTGTTTCCCAAGCTCATTGACCATACTGAGATCAGCCAGTGGCTTCTCAAACAGTCCCATGACGAACTTGACTCTCAGGATCCTCTTCACAGCATCATCAATCCTGCTTACAGGAATGATCCTGTTCTTCACTTGGTAGATCATATCGTTAATCAACTCTGTATAGTTGTAGGCAACCATGATCTGGTAACACAAATAGAACCAATTTCAGGATAAACAGTACAAAGGTGACAATGCTACTTTGTTTAGTATGTTAGCAGCCAAGCTAGTACAGTACCATGTCAATTCCAGCGCCAACTCCTGCTGTAATGGAAGAGCTGTAATTGGCATGCGGTGGAGAAGTGATCCTGTCGATTCCCTGCCAGTCCGAAATCACAAATCCCTGACGAAAACAAACAACACAGAGAGCTTTAAAATTAGCATTCAATCTATTACCAAACATTGGAAAGGAATGCATCAGAAAGTGCTGCAATTCCTTCTCACCCTGAACTTGAGCTTGTCCTTGAGGAACCCTGTGACGAGCTCGCGATTCGCATGCATCTTCTTCCCGTTCCAGCTCGAGTACGAAACCATGATCGTGGCCACACCTTTGCTGATGGAGTTCAGATACGCTGGCATGTGGATGCTCATCAGTCCATTCATGGAGATAACTGTGTTGTTCTCGTTGATCCCCTTGGTCGTGCCACCGTCCCCCATGTAATGCTTGGCACAAGCTGCAACCTTGGTCCTATTCAAAGCAAATAATATGTCAAGCAATTTCAAACACCAAGTGTTCAAAATTTTTACGCAAAGAAATCTACTCTTTAAGTTATTATTATTCTGTTTAAATTCTGCATAATGCACATACATACATGAATAACAATCACTAAGGTCCACAAAGTGTCCCTCCTGACTAGGTTTGGAACCTTCACGATTTGAAGACCACATTTACACTCACTACAGAACACGGAGAGGTCCCCAGAGAAGGTCCACAAAACCGGATTGCATGTCTGCAACGCAACTCCCCAGCAGACCCAATTGGCCATTAAAGAAGAAAAGGGGACATTTTTATTGAAAACAGTGGACTCAAAGGTCCTACATTTCAATTTTCAACTGCAATCAAGTTAGCTAAAGTCATTGATGACACCATTTTTTTCATATCTAGACAACTCTAAGGCCCACACAGCCGAATGCGACACCATTGTTGGTTTCCTCTTATCTCCGCGTTTAGCCATAGATTATACTCTTACAAAAATCTAAGAGCTTGACTGTTTTGGAAGCATTGAGAACGTGGAAGTCGGTTAGATTCTGTCATTTTGCTACCAAGTGCCAAAAGCTCTCAATCAGAGGTAAACGTTTGTTTTGGTATATGCACGCAAAGACAAGTCGTAAGTAAGCAAAGACCGACTTTGCTACCATACTGGATGATCAAGGTAAAGCATTAACATGGATCTACACATATTCAAATTGCACATCCCATGATTTCGATTGTCGAATGTATAATGACATATTCGACTCAACGATAATCCGACATTGTCACCTAACGTTAACTACAACGTCAAATGACATCTAGATGGTAAAATTCTCGATGCAACAACACGAAACCGCACTAACACCGGATACTCCCTCACCATGGTTGAGTTGGTACTCTTGACTCTTGAACAAGGTGGGGAGGAAAATATGGAAATGCAGAGCATCTGACCAAAGTCAGACCAGACCATCAGCAGCACGTGGTCATGAATATGTTTGAAATGCTTATCCCTAGGAACCCCCAAATGCACCATTGGATCGAATATTCAAATGGGAAACAAGAAGATAAACAACTCTACTTAATACTAATCAACTAAGACTTAGCCAAAGATAATCTTTTTGAAAAAGCAAGGTAGGGGGACAAAAAGGAGAGAGATCATAGATTTTACCCTCCATTGTCAACAAAGGGGACACCCTTTCTGGAATTTGCAGGGAGATCTCCTTGTAGACCGGGTATGATCTCTGTCATCTTTTGAACAATGGTGTGATCCTCACTGTAGCTCTCGTAGCACCGACCCCATCTCGGATCTCTGCAAACCTAATTAACAAAACCCCCCCAAAACCCAAAAAAAGGTTGATTTCACCATCATTAGTGGGTAATCAACTAATCATTAATTACCCAGTTGGGTATTTTAAGTAGTTAATGACTTACAGCAATGCATGGAGCAAAAGCATATGGTATCCCAGTTGCTCTGACTTCCTTGGCAGTTGCAGCTCCAATCTTTTTTATGAGCTGGGGATCCCTGGCAGAGGTGAAATTAACTCCAACTTGTTACTAATTTGTTGATTAAGTTACTTATTGAAGCATTAGAGAGCTAAAGTTGAGAGCTTTTATGCCTTGTGACGCCGAGTCCAACATTGTGAGGGAAAATGGTGGCGTTGTAGACATTGTTGTGGCCGTGAACAGCATCAATCCCATAAATCATGGGGATTCCTAGGCGGGTTGACAGAGCTCCCTTCTGGAGTCCATTCACCGTATTGACCCAGGCTGCAGCCGATGCCTTTGGAGATGGAACGCTGCCACCACCGCTCAGCACACTCCCTGCAGCACAGTAATTTCCAAGGGTCCAACCATGAGAAGAAAAACATTTCCATTTAGGGGCAGCTTGATTTGAAGAAGAAGAGGGTTTTTACCAAGGTAGTAGTTCTTCATGACATCAGAGGAAGCGACGGTGAGATCAATCTGGACCATCTGGCCGATTTTCTCTTCCAGGGTCATTCGCTTGACCAGGTCTTTGATTCTGGCTCCAACGGGCTGCTTTGGGTCTTTGTACTTCAAGTGAAGAGGTTTTGACCCGGTTGCTGCTGCTGTTGCAAATGAGCTGTTGCAGGATACTAGTGCTAGAAGAAGAAGTATGCAGCAAGTAGAAAACCATTGTCTTCCCATTTCTGCCAGAAATGTAGATCTAGCTAACCTCGCCTCGCTGAAAAACAGAGAACCCAAGTAAGAGAACAGAGTGAAACAGAGTAGAGAAAGGGAGGAGCTTAGGTAATGGAACAGAGCAGCATTGATGAACTCACAACAACCCAAGTCCTGGAAAATAAAGTTAAAGAAAGCTACTTTTGAGATTGGCAACTACGGCTAACAGTCTACAACTCTACATACATGATGGAATCGAAAGCTAGGAAATTTTTTGTATTAAAAATTGAACAAACTGAAGCTGCTGATATCACAGTCTCACAGATAGAGAGAGAGAGAGAGAGAGAGAGAGAGAGGTCATCAATGGAGGGAGGGGAAGGGAAGGCGTCATGAGTTACATTGGAGAGTGTGATTCTCTGTGTCTTCTTCTTCCTCCTTGGGACGAGGAAGGGTTGCTGCTTGCTTGCTTCTTTTGATACTGGTTTGCAGCAGAACTTTTTTGTGAGATTTATACTTCTTCTGCTTCCCAGGTTCACAATTTATACACTTTTTTTTTTTTACTCTCCTTTTTGCAGTTGGTTTGTTACAGTACTACTGAGAGAGAGAGAGAGAGAAAACCATGGAAATTAATTGATCAATTCCTCGTCATATTTACTTTCAATCATACTAATATCACAACAGTTTGGAGGAAAAACATGATGTGTCCTTCAAATATCCACAAGTCAAGCTTCCAAATCTTAAAGACGGCAAGTTCGTACTACTACTGTCTTCAACTAACAAATTCAAATATTCGAATGGGCCGGACCAAGCTCAAAGGCCTAACCCACATCCTACGGACTCGCCTTCCTTTCCGGTTTTAGGCCCGATTTCAGTATTTTAAAGGCCCATGGACTCTTATTACAAACGACCCAAAACTCAAACAATGGGAGAAGGAAGGAAAAGGGGAATGATGCTTCCTGTGCTAACCTGTAAGATTGCTACGTATCCCTTGCTAGCCAAGCAACAAATCAATCCTCGAGAAAGCCGCGATCCGCGAATCTCTACTTCCATGCATCTCAATCAAGGTTGTCAAACCGGTTTATGTCAGTGTGCCGATTTAGCAAGTGGAATGGTTCGACCGGTGGTACATACCAGTTTGTGCCGGTTTATACCAATTAATATTACAAATAATTTACAAATACTCATATATAAACACGACATTTAACGTAAATACCTAAATATTTTTACTTGAATCCAACAAATAACATCAACATTTAACTTTTTAACACATCAAACAAATAATAAATGACTTTTTATCAATTAAATTCACTAAGATAAAATCATTTTACTTGGAGATTCGTATATCGATCATGCCGGTCATACTGGTGGTGTCATACCGATTTTATGACCAGTACAGGTTAAACCAGATTCAACCAGTGGCACGCCGGCCGGCGTGACAACCATCATCTCAATTCTCAACACACACAACATTAACAAGTACACTATTACGTACAACAGCATGCACCACCATTATCCAAATCTTCCGGCTGACTGTAGAGCTAACACCAGATCAAAGATAAGGGATTCTGGCACATGCGGTATTGTTACTGTTGTGTAACGCTAGCTAGCTGTCGGCAAACTCGTCGCAAAATCTGAGCATTATAAATCCCGGCATTGTGGAAGCAACCGAGAGAGACAACAAACAAAACAGTCCCACTCCTTCCTTCTTCAACCTTATCCAATTATTATCCTAGCTAGCTAGCTTGTAACATGGCTGCCGCTTCTGCTCTCCCTACAGTTTCTCCACTGTCGTCGTTCGTTTCTAAGGCTAGCACGACGACGATGATGATAAGCTGCGTCGTCGTCGTCAAGGCTCCGAAAAGATCGGCTCCTTTATGCAGCTGGAGGGCAGCTGATGATCAGAAGCAGTACTCGACCGATGGCGGTCTCATTCCGTACCCAATCTTCGGCAAAGCTGTTGATCGGAAGTGCTCAACCGGCGCCGGCGGTGGTGATGGTGGTCTCATTCCGTATCCGATCTTCGGCAAAGGTTGTCAGAAGAAGGACTCGATCGAAGGGGATGGCGGCCTGATTCCGTACCCCATTTTCGGCAAAGCTCAGAAGTGATCGTATTATTTCCTTTTCATGTGATAATAATAATAATAATAATAATAATAATAATAATAATAATAATAATAATAATAATAATAATTAATGTGTTTCTAAAAGGATTAGTTTGGTGACAACATACGGTGATAAAAAATTCATTGTATCCTAGTGTTTATGCGTACGTCTTCATCAGTAACGAAGTCTTTAATTAATTTGCTAATTATTGTATGCATGTGGCCGTGACGTACTTCTGTTGCTATTGTGTTTGTACCAAGTATATATGTTGTCTTTAATTAATTTGCTAATTATTGTATATGCATGTGATTGTGACGTACTTCTGTGCAAATTTCAAACTCATGGATTGATTTTCGTTTAAGAGCACATGTTAGAGAGTTGTCATGACAGCTGCGAGAGCAGCAGCAGAAGCCATGGTAGCTAGCCGCTGCGTGTGTTGCTTACGTTGAGCACTTCTTTGGACATATACGAAGAAAGAACAAACAGGGGGGAAAAGTAAGAATCGCGGCATGCAATCCAGACAGACACTAGTGTACATATAAAATTGGGTTAATTTGGCTGGTTTGCATGCATGTGAAGTACGTGGTGATGCTGCATGCATGTGTGAGTGAAATATAAATTGGTGTTGGGTATTTTTTTTTTCTCCATTAAAATGCAATCATTTTGTCTCATTGGTTTTAACTTGAATCTCAAAATTTTTTACACACTAAAATAATATTTAGTTATAACTTATACTCTATGAAACGACATCTAATTTGATACATTTTTTTAGCAGAAAAAAAAAAAATGTTGATCAAGACATTTTTACGAAAAGTATATGGTTTGTAGAGTTTGATGACACAAGATATTATATGAATACATTATACTGTAGAGTTTTGGTAGAAATACACTAACAACCATCTATCAAAATCTATCACTATATATATATGGTATTGGATTTCTCCAAATTTATCCAGAATTGTCACATTTTTGTTAATCACAGTGAGCTCGTTGTTTCTAATAAAGAACAGTTTGATATGCTACTGAAAGAGCTTCATAGTCGGGGAGGAAAAGTCTACTTAATATCGAACATGAGACTTTCAAATTGAAAATCAACAGATCATGTACGTACGTCAAACAAATAGAGGAAGACACCACACTCAACAACGTTATTGACTAAGTTTAATTAGCTTAGTTTTATTTATTGGATACACGATACAAACCACACTGACACATGTACACCTTACAAGTTACAACGATAACATTCTCGACCTTGGAAGACAGATGCATATTTTACACATGCAACATATACAAAAAGCGACCACAGTACGCTACTGGAAAATAAAGGACAAGCTTCGACCGACCGTGCAAACAGAAACGCAACTGGACACACGCAACCGCATACACAGCATTATATGCGCTCTTGTCAAAGCTTCATATATGACTTCCGCCAAGCTAAGCTTGGCCGGCCGGGGGAATTGGGTACAAGCTAGAGTCCCCGTCGGTCGAGGAGGTCGCATGACCAGCTTTGCCGAATACATATGGGTTGAACACGCTAGAGTCTTCGTCGGTTGAGGAGGTCGTATGGCCAGCTTTGCCAAATACAGGGATCATTACTAAGCCAGAGTCCCCACCCGTTGAGGAGGCTATACGACCAGCTTTGCCAAAGACAAGAAAGCTGCCAGATTCACCATCGATTGAGGAGACAATATGACGAGCTTTGCCGAACACACCTACGCTTCCAGAGTCCCCACCCGTTGAGGATGCTATATGACCAGCTTTGCCAAAGACAAGAAAGCTGCCAGAGTCCCCATCGGTTGAGGAGATAATATGACCAGCTTTGCCGAACACACCTACGCTTCCAGGGTCCCCACCCGTTGAGGAGGCTATATGACCAGCTTTGCCAAAGACAAGAAAGCTACCAGAGTCCCCATCGGTTGAGGAGATAATATGACCAGCTTTGCCGAACACACCTACGCTTCCAGGGTCCCCACCCGTTGAGGAGGCTATATGACCAGCTTTGCCAAAGACAAGAAAGCTGCCAGAGTCCCCATCGGTTGAGGAGACAATATAACTAGCTTTGCCGAACACACCTACGCTTCCAAAGTCCCCATCTGTTGAGGATGCTATATGACCAGCTTTGCCAAAGACAAGAAAGCTACCAGAGTCCCCATCGGGTGAGGAGAGAATATGACCAGCTTTGCCGAACACACCTATGCTTCCAGAGTCCCCACCCATTGAGGAGGCTATATGACCAGTTTTGCCAAAGACAAGAAAGCTACCAGAATCCCCATCGGGTGAGGAGAGAATATGACCAGCTTTGCCGAACACACCTATGCTTCCAGAGTCCCCACCCATTGAGGAGGCTATATGACCAACTTTGCCAAAGACAAGAAAGCTACCAGAGTCCCCATCGGTTGAGGAGACAATAGGACCAGCTTTGTCGAACACGCCTATGCTACCAGAGTCCCCACCGGCTGCAAAGGCTATATGATCAGCTTTGCCGAATACACCAATACTACCATAGTTCCCACCCAGATTGCTACCATAGGATTTGCGTGAAGCAGTTATTCTGGCAGGAGCTTTAATTGAGACGGGACGACGTTTCATAGCAGCAGCAGGTTTGGTACTGGTGTTGCTGGCTGTCAACGACGTGAGCCGCGGGGAAACTGCTAGGAGAGCAGAAGAAGCCATGGCTGCAGTGCGTGGGTAAGCGTTAAGCACTACTTGTTTGGTATATTATGTAGAGCAGGAGTGATGAACTAGTGTGTTTACAGCTCACGTATTTATAGTACCCATCATGCCACGATTCTTACTCTTTTTTTAGTTTGTTTAAATATGTCCAAAGAGAAAGAAAGCAGTCATCAGTTTGTGACGTTTGGGTTTCGCGGGTTTGCATGCATGTAGAGTACGTGGTTTTGACGCATGTGAGTGCAGTTGATGAGGGTGGAATAAATAGAATGATCTAAAATAGTAAATGCCATGCAAGTTGCTATTGTCTCTGTACCGAGTATAAAGCCAAGGATTGTAAACCCATAAATCGTAGTTTGTACCGGAAAGGTCGGTGCAATAGAGTATTTTATGTTGAAATCATGGTTTAACCGTAGTTCAACCATTTCATATCGCTAATAATCACATACTGATTTAGACGCAAAACATTAGGTTTTGATGCAAACGTGACGCTGTTTCATAGAGCTAGTCTGGGAGGGATAGACGTGATGGCGTTACTTTTAAGGGCCGTCGCCGACGAGACCAGTGGGGAAACAGTTGGGAGAGCAGCAGAAGAAGCCATGGCTAGCTAGCTGCTGCGTGTGTTGGGTCAGGAACTAGGGTTTACGTAACTCCGGTATTTATAGTATGCGTGCATGCCGAGATTCTTACTTTTTTCTTCTTCTTCTTCTTCTTCTTCTTCTTCTTCTGTTTCTTCATTTCTGGCAAAAGAGAAAGACAGCAGCCATTAATATTTGAAACGTAAGGGCCGAAGCTAGGTAGAATGCATGCAATCCAAACGTCTAATGACGGAGCTAACGTTCGTGAGTTGGGTTTGACTGGTTTGCGTGCATGTGAAGTACGTGGATAAAACATCCAAGAGCATAAATGTAGGAATGAACGTTACCCGGCCACAGTCATGATAATTTTGTTCACCGATTATTACGTCAATTAAGTATGGATTTGGATGGATTTTTACCGGAGTCATTTTTGGCAGATTCCAAATGGGTACATCACAGATTTAAGTCGATTTTTGTGAAAGTCCATTTTTTTTTGAATTTTGAAGACTACAGAACACGAATTTGACCTGAGATTATTCTCCACCAATGATGAATTCTATTAATTGCCTTGCTGATTTGGGTGGATCTTTTGTGGAGGACATTTTCGTAATATTTTGGAGATTTTTTGAATTACCATTTTTTTTGGATTTTGAAGGCTACAGATCACGGATTCTGCTTGTGGCTATTATTCACCGATGATTATGTCTATTAAGCACTGAATTGAGAGGATTTTCATTTTTCTCGATGCCATTTTTGGCAGATTCCGAAGAGGATATCATCACAGATTACTGGTTATTTTTTCGAAATGACATTTTTCTACATGTAATATTTCCTAGTATTTTGATAGCTACAGATCACGAATTCAGCCTGAAGTTATTCTTCACCGATAATTAAATCTATTAAGCACCGATTTGGGCATTTTTCTGGGTCATATTTTTGCTGATTTCAAAGGGGTACCATCAGAAATTTCGGGTGGTTTTTTCAAATTGCCATATTCCTTGTATTTTGAAGGCTTTACAAATCACGGACTCGGCCTGAGGCTATTCTCCACCAATGACAAAGTCTATTAATCGCTGATTTGGACGAATTTTTTCCTGGAGAGCATTTTCGTAATTTTTAAAAGATTTTTTTGAAAGACAATTTTCTTTGGATTTTGAAGGCTACAGATTACAGATTCGGTACGAGACTATACTTCACCGAAGATTAAATATTTAAGCACTGATATATGCAGATTTTTTGGCAGCCATTTGTGGTAGATTTTAAAGGGGTACAATCACATATTACGATCAATTTTCTCGAAAAGTCATCTTCCTTTGATTTTGATGGTTACGGTTCACAAATTCGGTCTGAAACTTGAACTGTCAACCAGAGTCCCAGCCTCCATAAACATCACTTATAGCAAATTGAGTTAAAGCAACCAATACAAACTTGGAAGCATGCAGTAAATGGCATCGGAAGAACAGACGCAATGAATTTTGATGAGCGCAGAGGAACTCTGGGTCTACCGTTAAATCAAGCTCTTCTAGTTCTATGCATCATCTTAAGTAGGTATCTAATGGATTGACGGCTCAACATTGAACTTAGTTTATTTCTTGGCCATACGATACAAACACAGTGACATACACTTTACAACGATACATTTTCAACTTCGGATTTGCAACTTTCGACAACGACGCATATTACATAACATGTGACACAAAAACGATGAAAATAAAGCATAAGCTTCGACCGGAGTCGACATACTAAGAGCAACAGAAACACAACGGGGAATTAAAGGGTCGGTCACAGGACGAGGGAGCTAGTCATGACGACCTGCCTTCCGCCTCTCACACACAACATTGTTATATATGATTTAACTGCTACATACGACAAGCTTTGCCGAATCCGTAGAGGATGCCAGAGTCCCCGCCGGTTGAAGAAGCCACAAGACCAGCTTTGCCGAATCCATAGAGAATGCCAGAGTCCCCGCCAGTTGAGGAGGCCACATGATTAGCTTTGCCGAATCCGCCGTAGACACCAGAGTCTCCGGCTTTGCCGAATCCGCTGTAAAGGCCAGAGTCCCCGCCGGTCGAGGAGGCGGCGTGGATGCTAGCTTTGCCGAATCCGTAAAGGATGCCTGTGTCCCCGCCGGAGGTTGAGGAGGCCACAGGACCAACTTTGCCGAATGAGACGAGGGAGCCAGAGTCCCCGCCGGCGGTTGAGGAGGCCACAGGACCAGCTTTGCCGAATGAGACGAGGGAGCCAGAGTCCCCGCCGGCGGGTGAGGAGGCCGCACCACCAGCTTTGCCGAATGAAACGAGAGAGCCAGAGTCCCCAGTCGAGGAGGCCACAGGACCAACTTTCCCGAATGAGACGACCGAGCCAGAGTCCCCACCGGTCGAGGAGGCCACAGGACTAGCTTTGCCGAATAAGACCACAGATCCAGAGTCCCCGCCGGTCGAGGAGGCCACATGTCCAGCTTTGCCGAATGAGACCACAGATCCAGAGTCCCCGCCGGTCGAGGAGGCCACATGTCCAGCTTTGCCGAATGAGACGAGGGAGCCAGAGTCCCCGTCGGTCGAGGAGGCCGCATGGATAGAGCCAGCTTTGCCGAATCCATCGAAGAAGCCAGAGTCCCCGCCGGTCGAGGAGGCCGCATGGATGGAGCCAGCTTTGCCGAAGCTGCCGAAGACGCCAGAGTCCCCGCCTGTCGAGGAGGCCGCATGGATGGAGCCAGCTTTGCCGAAGCTGCCGAAGGCGCCAGAGTCCCCGGCAGTTGCTCTAGCAGGAGCTTTGGCGGAGATGGAACAACGCTTCATGGAGCTAGTTTGGGAGGGACAATTGGGCAGAAGAAGGGTGGTAGGATTAGCAGCAGCAGTACTGGCATTGCTCTTGAAGGCTGTAAGGGACGAGATCAGTGGGGAAACAGCTGTGAGAGCAGAGGAAGCCATGGCTAGTGTTGATTTCGTTAAGCACTACTTTGCTTGGTAGATTGTAAAGAGCTGGGGGCGAGGAACTAGTGTGTCCACAGCTCAGGTATTTATAGTACTCATGTCACGGTTCTTAACGCTTTTAGTTTGTTGCGGTCATTAATTTGTAACGTCTGGGTTTTGCGGGTTTGCATGCATGTGGCGTACGTGGCGCTGGTGCATGTGAGGGTGAAATAGATAGAAGGATCTAAAATAATAAATGGCATTTAAGTTTATGTGGTAGAAAGGGGTCTTTATCTGGATTGGGTGCATAATTAAGAATTATGCAATTTGATAACTAGATCTGCGTTTGTAGATTTTGGCAGGGCCGAAAAAAGTATAAATCTAACTTGTGAGAATTAATATTTTATTTTTATATTTATTAATTTTCTTAAATGATTCTTATCTTTTTCGTTCTAATTTGGATTTCAATTTTTTTTTCATAGATGGAACGAGTTCGTTGTGATATATAAAAATAGGTCCATTGTCAATATATTTGGAGAAAAATTTCATACCACTCTTTATCACCTTCGTTTTTAACTCGAATTTGGAATTTTTTCGCACAAATAGAACAAATCTTTGTGATCTATTGGATCTACAAATTTATCCTAAAAAAATGTAGGACCAAAACATACCACCTCATACCAACCTGATATAGGGGTGGTAACTGGTGGCAAACAATGATGAATTGGGTAAATGACAGTTCCTATATTCATATCATGTATTCAACCATGGTGGATATAATATGGTATATTTAGTTCTAACATTTTTTCTCTCAAAGGGTTACAGATCACGATGAACTCGTTTCTTTTCTATATATATATTTTAATTTGAATGAAACATAGGTGGTACGAAGTGGTACCAGGAAGTAACAAGTGAGAATGAGTGGTAAACAATTTCTTGAAATACATTGAACACATCGGCGGATCCAGGACACAGTGTAGCACTGGGCCGCATTTCATTAGAAAATTAGATATCGTAAAAAAATCACAGTTTTTTTTTTACAATATCAATTGTACACGTCAATCTTTTAAATTTTAATATAGTGAATTCGTCAATAATAGAGTTTACATCCACATCAATAGCATACTCTCTTTAAGATAAAATAGTTAACCAATTGGAGAGAAATTCATCGTTCATTTTGTTGCGCAAATGTCAACACAATCGACTAATCAATTCCTATTTTCAATAGCTGCTCAAGTAATTTCTTAAGAGAATAAACCTCATATTTCTTTTAGTCTTTTACGTTTTAGAATTTTAGGTTTCATTGTTTGCTTTTCTTTATATGAGAATTATTGGAGCTAGAATTTTCAGGCTAAATTTAGAGTTGTGATTTGAATATGTTCATCTTACCCATTTTCCTAATTACAGAAATTTTATTATAAAATAACACTGGGCCAAATGGTTAAATCGATAAACTCATAAGGGTTATACTAGTTCCGGATCCAGAGGAGGGCTGGGCCGTGGCCCGGGGTGGTCACCCCCTGGATCTGCCACTGATTGAACATGAATATTATTTTGTAGATCAAAACGAACTCGTTTTATTTATTCACACTAAAATCCAAACTAAAACAAAAAAGACATAAGCCAATTAAATAAGAAGAATTTTTTTTTTTAATTTCAATCCTTAGATTTGGCCACTAAAAACCAATGAGTCATATCTGATTATGTATCATGCATAACAAGGAATTATACACGCTATCCTACACCGGTAGAAAGTCAAGAATTATATTTGTCAGAAGCGTAGTAATTTTTTTAAAAACGTACTGGGTTGTTTTGAGAATGTTCTTTTCAAGAAATTTCCAAACGAACAATTTCAAACGTAATCCTTCTGTTTACCCATAAAAAAAATCAGTTTGTACCACATCGATTAATTACAAGGGGATTAATGGATTTATAAGGCCAGCTCAACATTAATGATTAAAAGAGTCAGCTGGGCCTAGTTGGGTTAGATTTTTGGGCCTAAGTGGCCAACCCCCTTCTCCTCTATACGATGGCCGACCCGTCTCCGAGGCCCCCATAGCCGGACGATGCCTCCACCCCTTAGTATGAAATTTGGCCTACAAAAACTAAGTCTTGGAAACAAGGCGACACAACGAGGTGCCAAACGACCGGGTACCAAGCCGGATACCAAATAGGAGGCCATCCAAAAGCTATGACATAGCAGGGTGCCAAATGACCGGATGTCAACGACGGGGTATCAAGCCGGCAAAGCAGGGCTTGGTACTTTGACATATAATTTGGCTAAGTATGAAGCAAAAGGGGTATCAAGCCTACCTTAAAGATATAAAAATTGGCTAAGTATAGAGCTAAGGGGGTACCAGGCGGGCAAGGCGACCTCGGTACCAAGACCCACCCCTACAAGGTACCAAGCCGGCATGACAGGCTTGGCAGCCAAGCAAGGTGACAGGGTACCATGACTCCAAGGGGTTATCAAGCCGAAGACTGACTTGGTGGCTAGGCAACAGGGGGCCAAGCCAAGTACCAACTAAGAGAGTCATACAGAAACTAAGTCTGGATATCAAGCCAACAAGACGGACTTGATAGCCAGACATCAGGGTATCAAGCCAACAAGACAAGAAATTTAACTAAGGCATGGTGACTAGCTGAGGTGGCCACCCAACTATGGATGGATCGACCAGGATGCCGAGCTCAGCCCTTATGAGGCCATATGGAGACAAATTCCAAAGACGGGCTTGGTAGCACCTTCACGGGGTACCAAACCGGCAAGGTGCAACTTACCAGCTTGACGAGGCTACAAAAACTAAGTATGGAGACCAAGCCACCAGGGCTGGCTTGGTAGCAAGGGGTGTCGAGTTGATTACATTGGCTTGGTGGCATGCCAGAAGGTATTAAGCCGATGAGACGGCTTGGTAAAAACCAACAAGTTCATGAGGAGGGTTTGGTGTCATTGAGGTGGTAGCGGTCTCAAGACGACAAGAGTGGGGAGTCATCAAGCAGCCGAGGGTGAGATCAAGACCTCATCATGGTTCATGGAGGCTAAAGAAAGAGCCTCAAACCCATCCAGTTATGACAGGGAGACAAGGCTCAACACCAACCCGACCCGACATCGAGGCCATCAAGTACCCACCAACCCCAATACGGGACAAGGGCCTCCAAGGCGAGGGATACCAACCAGTCAATAAAACGGGTCTAGGAACTCCAAGACAATGGAGGTGAAGCCAAGACAACGGTTACCAATTGGCAACCAAGAGCAACGAAAAGGGGTCCCTAAGGCGGTTGGAGCAACAAGCCGGCTAGCAGTTACCAAGGCAGTTACTCCTAGTGGCTATAAATAAAAGAAACAAAGAAGCAAGAGTTCCACAACCAAACATTTGACACACAATGTCAAAATTTATCTTGTCTATGCAAATCAGCTTTTAGTTTTTCGGAGCTCTCACTGAACCTCCATAGGAGTAGAGTAACTTAGATTGTTCCCAAAAACCATCAAAAACATCAAACACCCTCGTTCGAACATTGTTCGGAGAGGAGTGAACCTTGTGATGAATCGTTGTTCGAGAAGTAAAGGTGCATTCATTGTGTTCAAACACCAGTTTTTCCTCGCCGGAAAACACCTTCAATTTCTTATTCATGCCATAACTATAAAGGGTTACCCGTTATATTTGAATTCCTAAATTTATGTCTTTTCCTTTTTTTTAAGTTATCGTTATACTACAATCAGCGATGGATCCAGGGGGCACCCGAGCCTCGGTCCATCCCTCCTGTGGATCAAGAGCTAATATAGCACTTGTAAATGTTCGATTTTTAGTATTCATGTAAGTGTTCGTCATGTTATGGCCCAACCCTTTCTGTCATTTTTCATATATGACCAAGTATTCTACTCTATCCTGAATACGCCGCTCACTACAATATCATCACAATTTGTTTAAAACTTTTTTACATTTAACCCTAAAGGGGGCCGGGGGTGAAGAGTGATCATATTAGTCATTAACCCATTATTCAACGGTTTAAACATCTCTTTCCTTTCTTTGAATACTAACTTTAGTAACCTCGGTGAATAGGTTTGAACATGAAATATTGAGGTATAAATTGTGCACCATCGAACCTCAAGGAGCTTATTTTATGCCCTTTTGCATACCTAATATTACTGGCTACGTTTGCCGGTCTTGATCATTGCTACGACGACGAGTACTCTCTGGGAACTGAACTTAATTTCCACGACGAACGATACATATTACAACATAAACGAAACCGGCCATTATCGCATATAATGCATAGGCCTTAGATCGGTTGGACATATAACTACGAACAACAGAAGCTCGACTGAAAATTAAAGGACAGGAGGGAGCTACTGATGGCCAGCTTTGCCGAATCCGCCGAAGACGCCAGAGTCTCCACGGGTCGAGGAGGCCGCATCAGCTTTGCCAAATCCGCCGATGACACCAGAGTCCCCGCCGGTCGAGGCTTTGCCGAATCCGCCAATGACGCCAGAGTCTCCGCCGGTCGAGACTTTGCCAAATCCGCCGAAGACACCAGAGTCAACACCGGTCGAGACTTTGCCAAATCCGCCAATGACACCAGAGTCAACACCGGTCGAGACTTTGCCAAATCCGCCAATGACACCAGAGTCCCCGCCGGTGGAGGCTTTGCCGAATCCGCCGAAGACACCAGAGTCCCCGCCGGTCGAGGCTTTGCCAAATCCGCCAATGACACCAGAGTCCCCGTCGGTCGAGGCTTTGCCAAATCCGCCAATGACACCAGAGTCCCCGCCGGTGGAGGCTTTGCCGAATCCGCCGAAGACACCAGAGTCCCCGCCGGTCGAGGCTTTACCGAATCCGCCAATGACACCAGAGTCCCCGCCGGTCGAGGCTTTGCCAAATCCGCCAATGACACCTGAATCCCCGTCGGTGGAGGCTTTGCCCAATCCGCCAATGACACCAGAGTCCCCGCCGGTGGAGGCTTTGCCGAATCCGCCGAAGACACCAGAGTCCCCGCCGGTCGAGGCTTTACCGAATCCGCCGAAGACACCAGAATCCCCGCCGGTCGAGGCTTTGCCAAATCCGCCAATGACACCAGAGTCCCCGTCGGTGGAGGCTTTGCCAAATCCGCCAATGACACCAGAGTCCACGCCGGTGGAGGCTTTGCCGAATCCGCCGAAGACACCAGAGTCACCGCCGATCGTGGCTTTACCGAATCCGCCGAAGACGCCAGAGTCCCCGCCGGTCGAGGCTTTGCCAAATCCGCCAATGACACCAGAGTCCCCGTCGATGGAGGCTTTGCCAAATCCGCCAATGACACCAGAGTCCCCGCCGGTGGAGGCTTTGCCGAATCCGCCGAAGACACCAGAGTCCCCGCCGGTCGAGGCTTTACCGAATCCGCCGAAGACACCAGAGTCCCCGCCGGTAGAGGCTTTGCCAAATCCACCAATAACACCAGAGTCCCCGCCGGTAGAGGCTTTGCCGAATCCGCCGAAGACACCAGAATCCCCGCCGGTCGAGGCTTTGCCAAATCCGCCGAAGACACCAGAATCCCCGCCGGTCGAGGCTTTGCCGAATCCACCGAAGACACCAGAGTCCCCACCAATCGAGGCTTTGCCGAATCCGCCGAAGACACCAGAGTCCCCGCCGGTCGAGGCTTTACCGAATCCGCCGAAGACACCGGAGTCCCCGCCGGTCGAGACTTTGCCAAAGAAGAGTGGGTTAAACACGCCAGTGTCCCCACCAGTGGAGGAGGTATGACCAGTTTTTCCAAATACGGACATCATGCCAGCGTCCCCTCCAGTTGAGGAGGTCACGTGGCCAGTCTTTCCAAACACGAACATCATGCCAGCGTCCCCTCCAGTTGAGGAGGTCACATGGCCAGTTTTTCCAAACACGAACATCATGCCAGCGTCCCCTCCAGTTGAGGAGGTCACATGGCCAATTTTGCCGAATAGTGGGAGGCCTAGGATACCCGAGTCCCCCGCCAGAGTGCTACCGAAGGATTTGCATGAAGCAGTTGCTCTGGCAGGAGCTTTGGCGGAGATGGAACGACACTTCATGGAGCTAGCTTGGGAGGGACAGTTGGGCAGAAGAAGGGTGGTAGGATTAGCAGCAGCAGTACTGGCATTGCTCTTGAAGGCTGTCAAGGACGAGATCAGTGGGGAAACAGCTGTGAGAGCAGAGGAAGCCATGGCTATAGCTGCTGTTTGTGTTGATTACGATAAACACTACTTTGTTTGGTAGATTGTGAAGAGCTAGCTGGGGTGAGGAACCAGTGTGGCCACAGCTCAGGTATTTATAGTACCCATGTCACGATTTTTACGTTGTAGTTTGTTGCGGTCATTAATTTGTAACGTCGGGGTTTTGTGGGTTTGCATGCATGTGGCGTACGTGGTGCTGGTGCATGTAACTGCAGTTAAGGGGCATTAAATAGAAGGATCTAAATATTAAATGGCCTTGAGGTGGTGGGTTGGCGTCTTCATTAATGTAATTTATTAGTAAGATTTTTCAAATCTTTTAAGTTATTAGTCAAATTTTTTGAAATATAGAATATTAATAATTTTGTTTGTAACGTATCTAAATATAAGCTCTTTGTCTGTTGCTTTAGTAAATTTTCAACTCTTTTTTAGTTATTAAAATACTAAAATTTTGTAATGCTAATCTCCACGTGTATCTTCCAAATTAGTATCATGTTGCCAAATTAATATTATTAACTAAATTGCTATGATTAAAATTTGACAGATGTTTTATATTTTGAAAGGTTTGAATAATAATTTGCAAAATTGGGCTAATAAATTGTATTTGCCTTATATATATACACCACATTTCATCACCAACTACCATCCTATGACGTATATTTGGTCCTAAATTTTTTTTCCATAAAATTTATATATCACGATGAACTAATTCCTTCTCTGCAATTTTTTTAAATTCTGAATGAAAGTAAAGGTGGTACGATGGTGGTAACAAGTGTTATAAAAAAATTCTTGTAATACATCGAAAATGAATTATTTAGTAAATCACAACGAACTCGTTCCATAATTTTGAAATTCACATTATAACAGAGAAGATACAAAAAAATTGGTAACAAGTATTTTAATTTCAATCGTTAGATTTCGCTCCACTCAAAATCAATGAGCTATATCTTATTATACATTTGTGATTATGCACCATATTCTAAACTGGTAAAAAGATCAACAATTATATTTCTGCCAAGATTAGTATTTGCTATAAGAAATGTAGTGGGTTGTTTTGAGTATGTTCATGCCATATCTAAAAAGGATTTTTATTTGAATTCTTAAAACTTATGTCTTTTTATTTTTTATTTTCGTTATACTATATGATCACAATATGTTATAACTTTTACATTTATCCCTAACACTTGCTTAGTAATATAGGATATGTACAGTGATCATATGATATTAGTCACTAACCCATTATTCAACGGTTTAAATAAATCATTTTCCTTTCTTTGAAAATTCAGTTTAAACTTTAGTAATCTCGGTAAAAATTACTGGCTATTTTAATGCCCTTTTGGATACCGAATATTTCTGGCTATGCTGGCATGTCTTGATCATGAAACGACGATGAGTACTCACTGGGAACTGAACTTAATTTCTACCACGAACGATACATATAACAACATAAATGAGACAAGCCATTATCGCACATAATGCATAGGCTTCGATCGGGTCGACAAATAACTACGAGCAACAGAAGCTCAACTGGAAATGAAAAGACAGGAGGGAGCTACTGCTGGCTTTGCCTTCAGTACTCTCTCAAACACACACTGACAAACATAAAAATACATATGATTTGCCTGCTATCTGGTGGAGCTTCATGTGATCACTTCTGTGCGAAGCTATGCTTGCTGATCGACCAGGGCCATTGGGTACAAGCCAGAGTCCTCACCGGTTGAGGAGGCAATATGACCAGTTTTGCCGAACACGAACATCATGCCTGCATCCCCTTCAGTTGAGGAGGTTGTATGACTAGCTTTGCCGAAGAAGAGCGGGTTGAACACACCAGAGTCCCCGCCAGTTGAGGAGGTCATGTGACCAGTTTTTCCAAATACGAGGATCAAGCCAGCGTCCCCTCCTGTTGAGGTCATGTGGCCAGCTTTGTTGTAGAAGAGTGGGTTAAACACGCCATAGTCCCCTTCAGTTGAAGAGGTATTGCCACTTTTGCCAAACACGAGGATCAAGCCAGCGTCCCCTCCTGTTGAGGTCATGAGGCCAGCTTTGTTGTAGAAGAGTGGGTTAAACACGCCATAGTCCCCTTCAGTTGAAGAGGTATTGCCACTTTTGCCAAACACGAGGATCAAGCCAGCGTCCCCTCCGGTTGAAGAGGTTGTATGACCAGTTTTGCCAAAAAAGAGCGGGTTAAACACACCAGAGTCCCCGCCAGTTGTGGAGGTATTGCCACTTTTGCCAAACACGAGGATCAAACCAGCGTCCCCTCCGGTTGAAGAGGTTGTATGACCAGTTTTGCCAAAAAAAAGCGGGTTAAACACACCAGAGTCCCCGCCAGTTGAGGAGGTATTGCCACTTTTGCCAAACACGAGGATCAATCCAGCGTCCCCTCCGGTTAAGGAGGTTGTTTGACCAGCTTTGCCGAAGAAGAGCGGGTTAAACACGCCAGAGTCCCCGCCAGTTGAGGAGGTATGTCCACTTTTGCCAAACACAAGGTACACGAAGCCTTCGTCCCCGCCAATTGAGGAGGCCGCATGACCAGCTTTGCCGAACGCTGGTGGCGCCCACAGGCTAGAGTCCCCTTCAGCTGAGGAAATATGACCAGTTTTTCCAAACACCAAGATCAAGCCAGCATCCCCTGCAGCTGAGGAGGCCGCATGACCAGCTTTGCCGAACGCTGGTGGCGCCCACAAGCTAGAGTCCCCGTCAGTCGAGAAGGTATGATCATCAGCTTTGCCGAATAGGGCGAGGATACCAGAGTCCCCACCCAGAGTGCTACCAGAGGATTTGCATGAAGCAGCTTCCCTGACGGTAGCTTTGATGGAGATTGGACGACGCTTCACAGAGCTAGTTTGGGAGGGATGGTTGGGCAGAAGAAGGGATGTAGGATTAGCAGCAGTACTGGCATTGCTCTTGAAGGCTGTCAAGGACGAGATCAATGGGGAAACAGCTGCGAGAGCAGAAGAAGCCATGGCTTGCTGCAGTTTGTGTTGGTTACGAAGGATAAACACTAGTGCTTCTTTGGGTATATTGTGAAGAGCTAGCTGGGGTGAGGAACTAGTGCGTCCGCAGCTCAGGTATTTATATTCTTACTCCATTCATTGTTGAGATATGGTCAAAAAGGAATGAAATCAGAGTCATTAAATTTGTAACGTAGGTCTGGGATTTTCATGGTTTGCATGTGAAGTACGTGGCCAGAGTGCATGCGTAGTAACGTACGTGCATGTATGTGCATTAACTGACAGTGGTTGGTGCAGTGGATTTGTTCAAGTTATTAGAGACAAGATTAGCGGGCTTAATTGAAAATTGGGCTTGCTTATTCAACTCCTCGAGCCCAGAATAAGCCTTACTTTATCAACTGGGTCAAGCGGCAAGCCTACTATTCCGAATTTAGTGAGTTAATACCACTGGGAAACCCGAACTATTAACTTTGTGCCATTTGTGTCATAAAGTATCCAATATGACAATTGTGTCCGAACGTTAGGTAGTTTTGTGTCATTTACGTCCTAACAATTTTCTTGACCGTTATAGATAACGGTCAACCATAAAATGTTGACGGTTGGTTACATGGCACATATGTGTCAACCATGTATGCGCCACGTCAGCTGCCACATCAGGTTGTTATTTTTAAATTAAAATTAACAATTAAAATACAAAATACGAAGAAAACTTAAAATAGAAAATCTGTTCCGGCAGAGCTCCAGCTCCAATCGACGTGAATCCCTTCCTTCTCGTCGACTTCTTCTTCTTCTTCTCCGGCAGAGCTCCAGCTTCAATCGACGTGAATCCCTTCCTTCTCGTCGACTTCTTCTTCTCTAACAGAGCTCCCAGCTCCAATCGACGTGAGTCTTCTTCAGGAAATGGGGAGGACCAGAGTCGTTCAGTCCCTCCATCGGTTTGGGCACAACCATTGAATACAACGACGTCGTAGAGGAAGAAGACTCGTTGTTGTTCGGAACTTCTTCATTGCCATCGACGCCGTTCGGAGTCGAAGAACAAAATAGGTAAAATCAAACTTTCAATTCAAGTCAATCGAGGCCAAAATTTCACAACTCAAATTCAATCCCTAGTATGATTCAATGAACTCTCGCAGACGAAATCAACAATCTTCCGACCCTTCAATTTGATTTGAATCCCAGTGTCAATTCCGACCCTTCCACTACAATACAAACTTGGGAGCGTAGATTTGGAGCCGGCGGGCGACTTCCCCTCTATCACCGACCACAAGCGACTTATGTCGCAATCCCCTGTTGCTCGGCGAGACCCAACGATGATGGCAGAGAGATTGAGAGGTTTGGAGCAGATCTGGAGCAGCGAGAGATCTGGAGAACGATGAAAACAATCAATCGCCGACCAGTGCGACCCCTCGTACATAGCGTGAAACTGAGAGAGGTAGCCAAATACTACCAGAATCGGAGTGTTTCAAGGAAGAAATCGACGAAATGGGCGAGAGGGCGGCAGTTTCGATGAATCTTGGCAGATCTCCAGCCGCCGCACCTTCCCGCTCATTTGCATAGCCGCTGCGCGTCACCATATGCGTTTACTGAATAGAAAGCCCCGTTCCCACTCCTCAGCTGTCGGAAGAGTAAGAGACGAGTGGGTATTTGCCCTAAAATTGCGATGCCCAGAGGTAGGAGAAGGAGGGTGTCTGGTGGGGACGGCTTGGAGAGCATAGGGGGAGCATATCCTTCTGCAAGTGGACTCGGCAAAGCAGTAGCAGTAGCCCGGAATTTTGTTTCATTGATCGGAAAAGTGTAGAAGGGCAAGACTGCAGCGGCAGAGGAGAAGTGCAACGGAGGTTTAGGAGTGGAATCGACGGAGTTGATTTGGGGATTTTGTAATTTTTTTATTTTCTTTTAATAATTTAAGATGAAAAATAAAAAAAATTAATATTAAAAATTCCATATTCGAAAATAATTATAAATTAATATTATAAATTTCACATCAGATGCCACATAAGCGCTGACTAGACTTTCTGTTAAAAACTAACGGCCAACGCCAGTCATATCTAACAGAAAAATAGTTTAGGACACAAATGTCATATCGAATACTTTAGGACACAAATGACACAAAGTTAATAGTTCGGGTTTCCTAGTGGTATTAGCCCTTATTTTTATTTTTCGCATTATTTTATGATTTTATGTTTCTTGTTGGTTTGAGTTTTGGTGTTGTCGAGCTATAACGGGATTCATTGATGATCTCTCTAGAGACATATACGGTTTTCTCTGATTCGATTGTGGCATGTGATCTATTCTAATTTTTCTCTTCTTTGTTTCGGTTTTCTCGTTCAGTCTTAGGAGCTGCAGATGCGTGTTCCATTAAGATGGTTGATTCTCTGTATTTTCTTTTTGTGCTTGGACTTGTGGGCTATGAAGAGAAGATAAGAGAGAGACCTGTGGGTTGTGGATGATGGCAGATCGTGCAAGAGATGGCGACATGCAAGCTGGATTGTGAGAGTGGTAGCTAAATGGCAAAACTGTAATAAGATGGAAAACTGTAGGGGTAGTAATGGAAATTTGGGCACGTGTCACCTGTTCCTGTATCCTAGCAGCAAAAACCTTCCTTTTATGTATAGGAAGAATAAGGAATTAAAGTCTTTATTCCTTCTTTGTATTTATGTTCCAACTGTTTGTCTCTTATCGTATATTTTCCAGGTGTAAATCTGTGTACCGTGTGTATAAATTGATCATCATACGTGGCACCACAACCGGGTCGATTTCCTTTGAGCTCGTTTGTCGTCTTTGATGTGCCATCTGTGATCTTCGACAAGCTCCCTCGTATTTGGTGTCTGATACGGTGTAGTTGCGTTAAAAGCAGTGGAGGCGTTATTAACAAAAATGAGAATTGACATCTAACGAACATGTGGAATAACGGTCATTATTAACGATAACGTTCGACATTGACCAGAGATGCAATGACACGTGGAGTACAAAATAGCGTTAAAAGCAGTGGAGAGATTATTAACGAAAGGAGAATTGACATCCAAAAAACATGTAGGATAAATATCAACATTTAACAATATCGTTTAATATTAGTGAGAGATGCAATGATGGGTGGAGTATGAAATAGCGTTAAAAGCAGCGGATACATTATTAACGAAAGGAGAATTGACATCCAAAGAACATGTGGAATAACGGTCTACATTTAACGATATCGTTCAATATTAGCAAGAGATGTAATGACGCGTGAAGTACAAAATATCGAAAAAAAGAAAAACAACTGTATTAGAGCTTGGTTTCGATCTAGGGACCGGTTGTGAGAGTGGTAGATAAATGGCAAAACTGTAATAAGATGGAAAACTGTAGGGGTATTAATGGAACTTTGGACACGTGTCACCTGTTCCTATATCGTAGCAGCACAAACCTTCCTTTTATATGCAGAAGAAGAAGGAATTAAAGTTTTTATTCCTTCTTTGTATTTATGTTCGAAGTGTTTGCCTCCTATCGTATATTTTCCAGGTGTAAATCTAGGTATCGTGTGTATAAATTCATCATCATACGTGGCACCATCACCTGGTTTCTCGATTTTCTCTGAGCTCGTTTGTCGTCTTTGACGTGCCATCTGTGATCTTCGACAAGCTCCCTCGTATTTGGTGTCTGATAGTGTAGTTGCGTTAAAAGCAGTGGAGACGTTATTAACAAAAAGGAGAATGGACATCCAACAAACATGTGGAATATCGGTCAATATTAACCAGAGATGCAATGACACGTGGAGTACGAAATAACATTAAAAGTAGTGGAGACATTATTAACGAAAAGAGAATTGACATCCAAAAAACATGTAGGATAAATGTCAACATTTAACAATATCGTTCAATATTAGCGAGAGATGCAATGACGCGTGGAGTACGAAATAACGTTAAAAGCAGTGGAGACATTATTAACGAAAAGAGAATTGACATCCAAAGAACATGTGGAATAATGGTCTACATTTAACGATATCGTTCAATATTAGCAAGATATCTAATGATGCGTGGAGTACAAAATGTCGAAAATAGAAAAACAACTGTATCAGAGCTTGGTTTCGATCCAGGGACCTGTTGTGAGAGTGGTAGCTAAATGGAAAAACTGTAATAATATGGAAAACTGTAGGGGTATTTATGGAACTTTGGACACGTGACACTTGTTCGTGTATCCTAGCAGCAAAAACCTTCCTTTTATATACAGGAAGAATAAGGAATTAAAGTCTTTATTCCTTCTTTGTATCTATGTTCCAAGTGTTTGTCTCTTATCGTATATTCTCCACGTGTAAATCTATGTATCGTGTGTATAAATAGATCATTATACGTGGCACCAGCACTGGGTTTCTCGATTTTCTCTGAGCTCGTTTGTCGTCTTTGACGTGCCATCTGTGATCTTCAACAATTATGTTAAAAGCAGTGGAGACGTTATTAACAAAAAGGAGAATTGACATCCAACAAACATGTGGAATAACGGTTAACATTAACGATAACATTCAACATTAACCAAAGATGCAATGACATGTGGAGTACAAAATAGCGTTAAAAGTAGTGGAGACATTATTAACGAAAGGAGAATTGACATCCAAAAAACATGTAGGATAAATGTCAACATTCAACAATATCGTTCAATATTAGCGAGAGATGCAATGATGCGTGGAGTACGAAATAGCGTTAAAATTAAGCAGTGGAGACATTATTAACGAAAGGAGAATTGGCATCCAAAGAACATGTGGAATAACGGTCTACATTTAACGAGATCGTCCAATAGTAGCAAGAGATGTAATGACGCGTGTAGTACAAAATATCGAAAATAGAAAAACAACTTTATCAGAGCTTGGTTTCGATACAGGGACCTGTTGTGAGAGTGGTAGCTAAATGGCAAAACTGTAATAAGATGGAAAACTGTAGGGGTATTAATGGAACATTGGACACGTGACACTTGTTCTTGTACCCTAGTAGCAAAAACCTTCCTTTTATGTACAGGAAGAATAAGGAATTAAATTCTTTGTTCCTTCTTTGTATTTATGTTCCAAGTGTTTGTCTCTTATTGTATATTTTCCACGTGTAAATCTATGTATCGTGTGTATAAATTGATCATCATACGTGGCACCAGCGCCGGGTTTCTCGATTTTCTCTTAGCTTGTTTGTTGTCTTTGACGTGCCATTTGTGATCTTCAACAGTTGCGTTAAAAACAGTGGAGACGTTATTAGCAAAAAGGAGAATTGACATCCAACAAACATGTGGAATAACGGTCAACATTAGCCAGAGATGCAATGACACGTAGAGTACAAAATAGCGTTAAAAGCAGTGCAGACATTATTAACGAAAGGAGAATTGACATCCAAAAAACATGTAGGATAAATGTCAACATTTAACAATATCGTTCAATATTAGCCAGAGGTGCAATGACGCGTGGAGTACGAAATAGCGTTAAAAGCAGTGGAGACATTAACGAACGGAGAATTGACATCCAAAGAAAATGTGGAATAACGGTCTACATTTAACGATTTCGTTCAATATTAGCAAGAGATTCAATGACGCGTGGAGTACAAAATATTGAAAATTAGAAAAACCACTATATCAGAGCCTGGTTTCGATCCAGGGACCTGTGGGTTATGGGCCCACCACGCTTCCGCTGCGCCACTCTGATATGTTGATAGAGATTTCAGACGACTGTACATACTAAATACTTATACTACCTCATTGATATTGCTATCTTTTGACATAATTGAGATAAACTTTCGTCTCACAAATACATCGAAAAGTGCCAACAACATACAGTACAGCGTGCACAATTGCATAGTACTGTTACAAAAGTTTTCATAGATAGCTAGCTAGCTAGTGAAAGCGTGCAGAGTTCAAGCTAAGGTTAATATGCAGCAGAGGCCAGTTGGGCCATTGCATCCTATTACAGTTATTAGCCTTAAAATTCCAGAACTTAGAAGCTTAAAATGTAAACGATCGAGAATTAGAAAAGAAAAAAAGAAAAAGAGGATCATCATTCATCAATAGTATCTGATCATATCATCATATGGATCGGCCTCAACCCTAAGATTCAAACTAAACCCACTACTAAAGCAACTCCAACCCACTTAATTTCTGGAAACTGCCCTAATCTCATCCTTCTACTCGATATAATGAAGATGGATCAACCTGAATGTTTTGCTATGTATCCCATGAGTTAGTTAACAATTATATTCAGCGCACCTATTTATTACTAACATGAACGTTCAACGGCCATGATTCGTACTGCACTAGCTCTATCTCTGAAAAGAAAAAAGAAAAAACAACTAAGCTGGGTCAACATTATTAACAATATTGAAGTTAACATTTTACTAAGTTTGACATATTTGATTAATAAATTGTATTTGTCCTATATATATACCAAAATTTTATCACCATCTTCCACCTATAACAAGGTGATATATAGGGGTGACAAACGGTAAGTCGGTAACCGGCGGTAAACGGTAAACAGATTATCGGCGGTATTGCTAGCCGAGTATGAAATGGGGAAGTTCGGTATAGCGTCCCCATTTACGGTAGTTACCGATCGTTATTCAGTAATACCCATACCGGGGACCAGTACGCTGCGTATTGGCCAGCACCCCTTCAAACCCTAAAAACGAATCCCTTCGACCTTTCCCTTCGTTTCCTCTTTCGTCTCCCTCTCCTTCTCCTCTACGCTTCTCATGTCTCGACCGACGAGCGACGACCACCCAACCCCCCAAAATTGAAAGACAAGTGACGCTTCCCCTGCTCTGCGACTTCCCCTGTCCGTCGCGCGCTTCCCCTGCTCTGCGACTTTGACACCGCGACTCTCCCTTCTGGCTTCCTCCTTCCCTCGCCGACGCCAGCCCCGTTGGAGCCAGCCAACAACTTCTCGCCTTCTCCTGCTCCCAGTCCTCCTCCGCCACTGCCCAGAATTTCTGTTCGGTAATTTACCGGTAAACCGATCCGAAAACCATCTACAGCCCTCCTCGCGGTAAATCGGTAAAACCGGTTTGTAACCGTTTACCGAACATTCGGTAACTGGTAAACCAGTAACGGTATTTGATCTCCCCTTCACCATGATCGGCATACCGTTTACCGGGTCGGTCGGTAACCGGTTTACCGATTACCGACCGATTGTCACCCCTAGTGATATATAATACGATATATCTAGTTCTCAATTTTTTCCACATAAAATTTATTAGATCACGGTGAACTCGTTCCTTCTGTACAAAAATTTTAAAATTTTGAATGAAAATGAAGGTGGTACCATGGTGGTGAAAAGTGGTACAAAAAATTTTCTCATAATATATTGAAAATAGATCATTTTGTACATCACAACAAACTCGTTCCAAAATTTTGAAATTCGCATTAAGACAAATAAGATATAAGTCAATTAAAAAAAGTATGATAAAAAAATTATTTTAATTTGAATCTTTCGATTTGGCTCAACTCAAAACCTATGATCAGTTATATTTCATTATACATTTGTGTATCACCAATAATTATACACCTTACCCTCTTTTTTTTTTATGAATTATACACCTTACACTAACCCGTTAGAAAGTCAACAATTATATATCTCCCAAGCATGGTAATTGTTATAAAAAATCTAGTGGGTTATTTTGCGGATGTTCATGCCATATCTAAAAAGGATTACCCGTTTTATTTGAATTCTTAATATGATCTCAATATGTTTATAACTTTTACATTTATCCCTGACACTTGCTTAGTAATATAGGATGTGTACAGTGATCATATGATATTAGTCACTAACCCATTTTATTCAACGGTTTAAATATATCTTTTTCCTTTCTTTGAAAATTCAATTTAAACTTTAGTCATCCCGGTAAAAATTACTGGCTATTTTATGCCCTTTTGGATACCGAATATTTCTGGGTATGTTGGCCTGTCTTGATCATGAAACGGCGACGAGTACTCACTGGGAATTGAACTTAATTTCCACCACGAACGATACATAATATAACAACATAAATGAGACCAGCCACTATCACATATATAATGCATAGGCTCCGATCGAGTCGACAGATAACTACGAGCAACAGAAGCTCAACTGGAAATGAAAGGACAAGAGAGAGCTACTGATGGCTTTGCCTTCAGTACTCTCTCAAAACACACACTGACACACATAAAAATATATGGCTCTCTGCTGGAGCTTCACATGATCACTTCTGTGCATAGCTAGATTTGCCCATCGACCATGGCCATTGGGTAAGAGCCTGAGTCCCCACCGGTTGAGGAGGCCGTATGACCAGCTTTGCCGAACACGGGCCAGACCCACAAGCTGGAGTCCCCGTTCGTTGAGGAGGCCGTATGACCAGCTTTGCCGAACACGAGGATTATGAAGCCATTGCCCCCGCCAGTTGAGGAGGCTGCATGAGGAGCTTTGCCGAACACGGGTGTCATCCACAAGCTAGAGTCCCCGACGGTCGAGGAGGTATGACCAGCTTTGCCAAACACGAGGATCACAAAGCCAGCGTCCCCTTCGGCTGAGGAGGTCATGTGGCCAGTTTTGCCGAAGAAGAGCGGGTTAAACACGCCAGAGTCGTCCTTGTTAATGGAGGAGATATGACCAGCTTTACCAAACACGAGGATCACAAAGCCAGCATCCCCTCCTGTTGAGGAGGCCGCATGACCAGCTTTGCCAAAGAAGAGCGGGTTAAACACGCCAGAGTCTCCGCCGATGGAGGAGATATGACCATCTTTACCAAACACGAGGATCACAAAGCCAGCGTCCCCTCCAGTTGAGGAGGTCGCACGACCAGCTTTGCCGAAGAAGAGCGGGTTAAACACGCCAGAGTCATCGCCAGTGGAGGAGGTATGTCCAGTTTTGCCAAACACGAGGTACAAGAAGCCTTCATCCCCGCCAGTTGAGGAGGCCGCATGACCAGCTTTACCAAACGCCGGTGGCGCCCACAAGCTAGAGTCCCCGTCGGTTGAGGAGGGCGTATGGCCAGCTTTGCCGAACGCCGGTGGCGCCCACAAGCTAGAGTCCCCGTCGGTTAAGGAGGTCGTATGGCCAGCTTTGCCGAACGCCGGTGGCGCCCACAAGCTAGAGTCCCCGTCAACTGCGGAGGTATGAGTTTTGCCGAATAGGGCCAAGATACCAGAGTCCCGACCAAGAGTGCTACCATAGGATTTGCATGAAGCAGTTTCCCTGACGGTAGCTTTGATGGAGATTGAACGACGCTTCACAGAGCTAGTTTGAAGGGCTGGTAATGTACTGGTATTGCTTTTCAAGGCTGTCAAGGACGAGATCAATGGGGAAACAGCTGTGAGAGCAGAAGAAGAAGCCATGGCTTGCTGCTGTTTGTTTTGGTTAGCGATAAACACGAGTGCTTCTTCTTTGGGTATATTGTGAATAGCTAGCTGGTGGTGAGGAACTAGTGCGTCCGCAGCTCAGGTATTTATATTCTTACTCCATTCATTGTTGAGATATGGTCAAAAAGGAATGAAATCAGAGTCATTAAATTTGTAAAGTTGGTCTGGGATTTGCATGGTTATGCATGTCAAGTACGTGGCGATATGGTGCATGCGTCGTAACGTACGTGCATGTATGTGCATTAACTGACAGTGGTTGGTGCAATGGATATGTTTTGAGGCATTAGAGATAAAGGAATAATTAAAGACTTTAATTCCTTCTTTGTATTTATCTTCCAAGTGTTTTTGACTTTCTTTGACCTATCGTATATGTTATTTCTGTATTTGTACACCAATTTACAGCTTGTAAATCTATACATGTACGTGGCACCATAACCGTGTTTCTCGATCTCCTCTGAGCTCGTTTGTCGTCTTTCGACGTGGTATCTGTGATCTTCTGACAAGCTCTCTTGTATCTGGTACCTGATAGTGTGTAGTTGCGTTAAAAGCAATGGAGACATTGTTAACGAAACGGAGAATTGACATCCAAACAACATGTGGAATAACGGTCAATATTTAATGATACCGTTCAAAATTATATGTGATCTTCGACAAGCTCCATCGTATTTGGTACCTGATAGTGCAGTTGCATTAAAAGTAGTGGAGACATTATTAACGAAAGGGAGAATTGACAACCAAACAACATGTGGAATAACGGTCAATATTAATGATACCGTTCAAAATTTAGCGAGAGATGTAATGACGCGTTGTGATCTTCGAGAAGCTCTCTCGTATTTGGTACTTGATAGTGCAGTTGCATTAAAAGCAGTGGGGACATCAATAACGAAAGGGAGAACTGACATCCAAACAACACGTGGAATAACGGTCAATATTAATGATACCGTTCAATATTAGCGAGAGCGCGTGGAGTACGAAATAGCAAAAAATAGAAAAACAATTGTATCAGAGCCTGGTTTCGATCCAGGGACCTGTGGGTTATGGGCCCACCACGCTTCCGCTGCGCCACTCTGATGTGTTGATAGAAATTGCACACGCATCTAATAGAAAGACTGATTTACTCTGTGAAATTGATAGCCTAATGACAGCATCCAAAACAAATGGCGCTTGTGTTTGGTTCAGTGTCTCTATAAATGGCTGTAAAATAACAAGGCACATGGAGCTTGGTACTGATCATCTCTCAAGAATGTACATAGTAAATACTAACTACAACATTGGTAGTGCAATATTTTGACATAATTGAGATAAAGTTCCATCTCAAAATTACAACAAAAGTGCCAACAACATACAGTACAGCGTCCACAATTGCATAGTACTGTTACAGAAGTTTCATAGATAGCTAGCTAGCTAGTGAAAGCGTGCAGAGTTCAAGCTAAGATTAATATGCAGCAGAGGCCAGTTGGCCATTGCAATCCTATTACAGTTATCAGCCTCAACCCTTGCAATCCTATTCAAACCAAACCCACTACTAAAGCAACTCCAACCCACTTAATTACTGCCCTAATCTCATCCTTCTACTCGATAATAGCCAACAGATTATGAAGATGGATCAACGTGAATGTTTTGCGTATCACATGAGTTCGTTAACGATTATATTCAGCGACCCATTTATTACTAACCTGAAACGTTCAGCGGCCATGATTCGTAGTTTCGTACACTGCACTTGCTCTCTATCTCTGGAAAAAACAACAACTAAAACCTGGGTCAACTTGGAAGGGAAACTGACCTGTCTTCTATGTTACTCTGTCCAACCTTAGAGGGTTCTACTATTGTTCAACTCGGTGGGTGCTCATTTTCCACTTCAAGTACCTCTCTACATTGTCCAAACCACATTGCTCCTTCACAGTTGGCATGACAGCTGGCACCTCCAGATTGAAGGTTGGACCATATTCGTCGTGGTAACCCCATGACTGAAGCTGCTCTCGGGCTGCTCTAACTGCTGCTCTCGTCGCGCAGTGAACTGAAGATGCCAAGAGCAGTGGTGGCTCACCACAAGCTGCACAAAGAAACAATTTACATGGGTGTTCTGAAAAAGTACTAAAATAGGAATCCAGAAACATGTTTTTTTTTTAATCTGTCTGAACATTGATTAACTACAAATGAGGAAATTAGACGTGACGATGACTTGGTACCTTTGGAGGACAGCACACGGTTCTTGTGATTTCCACTGCTTAGTATTTCGACGTTTAACTGTTTTGGTATTGTGTCTACTGTAGGAATCTTGTAGTTCCATGTTCCATCTGAGGTTACTAGTCCATCCGAGTTTCTTGTGTACTCTTCCAGCATAAAATACCCAATACCTTGCACATAGGCACCTTCAATCTGCAAAATAACAGTTTTCATTTCTTATATGGCAGAGGAAAATGAATATAGTCAAACTTATAACGAGTGGTCTTGAAGTTACGCCAGAACTTGGGACCTTCCAGTTTTGCATTAACAACTGATAAATATGCCAAACATCCAGCTTACCTGTCCTAAATCCACAGCAGGATTTAGGCTTCGTCCACATTCATAAAGTATATCTGATCTCAGAATTGTTGTTCCCCCAGTAAGTAGGTTTACCTCCACCTGCTTCACCAGAACATTCATATCTCATATTAGTATCCATGAATTTCATCTACGCATATGTTCCCTCCTCCAAACCATTACAGAAATCCAATCAAGTGAAGGCATTCAATCTGTATAGAACTTACCTCGCTCACTGCAGCACCGTAGGTTAAGTAGTGGTTGGAAAAAAAATCAGGGCCAGAGTACGAGCTTGTGGATAAGTTCACAGCTTGCATATGTGCCTGTATTGTGATCAGCAAGTGTGACATCCAGATAGTGCATTAGTCTCAGGAAAAACATTCCTGTTGGAATTTCCAATTTCATAGCACAACATCAACAAATTTCCAAACAGTTACCTGTTGAATAAGCATCTCCCATTGCACAGAACCCATTTCAGTCTTCAACTTTTCCTTTAGAGGTCTCAGTCTCTCAACCAAGATCTCACAGCAAAGTCTAACTGCTTCACAACTTGACTCAGACGTAGTGCTTCCAGCAGTAAAGCCGCCTTGAATCAAACTTAGAGTATCAGCTTGTATTATCCTTACTTTCTCCAACAAGTCTACTTCTAAAGCATCACATTTGATCAACCCAAGAGCAAATGCTGTCATCTGCTTTACTTTTGTCCATAGTCCCTGACCAAGCTCTATACCTCCAACGTCAACAACAATAGACCCATCTCTTAAAATGCTTACTCTCCCAGGAGCAGGTCTCACTATCAGTTCGTGAACTATTGGCACACAAGAAAGGCCTCTTTTCTTCCACACATTGCACTTATTAAACTCACTTACCATTTCCCTTCTCTGGCTATATTCAGAAGATTGGGCTAAATTCTCCCAGATCAAACTCAATGTATACTCTGGTACTTCACCTGAGCTATCAGGATGGAACAACTTAAGGCTATCATGTGTGTGAAGGTTAATTTTTCTTACACAGTCTGCATTCACGGAAAGAGTAGAGGCTATGTTTTCAATTATAGCTTCTGCAACATATGATCCCTGAACTTCTCCAGGTCCCCGCATTGCTGATCTACTTACTGTATTAGTTTTGCAGACCTTTATCTCGAAAGAGAAAGCACCCCAATCATACTTTCTTAATACGGCCATAAAGTTTGATGGTATTACTGGACTTATGTCTGTATATATCCCAGCATCGACTAGTATGTCGAGCTTCAGTGCCGTGATTTTCCCAGTCGACTTGAAACCAACACTGTAAGTTATCTTCATTGGATGCCTACCTCCTGCCATTATCATATCAGTTTTGCGATTGACATATATCCTGACAGGCTGGCGCAGTACATGAGCGGCAAGTGCGCAAGCTGTAGCAACCTAAAGCATACACATTTTGAAGTGAATTGAACCGATAGATAATTCACAAATAACTTAAAGAGGGTGTGTTTATTTTAGGTTTGTTCAACAGCCTTTTAATGAATCCTTATCCAAAGAATAGTTGTTATGAAAAATCAGATTGAAGTGGCTTACTTTCAAGTGACTTGTTTTGCCAACGTGAGCAGACCCTAAATTTTGTTTTAATTAAATTGAACCTATAGATGTTGATGGAGAAGTAGCTTACTGGCATTGATTTAATAGCCTTCCCACCAAAGCCACCTCCAACCCTTCTGGTAATTACGCGTACGTTATGTTCAGGAACACCAATACATTGAGCAATTGTGGCATGAACATACTCAGGGCACTGAGAAGAACTGTAAACTACCATGCAGTTATCTTCATCAGGCACAGCAAGGGCAGTTTGACTTTCCATATAGAAGTAGTATTGAGAATCGATCTTTACCTGCATGCCATAGTCACAAGTGAACATACCTTACAAGGGAAGACCATCAGAGGAAGAGAATAAATCACAAGCAGACACAGGAGGGTACGAGATTCTTGGCCGAATCCTTTTTCTAAACATAAAATATTTTTGTGCAAAACTACCTCGGCGGAAAGAATCTGGTGATCAGCTTCAGCCATTCCTTTTGAAAAATCACCAACTTCTTTGGGATACAGAAAAGGAGGAACCTGGAAAAAGCTAGACCTAGCCACAGCATCTTCCACTGTTAAGATCGGGGCTTCCAGATTCTCTAGATCATAGTTAACAATGGCGAGCCTTGATGCCACATCGGCTTCTTTCTGGGTACCGGCAACCTATAACAGCAAATGAACAGTGTGATTGAGTACAAAAGACCAAATTTAAGTTATTAAATGTATTTCCCATCTATCCCATTGTTTTAATAGGTTTAAGATAATAAAAATGAGGTACAAGAGTTGATTGGTAGGTAAATGTACCACGAAGGCAAGGCGATCTCCAGTATATTGAGTAAAATCATCGGCAAACAAAGGTTCAGGTCCAAATATGGTCATGGAACCTACGTTCTTCCCACCTTTTGGTATGTCCTTATAAGTAATAAGACCAGATATCCGATTTGACTGCGATTTAGGGTAGACTTGTATACCCCTTACTCTAGCTAATGGCTTTGTGCTATAAACGAATGAGCCATGTAGACAATTTGCAGGGGAGGGGATGTCATCAACATAAACCGCTTCACCTGAAAAACAGGCCAATTATAAAGACATCACAAGAAGAGTTATGCAAATCAATCCAATATATCACCAGCATGAAACTGAGAAAGTAAGTAGTGAAGATGCCCAGAAAAGCCATCATATTTCATGCCAAGCATACACACCAGAAGCTTGAAGGGCAGCTCCAGATAGTACAATTGGTTCACCAACAGGACAGTAATCCTTGTTTAGTTGAAACACCTGCCTTGAGGATGACAGCATTCTGGGGCATTTAACATGGCCACCCTCTTCATAATTCTCTCCAGCGCCCTTGGACGACATAGTACATGTTGAGATTCCAATAGTAGCATCTGCCAAGGGGCTCAGGAATTCAAATAGAAAACCAACTGCCACACTTGACCTATAGGCTTCACTGCTGGTTCCTTCTTCAGGTACAATTGTTGCTTTAACTAGTTAATGGCTTCATACAGAACTCGAGTTGTCAACACTCTCCCTGTTAATAATTTCTCAACTTCCCTTGCTCGTATTGCATGTTTTTTTCCATAAGCACCAAAAGCCAGCAGACATTTATTCAGTACAGCTCCACCAGAAGATCCACAGGATGAAAGTTCAGCCAAGAAAGCAGCATTTACATAGGCCAACGCATTTCCATGAGCTCTAGGTGCAGCCCGGTATGTCTCGAATAACAGTTTACGGTCTACCCCAGAATTTCTGCCCTTTTCCAGCTCCCAGAGCGGGATTTTAACACTTGAAAGTACACTTTTTGAATCCAAATGTGGTCTTTCAAGGAATTCTTCTAAGCTAACTGTCTCATAAGCTGTACCACTTCGTATATTAACAAAAGCACCAGCTCCAAGAAGTATGGTAGCAATGTCAGATGGAAAATGTTCCCTCTGAGCCATGACTAAATTCCCACCTATACTGCCTGTATTTTGAACGAACTTGGTACCTATTTTCTCCATATGAGCTGCGATCTTTTTATAAACGATAGCACCTTCTGAAGGAGATCTGAAAGCTTCTCTCAGTGCGCAGATTGCTTTAGAAATGGTCACAGCTGCCCCTATTTCAATCCTTACCGGATCTCGCCTAGCACGAAAGTTCAGGTATATACCTGAGGTCAATGTAGGTGTCACAGTTCTCAAGTTCCTTATAATAACCAGCACTAGTGTTACCAACCACTAGTTTCACCAGGCCAACTCTGTTGGAATTGATGGATAACAACAGGTTGTCAAGCTCCAAGAACGCTTTTGGCGTAAGCCACCGGAGTTTCTCTGAACACAATAGCAAATTACTCTTGAATTCCGAATTTAAAAATTCCGGGAATCTAGAGATGCCTTGGTTATTGTCATACACAGGCATCCTGCTTTCCTTGGTTTTACAGAAGTAGTTGAACCCTAAATCCTCCATGTCAATGTCAACTGCAAAACTTTTGCACGCATCAGCAATAGGTCGATATCCAGTACACCGACAAAGATTGCCAGCAATGGCTTCTTCAGCTTCAAAAGCTGTCAGCTTGGAGATCCCTGAGCCTGATTCTGGTCCATTTGTCTTATCAGCATTAACAAGGGTTCCGTAGAGGGACATGCACATTCCAGGAGTGCAGAAACCACATTGGGAAGCATGAAAACCAGCAAATCTCTCATGAATTGGGTGAAACCCATCTTTGCTATTTCCAAGGCCTTCAGTTGTGGTGATCGAACATCCATGTAAACTGCAAAGCAGGGTAAGACATGCCCTTACTGTGAAGTCTTCAACTTTACCAACTATATGATCATACTTAGAAACCAGAACAACACAAGCTCCACAGCCACCTGAAATATGACAAGAACATAAATTCAAAACCCATCAGAAAATATGTAACTTTAATTCTATCCAAGACACCCCATATTATGATATAAAACAATATGATCACTTTGACACTCAATTATGAGTACCAAGAGAAACAGCAAAACATAAGTAAATTTAAGAGGTCCAAGGTAACAGTTGGAGTTGTAAACTTACTCAAGCAATATATAAGTACAAACAGAGGACTACCACTAATAAGACTAGCAGCTAATCAAGGGCCATGAAATGAAAATGAACTTGTTGAGAACAAAGAACTGCTGATTCTTAAATATGCAAAAGACCATCCGTTACTTAAAAAAATAAACCCATCAGCTTGGAGAACCAAAGCAAAAGATTCAAGTAAACACTCCACAATCCGATCAAGCCAACCCAGCTCGATCAAAAACCAGTCCCGATCCGAACCCCAAAAAATTCACAAATCTCAGTTGACGACTGCAATGAAAACTTGTCAACTTACCTTCACCACACCCGAGCTTGACACTCTTGAAAGGAGTTTTGGTACGCAAGAACTCGATCAAAGTAGTTGAAGGGTCGACATCAGAGAGCTCGAACCTACGACCATTAACAGCAAAAACCAGGGTTTTGCTAGTTCCCGTTTCACTTCCTTCTTCCATTCTCGAAGCGTCGCCCTCGGTGACAGAGCAAGATAAGTTCGAGCCGCTAGCTGCTGCTGATGTATTATATACCAGAGCCCCATTTGGGTCTACTGGCAGTTCAGTCAAAGAAAAGATAACGAATTTCGCTGGCGGGAAGCGGACAAAGAGAGAAGCAGCTAGGTTTCTGACTAACTGAACGTTTCAGCGCGAAGATTCTTCGCCTTAATAGAGTCCCTCCCTTTCCCGCCCCGCTCTCGCTCTCCAGTCTCCACCTGGTTTTCCGGTTGCAAGTTGCATGGAATATAATAATGGGGATTCCTTTCATTGTTCATCTTCTTACCCAATCTTCATTATCTTTTGGACCACTCTGATTTTCATTTTTCACCATTAAAAAGCGAGTAGTGCCAACATGCTAAAAGAATAGGCAATAAAACATGAATCAACATGTTGGATTGTGTATTTTTTGGATTTCAACTATTAAATGCAAATATCACATTATTCGTAACTTGTTATTGTTAATTCGTAAATTTTATGATTAAACACCAATTTCATCGTTCTAAATCGTTTAATTTGTTACATGAGCTAACCAGCTAATTTGACACGACTGGCTTAGGATGGCTATCTTGAGCATTGAAGTCACGGGATTAAGAATCTAGATATAGTCCTGATGGATGTCATTGCATGCACCAGAACATTAAAGCATAGTGAAATAAAAGACAACTTAATATCAAGCACTACATTCAAGGGCCAATCGGAAGAGTGATCATCAAACACCTATATCAGGTTCAGGCAATCGATAAAAATGTGGAGCACAGACCTATTTGCTAGATCCACAGCTACTAAAAGTGCATTTGCCATGTATAACTTAATACATTCATAAGCAAAGTATAGGGTATTGTCAGGAGGAGCGTTTTGCAGGATGCCAACACACATATCTCCATTTTCAACCTTGAAGAACAGAATTTCCTATGTTTTGAAAACCCTACCACGCCGTCGGACCGAAAATATCAAATATTGGACCCTAAATAGTGGGCGGTTTAAACAGTATGAAACTGTCGAAACACAATTAAACCACAATTTTAGTACAAAATACACCACCACTGATTTTACCAGTATAACCTCCCGTACGGTGTCACAATTTTTGGATTTACAAACTCATAGCTTCTCATTGGATCTCTCCAGAACAACATACAAACCAACCTCCCACAAATTGAGATGAAGAAGCCGCATGTATTAGTCTGTTGTTAAGTTTGCATAACAATAAAGGGTGGACAAAAACTCAGTAAGCAAGCAAGTAACTAGCACTCAAACTTTAGGGCTAATGCAGACAAACCATCTCCTGGTAGCAACGGCAGTTAGTGAATACAGATTTGGCCATGTTAGTAGTGATGGCCCCCTGAGCCGGCATGAAACTTCTTTGCAACTCAGGAGAGCGGGCAGAAGTGGAAGTAGAATTGCACCATTTCCCATCAAACTTCTCAAGCTTTGCACTTAGAATGGAAGCAGGCCCATCTCGCTGTCCAAATATGAGTAGTAGTTGTTGTAGTTTAGATGTCCCCAGAAGCAGGAAAGCCCAGCATCTCCGTGCTTGGGAGACTTGAGATAACAAAGATGCAGTTCTTTCAGGTTGCTCTCAAACTTCCGCTTTATTGCCATCACCTGTCAAGCATAATGACCGGGTTGTTTTTCACACAGAAAAGGGGCAGAAATGCAAACTGCAGAAGCTGTTTACGAGGAAAGAAGTCTACTTCATTGATGGGAGATATATTTTTGTGTTTAGGAGTATGGATCTCATAAAACTCGCTGCAATGAACAGTGGAAATTTACCTGTGGGACACTTATCCCAGAAAGTCGGCTGTTGGGCGAGCTTGCCTGATCCACTCGTACATCCCTCATGCCACCTATAACACAAGACCGGAAATCCAAGGCACATTGCAGCATGTTTACGATGATGCCAGCTACCTGCCGTGATTCATCGGAGAGGAAACATCTGCAAAGGTCAAGAATACCTTTAGTTTACAAGTCAAACATCTTTGAAAATTTCAAAAAGTTGAGACCTTTAGTGAGATGAGAGTTTAAAATTTCAAGAAACAGCATGACTTGAACATACATATGCAGAGAATCAGTTAGGTATGCCATGTGCACTAGCTCCAGATCCATCATATCTTTGACCTGAAAGTGCCAGAGAGATAGATACAAACATTTCAATGACAGTGATTTTGTGGCTAAACTGTAATACGCGGGGCATTAATAACTTCGTGCAGCTATCTACACCTATGCAACAGGTAGTAAATGAGAAAGAGAAGAAGGATGGGAATGAAGCTCTCGTTTGGGATTGGCAACTTTGGAAACCTTTATGAATATTTTCTGCCATCTTGTGGGCACATTGCATGATTTACAAACTCCTAAAAGGATTCATTTTTCACCCAGAACAAAAGTTCAGATGCTTTCGCTAATTTGTGAATTAGAAAATAGAGAACAAAATTCATTAACAACTCAAAGACTCATAATTCATCTTCAGCAGTGCAGTAGACACCTTTGAATGACAAATGACGCAAAGAATCCTATTAGCTTATTTGAGCTACATTGAGCAGGTTATTAAATTGAAGAACTACATATGTACAGAGGTAGAGTGCTGGAAAGTGCTATTCAAACCTTAAGCTTCAGAGACTGAAGAAACCTGCACCAAGATACGTGCGAGAGCTGGGACTGCACGTATTGTTGTATGGTGGACACAAAATGATTTAGCTTATGCCTGGAATAGAAACATTAATCAAAATTCTTCAAATTTCAGTATTCATAAGTATAAGCCAATTATACACTTTCACGGGTTAATAATTAGGATTCATGCAGGAAGCGCCAGGAATGATAATCAATGACTCATTCTTCAGATTAGCAGTGTATCACTATGGACTGAATCAATCAGTGAAAGCTTTGTGATGTGAAAGAGAGAGCAAAAGAAGATAAACTTTCCAACAGATCGAATGGTTATTAATTACCTCATATTTATCAGCATATTCCAATGACCCAATTCCTGGTGGTATAGAGCAGAATGGCGGTTTTTACTGATCAATTGAATGACAACCTGTAGAAACAAAGTTCAGTTTAGTTGTACACAAAATTGACCAGGTTCCCATAACCTTCAAGACCAGAATGCAACTATAAATTGACTCGATATTAGAGCGGAAAAGGGAAGAAGTGCTTCGATCTTTAGAAACTTCGATTGTGAATTGATCATAGCACTTTTTTTTTTTGTGTGACTGAACACCACATCTTGAAGCACTACCTTCAAGGAGCACCATATGTCCGTCAGAGATGAAGCAGCGAGCTTCACTTTCATCAGGAAACTGAATATGAGAGCATACATTTTCAAAGCTCTTGGGGTCAAAATGATACTGATTGGCCATTCTACTCGGTAACCCAAACCAAGAAAGTCAAGGGCATTGACTCCTGCCAATATCAATGGATCAGAATCAGCAAAGTTGTAAATTAGACAATAGGGAAGGACAAAATCTATCAACTACTTCCCAAAAGGAAAAATCAACCAATAAACAATCAAAGTTCAAATCCGTACTCAGTTGAAGGCAACAAAATTATGCACTAAAGTGACAACAACTGATACCACATCAAGTTTCCAGGTAGAAGTATGGTGCGCAGTCAGCCAAAGCAAAATATCCTAAGCATATACATTTTGTCAACTGCCAAGAGAGTTCAAACAAAATACAAAATGTTTACATTGAATATGTTGAAAGCTTTGGTGTATATCAACAAATCTAATACTGCCTCCAACTGTTTATCAACAACTAGCTGTGGCTTGAGAAAAGGTTGCAAGCCTTGCTGAACCACAGAAGAGGTTCCTTAAGAGCGATTTAAAGCATGTAAATGTGGTTTGCATTACAAAGCCTAGGAAATTATATTATATCTCCGGGTCCACAATGTGAAGGAAGTAAATCAGATGGAAAGAGTTTTACCAACTGCAGATGAAAGCATTAAACCACGTCCTTTTGTGTACACAAATAGCCGATCCTTGTTAGGATCTCTCTCACAAGAGGACCTTTGAAGTGACAACTCAAGGATTCCTTGAATCTCTGGGACTTTTTGATCCACCTCCATAACAGACCATTTCTGCGCTTCAAGTCAGAAGGAATGGGTTCAGCAGGAGCGATTACTAAGGCAATTAAGCATTCCCAGAACATAGATCGATAAAGTGATTGCCAGAAAATAATACATGATCCTGAAGGGACATGATAAACAAATCCGCCCAGTCTGCTGATTCCATGAAAAAGTATCGCCTCATTGCTAGCAAATGCTCTTGCAATCCGAACCCTTCTTCCAGCATCTTGATAACCAACTTACTGACATACTTATACCTAGCATAGTTAAGTGGAAACAGAAGTTTGGCAAAACAGCTGCTCTGCAAAGTACAATATCATGCAGGTTCATTTTAGTTTAAAGAATCTCAGGGCGTGGTGTAAATGCGTGGTGTAAATGCATATTAAAGAATCTCTGCAAAGTTCAAGCTTCTAAATGCATACATCAAAGGAATGCAAAGAATAACAGGATACTGGAGCAAGATTTCCTGCACGAGACATTTGTCAACAATAAAATCAAGTGGAATCCGAAACACACCCGGTGCACTCTCCCTGTGGCCTCCAGAACTTGCATTGCCAGTATAATGAGAACTACCAAGCAGCTTCTCCCAACTATTACCACCACAAACATCTGCAGGTACTCTGCCAGCTTGATTGTGCTCTTTCAAGTTTGCAGGCGAGCTAGCAGAAGGCACTTCAGCATAATTATTAAGTATCACGTCATCTTCACCAAAGTGTTTTTGTTTCTCGTGTCTGATTTTACTGGCAAGAGGATCATTGGAAGATGATGGAAATTGAGACCGTGAATCAAGTATTGCATTGCTATCTACCTTCTCCAGGGACGCAGTACAAGGATCCACCACAGTTGAAAAGTTAAAATAAGCTAATAATCTAGCATCTAATGGTTTGCTCCACAGATGAAAGTGCTTAAGTTTCCCCCACATTGGGGTTCCACTAAGAAAATCAGATCCGTAACGGGTCTCCCAGGGCAGAATACCAGAGATTCCTGAAGCAGGGTTGTCATTTGTATCCAAAACATTGCCCAAGACTTCCTTTATCAAACCATTCTTAGTGCACATCCTCTTTGTAAATAGTGGCGGACCTCCACTTAAAGTTTCCCTATTCGTTTGGTATTCCAGAGAAGAGTTATGTTGCTCACTATAACCAGAGATGTTTGCAAGTCCATGTAACCACCGATTCTCAGTTGCACAAGCTGTGTGTAGTCTATCAGTGATACATGAGCCTCTGCCTGTCCATATATAAGAAGACACCGACAAGTTTCCTGCAGGTGTTTCATTTTGAAACAAACTCATGTAATCCATTGATTGTGTCTTCTCAAAAACGACATGCGACTTGCTGTCCACAAGAAGGGGTTGTTCGACTCTTGTCGGCTTAGGTAATGGACTGTCAGTAGTACTACACTTAGAAAACCTCAAAGCAGATAGATATCTTTGATCCTGAATAACACAATCACTCCTGATCAGCTCAGAATTACTCTCCTCTTCGGAATCACTGGCAGAGGAACATTCTGAAACCTCAGATGCATCCAGGAAATCAAATTCTTGGTTTTCCACCTTCATATGGGAGAATTCAGAATCAACACGATCGACAGCCCTGAAAAGCAGGAAAACCAAGTTGCCACGCTGAGAAAGAATGTAGGTATTTACAAAGCACCACATAGCAGAAAAGAAAATTCCATTTTATTCACAATCACAAGACTGGTGATGGGGAGATATATTGACAAAGGACGGAGTAAACATTTGATTCACTCTCCACCAGCAAAGAAGAACCAACCTGTCTTCCATGTCAACATTTTGTACACTTCCATTGTCTCTCTCGAGAAATACAGGTCCAAACACACGAGGTGCCACCTGCAGAAAGGAGAAGTGAGAAATTCTCACAATAAATGTGGTGCAAAACAAACACCAGCAGACAAGGATTGTCAAAGTGGCATTCACCTATGGACCAATAACTTGTCTCCACTTACGACTTAGCTGACTCCTTATCAAAGAAACAAAACATACTGCAACAATAGTGCCGTAGTGGGTCTCAGTCTTTGTGAATAAGATGTTGAACAACCAAAAGATCTTAGATTAAGCACAAAAAAGAATGTGGTTATTAGTTGCTCTGCAAATTATGTGCCATGTGTAAACAACAAAGAAAGAGGGGGAACAGTAAACTTGAAGACATAGGAATATCAAAATTAAAAGGTAGTAAAAAAAGAAAGGAAAATTATTAGGGTATATATTTCAATATGTCAAAGCTTCAATTCGAGTTCTCCAAATACATGACACAAACTGATTTAGTAACGACAGGAAGGTTACAGGTTACCCCTTGCTAACTTTGGAGAATATACCCGCGTATAGTACACGGACTCTTTAAGAGTTATGAAACAGAAAATGACATGCTTGCCACTCCTCTTCAGCCATTGGCTATACATGGTCTATTATCTAACTTCCACATTCTACACATCGTGTAAGGAAACTCAGTAAGGTGACAGCAAAGGACGACAAGGATGCAAGCCAAGATATCAACTATCATGTCGTAATATAGTTTTAGCTAGTAAAAAAATGTGCAAAAATCATTTGAGGAGATCACAGTTTACCTGCTGGTATCTAAGTTCCAATCCACTCAGCAGCTTTTCAATTTTATCCTGCATGTTTACATAGTAGTTGTTCCTTGCAATTACCATTTCTTCTAAATATCCCTTGCTGAAAGTCAGCGGAGTTGTGCAAAACATATGATTACTTGAATATCCATTCCAGCTGGGGAGAAAGTCATCATATGTATGATCATCTGAGCCAACATAAGCACAAAACTCAAGCAATTTCTTCAGTACTTGGAGCTGCTGACCAGCTCTGATTATTGGACTCAAACTGTCTTTGAGGAAACAAGGCACAGAAACTCCATCTCGCTCCTAATGAAATCAGCCCAACCACGTTATAGTAGTTATGATTATTAAAAAACAAAAGTTTGCTAATTAGATTATTCAACACAATTGGACAAACATTACCTTGATACTTGGCAATGGTAATTCAATAGGCATTCCAACGTTACCATATGGGTGAGGCTCCAAACTACCCACATATTCCACTACAAATTCCTTATATGGGTCAGTGATCTCAGCCTTAAATATCCAGGACCTTATAAATCCATAATATGGTTCAAATGACCGAAGAAAGAGGAACTTGAGGAGAGTGCAATGACCAGGATCAGCAACCTAGAAGAAAATCATTGGCGAGAAGTATTGTATAAGCAAAAACTGAAGTTCTCAAGGTAAAAAATAACTGAAACCTAGAAAGAACAAGTTCCAAATAAAAACACACAATTAAAATGGTACAATAGGAAGAGCAAGTGATGGTTATGGGTATGTGGGGGTGGGTTTGGAGAATTACTACGCTGCACCGAAATAGAGCCAACAGTATGGCATTTCATAATTTATATCCTGGAACATTTACGTCCACGGTTGATTCATAATAACAACTGAGGGTATGTCAGGGGAGGAGAACTTTTAAGAAATTTTATTTCTTTCAAATGTTCCAGTCAGTATTTACAGTTTGTCTTCCCATTCAGACATACCAAAATGTGGAAGATGACCCTAACCAGAAAAGGAAGTGGAAGACGAAACAGCACAGAAGAAGAATTTTTCGTTTTGCTGACCTGTAGTTGTCCATACAAGTGACTAAGAAGATTGCCTCCTCTGTGGAAATTGATAAATTCTGAATTTGCTTTTGCACCTAACTCTTCAAATGAAGAGACAGAGAAGCTTAGCGCTATACTGTGTAGATTGCAGATGTTCCCAAGAGCTTCAATCCTTGTTCTCAGTTCCTTAGTGTGCAGATAAATTTCCAGCAGGGTAACTTCAGGGTGCACCACACTGGTGAGAGGAGCTGTCCCTTCAGATGACAGAACCAAGGGAGCCCCAGCGTTTGATGAATGCCTTAAACCCACTGAAGCACATACTGTATTTAAACTACAGATGTACCCTTCTAAAACCTTGCCAACAGCAACTGCAAATGCTTGATTCACTAAACTGTAAGGAGGATAGTCTACATCTCCTGTATTACCATAGCAGCCACTCCCTTCGGCAACCACATTAGGAAAACCATGTTTCCTTCCAGGTGAATATGTTTCAGAGCTCAAACAAGTGAAATGATCAACAAATTTCCTGAGAAGAAAAACCAAACATCCAAAGCAGCCGATTGAGTTGAGAATCTTTCCCATAGCTTGAGTGCTTGAAGAACGACTCCATAGACTGGGAATTCTGTGGTAGGTTCTATCAGCAGAGTCTGAGTAAAAGGCGACAGAGAGCTTCTCAATGCTTAGGAGAGCTGATGCAACTCCTTGCATAGCATTCAACGCTAACCTCACCAAACTTGTCTCCTGCAGCCCAAAATTACAAAGCAAGAAACTTCACTTCAGACCTGGCATGAACACTTGATTCTCTTGCGTTCCAGATTAATGTATGCAGATTAATAGAGAGTCAAGACCAGCAACGACAAAGATAAGAAAATGTTGCTTCACTACACTGATACAAAAGCCAGACCTCTAATTCTCCACCCATAAAACCTAACGAGCAGAAACGAGCTAACTAGTAAAAGGAAATTAAATCCGCCTTCCCAACCCTAAAGCAAATTTCGACTGGAAAAGCACAATTTCCACTCTAATCAGTAAATTGCACCAAAATTAGGTAAGCAAAACTTATCAAGAAGCTACATTGCCATCCGCGTCAAAACCTGGGAGGGAAACTCACCGAGACGGAAGAAACGAGGGGAGGCGAGCTGGACGAATCAAGGTGGCCGGAGTGTGAGCGACGGGAGGCAGCATTTTGCGAAGGGATGGACTCCCAGGTAGAAGGAGGAAGCCACGCATCTTCCACCTTCAGCTTTTCGAATAGGGATGCGAAGTTCGTATCCACCGCCATCGGCCGATCGTCTCCCGATAGCTAATTCTCAGGGATCATCAAGCTGCCGCCGTGGATTTTCAGCGACACGGCCGAGTTGGGACTTTGCAAAGTGTGAAATGGCCGGTGCCCGGCTGCCCGCTCCCTCTTTTTTACTTTTGAATTTCGAGATATTTATTTATCACATTAAAGGAGAAAAGAAAAAGGTTTTACAGGTTCAACCAATGAACCGTAATCCGGACCTGGTTTGTGTTGACCCGGGCCCAGGAAGAAAAATAAAATCGGCCCGGCTGACGTCGTTTAGACGCTGAGAATAAAAAAATAAAAAAAAATTTGATTCCAATTGAAACCTTCTTCAACAGTGAGAGTCGCCTTCTTCTTCCCATTCTCCTCTTCAGCTGGACAAATCCCTAGTTTCATTTCTCTCGTCAGCAGCGATTCAGCTCCACCTCACTGCCAGCCGCCACTCCGTCTTCTCGACGGTCATCTCCGTGAGCTAGCCACTTCTTAGCATAGCCGTTTCCGCCGATGACTTTCTCTCTCCGCCGCCAACGCCCCAGCCACTGATTCTCGCCGGAAATCAGCTCCTCTGTTTCCCTCCGCCACTCCGCTCTGGTAAGTCTGTTCTAGGAAGCTTCGTTCTTTCTGTTGGGTGTTAGAATTTAGCTTTGCTTATCGTTTCTGCTTTCTAATTCCAATTGCTTATGGTTGAATTGCTGGTACACGGGTTTGGGAGCATGTTCTAATATCCTTTGATGAGTTTCAACAGCTTTTGTGAGATGGATTTGAATAGCGTCGAACAAAGATAGGTTCTTAATGGGGAGTTAATGTATTCAAAGGTGATTGATTCAAGGGGTCTTGGCAGCGTAGGCCACTTTGGTAAGGTAGACCCTAGAATGGTCCTGTTAGGCTGTTACCAGTGATTGCTTGCATATAGAAGGTGAGCATGAATGCTAATGTACCTTTTACTTGATACCTATTGTTGGAAGTGAGTCAATTTCACTAACCTACGTATATTAAAGCTCTGCAAGTCAAGTTTCCGCGACACTGGAATAGCTTGTACATTTTCAGATTGTTGTGGAAGAAAGTGTCTTTTTTGTGTGGTTAGAGTAAATCTTACTCTTGTCAAGGAAGTTCTCATGGGAAGAAGGTGATTTTGTCAATGCAGGTTCATAAGTTGTACCCGACTTGATGATCAGCCCTCTTGTTTTCTCAACATGAACAACCAGCGTGGCGAAGAACATGTTAAGAAACTGTTTGTTTTTTTTTTTGTGTGGCTATTTGCAGGTGTGGATGCTTAAAACTAGATTGAAAAGTTTTGAACTTTGTTCATTCATTTCATCATCGTGCAGGAAGAAGCAACCGTAGCAGGATTCGAAGTCCCCAATTCTCCAGATTCAAGCTACAGCAACCCTTACCCCGGGACCGAAGATGAGGCAAGGGACCCACCTGCAGTCCCACCACACCTACAACAGACCTTGCTTACCTACCCAGCAAGTGCAGATGCATCGGAATCAGTCCCACCTCCGCAGAATGTTATTCTAAACCATCTCTACATCGAAAATCGGGAGCCCCCACGATCTGTCGTGGCACTCGGGTTCACTCATCGCTTTAGATCAAAGTATGTGACGGTTGTGCTGTACAAACCTGTTCAGAGGAGGGGGAGCAGCAGCTCATAGGATGCACATAGAATAAAAAAGGAGACCTTCATTAGAATGTGGGTTTTTATTTCCCTCCCCCCTGACTCTCCCTCATTTGTTCAACTTGCTTCTTATAGGGTGTGCAGATTAGAAGGGAGAAAAGGGATGATAAGGGAAAGAATCCGGAAAGGAGAATTTTTATTTCCTCGTGACCGAAATGATGATTGAACCTCGGATGGTTCTCTCAGCTGGGATTGTCAGCTGCTGTCATTAGGGCTTTAGATAGCATTGGATGGTTTTTTGCCTTTCTTATTGTGTGAAAGAAAGGCAGAAACATACTATGTGTGTTCATTCAATGATTTGGTCCATGTTGATGGTACTAGCTCTCTTATTTAGTGATTATATATCTATGTTATAGCATTTGAGGAGTTAGAAACTGGTGTGTTTCTGTAACTAGAGTGTTTCTGTTTTGTGTATATCTATGGTACTAGCTCTCTCCATTGCCCATTATATGTGATGAAGTTTGCCCATAAAGTCATTATTCCTTCGATAAAAGGTTTGGATTCCCTTTTAGGCTGGGATTAATCATTGATCCATGTCTGCAAATTCCTCTCTATGCATTGCATTACAGCATGGTCCAGGAAACAGGGGAAATAATAAGACGGAATATCCTTGGCTTTGCCTAAGCATGAAGCCACCACCATTAGCATATCTCCTCCAACCATCAACAACCACGGAAGATCCCAAAACTAGCTAGGTAGCTTGCTAGTAAAGGAAAAGGACAGGAATAACAATTATCAATCCCAGAGGAAAACCAAAACTGAACCAGCCATTGAAGCTTGCTATAAGCACGTACACAAAGAATAACGCCATCTCAAAGCAAATCTGTCTCCAAAACTTGGCTCCCCCGCCCCCTAATAGTTCTGCATATAAGAACACCTGCAATCCTCCACACATCTTCATCCTGTTTCATCGCAACATCAAACCAAATCCCCATATAGTTTCAAAGTTCATATCTGCAAGACTATCAAAACATATTTTTAAGCTCAGAGATCATCGTCATGGCAACAGGGACGAGGGCTGCTGCTCAACGATCATACGAAGATTTCGAACCCGCCACTGAATGGAAGCGGGAGCCCTCCGCCGACACCTTGCTTGTCCACCTGCCTGGTAAGGTTTACAAACAACACTCGTCAAATTCATAATAAACGTTATAGCACTGTTATGGAACTGTATTGCATTGTGAACGCAGGGTTTAGGAAAGAGCAAATGAAGGTGCAGGTCACGTCTGCCCGGCAGCTGAGGATAGTGGGTGAACGTCCGTTGGGGAACAACAACAAATGGAGTCGTTTCAAGAAGGAGATTCCCATCGGATCGAACTACGACACCAATGAAATCAATGCCAGGTTTGACAAAGGGATTCTCTACGTCAAACACCCCAAGGTCATCACTCAGCAGCCGCAGCTTGCCGCCAATAACCAGCAATTGCCGTCGCAAAAACCGCCGCAACCGAAACCGGCGGCACCGGCGGTGGAAGCGCCGAAGCCAATCCCACCACCACCACCACCAGCAGCAACAGTAGCAGCTGCAGCGCCTCAGCTGGTGAAGCCGCCGTCATGGAGGGCGCAGGATCAGAAGCCGATGACGGCTGCAGTTCCGCCGCCGGCGCCTGCTTCTGCACCTCCGCCAAAAGAAGCGTCGATATGGAAGGTTCCGCCAACAGAGCCCTCTGCTTCACGGCCTCCACGAGCTGAGACGAAGAACCCAGAAACAGTAAATGTCGGATAAGGATAGTCAATTGCTCTGTTTTTTTATTTGTACTCACATTTTTTCCCCCCTTCAAATTCAGGGCATGGGAGCAAAGCCAGATAAATTCTCAGAACAAGAGAAGAAGGAGAAACATGACAAGACGACGACAAATGGGCAGCTGCAGGCGGCGAAGGCTGACGAAATGAAGAAAGAAGAAGGAGGTGGTGGCGGCAGCAGCAGCAGGGGAAGGATACCATCGCCATTGATGGCAAGTGAGAAGTACAAGGAGGCGATCAGTGGGTTGGGAATGAGGGTAATGGAGATCAGGGAGAATCCCAAGAGCCTGCTGAACTTGGTTTTCGCTGTTTTGGCGGGCGTCGTCATCCTGCTCTACCTCAAGAATGCGGCCAAGTCGGTGTTCAAGTTCAAGGGTGCTGACATTGACGAACTATAACTTCCCCACCCCACAAATCAAGTCTCTGTTTGCCGTGTGAAAATTGACATTGAAAGCTGATTTCTAACAAGTTGATGATGATACACTGGTTTCAATTGTTCTAGGATTTATGGAAATAAGAATGAAATAACTAGCCACAGGCAAATGGATGGGATTTGTAACAGATTTAACGAGAAAGCTGAGTTCTTTCATGTGAATCCATGGCTGATTTCTTTCCTACCAACTGATTGCTCTGCATGTGCTTCATGTTTGAAACGTTCTTGCAAAACTCAAGACTGTAGGGTATCTAGGCTTTTACTATTGAAGCATTACTATCATCATGTAAATCTTCAATATTGGATTCGAGAGGATTCAAACACAAGACTCGTACAAAGATCTTACATCAATCCCTTTTCAAACCCCATTTATCAGCCCTACATGGATTAGCAAATGAACTTAAATAGTTTGCCTTTTGCCCTTAGCAAGAAACCTTTTGCACTAGTATTGTTGGGCTGCTTCGAAAAGAAACAACCCTCCAAAAATTGACGTATGCCTCTTGAAACAGCGCGCACACGGTATTCTTTAGTAAAAGGCGAAAGAATAGTTCGCTATGTGCTCACTGCAAGGCTGCGTGATTCGAGAAAGGTGGATTGGCTGGGATTTTAAAGGAGAGTCGGTTTGTAGCTTCTCATAAGATAGTCGATGTGGTAGGGATTGCTACACGGTGTTATTGGGCTTCATCGTGTCTTACACTACCCAGCTTCTAAATGGGGCTTTTATTTGGGCCTGTCTAAAACCCACCAAACCTTCAACCATGGGCTTCCCTGCTAACAATGAAGTCCAAACGCCTATCGCCGGTAAATAAAGACTTCTTTCAATCGGGTTTCTGGTTAGCTTCTCCGATAATAATTTGAGCAATCACCCTCTTTCTTTCATATGGATTCCGCTCCTGTGGGTGATCTCTTGCTTCAAATTCCCCGCATTTTGGGAAATCTGCTTCGACTGTGAGAGTAGGAGAAGGTGGGTTTCGGGAGACAGAAGGAGCTATAACCAATAGCATCTGCCGCCGCACGTCGAGAAAGAAGAAGGCCGGCGGCTGTAACCACCGTTCGCCGTCTCAAGCACATCAGCAACCTTCGCCAAATCCGGCGAGCAGAAAGGCGAATCCTTGAAGGAAACAGATTGAGGAGAACTGGTTCAGTAGCGCCTGCTTTTGGGTTCTGATTTTTGGGTAATGTTGTGCACTTTTTCTCCTCCGTTCGTTAGGGCGAAACTGAAAAATGTCTTCCTTTTTCATAATGAACCAGCTGGATTGAGATGTGTAGCATGTTGCTTCTTGATGAACAAGCATGTTCTTTGTGCTCGCTATACTAGCTGAAAGTATGTCTTCTTGAGAGTGTATAGATAATGAGGTGTCGAACCCTTTAAGAAGGCAGACCTTAGACCTTGTTCTATGACTTAGTTTCCCTTTTCAAGTTCACCACTAAAACTTGGGCAGTGACTGCAAGCTTTGTCTTTGTTGCAGTGCCGGCATTCCTCAAACCGAAACCAGCCGTTGCATCGTATCTTTAGTTAGTTCTGTGGTTTACATGCTTTTACCGCTAAACTTGCTCTATTTGAATCTTGGAACATCCTTCTCTGAGACCTATAGGAGAAGCATAAACGAAACTAGAAGGCTAAGTGATTTGACCTATACTGTCACTTACACTAACATCTAGGAGGAAATGTTTGCAGAGCCAATCAGTATTTTGGAGAGGCAGAAACAATGGCTGAGAGGCAAGCTCTGGATCAGCAACCTCAACAGCAGCAACAAGAGCCACAATCACCATCGCAGCAGCAATCTCCTCCAAGGGAAGACAACATGATAGCTTGTGTCATGGCTTTAGAGGCTGCTTTGCTTCCTTGCTTGCCCGCCAGAGAGCTCCAAGCTATTGACCGCTCTCCCCATCCTTCTCATCAGAGTAAGTATATTCTCAGTTTGTGACCCTATGAATGAAATGTCAAATCAACTAGGGCTTTAAACTTTTTGCTCTTTGCAAGTTGTGAACACTTGAGTTTAGTTTTTGAAAGGATCTGTGTCAGCCGTCATTCTGCATGTTGCAGTTGATGTGGAGAGGTTCTCGAGAGAATTCATGAAGGCTGCTAAGAAGCTTCAACTTTATTTCATCAATCTCCAACGTGAAGACCAGCCGACTGAAACTGAAATGTTGAGAAAGGTATGATATGATTTGTCTAGTAGAACATAAGTAGAAAAGCATGTTCCTTTCCACATGAACGTGACCCTGCGGGATAAACTCTGCTCATGAATTCAATAGGAAATTGCTGTTATGGAGGAAGAGTTACAGACGAAGGACGAGCTTATCAAGAAGCAAGAGAAACTAATCCAAGGATGGCAGGAAGAACTCAAAGATCAGTTGGAGAAGCATAAGATGGAACTGGAGAGAGTATAGACATACTAATGAATGAACACTTAACATTTGTAATGGCTACCAGTCAGTCTGTCACTACTGAAAATGTTTTGTTCTTCTCATCTCTGGTACTAGAAGCTTTCATCTTTTTGTAGGCCGGAAGCTCCAGCTGTTTCTTTGCCTACTTGATCTCAGATGCTAATATAATTTAGTTTGATTTTGATTCTCAAATTGGTCCCTTTTTATTGCCAAGATTCCATGGATTCTGACAAATGAGCTTTTGATCGAAACTCTGATAATTTTTCTTTTGTTTCCAATTCCATCAGTCAGATTCTGGTCATACAATCAATATACTTTATGCTTAAATAATGGCGAGAGGGAATTGCAAAACTAAGATCAAAATTAAGATTACACAATCATAATTTTACATGAGATACTCACCCCAAAATCCAGATGTTGATTCTATCATCTAAACTACACCGAACCCTTAAACTCCCGATCAATTGTCTCCATGCAACCTACGCAAACATGGATTAATTCCACAATCCTGTAAGGGTTCCAACTTGAACAATCTTTCTACTCTTCCACTGAGAAGGGCATTTTTTTTTTTTAAATGAAGATCACCAGCCCTTTTACTTCTTAGCATAAGTAATCAGCATGGGATTTTGCTGTATCTTGAAGCTCTGCAGCCCTTGCATTGCCACAGTCGACTGGGCCTCGTCTCCATACTCGATGAATGCGATCCCGGGTTTGGCTTCGACCATTCTCACCTCCTTAAAACCAGGGTACTGCTGGAACAGCATCTGGAGCATCATCGGAGTTGTCTCATTCGGAAGGTTCTGAATGAACAGAATGTTGTTTGGTGGTGCTGGTGCCTCAGGGACCAGAGATCTCACACCAGGATATGGTATTTGTGATAACTGCAACCCAATACGAAATGTGTTGGTTGAATATTCACTAATTAGAAAAAGAATAGAGAATGAAATTCAATAAAAGGAAAAGAAAATACATACAGGAGGTGCTGCGCCATAGCCTCCAGGATAACCTGGATTGACACCCATTGCCATTTGATTTGGATCATGTTGTTCCTTCTTGCTCTTTTTACCTGTCCAATTAGACAAGAACATACATATCACACAGAGGGTATCAAACAGGAAAAACGCAATTGTGTAACTTAAATGATCCCTACAGAACATATAGGGTCTTCGATTGGAGGGTCCCATGGTTGGTTAACATAGGGTAAAAATAAAGCTTCATGGGAGCAAAGACATCAAACTACAATGCTTGTGGCGAGGATTACAATATTTTCAGTGTCTACATATATCTAGACGCAAAATGAACGAAGGGTCCTGAATTCGTGAAACTGTTATCCAGCATCTAGGTGAATGATGAACACATTCTAATTAGGCGGAGAGTGGAATAAGGCGGAGAAACTGTACCTTTCTCTTCATGCCTCTTTCGCTTTTCTCGTGGAACAAAAGTTCCATCAGCCTTTGCTATTACATCAGATTTAGTTTTCGCGTATTGTATTCTCTGCACAACAACAGAGAAATAATGTTAGTCATACAAAAGACACATTACTTCGAGGAATGTCTGAGTAGCACACAACATTGTTGTGGAATAACCATCCATGGAATCAAAATCCACAAGTTCAAGGAGCAACAGAGACAACAATGTTAGCCAGTAAAAAGACACAGAACTCCGAGGAAACTCTAAGTAGCAACATCATTGTTGTAGAATAACCATTCATGGAGTCAAAATCCAAAAGTTCCAACTGAAGATAATAAGTTTGAAAATCATACAGAAGAAAGTAAACTCCAAAGTTAACAAATCGATGGGCCATTGATCTCATTCTTCAAATTTGTACATAGCCCTACTCTTCCATTGACAACTAATACCAAAAAACCTATCTTAAACTGAATGCAATAAACGCTGCAATATTCAATCAAACCGTCGATTATTCTAACCGGAGCTCGAATTAAAAGGGGGAAGATTTTCGCATACCATGGGCTTATCATAGAAGGGGAAGGACTGCATTTGCCTCATAGCATTCGTAGCAGACTGAACTTCCTCGAAGACAACCCAAGCTTGCCCCTTGTGCTTCAGAGTTTTGAATGCCAATATCTCCACTATCTTCCCGAATTGCGAGAACACCGCGTGCAGCGATTTCTTCAGCTCTGTTTCACAAACATTGCAGATTCGAAGAGTACAATTAGAGCTCCAAAATCTAGAAAATTTTTACACATCCGCGAAAGGTTAAAAAAACCAAATAAAAGTTTCGAGCTTTACCGTCGAGCTTGATTTTCTCGTTGAGATTGTTGATGTAGATCGTCATGTTCGGAGTGACTTCATTATTGCCTGCCGGTGGATTATTCGTCTCCGCCATTATGCTATTCTACGGTTACTGAGCTCCGGCGGGAAGAGAGGGGTTTTATGATGTGAAAATTTTCTGGCGTCGCCCGTTTAGCCCTAATTTGTGCCGGTGAGCTCAATATGGGCCTAGTTCGGAAAGGATTTGGAAAATATTCAAAATAGTCCTTTAACTTAGAGCTCATTGATACTTTAGGACTCATGAATTTCTTCTTGTTTTAATGGATCACTTGCATATTCAAAACATAACTCTAATTAGTGAAAATTTCTGAAAGTAGATCTTAACATAATTTACCAATCTCCTAGAACTTAAAACTTGTACAAATTCACTATACTTCGTACTTACATCAATTGGCAACATTAGACATGTTAAACGTGACTTTTACTAAAACAACTGTTTAGAGAATTGCCAAATTAGTAAGTCTCTCGATTATTAGATAGTATACTTGAACATGTAAAATATGTTGCTGCAAATCCCCGAGGATGGGAAAAGAGCATAAACTATTACATTACAGAAGTCTCCACATACAAAATGCCTTTGTTATAAGCCAACCGCCCACTTCCTTAATCCACAAGTCATGACATGCTCTGTCACAGCTGCTTCATAAAGCAGTCTGAAAATGAGCCATGGAAAAAGATCAGCCTTCCTTCTATTATTCCAATCAAATCCAAAATCAAATCCCACCCTGAGAAAGCAAGAGAAAAAGGAATAAACCCATTCAAAAGAAAACAACTTCCTCATCACCACAATATTCTCACATTGAGAGATATATAAATAGGCAGGGCAGCCATGGAGTTTAATGTGGAGTATTCAGGGAGGAAACTAGAAGCAGCAGCAGCAGCAGCAGAGGTCCTTGGAAAATGAAACAAGCTGTGCAACAACTTCAACTTGGGTACCAGGATTTCGAGCCGACGGCGGATTGGTTGAGAAATGATGCTGAATCTCACACCTTCCTCCTCTACCTTCCAGGTGAGATGAGAGCATTCCCCCAAAACTTCTTTCTTTGTAGGGTGGCTGATTAGCATCACATTTACATGCTTGCATTTGAAAAGCTTCGTTGCAAGTAAAGTAAACAAAGTGGCCTGATGGATGCAGGTTTCAGGAAGGAGCAACTGAAGGTTCAGGTGACATCAGCTGGAAACCTGAGGATAAGTGGAGAAGGTCCCATTGTTGGCGACAATAGAATCAGCCGGTTCAGACATGAAGTCTCCATCTCATCATCATTGTATGACATTGATGGGATTGCTGCAAAGTTCGAAGGTGGCGTGCTTCGGATCAAACTCCCCAAGAAGCAGCAGCCACAGGAATCTGAGCCTCTGAAGAAGGCAGATGAACAAATGCCACAGAAAGATCAAACAGATTCAGAATCGAATCTGGAGAAACCTAATCCGCCTACTGATCCAAAAGTTTCAGCAACGGATGGCCCTGGAAATGGCACTTTGAATGATCACAAGACTACTCCTCAGGATGCTGAAGCTGTGAAGCAGGAAACAGCAACTGAAGTTTCGTCCCCCGGTGTAGTGTTGAATTACAGGGAGTTCTTTGATGGGATTGTGACGAAGTTGAAGATGATCAAGAGGAGCGAATCGGCAGGCATTGTCATGGCAGCAGGATTGATGGGTCTGGTAGTGGGATTTTGCCTGGAAAAGGCAGTCAGGTCGTTCCAGAGCGGAACAGGGGATGTAGCTTCATGAAGAATGCTTAAACAGTACCAATTTGGTTTGTCAAGAAATGAATTTGAAAATGGTGCATGTTTGTGCAGATGCTGAGAAAACATTAATGTTATGATAACATAAATAAATAACCTTCAGCTTTCAGGAATGAGATGGATAAACTGGAATCTAGCTCAATTCAATATATTCAAACTGCAACACCCTGGCATAAGTTTTGAGTTTGTTGTAGCACCAGCCATTTGTCCCAAATCCTAAACTCAAATGCCTGGCTTAATAACTCCCTCTTTCATCTGCACATATAGTCTAATACAGTGGTAATTGGCACCAATAGCTACTAGGTAAATATACTAATACAATTCAATGGTTCATGGAAGTAGAATGGTAGCTTCCCACTCTTAACTTCAACACCAGAAAATGGAGATAATGGTGAAATATATGAAAGGTAGTTATCAAATAACTATCGACAATATATGTCGCTGACATTAGGCTAGTTGATCAGGGAGCTCCAACCTTATAGCAACCCATCGGTCATCACCAAATGGCATGATTGTGACTCCTTGAGGGAATTCGATATCTGGGTATGAGGTGTAGACCCTGACCTTGTTTAGGACCAACTCACTCCTTGCTTTCTTCTGTTGGCTGGCAATGGAAGAAGGGCAGGGGATTTTTTCTGCTGGATTCACAAGCTGGGAGTGGGAGTAATTGGAGGCTTCTGGCTTCCTTGTGACTACTCCATCAGAACTCCTTGCTGCTTCAGCTGCTGTCAAGTTTATTACTTCTTTCACTTCTTCTTTGTAACCTTCAGTTTCAGTAGAACAAGGGGCAGGACATTTTTTGGAAGCGAGTTTCAAAGTGGTGTAGGCAACCTTGGCAGCATTCATCTCAGCTTCCTTCTTGGACTTCCCTTCTTCACCTTGGAATTTCTCTGCGCCCACTTCCACGGAGGAAATGAAGGCTGGAAGATGTGGGGGGCCTGTCTTCATAGTCTTGTAAACCGGCAGGAGGGTCCTTTCTCTCTGAGCTAGCTCCTGCAAGAGATTCTTGTAAAACCCAGGTACATATTCACCCTGAAATTCAACAAAGAGGAAGGGAGAGGGGTAGAGAGAGAGAGTAGAAGAAAAATTCAGTCAGTCCAACGGACGAGGATGTCAGGAAAAGGAAGAAAGATTTGAGAGGGGGAAATTGGAGGGATCGGTTGAGAAAACCAGCCTCCTGAAGGGCCTCATTAGAGCTTCCAGAATTCAAAGCGTCTGGATCATGATGGTCATTGCTTGGTACTTCAGAGCCTGCACATTGTCCGATCACATGAGTCGTGACAGGTTTCAAAAGTGATGTTTTTCATTTTCAAACCTGGAATACAGAGACTTTGATAATCTTTACTCGGAGGTGGTGAAGTGAAGTGGCGGAAGGCAATTTGGGCAGCTTCATTCTGAGCTTGTTTGAAGGAGTTGCATGAAGGAGGAGAGTGAAAGGTGAGACCATCAATGGAAGCAGAGGCCTTGAAGCGAGGGCTGTGATCTGGGCCGTCTCTCATTGCAGAGTACCATGGCAAAGCCCATCTCTTCTTCTGGCACAATTCCTGCAGCTGTGTTTTGAACATTCTTCCAGTTCTGAGAAAACCCCACAAATTGTTTCCTGCACAGAAAATGAATTTGGACATACAAGAAGAAGAAAGGTTACAATAAGTTTCTGCATGCAATCCAAGTTGTGCTGCCATTCTGTTTTTCGTTTTCTCCCATGCAATCTGTATTGTATGAGATTGCCATTGGCAAATTATCATGATTGTTCGGTCATGACTCATGAGAATTGTCACTCATATATTCATATGACATCAGCCAGCAATTTCTTAGCATGCAGACCCCTACTTGACAGAAAGTACAAAAATGAAAACAAACAAAAATAGAATGCCAGCCAGATGGGATAAGCCTAGTGGAGCAACATACATAATCTTAGAATTCAAGATCATAGAATCAACGGCATTTACTGATCTTTTTCAAGAACTGAGCTTCCAAGGTGCACCTGCTGAATATAAAAAAGAAAGGCCTTGTCTACGTTTATGGAACAAAAAGTTTCTCATTCTGGAATCTAGACGTCTAATTAACTAAGAGAAGGGCAACACTAAAGACAGGAGGCATTAAAAGATAGCAAGAAATTTTAGTATTTGACGTCAAATTCAATGATCGAGGCTATACATTGTTATTGTGATTTTGTGTTTGATCATTTGTCCCAAAACAATAGACACGTTCGCACATTAAGTGCCGGTATCTGTTATATAATACGAACAGTCGATAAAGATGTCTCATCTCATCGGAGATTGCATCTGTGAACGAAATCAAAATGCTGCATGTTTTAAGGTTAACCAACTAGCCAAAAACAAACACATGATACCGAAAAGATAAAAGTCAAAGACCATAAGTCCAAAATAAATAGATGAAACCAATAACCATGAGAAAGAGAGCCAACCTTGGGCTGAATCTCCAAGGTGTTGGAAACTGCATTGAGCTACCAAAGAAGAAACCTTCCTCTTCTGTCAATTCAGTTAAATTTCTGAGTAATGCAGAATCCTCGTTTCATTCTCCTCTCTGTTGTTTTCCAATTTCCTCGCCAATATTACAGTTTAGGAAGTCTCCATCTCAGCATTAATCAAACCAAAATCTTCCACTTCTGCCAAATCAGCTCAAATTAGCCAAAAATGAAGAGTAATCGTCCCATTCTTATCTTTCTTGTTCTCCACTTTCTTATTCACCTTACCCATCCATTATTCTTCAACCTCAAAGATTTTGGCAGTCATGTAAACTGGTTAGCCTATCAAGGTGATGCTGAGTACTTGGCTACAGGTTTTCAACTCAACAAGCAAGATAAACCCTGCAGCGTTGCCCGGGCCACCTATATTGAACCCCTCTATTTGTGGGACGACTCCACCAAGACAGTTACAGATTTCACAACACGATTCTCGATCACCACCATCGGTCTCGAAGGCAATGACTATGCTGAAGGGATAGCCTTTTTTCTTGCTCCAGTGGGATATCCGATCCCGCCAAATTCGTGTGAGTACCTGGCATTGATGAACTCATCAAATTTAATTCTCGGCAATCCGAGTCCTGTGGTCATGGTGGAGTTCGACACACACGTGAACGATTGGGATCCGAAAACTGAGCACATTGGGATCAATAACAGCTCCATTAGATCAGCGGCTACAGCCAAATGGGATAGAGACAAGGAAATTAATGACGAAATTCAGGTCTTGATTACTTACAATGCTACAATCAAGAACCTGACAGTGTTCTGGGCATACGAGAAAAGACTAGATTTCAGGCCAGATTCTTCGCTTACTCACCACATTGATCTGACTGAGATTCTTCCCCAGTGGGTCACGGTTGGATTCTCAGGGTCAACGGGACAAGGGACAGAGGCACACTTCATTAACTATTGGACATTCAACTCCACCTTGGAGCAACGTGGAGTAATATCACCAGAACCAAAACCGACGCCAGCTCCAACCAAGAATGAACGTTTCCGGTTCAGAAAGTTGCATTTCTTAGTGTCTACTGCAGTTTCTCTCTGTTCTCTGTTGCTTGGTGGTGGTTTGTCTTTGTTTCTACTGATGAAGTGGAAAACCTGGAAGAAAACCAGCGGAAAGTCGGCCACTTCTTTGAATACTGATCTGGAGAGAAGAGCTTTACCAAAGAAGTTTACTTATGCGGAGCTTTCTACGGCTACCAATGGGTTTGCAGATGGAAGGAGGCTAGGCGAGGGAGGTTCAGGACTTGTCTACAGAGGGAACTTGAGCGATTTAGACCTCCATGTTGCAGTTAAGAGAATCCATGCACAATCTGGAAACTCTGGGGATCTATTCATCAATGAAGTGAAGATCATAAGCCGGGTAATACACAGAAACTTGGTTCCATTCATTGGATGGTGCAATGAGCAAGGTGAATTCTTACTAGTCTACGAATATATGCCTAATGGCAGCCTCGATTCTCATCTCTTTGGTAATGGGAGAACCCTGCAATGGAACTTGAGATACAACATAGCTCTTGGCTTGGCCTCAGCCCTCCACTATCTCCATGAAGAGGTTGAGAAATGTGTCCTTCATAGAGATGTTAAGCCAGAGAACATACTTCTCGACATGGATTTCACAGCAAAGCTAGGCGACTTTGGGATCGCCAAACACATAGACACACGGTTTCCGCTCCTCATGACGAATCCTGTGGGGACTCATGGTTATGTGGCTCCTGAATACCTAGCAGATGGAAAGGCAAGCAAACCTGCTGATGTGTTCAGCTTTGGGGTTGTGGGTCTGGAACTTGCTTGTGGGCAGAGGAATTACAGAGATGGTGATCCTTTGCTCTTGGTTAAAGAGGTTTGGGCACATCATAAAAATGGGAATGTTCTTGATGCTGCCGATGGGAAATTGAGGATGGAATTTGATAGCAAGGAAATGAGGTGCTTGTTGAACGTGAGTTTATTGTGTACTCACCCTACTGAAAGTGAAAGGCCCTCAGCTGCTCAGGTTATCCAGTTTCTCAAGTTCGAAGTGCCGATGCCAGAGCTGCCTCGGATGATGCATGATCCTGTATTCCTTTTCCACTTGGATGCCACTGAAAGAAGAACAAAGTAAACTTACAGGCATACAATGCATTTGGCCATTCAAAATGAAGACAAAAGAACAGGTGAACAGATGCAATTTTGTTATAGGGTACATTCTTACACTTCTGTATCTGTCTCAGGGAGTCATTTCTATTCATGATATAGTACAAATTCCAGCTCATTTTGCATTTGGGGTCTGGAAAATCTTTCCCTGGGACAACTGCTGCTTATGATAAACAAAGAGGCATCAGAGAAATCAGGCAACGGTTAATTCAAGGAACAACACACCCTGATAACACGGGGGATAGAATGAAAAGCAGCATTTTCATAGGATAAAGAACTTTTGAGGGACAAAATCCTTGAAGGACTGGACCAGATTACATCACCATACAATCCTAGAAGAGAGAAGAGAAAGTGAAGTAAAAAAGGAAACGCTTTTCTCATCGAAAGAGAGAAAGAAGCTAATTATTCCACTTTGACACATAAATTTCCTTTAGCTTCACAAACATATCGGAGAGCTGCAGCAACTCTTTTCCGCCACTTGAAGCCAAACTTTCTCACTTGGCATTTGCAAGCTCAGCTCTGAGGAGCTTGGCAGCAGCAACCATGTTGCTGAGTGCAGGTTTGACTTCATCGTACTTGCGGGTTTTGAGACCACAATCAGGGTTGACCCAGAGAACGTGGCTCTCAAGGACAGCAAGCATCTTCCTCACACGGTCTGCAATTTCTTCAGTGGAAGGGATCCTAGGCGAGTGGATATCGTACACACCAGGGCCAATGCCTGCACCATACTTGACTCCTTCACGGAAGACCGAGAGAAGCTTCTCATCTGATCTGGAGTTCTCGATTGTGATTACATCAGCATCCATGTTGATGATTGAAAGAATGATGTCATTGAAGTTTGAGTAGCACATGTGAGTATGGATCTGTGAACCAACATAAAAAATTTACTCTTTTAGTTAGTTACCAGCATCCATAATGCAAAAACTAAAATCAAAGCCACAAAACTTGGAACAGTTTGCCGGAAGGAAAGTGATGACCTGGGTAGTATCTTGGACACCGCAGTTGGTAATCCTGAAGGAGTGGACAGCCCAATCCAAATAGAAAGCATGCTCCAACTTCCTTAGAGGCAACCCCTCCCTCAAAGCAGCCTCATCAATCTGGATGACGTTTATTCCAGCCTTCTCAAGATCCTCAACCTCATCCTTGATGGCAAGTGCGATTTGGTAGCACGTCTCATGCCTAACAAAAATGAGAGAGTAACACATCAAAATTCTCCACAAAAAGATCTGGAAGCCCAAGATTTGTATACTTAGTTGCTTCAGCAACTGTCATACCTGGGCTGGTCATTTCTAACAAAAGACCAGTTCAAAATGGTGACTGGCCCAGTAAGCATTCCTTTCATTGGTCGCTTGGTCATACTTTGGGCAGTACTTGACCAGAATACCGTCATGGCCTTAGGGCGGCTCACATCACCATAAATGATTGGAGGCTTAACACAACGAGAACCATAAGACTGAACCCAGCCATTGGCTGTGAAGGCAAAGCCCGACAATTGCTCACCAAAGTACTCAACCATGTCATTCCTCTGTGCATTGAAGGAGATAATTAGAAATGAACATTAAATTGAAAATATATTGACCATACAGAAAAATGAACATTAGTAATTAAGTTTTAGTGGTAATCCTTACTTCTGGTTCACCGTGCACCAAAACATCAATGTCGAGTTCTTCTTGGATGTTGACAACTTTGTTAATTTCCTCCTTGATAGCCTTCACATAGTCATCCTCAGAAATCCTACAATTGACAGAAGGAACAGAAAAAGTAAGAGACACTATTAACTAGCAAGAAAAAATGCAAACTTCTCAACAAAAGGACAACGAGCAAGAATGTTCTACAATGGAAAACAAAAGGGTAAGCAACAATGTTCTTACTTCTTAGCCTTGTATTCGCGGCGAACCCTCCTAAGATCCATCGTCTGTGGGAATGATCCAATGGTAGTTGTGGGAAGACTTGGAAGGTTCAATTTCTTTTGCTGAGCAGCCAGTCTAGCACTCACAGTTGTGGGTCGGCGTCGGTCAGAGCCCTTTAGTGCAGCAGCCTGGGCAGCGATTATTCAAATTAAAACAAGCGCACGTGTTAGCAAGCATAATATATATCATGACGTGAATTTGAATTGTAAGTGAAGAAATCACTTACAGCAATCTGAACAGACTGATTTGTAACCCTTGGAGAGGATTTTCTCGAAGCAAGAGCAGTAGCATTAGCCGAGAAGAATGGCTGGACAGAGAACAAGAAGAGATCAAGAAAAAGAAACAATTGCAGGCTAACATCAAATATCACCTATCAAACTGGTTTTCTTTCCTATGAGACAGACTTAATTGTTTGGCAAAACTACCAATTAGCAAGAACTCTGTGCCAAATAAAAACGATGAAAAATGCCACAAATATTACCAAAGCGCATGAAACATTACCTGATCCTTGTGACCACTAAGTTCCTTGGCCAAGGCATTTACTTCAAGTACTTTTTGGGCTGCAAATGCGAGCCATGACTTGATCTCTTTATCTAACTTGGTCTCATTGACTAGATCAACAGCAGTGTGTAGAAGAGAGCAGGATGAGGAAACAACAAGCTTGTCTGCGGAAGGAACAATGACAAAGCGATCAGTTACTATCAAAAGGGGTCATTTATGTTACACTTGAACTGAAATATAGACTGCATACCTTTACCAACAATGCCCTCAATAGAATGCAGAACTTCAAGAGAAGCAGCAAGATCATTAGCCCAAATGTTCCTTCCATCCACAACACCAGCAAATAAGTATTTTCCAGAAGGGAATCCACCCTTAATCAGATCAATGGTCTTGGCTCCACGAACAAGGTCAAACCCAAACCCAGTAATACCCTTCAAAGATGTGAGAACACTATAGGCCTCTGCTGGAACATCAGCAAAATATGTCTCGATGAGAACATTCAAACCAAATAGGGATGTTTCGAGTTCCGAGTAGGCAAGAGTAAAGGCTTTCAGTTCATGTGCTTCAAGATCCATCACAAGCTTGGGCTCATCAAACTGAATCCAGGTAGCACCAGCTGACTTTAGGTCGGATACAACTTGCCTGAAGAAAGCATTTACAATGAATATTTTTTAAAACATACAAAATACAGCAATGTAGACCAATAAAAGACAAGTTTCAGTATGCATCCACCTAAGACGGCATGAGAAAGTCCAATGGCTTACTTGTAAACTGGAATGATTTTATCTAGCAGAGAAAGAAGAGAAAAGTTCTTATCAACACCCTTTGCAGGTTTTGAAAGCAGCAAGTAAGAAACAGGTCCTACGAGAACCGGCACTGTGTCGACTCCAAGCTGCAACATAGACAAATTGAATGACAAATCTGTCAGCTTACAAGTTGTTTAACACAAGATGCCAGTAACAGCTTCACTGACACACTAACTAGTTATGACAGAGCATTGGATAATTCAACCTTGATTTCAGCCAATAATCAGCCTAGTTTACTCAAATCCAGTTCTTATCTTTTCCAAGTTACTTAAGAGAGATGGCAATTGGAAGAAAATTCTCAAACTTTTTCGCTTCCTCAAATATTTGTCCATAAATAGCAACATTCAATTTTCTATTCTACTATTCTCATTATGGTAATAATTGAATCTCATCACGCCATGCTATACAAGACTTAGAAACCAGAAAGACTGCTCATGTGACCATGTAGAGCAATAATGCATTCTGAATAAATAAACCCAGTCAGCTTACAGCTTTAGCCTCTTTGTATTCATCAACTGCTTTGTGCGATGCATATGAAAATTTAACATCCGGTCCCAACTCGGGCACAATGTAGTGGCTGCAGGAAAATGATTCTTGCAAATTACAACAATGGCAGAAAATGAGAAAAATAGTAACATCTGATAATCCAGCAAAGAAATAAACACTTACTAGTTGGTATCAAACCACTTGGTCATTTCCATAGCAGGAACAGAAGCGTTACCCCTGGCCATGGAGAAGTATACATCAAACCCGATCTCACCACCTTTCCATCCATATCTAGGAGGAACTGCCCCAATCATTGCTGTGGTGTCCAAAACCTGATCATAGTATGAAAAGGTGTTGCTGGGAATATACTTGATGCCAGCTTCAGCCATCTGCTTCCAGATGGATGACCTGAGATCTTTTGAAACCTTCTGCAGGTCTTCTGCACTGCTCTTGCCATCCCAGAAAGATTCCAAAGCAAACTTGAGCTCTCTTTTGGGCCCCATGCGAGGATAACCAACAATGTGGGACGCCATTGTTCTGTTACACCACATGCCAGGGAAAAAAAAATCAAGTTACAAAGAAATCTTCGAACAAACATGTGATATGGATACACGATAGCACAAAATTTTCAGAACAGAATGAGGCAGAATCATAGCCAACCAATCAAACCGAGTTTAGTTGATATTAGTGAGTTGGTAGATATGTATGCATGATGACTCAAAATTTGACATGCCATATACGACAGAACCATAGTCAAGCAATGAAAGTCCCAAGGTTGTAGTTTGAATCATGTAAGCATGCCAAAAAATTGTGCAGCAACCAATACAGATAAAAGATCACACCAACATCAGCTATTTCCCGTCCACAGGAGAGCTAATTCCAAAAGGACCAGACTTCTCAGATATGGACTAAGAATTCCTCTTACAAGCAAGAAGAAATAAAATTATGCATGTCAACACAATTGAAAAGCGATGCCAAATGAACACAAGACGAAGAATGCTGATCAACAAAGGATCCAGCCCGATTTTTATCTTACAATGGTGTTTAAATTTATGGAGCCATTACATAGGGTCATATGCATATCAGATAACTTGAAAAGAGACCGGATATACACAGCTCAATCTGACAGGCTGGCATTGGTGATCTCACTAGTTTCCGAGCATCCTCATCACCAAGATCCGAGGAGACATGAAACCCAGAAACATCAGACAAATGCGCAACACACAGCATCATATCATACTTCATAAGCATTGCAAAATCGTTTTATAGCAGCTGAATCCAGTGGACCTCCATTTTACGTTCGTTGAGGAATATTAACAAACACTACGTATGCATGGAACCCAGTTCAAAACAGAGGCCGGCCAGACGGGATCAATTCCCACCTAATCAAAACTCGGAAAGAACAATGATCGCACGGAACGAACAGTGAATACAAAGACCACACATGCAAGCAAGGAATCAAAGCAGAGTGAAAAAAATCCGTTACCTGAGGGAAGTGAGGCGAAGGCGAGTGAACGGTGGTGGGGAAGAAGGGGAGATCGGAAAACGAAGGGAAAGCGGAGATGGGGTGGCTGCTGGGGAACGGAAGGAGAAGGCGAAACTCAGAGAGCCAATGGATTTGCGTCCCAGAGATGTGAATGGCGAGAATATGGGGCTGGAGACTTGGCTCATTTATACTGCTGTCCTTCCGCTCCCTTCCTCCTCGCTTTGCTTTCTCTCTCCTGTCTTCGTTTTTCATATCCTTTTAGCGGAAAAAAGAAAACTTTAGGAAAAGTAGAAAAGAAAGAAGAAGAAAAAAAAAAATGAAATAATGGGTTTATTGTATGAAAGGCCATTCAACTTTGGTCATATTAACAAATCAGTCAGTGGAACTTTGATTTTGAACAAATATGTCTCACTAAGGTTCGGAGTAGGGGTGTGCAACGGTTCGGTCCGATCCGGACCGAATCATACCCATGAGAACCGCGGTCCATTATTGAAAGCAAAGACAGGAGAGACATCATGAAAAAAAAGGATATGAAAAATTTGACGGATTTTTTATGGATCATGAGCGGACACATCATGAAAAATTTGATGCATTTAGGAAAATTGAGTATTTTGTCACGAATTGAAAAAAAAAAGTAAGTGTCCACTTCGTTACATTTTAATATGAGTGATGATTTTGGTGTATTAAACACAATCTCATGACCATTTAGGATGTTAATCCAAAATATAGGAAGTCAAAAAGAAATATGGGATAAATAGAGAAGAAATTATTGTGAGGAAATAAGTTAAAGGCTCCTAACAAGACAATCTATTCACCAACCCCAATTTTTCAGTAGGCTTTGTTGAACATCGGACACCAATATTTTTTTATGCAAAAGATATTTTAGTTACCTTAATGAACGTGGCGATTTGATAAAAAAAGAAAACCCATGGAATGAATATGGGCCATGAATAAGCTATTGTGTCAATTTGGTATGTAATGTAATCATATGGTCACATCAAAGGGTTTGGTGGGCAAATTGAACATGGTGGTAGGCCACTCCTTTGGAATGAATGTTACTCCAACTAGGTTATTAACTTATAGTTAAAATTCAGTCCAAACAAGAAAGGAGGCAATTTACCGATAAATCAATCACAAATTTTTAAATAGTAATTCAGATCATTTTCAATTCTATATGGTATCAAACTAGTTAGAAAGCTAAGGGTTTAGGAAGCTAGATCTGCAGAACAACTTTGAATGCAGCTCCAATTGATTCAGCAAATCAACCACTCACATCCGCACTACATCTAAGTTTTTAGGAAGGTAGCTTTGTAGGAGAACTTTGATTGCGGCTTCAACTGTTTCAACAAAACAACCACTCACATCTATATACCATCTAGGTTTCGAACACTCGCACTTTTTTTTTTTTTTTTTTTTTGTAAATACGTTCATCTTACCTGTATTTTCACGAGATAACTAGGTAGTAGGTAACATTGTTATCTAAATGAGACACAAGTTTTTTTTTAGGTCAAGTTCAAGAGTCATAAACACAAAGTTATGTTTACATGTTATAGATATTTCAAACTCTAATTTAGCATTTGATGAATGGTTCTTCTAATACCTCTAATCCATTTGTTTGTGGAGGTGTTGGGGATTGGTGTGCATAGGGTGAGTAGGTGAAGTAGGACAAAAGAATGTTCACCAAATGTCATGTGAAAGCCTCTCAACAAAAGTCAAGTTGTTGAGGGCTAATGTCTCTATCCATTCATGCTTAAAAAGCAAAACCATCATTCAAATACAAATAAATCAACATTGTGCCTAATCATTAGGATTTAGGTCCAAGTAAGTGGATTTCAGAATGTGTCAACTTCATGGAATCCTGGAATTTTATTTTTACTTTTCACCAGAGGCAGTGCTGGTCATGGTGACCATTCTATTTCTATACTACATTCATAGCACAAAAACAAACCACAAACGCCCACTTGGTTGTGAGGGGACTTTTCAATGCGAGCAAGAGCAGCTAGAAGGAGGCTCCGGAGCTGAACCAGCAGCAGGAGCAGCTGTATTGGCCGCACTGAAGCTTCGTTTCCATGTGTCGGATGGTTGTTGTGCGTGGGGGAGGTGACGTGGATGTTTCTCCCTCTTGTCGCCTTTGATCTGTTTAAAAGCGTGCTTCAGCACTGGCAGCAGTGCTTCCATGCATTCTGCAACTGCATTTGGGTTCCCTGGCATGTTGATTATCTGCAAACCCAACAACAACATCCAATGGAACAGAATGAGAAAAGGGAAAGGCAGGATCTGTTAGGAGGGGAAATCCATCATCACTGCCCCATCAAGGCGACATAATATGTTGGCATGATTGCCGATGTAACAACGAGATCAAGCAATACATATTTTTATCCAGGATGACTTAGGATTAGTCATGAGATAGGTAGTAGCTTAAGTTGTCACAGAGCGTTAAAGCGCAGTGCATCAGAAGGATTTGCATAATGAATTGAGAACGAGTGTCTTACCAGTGTTGTACCCCTTATACCTGCTGCAGCGCGTGATAACATCGCAAATGGTGTGACCTGCAACAGAAAAAATGGAAGCGGGTCAAAACTTCTGATCTTAAAAAGGTAAAGAATGGAAAAGTAGATTCTAAACACAGGCAGAAGGATAAGTATGTAGGTCTTACAGTTTCAGAGGATTCAGTGAAGAGAATAAAAAGGAACATATAGTTTACGGTGCTATAAGCAACGAGCTTGATGTCTAAGTTGTCAGTTATCACTTTGCTGAAGAGATGAGTTCGACTGCCCTATTAGAAAGATACAGGCAGCACATAATTTCCTACCTTTAAACTCTCTCGCGTCATTACATGCAGAAGGCCGGGAGTTTCCTTCTCAATCAACTCTTTAGTTGCCTCAGGAGTCACATCTCTCGGGGTGAAACCAGTACCACCTTCATTTACATTTCAGGTACATACATTTGGCAAAAGATAACATCAGATGAAGTGAACAAAGAAAGGCCTATGCCAGGAAATCTGAAATAAGGAATAGAACTGTAAACATGCAACACTCGTACCCAGTGTAAGAATGAGGTCCACTTGATCAATGTCACTCCACTTCAGTAGAACATCCTTAATTTTCCCCACTTCATCTGGGACCACAGCAGTTGATACCACTGTAGCTCCCCCTAGCTTCTCTGAAGAAGAATTTACAACAGAAATTGCTCTAGGGCCACTGCAGATCTCAAAACAATTTTCACAAAACGAGAAACTAGGATTACACATAAAGTTGATCGACTATTGATAACTCTCTACAATATGCTCTTCCCACATCACAGGGCCAAGGTATGTGCACGTCATATAATCATGATCAATGAGAAGTAGGCTACCGCTTACAGATCTTATACAAGCTTCAAATACCAATCACCTAACGGGGTCATTTCAACTTTAAGTCCAGAACAGTTTGCTACAGCCAGCTAAACAGTACCATAAACTTTTTTGTCAGCAGAAAAAAATAGTTAAATGAATTAAAAACACTGTGGCAAAGAAGCAAGTACAACCCATGATTCACTTCTTCATGGGGAAATACCAACTTTGCTCATTTGGTTTAGCATCAACTAAGTGATCTCTCTGAAACAACGATTCATTGAGATGTATCCAGATGCAATAAGGAAAAGTCTACATACATGCAAACTGGCCTAGATGACCATCAAGCGAGGACATTTCTCCTTCGCTTTATGCCTTGGGCTATATAAAGGAATTTCAAAGTTTTTCATTACTTATCCACAAGACCATAAACAACAGCAGCAAGCCAAGGCTACTGCTGAAAGCTTATGCTATGGGTCCAAAACCTTGGATATTTTTTCAGTGAATTTAAAAACATTGTGGCAAAGAAGTAAGTACAACCCACGTTTCATGTCTTCATGCGGGAAAACCAACTTTGCCCATTTTGGTATAGCATCAACTAAGTGACCTCTTTGAAACAACGATTCATAGAGATGTATCCAGATGCAATAAGGAAACATTAACATACATGCAAACTGGCCTAGATGATCATCGAGCAAGGACATTGCTCCTTCTCTTCATGGCCTTGGTTATATAGGAATTTCAAAGTTTTTCATTACTTGTCCACAAGACCATAAGCAACAGCAACAAGCCGAGGGTACTGAGTGTTCTAGCTGAAAGCCTATGATATGAGAAGAAATCCTTGTGTCCAAAGCCATGGATATAGTCTCATGTAAACTCATCATAATGCTCAGTGCACTAGCCGGATAAGGAGACTACAGATCTCTATTTGGCCTTGACAAAGGAAAACAATAAAATTTAAAGGAGTTCTGCATCAAGTTCCAAGTAGACTATACAAACTTATACCAGACAGTTCTCATCAATTATCTTCCTTTTGTCTCCTTCCTATTCTTCGACCAGGGAGAGTACTAAAGTATGGCTAATATAATAACAATTTAAAGATTGTACATAGTTTCCAAACACTACTGTGGCGATATAAGGGGTTGCTTTTCTTGGTGGCAATGAGGGCGGGGGAAAAGCTGAAACTATTTATTCATCTATAATTCTGCATCAAATCTCTGTGAGGCTAAACCTCATTTTGGAAATTATTCACCTAAGTTAACCATTTGATAGCAGGATTACATACTCGTATCGTGTTTAATATATCATCTAGACACTGACTGACATTAATGGTAATGGTAATGACATTGTGCAACAAAAGGTAGGCTGTCACAACTTTGCTACTTGACTTCAGCAATCTTGCCAATAAGAAATTCATTAAGTTGTACTAGATGTTGCAAAGCATTCACCACATTCATATCCACTTTGATAGAGTGGAACACCAACTCAGCTCTGTACTTTGGCATCCATAAATTGACCCCCTCTAATTCTATATATGAAGGGATGCCTAGGATGCATTATTGTAAGGTAAAAAAAAATTGTCCAAATCCATCACTGCAGGCAGGAAACAAAACAATAAACTACTTACATAACATCACAAAGGATGGAGCACCATGAGAAATGGGGGTTGATACCTAAGAAGTCTGTGAATCCTAAGAGATTTTATATTAAGATGATATGTCCATGCCATATTTCAACCATTAAAGCTAGGCATAATACATGAAATTATTTACTCGAGATAGAGAAGACTGTGAATCAGGATCTCTAATGACTTCGAGAGATATAATAAAAGTAGTAATCCTCGTACCTTCTGTCAGGCCCAGCACCTGATGCAACAGTATCACTCACTGTTAGAATTGCAACCTTGACCTCAGAAGCGGCAGATGTTTCTCTATGTTTACTTTGAAGGGAAGGAGTTAATTCTACTGAGATGCAACTGTCAGGAGTAGCATTACAGCTTAAATCACCGATTACAATGGCTGAGACAGAAGTTCCAGTAGGAAATAATGTTCCAGTCGCTGGCAACTCCAACAGCGCATTAGCTGATTTCATGCTCAAGAGACGGCTGCTCATCTGGGAACCAGTGCTTTCAGCAACAAATCTGGCATATCAACGAAATTTAACAGTATTTCATTGATTTTATATAAAGTAATCCCCTTTTTAAAGATTGCAATAAATACATGTTCCAAAATAATGCCACCAGATAACTGACCCTGGATTCCTTGATCCATCATTGGTCTTCCACTTGATGGTGGCACGATGAAATTCTGGCCGTACTGGATCGGTCTTCATAGGTTGATTAAGACGAGCATGTACTCTGTTTAAAGAGCATTAAGGGTGTAGCTAATCAACTATCCGTGAATTTCAATGCTATTAATATAACAATTGCTTGAAATTTGAGTGTGTACAAGAGAGAGAAGAACGTTTTAAAATTCTCAGCAACCTCAGAAGGTGAGGATTTTCCCATCCAGAAAGACGGCGAATCGCTGGGACCACAAAGAGATGAAAGCAAACAAGGCAGCTCACAGGATTTCCAGGTAATCCAAATGCAAGAAGTTTTTTGGAGGCAGTAGTGACTGTTGGAGAGACTTCAGCAAAAGTCAAAGGCTTTCCGGGTTTCATGCAAACCTTAGGATCACATATACCATAGTCAGAGCATACAGAATATTTTGCTTAAGCTAAGAATGGGTGAGTTTCCCACTGATATCAAAAGTGGAAATACAAGAAACTGAACCTGAGCATTGGAAGTCAAGAAAAGGAAGACTGAGTCGCTATGCTTACCTTGTCAAAATGAACAACCCCTCTTTTTACAAGCAATGGCTTTACAAAATCTCTGTCCCCCATGGAAACACCTCCTGAAGTTAAGAGAATATCCACCCCGGAAGAAAATGCTTTATCCAGGACACTTTCAAGTTCTTCTTTGTCATCCCCAGCAATTCCAAGGTCAACAACCTTGCATTGTTGCTGAACTGCAGCTGCCAGCAGGGTAGAACGATTGGAGTCCCTGATCTAAAGAAAAAAAAATTCACTCCACCTTAACTCACAGCTAGAATAAAATGTGAAAATCATTGCATAGGCTTGATCAGTAACATCAAACTTATGAACTGATGAAAATGTACGGTCAGATGAAACCATTGTTAGATTTCACACAGGTGCTAACATGGGACTGGAAATGGCAAGAACTTCGATTAAAGGACAAACAAGTTGACAGAACACAGTTTGATCAGTAAGCTGGTTAATCATAAGAAGAGCACAGCTTGACAAACCAAAACCTTTTGAGTGGCGACAAGGTGACAATCATTGCATAGGCTTGATCAGTAACATCAAACTTATGAACTGATGAAAATGTTCGGCCAGATGAAACCATTGTCAGATTTCACACAGGTGCTAACATGGGACTGGAAATGGCAAGAACTTCGATTAAAGGACAAACAAGTTGAGAGCACACAGTTTGATCAGTAAGCTGGTTAATCATAAGAAGAGCACAGCTTGACAAACCAAAACCTTTTGAGTGGCAACAAGGTGACATCTTAGTTCATCCTAGTTTGCCATTCACTGCACTTCCCACATCCCTCAAAAAGTAAAAGCGAATGAAGTTTTCCAAGACTGTCTCGTTTGCCCATTACTTAAATAGTAGTTTACTTAACTCAAAGACATCTACACTTTCCTTTTATTTTCTACTAGAATAATCACTTATGCAACTATCCAATTGAAGCAGCATGGGAAACACAGTACCTGGCCTCTGCTCAAACACCCGGTTGTTGGCTCCACAAGTTCATCTCCAGTAGAAACCACAGCAATCGTAGGAGCAGGAAATATCTGAAAGTCACAATCCTTCTTCAGATGTTACCAATAATTAGCAGAACAGAAATGAAAAGCAAAACACTACCTTGACCATTGTCACACCAACAGTAGCAAGTAAGCCAATTTCTGAAGCCCCGAGTGTTTCTCCAGATTTTAATACCGGGGCATCGTTCTCTATATCACAGCCCTGGTAAACAGAAAATTAAATAAGGTTCAAATTCAGAATCAGGAAAATGAAAGATGTTAGGTAACCACTAACCACCAACAAACTTAAATTTCATTCTAGAATAAGGTAGAACCAAACACAAAAAAACAACTTTGATCAGGGCCTAAATTTATCATTTTGAGAATCCCCTGAAATCGAGAGTGAATAAACTTCCATGCATTCTTGGCTAGATCCTTCTGTGGTCTAATTAATTTTAACAGCGTAGCAGACGAGGTTCAAAGACTATATGCTATGCTAGCTTCAAAGTTATCAATGAAGATAGTGTTTGTTTCCACACATCATTAAATACAAACGGTTGTCCCAAAATGGAAAAAATGACAAAGCAAGTGGCATACCACTGGACGAATATCAACGCCCTTCTTAGTCTGCACCAAGATTTTTACACGCTTTGATCCGCCCAAATCACCCTCAACTTTTTCAGTGTCCTCAACCTGAACGACTGCATCAGCACCATCGGGGATTGGTCCTGAACAGGGAAGACAGACGGTACCTGAGACTTCATCCTCATATAATGCCGCTTTTCAGAATCAGCTTAGCTTCTTAGGGTACTTCACCATTGGAACTTGAAGATACACATTGATCACCCGAAGGAAACAACAAGGGGGGGAATAACATTTGAAAACAATGAGCTAACACCTTCATTTCTACCAATGCGCTTAGATAAACAATGCACTCAAAGTAGTGGAGTCAATGCGGCTAGAGTCAATGCGGCTAGAGCCAATTCACTAAGCCTACAAACTAAGAGCAATACACCACCACACTAACCTCCAGTGGTAACATAAGCAACAGTCCCAGGAGTAAGCGTCACTCCGACCGCATCATTTCCAGCTCTCGACTCAGCAATCACCGGATATTCACCAGGACCATCGGAAGCAATCACGGCATATCCATCCTACAATGACCAAAACCCTCGCCGATCAACACCGCCGTTCATACCAACAGTAACGAACACAGCTATTCATTCAACTGATCCAAAAGAACAGCGAAGTTACATATGCAGGTAGTGGCATTACCTTTATGGAAGCAGGATAAGGAGGCAAAGGGTCTCGCGCGCGAATATCCTCGGCTAGAACTTTGCCTAGTGCCTCGTGAATAGGCACCGTCGTGGGGGAAATGCGCTGAGCTGCTCCCAGAACAATCTGGAGAGCCTCCTCTGCCGATATCATCGCCGGCGCCGCCATTGCCGCAGGCCGCTGACTTTGTAGTGTTCTCCGGTCGTGGAAGAGGCCGGGAGAAGGTCGTAGTAGTAGTTGGCTTTGACACTGCCAAGGAATGGGATAGGAACCGGCGGCGAAATCAAAATTACTAATCAGTCCCTCATTTTGACAGTTTTTCTCCTTTAGTCCCCCATAAGACTGAGTCAGTGACGGACTCGGTTAAAACGGAATAACCCGCGAACTCGGTTGGAGGTTAAAAGGAAAAGAGGGAAAACGAACCATTTCACCCGAAAGAGAAAAGGCAGCAGCACAGATATCGTTATCGTCCAATTTTAAACCAAAAGAGGGGAAAATCAAAGAGAAGAGGAAAAACCCTAACAAATCCCGCATTTCAAAATCCACCACCACCGGCGAATTCCCTCTTCTCCCCCTCAGAGATTTCCCCCCCTGAAATCCATCCAACCGATTCAAACGGCAACAGTTCAATTCGTCGCTCGGATTCGATGGCGAAGCCCGACACGAGCCCCGTGCTGTCGCCGACGTCGTCGCGGTCGGTGACGCAGACGGTGAACGGCTCGCACCGGTTCGTGATCCAAGGCTACTCGCTGGCGAAAGGGATGGGCGTCGGGAAGCACATTGCCAGCGACAATTTCACAGTCGGAGGGTACCAGTGGGCCATCTATTTCTACCCCGACGGCAAGAATCCGGAGGACAATTCCGCTTACGTCTCGGTGTTCATCGCCCTGGCCAGTGAGGGAACCGACGTGAGGGCTCTGTTCGAGTTGACGCTGGTTGACCAGAGCGAGAAAGGGAAGCACAAGGTTCACAGCCATTTCGATCGGTCCCTCGAGAGCGGCCCGTACACGCTCAAGTATCGCGGCAGCATGTGGCAAGTTTTCTTTTTTTTTTTCCTCGACTTTGTTTTACAGTTTTAGAAACTTCGAAAAATGGGAGCTTGATATTTTTCGGGGCAATTTTTTGCATGTTTTGGAATGGCCGTTGAGCAAGCTGTGGTCTTTCTATATAGCTCTAGGTAGCATGTTTGTTAGTGAGCCGACTGAGCAATGGTTTTGGCAGATTTAACTGTTTCTTGTTTAGGCTTTCGCTTGTTCTGGATGATGAGATCTATGGCTTCTTGAAATCCAGATTGGCTGAACTGCTTTCTATGTCTGCTAAACTGGGCATATGATTCATTTTTCTTCTAATCACATGTTTTGTGACCTTCTCGACTAAGCTTCTTGTTGGACAAGAATGGTATCAGGTCTCTCTTTGATTACATGCAGAGTCTGGATGGGACTAGTTTCCCAGAGTGGTGATGTAGAGGTCAGCTGGGTAGTACAGTTTGTTATTCTCCCGGGAATCCATGTAACAAGGATTGATGTGTTCTAGCAAAGTGGCCTGGTGCACATGATAAAAGGGATTTCCTTGAGCAGTTAGAATAGAACTGGTATAAGATATGAAATGAACTATTAGTTCAATCCTCATTAATTTTCCTTAGATTGCTGTCATGTTTCAAAGTAAAATAAATTCTTCAAATGTAGAGGTCTGTACCGTGTTGGACAAATTTCCCAGCCGAGGATACAGTTTTTTTTTTTTTTTTGGGTGGGGGTGGGGGGGGGGGGGGGGGGGGGGGTGTTCAGTTTATGTTTGTATGCAATTTGGATCTCATTGTTCGCACATGAATTAAACTATTAGGTCTATGTAGCCCCTGCCTTCTAGCAATTGACAGTGCTTCCAAGGTTTGGAAGAGATTGTAAAGAAATAGAGATCACTGTTATACATGGTTAGCCTTAGAGGAAATGTGGAATTAGTTCATGTAGTTATTTCACATAGCTACGAGTAATGTTACTAAGGTGGTCACGCCATCTGGCCATACATTGTAGGGTGTTTCACTTACTGCCTGCTCTGCTTATTGGTTTGGAAGAGATTGTAAAGAAATAGAGATCACTGTTATACATGGTTAGCCTTAGAGGAAGTGTGGAATTAGTTCATGTAGTTATTTCACATAGCTCTGAGTAATGTTACTAACGTGGTCACGCCATCTGGCTATACATTGTAGGGTGTTACACTTACTGCCTGCTCTGATTATTGGTCAATGTAGAATCAAGCTAGGTCTTTCACTTTTCTTTGGTGAAGAAAATATGGTCCCTCACGAACAAGGGCTTGGTCTAGTGGTAATACCACTAGCCTTGAACCTGGTGGTCCTAGATTCGAATCCCTTAACTTGTACCTAATGACAAAAAAGTAAACCTATATCACCCTTAACAAAAAAAAGGTCCCTCATGCCAATCACTCGTACCCAGAAGGGAAAACTGATCAGTACCCAACATATAAGTTCCTGTTTTCTACAACAATGTGATCCATTTCATTGAGGTTGAAGATGTGTAAAAGTTCCGATGTGCTCATCCAAAATATGTTGCACAGTTTTTCTCTTGAAAATTCTAGTACGTTCTTTCCCTGTGTTCCTTTCTTAACTGGTCCGTTTCATTCTATGCTGACCCTCTTGGGCTTTTTGTTATTGGCAAGAGTGTCAAGTGTCATTTCCTGGTGTTACAGACATAACCACTTTTCGATTATGTTGCTCGATGGTAATCCTCTGTCTTTCTGTCTATAGGGGATACAAGAGATTTTTCAGACGCGCTATGCTTGAGACATCTGACTATTTGAAGAATGATTGCTTAAAAATCAATTGTACTGTCGGAGTGGTGGTATCTGCTGTAGATTGCTCCCGATTACACTCTATCCAGGTTCCAGAGTCTGATATAGGAGCACATTTTGGCACGCTTCTTGAGACAATGGAAGGTTCAGATGTTACTTTTAATGTGGCAGGGGAAAAGTTCGAAGCTCACAAGTTAGTATTGGCCGCTAGATCTCCTCTCTTCCGTTCCAAATTCTTTGACTGTGCGGAAGAGAGTGAAGAGATAGTAATTACTGATCTAGAGCCTGATGTGTTCAAGGTGAACCCTTATGTTATACTGTTATTGTTTTTGCACAAAAAGCTTAATGACTGTGCTCTGTTGTATAACCTTATTTTATTTATCTGGATACAGGCCATCCTGCACTTCATTTACCGTGACACACTTACTGAAGATGTGGGTAATACTGCTTCAAGCTCGTCTAGTCTATCTTCTATATCAGAATCTTTGACAGCAAAGTTATTAGCAGCAGCAGATAGGTATGGTCTGGATCGACTAAGATTGATGTGCGAGTCTCATCTCTGCAAGGATATATCAGTCGCCTCGGTTGCTAGGATTCTAGCCTTGGCAGACAGCCACCATGCTACAGAGTTAAAGGCTGTTTGCTTAAAATTTGCTGCTGAAAACCTTGCAGGTACTTGCTTTCTTCTCAGCTAAAGTACTTACTTACTAGTTGGATGGAGTTCTTAGCTTTGCAGTTTCTCTTTCACTTTTCTCGAGGGCCTCCTTTCAAAAGAAATCATGTTTATTGGTGTGTAGAATGTAACGAAAGTAGTCTCATCTGTGGCTTCAGTCTGAAATCATTGAGTGCACACACAAAACCGCTGTGATATTAACCTCTGAAATACGCTGAACTGTGCTCGAATCAGCATTGACAGCTATATACACTAAACTACCGAGAGATTTGTGCACACTGAAATTTCTAGTACTATGTACATGATGCATTGCACTAACCGTAGGCCTACATGGTGCATGTTACTTGAGGTATTTTTGTCATGTAGACTGAAGTTATAGAGACAGCACGCGAGAGCTCATCACTTCATCTCATTGACTTGGCGATTTCTATTATGCCATCTCATTCTCTTGTGTGCGTCTCTTCCATTCTCCAGCTGTGATGCGTTCTGATGGGTTTGAATACCTCAAAGAGAACTGCCCGACGTTGCAGTCAGAGCTTCTGAAGACAGTGGCAGGATGCGAGGAGGATTGCAGCAGCGGTGGTGGAAAGTCACGTAGCGTCTGGGGCCAACTTTCAGATGGTGGCGAGACCACCACCAACGAAAGGAGGGTTAGACAAAGAACCTAGCTAGTCCGCTGCTACTCTGGTGCTGTTCTTTCTTTCTCTGTTTCTTCATTTCTTCTTCTTTTACTGTGCTGTAAATGAGCATTGTTATAGAAATGGCGGAGCGAATCAAGGGGGGTAGAGAGAGAGATGTTGTAATGTGGGGAGGACGGGGGTGGTAAGGTCGATCATGGTTTGTTTGTCTAGTTAGCAAAAGATACTCTCTGTTGAAAGGATAAAGCCTGCATGCATCTGAGAGCTCAATTGTGGATAAATGTTGGAATCTTGAGTAGCCTCTAGCTTGGTTGTATCAGCAGGTGGTGGTGTTGGGGGCTGTACCTAATTGTTTCGCAAGTAGATCAGGAAAACATAACTTGGGCTTCTGCCTGCAACTCGTACCTCTGTTTGTCTGCTTTGTAGTAGCACTGCTAAATGCAATTTGTGTTTGTACTTTGTATTGGAGGAATGAAAAGAAATGGCCTCTGTTTTACGTCACTTCTCCTTTTACTTCTTCGTTTTTCGATACGAATTATCGTCAACCATACTATGCGGTATCAGAATCTTTGATCGAAATCGGGTGGCTCACCGTAAATATACAATCCAGAATCAAGATTTTGAGGATGTTCTCTCTAAAGAATAGAACAAGTTCACCAAGTGCATGGATGGTGACTAAAGATAATCCGTCGCTCGTTCTTGTCTTTTTTCACGACGGACTGGTACTTGCAGCCGTGGTTGCAGTACAACGTCATCTTTGGCGACGGTGATGGGGAAGCAAAGCTGTCGCAGTTTGTTCAACGATGGTTGCTTGATTTACTGCAGTCCTGACTGTGTGGGTGGTTCTACTGGGTACGTGACGACATATATATAGTGACGGGATTGTGAAGCAGGAAAAGGAAGGAGGCGATTCATTGATTAATTGTCGTGGAAATTGCTTAAGTGACTATTGTGGAAGATTAATTATTGGGAACCATATACGTGCGATTTTAATTAGTTTCCTAAACTGCTAAAAAGAATGATTTTGTTCCCCTAATTCAGACCATGTAAGTGCTTCTCCATTAAGTACTGATTAATACGGACTGCCTTAATTAATTGAATTGGAGCTCTCAAAGTACATGAAATTATGTAAGGAATTTTCTGGAAAAAAAAGAACGCATTGCTTCCATAGCATAGTGGTAGTGCGTTCGCTTCGTAAGCGAAAGGTCGCGAGTTCGATCCTCGCTGGGAGCTTTTCTCGTATAATTTTTGCAAATCTTAACACCATTTCTATTAATTCAATAGATTAAGCTCTCGTATAATTTTTGCAAATGTTAACAACATTTGGATTAATTTTTGCAAATGTTAACAACATTTCTATTAATCCAATGGATTTATTTTTTTATCATTTTATCAATTCAATCGTCTATCCTTAATTAATTAATTTCTAAGTCATAAACCAGTTAAGGTATAATTTTTGAAAATCTTAACACCATTTCTATTAATCCAATGGATTAAGCTCTCGTATAATTTTTGCAAATGTTAACAACATTTCTATTAATCCAATGGATTTATTTTTTTATTATTTTATCAATTCAATCATCTATCCTTAATTAATTAATTTCTAAGTCATAAACCAGTTAAGGTATAATTTTTGCAAATCTTAACACCATTTCTATTAATCCAATGGATTAAGCTCTCGTATAATTTTTGCAACTGTTAACAACATTTCTATTAATCCAATGGATTTATTTTTTTATCAATTCAATCGCCTATCCTTAATTAATTTCTAAGTCATAAACCAGTTAAGGTATGGATGGCAATTTCGACCTGACCCGATCTACCCGATCTGTTTGGCCTGTTTTGGGGCGGCGCGCGCATATATGGATATCTCTCATCGACCCGACCTGCCCTGACCCACCCATTCTCGAATCGTTCTTGCCTTAAATTACATTAATCTTGGTCAAATTACCTAGTATTCTCCTCTTATTACATTATATTTTAGCTATAATAAAGTTGTAATTAAGTGAAAACCTCAATTTCTTCAATAATTTAACTAGATTTTATGATATTATGGTTTCTTTCTTGATTTTTTTAATGACAATAACTAATATTTTTAATGTTTTTGACATAAATTACATATCCATTGGGTCGACCTGCCCCGACCCGCGCTCCGTAATAAACTACTTGACCTGAACCCGACTTACCATGGGACGGATATGGGTATCGAGATACCCGCCCCGGACCTGCCCATTGCCATTCCTAACTTAAGGTATAGACTGTAGTAATCATTAATTACTGAAGTGCTTGCTTCCCCGGCCATATGTCTACGGTCTGAATTAAGGGAACAAAATATTGCACCTCAATAGTACTGTCCTAAATTAAACATCCCGGCCTTCTTCCATAATAGTCACTTAATGAATGAATCGCCTCCTTCCTTTTCTGTATTACAGTTCCGTCACTATATATATATATTTGTAGTCACGTATCCAGTAGAAGCAAGCAGCACTGCGACGGCTTCGTTTTCCTAGCCATCCCCGTCGCCAAAGATGACGTTGTACTGCAACCACTGCTGCAAGTACCAGTCCGTCGTGAAGCAGGACAAGAAGGCGTAAGTTCCTGATGAACAGTCTTTTAGTCACCACTCCACTAACTTCTTCATCCGTTTTCTACTTGTATATATATGTTTTAGTGACGACTTTGGAGTATATTTAACCGAACTGAGTGCCGTTTTTTTTCTTCTTCTGCATGCATGCATGCAGGCTCTGCGCCGTGTGCAACAAGGTGCTGGGTACGTTCGGCGACGTTAAGCTCGTCGACGATGAGCACGAATGTTCTTCCTCGCCGTCGGCGTCCGTGGCGGGCGACGAGATTACCGGACCGTCGTTAGTTTGGTTAATCAAGAGGAGGGTCGAGTTTTCACGTAGCGCGATTTTTTTTTTTTTTATAGTTTTGTTTTTCTGTCTTTTCAATTTTTTGGTTGTGCAAGCTTTGCTAGTATTAGTAGTTTAGTGGTATGAGCGTACCAAATAAATTACGAGAAGATTGTCATGAATTATTTTAATTTGGATTCAAATAGTCGGATTTCAATGCTTGACACTCCTCTACCCGGTCGGCCCTGTTTCCCTAGCAACTCGAACTTGGGCTAGTTGGCCCATAGCTCAACCGGAAGGCCCAACGCCAAAAGGCCCATCTCTTTCCGCGTTTCTCCAGCCCATCTTTTTTTGTCTTCCCGAAGGGAACAGGTCTGTATCTTTTTCCATACGCAATTCAGTAAAATGAAATAAGAGAAGCTTGGCGCCCAAGAAACACACCGTATCGCGCCCCCAGCCACCGCCATAAAGTCGTCGCCAAAAAACATCTCTATATATACGTGTACACAGTTCATCCCACAAAAATGTTAACGAAACCAAATCGTATAATTAATCAAGCCGGTCGTTCTCGCCGGAAAAAAACTAAGAAAAAGGGGGTTGCAGAACCGGCCGACGGGGAGATATCGATGGAAGAGTGCTACTGGTGCAGCCATTGTTTCAGATTCTGCGGCGTGACCAAGGAGGCCGAGATATTCATGTAAGAAACTGAACACGAAATTAGTAGAATATTATTGATCGGTGATTTCTTTTTATTTTTTGGGTTTAATTGAGTGATTGTTAAACGACGATGAGCAGATGCTGTTCGGATTGCGGGAAGGTGCTGAACGATAGAATCAGTCTGCAGCTGGTGGTGGCGGAGAGGAAAAAGAAGAACAAGAAAGCAGGAAAGGTTGGTACTAAGGACTGTTCCTTCGTCGGCGGAGGTCGACGGAGTGATGACCGGTGATGGATGAAAGATCCGCCGGAGGGAGTTTTTGGGCCCTCTGGCTCTAGCCTCTATATATTGTTTTTTGGATGGGCTTGGGCCTTGGGCTACCGAATTGGGTATTGGATTGTCCTGATCGAAGTAAATGTAGTGTTCTGCAGCCTGTATTCATTTTTTTTAATAATTCGTTGTTGATTGTGATTATTCTAACTTTGGAAAACACATGGATTACTTATGGTGAATTTAGGATTTCAGAGTCCGTGTAATTAATACAAGTTTATAAGAATGTGCTGTTCTTGTACTTATTTTACACAAAATGTGGGGAGAAGACAATCGTTTTTTAATGTAAGTAGTCACAATTCACAAAACGATTGATAAGTATAAGTTAGCCAAAAACTATTATGAGAATTGATTATATGCATAAATCACAGCCAAATAACAAAGAGACACGTGATATTTATCAACAAATACTAATTCGTTTCCCATATTGCAATCAACAAAGCACTCGGTCACAAACTATTAATAAGTACGAGTTGACCGATAAATATTCGCGAGAATCAATTATATGTGAAATCACAATCGGTTAACACATAACACTTTGTTTTTATCGAATCTAATAAATAATACCGAGTAGTTGACATAGTGATCATTACTGAACAAAAACATTGCCCTTACCAATTTTCACATGTATGATGGTACGAGGATGTGCGTACAACAAGAGGTGACATATAGATGTAAAAAAACGACTTTTATGGTCCTCTTAAAAAGCAAGAACAAACAAAAAATGAGGAAGAATGGAAGATGATAAGGTCTAGCATGGCAGGAAGAGACGCGGTCAGTAGACAGGACGATCGCCCTACACCACTCTTCTTTCATTCTCGAAAAGAAAAACCACGAGCAACATGGCAAGAAGAGTTGCAGGCAAATCATCCTGGCTTCTAACAACAGCAATCAGCCACCCCTCTCTTCCCCTCATGTCAACCCTCTCTCTTCTTATATATCCAGCAGAGAACTTCACTAGCTCTCTTGCCATGGTTTTGAGCTCCTAATGTCCAAACTTATATAGCAATGGTTTCTTTGCCATGTGTGATTCCTACTCTATTTGGAGATCAGATTCGAGAAGGCTTAATGGGCATCATATTCTTTGAATCTATAATCTAATCTCCATCTCTTTATCTGTATGATTATCTTATACCACATCCAAAAGTCATGTTATAATCACATACTTGTCACTTGCCTAGCTAGTGGAGCACGTTGGGCAAAGAATATTGGAGATGAAAAAAATTATAGAAATGGCTTCGCCCGGGTTCGAACCGGAGACCTTCAGTGTGTTAGACTGACGTGATAACCAACTACACCACGAAACCGTTCACGTTCCAGAGTTTGAAATGAGAGCTACCATACACATTTGAACAAGTGGCAATGTGACAGGTTCTGGGAATCTCAACTAGTCATACCAATAGGATAAAAGGGAGTACAAAGAAAGTCAACCCAAAACAGATGCAATATACCCCATTGCAGCATTGCTCTGTCAGAATATATTCTTGGAGGGCAAGCACTCAATTTTTCACTATAATGAAGGAGATATGATTTCATCTCGAAACATTATATCCAATCTTTGATCCTTATATATATTTCCGCAGGACCAGATCAATTCGGACCAATTTAACCGGACCGGACCGTATAGTATAGTAAAGGGTCCGGTGCGTGCAATCCAATGCTCATGAATTCGCATCAAGAATTACTAAACCGATGAAACTAACGATTTATCTTAGTTTTTGTTTGACTTGGGTTTTTCCAAAAAGGAATCTCCAGCAAAGCTTCATCCATATTACATACCGTCGTGGGGGTTAAAAGGAATCACACAACATTTACCAAAAAAAGAAAATGAATCACACAAAACGGACCGTATAGCCACCCCTAGTAATGATCGATGGGAGAAGCGGTTACAACAATAATCATTGCTCGACTATGTTAAGAAAATATCGACGCCGGCCAATTTGTGTTTATTCTCTCATAGGAGAATCTAATACAGCAAAGATTGTTGACCAAAAAACGAAAAATTACAGCAAAGATTATGACGATATATATATATAGTGACCAGAAGGGCCTTCAAGTTTCATAAGCCATTAAGAGAAACAAATATGGCGGCCTCGGGGTTATTAGTACTGTTGTCGTCCATCTTTCTTCTGATGGTCACGGCCGCCGTCGATGAAGACTACCACGTCTACTGCGACGACAGCAAGAGCAGCGGCTGCGATACTTATTCGGCTCTGACCCTCATCGGCGATCTGAAGGAGAAAGTGCCCGGCGACCCACGGCAGGAGTACTGCAACGTGGTGACGTCGGAGTGGAGCGGACGGCAGATCTTCGGGTACGCTTACTGCACCACGGTTGGCCGGAGCAACGATCCACCGGCGGCGTGCTTCGACTGCCTGTCTGCTGCGGGCGACGCACTGATCGACGGCTGCAGGTACCGCACGGGGTCGGCCGGCGCGGTGTGGGGTCCGTTATCTTTGTGTTATGTCACGATCGCAACGTTTGCCAATTGTCCCTTTTGAAAACAATCAAAAAATATTTGGGGAATGAAAGAACAAAAAAAAAAAAAAAAGAGTCTAAAATCCAATTTTCAATTTCTAGACATGAAATTTTGTAATCACTGTTTCAGATTAAACTCGACGCAAGCCTCTATCGCGTATTGATTGTCATTAACTTAATTTGATGGCGTCGCTCGCGCGAGCACCATCTTACTGATTTCATATCGTGTCGTTATACTATGTACCGCGGTGATGTATAGATCGAATTGTATTTTTTTCATCACAACTGTATTTTCGATTTTTGATTAAAGACTTGGTAATGTCGTTTTTTAGACATAGTTAGTTTCATCGTTTCTATGATTTTTCGATCCGATTTCATAGGCATCGATCGGACTGCACGTACGCAGCAGCTAGGCTTCATCATGCCGGTAGTTCTCTCTGTTCTTGAGTTTGATTCTACCGGTTACCATGAAATTTTTATATATATATATATTTGGTCCATTGATAGACCGGTAAGGCGGTAACTTCAAACCATGATTTTCCCTGTATTGATTTAGTACATTTTCTGGTGACAAAAATGTTTTTTGGTTACCAAAGATAATGAACTCTCGATGTCGTGTTACTAATAGTACTTACATATTTCGTGACCGTAGCTGTAATACGTGGTCATGAACAATGGTTACAAAAGATTGGACTCTATAATTAATTAGCCAGCTGCCTGCAGGCATCTCTATAGCCGCCGCTACTCGACGAATCGCGTAGTTCAAGAATTCGGATCTTATTACGTTTGATTATAGGATCGATGAATTGTTTTAATAAGATTAATCTCCTCCAGCAATTCCAATCGTACAAACCTCGTCAACCTTAGAAGCCCCGTCACTAGAGTTACGATAAACTTGAATACATGTCTATTAGTGTTGTGGTGTATGATCCACGATTGAACCTCTCCCAATAACTCGAGTTATTGGGATCAACTGGTTCTTGACATGGTATCAGAGCCTTCTGTGACCGAGAGGTCTTGTATTCGATTCCCGTTGACTCCTATTTATTAAGCACATGGTATTCTTGTCTTCAAACCTGTGCAAACTTCAAGCCTTTGTGAGTGGCTTTCGTTTGAGGGGGCGTGTTAGTGTTGTGGTATATGATCCACGATTGAATCTCTCCCAATAACTCGAGTTATTGGGATCAACTGGTTCTTAACAGCACATACAGCCAAGACAATTAGCCAGAGACTGCGGGAACTAGCGGAAATCAATTTCTTTCTTGCCGTCCTGGATACAGATATTTAGTGACCAGAAACAGAAAGCAAAGAAACAGGGGAGAGGAAAAAAGAAAAAGAAGGAAAGAGTTAATTAACGCTTTTGCCTAATCCATTTTATGGCCGTAGTTATTAGGTTGAAACCATCGTTCATTATCTTCCCTCTGATGATCGTCATCATCAGTGCCGCCGCGGGCGACGGCGGCTACCACATCAAATGCTACGGCGGGATTCGTGGTGGCGAGGCTATGGGATTTACGGCGGCGCAACTGATCAAGCAGTCTCTGATCGGAGATTTGATGGACAAAGTGCCACGACGTAACAAGGAAGGTCGGCAGAATTTCTGCAGCGTGCTGACGTGGAACGGATTGCGGATGTACGGGTACGCCAACTGCGCGGTGGTTGGCGGAAACGACGCCGCATGCCGCGGATGCTTGTCGATCGCCGGCAATATATTGATGGGCGGTTGCCAGGGGACCGGGTCGGGTCAAGTGATCGGCGAGCGTGATCTTTGCTATGTCAGGGTCGGGCTCGGCGGGTGTTGTCACATGTGGCAGATGACATGGTGCCAACAAGGTGACAACATGGCGGCTGCACATGTGGCATGCATGGAAGACTAGTAGCATAGAGATGCTCCTAGGATTCTCCACCTTAATGTAGAGCTTAATGGTGCACTTATGAGTCACATAATGGTGACATTGATAGAGTGCATAATAGGGGGGACTTAATGGGTGTATTGATGTAGTAGAGGGACATTATGAGGGGGCATTGATGCCTTGTATGTGGAGAGGCCTATATAAGGAGCCATCTCCCTCACTTGTAACTCATCCATCATTTTTGTGAGCAATACAACTATAGAGTTTCTCCCATCTTCTTGTGTCTTGTTCTTGTGAGTTGAGTGAGTTTGAGAGCTTGTGAGAAGGCTGCCTAGTATCTCTAACGGAATTGAGAGCTAGGGCCGCACGACCAAGAGTAAGGCCGTGACAGTTGGTATCAGAGCCTGGTTCTGAAAGAAGAACCGGTGTCCTCACTCGTCAAGAAGGAAGATAAGAAAGAGCGAGAGCCTCACCAAAGATGACTGGATCAGAAGTCCATGACGATGCGGAGAAGCACCGTGGACGGGATACTGTGAAGAATCCCAAGGCAAAGGGTGACAAGTCAAGCACTCGTGATCCTATGACGTCTCTAGAGAGGCGTGTCTCTAGAGTGGAGGTGAAGTTGGCGGAAGATATCACCGCCATCGAGGATTTGGGAGCTAACTTCGCCCAAGTCGAAAGCGATTGTCAAGGTATGAATGCTCGTTTGTCGAGCTTGGAGATTGGTCATGATGGCATACGAGAAGAGCTTGTGGCCCTCATCAACAACACCATCAACACATCCTTGAACAACGCCATTGAAGTTGTCAAAGGGCATGTCCAGGCTGAGCTGGTCGGCGTGAAGGAGGAGATTGCAGACCTCAAGAGTGAGGTCACTCTCGTGAAGAGAGCCATGGCTAACGGACCTGCCATTGCACAACCTACCTCAACCATGGAGGTTCCTAGACCAAAGAGCTTTCAAGGGTCGAGGAATGCAAGGGAGTTAGAGAACTTCCTATGGAGCTTGGAGCAATACTTTGAAGCTTCGGGTATTCGAGATGAGAATACTAAGGTAAAAACTGCATCTCTTTACTTGAGTGATGTTGCCATGCTGTGGTGGAGAAGGACCCAAGGCGATATCAATAAAGGGGCGTGCGTGATGGAGTCATGGGATGACTTCAAGAGGGAGATCAAGAGGCAATTCTACCCAGAGAATGTTGAGTTTGAAGCCCGGTCGAGACTAAGGAGGCTTGCTCACGAAGGAGAGATTCGAGGGTATGTGAAAGAGTTTTCTGAATTGTTGCTCGAGATCCCCGACTACACCGACAAGGAGGCCATGTTCACCTTCCTTGACGGCCTCCAACCATGGGCGAAGTTGGAGCTACAACGGCGAGGCGTGCAAAGTCTTGCCGAGGCAATGGCGATTGCCGAGTCCCTAGTCGAGTACCACGAGCCGGAGGAACGTGCGGAGTTCGGAGGCAATGGAGGTGGACGCGACTATGATAGAGACACACGAAGGCGTGGTAGACCGGACCAAGGAGGTAGTCATAAGGTTGAGAAACCACTTACTTGCTTTCTTTGTGATGGTCCACACCGTGTGAGAGATTGCCCAAGAAAGCACAAGTTGTCGGCAATGAAGGCCGTACTGGCAGAGTGCTCGAGCTCGGAAGAGGAAGCAGAGGAGGCTCCAAGAGTGGAGCCCCATGTCGCGAAGATCGGTTGCATGAAGAGATTGAGCGCCATCAAGCGGGCGGAAGAGCCTCTCCAACCCGAGCAGCACGGCCAATGCTTCGTAGAGGCGAAGCTCAACCAAAGGAAAACAAAAGCTTTGGTTGATACTGGGGCAAGTTGCAACCTTCTTGACGTAGGTGAAGCGCAGAGGCTAGGCATCACGTACGAGAAGAAGCAAAGAGGGTGGATGAAAGCTACCAACTCAAGGGCCACAAGAACTCATGGAGTAGCGCGCCAGGTGCCACTCAAGCTTGGAGGATGGACCGGGGTGGCAGACTTTGAGGTTGTGTCGTTGGATGATTATCAGGTCATCATCGGCATGGAATTCATGGTGCGGGAGAAAGCTTTCCCGATTCCCTACGCCAATAGATTCTGCATCAATGGCGGAGCAAGATCGGTTCCCATGACAAGAGAGCAACTCGAGTCAAACAAGAGGTGTTTGGCAAGGCAAGAGCAGCGAGAAGTGGCAACGATGGTGGAGGCAGCGGCTCACTCGAAGACTCGTTGGAGAAGGACGAGAAGGAGGAGTGCACAACATCGTGGAGCCATGAGAGACGAGGATGTATCATCTTCGACTTGCCAAGAGAAGCAAGGAAAGGCCACCATGATCGAGAAGGCGGGACACTCAAAGACGCGACGGAGAAGACCGCGGAGGAGTGTGCAACATCATGGGAGCACAAGGCTCGAGAGGGAGCCAGGGCCATCCTTGGTTTGGAGGAAGGTGCAACGAGACCTTGCAAGCAATGAAGCTAAGGCAAGGAAGGCGTCTGCCAAAGAGCCACGACGAGGGCGTCGTGGATTGAGTGAAGGAGAATGTCACCAACGAGGCTCAAGAGTCGAAAGAGGCTGCTCGAGGTCGAAGGAGGCATTTCGTAGCAAGGACGCGACGAGGGCGTCGCGAGCATAGGTGGGGGAGGATGTCACATGTGGCAGATGACATGGCGCCAACAAGGTGACAACATGGCGGCTGCACATGTGGCATGCATGGAAGACTAGTAGCATAGAGATGCTCCTAGGATTCTCCACCTTAATGTTTCTCCCATCTTCTTGTGTCTTGTTCTTGTGAGTTGAGTGAGTTTGAGAGCTTTTGAGAAGGCTGCCTAGTATCTCTAACGGAATTGAGAGCTAGGGCCGCACGACCAAGAGTAAGGCCGTGACAGTGTCCGCGGGTCTGATACAAGTCGGGTAATTTATCACGAGGTACGGGTCGGGGCAGGTCGACCCAATGAGTATGTAATTTATATGGAAAACATTAGAATGATTCAATATTTTTAGTATAAGACCAAGAAACAAACCATAATGTATGATAAATGCTGTCAAATTATTGGAGAAATTGAGGTTTTCACTAATTTACAACTTTATTTGAGCTAAAATATGATGTATTAAAAGGAAAATTCTAAGTAATTTGACTAAGATTACACGTAATTTAGGCAAAAAATGGGTCGAGAATGGGGCGGCTCAGGACATGTCGGGTCGATGAGAGCATCTATGCCCGCCCCACCCCAAAACAGACCAAATATGTCGAGTAAAACTAGTCAGGTCGAAAATGTCAATCCCTATTTATAGGTGGCTTGGGATGCTGGTCATCGTCGAGTTTGCCATTCAGCTACTTCACCGCACTGCTTCTGGTAATCATCATTACACGGTCATCGTTTACACATTCTGGGAGCTCATGTCTCGGCTCTGGGCTATTACTATTTCTACCGCGAGGGTAATAGTTTTGCAGATTATTTGACTAGTCGGGGGTTCTCCTTCTCGTTTGGGTTTCATTTTATTACGAGTACTAACCTTATGCTATTTCACTGGATATTGTATGACTATCACTCTGTCAGGAGGTCTCAGTACTCCGTTGATTTTGAATGAAAGATAGGATGACTTGCAACCATTATAAAAAAATTAATTACGGCCGAATCAATTAATTCAACATTTAGGTGCTTGTGTTTGAAAGATGGTTGATCCGATCCCAACATTTTGTGTAATGGGAATGAATATACAAGAATTAATGTTAGGCCAACATTTTGTGTAATGGGAATGAATATACAAGAATTAATGTTAGGCCTAAGTACACCGTCACCCCGATTGGGTCCAATGTTGCCACATAGGAAGTCCATGAATCATTTTTTTAATATTAGTTTGGGTTAAGCGATGTGTTTTCATTTCATAACCACCTGGGCTTCATTTTGTTCGAAAATCAGTTTATGCCTAAGAAGCCCAGTTTGTCATTTGATGAGCTTAAATAATCGTCACGTTAAGACCTAGCTATTATTAGCCACCATCTTTTTAGTGACGATAGAGTAATTTGTAATTTTGACTTTTGAGTGAGTTCCAGAAGTGATAATAATTTTGACTTTTGAGTGATCACGAGGATGATATTCAAGTGATAATAATTCACTTTCTTGAGAGACATGATATTTACTGGTGGTGGGTTAACGTTCTGATTTCAAACTTTGAATAAAATGTTACGTACGTTGTGGTATCATCAGAAATTTAGTTGAAAATTTTGAGTTTTATAATTTTTTGGAGAAGCACTATATTTTTTAATTTGAAGTAAGAAGGGTTTTATTGTTTAGATTGAATTCGCATCTCCTTCACTAAGAAAAAGGTGCTTTTCGCAACCAAAAAACAGTAGCAGAAAGCCAGAAACAACGTTGGTCACGAATACCATTTAACAGCGTTGGTGACCAAACCAACGTGGTGGCAAACTGGCAATTTACCAATTCTTAGGGGGAGCCAAAATTGATGACATAATATGTATGTATGTGTACTCAATTGAATTTCTTGCAACATATTGGTTTATAGATAATATATACTGATAAGGGTGATATCATTGCTTGAAGTTAGAATTGTGGTTGATGTTAAAATCATCCTCATATTCTCACTGGTACAACCTCTTAAAAACACGAGCTATATATCGCGTTAGGTTGACAAAACTATTAGATATCGAGCTTTTTTGAGTTGCGTTGAATTCGTTCTTTCTCGTCACGAAGAAAATAACCCGAACATTGGAGACATAAAATAAGAGAGTATTAAGGTTTAACATTACACACAATTAAGAAACCAATATTGTAATGTGTAAAAACCATTATTAGAATCAATTACTGTTCTAATGTGATACTTTTCAGGACGGCCGCTAAGATTCCCCGACGACGACGGAAAAACCCGTCAAGCTCCACCAGTTCTAGAGGCGAAGACAAGTGATAGAGTTCTAAGAGAAATAAATTCTGTTTATTATTTATTAATTGATTTATTTGCAAACGGGAAATCAAATTAATAACAGCAAAATATTACGACTCTGCATATATAGTGACGGTCTAAATTATATTACAGGAGAGTAATGGCTATGCCGGTCTTTGGCTTGCTAGCAGTCGTGTCGTTGTCCATCTTTCTTCCGCTGGTCGCCGTCGCCGATTTCGCCGTGAATTGCGACGCCGGGAGCGGCCGCCGCTTGGTTGCTGCGACGGTGAGCGCCCTCGTCGAAGATTTGAAAGACAAGGTGCCGGATCAGCCTGACTGGCAGTACTGCAACGTGCTAACCTCGTCGAGGGGACTGCAGGTAGAGGTGGCAAATTCCGATCCAATTCAGTACATCCACTGAAATATCCATTAATATGCTCCATTTCATCCAAAGTTCAATTGTATTGGTGGATTCATGAATTGTCTCGGCAGATTACAGTTTCACCTAAAAAAATTTACTATGTCATTTTAGTACGTAAATTTTTTCAAAATTTACTTAACGACCCAAGATTTTGAATGTCAATTGGATTCATGAATCAATCCACCAATCCATTTGATCGATGTATCCACCAATCGATAAATCTAATCAATGTGCCACCTCTGTCTGCAGGCGTTCGGTTACGGTTCCTGCAACACAGGCATGATTACATCTCCCGCGAACGCGTGCCGCAACTGCTTGTCTACTGCCGGCGATGCCCTGATGCGTCGTTGTATAAAGAGTACGGGAGGAGCTGGTGAAGTGAAGGGTCCAACGTATTACTGTTATCTCAAGATCGGAACATCGAGTTGTGCCTCCATGATACATTAGAGCTACAAACAATTTGTAACCTTTAATTGCACCGATCTGACGATGTTTGTGATATTGTATCGTATTGTCGTACAGTGACTCCGTCGTACGTGTACGAGTCGAATTAAACTACAATTTTTCGTCACTCGTTGTATTTCGATTTATGAATATTGGTTTTTTTTTCTTTTTCCGATCATCGATTTCGTTGGTTCGATGATGCTAGATGCGATTTCACAAGCATAGGATTGCACACATGCAATGAAATACTCACTACATACTAATACACTATATCATTCTTTGATACATAGATCATGGGGGAGTTTAGGGTCATCCTTTTTTTGTCTCCTAAATAATTTTAAAATCGGGTCTTTTATAATTTTCACAAACGTTAAAGTTGTGGTTATTGAATTGTATTTTATTTTTCTTGTTAATTCACGTGGATTGGTGACTCATCATTTCCGTCAACCAGTCATACTGTTAAGTGACATCGTTAAATTGATGGATGAAAGTGGCTATTTGTGTATTTGGAAAGTTGTGGCTATAGCATATAACGGTTACAAACGTGAAAGTTGTGGCTATGAAAGTATATTTTTCCCTAAAATTTATAGATTATTCACGAAATCTGAGATTTGGTCAATAGTACAAACGTCAGACGTACGTCGACTCAAATGAATTATATTAACCTCTACTAGCTAGACTACAATTGCTGCAACGTGGCCGCACAGACCCATTAGTTTTACTATCGGTTGCATACGGACTACCATTCTTTATTATTGTTTGTCTTGTAGCTTTGTTATATTTGACCATTTCTTGGGGGCTTATCTTGAATAATAAAAAAGTATCATGTGTTTCTGTCCCCAATAGTGTGCTTAGTACGTATTATTGTGTGACGTATGCCATAGGTATAGTAGGAAAATCATATAGAAAACACTATATAAACATCGTTTGCTTGTGAGATTTGGGTGATGGATTTGGCACTCAAATCCCAAGCATCATGGAATTGACACAAATCCATTGTTTGTTAAGTGACACAAATTTGTGGTGCCATTTGGACAATTTTTTTCCAGATCCAAATCTGTGTACCCCACGAATTTGCAAATATCACATTTCATTTGGAATTTGATAAAGGAAGTCACAATGTGATACAACTCCTGAGAGAAAACCTAAGCAACCTGACCAGACGTGTTGGTTTCTTACTCTGTGAAGAATTAGCCTTTTCTATTCTGTTTCTAGCTTGTTTTTTTTACTGAAAATCTTTGCTTTGTGGGTTTGCTTTTGCTCCCTCTGTACATTTCGATAAGTCCACTCGTTTAACTTTTGGTTTTTCCCCCCAAAAGGAATCTCCGGCAGCTACATTTTTTTGTTCGTGCCGGTTGATGCTAATATACAATCGTCGGCTTAAAAGTAATCCATGGAATACAGAACTCATGAATACAACCAAGAGCCGAGCTCGTTAAAACTATAATCATGGCGATCGAGCTATATAAATATAGTACATATACCAAACGTCCCTTCACACATCTCATAATTAAGCAAAATAAAAGCTAGAGAGCCATGGCATCAGCGACTAGATTATTACTGGAGCTGTCCATCCTCGTGCTGATCATCGCCGCCGCGGCGACGACGACCACCGCCGACGTGGCCTACAAGCAATGCTACACCGGGAACGGCGGTGACCTGGCAGTGGGGATAATGAAATCCCTCGTTCAAGATTTGACCGCGAAACTGCCGGATCGACGAGAGACGTACTACTGCAACGAGCTGACGGAGGAGGGGCTGAAGATGTACGGGTTCGCGGAGTGCATAGGCCGGGACAGCGACGGAGCCGCCAGCATGAAGGCATGCACCGACTGCTTGGATCTGGCCGGGAAATTACTGATCGACGATTGTAAAGACACCGCCACCGGCTACGCCTGGGATCTCGACTCGGCTTGTTATTTCAAGGTTGGATACTCCATTGATGTTTGTCCCAAGGGGACTTACTAGGCTTCGTTGATCAGTGGTGGAGCTACGTGTAGACTAATCGGCGAATTTGTCCCACTACGTTTCCCTATGTGGTTTGTGGTCATGGTTAGTATATGCGAACGTTTAGAAACGGAAAAAAAAAAAAGACAAAATGGTAGAAGATCTCTCGTACTCGTTTTGATTTTGGGAAGTTAGTTTTTGTAAGATTTTCGTCCCCCCCCCCCCCCCCCCCCCCCCCCCCCCCCCCCTCCGTCCCCATGTTTTATGGTTCTCGTTCTTTGGTATTGTAACGTTGGCGACTAGCTAGACGGTGGATGATCACGAGGAGGAAAAGTATTCTAAGTTCGAGAGAGGTTATCTATACCTGTCCGTGTCATCGGCTTTTGTATTCAAGCTGAATAAATTATTATGTGTTATCATCAGATCTTTAGTTATATATTATGAGTTTTAAAGTTTTTTTAGAACGAACATTATGTTTCGTTGAGAATAATTTTATTGTTTGGATTGAAGTCATCTTTCGACCGTGGGAAACTATTCTTTCACAACCATAAAATATGTACGCGCGACTATATACACACGTGTATTAGACAGAGCATTTATTAACTGGCTAGTTTTGCTTAATCTTTTTTATATAAGTTAGGGTTGAGTGACAAAAATCAGTTTAAGCCTAAAAAGCCCATTTTTTTCATTGTCGACAAGTTTTTTCAAATAAATAGATAAGTGGGCCTATGAACCCATACAAACGTGCTAACAGAACGCACGCTGATGGGACCAAACGAAAGGTGGGCCTATGAACCCATACTGATGTATCTATCATATTTGTATCCTCTTTTAGAGAGATATAATCACAACAATAAACACCATAAAACTTATCACAATAAGACGATTAGCTATTATTTGCCACCATATACCATCGACCGCGGCAGGCGAGGTGGTACTTGTTGAATACAAAGGGACGAGAGTGTACGTACGATAGCTCGAGACCGAGTTACTAGCTAGGATTATAATAGAGTACCGAATTACGTTCACGAACCAAATCGAACTCATGAGAACCGCGCAGTCCTGCATGTTATACACAATGTTCAAGCTTGATGGACCAAGAGAGAAAATGGTTAGTTTTGCACAACTGATTTTGACACTCATGAAAACTGCAGTGAGTACCCAAGGTACCGACCATAGATTTTGGCTCCACTATGAATTCGTTATTTGCCACCAATGTGGTTTTCGTGAGTAATGTCGTGACCAAATTTTCAGGTTGCTAAAGAACAGTTTTCTTAACACGAAGAGGTGACTTCAATCCAAACGATAATTTTTCTTTTAATATCAAAATGTAATGCTCGTCAAAATTATTTCCAAACCCGAAATCAATAAACGGATGTCTAATGCATATCATGATATATATCACATAACGTTTTCATTCTGCTTGAAATCAAGAAATTCCCTTGCCATTAGTAACCATCATACTCCCAAGAAAGTAAATCATCACTTGGGGATACAATACATTTCTCTCCTCCACGTAATCATCAACCGTCTATCTAGCTAGTCAGCGGGAAAACTGCAAACAAAAGGAGAACTGCAAACATGTAAAACAAAAGCCATATCCTCCGGCATACCGCAAAAGCCATATCCTCCGTTCTCGCGGTGGTTGCCGTGGCGGTGATCAGCACGAAGAAGATGGACAGCTCCAATAATATTATAGTCGCTGTCGCTGATGAGATGGCCAAATGGGTGGGGGTGGGACGAGACGGGTATCTCGATATTTATATCTTGTCTTACATTAATTTTGGGTAGGTCGCGTAATATCTAGATAATTACGGGATGGGAAGGATCAATCTGCAGGTCTTATCCTGGTAAAAAAATACACGCAAAATCTTATTTTTTACGATGAAAAAAAAGAAAACACTTTAGGAATGAAAATAAGTGATAACAAAATGGGTAATTGAGTCTAAATAGTTGAAACATCAAATTTGAATAGTGATAATAAAATGAATAATACAAGTTCAATCACTAATACTAACTACCGAACCTGAGACATCTACATTGAAAAACAAAAAGTAGTAATATTGCAAGACACAACACTCTTTACTGACGGAAAATTACAGGGTAATTAATGTGTGAACTGATTACTTTTAGCCGACTATTGTATGTAGTATCAGCCGGCACGAACAAAAAATATATATATCTACGCAATAAATAAAAGTCAAATGAGAAAACTAGACGTTCCATTTCAAATTTCCTGCATACAGAGTGAAAGTAGGAAGGACAATTTAGTCATCGCAATTACTTTTTTTATTCATTAAAAAGACACTTACTAAGATTCGAACCATGACCACTTTAAATAAAAGTAAAGATCATAACCAATCACACTAAGTACATTTGTTGTATCTTTTTAAATTAAAAACATATAATCGCAGAGAGGAAAAAACCCTTCCCCCATTTCAAATTCCCTGCTCCATGAGCGTTTGTAGAAAGGGTAGAATAGGGAGTGCCAATTTTTTTTTCTTTTTCCTCTATGGAACAAAAAAGATTAATTGTGCTTTTTAAAATGATATCCACTTCGATATATTCTTAGAACATAAAAAATTTGAGACATTTTTTACCAGTCAATACCATATGATATTAAATAGGAACATACCATATGGTAAGAAAGCGTACCATGATGGTATGAACATACCAAGACCGTAGGAATGTTGAATACATGATAGTAGAAGTATATACTAACTGTCATTTACGATTTTCATCATTGTTTATCACAAGTTACCACCCCCATACCAGGGTGGTAAAGTATGCTAATTTTTTGTCCTATATTTTTTTACCCAGATAATTTGTAGATCCAATAGATCATGATGAACTCATTTTCTTCTGAGCAAATATTTTTTTAAAATGACTTAAAAACGAAGAAATTACCATATGGTATGGAGTTGGTGACGAGAGGTATGAAAAAAAATCTCAAAAAATAGTGAAAATTGATTTCATTTTGTAGAGCACAACGAACTCGTTTCATCTGTTGCAAAAAAAAACCCGAGTTAGAACGAAAAAGATAAGCGCCGATTAAAAAAATTAGGAAAAATAAAATGCATTTAATTCACAACCCTTAGTTACTGACCGAAACTTATACCCTCTTAATGTATAATCTAGCTACATGAGCTATTTCGGCTACAATAACTCGTTCTGAATTATTTGAACCGAAATAACTTGTTTGAAAAACAGAAAGTGGGTTGCGGTATTTTGGGACCGTGATAATTGAAATAATACATAATTAATGAGTCAATTCAAATACCTCCTTTATCCCCAGATATTTCAATTAACTCACTCCTCCCTTCTTTTAAGCGGCAAAATAACATATAAATGTTCTATCCAAGCAAACATTTAACCTCAATTACCACATTTCAAGTTGCAAATACCACATAAACTGCCCCCATTATCAAAATGTTGTAACGTTATATGATTCGAAATACTACGGAACCAAAACAATAGACCCAAACGATCGACCGCTAAGCAAATTGACCAGACGTGTTGGTGTCTTACTCTAATCAAAACTTTGCTTTTTCTATTATGTTTCTGGCTTGTTTTTACCAAACCTCTTTGCCCTGTCACTGTGGGTTTGCTTTTGCTCGCCTTTGTACATTTAGATAAGTACTGGTTTAACTTCTGGGTTTTCCAAAAGGAATCTCCGGCAGTTACTAATACTAAACTACCATTCGCGAACCAGAGACATTGAAAAACAAAAATAGTAATATTGAAAGACAGAACACTGCGTTGTGTTGTGACGGAAATTTACAGAGTAATTAATTTGTAATTACTCGTAACCGACTATTGTATAGAGTATCAATCGGCACGAACAAAAAGGTGAAAAAAAGGACTCCAATTGCTATGATCATGGCGATATTGGAGCTATATTATAAATATTGTACATATACCATACGTCCATTATTCTCATAAGCAAAAATGAAAGCTATGGCAGCAGCGACTAGATCATTATTGGAGCTGTCCATCTTTCTGCTGATCACCGCCGCGGCAACCACCGCCGAAACCTACGAAGGCTACGACTCGGCCTCCGGCCGATGCCGCGGGGGGAACGGTGGTGACATGGAACTGGCAGGGCAGATAATGCGATCCCTCGTCCACGATTTGATCGCGAAATTGCCGCATAGACAGCAGACGAACTACTGCAACGAGCTGACGCATGATGGTCTGAAGATGTACGGCTACGCGGAGTGCCTCGGTCGGGACGAAAACGGAGACGCCAGCATGGGAGCATGCACCCACTGCTTGGATATGGTGGGTAAGGCACTGATCGTCGGTTGTCGACTAACCGGCGCCGGCTCCTACACGGATCTTCGCTCGTTTTGTTCTTTCAATGTTGGATACTCCTTCGATGTTTGTCGCGAGGGGAGTTACTAGCTAGCTAGTAACTTTTTATTTTTATTTTTATTTTCCCATGTTTGTAGTCCTCCTCCTTTGGTTCTGTAATATTGGCTACTAGCTAGCTAGTCAGTGACGCTGACTAGCTAGCTAGCTAGACGGTTGATGATTATGGGGAGGAATGAATGCATCGTATCCAAGCGATGATTTTACTTTCTCGAGTGATGGTGGTTACTATATTAGAAAGTGAATTTCTTGATTTCAAGCAGAATTAAAATGTTTTGTGATATCGTTAGACATTCATGCAGTTATTGATTTTTGGGTTTGGAAAATTTTTAGACGGAGCATTATGGGGTCCTTTGGAGAATATGAGTTTGAATCTATAGACTGTCAACAATCTAAAGATTCTAACTCTTCGGATTGTTGAAAATAGATTTTAAATTGTTTTATTGTTTGGTAATTGTGATTGTTAACATTCGATGAAATAAAATTAATTTTATATTAAATAACATGTTTATCCTTAACAAAAAAATTAGAGTGGTTAGAGAAATATTTAAAACTTTGTTGATAAATATATTTAATGTCATAAATAAATAAAAGGAGAACAAAAAGTAGGAGAAAAAACCTCAGAAATCAAGATATAGAATCTTTCTGATTATGAGAGATTTGATATCCATAGATTTTAAAGATTTGAAATTTCTAAAGCTAAAATCCACAATACAAAAAAGAACAAAATACCATAACTTTCTACAAAATCTACGGATTCAGTGAATTCACAAACTAAATTCTGTTCTCCAAACGACCCCTATGTTTTGATAGGGAAAAAATTTATTGTTTGGAATGAAGTCACCTCTTCGTGTCACTGTAAGAGAAACTATTCTTTAGCAACCAGTTTGGTAACTAAACATGACACTGAACAATTTAGTGGCAAATAACAAATTCATAGGGGAGCCAAAATTATGGTTGGTAGCTGATTAGGGGAATTGGCTTTTTAATACCTCGGGTACTCACTACAGTTGTCATAAGTGTCAAAACCAGTTGTGTCAAATTAACCATTGTCTCTTGGTCCATCAAGCTTGAACATTGTGATTGTGTATAGAAGGTAGGGCTAGGAATTCATATCAAACCATATGAAAAATTGTGGACTTCTAGATTAGACCACACGATTTGGTTCGGACTGTAAGAGCAGAATCACGGTTTGGTCTGACTTGCAATTGATGAAGTTCCAATATGTTTGCACCAATTTGCTATGTGTTGCTCGAGGGTTGAGTATCACCAACCGTTTTTCAAATTGTTGCTGAATCTTTGCTCAATTAACAACCATTTATTAACTGTTGCTCAAACGTTAACTATCACCAACTATTTTATAATTAATTGTCGACCATATAACTAATAGTTGTTGAAGTCGAAGAGTTGTCTCTCTGCTTAGTGCGGATTATAGTTTTTCGTAATAGGTTTTGATTTTTTTCTGCAATGATATTGTTTTGATTTCACAGTAGTAGTGGTATTGGTTGATTTTGGTATTGGTTTGACTCTTGTAATAATATAGACTAGAAAAATGGCCCGCGCGTTGCGGCGGGTATGTTCATATCACGGAATATAAATGAATTTGTATGGGAATGAAATCTGTAACAACAGTCCTAACGTTGTGATATGTTTAAAGAACAAAGCAATGGTATGTTATTGTTACAAAGATTGCAACACATTGCAAGCAGTGACGTACACAGTAATTTTATTATGGTGGGTTGAACAATGGCACGGGTCCCTATGAACGGCAAGCGACCGTCCGCAACCTAATTCTTTTTTTTTTCATGATGAGGCTTTCGGTCAGGATCAGAATCGTGCCGACCAAAAGCAACGACACCATCTTCTTCTATCTGACTACTTGCCCATTAACCATAAAAAAAACTCCGCGTATACGGAAGACGAAGAGGTGTTAATCCTGATGGGCCACACGTCTTTAATTTGCACCTGCTATCTTACATATTTATTGTTCGCAATTTCTAGTTTTTACAAAGGAAATCTTTGATTGAAGATGATAAGAAACAAAGACTTCCATCCGAAAAGTCTACTTAATTATGTTAAATTTAGTTTTGATCAGTAGCAAGGCCACAAATTTAGCTTAAGCCCACTAACCTAGGAGATGTCGTGTAGCTAGCCAACGGAAGTTTGTTAAATAGAAATGTAAGCCCATTTCACTTTAATTGATAAATATGGCTTTTTCTAAAACACAGTCGTTTTACTAAACACAGAAGGCAGGTTTGTTTTTATGATTTTCGATCAAAACACATGTTTGTATAAGCTTGGACGAAGAACATATTATGAACAAAGAACAAAGAATGCAGAACTGGAATAATATGTAGAAGCAGTTCATGTAAATATTAATTTGTAACTGTCTTATTAAGAGTACATAAATGAAAATTTCTTGGTGATTTGCTTCTCCTTGCCTTTGTGCTTTCCACTGGTCCATTACCTTGCAAAATCTGTTCTCATATACTGCACCGAAATTCGTATTGATTGGTGAGTTAGTAGCTTGTTGAATGGTTTTGGTTATTGTGAAGGTAAGAAGTAGCATGAATATTTTCTTACGTTGGAAGAGAGATTGAGATTGTAACTGGTTCCAAATTTAATTTCCAAACTATTTTCAATCAAAGTCCCTTTCCCCTGTAATAAGAAGAGTTTGTTTTGTTAGTAACTGTATCTGCGTTAACAAAACTTGTTTTGATAGAGACCCAATTAATTCATTGCCGACAGTTAGGTGATTACCTGTGGGTGGTTGTGTTGTTCCATTGATATCAGCAAAAGTTTCTTCATATACAATATTTCTTGTGAAGCTTTGTGGCACCCCGGCATCATTGTCAATTAGTATATGTAATCCATCTGCAGATCGAACTCGTGAGACAACTACATAAAGTTGTCCATGACTGAACACTGGCTTAGGCAAGTAAACCCCGACTATATCAAGAGTTTGGCCTTGACTCATGTTGATTGTCATTGCATAGCACACCCTGACTGGAAACTGTCTTCTCTTCAAGACAAATGGCCATCGATGTTCAGTAACATTGAGCACTATTCTGCTGTGACAAAGTATATTAATTTTCTGCTTTGACCATCTTATCTATTGATGTTGACTAAATGACCCCCATATTCTGAGAAACAAACAGAACAAAGGTATCTGCCTCTAGCATATACATGATAATCATTTCTAGAGTAGATGATATAATCAATAACCATTGGCAGTGATGCAGCATAGCATCAGTAACCATTAAACTGACTCCAATAGCAGAGTACATGATATAACCTATTATCAAGAGATTCGCTTGGCACCATAAAAACTCATGAAATACATAATTGTATGCATGTTTGATGATTGCCCAAACTATTTAAACACTTAAGTTACTCCCCATTGGTTGCCCATTCCTCATATGATACTTAACTCAAGTAGCAGACCAGCTACATAATTTGTCCCATGGAATCCAAACCTTCACAGGCAATTAGCATAGTATATGCATGTTTGATGATTGCCCAAACTACTTAATCACTTAAGTTACTCCCCATTTGTTGCCCATTCCCCATCTGATACTTAACTCAAGTAGCAGACCAGCTACATAATTTGTCCCATCGATCTAAAGGGATTTAGATGATTACCTCTTACCCCGTACAACGCCAAAGAGGATGTTGAGGGAGATAACACATATATAGGTGTTCTATTGGGACACTCGACTCAAATCTCCAATTCATATATCATGCCAAAACCAAGGGAATCAGGTAATTGCTCATCCTGTGACATATGAATAGGGAATCAGACACATAAAGAATTCATGAATCACAAATTACGTATCAAGCGGATTGTCGAGTTGCGTATCAAGCGTTAGTCTTAAAGATTAATCCTTAAATCCTAACCGACCTATTAAGTTTTAAGGTTAAGTAGTGGAGCTTGCACTTGCAAATTAGTTTAATTGTGATTTGAAAAAGCAGACTTGAAATTTTTTAGTGGACGAACTAATGAAAAGAGTTCAAAATTTAACATCAAAACACAACAAAAAGGTGATCATCATAATTAGACTTGGCATGCAAAAGTTCTCTTAAGCTCAGCTCCAAAGGAACCCCATAAGCCAAAGCAACGAATGAACTAAAACATGATTCCATCAATCATTTTAAAAGAAACCCACATAACTATGTAACATGTTAAATGACATCATAAAACATATCTCCACCTGGACATTCAATTTTCAATACCTTTTAGGAATCCAAACAGTAGGAAAGAAAGCAATGTCAATTGATCAAGTGACTGAGCAGAACATGCGACTCATCCAAATCTTTGAGTCTGTCCCTAACCCATGAGAATTTAAAGTTCAAAATACATTCAGATGGCCATCAACAACATCAACATAGAAGAAATCACCAACTGGGAACCGTTTCATCTTAAAACCCAACATCAGAATCAAAGCAAAAAACTAAAGAGGAAAAAATTGGACAACAATAGCACCTGCTGGAAGCTTACGGCTGCTTTCCTCCGTTCTTCTTTGCATATCTTGATGGGGATTCGATGAATAGATTGGAAGAACTCTGGTGGAAGACGGTCGACCGGTGGAGTTGGGTTGGCTAGCCGCCAAAAGATGGATGAATGGAGTTACCTTTCTCTCGAATCTGGAAGTATGGCTCACCGCCAATCTATCGCAGCTCCTCAGACCAAATGGGAGCTTATCCGGTGTGCGAATAAGGGAGAGAACGAAGGTGGTCACTTTCTTAGCCGCCGATCGGTCGGGTTGGGAGAACGGGGAAGAGATCGAACCGATAGGAGGGAGGAATTGATAGGGGTGAGACTGAAGGGAAAGAACTGGGAAGATACCGGATCGATAGGAGGGAGGAATTGATAGGGGTGAGACCGAAGGGAATGAAGGGAATTTCAGAGAGTGATCTGGTTGATTAGAGTTTGTTGGGAGAGGGGGAAACACGATCCATCTCCGAACCCAACTTCGCAAGCGGCCACGGAAGTCACAGAACTCGATCGGAAGCCATCGGGAATTAGAAGTTTGGTGTTGGCTCTTCGATTCTCGGCTGGGAGATGGGGAAACACGATCCATATCCGAACCCAACTTCGCCAGCCGCCACGGAAGTCACAGAACTCGATCGGAATCCACCTCATCTGATCGGCAATTAGAAGTTTGGTGTTGAAACTTGCCCAATCGCCAGGCGAACGACAAAAGGGAAAGAAATGGGGTTGGGGGCGCACCAAACTTGCGGTAGACCCGCCCGCATATGCCCAGACCCCTTAAACCAAAACTTGCGAATTAATATATCTAATTGTTTATATTGGAAGTTTTAGTGTAATGACATTGTTTTTTCTACTGGTATTGATTTATTTCTGCAATGGTATGAGTATTTCCAAATTCGTAGTGGTTGTTTAATGGATTGATATTGATTTCTTGTTTTATTTTTGCAGTGGTATTATTTTCGACCGAATGCATACAAGAAAATGATTGAGAAAAAAAAAATAAGAGAGATCTGGCTGGAGATAACATAAATGGGAGAAAGAGAGAGAGAAAAAATTGTAATTAATATATTTTGCCACTTCCCAAATATAATTTATTAAAATAAATAATGAATAAATAAATTCATCTCCAATTTGTCCAATAGTAATCACCATAACCGCTCTTCCGGCAGAGAAAACACTATATATAGCCGTACCAAAATATTCATCGATCGTGATATGGTAAATAAGAACACTAGCGCCGGTATGATAAATTACCCACTTTTGGCGCCGTAGATCGATGTAAACCAAATAGGATTAGAAACAATTGAGCCTTGAGAGAGATTTTGGTGAGAGTTGAGTTTTTTTGGGTTTTTCCAAACGGAATCTCCGGCAGCTTTATATACATATATATTTGTTCGTGCCGATTGATACTACATACAATAGTCGGCTAATAATATGTAATCACACGCTAATTACTCTGTAATTTCCGTCAGTAACGAGTGTTCTGTATTTCAATATTACCACTTTTGTTTTCTCAATGTATATAGATGGCTGAGGTTTGCAAAAAAAGGACTCGTTGCTATCATGGCGATGGAGCTATATAATAAATATAGTAACATATACCATACGCCCATTATTCACACATCTCATAAGCAAAATAAAAGCTAGCAAGAGTCGTATGGCAGCGTCTAGATTATTATTATCGGAGCTTTCCATCTTTGTGCTGATCACCGCCGCCGCGGCAACCACCGCCCATAACTACTACGATATGGCCTCGGCGCAATGCCGCGAGGGGAACGGGCCGGGTGACCAGTTGGCAGTGGCAGTGCAGATAAAGAAATCCCTCATTTATGATTTGATCGAGAAGTTGCCGTATAGAAGCGAGCCGTACTACTGCAACGAGCTGACGCGGGACGGGCTGAAGATGAACGGTTTCGCGGAGTGCCCCGCTCGGGACCGCAACGGAGACGCCAGCAGGAGAGCGTGCACCGACTGCTTGGTTCTGGTGGGTGATGTACTGATCGACGGCTGTGGAAAAACCGGCGCCGGCTACGCCCATGATCTTGACTCGGTTTGCTCTTTTAGCGTTGGATACTCCTTGGGTGTTTGCCCCCATGGGACTTACTAGCTAGTCGGCTTCGTCGCGCCCCGTTCGATATGTGGTTTGAGGTAATAGGTTAGTATATCCAACGTTTAGCAAGCTAAGTATACGTCAGCTCTTAAGAAGAAGCTCTGCAGAAATGAAGAACAAGTGCAGAGTTAAAGAAAGAAGAAACCTCACCCAGAAACGTTTCGTTTCCTGGGTTGCCTACACTCAACGTGAACGAAGAGGCAAAGCGGCGTCGTAGTGGAGCTTCTAAGTTTTTACCGTTGGGTGGACTTTACCGTAGCGAACGAGGGATGGACACGTGCTGTTTTACCATTATGTGTTTTTGAATTTTAGTTTTTACTGTATCGTGAAGAACACAGTTCTGGTTATTTTTGTATAAATAGAAAACGCAGGAGATCCCTTGCTCCTTGCGCATTTCCCCATTCTTGTGTCGTCGTCTTCTTCCGCTTACCCTAGCTTCAGCTAGTTTGATAGCTCTCGCCCCCTAGCTCGTTTTTATTTGTGAGGAGAAGAGAATGTCTTGTGTCCAAGTGATGATTTACTTGGCTTTCTCGAGAGATGATGCATGGTTACTAATGGCAAGTGAATTTCTTGATTTCAAGCAGGATGAAGATGTTATGTGATATCATGACATGCATTAGACATCCATTTATTGATTTTGGGTTTGGAATTTTTTTTTTTTTATGAGCATTACATTTTGATAGTAAATTTATTTTTGTTTGGATTGAAGTCACCTCTTCGCGTCACTGTAAGAGAAACTGTTCTTTGGCAACCTGAAGGGTTGGTCACTAAACACGACATTGGTCACGAATACAATTAGCGACTGGACAAATTTGGTGGCAAATAACGAATTCATAGGGGGAGCCAAAATTATGGTCGGTCTCTAATCAAGGGGGAATTGGCTTTTCAATAGTTTGGTTGCTCATTGCCGGTGTGATGAGTGTCAAAACCAGTTGTTGGCAAATTAACCAGTGTTTATTGGCTCCACCAAGCTTGAACATGTTGTATAGCAGGTAGGGTTAGGATTTCATACCAAACTGTATGAAAAAAAATCGTGGTTTAGATCAGACTACACGGTTTGATCCCAACCCGTGAGACCAGAATCACGATCTAGTCTGACCTGCGGTTCATGGAGTTCCAATATGTCTGCACCATTTTACTATAGGTTGCTGAAGGGTCGAGTTATCACGTACGATTTTTCAAATCGTTGCTGAAGGGTTAAGTATCACCAACTATTTTAAAATGGGTTGATTAAGTATTAATTAATTGTCGACGATATAATTAATGGTCAAAATTTGGATTCATGGATCAATTCACCAATCCATTTTTATCCAATTCATGAATTCACCAATCTGTTTGGATCCAATCCACTTGCTTTTTACTGAGAAGTCTTTGCCCTATGGGTTTGTTTTTGCTCACTTTGTACATTTCGATAAGCACTCGTTTACTTCTATCCTTTAAAAAGGAATCTCCGGCAGGTATTTGATGCCGATTGATGCTAATATACAATAGGCGGCTAAAACTAAAAGTAACCACACATTAATTACGTACTCTGTAATTTCCGTCAGTAACGAGTGTTCTGTCTTGCAATATTACTACTTTTATTGGTATTAGTAATTGAACTTAGGGTGGTTATTTGGTCTGAACTGTTCGGTTTTACTCGAAACCGGACCGTATAACCCGGACCGGGACCGGATAGCAAATAATCCAATATCATATTCGGGCTTAGATTTGAGGTAAAAAACCGGATAAGAGATCATCAACACCTAAAATCAAGATAATTGAGACCGGACCGGGTAAAGACCGGACCGAATCAAGACCGGACTGTATCCAATCCAATCTTTGATCCTTATATTCTCGAAAAGACTGGACTGGAACCGGATCAATTTGGTCAAATTTAACCGGACCGGACCGTATAGCCACCCCTAATTGAACTTGTATTACCTTGATGAGTACTACATACGTCCCTTCACACATCTCATAATCAAAATGAAAGCTAGACCCATGGCTGCGACTAGATTATTATCGGAGCTGTCCATCTTTGTGCTGATCGCCGCCGCGGGGGCAACCACCGCCCAAACCCCCGATGTGGTCTCCGCGCGATGCTTCAATGGGAACGGGCCGGGCGACCAGCTGGCACAGGCAGTGCAGATAAAGAAATCCCTCATTCAAGATTTGATCGCGAAGTTGCCGGATAGAAGCGAGCCGTACTACTGCAACGAGCTGACGCTGGACGGGCTGAAGATGAACGGTTATGCGGAGTGCCGCCTTTCGGGACAGCAACGGAGGCGCCAGCAGGAGATTATGCACCGACTGCTTGGCTTTGGTGGGTAATTTCCTCATTGGCCGCTGTGGACAAACCGGCGCCGGCTACGCCTACGATTTTTACGGGGCGTGTTCTTTTAAGGTTGGATACTCCTTGGATGTTTGTCCCAACGGGACTTACTAGCTAAGTTAATTTCAGAGGTGTGGAGCGACGTGTCGCCGTTCAGCAAGCTAAGTATATGAAAATGGCGAATTTCTTAATCTTGATTTGAAGCCGAACGGAATGAAAATGTTGTGTGATATTATTAGACATCCGAGTGATTAATTTCGTGCTTGGAAAATTTCTAGACGAGCATTACGTTTTGATAAGGAAAATTTTTATTGTTTGGATTGAAGTCGCCTCTCCGCGCCACTGTAAGAGAAACTGTTCTTTAGCAACCTGTACATTTGGTCACTAAACACGACATTGGTCGCGAATACCATTTTGTCACTGGAATAATTTGGTGGCAATAACGAATTCACAGGGGGAGTAACTTATCAAGGGAATTAAGATATGGTTGTATGATTTTCCAAAACCAATTTCATCTACCTACACCGCCAGTGGAATCGCAATCACCTCCGACGGATTTTCCCTCTGCCGCCGGCCGCGAAATCGCCGCCAACTCGTGTCGTCCCCTTTTTCCTCGCTCTTGGTTGAAGTCGTCTCTTCCACAGTAGGAAAATCGTTTAAAAACAATATATATAACCAATACATTCCTCGATCGAGATATGGTAAAACACTAGCCCCTGCATGATAAATGACCAACTTTTGGCGCCCTAGATCAGTATAAACGAAATACGATTAGAAGACAATTGAGACACTACAAAGAAATAATACTTTTCGCAACCAATAAATTTGGTTATTAATACCTCTCGGTAACCAAAATTAGAACATGAAGTACAAAATCAGGAATTTACGGTTTAGAGAAATTCGGTAGAGGAATAACAGAGAGGAGAGATACATTAAATTTAAGGCGAAATACACTTATTTAGTCATAGCTTTCAGGTTTGTAATAAATATAGCTATAACTATTAGAAAATACAAAACAAACAATTCCGTCCATCTTGTTAACGGCGTCGGTTGACGGTATGACTGTACTAACGGAAGATGCTGACTTGACAATTTACTGTCCCCACTAACTGACGTGGATTAACAAAAAAAAATTAAAGTAAAAAAACCATAAACCATTTTCTTCCTCTGCCTTCTCAGAGCGACGCCTTATCTGGGTCGAGCGTGCTGAGCATGTACGGCGAGGACGAGTCAAATCCGTCGGCTGGAGCTCCCTTTCTTCTCGAAACAAGAGGCTGCGTTTGTGTCGACGCGACGACTTGGAGGTCGATTATGGCTGAGCTTTCATGGTCGTCGGAGTGAATGTTTGATCGGCGCTCAAGTCGACGGCCACTTCTGTTGCGGCAGAACGTCACCGAGATCTAGTTTGGGGAGATAGATTGAAGATTGCGTCAGAAGGATGGAGGGATTTTGGGGAAAGGAAGGTTGAGTTTGGATTTGGGATTTTTGGTTATGGTTTGGGGAGGATTCAAACGAGAAAAATTGGGAAAATCGGAAAAGAGGAAGAGTTGGGAAAACAAAAGAAGGATTTATATATGGGTTTTTGAGACGGACTCTCTTTTTTTTTTTTTTTAAAGATCTGACAATGGCGGGGGAGCTGGCAGCGATGATGGCTGATTTGGTGCTGGAGGTGGGAGCGGGCGGAAGTGGTTATGGGTGTGAGGCGCGTTGGGTTGGAGGAAAGGGAAGGATCTCGCAGTCGCACAACAAAGGAAGGTTGAGGGAGAATGCACTGGAGAGGGATGATAGAAACAAGGTTTCTATCGGGTTTGATAATTTGGAGATTAGGGTTATATGAATAGAATTAGAGATTTGAGAAGAGAAGGATAGAGAATCGGCCTAGGCCTTTAGAGGGATTGAGATCGAGAACTGAGAAAGCTCCCCTCAACTCCGACAAAGAGTGAGAAAGCTCCCCACCTGCCGCCTCCGCCGCTCAGTGCTCCCCCGCGTCGGCGTCCACGACTTCCTTCTCCGCCTCGGTCGGCGCCGCCCAGCCACGTGGCGCATCCTCCTCCGCGCGATCCACCTGCACCGCCGCTCCGCCTGTCACCGCCTCAATCGGGGAAGCAGGTTGTTCTAACCATTCTTCCAAATCCATGGTTTCATCGGTGGTAGGAGTAGGCTGCTTGATGGCAGCGGTAAGAGTCACAAGATCTCCTCCTTTGATTTTACCATCGCCGGTCAGCTCAACCTGCTCCCACGACTGTCGCGGTTCAGCTGTGTTGTCGACGCCATCATCCTCATCTTCCTTTGCCGTGCAAAGTTCCCCTGCACCAGCGCCCTCGGCTATTGTCGCCGGCGCACCAGACGGTGGCTCGACCGCCCCCTTCCACTCGCGCGCCATCGCCACTCGATCAAGCGCGTCGATTTCTTGCTGCAGCTGTTGGTTGATTTGAGCCCACTCCAGATCAGAGAGCTGTGACGAGCTCATGTTGGCTCTGATACCAAATGATAGAAACAAGGTTTCTATCGGGTTTGATAATTTGGATATTAGGGTTATACAAATAGAATTAGGGATTTGAGAAGAGAAGCCTTTAGAGGGATTGAGATCGAGAACTGAGAGGATTGGGAATTTGGGGAAGAAGAAGAAGAATAGAAGATAGAATCGGCCGAAGCCCGAAGCCTTAGAGGGCTAGAGAACGAGAAATTAGGAGATGGAGGATTAGGGTTTTGGGAGAGATACCTTCTGAATAATTGTTCTTGCTTGATTGATAATGAAACTCAGATTACATTTTTATAGGAAAGATAGGAAAACCTAATAATAACCCTAATTCTACTAGAATACTACTAACCATAATAAGAATTATCCTATTAGTAATTATAATAATAAATATAGAAATCCTAATGAAGTTGGTTTCCATCAAGGGAAGGGGAAAAGTAAGAAAAAATAATTTTTTTAATTCCGAAATTAATCATTTTTTTCACTCAAAATGACGTGGCAATAATATGATGACTGGTCGCTGATGTGTGCGATGATTTGGCAACCTAGTAAGACTAACGTTAACCTAACGGATGGAGTTTTTAACACCGTTAAAGTTTCTAAAAGAAATGGTTAGATTTGTCACACGACAACTATTTTTGTGTTTTCAAATAATTACAGCTATATTTGTCACAAACGTGAAAAATATGTGTATTTTGCCTAAATTTAATTAATTGAAAAGTCTTTGCCCTATGGTTTTTCTTTTGCTCCCTTCGGTACATTTCGATAAGCACTCGTGTGCCTTTTGGGTTTTTGCAAATGGAATCTCCGGCAGCCTTTTATATATGTTTGTTGGTTCCGATTGATGCTAATATACAATAGTCGGCTAAAAGTAATCACACATTACTTACTCCGTTATTTCCGTCACTAATGAGTGTTGTGTCTTGCAATATTACTACTTTTTGTTTTTCAATATAGATATCTCAGGTTGGCAATTAATCTCTGAAAGCTAGGCAATTTCTTCTTTACTTCTAAGTAGAACATGAATACCCATATCGTAATCAAAAATATTTTCCTAATAATTAATATTAATAATAATAATAATAATAAGCTGACGAATACAACAAAAACAGGACTCCTTGCTATGATGGCGATGGAGCGCTATAAATATAATACATGTAACCATACGTCCCTAATTCACACATCTCATAATAAGCAAAATAAAAGCTAGCAATAAGAGCCATGGCTGCGACTAGAGCATTATTGGAGCTGTCCATCTTTCTGCTGATCACCGCCGCGGCAACCACCGCCCAAACCACCGATCCAATCACCACGAAATGCTTCGAGGGGAACGGTGGTGACCAGCTGGAGCTGTCACAGGCAGTGCAGATAAAGAAATCCCTCATTCAAGATACTGATCGACAGTTGTGGACAAACCGGCGCCGGCTACGCCTTCGATCTTTACGGGGTGTGTTCTTTTAAGGTTGGATACTCCTTGGATGTTTGTAGCTAAGTTTATCAGGACGAAAATGTCCAAGTGATGATTTTACTTTTACTTTCTCGAGAGATGATGGTTACTAATGGCTGGTGAATTTCTTGTTTCCAAGCCGAATAAAAATGTCATGTTATATCATTAGACATCCAGTTATTGATTTTGGGTTTGGAAAAAAAAAAATTTAACGAGATTTAGGGTTTGGATTGGAAGTCTCTCGTCCACCATCTGATAGATAGTACAAACGTCGGACAATGACTCAAATGAATTATGTTAACGTCTACAAGGTTGTGAATAAGAATTTGATCCAATGATAATACCACTTATCTTTGAAGATTAAAGCCTCAAATTCAAATCCATTAAGTGACACCCTTATAAAAATAAATGTAAGTCTACTACGTACTGCGGCGAGGCCGCGTGTGCGGTGATTAGCGCGGATTATTGTTTGACGCATAATATTTGTACCGTAGTAAAATCGTATAAAAAAACACTATATACAGTCAGTGGGGACGTGGGGGACCCAGGTGGAGGGTAGGGGGTCCGAGAACCCCCTCTAAATTTTGGGAGAAAAATTAATGAATCGCCAGTAGCAGTAGTTTGAGTATGGAAAAATGAAAAATAATAATATGGTAGTATATGCAATTCCTTGGGAGTTCTTGGTTGGTGTTCTGCTAACTATCGTACAAAGTCGTATCTTTTTAGTTAATAAGATTCAAAAGGTTTATCGATCCTAGGGAGGGCATATCCATAACAGGCATATATAAATTATTGTACTTCAAATAACATCAATAGTCTTATTCTTCTTTAGGCTTTGCCTCCTCCCGTTGTATATATTTATAAGTTTCCTCTCGCTTAATGAATTTCGACATTATGAAAGAAGATATATATTTAACGGTTTTGGTTTTTTATTTTAAACTGTTTAGCGTTTTAATGGTTTTGGAACTTTTGGTTTTGATTGAAATAACAAAAAAACCCAATACTAAACCAATAAGAATCTGATAACACTCAAATTAAGTTCATACTTGGAAGTGGTAATGTAATAGTCGGTAGGAGCTGCAAAATGCTAGTAGCTAGGTTGTGTAAACTGCATGAGAGAATAATGTTCTTTTTTTCTTCTTATAGAAATGTTATAAAATTCATAATCGAACATCTCCCCACAATTTGAGTTATTTGGAACCAATTGGCTCTTGACATTGTATATGACGGTGCTCCCTTTTGTTAAGCACATGGTATTGGAGCCTGTGAAAACTTCAAGATCATACGAGTTGACTTTCGTTTGAATGAGTGTGTTATTAGTAAATTATATAAGCCCCATAATTGAATCCCTATTAACAATGCGAATTATTAGAACCAACCAATCCTTGACAAATAACCTCGATATAAAAAAAATCATTCGGGAAAGATAATTTAACCAGACAGATCAAATTGTAAATAACAAGAAATTGATTACAACGAACGTAGGCGTCGCTCTGAGAAGGCAAAGCAAGAAACATGTTGTTTGATATAAAATTAATTTTATTTCTGCTTGAAATCAAGAAATTCACTTTCTAATATAGTAACCACCATCACTCGAGAAAGTAAATCATCACTTGGATACGATACATTCTTTCCTCCCCATAATCATCAACCTGTCTAGCTAGCTAGTCAGCGTCACTGACTAGCTAGCTAGTAGCCAATATTACAGAACCAAAGGAGGAGGACTACAAACACGGAAAATAAAAAATAAAAAAAAGTTACTAGCTAGCTAGTAACTCCCCTCGCGACAAACATCGAAGGAGTATCCAACATTGAAAAAACAAACCGAGCGAAGATCCGTGGAGGAGCCGGCGCCGGTTTGTCGACAACCGATGATCAGTGACTTACCCACCATAGCCAAGCAGTGGGTGCATTCTCCCATGCTGGCGTCTCCGTTTTCGTCCCGACGGAGGCACTCCGCGTAGCCGTACATCTTCAGACCGTCCTGCGTCAGCTCGTTGCAGTAGTTCGTCTGCTGTCTATGCGGCAATTTCGCGATCAGATCGTGGACGAGGGATTGCATTATCTGCCCTGCCAGTTCCATGTCACCACCGTTCCCCTCGCGGCATCGGCCGGAGGCCGAGTCGTAGGTTTGGGCGGTGGTTGCCGCGGCGGTGATCAGCAGAAAGATGGACAGCTCCAATAATAATCTAGTCGCTGCCATAGCTTTCATTTTTGCTTATGAGATGTGTGAATAATGGGCGTATGGTAATATGTACAATATTTATAATATAGCTCCAATATCGCCATGATCATAGCACAAGGAGTCCTTTCTTCACCTTTTTGTTCGTGCCGATTGATACTATATACAATAGTCGGTTACTAGTAATTACAAATTAATTACTCTGTAAATTTCCGTCACAACACAACGCAGTGTTCTGTCTTTCAATATTACTATTTTTGTTTTTCAATGCAGATCATGTCTCTGGTTCAAGAATGGTAGTTTAGTATTAGTAACTAAACTTGTATTATCTTGACGAGTACTACATAATTAAGTAGTTCGTATCACAGTCTCTGAAAGGCAGTTTCTTATTTACTTCGAAGTTCGAAGTAAAACAGGAATGCGCATATCGTGACCAAAAATATTTTATTTTACTATTGATGGTTGAATTATAAGTCGACCATCAACCCTACTTAATTATTATTATATGTTTTAAGCCGACGATTGTATATGGTATCAATCGGCACGAACAAATATATATATATACTGCCGGAGATTCCTTTTGGAAAACCCAAGTGCTTGTCGAAATGTACGAAGGGAGCAAAAGCAAACCCATAGGGCAAAGACTTTTCAATTAATTAAATTTAGGCAAAATACACATATTTTTCACGTTTGTGACAAATATAGCTGTAATTATTTGAAAACACAAAAATAGTTGTCGTGTGACAAATCCAACAATTTTCTTTAGAAACTTTAACGGTGTTAAAAACTCCATTCGTTAGGTTAACGTTAGTCTTACTAGGTTGCCAAATCATCGCACACGTCAGCGACCAGTCATTATATTATTGCCACGTCATTTGAGTTATAAAAATAATTAATTTCAAAATTAAAAAAAAATATTTTTCTAACGTTTCTCCTTCTCTCTCCAGTGCATTCTCCCTCAACCTTCCTTTGCTGTGCGACTGCGAGACCCTTCCTCTTCCTCCAACCCACCGACCTTCACACCCATAACCACCTCCGCCCAGTCCCACCTCTAGCACCAAATCAGCCACCATCGCTGCCAGCTCCCCCGCCATCGTCAGATCTTAAAAAAAAAAAAAAAGAGTCTCCGTCTCAAAAACCCAGATATAAATCCCTCTTTTGTTTTCCCAAATCTTCCTCTTTTCTCATCTTCCCAATTTTTCTCGTTTGAATCCTCCCCAAACCATAACCAAAAATCCCAAATCCAAACTCAACCTTCCTTTCCCCAAAATCCCTTTTGTTAAGCACATGATATTGGAACCTGTGAAAACTTCACAATCATACGAGTTGACTTTCGTTTGAATGAGTGTGTTATTAGTAAATTATATAAGCCCCATAATTGAATCCCTCTTAACAATGCGAATTATTAGAACCAACCACTCCTTGACAAATAACCTCGATATAAATAAAATAAAAATCATCCGGGAAAGATAATTTAACCAGACAGATAAATTGTAAATAACAAGAAATTGATTACAACGAACGTTATAGCACTTGGCAGCCCCGCCCTAATGACTATAATTATGAGGGTATACATAGTAGTGGATGAAATTATAATTTTTCTTGTGTGGTTTTGGTCAAAATATAATAAGGACTAAGCATATTCGCATTATATATATATACTGGGCTGTATAAATCAGGCGCCCTTCATCACATCTAATCACAGTGCCATGCATGGTATCAACAATTGCAGCATTTAAGTTAATAATACTTGTAGTACTGTTGTCCATCGTTCTTCTTCTCGCCAGCGCCGACGACGAGAGAACGGCTTGTGCGACGCGGCCACGGCGGCGAGTCTCGTCGGCGAGTTGGCAAACGAAGTGCCACATCAGCCTGGCCAGCGATACAGCAACATGCTGGCTATGCCAAGTGGACTCCTGATGTTAGGGTTCGGTTACTGCTCGACAAGTGGCAGGAATTTGGACCCGTCGGGCTTGCGGCGGGGACTGCTTGTCCGGTGCGGGAAAGGATCTGTTCCGGCGTTGCGACGGCGAAGGAGGAGCCGGTGAAGTGTGGGCCGGGTCACGACACTTGGTGTTATATCAAGACGGGCCGGATGAATTAGCTTTTCTCCCCGAATCGGTGTTTGTGACACGGTACTGTATACTGAGTAAATCACGTATCTTAGTTGAACTGATGTGCATGTGTCGATATTGTGTCTTTTTTCATTTTTGGGTGAAATATGGACCTAAACCAGCCAATATTTCACGTTTCGCGTGTTCTGATTCAAAAGGCAAACGACTTTCAATACTAGTTGTTACGTTACGCTGCCAGAAAACGCCTTTAGCCCCCCCCCCCCCCCCCCCCCCCCTCGTTGGCTCAAGATGGAACTCTCTCTGGATGAGAGATTTAACATTGGCTCCCTTGGAGAAAAGATGTTATTGTGAAACCGTTAGCGCGCAAGATCACAAAACAGCGATTTACATGGTGTCTATAGACTTTTTCTTACTTTTCCTCTCTAGACTCCAATACTCTACTAAGGGACCAAAAAGCCTTTCTCGTCTGTCATGGAGAACCTTCCCGCTCAATTTTACCTGTCGAACCGGTCACGGTATGGTCTGGTTTCGGGCAATCATGGTTCTAACCTACTTTCCCGACCGACCTCATATCCAATTGACAACGGGAAGAGTACGAAAAATGTTTGTCAAAATGTTGGAATCCCCATCACCACTACTAGAGTTCAAGAGAGGCGTACACAATTATGAAAACTGAAACCTCGACATACAATTAAAAACAATAAACTTTGTTTATTAATTAATTAGTTGGTTGGATCATTCGGCAGAGAGTATACGTAGTGGGATCAGAAAGCAAATTAATGAGAGACATATTCTAACTATATTGCTCTCGGCTTGTTCCGGTTTTCGGTTTCAAACAAGGTCGGGCCGGATTGGGTTTTCAATTCCTTCTTATAGTTAGAGACTGAACTGTATCTAATACAATCCGATTTTTCATTTGGAAAGGAACTGATTTAAACGGTTCGGATTTCCGGTTTGACCGAAAAATCGAAACTGTTTTCCCCGCCCTAATGATCGTGGCGGTAATATTCAGCCTAGTATTGTCGTCCATCTTTCTTCTTCAAGAAGTGAATATCAAAGCCGTCCTTACATAGGTATATACAACGATCTATATAAGGAAGAGATTCATTCGGCACAAACAGGACAAAAATATTTGTAGGCAAGTTTCTTGCTACTGCAGCTTCTTTTTTTTTTTTTTGGTGCACTACTGCAGCTTCTTTTTTATCGAAGAAATCCATTAAAAAAAACACCTCTTAGTACTTCCTTTGTAGTTGGGTTTATTATATAAGTTGTTTTAATTTACATGAGCTGCTTCAAAGTGAAGCAACTGCGGAACAATAGAGGAAAAAACAACAGAGTTCTTTTGTGATTACAGGTGGTTGCCAAAAACGGCAAAATGGTCACAAATACATTTGAGACGACTCGATTACTACAAGCTTATATGGACGCAAAAACATTTTTTTTTTTTTTTTTTGAGTTGATCCAATTGAACCAATCCAAACCTCACCCTAAACCCAAAATCATAAAGTATATATATGAATCCATGTAGCCGATTAAATACCCATATAGCAGGTAATAGTAATAGCTTATGGAAGTTACGTCTAATTATTCAAATGAGTCGATTCATTGAGCATTAGCTATATTTTGATCGGACTGAAATTCAAATAGTGAAATTTAGAGCTGGCAATTTGGTCCAGGACTGTTTGATTTTACCCGAAATCGGACCGTATATCCCGGACCGGGACCGGACTGGGACCGGATAGCAAACAATCCACTCTCATATTTGGGCTTAGATTTGAGGTAAAAACCCCGGATAAAGACCGGATAAGAGACCCCAACACTCAAATCCCCACAAGCTCAATCTAAAATCAAAATCAAATTGGGACCGGAAAGGGTCAAGACCGGGCCGGATCGTGACCGGAGTGTATCTAATCCAATCTTTGGTCCTTATATTCCCGAAAAGACCGGACTGAAACCGAATCAATTTGGTCCAATTTAACCGAACCGGACCGTATAGCCACCCTAGTGAAATTTGTCAATACATAAAAAGTGGAATTAATGCATTTCCAGTGTTTTTTTTTTCCTTACAAAGAATATGCTCACGTCGCAATAAAACCATCATTTGCCGAACTCTTATATAGCCGATCGAAAGTTCCAAAATAAAAGAGTACAAACTGAATACATCAAATAATTTTGCCATTGGATCTGGAATCCCCGCCCTAATTAACTGAGGATCAATCAACATCGTGGCCGCTCGTGAACAGTTTAACCTCGTCAAGAACATACTTTCATTTTGTCCCCATTCTTCTAGTCCCAAAATTAACTCAGCATATACGTCTGAAAATGCACCATGAAACACAACGTCACCACAAAAAATCGCCATCGTCGGGCGGCTCCAGCACAAAGTGGGATCGACGGGTAGAAACCAAGAAGCATTTCTTGCCACCATCATCCATCCCGTGGCTATAAATCGACGCCAAGTTCAAAATCTCCCTTCCTTCCTTCACTAACACACTCATCATAGTAAAAAGAACAAAGGGTTTGGTCTAGCAGTGACATCAATCTGGTGGTTTTAGGTTCGAATCTCTTAAAACGATGGCCGCCGTCAGGACCAGTCTGGCGATCATCCTGGTGCTGCTGTTCATCTCCGCGCCAACGATCACCGCCCAGGATGCACCGGCACCCTTGCTGCCCGTCGACCCCTACGGCGAATGCGACGGCGGGAACGGCGGCGACGTGGGCACGGCGGTGCAGATGAAGCAGATCCTCATCAAGGACTTGATCGGCCAGGCGCCAGGCAAGCCGAGGATGAACTACTGCAACGGGCTGCAGATGAACGGGCTGCAGATGTACGGGTTCGCGGAGTGCACGATCCACAGCGCCCCCGGCGACGTGCCGGCCTGCCAACAGTGCTCGTCGGAGGTGGGTAGTTACCTGATCCAATATTGCGACGACACGGGTGTTGGTCACGCCTGGGATACGGCCGAGAGTGGTTGCTATATCAAGGTCGGGTTCTCCGTAAACGACGTTTGTCCCGCGGGAAGCAATTAGTAACGGCCATATATGCTCCCGTGATAATAAGATCCGACGGTGATTCGATGTAACTTGTTCAGCTAAAATATACATATGTAATAACCAGGCATGTTAATTCCTAGTTTGGGCCGAATTTACAATTCCCGGTGGGCCAAATCCTTCATTTTTTTAGAGCTATCCAAACATGGGAATTGCTTAAATTCCTGAAAAGGCCATAATTTGGGCCAAATCCCTGCCCTTTTTTCTGGATCCAAACGACCACTAGAACTTTAATTTCTAACTCAAATGGCAAATGTTGTGTTGTGAAAAATGCTGAATTTGTTGAATATTGTCATTGTGTGTCGTTCTGTGAAGAATGTTTTCCTGCATGGTGACCTGGATGAGGTGATCTATATGGAAAAATCTTTAGGATACAATGTTGGAAAACCAGGGCAAGTATGCAGACTTCGCCGATCTCTGTATGGGTTGAAACAGGCACCCTGGGCCTGGTTCGAAAAATTTCAAGGCACTCTGATAGGCTTCGGATACTGTCAAAGTCTTGATGATTCTTCATTGTTCATCAAGACCACACCTCGAGGTATTGTTCTTCTCTTGTTGTTTGTAGATGATATGATCATTACGGGATCTGATTCTGAAGGGATTCGGCTGCTTAAAGATGGGTTAGAGAATGCTTTTGGAATTAAGGATCTGGGTAAGCTTTCTTACTTCTTGGGTCTCGAAGTCTTACGTTCTGCAGCTGGAATCTTATTTATGTCAGAGGAAATATATACCAGATCTGTTGGGGGATTACAACATGGAAGATTGTACTCCGGTTAATACTCTGTTGGAGCTGAATTTGAAACTAAGCAGGGAGTCTGGAGAAAAGGTAAAGGATGGTTCTCAGTATCAGAGTATTGTAGGTAGCCTGATAAATTTATCAGCTACACGTCCAGATATCTCTTATGCAGTGCAGTTGGTCGGTTAGTTTATGGCCGATCCCAGGACTAATCATTTAGCTAGTATATCGTATTTTGAGATACTTGCGTGGAACTAAAGACTTGGGGCTCATGTTTCCCTCGTCCGGGAAGGCTACTCTGTGAGCCTATTCAGACTCGAATTATGTTGGGTGTGTTTATACTAGACGTTCTACAACCGGTTGTTGTGTTCAGTTCGGGAATTCTTTTTTCTCGTGGAGGTGTAAGAAGCAGGACAAGGTGTCCAAATCTTCTACAGAAGCTGAATACCGGGCAATGTCAGATGTGACCTCTGAACTGACTTGGCTGAGACGCTTTCTGCACGACATGGGTGTGGAGATTGCAGGTCCGATGGACCTTTTTGTTGATAATATGAGTGCAATCCGAATAGCAGAGAAGCCAGTGTTGCACGATCGGACCAAACACATTGAGGTACATGTGCATTATGTTCGATATGAAGTCAGGGATGGGACTATTGCGCTACACTACGTCTGTACTGAAGATCAGGTGGCTGACATGCTCACGAAGACATTTTCTACTAGCCGACACCGGTTTCTGTTTGACAAATTGATACTCATCACCCGAGGGAAGGCTGTTGAATATTGTCATTATTAATTCTCTAGACTGTTGGTGAGTCGTGTATGGACCTGTTCATACTTGTGATTAGAATACATAGTATACTAATTAGGGTTACACGAAGAAGGCAAAGAAATAAATAAAGAAAGGTTTATGGAAGGCGAGTGAAAATCGAAATGAAGAGGAAGTAGATGATGGAAAGTTTTGATCAATTCTTTTAGTTGGCCGTCAATACAACAATGAACCATTTTCACTGTAGCAATTTATTGTCACTTGCTTATATAGATTTCGCATATTTTGTTACATGTAGTTAGTAGAAGTTTGTTTAGTATCTCGTAAATGTATTAAATGAGTTTATTAATTCGATCTTGTTATATTATTGGGTCGTTTCTTTTTCATCATTTATTTAATATTTCACGTTATGAGCAAATATAAAAAGGGTTGAGTCTTCTCCTAAAGTTGAGTGATACAACATCTTGTATTGTACAGACTAAATGTGTACTTTTATATTATGGTGAATTGGATTTATGGATTGGTTCAAAAGAATTGGTGGGTTGGATTCATGGATTCAAATAAAATCTAAACATTGACCAATATGTATATTTAAAAAATTCTAGGTACGAAAATCTCATAAATTTAGATACCAAGCATAATTTTTCAATGGTTTTATATTAAAAATTAAATTTGGGTATCAAAATATAAAATATACATTATAATGACTAATTTGAGATTTAATTAAATTTGGGATATTAGTTACGGAAAACCATAAAATTTAGATGCCAAACATAATACATACATTAAAATTAAATTTGGAGTATCTAAATGTAAATTATAGTAATTAAATTTGGAGTATCTAAATGTACATTATAGTAATTAAATTTTAATTTAATTAAATTTTGGGTATCAAAATGTAAGTGGTTATACAACAGTAACCCAACTTCATATTTATATATATTGATAGTTGGTTGGATCATTCGGCAGAGAGAGCACGTACGTATAGATTATGGAAGTTACGTCTAATTATTCAAATGAGTCGATTCATTAAGCATTAGCTATATTTTGATCGGACTGAAATTCAAATAGTGAAATTTGTCAATACATAAAAAGTGGAATTAATGCATTTCCAGTGTTTTTTTTTTTTTCTTCCTTACAAAGAATATACTCACGTCGCAATAAAACCATCATTTGCCGAACTCTTTCATTTTGTCCCCATTCTTCTAGTCCCAAAATTAACTCAGCATATACGTCTGAAAATGCACCATGAAACACAACGTCACCACAAAAAATCGCCATCGTCGGGCGGCTCCAGCCCAAAGTGGGATCGACGGGTAGAAACCAAGAAGCATTTCTTGCCACCATCATCCATCCCGTGGCTATAAATCGACGCCAAGTTCAAAATCTCCCTTCCTTCCTTCACTAACACACTCATCATCGTAAATATAAAAAAGGGTTTGGTCTAGCAGTGATATCAACCTGGTGGTTTTAGATTCGAATCTCTTAAAACGATGGCCGCCGTCAGGACCAGTCTGGCGATCATCCTGGTGCTGCTGTTCATCATCTCCGCGCCAACGATCACCGCCCAGGACGCACCGGCACCCTTGCTGCCCGTCGACCCCTTCGGCGAATGCGACGGTGGGAACGGCGGCGACGTGGGCACGGCGGTGCAGATGAAGCAGATCCTCATCCAGGACTTGATCGGCCAGGCGCCAGGCAAGCCGAGGATGAACTACTGCAACGGGCTGCAGATGAACGGGCTGCAGATGTACGGGTACGCGGAGTGTGCGATCCACGGCGCCCCCGGCGACGTGCCGGCCTGCCAACAGTGCTCGTCGGGGGTGGGTAGTTACCTGATCCAATATTGCGACGACACGGGTGTGGGTCACGCCTGGGATACGGCCGAGAGTGGTTGCTATATCAAGGTCGGGTTCTCCGTAGACGACGTTTGTCCCCCGGGAAGCAATTAGTAACGGCCATGTTTGCTCCCGTGATAATAAGATCCGACGGTGATTCGATGTAACTTGTTCAGCTAAAATATACATATACAATAACCAGGCATGTTAATTAATCATGTTTTAAATAAACTTTGGGGTCGGAATTTTGAAATACATGAGGGCGGGCAGATATCTCTAATTCCTAGCTTGGGCGGAATTTACAATTTCCGGTTGGCCAAATCCTGGGTTCTTTTAGAGAATTGATTAAATTCTTGAAGAGGCCAGAATTTGGGTCAAATCTCTGCCCTCTTTTCTGGATCCAAACGACCACTAGAACTTTAATTTCTAACGCAAATGGCAAATGTTGTGTTGTGAAAAATGCTGAATTTGTTGAATATTGTCATTGTGTGTCGTTCTGTGAAAGAATGTTTTCCTGCATGGTGACCTGGATGAGGTGATCTATATGGAAAAACCTTCAGGATACAATGTTGGAAAGCCAGGGCAAGTATGCAGACTTCGCCGATCTCTGTATGGGTTGAAACAGGCACCCTGGGCCTGGTTCGAAAAATTTCAAGGCACTCTTATAGGCTTTGGATACTGTCAAAGTCTTGATGATTCTTCATTGTTCATCAAGACCACACCTCGAGGTATTGTTCTTCTCTTGTTGTTTGTAGATGATATGATCATTACGGGATCTGATTCTGAAGGGATTCGGTTGCTTAAAGATGGGTTAGAGAATGCTTTTCGAATTAAGGATCTGGGTAAGCTTTCTTACTTCCTGGGTCTCGAAGTCTTACGTTCTGCAGCTGGAATCTTTTTTATGCCAGAGGAAATATATACCTGTTGGGGGATTACAACATGGAAGACTGTACTTCGGTAAATACTCCATTGGAGCTGAATTTGAAACTAAGCAGGGAGTCTGGAGAAACGGTAAAGGATGGTTCTCAGTATCGGAGTATTGTAGGTAGCCTGATATATTTATCAGCTACACGTCCAGATATCTCTTATGTAGTGCAGTTGGTCGGTTAGTTTATGGCGGCCGATCCCGGGACTAATCATTTACCTGCAGTATATCGTATTTTGAGATACTTGCATGGAACTAAAGACTTGGGGCTCATGTTTCCCTCGTCCGGAAAGGCTACTCTGTGAGCCTATTCATACTCGAATTATGTTGGGTGTGTTTATACTAGACGTTCTACAACCGGTTGTTGTGTTCAGTTCGGGAATTCTTTTTTCTCGTAGAGGTGTAAGAAGCAGGACAAGGTGTCCAAATCCTCTACAGAAGCTGAATACCGGGCAATGTCGGATGTGACCTCTGAACTGACCTGGCTGAGACGCTTGTTGCACGACATGGGTGTGGAGATTGCAGGTCCGATGGATCTTTTTGTTGATAATATGAGTGCAATCCGAATAGCAGAGAATCCCGTGTTGCACGATCGGACCAAACACATTGAGGTACGTGTGCATTACGTTCGAGATGAAGTCAGGGATGGGACTATTGCGCTACACTACGTCCGTACTGAAGATCAGGTGGCTGACATGCTCACGAAGACATTTTCTACTAGCCGACACCGGTTTCTGTCTGACAAATTGATGCTCGTCACCCGACATCAATTTGGGAAGGCTGTTGAATATTGTCATTGTGTGTCGTTTTGTAAATAATGTAGTGTAGTACATGTTAAATGGGACAATTGTATTAAAGCCTTTTTCAGCCCGTGCAGCCCACTCACGTCGTTCCTTGCGCGTGTGTGGACTAGGGTTGTAGAGATTAGCAGGATATAGCTGCAGCTATCTCTTTGATGTATGGTTTAACGAAAATCAACAGTAAGAACAAATAGCTGAAAGAGCCTTCCTGCTCTTTCGTGGATTAATCTTGGAATTCCGAAAATACCACATAAATAGGTGTTTGTCTCCATTTCCGTTTACTTAACAATCTTCGGTTTATCAACACAATTCAAATAAACTAATTAACTCAACCGATTTCCTTATAAGTTACAATGACACTTCAACTGTGATTGATCCTTCTCATTCCTCATCATCGTAATCATTTCTGAGTTTGGAGATAAGAGACTGACAGTTGATAATGACAAGGAAACAGTCGTCATAATGAATAGTGATTTTTAATACATTTTTATTAATTATTTGTCAAACCATTTTCATATTATTTTATAATTATCAGAACCTAGTGAATTACTTATTGTTAATCAAATATTTTGTAATATACCAAAATATTAATCATTTTTCTATTATCGTTAATAATTTTCCTACTCTTTTCATCATACCACATCCCCTGTTTCCTTCCAAATTCCATTTGTGTAAATAAAAAGCCCATGTATGCTTAGCAGCCAACCCTAGCAGAAATGGTGCTTATCAACACCTGTGCTTAGTATACCTAATTAACCAACTTGAAAAAAAATTCAAAACAAACAAGAATACAAAAAGCAGCTAAGACCATCCAAATTTTCGTAGTAACTGGCTAATTACAAATTCTACATGAAATTGTAAAAAAAAAAACAGCCAACCCCAACATACCAGTTCGATCGCACCGATACCAGCAGAGAGAAAAAAAAGTGTGTCATAAACCAATTGATCATAATAACTCGAGTTATTGGAGGGAAACTCAACTCATGTATCGTACTTAACTACTTCCTTACACACCCCCCTCAAATGATGAATGCCAACTCATGAACCCGAGGTTTGCACATACCCGCCATACGATTGTGCTTTGAAGACAACGTTAATATTGTGGATCGTGATAAGAAACTTGATAACGGTTAACTAAACTCTGATACCGCATGTAATAAACCAAATGGTCTCAGTAACTCGAATTTATGCTCTATATATGCTATACTGAATCTCTTCCATACAAAAACACAAACGCTACGTACATACTACCAAAATGCATTGGCCCTGCAAACAAGGCCGAACTTAAACAGCACGAATTAAACCGCTAAAAACTGTTTTTAACCCAAGAAGCGAAACTGGGAAACCACGTCTATTATATACCACAGTCTGCACACACAATATATATATATATATAGCAACGATCGAGCTTCCAAAGAAACATCAGAACAAAAGTAGCCATGGCGATGATCCCCAGCTGCACCGTTGCTAAGTTGGCCGTCTTGCTGCTGCTGATGATGATCGTTTATTTTGTTTTTCCTGCAGCAACCGCATCGAGGGTACTGCCGGCGGTAACTACTACTAGTTCGCCGGCGGCCGGCGGGAATGATGATGATGATGGTCAGGCCGATCGGATGGCTCGAGCATCGAACAACACGGCTTCGATACAGGAAGACTGCAACAACGTTTGCAACGACCATCAATGTCATTTTTACTACCCATGGCTGTGTTGGCGTCAACCTGCAGGTAGTAGCTGCTACGTGGGTTGCGTTTGCGAGATCAATGACTGTGATTGCTTGTGCCCTGAATAAACACATATATATTTACCAAACTGGAAGGAGACGATTCATCGCGGTGGACGCGTCGCCGTTGTCGAGACCGGAGCTTTGGTATCCCTGTCTTTGGTGTTTTCTCCTTTTTTTTTTTTTTCTTCTTCAGTTGACTCTAATAAATAATAATCGCCGATTGGTCGGCCGTTTTTTATTTATGTTTTCTTTGCATGTCTTATGGTGATTCTGGTTGGTTTTCTGTTTTCTTTACGTATCGCCTGATCGAGTAGTTTTCCTTCCCAGTGATGAGTTGAGACCAATTGAACCGTGGTTAATGGAAATTGAATATGTAATCGTGTATATATATGGTAATGTTGTTATATAGGTAGAGGGGTGCGCAACAATTTGGTCGGACCGCATATCGGACCTGCACATTGACTCTTTAACTAGACAGAGAGCATATACCGAATCGAATAGAATGTGGTTCGGTACTTACCTTGGTAAAGTTTATCAGTACTTAAGAAGAATGGATATACCGAATTGACATCAGGACGAAACCACACCGGACCAAATTGAATCGAATGCACCGTTGGACCGGTCCTTAATCTTAATTAAGATGTCTTTTCACTATTCGACTAATTGGTTAATAATTAATAGTTGGTTGAATCATTCGGCAACCGGCAGGGAGTACGTAGTGGGATCAGGAAAAAAAACAACATAGTTTTTCTGCGATTACAGATGGTTGCCAAAAAATGGCAAAATGGTCGCCAAACACTTTGATACGACTCTAAGCTGAAATTCAAATCCTGGTTTATGACATGGTATCAGATGAGATGGTTTGGTCAAGTGGTCGTGCGTTCGAATCTCCACGACCCCTAATATTAACAGTTGATTAAAGCACAAGGTATGATGAGTTTGTGCAAACTTCAAGCTTGTTAGTTGGTTTTCGTTTGAAAAGACGTGTTAGAGTGTGGTATAAGACCACAGTTTTCCTGGTTTCGGATGGAATAAAAGGTTGTTTCTTGTAATAAAAAAAAAACTCGAGTTATTGAGACCAACTGGTTTATGACATTTGTTGTACAAATACACTATTGAAATAGAAGAACAAAGTTGCACAATGGATATTGAGAGGAGGAATGTAACTTGACAGAAAAGAGAGGTCTAACTTTAATAGGGTTGAAATCATTGTTAATCGTAACAGAAAGAGATTGATCAACCAAAAAACTATCAACTTATCATTCAAAGATACTATGCTTATACGAAATAAAAATGAGTTGACCTGACTTATCCAATAAGTGTATGAGAGACACATAGCTCCAACTAAAATCAAACTGAATTTACAATAACATTTTCGATCTCATTGGTTAGCAAATTCATGTCCAAGTCTCTTCTGATAATTAAGATGAATGGAACATTGAATATTCATATTATCTTTTTTTTAAGTGAATATTCAGATCATCTTATATATACTTGACATATTGTTTTGATAATTCTAATTTTTAATATTTATAAATTGGATTGGTTTGTGAATCCATTTCAGTTGAATGATTTGATGTGGAAATGAAGTTATAAGTTGTTTCACTATATGTGCTAATTAGGAAGCTTTAAAGTTCTCAACATGAATTTTAAATCTATTACATGTATGATAGTTATTTTTTATCTATCAATTAGTTAAACATATGACGTAAATGTTCTATAGTACTAAGACAATGTGTAAAGGTTATATATATATTTTTTAATTATCCAAACTAATTTATGATTTATTTGATTTTAACTAAATTATTAAATGAGTCGATGAAAATTCAAATATTAATCTATCATTTTGACGAGCTCCTAAATAGCCGAAATTTCAAAAGAGTACAAATACATCAAATAATTTGGCAATTGGATTTGGAATCCCCGCCCTAAACGAGAATCTATCTACATCGTCGTGCGGCTCCGCCGCACAGTGGGATCGACGGGAAGAAATTAACCAAGAAGCATTTCTTGCCATCATCATCATCCTCATCAAATCGTTCCATGCCGTGGCTATAAAATCAACGCCAAGTCAAAATCCTTCCTTCACTCGCTCACACACTCATCGTCGTATAAAAAAAAAAACGAAAACGAACAAGGGTTTGGTCTTGTAGTGATATCGCAACCTGGTGGTTTTAGGTTCGAATCTCTTAAAACGGACTACGGTGATCAATCATTCATGGCCAGCACGACCAGTTTGGTGATCATCCTAGTGCTGTTCATCTCCGCGCCAACCACCGCCACCGCCCAGGACCAGGAGGCTCCCAGGCTGCCCGTGGAGCCCTACTGGGAATGCAACGGCGGCGACGGCGGCGACGTGGGCACGGCGGTGCAGATGAAGCAGATCCTCGTCCAGGACCTGGCCAACGTGGTGCCCGGCCGGCTGAGAATGAACTACTGCAACGTGTACACGCTGAACGGGCTGCAGATGTTCGGGTTCGCGGAGTGCACGATCCACGGCGCCCCCGGCGACGTGCCGGGCTGCCGGCAGTGCTTGTCGGAGGTGGGTCAGCAACTGACGCAGAACTGCGACGACACGGGTGTGGGTCACGCCTGGGATGTCGCCGAGAGCGGTTGCTACTTCAAGGTCGGCTTCTCCCGAGACGTTTGTCCCCAAGGTGTGGCGGCGCCGGAGGCCGTCGAGTCGTAACGGCCATGTTGCTGCCCGGTGATACGATTTCCCTTTTTCGTTAATAAAATTTGGTCGCCCCTTTATAAAAGATATATAAAAAAAATCCGGTGACTTGATGTACTTGTTCATAGAAATGGAAAAAAAAAAAAAAAAATCTCCCGTACGTATCTGTTTTTTTTTTTAACAAAAGATATATATTCATCAAAAAATAAGATAGTTACATCCTCGAAAGCAGCCAGCCCTGAAAATAAAAAACACAACAAGCAGCCGGGTACAATGAAAGGGCCTTTCTAGCCACCAAGTGGGCTACCCTATTACTACGCCGACCTACAAATCGAATACTCAAACTAGGATGAAGGACAAATAGTTGCACTACCTCAATAAGAACAGCCCCCATCCTACTATCCTCTACCTCCATTCGCTGAATTTTATCGATAATCACCTTGGCATCCCCCTCAAAGCGAACCACACTAAACCCCTTGAGCTAGACACCACTTCACAGCCTCCCGAAGCGCCAAGACCTCAGAAACCACCAGATCATCAATAACCGGGAAATGAACCCCTTTAGCCCTCAGGACCCCACCCTCTAAGCTTAGCACCATGCTCCCCGCAGAATGGGAGCCTAGTTTCGTCGCCCCATCCATCTGTTAATATGACTTGAATTGGATTATTTGGCTACGATGAAAAGTCACGACGGACAGTACAAACATGTTTGGTTCTCTGTCAGCTGATTATATCTTGCAAATAAGAGCCACTCTTTTGGGGTTGTGTGGTGTCCTCGATGTCAGGCTTATGGATCCAGGTCTTCGGATCTTGACGATGTATGACATTATAAACATTGCACATTCTCGTTTAATTTAAGTGTAGAGAGGGGTGATTTTAGCACCTATTTTCCAGAAAAAATAAAAATGAAAGGAAAGATCACTTGTATTACTAGTATCAAGAAAAAACGAGATGTACAATAGTCATAAAAAGCTCATAATATCTAAGAGCGAACGTCAAACTCTATAATTATTGATGGTTTAGTTGTATACGGACTACCGCATATTGTAGTTGTCGATTTTGTGTTGTTACTAACAATAGAAGTCTGATGGCTGATCTGTTAAGGAACCAACAGTTAAGTGACCAATATGGTAATTCACCCCGGTTTGCTTAACAGAACAGATACTACACACTAGAGAGTCGAGTCGACGACCAGATGTTCCCCAAATCCCACCGGGGCCGGGCGGCGGCGCAGACCCGAGACGAGAGAAGAGAAAGCCTCCGCCTTTTCGCTTAGCATTCGTTTGTCTGTCCCATTCGCTCCACGATTCTGATCAAGAAGCTTTCAGAAATCGATTGTGTTTCCTTAAGAATCTCGGAGATTTAAGAATGACGCCCAATTCACTCGCCGCCGCCGCCGGCGACGTTACTCTTCAGGCTATTTGCCACGAGGGCGGGTCTCTCGAGCTCCTTGATCAGGTCGGTCTCTCTTCTTTTGCTCCTTTGAATAAATGGGTTTATGTCTGTTTATTTAATCCGGAATGTTGGAACTTGATTGTCTTCGCTGAACAGAGAAAGATTCATCTGGAGACCATTTACTCTGACATTAAAGATTCATCTAATGGACGGTATTCATATTCTCCCTTTTGTTTCTGTATTTGTATTCAGATAGATACAAACAGAAGAATACGAATCGATTCCCCCACTCCCAATAACAACTAAATTTTCATAAGTACATGTTAGCACATTATGTAAAACCATGGATGGCCGGCAGTAATGGCGTTCTGTTAACATCGCTGCCCCCACAGCCAAAGAAAAAGACAAGAGATTCCATTGCTATACTACCTGTCCTTCCACACAGAAATAGGAAATGCAGCCACTAGCCGCTCCCCACAATGTCACTCCTTTGGTTCTTGATCTTGCTAGGTCTCTTCAGCTTCACTTCTTCCAAAGCTTCTGCTCAGCAACACTACGACACGTCGGATTGCGCTGCGCCGAATTCTACCTCTCCTGGTTCCAGATACACCTGCAACACAACGTCAAGCAGCAATAGTTCTTGCAGCACATTTCTGTTTTTCAGGGCTACCCGGCAATTCAGAACCTTGGCAAGCATCTCAGAGTTGTTAAACAGCAGCGTCGACTCGATGCAGCATCTGAATGGAGGAGTTGCATCATCAATGGAGGTTCTTGATCCGGGCAGGGAAGTTGTTGTTCCTGTGCAGTGTTCATGTTCTGGACAGTACTTTCAGACGGAGTTGGTGACCTACACAGCTCATTTGAACAACACCAGTGTAGCAGATGTGGCATGTTCGGTGTTCGAGAGCTTGGTGACGTATAGTACAATCATGGAGGCAAATGGTTTCGACACGGATCAAGTGGTAGCTGGTACTGTCATTCACCTGCCTCTCAAATGTGCTTGTCCTGATCTTCGTGATGACAATTCGACCAATGGAGGATTGAACTACCTTGCTACGTATCCTGTGTTTGAAGGTGACATGCTGCGTGAAATCGATGACAAATTCGGGATTTCAGGTGAGGATTTGTTCAGAATCAATGGCCTCGATCCTTGGACTACAATCTACCCCAACACGACCCTCCTGATCCCTTTGAAAGAAATCTCGGTGAGGGTCAACATGACTAGTCGCGTTTCTTCTTCACCTCCACCAGCTCCAGTCTTTCTCCCCACGATCATCGTCGAGAGGCGTTCATCGAGCAACAATTCGAGGTTAAAGAGAAGCTTCTACATCACAGGATCGGTTATTGTGTTTTTCATTTCAGTCGCTGCAATGTTTGCTTTCGGTATGCACATGAATGGTAGGAGGAAAGAGAAGATCCAGAAGCTGCTTTCATTCAACACCAGCATCTCTCAACTAACCTGCTCCACACCGAAAAGTTCAGCCACGGGTTTAACTCCATGTTTGTCACCTGATCTTCTAGTTGGGATCAAGTACTCGTTGAGAAGTTACAGCACAGATGAGCTGAGGATAGGAACAAAGGATTTCAGCGACGAGAACAAGATTGGAGATGAGGGTTACAAAGCGTTGATCGACGATGTTGAAGTGATGGTGAAGCCAATGATGTTTGACGACATAAGGCAAGTGGTTGATATTCATTCTAGGATCAACCACATCAACATTGTTGCGTTGCTTGGTGTGTGTTATGATCATGGAGACGACTCATGCATTGTTCTCGAGCTGCCTAGCAATGGCTGCTTGAGAAATTGTCTAGCGAATCCATCAAGCCACCTTAGGTGGAATAGAAGAACACAGATAGCATTCGATGTAGCTACAGGACTTCACTACCTTCACTACTGCATTTTTCCTTCGTATGCTCATATGAGTGTGAACACTAGGAACATTTTTTTGACCTCGAATTGGAGGGCCAAGCTCACGAATATCAGGACCAATCCCAGCAGTGGCCATAGTCCAAGTCACAAAGGGTGGTTGGCTCCTGAGTATAACGGGTCAGCTTCTGATAAAGTTGACATCTTTGCATTTGGGGTGGTCCTACTAGAGCTGATATCAGGAAGGGAGGATACTGATGGAACTTCATTCAAGGAATCACTTGGCTTCCTTGGAGGTGGAGCTGGTGAAGGGGGATGTTTCGAACGGCTGAGGAGCTTCGTCGATCCATGTCTAGAAGGAAACTATCCACTCGCGGAGGCTCTATGTCTGTCTGTTTTAGCAAAGGCATGTGTGGAGGATGACCCTTTGCATCGGCCTTCCATGGATGATATCCTCAAAGTTCTCGTCAGGATGGTATGAAATGCCCCCCTTCCCCCCCTCCCCTAGCTGCAAGGGAAAACCTGCAGAAACCCCATTCAGAGCCATCTGTAGTTCTTTATGGTAAGAATTATCTTTACCCTTCACCGCCATTTCTGTTTCACATACAGTTTCAATTGTTCGAGGCATTCCTAATAGAAGGGACAGAAGGGATGAGTACCAAGTGATGCTTTGCATATGCTAGAGAACATATAGTTTTCACTTTTCAAGATCCCTTTCTGTGCTCTTTAGATGTCTTTCTCTTATTTCTTTATGATCAACCATACTCCACCATCTCAACTTGCATGTAGGACAGAACTGATGTAATTTATGTTTTTGATTGGTTTGAATTTTGTCTTGTTCAAGAGTCACCACTTCTGAGGTCATCTACTCTTGGATATATGCAAATGGCTTCAGGAATATATCAACTATAACTACATACTCCTGTTGAAAATTCATGTTTGGAATCCCTCTGGAAAGTTGATGCAACTGAATTTATTTTTGCAGAGAAGGTGGACTCTTTTGACTGAATTAACAGTGTGGATGATGGAAATGCAAGAACTGGATCTTCTTCTCAACACTGCTCTTACCTAACACTCTGCTTGCTTCTGATCCATTCTACCAGCTATCATTGGACTCATCTTAGGCATGTCCTTGTCAGCCCTCAGCAGCTGCACTTAGTCTTGGCCTGGTTTATGTGGAAGTTTTGGAGGATTAGTTTGGTTCGAGCTGGATTTGCGTTATAAATCTCAACCGCATCAGCTTGTTAGGGAGTATTGCACCAAAAAAGAAGCTTATTAAGGAGTCTATGTAACATTTTCAATATTAATTTGGATGAAGTGATACTCTTAAATGCTTACATGTCCAGTTTGAACGAAAAATTGTAATGGACGAGGAGGACGATGGAATGGAAGCAATGACCATTTTGTTGGATGGTAGAAGATTAACAGACAAATTTTGTTGAAAATTTGAAAGTTTTGGTGACTGCTATGTTATTGAACCCAAAGTTAATGGCCAATGATGTAAATCACATCAATTTACTTCGATATCATTTTTGTTGAAAAATTGAAAGTTTTCGTTAAAAATTTGGCTTGCCGACTTCACCTAAACGCAGACCAGAGACGAGAGAAGAGAAAGTCTTCACCTTTCGCTTACCATTTGCAGGTAAAGCCAAATTCGATCCCGCCATTCTGGTCGAGAAGCTTTCAAAACGGATACCTTTTGCTTAAGAAGCTTTTTGGGGAGTTAAGAATGGCGCCGAATCAGCTCGCTGCCGCCGGCGACAGCACTCTTCAGGCTATTTGCTACAAGCGCGGCTCCCTCCAGCTCCTTGACCAGGTTTCTATCTCTTTCATTTCTCCTTTGAATTGATGGGTATCTGTTTGTTTACTTGTGGCTGATCGGATTGTTGATCGTCTGAATTGAAACAGCGAAAGCTACCTCTGGAGACCATTTACTTGGATATCAAAGACTCGACTGATGGATGGTATTCATTATATTCTCTCTCTAATGTCTAGAATTGTTTTGATTTCTGATGGTTACGAATGTTACCCATTTCATTACATTGCATCACCAAATGTTGAATGCCCGAGTTTGCGCTGTGGTTAAGCAGTTGCTGTTGTATGACCCAGGTCAGCCATACGAGATATGGTGGTAAGAGGGGCGCCTGCTATTGCCATTGCAGCAGCTCTCTCACTTGCAGTGGAAGTGTCTAACTTAGTGGGGTTTACAGGGACGCCAGTCGAAGCTGCTGCTTTCCTCTCTGAGAAATTGGGATATCTTGTTTCGAGGTATTCATATTTGGAAATGAGTTTGATTGTGCTTGCTGGATGGGCTGCTTATGAATGGTTTCTTGTATTGCTTCCTCAGCCGCCCAACTGCAGTGAATCTGTCGGATGCTGCGACCAAGCTGGAGGAAGTGATAGGGAAGGCTGCAGCAGCTGCATCTGAAGCTAGCAATGTATTTCAGGTACCGCCTACCATGTTGGATTTATTACTAGAGCACTCTGTACAGTGGCGTAGCCAGACATCGAGTCCACTGGGGTCCTTAAAATTTTACTAACATAAATGCTTGTGTACCTAATGAATTTTGAGTTAACCGGGGTCCTTGGTGAGCTAACATCATTGAGAGTATGGGCTCCTAAACTTGAATTACCGTACTAAAACCTATGTATTTAAAGGGTTTTGTTGCCCAATTATTTGCCAAGTGGGGTCCTAGGACCCCTCTCTTCCTTATCTCCCTCCGCCACTGACTCTGTATGTGATCGCCCAGCTGTGTGTGGGGAGGATTTCACTGTCTTTGTTGGATAATTGCAATGACAATGAATTGGGCAGGCTTACATTGAAGCTGCTGAAGTCATGCTTGAAGAAGACGTTGCTTTGAACAAAGCGATTGGGTCATATGGAGCACAGTTCATTCGGAACCATTTGAAAGGCTGCAAGAGCTTTTCTGTTCTGACTCACTGCAACACTGGCAGGTTAGTTTCTTTCTCCATGTGGCTCCTTTGAGTAACTTCTTAAAAGAGCAAGCCTTCTTCTTTGAAGGAAAGCAAGCATCTCTTCAAGTTTGTAGCCTCTGGAAAGGTGCTCCATGGTGCATTTTCTAATGTGTGTTCATTTGACTTCAGTCTTGCTACCGCTGGATATGGCACTGCTCTGGGCGTCATTCGTGCACTTCATTCAGGCGGAGTGTTGGAAAGAGCTTACTGCACTGAGACACGGCCATTTAATCAAGTGAGTCTGTGGTTTCTATTTGGCTTTTGGCTCTTCCATAAACGTCGTGATATTTAAGCTATTGCGGCTTGAATCCATGTTTTTATTTATCTAGCAAGAAGAGTTTGATTATTTATTGGTGAAGCATCATGATTGTACCCCCATTACTGTAGGCTGTTAATGATTATGAATGCTTCTAGGAAATTACAATGTCAAGTTGATGTCCTGCCTTCCTGTCTCAGTAACGCACATGAATATTCCTATGGCAGGGATCTAGGCTCACAGCTTTTGAGCTGGTGCATGAAAAAATACCTGCTACTCTTATAGCTGACTCGGCTGCAGCTGCATTGATGAAAGAAGGCCGAGTTAGCGCCATTATTGTTGGAGCAGATAGAGTCGCAGCAAATGGTAACTTAATTAGAACACACTTCAACCGCCCTGTCCTGCATCTACTTATCAAAATATATACATCAACTACGAAAAGTTATTCTGCAGGAGACACTGCCAACAAGATTGGAACCTACAGCCTAGCTCTTTGTGCCATGCACCATAAAATCCCTTTCTACGTCGCAGCACCAGTTACATCGATCGACCTGTCCCTAGGTTCAGGGAAGCAAATCGTCATAGAGGAAAGATCTCCAAAGGAACTGCTGAAATCACGTGGAGGACTCGGGGAGCAAGTTGCTGCCTCTGGTATCTCGGTCTGGAACCCCGCTTTCGATGTCACCCCTGCAAGCTTGATCGCTGGGATCATAACCGAGAAGGTACTTCCTTCTCTCCAGCCATACTATTCATGGTTCCTCTTCTAATCTGGGGGGTTTTCTGTTACTTGAGCAGGGTGTCATCACGAAGGCAGACAGCGATGCATTCGACATAAAAGCTTTCGTGGCAACTCTGGCAAGCAACATATAATGCAGCTGTTCTAATACGCGGGGAGCCTAGTCAGTAATCATTGACTGTGTGTAATAACATCACCATCAGCGAGATTCCTGTTGATGTGAAAATCTATGCAGATTTGATTGAGATTATTGTTATTGAAATGAGTCAATTCATTAGAGAAATAATCTTTTTAGCGACGAGTTTGCATGGGGAAGTTCTCGTTCGAGTTTGCGTTCTTCCCTGTAATTTGCTCCTACTGCGAAACGGTTGATCAAACCTTTGTGTATTCTTAGCTATTATAGTCCAAGCTCCTCCAATTAAAAATCTAATTTCAATTCAATTTAGAGGAAGCTAATGTAATTTCCTAGTTTTAGCTCCTCGCTTTTAAATCATGAATTTGTTCGCGTGATAGTTCGTGTCGCAAGCTTTGCCTTTGTAAAATGAGGGGACAGAGAGTATCATCAGGCGCGAGATTATTACATCCAGAATGTTAGCACCTGACGATAAACTTTTTTTCTTCTTTTGAAGATAAGTTCAGAGAACATTACCAAACTCTTGAGAGGATAATGCACATGTGTTTTTTCATAGTTGCATCTAAAATATTCCCACGAGCAAGCGAACATTACCAAATGTCGAAAGTCCAATGTTATCACCAAGTTTTCTTTTCTGTTTTTTGTACATGAATCCAATCTTATGATCTAAAAGTTTGATTAGGAGAATGTCAATGAGCATATATATATATGGTAGGAAAAGTTTCAGCCCCTCATTAATTATCAACTTGTGTATCTATAATGTCAATGAGCATATATATATATGTGGTAGGAAAAGTTTCAGCTCCTCATTAATTATCAACTTGTGTATCTATTATCCATCACTGTTAAAACCCAATATCTCCAAGTTTGTTCTTCTAGATAAACAAGCATGAGACAATTCGAATCGGTTCCCCACTTGCATAGCCAAAATAGTAGTTACTTTCAAGAGAGAAAAGATGAGAATAAAATCAAATCGATCTCATGGCAATTTTCTATCTCCATACATTATACTACTAGCTAGGTCAATCGATTTCCTTGATGTTGTTTTTGATATGGGGGCAAGTAAAAGAGTTTGTAGATAGGCAGGGCTAGACCATCCAATTAATCACATGTTCATGAATAGAAATGTAGTTCAATTTTTGTTTAAAACATGAAAATTATGAGTATAGCATCATTATTTCAAATGTAATATCTCTTTAGCCCCGTTTGAAATAAAATTATCCAATAACTCTTTCAATTTTTGTATTCCTCCGTATGATCATTTTTCGTTCGTCATCGTCTCAATCCGTTAAGGCATCTGGTTAAGTTCCGCATAATTATGCAATGGGATGCTGCTATTTCTAAGAAGACAGACAAGGACAGTTTTTATGTCATTTTAGAACACAAATAGGACTTCAACGATCAATATTCATGCATCTTTCATATATATATATATGTATATATATATATATGAAAATATTGACCAATATCTAGTACTAATTATCTCTAATTAACATACTTAAACTCATTATCATAACCTTAATCAATTAATCATAGACCACGAAATCAATCTACAACATACGTTGGATTCACTAACAAAATTAGCGTGGAAAGCCCTTGAAGGTCTCTTCGCACATCCTATTGGCTGCCTCCTGTAAACTAGGGCTGGCTATTTGGTCCCGGACTATTTGGTTTTACCTGAAACCGGACCGTATAACCCGGACTGGGACCGGATAGCAAACAATGCAATCTCATATTCGGGCTTAGATTTGAGGTAAAAAAACCCGGATAAAGACCGGATAAGAGACCCCCAACACCTAAAATCAAGATAAAATTGGGACCGGACTGTATCCAATCCAATCTTTGATCCTTATATTCTCGAAAAAACCGGACTGGGACCGGATCAATTTGGTCCAATTTAACCGGACCTAAACCTATACAGGTGATGAAAATAAACTTGTTGAGTTTCGATAAGAAGTTCTAAAAAACCTAAAAGTAGTTCTGCTGCCATGGCATTTGGTTCATGCGAGCTGATCAAGTTGGGCCAATTGGGGAGAGCCAAAATATTCCTACTTTTTGGGTAAGGATTATGTTATTTTATATTATTAGCTCCCTTTCTCCCCACTCGATCCTTACGTGGAATTGTCAACTGTGGATGCTAAAGCTTTTTCGAGTTGTATAAATAGATAGATTTGCCGAGACATTTACTTTCAAAAGTATAGTAATCAAATCGAGCTAGCAGCTGGCTAATAACTAAGAAGGGAAAAAGGGATAAGATGAGGAAGAGAGCTGTTGCTGGAAGCCGGAATGATTTGCCTACTTCCTCCATCTCTAGTTTCAGCCCAAGGAAGAAGGAGAAGTGATGATTTGATGAAGTAGGCAGCGTTCTGGCTCCCCTCATCTCTCTTTCCACATGCTATCCTCCCCTCTTTTACACAGCCTAAGGAGATGATGAACTGCCCAATGGCATACTTGCATGATATGTACGTATCTGGAGACTGCATGCAGGTAATTAATTATTCTAAGCTTTCAGGTTAATTTCTTTGTGATTTCAGAATGATCTGCATATCCTCGATCGGGTTTTCCAAGTTGGTTTAGGATGAGAGGATGCTGAGTATGCGGTCGTAATATTCATTATTGAACCTTTTTCAATTACACGGTTATTGGAATCGATCAATTCTTGTCATTAGCGGCGGATCAACGGCCCAGTCCTCCTCTGGATCCGGAGCTAGTATACCCTTTATGAATTTTTCGATTTTAGACATTTGGTCCAGTGTTATTTTACAATAAAATTGTGTGTAACGAGAAAAATGGTTCAGACGAATACATTCAAATCTCTACCTAAATTTAGCCTAGAAATTCTAACCCCAATGATTATCGCCTTATAAAAAAACAATGAAGCCTTAAAGACTAAAAGAAATATGAGGTTTGTTCCCTTGAAAAATTACTAGGGCAGCTGGTGTAAATAGGGATGGACACACAATACAAATTAATTAGTCGATTGATTTGTCTAGAACCCATGTGAAAACTTATTTGCGCAACTAAATGAGTGATGAGTTTCTCGTCGATTGTTTAGCTATTTTTTACTAAAGACAGTATGCTATTGGTATGTATGTAAATTTCATTATTGAAGAATTTACTAATTAAAAGACCTTCGTGTACAATTGACATTGTACAAAAATTATGGCTATTATATATTTTTCATGGTATCTAATTTTCTTAAAAATTGCCGCCCAGTGCTCTACTATGTATCCGCCGCGGCTTGTCATGGTTTCAAATGTTTTAAGTTTGAACTTGAATTCTGTTAACCTATTTAGCGACGACTTTAAGGCCGTCGTTGAAGAGTTTTGTGTCACTTTTGCCAATAAACGGGCGGTGGTACTGGTCCCTATATTTTAACTTATTATCTTGATAATAAATTAATAACATGTGCTATTTTATTTACTTAATTTTTTGTCCACGTACTGTTATTGGGCAGCTTGTCTCGCATCGGTTGTTGGGCCGGTATGGAACAGAAGGCCCATCTCAGATGGGAAATAAGAAAAGTACTAATAAAGGAAGCTGGAGGCCCAAGCGAAATTAAGTTGCAGGGGTGGATGCTGGGCTATGCCCCTGGCCGATAGGGCAGAATAAATTAATAAAAAATAAATGAATTAAGCGTGTCCTTGTGATGAACAGATGAACAACTGCAGAAATAGACATTACAACAATGCTTGTGGCCAAGCATAACAATCCGATAAACATAAAACACCATCCCCACTGATGAGAGCTAAATTTCATTCTAACATCCCTCAAAATGATCTTTCTAAATCAAGCACAAGCTCTGGCGATCGTGACTTTCAGCTGAACATCTGTAGGATCACCACTTACCAGCTCGAAGTTGCAGACATCTCCAAGCTGGAGCGAGTTATCTTCCATGAAGCAGTTCCACCCAAGACCAAGCTTCATGTGCTTGGTCCTATAAGCGTACAGCTCTACTGTCCAATCCCTACCTCCAGCCTCAAGTTTCAGCCGTTGCTCGGTTAACTTAATGTGCTTCTGTCTAAAGGGTAGAGGAATATGCTGCAACAAAAGAACATCACATCCAAACATCCATCATTGCTAATTTCAAGCAGAGGCAAATGATAACTACAGCTGAAGAACAGTATAAGATCCAGATCCCTGGAGTCATAATGCATACCGGCTTTGCACCTGCCATGTAACTTTGACTCATTTTGATCTGGAAGGAGGGACGTTTCGATGGGAATCCATCTAATTGCAGAGCTCCACTTTTACTTGACTTTGAACAAGAACCTTGTTTCTCTTCTGAATAGACAGTATTGTGATTAGTGAAGCAACCTTCAGAACAAGCGTAAGAAATGCAAAACGAGGACCGAGAGATTTGAGAGATGGATTCATACCCATAGGATTATCAAACTCAGCAATTGATTTCCAGCAACTCTTCTGCTCCCTCTTCATCTGGATAGTACCAGCTTCACCAGCCTTACCATTACCACCATCGTTCGCCATTGGAGATTTGCCTTTGCTGTTCTCCTTCAACTTGTTTGTAGCTGCAGCATCCATTTCGTCGTCGTCAACATCACCATCCAGAATCTCCACAGAAACAGCCGAATCCTCAATCCCAATCGCTTCCCTAACTGGGTAATTGATCTCGGTAGCAGATCTACCGAAGATAACCACAGAGAACTCGCCGCGACCCGTGTACTCGAAAACCAGGAAGTGACCATACCCCAAAGTGTAAAACTCGGCAAATCTCTGCCACCCGCTGCTTCCAAACCAGACATCTTCCCCTTTCTTTATCAACTCCACTTCCCATTCGTCTCCACTGGGTAGCTTCAAAGTTGTAGACTTGGAGTGCAGCAGCCCGCCTGCGGAATCCCTGACGAACTTCCGCGGAACCAACTGCCAACCATTCGATGGTACTAAATAACTAAAATCAAAAGAGAAGAGGCGGAAAACAAAACTGAGGTTTGTGTTCTTTTACCAGCTTCTTGTCAAGAACGGTGGAGTGAAGGATGATTTTGAAGAAACGGGCGCCCGTTTGCTCGTCGGCCCAGTCACCGTCGCTGAAAATGCCAGCTGAATTCATAGTCCTTGTCAAAGTTTCAATCTTTCTTCGTCTTCGATAATTGCTGGGGAAGGTAAAGCAAAGGGGGGCCTTCTTTTGGCTTCTTGTTGAGGTTCTATTATATTAACAATTGTGAAAACTGAACCAGAGACCTGCTGGAGCCAATTTAACTCGTTTGTGTTCTGTTTTCTTACTGCAGAGTAAAAAAAAGGGGAGCGGGCTTCACTGTTCTTGGTCTGGGGATCTAGGAAAGGGAAGTGTACAATCACTGTAATGTCAGTCAGAAATATGCATTGGAAAGAAGGGACAACTACACAAACATGGGAGAAAATTGGATGACATGCATAGAACTGAAAAGATAAGAAGGAAACGATGATGGTTCAAATCAAATCTTTCAAGAGATGTCATTGCATTAGTTAGCAATGTGTATACTCCATCTCGTGGAAAGTACGCCAGAATTTGTGCTTGGTTCGTTGTCTTAGTGTTGTTTCAGGTCGCCTTCTAAGTGATGAAGTTGCAAATTCTTGATCTATGTTACTAGCTAGATCAGGCCATAGTCAGTCAGTAGCTGGTTTTTCTTCTGCTTTCTACAACGCCTTGTGGCCTGCCAGCCAGCCAGCCAGCCAAGCAACATGGTTTAAGAACCAGGTGATGAACAGCTGCAGAAACAATACAGTACTACTACAAATACTTAGTGGCCAGGCAACATAGAAATTCTACAACAATGTGGTTTGATGATACAACAAGTATGCTGTCAAAATAAACAAAACAGCCATATCCCTACTCCATAGAGAACACTACAAGTTCCCATAAAATAAACCATCTCTGAACATATTGAGTGGACCTTTCAGTCTTAATAGTACTCGCCTTCAGTGAGCTCTACGCTTTCTTGACGAACTTGAAGATGGGTTTCCAGAAGGTGCTTCCCCCTTTGAACCTTGTTCCTCTTCCTGCCTCACCATCTTGCTAGATTCGCCTTTGCCTTTGCCTTTGTTTCTCTTCAACTGATTTGTTGTTGTTGCAGCAGCAGCATCCACCTCACCACCACCACCACCACCATCTTCCTTGATTCCCACATCTTCTCTGACTGGGTAATCCATCTCCATGGTAGATCTATCAAATATGATCACGAAGAAGGTAGATCGACCCAAATACTTGAACACCAGGGAGTGGCCGTACTCCAAAGAGTAATACTGCGCAAATCTCGCCCACCCATGGTTTCCAAAACAAACATCCTGTTTCCCTTCCCTCGCCAGCCCCACTTCCCATTCCACTCCATCGTTTACCTTCAAAGTCGCAGATTTCCACTTCAACAACCCGCCGACGGAGTCCGTCACGAACTTTCTGGGAATCAACTGCAAATCAACGGCAAAATCAATAACTGAGAAGCAAAGCTCCGAAAAAAAAGTAGAATTAAAAAGGGGGATGGTTGAGTTTTCAGTTTTTACCAGCTTCCTGTCGCGAACGGTGGTCTGAAGTATGATTTTCAAGAAACTGGCGTCGATTCGCTCGGCCAAATTTGGGTCATCTTTGCGTCCAAGGCGGTGGCCGGAAGAAGCCATAATCGTTTCCGCTACCAGTCTGCCGGCGAGAGTATGTTCTTATTCGGTTATAATTTATATGGACAACCGGTGTTGGTTGGGGGAAATGAAACCTGGAACCAGAACCAGTCAACTCCATTTTCCTTTTGACTTTCCCGGCGCAGTAAAAAAAACTGACTTTTTACTATTTATCACAGAAAAAGAAGAAGAAAGGACCGAGGAAAGGACAGAGAGCGATGTGACGTATCAGAAGAAGTCGTGAATTTCACGGGCTTTGACTAAACTTTTCCATCTAGGTCCGTTAATATTCTATAGCCCACAAACTTGTTTTGTTTGAGATTTATGGGCCCAAAAGTGTCCAGAGCCCATACCGAATTTGTGAACCTTAAACATTAGACATTCAAATTGGCTTCAAACCGAATCAGTTAGGGCGTTAGGATCGTCTGGATGGATCGAAGTGATGAGTCAATGTGGCCCAATTGATTCAAATAAGACAATTGGATCAAATTATCTCATTTGGCTGCAAAAAGTAAGAATGAGGCAATTGGACCTGAAACAACGGAAATTGCTTCGTTATGGGTCAATGTCAATTACTTGAGTGGGAGGGAGATAATCTACATTGCTCCATTTTGTGGGTCACTTTTCCCAATATGACCCCTTTTATTTAATTTCTTTTTTCTTTCTTCCTCTTCCAAGATGGAGAAGGATAAAAGAATGATGACAAATATGTATTTTCATAAAATGCCTCATCACAATTGTCTCATGCCAAATCACAAGCCAAACAAGACAATTGTGTAAACATTTCCTCGTACAATTAGCTCATTTTCTAAAATGAGACTTTTGTCCCAAATTACCTCATTTTGAGAATGTTCCATCCAAACGGTCCCTTAATATATAATTTTACGAGCTAATCTTTTATCAAAGAATGTAACAAAACACCCAAGATTCATACCAAATCTTATTATCTTAGTTCGAAAGTAATTTTATAATTAAAAAAATGGAGAATAACAATAACAAAATAGTATAATGATCAACCGGAATGATGATGAGGAGGCGGAGCCTTGACGCCGCCGCCGCCGATAGGGGCGGCGCCGATGACGGCTTGACAGAATCCCTCCATGGCCTTGAAGTGCTTGGCATGCTGGAAAACCTCGAGCCGGCAGTCGTCGGTGAGATCCACGTAAGCTCTGCAACAAGGCTTCCCGATGTCGAGCACGGACCCGCCTTCGTACGCCTTCACTATGTCGAACATGCAGATCGGCACCTCGAACATCGCCTTCCAGCAATTCGCCGCCAGCTTCGTCGGCATCGTGCCCCGCTTACACGTCGTCGAATTCGTCGTCGCTATATCTGCTGTCCTCGTTGTTGTTGTTGTTGTTGTTGTTGAGACATTATTAGGGACGGAAAATATGGTCGCTAAAGAGGATATCAGTATCGTCGCCATGATAATTCCCCTGATGAACTGCATATTGAACAACAATGGTGAAGTAGGGTTGATGTTAGGCTTGATGTGGGAGATTAGAAGAGAGATAATTTCGATCGTATATTGGTGTAAAGTATTTATATTGATTAATTGTCTATGGAAATTCTATGGAGGTTTGTTTGTTTTCTTTTTGCATTGGTGCGTAGTGGGAATACAAGGAGTCAAACAGGGTGGTTTTAAGTATATTTTGGTTGAAATTGGTAATTTCAATTTGGTGTCATTAGCAATACTGAAAGTTGTATTGCAAAATGACTAGTATTTGGGTCCTTCTTTGACCTAAATTTCGTGTTTTATTTTTTTATTGTCATTAGCTGGTTATTATGTACAATGACTACTATTTAGTACACTACACAGCATTAGGAAGATGTTGACAGCCGGGAGGGTCCAAATTTGTGGACAATTGATTTTTTTTTTTTTTTGACAATAGCAATCATCATTTCATTCCAAACCCACGCAAGTGAGAAGCATTACAATTACAATAATGGAGCGACAAGATCAGCAATGACAATCCATTCTGAAGGAAGGAGATCGAGACGAGAGTTCCTCGCAATCCAATCAGCCATGGCATTGAATCGACGAGGGACAAACTCAACCGAGATCTAAGGAGAGAGGCAAAGAATGGAAACAACCCGGGCAAGAGTTGCCCGGCATTGCCATGGCCACATGCTCGGATCCTGTCTCAACGCAATCGTCAACCTCTGACAATCGGATCGGACACACGTTGGGACTGGATCCTAAGCAGCCAGGATAACTGCATTAAGAATCGCATAAGCTTCTACTTGTATAGGAGAAGAACAAAAGAATCTCTCAGCCCTTCCGTTGATAACCTGACCGTGGGAGTTAGCAATAGCAATCCCATACGCCGCCTCCTGTGCATCAGAGACAAAGGAACCGTCACAATGCACAACCTTACTGTAAGGACCAGGCGGTGATAAGGCCGTCGACCGAGATCTCCCAGGCTGAGACGGCAAACCAGCTGATCTTGACGAAGAAGGAGAGGCTGAGGACGAGGCCATAGCTTCCTTAATGTTTCGGTACTCTCTATCAGCTAGAATTGCCACAGTGGATGGGGAGAACACCTTCCCTTCGAAAACCATTCCATTACGAGCAATCCAGATATTCCACATTGTACACACAATCTTGTTGGTTTGGTCAGGTGTCAAGCTGTCTCTGAGAGGAAAAAACCAATCCGCAAAGCTGGTATCCGCAGAAGGGGGAACCCCCAACAAGCCAACCCTAGACCACGTCTCAAATTCCTTGTTGCAATGGAACAAGCAGTGCATAATCGTTTCAACATGCTCCTCACACACTGGGTACACTGGGTCAGAAGCACACTTGCGTTCAAACAACCTCGCTCGTGTTGCCATTGCATTCTTACCACTCTTCCAAATGAAAAACCGAAGCTTAGGGGGCAAGGAAAGATCCCACAACCACTTCCAATCATCCTTGTTTGGGCGAGGAGAGGAACCTGCATCAAAGGCTTGAGGGGAATCTCTCACCTCCCTAAACAGACGGTAAGCAGATTTAACACTGTAACCTCCTGAATCTGTAAACCTCCAAATCCACCGATCCTGCGCAGAACAGGGGCCGATCGGAACTCTAGCAATAGCTTGGACAATCTCTTCAGGCACCAGATTTCTGATTGCATCCATATTCCAGCTGCGATTAGTTGGATCAATCCAATCACTAACACGGGACGGCTCTAACCCCAGATGAGATAAACTGAAATTTTGAATGGACGGTAGCCAAGGGTCACAGTGGAATTGGGATTCCTCCCCAGGCATGATCCCCCTCAACAAGCCATCCTTCATATGTTCCTTGACCTCGCAAAAACCATTCCAGATCCATGAGCTTTTCCTCCCTTTAACTGCCGTAAACAAATCCCCATTGGGAAAGTAGAGCCCCTTTAAAAGCTTAGCCCACAAGGCATCCGGATTATCAAAAAGTCTCCACACCTGTTTCCCAACAAGCGCAAGGTTGAAAAGGTGGAAGTTCTTGAAACCCAACCCTCCTTCATCTTTAGGCTTTTCCAAATCCCTTGCGTTACACCAGTGGATACCCGTGGACAATTGATCGATTATATTGAATGTTCTATTGATGAATTTATAAGTCATCGTAAAACATTAAAAAAAAATGTTATAACAGAGTGAATTAATAACACAAGTGTAAGTTATACGGATATTTGTGAGATTTTTCTCATTCAGTGTGAACGACCTTTCGTGCTACCTAATTATAGCGATAAATGGCGAATTCAAAGTATACAATAAACAAGAAGATTACCAACTTTTATTGATCAATGCTTTGAATGGAATTTGTGTCTATGTATGTCACTTTCATTAGAGTGTGATATAAGATTCATTATTAAACCTCTTCCCAACAATTCAAGTTATTGGAACCAACTAGTTCTTGACACGATATTAGAGCATTCAATGACTAAGAGGTCTTGTGTTCGAATTCCCACAGCCCCATTTGTTGATCACATGGTATTCGAACCTGTGCAAACTTCAAGCCCGTATCAGTGACTTTCGTTTAAGGGGGCGTGTTAGTATGTGGTATACGATTCATTATTGACTATTTTAAACATAATTTATGTAATGAACTTCCCTTTAAACGACTATGGTTGTACTTGGTTGGTATGGTAATGAATGATAATGGATATGTTAGATTGGTTAAACTAGTTAAGTAATCAATCAAGTTAACTAAAGAGACTGATTATTTTAGTTATCTTTAGGTCTGTCTAAGCTATTTTGTTCTACGGTATTTTCAAATTAGTTTGATTTGGTTTACTTTTAGGGTATGCCTACTATGACATGCATGTCACGGTGACATGCACTTTTCGGTCGACCTACTGCTGAAGGCGGTCGACCGAATCGACTAATTTGGGCAGCACGAGAAAGCATTGCGGTCGACCTCAACGACCACCTGGTCGACCGCACTTAGTTTAAGTTGTTATTTTTGGTCGACCAGAATAAAACCTGGGTCGGCCATTTCGTTGGCGTCAGAAACAACATGGTCGACCACCTAAGGTATATAGGTCGACCACTTGATTGCAGTCATTAACAAAATGGTCGACCGGATGATGAAAGAGGTCGACCAGATAGAAGATAAGTGTTCTATCAAAGTGTCCAATTATTTGACGTAAAATCAAGATCAAGTGTTGGTTTCGCGGTCGACCTAATCCGTTACGAGGTCGACCGAATACAAGAAAGTCACCCTATGCCCCGTGTCTTTTTTGCTTATGTATGTCGATTTGTGTGGTTCTTTTAATCGTATAAATTATGTTTCAAACCATCATAATTAGTCATAAATAATTATAATAAGGACTCATCAATTCATAGCATAACAACTAAAAATAAAACAGAAATCATAATTGTTCACACATAAAAATAAAACTAAAAAAACAACAGAATAACACTCAACAATCATTTTGACCACTAAAACACACAATGTAAAAACTCATTTCTCCTACTCATCTCCCCCCTCTCTCTCATCCACATTTTCTTCATTGGTGGTGCTAGCATGATGGTGGTCGGATGTGGTGGGATGCATGTATCTTCCGCTGAAAGATCGCCACTCATCTCGCATCTCATTCACGGTCACATGCATTGTGCTCATCTGGGCGGTCATTTGAAATTGAAATCTCCAAAATTTGGTACTCCTACATTGCTCATGCGCTTCGGTTTGAAAATATCATCCAAATTGGACAACTACACACAAATAATGAATATTTTAAGTTTCTAGCATAATACGTGACGCTTAACAGTCAGAAAATTATAGGAAACACTTACCAATTTCTTGCATAGTGCTGATTTACGCCTACGATTAGCCTCACTAGTTGAAGGTAGACTGTCAAGCAAAAATGCAGTTTTTTGCTGGACATTGACGAGATACAGAAACCAATGACGTGCTTCATCGTCAAGAACTGGCATAAATATCTAGCAACGAAACACTCACTATATGTTATAAACAGCGAATACAAACAAATGCACTTTCGAAATTTAATGATAGAGGGACATTGACTAGACTAACCTTCTGGCATGCACTGACATTCGGCATAAAGACCACGCCATCATTCATCAACTTGTTACAAATTTGTCTGGTCTTCATGTTAGCGCGTACCATTTTCTGCAGCATGTTTTAGTTGAGATGAATTGACATGGTACAATTTAAATAACTAGGTTATGACAAATAATTTGACATTATGGCTCTTACCGAAAACATATTTGGCAAATACCACACATTTGGCTCTTTCACATCATGTTTTTCAGACATTGTTAGTGCCCTTGCACACAAATCCACTACCTACCATCCAACAATCAAACACAAAATCATCATAAATCGTAACATAAATAGTGCACAATTCATACGAAAGTCGTAGTAGTATAGTACTTACTGATGAGCAAACCCAGCTATTCTCGCTAATGACCGAACTCAAATAATGTCGTTGCACGTTTTCAAAAAAAAAGTCCACAACGGTCAAACTGCAAAAATCAAAATAACAGAAATGTCAATTGTGATTTGCAACGTACAGGTCGACCTGTTCATAGTCACGGTCGACCTTATTGGAAAAGAGGTCGACCTCATAACCGATCCGGTCGACCACACGTACTAAAAAACGTCTTACTTGTCCCAATTCTTGTCCCTAGCCTTCTCTTTAGTAACAACATAATACAAGTCTTCAACTGGATTTTGAAGATTTTTGGTGAATCCTTCTAGACCCTCCACTTTCATGACCTACAAATCATAGTTAAAACTAAAGTAACATATGAACACAAACACACATTATAGATGAATATGTAACGTAAACTTACCTCATGCTTTTCGAAAGGACTCTTAGATTCTTCTTCATCGCTATCATCACTAAATAATCCTTTTCTTACAAATTGATCCTTTTGTGGAGTGGTGTAGGAGTCACTTTCATATCGAGGTCTCTTGTACTTAGGAGAGGAACCCTTGCTGCCATTCGTTGTTTCACTCTGTCAAACATATAAACAAAACAAATTAGCACTAATGATAGTAATACTAATATCTTCAATCACATATGAATATACTTGGATACCTTTAAAATGTGCTCTTTCAATAAATCGTCTATGCTCTGGTAGCAATTTTCAGAGTCATCATGGTCTTCTTCCTCTTTACCAAAGTCAAATTTCTTTCCTTTACCATTTCTTCCGCCATTCTCCATTCGTTCTGCACTTATATTTTTGATAGCACCTTCTAGCCTCTCAAACCCGTCATGCATCATCCCAGTCATATCTGTCAGTCGAACTGACAATTGCTCCACTCTATCACACATGGACTTCTGAAAGTCATTGACTTGTGTTTGACACACCACCAGCTTCTCTTGTGTGGCTTTCAACAATTTCATGATTTCACCCAAATCTTGATGCAGTTTATCATCATGCGTCATTGTCTAAACAATTTCAAGAAAAATTTAAATCATAATTCAACTTCAAATTTCTATAATTGACCAAAAAACAAATACGTGGTCGACCTGACATAGTATTAGGTCGACCTAGAAGACAAATAGTGACTACCACAACCATTAAGGTCGACCTCTGTTATTCCTAGGTCGACCTATCCAGCAGGAAAATAACAATTAACAAGAAAAAGTAAGTTCTAAATTAAACCGAAAAAAGGATAGGTCGACCAGATATCTGGCGCGGTCGACCTTTTTAAGCACAACATAGTCATACAATCAAAGCCAAAGTCGACATTCAGGTTGAATAACCAAAAAAACAGGAACTGTCGACCTTGAAACCCATTAGGTCGACCAATTGGGTTACCTCGCAAGTACAGAAATCCAAGTGTTGTGGCCTAAATTCAAATACGCAGAATTGTCTCGTCAGGTCGACCTGGTTGACGTCACGGTCGACCGAATGGAATTCTGCACCCAACAATATATCAAATTAGCCGGTAGAAATCACACATTAGAAAAGAAGACGACGAATGGTACATTAGGTCGACCTCACCTTAGACCTGGTCGACCACTTCCAACACGTACAACAGCAACCGCGAACGATCTTCTTCACAAAGGCTCTTAATCGGAAAAAAACCTAATTCAGACTTGGAGGCGTTGAAGGGGACTAATATTCGTATTTATAGAGATTTAGGACGTCAATGGGTCGACCCAATTCGTTTCCTTGTCCAATTGTGGAACCTTTCTGGTGTTGGAATCCATATCCAATACGGATACGGTGTGAAGGCGGTCGACCTCTTCATAATGCGGTCGACCTGTTAGGTGCACAAGGGTCGGCCTATGAGATATTTGGGTCGACCTTTCATTCTGTTAGACCACCAAAGCGGTCGACCGTATTATGTAAGAGGTCGACCGCGTCTTGGAACCCCACATACATGAATTAGTCCATTCGGTCGACCGCATGTTGGATTAGGTCGACCGAAAAGTCCATGTCACAGTGACATGTATGTCACCGTAGCAAAATCCTTACTTTTATATGACATTTAAACACTTTTAGAATCGGCAAATATTCACGAATACACGCTATACTTTTTTCAAGTTAATAGAAAAGCTAATTCACTATAATTAGACTATTACCATGCATACATGCTCCTCATATTATGTGTTTATATCAACATTTAACATTAGAAATTATTTGAAAATCTTTCACTGAAAACAAAGAGCTTATAGAGATATTGATCAGAAGAAGGAGCTATTATATATACTCATACATATTGAATTTTGTAAATAATTTTACAAGAAGTGAGTCAACACATTTCTGATTTCTCCATCTCTCTTTTTCCACACCTTAATTATTCACGCTAATAACCACCTAATTAATCGCTCTCTTGACCCATCAACCGGAATGATGATGTGGAGGCGGAGCTCGGACGACGCCACCGCCGCCGATAGGTCCGGCGCCGATAACGGCTTTACAGAAGCCCTCAATGACGGGGAAAAACTTGGAGTGCTGGAACACCTCGATCCTGCAGTCGTCGGAGAGGTCGACGAACGCCCGGCAGCAAGGCTTCCCGATGTCGAACACCGACCCACCTTCGTACACTTTAACTATCTCGAACACGCAGAAGGGCACCTCGAAGATCGCCTTCCAACACAACATCGCCAGCTTCGTCGGAAGCTCCCCGCGCCTGCACGTTATAACTCTCGGCGACGACTCGATCCCATCCGCCACGGCGCCAGTCGTCGCTAAAGATGATATCAACGCTATTGCCACCAAGAAAATACAAGCTGCCTTCATCATCGTTCCCCTGAACTCCATTGATGGTTAGGAAGTAAGGATTTTGGTGATGTTCTTGCTTCAATAAATTGGTTAGTTAGTTATATAGCTTAATGATTGGGGAAGTGGAACGTGTCTGTATTTATAGACGGACGTACATGGTGGCTGCAGCTAGCTAGTTGGTGTAGAATTATATTATTACTGGTATTTTGGTACAATGCGATCACATTAAGATTAAGGGTTGGTCCGAATAAGTACAATATTTGTGTCGCACTTTTAGTTCATTCATTCGCACTTTTGTGGAGACTTAAACCGGTTACGTACAGTGGTAAAACGTGTTCAAATTGGCACAAGAACCATGTCGAAACGACAAGAGGAAAACACCAACTTTGATTGCTTTTTTTTTTTTTAGAGAAGTAAGGCAATGAATTGAATACAATGTTGTTTCGTATATTACAAGGTTTTGCAACACAGCACATTATGGATCCGGTCGGGTTTTCAAACTAATAAAGAAACGAAATTTAGGTCTCGGTGTACCTCATTTGTCATTTCACACATATAGGAGATAATCTAAGGATTGTTCATTCCGGACAGGTGTTTCGGGTCGAATATTACTTGCCTCTTTATTAATTAGTAAAGTAAGGTAAAGTGGGAATCCTATTTGTAATTGATAAGTTTTGTATAACCAATCCGCTGAACTATGCCTGAATGACGTGGATCGCGGAATGGGTAATAAGTTCCTCGTTCCGACTCCATTGACATTCTTAATGACAAGAAAATTATGTAGGTCTCTATCAATTGTTTATAACTGTGGAATATTGTTGGAGCCACCTGTGGTACAATCATAATAACTCATTCAACTAAATAAAGTTATTAATAAAGATATTCAAATATGAATTGTATATTAACCATTCAATTTCACCCATAAATGAGTGTACGTACATCATAAATAATTTCCACAAATATTCTTAATTATCATGCATGATTCTGGAATAATTGCTTTCCCCATCTATCACACAAAGAATCAATCAAATATTAAACTCCATGTAATTCCCCCAAATGTTCTTAGTTATCATGCATGATTCTGATATGATACATTGTCCTAGCAAACCAGGTGAAAAAGATTAAGCAAATCAAACCTTGATTCCTCAAGAGTAAATAAGAATATATATGATACCCACCGTGAAGAGATTCAATTCATTATTGCATGCCCTACGTACCAACCAATAATATTCCATGTTATATATATAAATAAGATCCCTTGTCTCCACTGCGATCACCATCAAATTATAACACAACCTCTTCTAGCTAGCTAGAACATCATCATTAACTATAGCTCTACGTACAATGGCAGCTGTGCAGTTCAGGTTAATCGTGACGACTTCCATCCTTTTGGTGGCCGCCACAGTGCTATCCTCTTCAGCGACGATCGATTCGGCCGTTGCTGATCTGCACTCTACTGCAACCACAACAACAGTGTCGACGACAAAGGTGGAGCCGGAGCTGGCAATGGAGTGCTGGGGGGCAATGTTGAAGGTCCCCAGCTGCGTGGGAGACATAGCCAAAGTGGTGATGGGTGACGTCGGAGCGATCTTCGGGTTAGGCAAGCCTTGCTGCAAGGCCTTCCTGTCGCTGACTGACGATTGCAAGATCAAGGTGTTCCAGAACTTGAAGTTCCTGCCGGTCATTGAGAGCTTCTGTGCTGCCATCACCGGCGGCGGCGGTAGCGGCAGTTCTCCTCGTTCCGGCTGATCTGTCTAGCTCTAGATCTGATTTCTCATTGATTTTAGTCATGTACGTAGCTAGCCAAGGGATGCATGGATTCTGTTTATTTCCTTTAGGGTTTCGTTTAAGGGGAGGTGGTCATAGTGAATAAATTCAGAATGGACAGGAAATATAATAATGTACTAGTTTTTTGGCCCGCGCTCCGCCGCGGTAAGAACTAATGATTTAGTTTTAATCAAATAATTCATAAAATTATTTAGATAAGATACATATGCAAGTTTCACGTGATGTCTTAATCATTAAGAATAACATAGTCATCCTTTTGTTTAAGCGATACATCGTAAATAACTATTTCAACATAAAATTTACATAGTGTTTAGTCATTATAGAAACCTTACATTTTTTTAATTGATACATATAAAATGATTATTTGTTCATAAACTTTATATAGTGTCTTAATCATTAAGGAAAATTCATGCAACAATTATAGATAGTTATTACATAAATTTTTCATAATGTGTGGTCTAATAATAAAATCACATTATAATAAGTAACATTCATGAAGTTTTAATTTATGTAACTGTCATATAATATTGTTACGTAAATATTTCATAAGGTGTTGTCATAGAAAGTAACACGAAAGTAACATATGATTAAATTGTTATGTAAAAATTAAATAATCAAGAGCTTATGGTAAAATTAGATGTATGTGATAAAGAAATATTATAGAACATTATTACATAAATCTTTAATAATGTGTGGTCTAATGATAAAATCAAATTTTAGAAAGTAACATATTGTTTAGTAATAAACATTGAAAGTAAAGGAGTTTCAGTTAATAATTTATCATAGAATTTCATATGAGTTTCAGAATTATCGTAGAATTGGTTGTATGGGGAATAAAACTCATATGAATAGTATTGCTAAAAAGGAGAAAATGAGGATTATGGTAAAATTGGGCATATGTGATAAAACTCCATTGTCAGCAATACCCGTTGAGAAAAAAATCTCATGTAAGAGTTATAGATAGTTATTACATAAAATCTTCATAATGTATGGTCTAATAATAAAATCACGTTATAGTAAATTACATTCATGAAGTTTTAATTTACGTAACTGTTATAGAATGGTGTTATATAAATCTTCTGTAATATATTACATTCATGAAGTTTTAATTTGCGTAACTGTTATAGAATGGTGCTATATAAATCTTCCGTAATATTTGGTCTAATAATAAAATCAAGTTGCTATGTAGGAAATTTATATTTATTCGGTTACATAGTTCATTGATATATATTTATTTGTGTTTTTGGTTTACTTTTTATAAAAAAAAGCTAAAAGTATATGTCTTCTTCCCTTCTCTGCTAATACCCGACAAGATTTGTGAACTCGAAGAACAAAGCAAATTGTTCAGAGAACAGGTAAAACGTAGTAGGTTGGCATTAAATGGGCTTTGCCTGTTCAGTCCAAGGCAAAATACATGGGGAAACCTTAATTACGGAATGGAATATCATGGAGCAGAGGTTAGGTGATTAATTCCTAAGTGAACAGTAACTAAACTTAATTTTTCGCGACAATGTGGCTTTTGCTATTTTTTCGAATGAAACAGTAAAAATATGTAAACGTAACTTGTGCTATTAATAATATATTATTCGGTTACATAGTTTATTGATATATATTTATTTGTGTTTTTGGTTTACTTTTTATAAAAAAAAGCTAAAAGTATATGTCTTCTTCCCTTCTCTGCTAATACCCGACAAGATTTGTGAACTCTAAGAACAAAGCAAATTGTTCAGAGAACACGTAAAACGTAGTAGGTTGGCATTAAATGGGCTTTGCTTGTTCAGTCCAAGGCAAAATACATGGGGAAACCTTAATTACGGAAGGGAATATCATGGAGCAGCGGTTAGGTGATTAATTCCTAAGTGAACAGTAACTAAACTTAATTTTTCGCGACAATGTGGCTTTTGCTATTTTTTCGAATGAAACAGTAAAAATATGTAAACGTAACTTGTGCTATTAATAATATAATGTTTTCTGATTCATCTGAAAGAAAGAAATTGAAGGGTGGTGTCTAAATCGGTTTTTCATTAATCGTGTATATGTTACGTTCTTTTTGTAACTTGATCCTCAATCGTTATCATAAGAAGTGATGATTTCTGATTCATTTGAAATAAATTGAAGGGTGATATCTAAATCGATTTTTCATTAATCTTGCATATATTACGTATTGTGGAAAGATAAGTATTTATTTGAGAGAGGTTTGCTAGCTAACCGGTGCCTAGTTTTTATTCTTACTTAAGACACTAATTCGAGTGATGAATGTTAAGAAAAAAATGTATCAAAACCAAACTATATATGGGCTCCTTATTAACTAGGTTGGAGACTTACCATATGTCATGTGCATATATTTAATTAGTATTATTAATTAATTATGGGTTGTTATTTGTTAAGGGTGAGTTAATGACGTAAAGTAGTGGGTAATTAGTGGGTTAGTGGTTTCCTAGAATTGGGGATTGGGGATTTAGTTTATGCTTTGTTGTTTACGTTTCACTGTTTCAGTAGTTTGTAGAGTTCTTAGTTCTCTTTTTGAAGTAGCAGATTGATAGAAGAAGGAATCAATCAAGTATAAACATAAAATGGTTTTACGGTGTTAATCTAGGAGGTTGGCTTTTCACGAAAATTTTTAGGGGTTTTGTTCTCGCCATTAAGGAGAACACTTCTCTTCTTCCAATCTATCTATATTTCCTCCATTCCCTTCTTCATATTCCGGTCTTTATCTCTAAATGATATTCTACAAAACGTGCACGTAACACCATACTCTTATTATACATTTGATTTCGAAAACAAAGAGTACACTCTTAACAAAGAAGAATTGATTTTGGGTAATTGTCAAACGAAGAAATAGCAATTGAATATAGAACAAATGCAAACCAAATTAAACATTATTGTTCGATTAGAAACTTGAAATCACATCATATTCATATCTAGTTTCGTAGACTAATGTATATAAAGCGAGCTATGGTAATATGTAAAGAAACGTGTCATATTCACTCCCCGACCATTCACACCGAACAATTTAGTTTTTGCCGCGATTGATAAAATAGATTTCAATATTACAATTGTTTCAAACATGCACGAGATATATATACTGGAATTATCTTATTCCTATACCTCCAATGAGCATAACGAATATAGTCTACTAAGAATATCAAATGTCATTATGTACACAACTAAACAAAACGTGTAAACCGATTTAATTAAACTTCAACGGGGTGAGTAAACTGATGCATCTTCAATTTCTTAGTGAACATCGTATATTATACATCGGTAAAACGACACTATTCAATTCAAGCATTTCCCAGTTTCCCACCACTACGACAACAAAGAATGGTAACACAACGGATTCCATGTAATTCCTATAAATACAGTCGATATATCTCATCTTCCAATCATCAAATATAACATCATCACAACATCCACTTAATATCTTTCAACCCACTGTTCACCATCAAAAACAATTCTAGCTAGCGATCGATATGGGTATTCATTGCAGAGGAATGATCATGATCGTGGCTTCAATTCTCCTGGCGACGACGGCGGTGCTAGCCTCTTCTTCAGCGACGCTTGAATCCGCCGCCGTCGCTAATAGTAACGCGACCAGGCCGGGAGCAACCCCACCAGTGCCATTGCCGAGGTGCAGAAGGGGAACGATGGAGCCAAAAGTGGCGGCGAAGTGTTGGATAGCGATACTCGAGGTTCCCTTGTGCGTGTTTCAGATCGTGAAGGCGTTCGAAGGCGGATCGGTGTTCAGCATCGGCAAGGCCTGCTGCCACGCCTTCATCGACCTCACCGACGACTGCAAGATCGAGGTCTTCCAGAAGTCCGAGTTCTTCCCGGCCATCGAGAAGTTCTGTGCGGCCATCGGCGGCGGCGGCGGGGCCAATACTACTACTGCGGCCGGTCTCGGCAACTAATATCTCCTCGTTCGGCTTGATGATCATATGTAATTTTCTTTTGTTCACGCCTAAACTAAGTGTGGAAAGAAAGGAAGTAGCTAATTTCGATATTGTATGCCCCATTGTAACATAATTATAAATGGATTTCTCATACTTTTTTTCTCTAAGCTTGTTAAAAATGTTATTTGAAAAAAAATCGGCCGAAATCTGTGACGGTATCCCTTTAGAATCTATGAAAAATGACCCTGAAAAAATCATTCCAAATCAGTGCCTAATAGACTTACTCATTGATAAAAAAAAAATAGCCTCAGGCCGAATCCATGTTCCGTACCCGTCAAAATCCAAGGAAAACGAACTTTCGAAAAAATCGCTCAAATAGATAATTATTAGACTTCATCATAGTTGGAGAATAGCCTCCGGAAAAAAAATTATTAATCATCGATGGAGATTAGCCTCAAACTGAATATGTGATTTGTAGCCTTCAAAATCTAAAAAAATTGGGTTTTGAAAAAACCGTCGAAAATGTGATGGTACCCCTTTGGAATGTGCCAAAAATGGACCCGAAAATTTTTGTTCAAATTAGTGGTTAATAGACATAATCAACAGTGAAGAATAGTCTCAGGACAAATTCATTATCTGTAGTCTTCAAAATACAAGAAAATTTGCATTACAAAAAATTTCCCAAAAAAGTTACGAAAATGCCCTAAAAAATCTGCTCAAGTCGATGATTAATAGACTTTACCATCGGTGGAGAATAACATCAAGCCGAATTCGTGATATGTAACCTTCAAAATCAATAGAAAATTATTTTTCGAAAAAATCACAAGAAATATGTGATAGTACCTCTTTGGAATCTGTCAAAAATGGCTCCTGAAAAAATCCACACATATTGATGCTTAATAGACTTAATCATCGGTGAAGAATAGCCTCAAACTGAATATGTGATTTGTAGCCTTCAAAATCTAAAAAAATTGGGTTTTGAAAAAACCGTCGAAAATGTGATGGTACCCCTTTGGAATATGCCAAAAATGGACTCGAAAATTTTTGTTCAAATTAGTGCTTAATAGACATAATCAACAGTGAAGAATAGTCTCAGGACAAATTCATTATCTGTAGCCTTCAAAATACAAGAAAATTTGCATTACAAAAAATCTCCCAAAAAAGTTACGAAAATGCCCTAAAAAAATATGCTCAAGTCGATGATTAATAGACTTTACCATCGGTGGAGAATAACATCAAGCCAAATTCTTGATATGTAGCCTTCAAATCAATAGAAAATTATCTTTCGAAAAAATCACAAGAAATATGTGATAGTACCTCTTTGGAATCTGTCAAAAATGGCTCCTGAAAAAATCCACACATATTGATGCTAAATAGATTTAATCATTGGTGAAGAATAGCCTCAGCCGAATCCGTGATTTTTTTCAAGTTAATAGAAAAACTAATTCTCTATAATTAGACTATTACCATGCATACATGCTCCTCATATTATGTGTTTATATCAACATTTAATGTTAGCAATTATTTGAAAATCTTTCACTGAAAACAAAGAGCTTATATAGAGATATTGATCAGAAGAAGGAGCTAAGATACTCATACACAACCATAAAAAAAAAAATACTCATACATATTGAATTTTGTAAATAATTTTACAAGAAGTGAGCCAACACATTTCTCCCTCTCTCTCTTTTTACACACCTTAATTATTCACGCTAATAACCACCTATATATAATTAATAGCTCTCTCTTGATATATCAACCGGAGTGATGATGATGATGATGATGTGGAGGCGGAGCTCGGACGACGCCACCGCCGCCGCCGATAGGTCCGGCGCCGATAACGGCTTTACAGAATCCCTCAATGACGGGGAAAAACTTGGAGTGCTGGAACACCTCGATCCTGCAGTCGTCGGAGAGGTCGACGAACGCCCGGCAGCAAGGCTTCCCGATGTCGAACACCGACCCACCTTCGTAAACCTTGACTATCTCGAAGACGCAGAAGGGCACCTCGAAGATCGCCTTCCAACACACCATCGCCAGCTTCGTCGGAAGCTCCCCGCGCCGGCACGTTATCACCCTCGGCGACGACTCGATCCCATCCGCCACGGCGCCAGTCGTCGCTAAAGATGATATCAACGCTATTGCCACCAAAAAAATACAAGCTGCCTTCATCGTCGTTCCCCTGAACTGCTGCATCTCCATATAGTTAATTAGTAAGTAAGTAAGAATATTGACGATGGCACAGCTACAAATAAAATATGGTTAATCAGTTATGGCTTTGATGATTTTGGGGAAACTGCGGTGTGTGTGAATTTATATACGGACGTGGTGGCTATAGCTAGTTGTGCAGAAAGTAATGGTATTTTGGTACGTTGCGATACAATTAGAGAGGTACGGACAGTGGGAGGGTCCGAATGAGGACAATATTTGTGTCGCATTTTTTTTGTTCATTTTTGTTTCCTAGAACATGTATTGGGTCGGTTTGTTCATTGGTGAAATGTGTTCAAACTGGCACAAAAACCATGGAGGAACGACAAGAGGAAAATGCCAACTTTGATTGCTTTTTTTTTAGAGAAGTGAGGCATTGAATTGAATACTAATTTTGTTTCGTATATTACAAGGGTTTTGCAACACACAAGACATTAGGGGATCCTGTTTTCCAACTAATAGAGAATAGAAATTTAGGCCTCAATGTACCTCATTTCATATATCGGAGATTCCAAGGACTCTTCATTCCGGGTAGGATTTCGGGTTGCATATTACCTACCTCGTAATTAATTCGTAGAGTAAGGTTAAACGTGAATTCTCTTTGAAATTGCTAAATTTTGTACCCGACTTGCTGATCGCATGTCTGACATGGGTCGATATGGGTAAGTTCCTCATTTCGACTCCATTGTCAATGTTCTTAATGACAAGAAAATTATGTAGGCCGTGGCGGATCTAGGGGGTCATCCCCGGGCCACGGCCCAGCCCTTCCCGGATCCAAAGCTCGTACAATACTTGTAAATTTTCGACTTTGGGTATATATTTCAATGTTTATAGGGTTACGGTCCAGCCCTCTTCACCGCTTTTTAAATACGACCCAGTGATCTAACCTGTTCTGGATCCGCTGCTTGTAGGTCCCAATCAAGTTTAACTGTGGATTATCGTTTGAGCCACCTGTTGTACAATTATAATAACTCATTCAACTCATTAACTTATTATCAACTCAATAACTTAGTATACCATTTACTTATAATGAGAGAACCTCATAAATAATTTCCCCAAATATTCTTAATTACCATGCATGATTCTGAAATAATGATTGCATGCTTTCCCCATCGATCACACAAAGAATCAACCACAAATCGAACCCCGTTTAATTTGCTTATAAACTTCAAAATCTGATGTGATACATTGTCCCTAGCAAAACAGGTATATATCGATCAGGTGAAAATTAAGATGAAGCAAATCAAACCTTGATTCCTCAGAGTAAATGGAATATTATACGATATCCATATATCGATCGTGAAGCCATTCAATTCATTGCACACACCACCAATCAATATTAATTCCATGTTATATAATCCCTCGTCTCCACGGTGATCACCGTCAAGTTAACATACCCTCTTCTACCTATAGCTAGCTAGAACATTCATTAGATAGTATAAATTACTGCTTCTTAGATTTAGCTGTAACAATGGGTGTGCAATTCAGGGGAATCATGACTTCCATTCTTTTGGTGACCGCCATATATGGGCTAAAAGGCTAATCAATGTTTGGATATTTGTGGAAGCTAAATGTTTATTCGCGAGGCTTGCTAACCGATGTCTAGTTTTGTTCTTTCAAATTCGAGTTACGAATGTTGAGAGCATGCGCACCAGTTAAATGTATCAAACCAAACTGCATGTATATGGGCTTCTTTACTAACTAGGCTGGAGACTTAGTTATCATACTCTTATCATACATTTGATTTCGAGAACAAAGAGTTAGCTCTTTATAACTCCCGCTATATTGAGATGAATTGATTTGAGTAATTGTCATTTGTCAACGAAGAAATACCAAATGAAAATAGAAGAAAAGAAAAGAAAATCAAATTAAACATTATTGCTCGATTAGAAACTTGAAACCACATAATAGCTAGTTTCGTATACTGATAGAAACATATTTATAGAGTTCTATCGATTGGGCAGGGAATTTTGGAATTGATTGAGATTTAGTGATTTAAAAGAGAATTTGGGGAAGAAGAGAAGAATTTTAGGGATTGAGGAAGAACAGCCGAAGCTTTGGAGAGAGAGAGAGACACGAGATTGAGGGAGAAGGATAGCCTAGGGTTGGAATAATTTCGTATTAACTTTCTTGATTAATTCTAAATAAAACGCCATGTACATATTTATAACGAAAGACTGTAAAAACCTAATGGACTATCCTAATATGACTCAAAGACTACTAACCGTAGGTTTCTATCATATACTAATATATATGTAGCAAGTTAATCGTAGTATGTAAAGAAAACTATTAGATTTACTCTTGACCATTCGTCCCGAGCAATTTAATTTATCCTTATTGGTAAATAAGATTTCGATATTGCAATTGTTTCATACAAAAGATATGTTGGAATTATTTATTCCAATTTCAAATCCTAGCTACCAATTAGGTTTTCTTTAAATAACACATCGATACTTCCAATGAGCTTAGACAACACACTTCCTAGTTCTGAAGCATAATGTACTAAGAATATCAAATGTCATTATGTGCAACTAAGTACAAAACGTGTTAACCAATTTAATTAACCTTCAATGGCGTGAGGTAACTGATGCATCTTCAATTTCTTAGTGAACATCGTATGTACATCGTAAAACGACGCTATTCAATTCAAGCATTCCCACCACGACGAAAACAGAGAATGGAAACACAATGGCCGGGTTCCATAAAATTCCTATAAATACGCTCACAAAAACGGTAGATACATCTCATCCTCCAATCATCACATCATCTACTCAATACCTTTCCGCACATTGTTCATCATCAGTTGCAATTCTAGCTAGCGATATGGGTATGCAAATGCAATACAGGGGAACGATCATGATCGTGGCTTCCATTCTTCTGGCGACGACGGCGGTGCTAGCCTCTTCAGCGACGATTCAATCCGCCGTTACTAATACTAACGTGACCAGGCCGGGAGCAACACCACCAGTGCCATTGCCGAGGTGCAGAAGGGGGACGATGGAGCCAAAAGTGGCGGCGAAATGCTGGATAGCGATACTCGAGGTCCCCTTGTGCGTGTTTCAGATCGTGAAGGCGTTCGAAGGCGGATCGGTGTTCAGCATCGGCAAGGCCTGCTGCCACGCCTTCATCGACCTCACCGACGACTGCAAGATCGAGGTCTTCCAGAAGTCCGAGTTCTTCCCGGCCATCGAGAAGTTCTGTGCGGCCATCGGCGGCGGCGTCGCCAATACGACTACTACTACTACTACTGCGGCCGGTCTCGGCAACAAAGCTCCATCTCCTCGTTCGGCTTGATGATCATATGTAATTTTCTTTTGTTCACGCCTAAACTAAGTGTGGAAAGAAAGGAAGTAGCTAATTTCGATATTGTATGCCCCCATTGTAAAATAATTATAAATGGATTTCTCTTACTTTTTTCTCTATCCGTTAGCTTGTTAAAAATGTTATTTGAAAAAAAAAAAGCGGCCGAAATCTGTGATGGTATCTCTTTAGAATCTATGAAAAATGACCCTGAAAAAATCAGTCCAAATCAGTGCCTAATAGACTTACTCATTGATAAATAAAAAATAGCCTCAGACCGAATCCATGTTCCGTACCCATCAAAATCCAAGAAAAACGAACTTTCGAAAAAATCGCTCAAATAGATAATTATTAGACTTCATCATAGTTGGAGAATAGCCTCCGGGAAAAAAATTATTAACCATCGATGGAGATTAGCCTCAAACTGAATATGTGATTTGTAGCCTTCAAAATCTAAAGAAATTCGGTTTTGAAAAAACCGTCGAAAATGTGATGGTACCCCTTTGGAATGTGCCAAAAATGGACCCGAATTTTTTTTGTTCAAATTAGTGCTTAATAGACATAATCAACAGTGAAGAATAGTCTTAGGACAAATTCATTATCTGTAGCCTTCAAAATACAAGAAAATTTGCATTACAAAAAATATCCCAAAAAAGTTACGAAATGCCCTAAGAAAATATGCTCAAGTCGATGATTAATAGACTTTACCATCGGTGCAGAATAACATCAAGCCGAATTCGTGATACGTAGCCTTCAAAATCAATAGAAAATTATCTTTCGAAAAAATCACAAGAAATATGTGATAGTACCCCTTTGGAATCTGTCGAAAATGGCTCCTGAAAAAATCCACGCATATTGATGCTTAATAGACTTAATCATCGGTGAAGAATAGCCTCGGGCCGAATCCGTGATCTGTAGCCTTCAAAATCTAAGGAAAATGGTCTTTCGATAAAATCGCTCAAAATCTGTGGTAATCCTTTGAAATCTGCCAAAAATGAACCCGGAGATATAATCCACCGATATCGGTGCTTAGTAGACTTAATTATTGGTGAAGAATAGCCTTTGGCCGAATTCGTGATCTTTAGTCTTCAAAATCTAAGAAAAATGACATTTAGAAAAAATTGTCCAAAATATGTGATGATACTCTTTTGGAATCTACCATTGTAAAAGCAATGAAACAAAAGAATGCAGGCGGAGACAACCAAAGTAAACGACGGCCTATTGTCTCATTTGGGCTGAACAACCAACTATATTAAGCTAAAATAGCAACACGCCCTCGGCCAAAGAAAAATTTGGTTTCCACTTCCCATACTATCCCTCCGTAAATCACTCTGAAGGCAGGACTTTTTGAATGAGGTTGACAACTTTAGTTTTCTGCTGTTAATTATAGTGTAGATTTCAATTAATCCTATTGTTTTTCGGCGAAGAAAATATGGTGTTTGAACACAATGAATGCACCTTTGACTTTTTGAACAACGATAATTACACGGTTCACTCCTCTCCGAACAATGTTCGAACGAGGGTGTTTGATGTTTTTGATGGTTTTTTGGGAACAAGCTAAGTTACGTTACTCTACTCCTATGGAGGTTCAGCGAGAGCTCCAAAAAACTAAAAGGTAAGTTGCAGAGAAAAGATAAATTTTGACATTGTGCGTCAAATGTTTGGTTGTGGATCTCGTGCTTCGTCTTCGTTTCCCCTATTTATAGCCATCACTTGTAACCGCCATGTAACTGCCTCTTGTAACCGCTGCCTTCCATGCTTGGTACTTGATGTAGCCTGCTTGACACATTGCCTGCCTTACGGGCTTGCCATTTGATACCTTGCACCTTGACAACTTCACTTGATAGCTAGCCCATTGTGCCATGGAGGTGTATTGCTTGGTGAGTGAGGGCTTCACGCTTGATGGTACTCGTGCTAACCACCCTCGACACTAGGGTGCTTAGGGGTCTGATGGATGCACACTGACCATCTTGCAACGGCGGATCCAGAACACAAAAGAGCACTGGGCCGCATTTTATTAGAAAATTAGAACCGTAAAACAAATCTAATGATTATAGTTTTGTTTTTACAATGTCAATTGTACACGACGGTATTTTAATTTAGCGAATGTATCAATAATGAAGTCCACATCTATACCAATAGTATACACTGTTTCAAATAAAAATACTTGAGCAATCGGCAAGAAATTCATCGCTAAAGAGTGCTTGCGCAAATATGAGTAGATGGTTAGGAACACCAAGATACACAAAGGATTAGTAAGAGAGAATTTCTAAATTATCAAAAAAATTTCTGCATAAAAGAATATTTATTGGGTTTTAAATTGGGCTTATTTTTTGCGCAAATCATTTTTCACATGTTTCATTGTTGAAAAGGTTCCCTTCGTAGTAGTTGTTGAAATGAGCAGCGTCAACACTAGACAAATCAATCGACTAATCAATTTGCTTTATGTGTCCATCCCTATATTCACCAGCTGCACAGTAAATTTTCAAGGGAACAAACCTCATATTTCTTTTAGTCTATTACGTTTTAGACTTTTAAGTTTCATTATTTTTTTAGACGCACAATCTTTGGGACAAGAATTTCTAAATTAAATTTAAAGTAGTGATTTAAATATGTTCATCTGAATCATTTTTCTAGTTATACACAATCTTATTATAAAATAACATTAGACCAAGTGCCTAAAATCGAAATTCTATAAGGACTATACTAATACCGGATCCAGAGGAGGGCTGGGCCGAGGCTTGGGGTGGCCACCCCCTGGATCCGCCAATGCCACCTTGAGGTGGCATCATGCTTGCAGGGTCTTGACAAGGTGGTCTATCATGTATGATATACATGGCTGACATAACTACCCATGAGGCATAACATGTCTGCTGCTTGTGATGATGTCCTTGTATGACCCCATTCTTGACACTCTAGCCCACGATAGATAGTAGCTATGGTGTTTGGTGCTTGACCCCCCTTGTGGTTGAGTCTCAACACTTCGCTAATTTTCACCTTCTTTTGCCGCCACATGCTCGATGTCTCGAGTGCAAGGGTAGGTAGGCGACCATGATACTTGGTGCTTCACCCCATTGTGGTGTCATGCATGACCCCCCTTGTTTTTGAGTATCATGGTACCTGGTGCTTGACCCCCTTGGACGATGTCATGCATGACCCCCCTTGGATGATGTCATCCTTGACCCCCTTGTGGTTGGGTCTCAACACTTAGCCAAATTTTCCTTCTTACTGCATCACGTCTAGGGGTACTCGCGATGGTCCCCTTTGCATGGCATCATACTTGATACCCGAGTGCAAGGTAGGTGACTACGTATCATGCATGACCCCCCTTGGATGATACCATGCTTGACCCCCCTTGTGGTGGGTCTCCATACTTAGCCAAATTTGCCCACATCATGGCGACTTGGGTGGTTGATGTTGAAGGGTTGACCCTCTTACATGAGGGGTGGGTATTTGGTGGGTCAAGTGGTGTGTGTTGAGGTACCTGGTATGAAGTCCAAAATACCATCATTTAGGCCTAACTTAAACCAATTTAATTAATATGGTTAAGTTGGCCTTATAAACCACTACCGCTCCTTGAAAGTAATCAATATGATATTATGTGATCTTTTAGTGTGGTAAACACCTAACAATTAGGATTTCTTTAAATAACATTGATACATCCAATGAGCATAGACACACACTAGAAAACAATTAAGTAAAACATTGTTCAACAAAAAACTTGAATTCACATGCTTCTCAGTTCCATATACTCATTCATTTTATTGGAACGAATGAGCAAATTTTTGCTATGGTATCATAACCATTGATTCTTCTGAAAGTTCGCATATTCAATCTAAACAACTCTAGCTAAGTACCACTACAAGAAAATTAGGGGTTACGTTGAAATCAATTGTACAAAATTTCAAATTCTACTAAGGATATTATAAGATTCAACCATAACATCGATACATCATATACATCTCATGCCATATGCACATTCAACACTTGCTAGCTAGCTCATTGTAGGTAAATACAGCCAGACACAAGTACCCAAATCAAATTAGCCTTCAAACAATCAAAATTTCTTAGTGAACATCTACTCCATCATATTAAAAAAAAACAACGTTTTATTCAATTCAACCATTCCCCACCACCAAGAAGATTGCATATGGTTTCTATAAATACACTCACAAAATACAATCTGTATATCTCATCATCTTTCCACATCCCAATCTCCCAAACCGGCCATCAGCGATACTGTTCATCATCAGTACAAAACCGTCTAGCTAGCGACATGGGTATGCAAATGCAATGCAGGGGAATGATCATGATCGTGGCTTCCATTCTCCTGGCGACGACGGTGGTGCTAGCCTCTTCTTCAGCGACGCTTGAATCCGCCGCCGTCGCTAATAGTAACGCGACCAGGCAGGGAGCAACACCGCCCGTGCAATTGCCGAGGTGCAGAAGAGGGACGATGGAGCCAAAAGTGGCGGCGAAGTGCTGGATAGCGATAATCGAGGTCCCCTTGTGCGTGTTTCAGATCCTGAAGGCGTTCGAAGGCGGATCGGTGTTCAGCATCGGCAAGTCCTGCTGCCACGCCTTCATCGACCTCACCGACGACTGCAAGATCGAGGTCTTCCAGAAGTCCGAGTTCTTCCCCGCCATCGAGAAGTTCTGTGCGGCCATCGGCGGCGGCGCCAGTACAGCGGCCGGTCTCGGCAACTAATATAAGCTCCATCTCCTCACTCGGCCTGATGATCATATGTATTTTTCTATTGATCATCAAAGACTAAACTAAGTGTGGAAAGAAAGGAAGTAGCTAATTTCAATGTAACCTATGCTCCGATGTAAAATAATTATAAATGGATCTCTCATACTTTTTCTCTCTTAATTGTTACAAAAACCAAACCGGCCAATTTACGATCGGACCAATAAAATCGTCAAATCAGTTACAATAGCGATCCGATTCATTTGTTTGGATGCGGTTCGAGATGTACAAAACATTTTTTAACGGTTGGACATGAGATCACCAGATCACTTACTTTGTCTCTCTCTCTCTCTTGTTACAGAAACCGAACCGAATGAGCAATTTGACAAGTAGAATCACAAGATAGTTACAACAACGGTTTCATCCATTTACTTAGATGGTTTGAGATGTATCAAACATTTTTAATGGTTGGATGGTTGAGGGAAAAAAAAATATAACGTCAAATAAGACCCTCAAACTTGAATTTCTCATTTTATTTATGATTCCTCTCTTCTTTTTGCACTCTCCTTATTCTGTTTATCGTGATCCACTTCCGATTGATACCCTAATTACTGATTTGAATTTAATAAAGTCATTTATAATTTTTTATGAGACAGTTTGAGTGATTTGTTATAAATTTCGACGATATATGATATTGATTCGAAATTGTTCATGATGAGTTATAAATTCATTTCTAAATTCATATATCTATGTTATATCGTATAAACCGGCTTAATCAATAATTTCATAACTGTTGAACCATAAACTACTAATTTATCCGATTCAGCGCTCTCTCCTATTCTAAAACATAGATGTTACGCCATAATCCTCTGATTAATTGCATAGTAAACATTAAACAACCCGGCCAAATTAACCCTAGCAACAATCCGTTATTATCTGCCACGCTTGATTTGGGCTCACAAATAAAGAGGCCCAGTGTAACAAAAGCAGAGGTCAGCCCAGGCCCAGGGGTAAGCGATCAGAAAAGAAGAGTCAAGCCCACAGAAGTGTACGTCAACGTCAACGTCAGCGCCAACTAATGTGGCCGATGAAAAAGAAAAGAACGGGGAAACAAATCAGATCCATAAACAGCCCATTTTCTCCGAGAGTTCTCCGGGGCGACTTCCTGCTCCTTCTTCTTCTTCTTCTTCCACTCAGCTCTTGTCATCTTCCTCAAAAGATTTGGCTCCTCAAACTGCAGGTATGTCATCGTCTATAGCGAATTGGACCTTTTCCTTTGCGGCGTTCTTTCGTATCAATCGCGATTGCTTACTTTGAATCATCGATCGATGCAGCGAGATATGGAATCCTCGTCTTCTTCTTCTTCTACGCCGCCGTATGTTGCTCTTCCAGCAGGGGATTACGAGGTTTTCCTGAGCTTCAGGGGTCCCGACGTCCGCAACGGATTTGCCGATCATCTCTACACCTCCTTAGCGCGTGCCAAGATTCGCACATTCATGGACGAGGAAGAGCTCCAGAAGGGAGAAGGGATCGCTCCTTCACTAGTCCGGGCCATCCCGGAATCGAAGATCTACATCCCCATTTTGTCCGAGCGGTATGCTTCCAGCAAATGGTGCCTCCTAGAACTGGCTCAAATGGTGGACTGCTGGAAGCAAGGGAAGGGGCATCTCATCCTACCCATTTTCTACTTGGTGAAACCCAGAGATGTACGGCATCAGGAGGGTCCTTATCATCAAGCCTTTGAACAGCAGCACGCCCACAAACATAGCCCACAGACCGTGAAGGAATGGAAGGAAGCACTTCGAGAGGTCGGGCAATTGAAAGGATGGCACATTACAGAATCCCGCGGGTAAATAGATCTCTGTTTTTTTTTTTGACGTATGCAACCTATGATTGCTTCAACTGCATTTCTTGCTTACTAGTTCACATCTCTTTTCGAACTATGTTACTACTTTGCCACATCGTCTTTGTTTTACTCTGTTTTGTATCTTGACAAATACTTGGGTGATACTACCACAGCGAGGGGGCAATTGTTGACGAGGTTCTTTCAAAAGTTGAGTCGCATTTGAGGAGCATGTACGCATTAGTGACCGACGAGCTGGTGGGGATCGATACTCCCATGGAAGAAGTGATGAAATTGTTGAATTTAGAGTCATCCAAAGAGAGAGTTATCCTTGGCATTCACGGCATGGGTGGTCTAGGTAAGACCACTTTATCCAAAGCTGTATACAATAAGATTTGTGCTCAATTTGATCGTTGTTGTTATCTCGAAGATGCACGGGAAGTTTTAGCAAAGAGTGATGGAGTTGTATCTCTACAGAATAAGGTCATCTCGACCATATTGGAAAGTGATCATCATGTTCAAAATGCTAGCGAAGGAATCAACATGATTAAAAATAGGGTTTGCAAACACAAATTGCTTCTTGTGGTTGACGATATAGATGACAAGTTCGAATTTAATAAGATTCTAGGAAAATTAGGCGATTTTTCCTCGGGTAGTAGATTTATATTGACAACTAGATATACAAGGGTTTTAGATTTTATTTTAGATTGCAAATTGTATGAACCACGAGAAATGAGTCATCATCATTCGCTACAACTTTTTAGCAAACATGCTTTTGGGATGAACAATCCTCCAGAGGAAGATGCAGGTATATCTAAGGAATTTGTAAAAGTTGCTACTGGACTTCCTTTAGCTCTCAAGGTGATAGGATCACTTTTGTATCGTAGAAAGAAGAAATTTTGGGAAGAAAAGTTGAAAGAATTACAAAGCATACCTTCTTCCGAAAATATGTTGCAGGAGAGATTGAAGGTTAGCTACACCGACTTGTCGCACAATGAAAAACAAATATTTCTTGACATTGCATGTTTCTTTGCCGGTAGCCACAAAGATATACCTTACTACATGTGGAGTGGTTGTGATTTTTATCCAGAAAGTGGGATCACTAATCTTATCAACAGATCTTTGCTAAAACTTGATAAGAGAAACCAATTTTGGATGCACGATCTCATCAAAGATCTTGGGAGAGCCATTGTTAGAGAAGATGTTCGAAATCCATACAATCGTAGCCGGATATGGTCTACCGACGATGCCCTCGACATGTTAAGAAATAGAGAGGTAAAGATTCTTGTCAAACCTGGTGACTTTTCATTCGTATTAGATGAATATTTATATATGCTTCGGTGTAATAACTAGGTTTTTTTCATGTATGTTTTAAACAGGGAAGTGAAAGGGTGGAAGTTGTTCGGATAGATGTGAAATTTACCAATGATCATGACAAGCTGCTTACAAGTAAGGAATTTGAAAAATTATCAGGGTTAAGATATTTGGAGGTGCGATATGGACGCATGATGGGAGATTTCAGCCAAGTTCTTCCAAATATATGTTGCCTTCGATTGTATAAATGTGGATCTATCCCAACTAATGTTAACACGAAGAAACTAACGGTACTTGATATGGAGGGTTCCAATGTGATGGATGACTGGAAGGGTTGGAGTGGAATGAAGGTAATTCATTTCTCTCTTCCTTTCCTAATTTTTTGCAATAACTAACTAACAAACTATTTATTATGATCCACAGGCGACAGCGAAGCTGAAAGCTGTAAATATAAGGAACTGTGAGCTGACAAGATCTCCCGACTTGTCGACATGCACAAGCCTCGAGTTCATAAACTTTACGGGTTGTTCCAAAGTGAAAGGACAAATTCGCATAGGCAAATTCAAGAATCTGCAGAAGCTGATACTCACAGGAATCGACATAACAGAGTTAATCATTAGGGGTGGTGGCATTGGACAGCTTCGACGATTGGAGGAGATGGATTTGAGCTGGACCAATTTGAGAGAATTGCCTAATGGGATGGAAAATTTGTCCTCTCTCAAAATCCTGTCGTTAGGATCAGCAGACTGTATGGAGATACCCAGGCTTCCCACGAGTTTGAAGAGGTTATCCGTCTCATATTCATCGAGGGTCCCAAATCTTGTAGAGCTCAATGAGCTGGAATTCCTGTGCTACCTACGGGCTGATAATCCTTGGATCCCCGGTGACTTATGGCGGCTTCCCAATTTGAAGGAATTGAGACTGAAGCACTCCCGTTGCGATGGTCCACTGCTGCAGGATGATCAGGATCAGGAGGCAACTTCCCCTGCTGCTGCTGCTGCTGCTGCTCTGCCAACATCTTTAACCAGCCTTCATGTGGAATACTGCCTGCATTTGAGTGAACTCCCCAGCCTATCAAATCTGTGCAATCTGACACGACTCCAACTCTGGTGTGTCGGGGTGGCTGAGATCAGGGGCTTGGGAGAGCTGAGCACGCTGGAGACTTTGGCGATCAATTCATTGAATCTGAACAACCTCAACGGACTTGAGAATCTGCTCCTGCTCAGGACCTTGACCTTGAGTAACGCCACGCTGGAGAGACTGCCGAGTTTAGTGAATTTGAGCAAGTTGAAGGATCTGGAGGTCTGCGACTGTCCGAATCTTGTTGAAATACAAGGCCTGGCCGGCGTGGGGGAGTCTTTAACCCGTCTGAAAATCAGCAGATGTCCCCGCCTAGCAGACTTGGATGGACTTCAACATCTGGTAGCATTGGTGGAATTGATATTTTACGAACAGTCGTTTCGTGGGATACAGACTCTTAATCTCTCCGGTCTCTTCAGTCTGAAACAGTTGAACATCCGCAGGTGGCGAGAGTTGCTGGTGGTTAAAGGATTGGATAGATTGGTGTGGTTAGAAAGGCTTACTATGGAGGGCTGCACTTCCATCCGACAGCTGCCTGACCTGTCTGAGCTCGGGAATCTCAAGGAACTACACCTCAGTGGTTGCCAAAGCTTGATTCATCTCGTGGGGATCCAAAGATTGGAATCATTACAGCGGCTACTGCTCCCGCGGTGTAGTTCGATTACCAACCTGCCAAACTTATCCGGTCTCAGGAATTTGGAGACTTTGGACCTCCAGAGGTGCGTAGAGTTGACCGAGGTCGAGGGGGTCGAGGGATTGGAGTCGTTGAGGTGGCTGCTGCTGTCGGAGTGTCGTTCGGTTACAAAGCTGACGAACTTATCCAGCCTCAAGAGTTTGGAGACTTTGCATCTTTCGGAATGTGTGAACTTGACCGAGGTCGAAGGGGTCGAGGGGCTGGAGTCGTTAACAAGGCTGCAACTGTATAATTGCAGGTCGATAACGGAGTTGGGAAATCTGTCTGGTCTCGAGAAGTTGGAGGAGCTTAATATAATGGGGTGCACGAAGCTGATGGAGGTCAATGGACTCGATGAGCTGGAGAAGTTACGGTACCTGGAAATGGGGAGAAAGATGAGAGTGAAGTATTTGGCCAAATCTGCTGCTAGATATGGCTTGAGACTAGCTGGCGGTGCACCAGTCGTTGGTCGCTTAGTATCGTGGGGTGCACGAAGTTGATCGAGGTCGACCGGACTTGATGAGCTGTGGGAGTTATGGAACCTAGAAATGGGGAAAAGGATGAGAGTGAAGTAATTGGCCAAATCTGCTGCTAGGTATGGCAAAAGACTAGCAGCTGCACTGGTCGTTGGTCGCTCACCAACTGCTGCTGGGACTACTTCTTCCAGCTAACTACCCCTCTCTCGCTGTCCGCCGTCTTTTTTCTCTGCAACTAAAACAGCATCATCTCTCCATAACCAGCTGGCTGGCGCGAATATACCGATTGCACTCACCAGCTCTGCAATTGGTGAAGATATCTGACCGCATTAAGAGAGATGCTCGCTCGGGAAGGCTGATCAGTTCATGTCCTTAATTCGCATGACATTATGGGACAGTGTTTACTATCCTTGGAATAGCATAGCACTTCTTTGTAAAATCAGCCTATTGGTCTCTCCTTCCAAGTTCCAATACGTACACTCGGAGGTTGAAGGGCGGAGCTAATGTTGGGCTCACACATTAGAGGCCCAGTTTAATAAAAGCAGAGTCAAACCTCAGTCAAGCCCACAAAAGTCTGGTCATCGTCAACGTCAACCTCTGCGCTAGTAACTAGGGTTGGGAAAATAGACCTCGTTAGAAAAACTGTGGTCCAAATTGTACCGCACAGTTTGCTCCGGACCGTAGACCGTGAAGTATGGTCTGGTCTGGTCCATGGTCTGTATTATTTTATGATTTGATCTCTTGGTCTTCTCTAGATCGCGGTTTACCGGACCAAACCGTGGACTCAACTGACTTGTCAATACGTGTTAACAGCTCATTCGACCACTCTCCAAACTCCCACAACGACACCCAAGTCTCAACCTTAATTTTGTGAATCTCTTCTCTCCTTCATTCACAACCGCATTTAACCAGAGAGTAGAGATAATAGTGTCTCCATATTACATTATGTTAATGTTTATGACGTTATGGTGCAAGTTGGGGTGTTTTTACTTTGTATCTTTGTTATGTACTAGGATTTAGAGTATCAAAATTATTCATGCATGTTAGGATTAATGTTTTAAGGCAAATAACAATTATTTTTCTTGGTTATTGGTTCAATTTTTTGTGTGGTTGACTAAACAAATTATTCATTTTTCATTGAGTGTGGTCTATCTGGACCAGACCAGACCGAACCAGATCGCACAGGCGTGGTCTGGACCGGACCGTATAGTCTGTGGTCTATATTTTAGCCTCTCGGTCTGGACCATAGACCGTATATATGGTCTGGTCTGGACCAGACTGCACCGTTTCCCAACCCTACTAGCAACTGGTCAAAGTCTGTCCCCACGCAACTTCTTGCTTCCTTCTATCATCAACTTCCTGTGAACTTCCCGAAGTCCAACCCCAGTCCGCCACGCTGTTGAAAACCCGAGCTTGCAGCTAACTGAGCTCCTGATCCCAATCCTCTACATCATCGTCATCAAGTATCCTGTTCTATTTCGCGTCTTCGAAACATTTAGATCTCGTTGTAGAAGATCTTGCTTGCATATCAATCTTTTGATTTGTCAAATGGCCTCTTCGTGCTGATTTACTTTGAATCTACTGATCCATCCATGGGAAAAGAAAAATGGAATCCTCCGTTGCCGCTTCTTCTTCTACTCCGACGACTGTTGTTCTTCCATCTGGAGATTACGAGGTTTTCATGAGCTCCGGAAATATGCTTTTGTAACACAATGATTGCCACAAAAGAATATCATTCGTGACAATCATATTCATCACCGAAACTGAATTTTAGTGCACAATAATTATCCTCTGTGATGAAAAACCTGTCATTAATGGATGCACTTTGTAATGTCCCTGTCGACAATCTAAGTCACCAAAACAGGCAAATGCTACAATTTCATTGTCACATAATTCAATCATTCGTGACAAATCAATTCATCACTGATACTACACTCGTCACAAAAGGCCTACCCATGATAACTATATGTGACCATTAAACATGTCATCGTTATTGTTTTCGTGTTGTCACTAACTTGTCACAAAAAGGATCTTTATTGTTGACAAGATTGTCATGCAAGTATTAGTATCGGTTACGAAAAACCTGTCATTAATGGATGCACTTTGTAATGTCCCTGTTGACAATCTTAGTCACCAAAACAGGCAAATGCTACAATTTCATTGTCACATAATTCAATCATTCGTGACAAATCAAATTCATCACTGATACTACACTCGTCACAAAAAGGCCTACCCATGACAACTATATGTGACCATTAAACATGTCATCGTTATTGTTTTTGTGTCGTCACTAACTTGTCACAAAAAGGATCTTTATTGCTGACAAGATTGTCATGCAAATATTAGTATCTGTTACGAACAAAATCGTCACAATTGAAATCGTCATTTATGATGATTTGGACTCGTCGCACATAAATTTTGAATGTTGCAGAAAATTGAAAAAATTGATGCCTATAATTATAAATGGATTTCTCATACAATCGGACTAGTAGAATCATCAAATCAGTTACTATAGTGGTTCAATCTATTTGCTTGGATAGCTGGAGATGGATCGAACGTTTTTAACGGTTGGACATGAAACTAGATGAACCATCCAAGTTTGCATGGTCCACAAAAAAAAAACAGAAAAAAACTTAAACGTCAACTAAAATCCTCCAACTTTAATTACTAATTTTATTAGTGATGCCTCTTTTTTTTTTTTTTTTTGCACTTTCCTCGTTAACTTTACGTGATCCACTACTGATTGACACTCTAATTACTAACTTGATTTAAATTTTTTAATAATTTTCTTGTGAGACCATTTGAATAATTTGTTATAAATTTGATGATAAATTATATGGATTTGAAATTGTTTATGATCAATAATAAATTTATTTTTAAAAAATTAGTGCATTTGTGTTATAACGCATAAATCGACACTTAACCAACGATTACATAACAATTAACAATTAACTACTGAACCATAAATCACTAACTTATCTGGCATCCGTTCCGGTTCTAAAAAACTTCATAATCCTCTGATTAATTGCATGATAAATAACTCGGCCAAATTAACCATGATATCGCTAAACAATCCGTCATTATTGTGCAACCTGCCACGTCTGATTTGGGCTCACAAATAAAGAGGCCCGGTATAACAAAAGCAGAGTCCAGCCCAGGGAGAAACGATTTAAAAGTCAAGCCCGCCAAAAGTGTGAGCCAACGCCAACGCCAACTTCTTCCATTCATTTCTTATCATCGTCAACCCCAACAAGTCAACAACCAGCCACGCTCTAGAAAAACCGATCTAGCTAGAGCTCCTGATCCAAATCTCTGCACATCTTCTTCCTCAAGAGAACTGAACTGGCTCCTTCAACTGCAGGTTTGTCTGTCTAAACTCTAAACACTATAAGCCCTTTTCATTATTTCGTTTGCTCTACTACATTACATATGTCACATCGTCTATAGCGAATTTGGACCTTTCCCTTTGCGGCGTTAATCTTTCATATCAATCGCGATTGCTTACTTGGAATCATTGACTGATGCAGCAGCGAGCATATGGAATCCTCTTCTTCTTCTTCTTCTTCTTCTTCTTCTTCTTCTTCTTCTACGCCGCCGTATGTTGCTCTTCCAGCAGGGGAGTACGAGGTTTTCATGAGCTTTAGGGGTCCCGACGTTCGCAACACGTTTGCCGATCATCTCTACAGGTCGTTAACACGTGCCAAGATTCGCACGTTCATGGACGAGGAAGAGCTGCGGAAGGGGGAAGGGATCGCTCCTTCCCTAATCCGGGCCATCCCGGAATCGAAGATCTACATCCCTATTTTAAGCGAGCAGTATGCTTCTGGCAAATGGTGCCTTCTAGAACTGGCTCAAATGGTGGATTGTTGGAAGCAACGGAAGGGATATCTCATCCTCCCCATTTTCTACTTTGTTAACCCGAGAGATGTGCGACATCAGGAGGGTCCTTATCAGCAAGCCTTTGAACAGCACGCCCACAAACACAGCCCACAGACAGTGAAGGAATGGAAGGAAGCACTTCGAGAGGTCGGGCAAATGAAAGGATGGCACGTTACAGAATCCCGCGGGTAATTAGATTAGATCTCTGTTACTACTTCACCACATTGTCTTTTGCTTACTCTATTTTGTATTCTTGACAAATGCTTGGATGATGCCACAGCGAGGGAGCCATTGTTGACGAGGTTCTTTCCAGAGTTAGATCACATTTGAGGAGTATGTACACATTAGTGACCGACGAGCTGGTGGGGATCGATACTCCCATGGAAGAAGTGATGGAATTGTTGAACTTAGAGTCGTCCAAAGAGAGAGTTATCGTTGGCATACACGGCATGGGTGGTCTGGGTAAGACCACACTATCCAAAGCGGTATACAACAAGATTTGTGATCGATTTGATTGTTGTTGTTATCTCGAAGATGCACGGGAAGTTTTAGCAGAGAGTGATGGAGCCGTATCTCTACAGAAAAAGGTCCTCTCGACCATATTGGAAGGTGATCATCATGTTCAAAATGCTAGCGAAGGAATCTACATGATTAAAAATAGGGTTTGCAAACACAAATTGCTTCTTGTTGTTGACGATATAGATGACAAGTTCGAATTTAATAAGATTCTAGGAAAATTAGGTGATTTTTCCTCGGGTAGTAGATTTATATTGACAACTAGATATACAAGGGTTTTAGATTTTATTTTAGATTGCAAATTGTATGAACCACGAGAAATGAGTCATCATCATTCGCTACAACTTTTTAGCAAACATGCTTTTGGGATGAACAATCCTCCTGAGGAAGATGCAGGTATATCTAAGGAATTTGTAAAAGTTGCTACTGGACTTCCTTTAGCTCTCAAGGTGATAGGATCACTTTTGTATCGTAGAAAGAAGAAATTTTGGGAAGAAAAGTTGAAAGAATTACAAAGCATACCTTCTTCCGAAAATATGTTGCAGGAGAGATTGAAGGTTAGCTACACGGACTTGTCGCACAATGAAAAACAAATATTTCTTGACATTGCATGTTTCTTTGCCGGTAGCCACAAAGATATACCTTACTACATGTGGAGTGGTTGTGATTTTTATCCAGAAAGTGGGATCACTAATCTTATCAACAGATCTTTGCTAAAACTTGATGAGAGAAACCAATTTTGGATGCACGATCTCATCAAAGATCTTGGGAGAGCCATTGTTAGAGAAGATGTTCGAAATCCATACAATCGTAGCCGGATATGGTCGACCGACGATGCCCTCGACATGTTAAGAAATAGAGAGGTAAAGATTCTTGTCAAACCTGGTGACTTTTCATTCGTATTAGATGAATATTTATATATGCTTCGGTGTAATAACTAGGTTTTTTTCATGTATGTTTTAAACAGGGAAGTGAAAGGGTGGAAGTTGTTCGGATAGATGTGAAATTTAGCGATGATCATGACAAGCTGCTTACAAGTAAGGAATTTGAAAAATTATCAGGGTTAAGATATTTGGAGGTGCGATATGGACTCATGATGGGGGATTTCAGCCAAATTCTTCCAAATCTATGTTGCCTTCGATTGTATAACTGTCGATCTATCCCAACTAACGTTAACACAAAAAAATTGTCGGTACTTGATTTGGAGGGTTCCAGTGTTATGGATGACTGGAAGGGCTGGAGTGGAATAAAGGTAATCAATCCATTTCTCCATCTTTTCCATAATATATATATATGACACATGATTACTTGCTGCGGCAAGTAACTAAGAGTGCGGATCCTGTGACTAAGGGGGGGTCCTTAGTCAAGTGACTAAGTCCTTCCTAACCCTTAGATCTAGATATCCTAATCTAAAGGTTGAAAAGTGGGAAGGGATATTTAACTAACAAAAAGGGTAGTTGTGGTATTATAAATAATTAATTTCCTTTTTCTTTACTTTTTCCCCGGTCACACTTTTCAACTACCTCACGTCTCTTTCTTTTTTTTTTTAATACAATTCAGCTGCTTTTTTATTGGAGCTGACTTTTCTTTTATTAAATGATTTTTAAACTTCCCAGTCCAACTCATGCACATGCGTTTCCTTGATTTTTTTTTAATCAGTTTTTTTATTATAAAAATAAAAATCACAGAATTAAAAAGTATACAAAACAATATTAAAAAGTATTAGAACCACATAATATAAGTATACAAATCAAGATAATATTATATACAAAGATTACTAAAAACAAAAAAATCACTACTAAATATTACATAGTATACATACCACATCATAAAAGTATACAAATTAATATTACAAAGTATATAAACCCGTGATCACATCATAAAAGTATACAGATAATACTGACATTGTATACAAAGCATACTAACCATACAAAATACAAAGCATACAAAACATACAAATCAGAAGTATATGAATGTTACAAACATGACCGACAAAAATGACAAACATGGTGAACAAAAATTACAAAACAAACCAACAAACATTACAATCATAAAAAAGCTTACAAAATTACAAGATAAACCGACAAACAGTACAAACCATACTAACAATACAAAACACCACTACTTATAATACAAATCGATAAACTGGAATTACAAACCAATAAATACAAAGTATACAAAATAGACAAACAAACATTACAAATTACAATGTATACAAATTAGTTATATAAACATTACTAACATGGTAGATAAAAATGACAAACAATACAAACCGAAAATGATATAAACATTACAAATGAGACTTATAAACACTACAAAGTAGGTTGACAAATATTTCTCTCTCTCTCTCTCTCTCTCGTTGCACCTGGTGGAAATGGTGGAAAGAATTCCCAGAACTCTCTCTGGTTGAACTTGGGGAATAAATTCCCATAACAAAAAGACAGGCGATGGAATTCCTTGCCGGCAGGGAAAAAAACGAGACAGACGGCAGCAGAGAAGAGCCGGGGAAAAAATTATTTAGTAATTAAAAATAAAATAATCATGGACTTACAGTTTTGCCCTTCATTAAAGTAGATTAATTGTAGCCATTAGATTTTAATGAGATGGAAGGGCTGAGATTTACTTAGTCATGTGACTAAGGGACCCCCTTAGTCACCTGATCTTAGCCCAAGTAACTAACCAACTAACAACCTAACTATTTATTACAATCCACAGGCAACGTCAAAGCTGAAAGCTATAAATATAGCGAACTGCCTGCTGACAAAATCTCCCGACTTGTCGACATGCACAAGCCTCGAGTACATAAATTTCATGGGATCTTTCACAGTGAACGGACAGTTCAGCATCGGCAAATTCAAGAATCTGGAAACGCTGATACTCAAAGGAATCGACATAACAACGTTGATCATTGGGGGTGGTGGCATTGGAAAGCTTCGACGATTGGAGGAGATGCAGTTGATGGGGACCAACTTGAGAGAATTGCCCGCCGGGATGGAAAATTTGCCCTCTCTCGAAACCCTATCGTTCGGATCGGCACACTGTATGGAGATTCCCAGGCTTCCGGCGAGTTTGAAGAGGTTACTTATCTCGCATTCGTCGAGGGTCCCGAATCTTGCTGAGCTCAAGGAGCTGGAATCCCTGAGCTACCTGTGGGCAGATAATCCTTGGATCCCAGGAGACTTATGGCGGCTTCCCAATTTGAAGGAATTGACACTAAGGCACTCCCGTTTCGATGGGCCACTGCTGCAGGATGATCAGGACCAGGAGGCAACAACTTCCCCTGCTGCTGCTCTGCCCACATCTTTAACCCGCCTTCATGTCGAGAGCTGCCCGCAGTTGAACGAACTCCCCAGCCTAGTGAATCTGTGCAATCTGAACCGACTCGTGCTCTCGGGTATCGGGGTTTCCGAGATCGGGGGCCTGGGAGAGCTGAGGGCGCTGGAGACTATGTTACTCTGTAGACTTGAGAATCTGAACAATCTCAACGGACTTGAGAATCTGCTTCTCCTCAAGACCTTGACCTTGAGAAACGCCCCGCTGGAGAGCCTGCCGAGTTTAGCGAATTTGGCCAAGCTGAAAGATCTGGAGGTCTGGGACTGTTCGAATCTCGTCGAGATACAAGGACTGGGCGGCATCGGGGGGGAGTCTTTATCCCGTCTGAAAATCGGCATATGTCCCAACCTGGCAGACTCGGACGGACTTCAACTTCTGGTAGCACTGGAGGAATTGCTTTTGTACGAACAGTCGTTCGGTGGGATGCAATCTCTCAATCTCTCCGGACTCGTCAATCTGAAACAGTTGAACATCCGCAGGTGGCGGGAGTTGCTGGAGGTTAAAGGGCTGGAGGGATTGGTGTCGTTAGAAAGGCTTACTATGGAGGGCTGCACTTCCATACGACAGCTGCCGGATCTATCCGAGCTCAGGAATCTCAAGGAACTGCACCTCAGTGATTGCCAAAGCTTGATTCATCTCGCGGGGATCGAGAGATTGGAATCGTTGCAGCGGCTGCTGCTGCCGCGGTGTAGTTCGATTACCAAGCTGCCAAACTTATCCGGCCTCACAAATTTGGAGACTTTGGACCTCCAGAGGTGCGTAGAGTTGACCGAGGTCGAGGGGGTCGAGGGATTGGAGTCGTTGAGGTGGCTACTGCTGTCCGAGTGTCGTTCTGTTACAAAGCTGACCAACTTATCGGGCCTCAAGAGTTTGGAGACTTTGCATCTTTCGGAATGTGTGAACTTGACCGAGGTCGAAGGGGTCGAGGGGCTGGAGTCGTTAACAATGCTGCAACTCTATAATTGCAGGTCGATAACGGAGTTGGGAAATCTGTCTGGTCTCGAGAAGTTGGAGGAGCTTAATATAATGGGGTGCACGAAGCTGATGGAGGTCAATGGACTTGATGAGCTGGAGAAGTTACGGTACCTGGACATGGGGAGAAGGATGAGAGTGAAGTATTTGGCCAAATCTGCTGCTAGATATTGCTTGAGACTAGCTGGCGCTGCACCAGTCGTTGGTCGCTTAGTATCGTGGGGTGCACGAAGTTGATCGAGGTCGACGGACTTGATGAGCTGTGGGAGTTATGGAACCTAGAAATGGGGAAAAGGATGAGAGTGAAGTAATTGGCCAAATTTGCTGCTAGGTATGGCAAAAGACTAGCAGCTGCACTGGTCGTTGGTCGCTCACCAACTGCTGCTGGGACTACGGCTTCCAGCTAACTACCCCTCTCTGCTCTCGCTGTCTGCCGTCTTTTTTCCCCTGCAACTAAAACAGCATCATCTCTCCATAACCAACTGGCTGGCGCGAATGTACCGATTGCACTCACCAGCTCTGCAATTGGTGAAGATATCTGACCGCATTAAGAGAGATGCTCGCTCGGGAAGGCTGATCAGTTCATGTCCTTAATTCGCATGACGTTATGGGACAGTGTTTCCTACCCTTGGAATAGCACTACTTTGTAAAATCTGCTGCTAGATATGGCAAGAGACTAGCTGGCGCTGCACCTGTCGTTGGTCGCTTAATATCATGGGGTGCACGAAGTGATCGAGGTCAATGAACTAGATGAGCTGGTGGAGTTATGGAACCTGGAAACGATGAAAAGGATGAGATGAAGTATTTGGCCAAATCTGCTGCTAGATATGTCTAAAGACTAGCTGCACCGGTTCGCTGGTCGCTCACCAACTGCTGGTGGGACTACTTCCGCCGTCATTTTCCCCTGCAACAGCAGCTGCAGTTGAAGGTAATATCAAGAAGATTGCATGAAGAGCACTGTAATATTAGGCACCAGTTTGAGGCATTGTGGTTGGTAACACATTTTGCGTCTTCTCTCTTTACTGTAAAAACCTATTTGCTCCCCACCTTTTTCCAGTTCTACCTTCTAAGTACTCTGTTTTGTTCAGCTGTGAATGAGAAGCATGGACGGTTCTGAAACTTCATCCATTGCATATTTAACCAGGATCTGCAGCACATCAGCTTGGGATCTTCCTAAGCAAGAGAAGGTTAACCTCAGAGTCGATACATCAGCTCTTTTCTTTTGGTCACGGCCGTAGTGCTATCCTCTTCAGGGATTATCAAAGCTGTTTGCTGATTTGAACTCGACAACCACAACAAGGTCGCCAAATGCGCAACCAGAGCTGGCGACAGAGTGCTGGGCAGCAATGTTCAAACTGCAAAACTTATCCTGCGCCTCTTCCCCTTCCGGCTTCGAAAAAAACACACAACTGATCGATCAAGCAAAGGATAACTGGCTAAGGGAGTGTCGTCAGTTTTCAACTTACAGCCGGCCAGAAATCCAAGTGAAGAGCCCAGATTGGCGGAACTGGTTGTGCAGCTGGATTCTGTTCTCTTAGAAAAGCAGAGTGTCCTGCCATGTCCTCTGGTTTTGGTTTTCTTCCGGTGCACGAGCCTAATTAAGTGGGCTGCAATGCAGGATGACAGCCCAACGGGCTCAAACGAGAGACCACTCGACTAGGCCCAACCAGTAAATGCAGTGAAAAAGACGAGAGCTTAGGGGTCGTTTGGAGAATGGGATTTAGGGCGTGGATTCATTGAATCCGTAGATTTTGTAGAAAATTATGTTTTTTTGTTGTTTTTTGTATTGTGGATTTGAGCTTTAGAGATTTCAAATCTCTAAAATCTACGGATATCAAATCTCTCATAATCAGAGAGATTCTATATCTTGATTCGTGAGATTTTTTTCCTCCTACTTTTTCTCTTTGTTTTATTTATTTATCATATTAAATATATTTAGCAACAAAGTTTTTAATATTTCTCGAACCACTCTAATTTTTTATTAAGGATAAACACGTTATTTAATATAAAAATATTTTTTTTTATTTTCATTGAATGTTAACAATCACAGTTACCAAACAATAAACATTTTAAAATCTATTTTCAACAATCCGAAGAGTTAGAATCTTTAGATTGTTGACAATCTATAGATTTAAACTCATATTCTCCAAACGACCCCTTAGCTGCTTTCATGACTCTATCAAAATAAGGCAATACAGCAGTACACTTGCATTTCCATACTTGAGCAACTACTCCACTACACAAGTGATCAACCATTCCAGCAGGTTATATTCATATGGTCTATTAACCGACTGGATGATAAGTGATTCATATGCCGGGGCCATAATGATTTGCAGGCGTCCTCCTGGGAATCATAAAGCCAAAACGAGTACTCTAGCTCAGCTTTCAACGATGAATCTCCCCCGCAGTAGGGTTTATCATGAATGAAGATGGTTCTGATCTCGGCCGAGTGTAGCCCAGCTGAACAAGCTTCTCCATCATTTTCCTCTCGGCGTTTGCCTGACACACAAAGAAGATGACCAAGAAGTTAGAGCGCTGCAGAATCAAGATCCAGAGAACTCATAAGTAGGAAAACAAGGGAAACAGAATCAAGGAGGTCAAGCAACTTTAGGGTGAGGTGGAGGAGCAGAAGAATAGACTTCGGGACATCTCAGTAGTTAACAAGATATGTACTACTAATGACATATAAGTTTATGGCGAAGAAGGAATCGATTCTGAGAATAGATCTTTTCAGCATAAAGACACATTATTCATCAATCAATTTTTTCTCGTGTTGTGCCCATTTGCATTAACAAATTCAGGAAAGAGGTGGGAAGTACCCGCATTTGAACATAGAAACTAGTATTTGGTGAGTGTTTGATAAAGTAGGGAGGGGGAGAAAACCTCGATCATGGGACTGTTCTTGGGGATATTGGAAGCCAGGATGACGTTGAGGCCACTCTTCAACACTGTAAGTGGAAGCATTTAACACAAATTGTCAAATCATTCAGCAAGGAAGATAGAGCAAATATATCAACAATCAAAGTTAAGAGAAAGGTTAAACTTCCCAGTGAAGATTGACAGGGGGAAACTAACCTATGCGACGGGCAATACCAGCTCCGGGGTTATCTGAAGAACCACCAAGAACACAGCTGACGCTCACACCTTCACTCTGATCACATCAACACACCAACGAATATGTTTTGAGCAGCAAAGTAAACAGAAACAATTATAAACAAGGAGATGAACTATGAAGGAAAGGAGGATACTCACAGGACGAGTGTGGGCAGCTGCATAAAGGTGACCCATCTTGGAGGAATTACAACCAATCCAAGCATATATCTGCCGGAGGGGGCACTCGCAGAGATATCATTCATAATCAACCAATCAAGAAGGCAAGTTTTTCAAAAGTTACAACACGAATGAGAAAGGGGAAGAAACCTGCTTCGGAAGTCGGATGATCTGGAAATGAAGAGTGAGTTCATCTACCACATCAGTGAAACAGTGGACTTGCAAGCCGCCAGCATCATTTTCCTGCTGTGGAGATGTAGTTGAGTCCATTATTTGATCTACCAGAGGTACAACAGCATGAGACTGAGCTGAAAACAAACAAAGCAAGTGTAAGGTGTAAGAACTTCAATTGATTGAAACACCTCCACTCCAGAATTCACTTTCACGGTGAAAGTAGAACAGATTCAAGTCAACATGAGGACCAATTTCTGAGTTAGTTAGTTGCTAAGCAAGAACACAGAGCTAACTATTCCAACAATCAGTTCACTATATCAGCAGCTGAGTATATTCCGAACACCAGATTACATCCAGCTTATAACTAAACCTAGCTTGATCAAACCTTTTCGCCAAAAGTTAATATATTCCAACGTTTTCCTCTGAAATAGAATCATCTCCACCACGAGAACAAGTTCACAATCAGTTCAAGCAAAAGCCCCAAATGTCAAACAAACAGCAAGAGTTCTGCAGAACTCAGGTCACATTCCATACATACACGAGAGTCGAGACCCTAAGAGTTTGAAATCGGCAAAGGAAATATCAAGATTCAAGTTTCACAAACATAAATCCCTAAATAGAGAGGGTAAGATTCTCAGCAAAAGCACGAATGTCCAGCTAAAACGCTGGCCAAGCGAAATCGGCAAAAAAAAAAATTCGAACTTAATTAAGCTAGCCCTAGGGTTCTAGAGCTCGTGAAATTAAACTAATGCTCAAGCTCTCCTGATCGCAGGCTTGAGCTGTAACAAACAGGTGAGATTCAAAACTGTGAAAATCCGAATGCCTACCACGAGAGCAAGAAGATGAATCAGGCAGAGGCAGTGGATAGGAAGATCGATTGTTGAGTTAATCGACCTGACTGTAAGCAGTAGCGAGCTGAGGGCGGCGCCAGCGAGGGGATTGGACTGACTTGGGACTGGGAGAACGATTACGGCGGCCGGCGGGAAGGGGGAGGAGAGCGCTAAAAGAAGAAGCTTTGCTGCTGCGTTTGAGCGATTGCAGTTCAGTCCCTTAGGTTTTCCTTTTCGTCGGATTGGTCCCTTAAGTTAAGTCATTCCCAATTCACTCGTTTGCCATTTTTCTGTTCTTTTTTTAGTTTTTACAAAGTTGGTCGGTTATACTTATATCAAACATAATATTCCTCTCGCATCTCCATCAATGCAATTGCAAAAGAAATTGCATTTGTGTTTTTTATTGTCAACTTAAATTTTTTGCAATCCACATCACATTCATTTCATTCACCTACATCAATGCAATTAACTTGCAATTTCAAATATAATTAAATATTATGTTTAAATTATAGAAAATTAAGTAAAAGAGAAAAGAAAATAATATAAAATACAAAATCCTCATTTTTTAGGCTTTTTTGACTTGCATATGGAATTGCATTTGTTGCAACCTTGTATTTGGTAGCGACATCAATCCAATTGGTTTTCCAATTGGAAACAACTATGCCATGTCATTTTGCAATTGTGAATGCAATACCAATGTGGATACTCTTAGCCCCTCAAGCATATGATATATATACTATCTTAGTGCTCCAATTTTTTTAGGTTACTAATTTGAGTATGTGTCACGAGAAGCAGAGTGATTTATCAAAAATATCCTGATTATCGTATTACATAATGATAAATTGTGATTGATTATGGAATTGGGAGTCGGGCTCCAAGAGAGCGTTGACACAAGCTGAATATTTCAAGAAAACAATAGTTATGAGAAGTGTAAATTTTCTCATCACCACGATAACGAATACGGTAGTCCTTTTGATTAGGGCTGGCAATTTGGTCCAAGACTGTTTGGTTTTACCCGAAACCGGACCGTATAACTCGGACCGGGACCGGACTGGGACCGGATAGCAAACAATTCAATCTCATATTCGGGCTTAGATTTGAGGTAAAAACCCCGGATAAAGACCGGATAAGAGACCCCAACACTCAAATCCCCACAAGCTCAATCTAAAATCAAAATCAAATTGGGACCGGACCGGGTCAAGACCAATCTTTGGTCCTTAAAATCCCAAAAAAACCGGACTAGGGCCGGATCAATTTGGTCCAATTTAACCGGACCGGACCGTATAGCCACCCCTACTTTTGATGAGTAATAATACCTAATGTAACACACACCGGCTCTTTTACGTTCACTAAATTTACAGAGTACCATGATTGTGGTTAACATCCACAAGACATTTGATGGTTAATACGACACTACATGTCTGAGAAACACACTAGTCAAAGCCAACAAATACTCCAAAGTTTGGAATCTAATTAGTGTACATAACCAATTGTCAATTTGTCATTACATGTAAAACTAACAAAGGTTTCAAATAAGACCATGGAAAGAATGACACAAATTTAACATTCAATGCCAAGACCAATCATCCACTGAACAATCATCGATTTCATAGCTTGTTGCTATGTAGTATGAAACATGGAATAACTACAACCATGAAAAGACACTAACCTAGTCTTAATCTCCATTTGCATGCAATTACGTATAAATACTTACACACATTAATAGTTAATACCACATCTCATCACCATCTCTCACTTCCCAATTCCCCAAATCTTCTCCAACACCATCCAACGATTCAATAACTCTACGAACTAGCCAGAAAATGGGCAAACAATTGATCACCGGCAACGGAACATTCACGACGACGACGACGACGACGACCTCCATTCTCTTGGTGGCGATACTGCTGTCCTCGTCTTTAGCGACGAAGTCAACGGAAGCTGCTGCGGCCGCCGACACCACCAACGCAACGGCGGCGGCCACGTCGACGACGACGATGATGCTGAGGCCGCCGGGGACGGTGTGCCGACGGGGGACGATGCCCACGAAGCTGGCGTGGCAGTGTTGGGTGGCGATATTCGAGGTGCCCCTCTGCATATTCGAGATCGCCGACGTGTTCGAAGGCGGATCCATCTTCACCGTCGGGAAGGTCTGCTGCCACGCCTTCATCGACCTCACCGACGATTGCAAGATCGAGGTGTTCCAGCACGCCAAGTTCTTCCCCGTCGTTGAGAAGTTCTGTTCCATCCTTGTCGCCGACGCCGCTGCTGCTGCTGTTAATACCACTGCTGCCGCCGGTGACCGAGCTCTATTACCTCCTGGCTCGGCTTGATCGAGCGCACTCGGCCGTTCATGTATTTATTTTAAGTCGGATTTCAATTGTTAATTAGGTGGTGATCAGTGTGAATAAATTGTGAGAAGATCAGAAAGAGGCCAACTCCATGAAACATGTAAAAAGTTTGATGTTTTTAAATTGGTTTGTCAATACTACTCTGTTTCTAAGCTCTTGGAACCTAATTCTTCCCCTTTCTGCAGAAAAAAACAATTAACGTAGTGAGAATCGTATTGAGAAGCTGGGAATGTATTTTAATTTAAGTTTTAAGGTTGACGATGACGTTGACCACACTTTTGTGGGCTTGACTCAGGTTGGACTCTGCTTTTGTTAAACTGGGCCTCTAATGTGTGAGCCCAACATTTGTTCCGCCCTTCAACAACAGAGATCTACTAAGCAGATTCCATGTAAGTTTTCAATTGGAATTTAAGCCAAATCGCCATGGCAAATTACTAATTCTGATCATAGAACTTGCATATTAAGAGAACTAATCAAATCACTCTGTTCAGGGAAGAATTTTACATCACTTTTAAACAACCATATTCTTAGCGATGACTGAGGGACATAAGCAATCTATTAAGATTTTAATTTTTTTTAATATAGAGTTTTAGGGAGATATTAAATTGTGTATCAATACAGAAAGGATGTCGCGTCTATGATACAACCCTGTATAGTTATAGTGTATATATGCTATATAGTACGCCAACCGTCAAAATTTGACTATTTCTTCATTTACATTCTTTTATGGCTTGGCTTCCGGTACAAAACTTCAGCCTGCCAGCAAAACCATGTAAAACCCTTGATTGTATCATCGTGATATGGTAATACGACACGATGATACGACCAAGTTTTACAGGCTAGAGTTTTGTATCCTATAATATTTGCTCTCTTTTTTTTATTAAATATAATCATAGTGTAAAATTATAACTACCACTCTATCTATTTTTACTCATAAATTTTTCGTAGTAATAGTCATTTGATCTTTATTTACATTCACCAACCAATTTTTTTTATTTAAAAAAAGCACAAAACTCAAGTAGGTATATTATAATAAATCCATTTACACATCGAACTTTATTATCTTACATGGAGTATGGGTACGATACAACACTTATTTTAAATTTATGTTACACTTTGTTCAAACCATGCACCCATCATTTCTTTCTAACTAAAAAGAAGTACACCTATGAAAGTAAACGATGACCAGTTAATTAAGCTAATTTGGGAGACGGAGCTTTGTTGCCGAGACCGGCCGTGGTAGTCGTAGTCGTATTGGAGGCGCCGCCGCCGATGGCCGCACAGAACTTCTCGATGGCCGGGAAGAACTCGGACTTCTGGAAGACCTCGATCTTGCAGTCGTCGGTGAGGTCGATGAAGGCGTGGCAGCAGGCCTTGCCGATGCTGAACACCGATCCGCCTTCGAACGCCTTCACGATCTGAAACACGCACAAGGGAACCTCGATTATCGCTATCCAGCACTTCGCCGCCACTTTCGGCTCCATCGTTCCCCTTCTGCACCTCGGCAATGGCACGGGTGGTGGTGCTCCCGGCCTGGTCGCGTTACTATTAGCGACGGCGGCGGATTCAACCGTCGCTGAAGAAGAGGCTAGCACCGCCGTCGTCGCTAGAAGAATGGAAGCCACGATCATGATCATTCCCCTGCAATGAATACCCATATCGATCGCTAGCTAGAATTGCAGTGATGATGAACAGTGGGTTGAAAGGTATTAAGTGGATGATGTTATATATATCTGATGATTGGAAGATGAGATATATCGACCGTGTGTTGTGAGTGTATTTATAGGAATTATACATGGAACCCGTTGTGTTACCATTCTCTGTTGTCGATGCATATACGATGTTCACTAAGAAATTGAAGATGCATCACGCCATTGAAGGCTAATTAAATTGGTTATTAACACGTTTTGTAAATAGTTGCACATAATGACATTTGATATTCTTAGTCTTAGCGCATTATATTCTGAACTAGGAAGTGTGTTGTCTATGCTCATTGGAAGTATCGATGTTTGTTATTTGAAGAAAACCCAATTAGTAGCTAGGATTTGAAATTGGAATAAATAATTCCAAGTCCAACCTATCTCGTGTATTTGAAACAACTGTAATGTTGAAATCTAATTTACCGATCAGAATAAATTAAATGGGTCGGGACGAATGGTCAAGAGTGAATACATCCAACACCTTTTCTCTTACATATTATGATGGAAAATTCTTACCTCCAACCTTAATTGGACGTAGAAGGTCCAACCAGTTACATGTCAATTTCCTATTATGATATACATATTAGTATATATTAGTATACAAAACTAACTATTATGTGATTTCAAGTTCTAATCTAGCAATAATGTTTAATTTGATTTGCTTTTCTTCTATTTTCAATTGGTATTTCTTCTTTGACAATTACCCAAAAACATCAAACGCCCTCGTTCGAACATTGTTCGGAGAGGAGTGAACCGTGTAATTATCGTTGTTCAAACAATCAAAGGTGCATTCATTGTGTTCAAACACCAGATTTTTCTCGCCGAAAAATAGTAGGATTAATTGAAATCTACACTATAATTAACAGCAAAAAACTAAAGTTGTCAACCTCGTTCAAAAAGTCCTGCCTTCAGAGTGATTTACGGAGGGATAGTATGGGAAGTGGAAACCAAATTTTTCTCTGGCCGAGGGCGGGTTGCTATTTTAGCTTAATATAGTTGGTTGTTCAGCCCAAATGAGACAATGGGCCGTCGTTTACTTTGGTTGTCTCCGCCTGCATTCTTTTGTTTCATTGCTTCTATTGCCCTACATTTTTTATTAAGTCTATTAAGTATCAATTTGGCGGATTATTTTCGGTTTATAATGGCAGATTCCAAAAGAGTATCATTACATATTTTGGACAATTTTTTCTAAATGTCATTTTCCTTGGATTTTGAAGGCTAAAGATCACGAATTCGGCCAAAGGCTATTCTTCACCAATAATTAAGTCTACTAATCACCAATATCGGGGAATTATATCTTCGGGTTCATTTTTGGCAGATTTCAAAGAATTACCATAGATTTTGAGCGATTTTATCAAAAGACCATTTTCCTTAGATTTTGAAGGCTACAGATAACGGATTCGGCCTGAGGCTATTCGTCACCGATGATTAAGTCTATGAAGCATCAATATGTGTGGATTTTTTCAGGAGCCATTTTCGACAGATTCCAAAGGGGTACTATCACATATTTCTTGTGATTTTTTCGAAAGATAATTTTCTATTGATTTTGAAGGCTACATATCACGAATTCGGCTTGATGTTATTCTCCACCGATGGTAAAGTTTATTAATCATCGACTTGAGCAGATTTTTTAGGGCATTTTCGTAACTCTTTTGGGAGATTTTTGTAATGCAAATTTTCTTGTATTTTGAAGGCTACAGATAATGAATTTGTCCTGAGACTATTCTTCACTGTTGATTATGTCTATTAAGCACTAATTTGAAGAAAATAAATCGGGTCCATTTTTGGCGCATTCCAAAGGGGTACCATCACATTTTCGATGGTTTTTTCAAAACCCAATTTCTTTAGATTTTGAAGGCTATTAATCACATATTCAGTTTGAGGCTAATCTCCATCGATGATTAAGCATTTTTTCCGGATGCTATTCTCCATGAGGCTTTTTTTTATATCAATGAGGCTTTTTTTTTTTTACCAATGAGTAAGTCTATTAGGCGGACTGATTTTTTCAGGGTCATTTTCATAGATTCTAAAGGGATACCATCACAGATTTCGGCCGATTTTTTTTTTTTCAAATAACATTTTTAACAAGCTAACGGAGAGAGAAAAAAAGTATGAGAAATCCATCTACATAATAAATAAAAGCCAAACGAGAAAATTTGAAGCCCCATTTCAAATTTTCTGCATCCAGAGTGAAAGTAGGAAGGACGTTTTGGTCTTCACAATTACGTTTTTTTTATTCATTAAAAAGACACTTACTAGGATTCGAACCATGACCACTTTAAAGAAAATCAAAGATCATAACCAATCACACTAAGTACATTTGTTGTATCTTTTTAAATTAAAACATATAATCGCTGAGAAAAAAAAAACCCCTTCCCCCATTTCAAATTCCCTGCTCCATGAGCGTTTGTAGGAAGGGTAGAATAGGGAGTGTCAATTTTTTTTCTTTTTCCTCTGTGGAACGGGGCAACTTACCGTACACATGCGGATTTAAACGGGTCCAGGAGTGTCAATTTTTTTCTTTTAAGTCCTTTTATTTCTCTATGGTGGTAAAATATATATGAAAAGGCAAAAACAATACTCCTTTTTATTGCTAAAAAGAAAAAAAAATTAACAATAAACTAATGCATGGATTCTAATGGGCTAACCGCTAATTATAAAATAAAAGAGTTGAATGGGTCTGACCTACACAGGATTTGCCCATCAAGTAAAACAAATGAACATTATGGGTTTGTCATTCTAAAACAAGCTATTTTCTCTAGCATAATATATATTATGCTATTATTTCATATCTTAGTGGCTAAAATATAATGTATTTTAAAGTTATTCAATGGTTCAACTTCGACAACCCAATTAGTCCAATTTTTATCATTTCAAATATATTTTATGTAATTATTTGATATCATAATGATTAAATTATAGGGAATCGTTTGGTATTCGTTAGTAAAAAACTAAACAGAAAGATCTACTTGGTTATTTTTAACATTAAAACGATCCTAAATTTTTTCAGTTTCCTTTCGAAATTGTATAGTTTTATTCCCGAATCAGTGATGTGCAAATGGCGAATTGCAGTCATCTCTTTTCTTTCTTTATTTTTTATTTTCAAATAGAAAGTTTAAAAATAAAGAATAATTAGAGTTTGGCATGGGTCGGTCAAATAGGCTGAATTTCAAGTTTTGGTCCGTTTTGATCAAGTCTAATTTATAATCACATGGTTCCCTGATACCCGATAAAAATCTCAATCCAAACCAGTTTGGCAGGTGAGTTCGTGTTTATCACCATTTTCTAGGGATACATGAACGGTGGTTCCTATCCCAAATCGTGTTGTTCATTCTTGATTTCTTTAGATTTTATCATGGCTTGGCAAAAAACCAGAAAGCACAATGATGACAAGATGAAAGTTTTATAAAGCAAATTAATCGGCCAACGGGCCGAGTAAAAGCTAGCAACGATTGTGAGATGCTCATTTCCCGAAAACCGACGGGATAGGCAATTTTTTATTCGATTTTCTGGAATTTGGTTTCTATAAAACTTACTCCACCTCACCATATTACCAGAAACAATATTGTTTCACAAGGTAACAGGTACTTGATTTTGGTTCATAAGGCTGATTTCCCAAAAAAAAGAAAAAAACTATACAACAATAAGCCATACACCCCATTACATTATCAAATTTCATACCTCACTTTCCTCCGGCCAATGGCCGGGGCCTAGGCTAGTTTATAATTATTTTACAATGGGGCATACAATATCGAAATTAGCTACTTTCTTTCCACACTTAGTTTAGGCGTGAACAAAAGAAAATTACATATGATCATCAAGCCGAACGAGGAGATGGAGCTTAATTAGTTGCCGAGACCGGCCGCAGTAGTAGTAGTCGTATTGGCGCCGCCGCCGCCGATGGCCGCACAGAACTTCTCGATGGCCGGGAAGAACTCCGACTTCTGGAAGACCTCGATCTTGCAGTCGTCGGTGAGGTCGATGAAGGCGTGGCAGCAGGCCTTGCCGATGCTGAACACCGATCCGCCGTCGAACGCCTTCACGATCTGAAACACGCATAAAGGGACCTCGATTATTGCTATCCAGCACTTCGCCGCCACTTTTGGCTCCATCGTCCCCCTTCTGCACCTTGGCAGTGAAGGTGGTGTTGCTCCTGGCCTGGTCGCGTTACTATTAGCGACGGCGGCGGATTCAAGCGTCGCTGAAGAAGAGGCTAGCACCACCGTTGTCGCCAGAAAAATGGAAGCCACGATCATGATCATTCCCCTGCATTGCATTTGCATACCCATGTCGCTAGCTAGACGGTTTTGTACTGATGATGAACAGTATAGGCTGATGGTTTGGGAGATTGGGATGTGGAAAGATGATGAGATATTACAGATTGTATTTTGTGAGTGTATTTATAGAAACCATATGCAATCTTCGTGGTGGTGGGGAATGGTTGAATTGAATAAAACGTTGTTTTTTTTTTAATATATGATGGAGTAGATGTTCACTAAGAAATTTTGATTGTTTGAAGGCTAATTTGATTTGGGTACTTGTGTCTGGCTGTATTTACCTACAATGAGCTAGCTAGCAAGTGTTGAATGTGCATATGGCATGAGATGTATATGATGTATCGATGTTATGGTTGAATCTTATAATATCCTTAGTAGAATTTGAAATTTTGTACAGTTGATTTCAACGTAACCTTGTGCTCGAATCATTTGTTAGCATACGACAAGAAAATAGTCAAAATTTGCTCATTCGTTCCAATAAAGCGAATGAGTATATGGAACTGAGAAGCATGTGAAATCAAATATTTTTTGTTGAACAATGTTTTACTTAATTGTTTTCTAGTTTTCAATTGGTATTTCTTCGATCATCAATGGTCACCCAAAATAAATTTATTATTATATTATTATTATTATTATTATATATTAAAAGCCCAAGCAGCAGTTACTGTTGCATACGAAAATGTAGGGCAAGGTAATTAAAAAAAATTCCAGCGACACTGTTCATAAGAGGGTCTATTTCCTATACCCAATTTCACCATAAGCTCTTTTCTATTTGCATAATACAATAATTTTGCAAGATCACTTTTTTTTACGTAGCATTTTATCTCCTACACTTAATCCCAGATAGTAAACGTTATTCAAATATGATATTTTCCGCAACTTTATTTTATTGTTAGACCACAAATTACAAAATATTTACGTAATACTGTTCAATAAAAGTTAGGTACATTACGAATACAATATGTAAATCTTATGAAGTGACCACACATTATGAAAAGTTTACATAACACTGTTCTATAAGAGTTACGTACATTATTTTATTATATTAAAAGGCCAAGCATGCCTAGCCACAGTTTACTGTTGCATACGAAAAAATAGGGACAAGGTAAGTAAAAATTTACTGTTCACAAGAGTTTTTATTACCTATAACCAATTTCATCATAAGTCTTATATAAACTGTATCAAGTGACCACACATTACGAAAGATTTACGTAACACTGTTCTATAAGAGTTATGTACATTACGAATACAGTATGCAAATCTTATGGATTGATAGTTATTTCTTATGTATCAATTACACAATACATAAGTCCACCGTAATGATTAGGATTTGCATAGTTATTTATTATGTATTAATTAAATAAACTTATTACGTAAGTACTTCATAATATAAGTTTGAATGAAAATTTATTTATTATTAATTAAACTGTTGACTATCACATCAAATTGGATTACACAAATGTTATTTTCATATGGCAGTTTAATCAATGTGACATTCTTCACAATTTATTTTCTTGATTATTGACTAACTGTTTTTCATTTTTAAATAAAATATTCACCATGTCATCAATTTATATTACGAAAAGGTTTCGTAATGTTAATTAACTTCTACATGACAGTTTAAATTGGAGCAAGGTAAGTAATAAATTACTGTTCACAATAGCTTCAATTCCTTATGCCCAATTTAATTAACAATTACGTTACGAAAATATTTCACAATGTTAGTTCAATTTTACATGACAATTTAATCAAATGTGATACTTTTCATAACTTAATTTTATTATTAGACCACACATTATGGAATATTTGCATAACATCCTTCATTAACAGTTACGTAAATTACAAATATATTACCTTAAACTTATGGAGTAATAGATATTTCTTATGTATCATTTGAACAAATTGATGGCATAATTCATTCATAATGATTTAGATACTATGTTAAGCGCATATAGTGATATCTTACTCGAATTTTATGAATTACTACATCATTAAATAAGTGGAGGAAATTTCAAGTATAATTACTCTTCCCGCTGCAAAGCGCGGGCCAAAAAACTAGTATCAATAATTTGAGTAGTTTTGAGAGGTTAGTCTTTGTTCTCAGAAATAAAATGTATAATAGAAGAATGATAATTAGGCTAGTTTCCATGTAGAGCTCGAAATTCGCCTCGGTATTTTGAGTTGGTTTTCTCGACATTCATAACTCAAATAGTGAGAACAAACATTACGCGCAATATCGATTACCAAACCCCCCCTCGAATATAATCAAGAGAGTCCTTAATCATCGATATCAAATCTTTAGTGTGTATTATTATTCCATCGATAAAACAATGACTTCTTAAAATGAACACATTGATCGGATAAAGTAGTTACAAATGAATTAGAAAACATGCATTTCTTTCCCCCACATATTCCCAATTTATTCCTCTGAAACTAAACCCTAAAAGAAAACAAACAGCATCCATGCATATCCCTTGGATACCATGACTAATTAAAAGTTACTAATCAACGAGATGTGAGTCTTAATTAAAAGTTACTAATCATCAAGCGGAACGAGGAGGAGCAGGAGGACCGCCGCCGGTGATGGCAGCACAGAAGCTCTCAATGACGGGCAGGAACTTCAAGTTCTGGAACACCTTGATCTTGCAGTCGTCAGTCAGCGACAGGAAGGCCTTGCAGCAAGGCTTGCCTAACCCGAAGATCGCTCCGACGTCACCCATCACCACTTTGGCTATGTCGCCGACGCAGCTGGGGACCTTGAAGATTGCCCCCCAGCACTCCATCGACAGCTCTGGCTCCACCTTTCTCGACGACCCTGTCATGGTTGCTGTTGATGAGTGCAGATCAGCGACGGCCGAATCGATCGTCGCTGAAGAGGATAGCACTGTGGCGGCCACCAAAAGGATGGAAGTCGTCACGATTAACCTGAACTGCACAGCTGCCATTGTACGTAGAGCTATAGTTAATGATGATGTTCTAGCTAGCTAGAAGAGGTTGTGTTATAATTTGATGGTGATCGCAGTGGAGACGAGGGATTCTATTTATATATAACATGGAATAATGAATGGCTTCACGATATATGGGTAATTCTATTTACTTTGAGGAAATCAAGGTTTGATTTGCTTAATCTTTTTCTTCATCACCTGATCGATACCTGTTTTGCTGGGACAATGTATCATATCATATCAGACATTGAAGTTTATAAGCAAATTAAATGGGGTTTAATTTGTGATTGATTCTTTGTGTGGTCGATGGGGAAAGCAATTATTTCAGAATCATGCGTAATAATTAAGAATATTTGGGGGAAGTTAATTATTTATGAGCTACACTCGAATGCAGGTGGACCATTTATTTTTTTTGCATTCAAAGGAGGCACAAGGCCAAAGAAGAAGATAGGGTACAAGGGAGGGGGATTAGAGAGAGCTGGAGGAATCAGATGGGATTACATCTCTGGGAAAACTAACTCCATTGATGTCGTCCTCAAGGAGGGAGATTACGCCTTGTGGCGGTGCTTCTAGTTCATACAACCCGTAGGGATAGACGAGACTGTGCTTCGAGAGCCAGTCCGCGACTCTATTCCCTTCCCGATATGTATGAACTAGCTTCACCACCCAGTCTTGCGATATCAAACGTCTGATAGCTGAGAGAAGCGTCGCAAAAGGATGAAGAGGATCCGCTCTATGATTGATTAACTGAATCGCCGTTTGGGAGTCGGACTCCAAGATGACTATCCTGTGGCCAAGAGCCCAAGCTAATTTTAACCCATGGTAGATAGCCCATACCTCCGCCATTGTCGCTGCACATGCCCCAAGGCTTGAGACAAAGCCTCCCATCCAAAACCTGTTCGCATCTCGGATGACACCACCAGCGCCTGCAGGCCCCTGTTCCCCACTAGAAGCACCATCCACATTGATTTTTATCCAGCCAGGAGGCGGGGGCAGCCACCCAATTTCAGCCCGGATGCGAGTAGGAGAGGTGTGGCATCGTCCAAGCATATCCGTCGGTGCCTTCCAGGAATTGTACCACAACTCTGCTTTGATCCGGATTGCTTGCATGAGAGATGGCGGGGAGAGCGTCTTCTGCAGCCCGTTGAAAGCGCCCTCGTTTCTGTTCTTCCACAGGTTCCACAGCGCTATGCTGAAAAATGCATTCCAAGGCACTCCAATTGGTGACCTGTCTTCCCTCCCCAGATTAGACCTCAGCCATTGTCCAGTGGAAGACTAAAGAAATCACTTTGGAGTTCCACCTTGACAGTACGCGCCCAAAGAAAGGCTGCGGGGGGGGCATTCTCTGAAGATGTGGGAGATTGTCTCAGTCTGAGACGAGCACCTGTAACAGAAAGGGTCTTGGGTGATGTGTCTCGTCACTCTTTCCACATTGCAGCTCACCTTCTCTAGGGCAACAAGCCAGACGAAGCATCGCACCCGCTCCGGAACCGGCAGCCGCCAGATTCTCTTCCACCAGCTCTGCTCAGGATCACCTGGAGTGTGTTGGAGCATACTGAAAGCACTCTTAGTCGAGAACTTTCCATCCGACGTGTCTCGCCAGAAAAGATTATCATCTTCGGATGCCATGTGGTCTACCGCTACTGCTGTGATTTGGTGTTGAATCTCTAGCGGTAGGATGTTGTCAAATTTTTCCACTTTCCACCTTCCTTCCTCATCCACGAAATCAGCAACCTTAGCATATCGATCCTCATCCGGAATGGGTCCAGTCGCCAGATCTTGAAGTGGTACCTGAGAAATCCAGACATCAGACCAAAAATTAGTCTTATTTCCTTTGTGAATATTCCAGGCACATCCCTGCTTGACTAGGGAAGCCGCTTTGGCAAAGCTTTTCCAGGTAAAGGAACTTCCCTGAATAGGTTTCAAGATGTCCAGATTTTCTCGACCCTTGCCGTATTTGCTGCGAACCAGTTGAACCCAGAGGGTGTCTCTCTCCTGCAGAAGTCTCCACCCTCCCTTAGCCAGCATGGCCAGGTTCACACTCCTAGTCGACCTAATACCCAGTCCTCCACTACACTTAGGCAGAAGTAATTGTGGCCATCCGACTAAGTGTAGTCTTCTCTTGTCATCGGTGTCCCCCCATATGAAGCTTCGATTTGCCTGATCCAAGGATTTGCAGACGCTCATCGGCAGGAGCTCCGTCTGCATAGGATAAATGGGAATGGAAGCGGAAATTGATTTCACAACAGTAATACGAGAAGCAAGGGAAAGGTGCTTAGACTTCCAAGGCGCCAACTTCTTCTGGATCCTGAGGAAAAGGTCCTGATATCTGGTCTTGGTCACCCGTCCATGTATCGCCATTACTCCCAAGTATCGTCCCAGATCAACAGTGAGGGGTATCCCCACCTGGTTGGAGAGTCTCCTAGCAGTCCGTCGATCAATGTTGGCAGAAACAAAGATAGCTGACTTGTTGTAGTTGACTCTTTGACCCGAGCTATGACAAAACTCATCAAGGCACTGCTTAATGATCCGAACTTGAGCCCCCTCTGCCTCTGCAAAAAGAATAAGGTCATCTGCAAAAAAGAGGTGAGACAGGAGTGGTCCATCCTTAGAAAGCTTTAGGGGTTTCCAAAGCTTATCCTGGATGGCCTGATCAATTATATGCGAAAGTCGCTCCATGCACAACACAAAGAGATAAGGGGATAGGGGATCTCCCTGTCGAACGCCTCTAGTGGGAGTGATAGGGGCAGACAGCTCTCCATTCCATAGCAGACGCATGCGATTGTTTTCCACACAGAACATTATGCAGTTGATCCATGAACTCGGGAGCGCCATTTCCACAAGGGTGTCTCGCAGGAAATCCCACCGCAACCGGTCATAGGCCTTCTCAAGATCAATCTTGAGAACCATCCCTCCCTTCTTGCCCTTCCTTTTCTTAAGCGAATGGAGGACTTCCTGCAACACAATAATATTATCTGTTGTCTGCCTTCCCGGGATAAAACTGCTTTGCCGAGGGGAGACCAGTTTCCTCATAAAGGGCTTCAGACGATTGGTGATGGCCTTCGTGATGGCTTTCAGGCACACATTATTGAGAGAAATGGGTCGGAGCTGGGATACCACCTCTGGGTGGTCGACCTTCGGAATCAGGACTACTGTTGATTCCACCACTTTGTCTGGGAGTGTACCTGCAGCAAAAAAACTCATTGCCATGTCAATTAAAGCTTTCCCCACAGTCTGCCATGACCTCTGAAAGAACGCTGCGTGAAAGCCGTCCGGCCCCGGTGCTTGGAAAGGCTTCATCTCCTGGATAGCCTTGTAGATATCTGTAGCATTGAAAGGTCGGAGGAGGAGGAGAAGATCCTCATGGGAAAGACGAGGACAAGCATGCTTCGGCATGTGATCAGTATAATCCTGATTATCCTGCAGGTACAGAGTTGCAAAATAGTCAAAAACAAGCAAAGCAAGGTCTTGTGGGTCCGAAACCCAGTCCCCATTGGCATCCTTGAGGCTCTCGATCCTGTTCTTCCTTCGATGAATGTTGACTTGCTGGTGAAAATATGACGTATTTATTTCGCCAAATTGGACCCATTTTTCCCTAGCACGCTGGAACCAAAGCATCTCCTCTTGCTCGAGGACTCTGTCCAGCTCAGCCTCCAGTTTAGTTTGTAATTTAAAGAGCCCTGGGGAGAAAAAGTTAGCCACTCGGGTTTGGATCCCTTGAATCCGATTCAGCAGCCTTCTTTTCCTACGGAGGATGTTGCCGAACGTAGTATGATTCCACGACTTCAGCTTCTCGGCCATATCCTGCAGAGCTTCATGAAGAGGGGCTTGCCCATTCCAGCCACCTGTCAAAAAATCATCATAGGACTCATGCGAGAGCCAAGCACCTTCAAACCTAAAAGAGCGTAAAGGAGGAGGGACTCCCTGATTTCCTGTCGAGGTTAGGATGGGGTGGTGATCCGAGTGGAGTCGAGGGAGGTGATGAACTCTCGTGCCAGGAAAGATACTGTTCCAAGCTGAGTTACAAAGGCTTCTGTCAATACGACTAGCCTTGTAGGAGTTGGGCGGTTCCCCTCTAGTCCACGTGTAACGCGAGCCGGTAAAACCCAAATCGATCAGCTCCGCTTGGTTAATTCTGTCATTGAAGCGCTTACACCGTCTGAAGGTATGAGTAGTAGCACGACCCGCCTGCTCATTAGGCTCTCGGATAGCATTAAAATCGCCGGTGAGCAACCACGGAATGTCAAAAAGCTCTTGAGTCTTGAAAATGTTTTCCCACATGTGGTGTTGGAGACTCTGCCTGGGGCTGGCGTAGACCGCCGTAAGCAGCCAAGGAGCAGCCGAGCCTGCCGACACCATCACAGTAAGATGTTGGAAGCAAGCAGAGATTACTTCTACTTGAAAAAGGAGTGCATTCCAGCAGAGCCAAATTCCTCCTTTCCTGCCATCCGCTTCCACCCGCATGATGTTCGGAAATCCCAATCTACCACAGATGCGATTAGCAACCTCTCCACTAATTTGGGGCTCGAGAAGGACGAGAAAGTCCGGTCTGTGACTGTCAACAGTGAGCTTGAGAACCCTAGAGAAAGCATTGCTACCTGCCCCACCTACATTCCAGGACAGGATTTTGAAGTTAGCATATTGAATACTAGACATAATTAAAACAAAGGGATTTTGAAGTTAGCATATTGAAAGCATTGCTCTCGCCGTAATCGTTTTTGGAACTTGTTTTGGGGATTTCTTTTTCTTTTGACTCTTCTGGTCCATTTATATTTGAATATATGAGTACATGGGCATGTTTGATGTAAAAAAATAATAGATGTGCATGTTTGATAAAATGACATAGTAAAGAGTGGAAAACCGGATTCCTAATGGGACGAAACTTAGCTGCAACCTGGCTTGCAGCCAACCCTGCTGCCCGGCCACGTGTCCTCAAATAATTGGTTGCTTTTCTCCAATTCTCAATGCTTCCGTTTTTATTTTAGGAAAGGGAAATGCTAGCTAACGGAACTATTGGCAGACATAATTTTCCGTCTCTCACGTTTAACTCTTTACTCGTTTGGTTAGTTAGTAAATATTCCGTTTAATATACGTATATATATTCATACATATTTTATCCGTTTATAATTTTCATATTTGTATTATTTTCAAGTTGTTTCTAAACACGTATAAAATCCGTATAACACGTTTAATATCCATATTTAATGAATTAAATTATTAATTTAACTATTATTTATATATTTATTTATTTTTAAATAACTAATTTCATGTATTTATTACTATTAACGTACTATTAAACGTAACATTAGTTTAGAGACAAAATTAAATACTCGAATGTATTTTATATGTAACTGTCCTGTACAGTATTTTACTAACTATACCTTCACATCAAAAGCAATTATTAGTTCTTTTCTTTTCTTTTCATTCTACCCTCTTTTAGCTTCACTAGTTACAACTTTTCATTTGGATTTTCTATGGTTCATCAAAAATACTCTTCTAAATATATAAAGAAAATAATTGAGAATGTAAAAAATCAAAATATAGTCTAAAATTATAGCTATTTTATTTAGTACGTGGTGAATTTTATCACCTCAATTAATAATATCGTCATGATTTAATTGACATGGATTGACTAGTATGAACAAGTTGTCATACATTTAATTGACATGGATTGACTACCCACATAACATTGTTACCTGAGACCAATGTTCAAGAAGGCGGTAGTGTGAGCGTCCCTAGTTGTTGGAAATAAAAATAATAGTATGCATTATGTAATGAATAAAGTAATCGTTACAACACTTTCAAACTTTAGTTCAAATAATTAATAACTTATTTAACATTTAATGACAAAATAATAACTAACAAGTTCATAGAATCGTAACTTAATAGCACAAGGAGTGAATATGCAAAAGAAAAAAAAGAAGTGGTCATTCAAATAGAAATTCCGTCCGCCTATACATCCGGACCTCCGTTAGCTTGCATTTCCCTTTCCTAAAATAAACATAGAACCATTAATTATTGAAGAAAGCAACCAATTATTTGAGGACATGTGGCCCGGCAGCAGGGTTGGCTACAACCCGGGTTGCAGCTAAGTTTCGTCCTTCCTAATGTGTTGTGTTGCAAAACCTTGTAATATACAAAACAAAGTTAATTAGTATTCAATTCAATGCCTTCCTTCTCTAAAACAGCAATCAAAGTTTGGTTTTTTTTTTCCTCTTATCATTTCTACATGGTTCTTATGCCCAGTTTGAACACAAGTATTATCCTTAAATTATTCGGACCCTCCCTTTACCATTTCCTCCTTAACGTGGTCGCAGTGTACCAAAATACCAGTAAAATATAATTCTGCACCAACTATATAGCTACAGACACCACCATGTACGTATATAAATTCAGACACACCGCACTAATTCTCCAATCATCAAGCCATAACTGATTTAACCATATTTAGTATAGCTGTTGCCGCCGCCATCGTCAATATTCTTACTTACCAACTACATGAAGATGCAGTTCAGGGTAACGATGAAGGCAGCTTGTATTTTTTTGGTGGCAATAGCGTTGCTGCTGACCTCTTTAGCGACGACGAGTGCCGTGGCTGATAATATCGAGTCGTCGCCGAGGGCGACAACATGTCGGCGCGGGGAGCTGCCGACGAAACTGGCGATGTTGTGTTGGAAGGCGATCTTCGAGGTGCCCTTCTGCGTCTTCGAGATAGTCAAGGTTTACGAAGGCGGGTCGGTGTTCGACATCGGGAAGCCCTGCTGCCGGGCCTTCGTCGACCTCTCCGACGACTGCAGGATCGAGGTGTTCCAGCACTCCAAGTTTTTTCCGGTCATCGAGGGATTCTGTAAAGCCGTTATCGGCGCCGGACCTATCGGCGGCGCCGGCGGTGTCGTCCGAGCTCCGCCTCCTCATCATCATTCCGGCTGATCGTAATGTACCATTCAGTATTCACCATCTTTACGTGATGGAGTAATTAATTGTTAGGCGATCAACGTTGATAGTAGCGTTGATAAGCTAGTTCCATGCTAGCATTATCAATTGTCGGCGTAACATTAGGGGTTGGAGCTCGGTAGCTAAGGAAGTGGGTCAAAGCAGGCTAGTCTTCACCAACCCAATCCAGTAGACAAAATCACATAAGAGAAGAAGAGTTCACAGAAGGTTAAGAAGTAGTACGCCCGATTCACCAGGTCATTCGCCTTTTGGGCTCACTACTTCGTTCCTTCGTCTTTCGGGCTCACTACTTCGTTCCTTCGTCCTTCGGGCCTCCACGGATGATAAGTCCATTAAACACCGATTTGGGCCAATTTATTTTCGGATGGCATTTTCGTAATTTTGTGGGCGTTGAAATGCCATTTTCTTTGGATTTTGAAGGCTACATATCACGGATTCGGCCTGAGACTATTCTTCAACAATGACTAAGTCCATTAGGCACTGATTTAGGCGGATTTATTCCGGGTCAATTTTTGGCAGATTGCTAAGGGGTACCATCACAGATTTTGGGCGATTTTTCCGAAATGCCATTTTCTTTCGATTCTGGAAGCTCCAGATCACGAAATCAGGCCGAGGCTATTCTCCACCGATAATGAAGTCTATTGATCCTATTCTCCACGGATGATAAGTCCATTAAACACCGATTTGGGCAAATTTATTTTCGGATGGCATTTTCGTAATTTTGTGGGCGTCGAAATGCCATTTTCTTTGGATTTTGAAGGCTACAGATCACGGATTCAACCTGAGACTATTCTTCAACGATGCTAAGTCCATTAAGCACCGATTTGGGCGGATTTATTCCAGGTCAATTTTTGGCAGATTGCAAAGGGGTACCATCACAGATTTTGGGCGTTTTTTCCGAAATGCCATTTTCTTTCGATTCTGGAGGCTCCAGATCACGAAATCAGGTCGAGGCTATTCTCCACCGATAATGAAGTCTATTGATCCTATTCTCCACGGATGATAAGTCCATTAAACACCGATTTGGGCCAATTTATTTTCGGATGGCATTTTCGTAATTTTGTGGGCGTCGAAATGCCATTTTTTTTGGATTTTGAAGGCTACAGATCACGGATTCGGCCTGAGACTATTCTTCAACGATGACTAAGTCCATTAAGCACAGATTTGGGCGGATTTATTCCGGGTCAATTTTTGGCAGATTGCAAAGGGGTACCATCACAGATTTTGGGCGATTTTTCCGAAATGCCATTTTCTTTCGATTCTGGAGGCTCCAAATCACGAAATTAGGCCGAGGCTATTCTCCACCGATAATGAAGTCATCCTATTCTCCACGGATGATAAGTCCATTAAACACCGATTTGGGCCAATTTATTTTCGGATGGCATTTTCGTAATTTTGTGGGCGTCGAAATACCATTTTCTTTGGATTTTGAAGGCTACAGATCATGGATTCGGCCTGAGACTATTCTTCAACGATGACTAAGTACATTAAGCACCGATTTGGGCGGATTTATTCCGGGTCAATTTTTGATAGATTGCAAAGGGGTACCATCACAGATTTTGGGCTATTTTTCCGAAATGGTATTTTCTTTCGATTCTGGAGGCTCCATATCACGAAATCAGGACGAGGTTATTCTCCACCGATAATGAAGTCTATTGATCCTATTCTCCACTAATGATAAGTCCATTAAACACCGATTTGGGCCAATTTATTTTTGGATGGCATTTTCGTAATTTTGTGGGCGTCGAAATGCCATTTTCTTTGGATTTTGAACGCTACAGAACACGGATTCGGCCTGAGACTATTCTTCAACGATGACTAAGTCCATTAAGCACTAATTTGGGGGGATTTATTCCGGGTCAATTTTTGGCAGATTGCAAAGGGGTACCATCACAGATTTTAGGCGATTTTTCCGAAATGCCATTTTCTTTCGATTCTGGAGGCTCCAGATCACGAAATCAGGCCGAGACTATTCTCCACCGATAATGAAGTCTATTGATCCTATTCTCCACGGATGATAAGTCCATTAAACACCGATTTGGGCCAATTTATTTTCGGATGGCATTTTCGAAATTTTGTGTGCGTTGAAATGCCATTTTCTTTGGATTTTGAAGGCTACAGATCACGGATTCGGCCTGAGACTATTCTTCAACGATGACTAAGTCCATTAAGCACCGATTTGGGGGGATTTGTTCCGGGTCAATTTTTGGCAGATTGCTAAGGGGTACCATCACAGATTTTGGGCGATTTTTCCGAAATGCCATTTTCTTTCAATTCTGGAAGCTCCAGATCACGAAATCAGGCCGAGGCTATTCTCCACCGATAATGAAGTCTATTGATCCTATTCTCCACGGATGATAAGTCCATTAAACACCGATTTGGGCAAATTTATTTTCGGATGGCATTTTCGTAATTTTGTGGGCGTCGAAATGCCATTTTCTTTGGATTTTGAAGGCTACAGATCACGGATTCGACCTGAGACTATTCTTCAACGATGCTAAGTCCATTAAGCACCGATTTGGGCGGATTTATTCCGAGTCAATTTTTGGCAGATTGCAAAGGGGTACCATCACAGATTTTGGGCGATTTTTCCGAAATGCCATTTTCTTTCGATTCTGGAGGCTCCAGATCACGAAATCAGGCCGAGACTATTCTCCACCGATAATGAAGTCTATTGATCCTATTCTCCACGGATGATAAGTCCATTAAACACCGAATTGGGCCAATTTATTTTCGGATGGCATTTTCGAAATTTTGTGGGCGTCGAAATGCCATTTTCTTTGGATTTTGAAGGCTACAGATCAAGGATTCGGCCTAAGACTATTGCTCAACGATGACTAAGTCCATTAAGCACCGATTGGGCGTATTTATTCCGGATCAATTTGGCAGATTGCAAAGGGGTACCATCACAGATTTTGGGCGATTTTTCCGAAATGCCATTTTCTTTCGATTCTGGAGGCTCCAGATCACGAAATTAGGCCGAGGCTATTCTCCACCGATAATGAAGTCTATTGATCCTATTCTCCACGGATGATAAGTCCATTAAACACCGATTTGGGTCAATTTATTTTCGGATGGCAATTTCGTAATTTTGTGGGCCTCGAAATGCCATTTTCTTTGGATTTTGAAGGCTACAGATCACGGATTCGGCTTGAGACTATTCTTCAACGATGACTAAGTCCATTAAGCACCGATTTGGGAGGATATATTCCGGGTAAATTTTTGGCAGATTGCAAAGGAGTACCATCACATATTTTAGGTGATTTTTCCGAAATGCCATTTTCTTTCGATTCTGGAGGCTCTAGATCACGAAATCAGGCCGAGGCTATTCTCCACCGATAATGAAGTTTATTGATCCTATTCTCCACGGATGATAAGTCCATTATACACTGATTTGGGCCAATTTATTTTCGGATGACATTTTCGTAATTTTGTGGGCGTCGAAATGCCATTTTCTTTGGATTTTGAAGGCTACAAATCACGGATTCGGCCTGAGACTATTCTTCAACGATGACTAAGTCCATTAAGCACCGATTTGGGCGGATTTATTCCTGGTCAATTTTTGGCGGATTGCAAAGGGGTACCATCACAGATTTTTGGCGATTTTTCGAAAATGCCATTTTCTTTCGATTCTGGAGGCTCCAGATCACGAAATCAGGCCGAGACTATTCTCCACCGATAATGAAGTCTATTGATCCTATTCTCCACGGATGATAAGTCCATTAAACACCGATTTGGGCCAATTTATTTTCTGATAGCATTTTCGAAATTTTGTGGGCGTCGAAATGCCATTTTCTTTAGAATTTGAAGGCTACAGATCACTGATTCGGCCTGAGACTATTCTTCAACGATGACTAAGTCTATTAAGCACCGATTTGGGGGGATTTATTCCGGGTCAATTTTTGGCAGATTGCAAAGGGGTACCATCACAGATTTTGGGCGATTTTTCCGAAATGCCATTTTCTTTCGATTCTGGAGGCTCCAGATCACGAAATCAGGCCGAGACTATTCTCCACCGATAATGAAGTCTATTGATCCTATTCTCCACGGATGATAAGTCCATTAAACACCGATTTGGGCCAATTTATTTTCGGATAGCATTTTCGAAATTTTGTGGGCGTCGAAATGCCATTTTCTTTAGAATTTGAAGGCTACAGATCACGGATTCGGCTTGAGACTATTCTTCAACGATGACTAAGTCCATTAAGCACCGATATGTGCGGATTTATTCCGGATCAATTTTTGGCAGATTGCAAAAGGGTACCATCACAGATTTTGGGCGATATTTCCGAAATGCCTTTTTCTTTCGATTCTGGAGGCTCCAGATCACGAAATCAGGCCAAGGCTATTCTCCACAGATAATGAAGTCTATTGATCCTATTCTCCACGGATGATAAGTCCATTAAACACCGATTAGGGCCAATTTATTTTCGGATGGCATTTTCGTAATTTTGTGGGCGTCGAAATGCTATTTTCTTTGGATTTTAAAGGCTACAAATCACGGATTTGGCCTGAGACTATTCTTCAACGATGACTAAGTCCATTAAGCACCGATTTGGGCGCATTTATTCCTGGTCAATTTTTGGCAGATTGCAAAGGGGGTACCATCACAGATTTTGGGCGATTTTTCCAAAATGCCATTTTCTTTCGATTCTGGAGGCTCCAGATCACGAAATCAGGCCAAGGCTATTCTCCACAGATAATGAAGTCTATTGATCCTATTCTCGACGGATGATCAGTCCATTAAACACCGATTTGGGCCAATTTATTTTCGAATGGCATTTTCGTAATTTTATGGGCATCGAAATGCCATTTTCTTTGGATTTTGAAGGCTACAGATCACGGATTCGGCCTGAGACTATTCTTCAAAGATGACTAAGTCCATTAAGCACTGATTTGGGCGCATTTATTCTGGGTCAATTTTTGGCATATTGCAAAGGGGTACCATCACAGATTTTGGGCGATTTTTCCGAAATGCCATTCTTTCGATTCTGGAGGCTCCAGATCACGAAATTAGGCCGAGGCTATTCTCCACCGATAATGAAGTCTATTGATCCTATTCTCCACGGATGATAAGTCCATTAAACACCTATTTGGGCCAATTTATTTTCGGATGGCATTTTCGTAATTTTGTGGGTGTCGAAATGCCATTTTCTTTGGATTTTGAAGGCTACAGATCACGGATTCGGCCTGAGACTATTCTTCAACGATGACTAAGTCCATTAAGCACCGATTTGGGCGGATTTATTCCGAGTCAATTTTTGGCAGATTGCAAAGGGGTACCATCACAGATTTTGGGCGATTTTTCCGAAATGCCATTTTCTTTCGATTCTGGAAGCTCCAGATCACGAAATCAGGCTTAGGCTAATCTCCACCAATAATGAAGTCTATTGATCCTATTCACCACGGATGATAAGTCCATTAAACACCGATTTGGGCCAATTTATTTTCGGATGGCAATTTCGTAATTTTGTGGGCGTCGAAATGCCATTTTCTTTGGATTTTGAAAGCTACACATCAAGGATCGGCCTAAGACTATTGTTCAACGATGACTAAGTCTATTAAGCACCGATTTGGGCGGATTTATTCCGGATCAATTTTTGGCAGAATGCAAAGGGGTACCATCACAGATTTTGGGCGATTTTTCCGAAAGGCCATTTTCTTTCGATTCTGGAGGCTCCAGATCACAAAATTAGGCCGAGGCTATTCTCCACCGATAATGAAGTCTATTGATCCTATTCTCCACGGATGATAAGTCCATTAAACACCGATTTGGGCCAATTTATTTTCGGATGGCAATTTCTTAATTTTGTGGGCATCGAAATGCCATTTTCTTTGGATTTTGAAGGCTACAGATCACGGATTCGGCCTGAGACTATTCTTCAACGATGACTAAGTCCATTAAGCACCGATTTGGGCGGATTTATTCCGAGTCAATTTTTGGCAGATTGCAAAGGGGTACCATCACAGATTTTGGGTGATTTTTCCGAAATGCCATTTTCTTTCGATTCTGGAGGCTCCAGATCACGAAATCAGGCCGAGGCTATTCTCCACCGATAATGAAGTCTATTGATCCTATTCTCCACGGATGATAAGTCTATTAAACACCGATTTGGGCCAAGTTATTTTCGGATGGCATTTTCGTAATTTTGTGGGCGTCGAAATGCCATTTTTTTGGATTTTGAAGGCTACAGATCACGGATTCGGCCTGAGACTATTCTTCAACGATGACTAAGTCCATTAAGCACCGATTTGGGCGGATTTATTCCGGATCAATTTTTGGCAGATTGCAAAAGGGTACCATCACAGATTTTGGGCGATATTTCCGAAATGCCATTTTCTTTCGATTCTGGAGGCTCCAGATCACGAAATCAGGCCAAGGCTATTCTCCACAGATAATGAAGTCTATTGATCCTATTCTCCACGGATGATAAGTCCATTAAACATCGATTAGGGCCAATTTATTTTCGGATGGCATTTTCGTAATTTTGTGGGCGTCGAAATGCTATTTTCTTTGGATTTTAAAGGCTACAAATCACGGATTTGGCCTGAGACTATTCTTCAACGATGACTAAGTCTATTAAGCACCGATTTGGGCGCATTTATTCCGGGTCAATTTTTGGCAGATTGCAAAGGGGTACCATCACAGATTTTGGGCGATTTTTCCAAAATGCCATTTTCTTTCGATTCTGGAGGCTCCAGATCACGAAATCAGGCCAAGGCTATTCTCCACAGATAATGAAGTCTATTGATCCTATTCTCGACGGATGATCAGTCCATTAAACACCGATTTGGGACAATTTATTTTCGAATGGCATTTTCGTAATTTTGTGGGCATCGAAATGCCATTTTCTTAGGATTTTGAAGGCTACAGATCACGGATTCGGCCTGAGACTATTCTTCAAAGATGACTAAGTCCATTAAGCACTGATTTGGGCGGATTTATTCTGGGTCAATTTTTGGCAGATTGCAAAGGGGTACCATCACAGATTTTGGGCGATTTTTCCGAAATGCCATTCTTTCGATTCTGGAGGCTCCAGATCACGAAATTAGGCCGAGGCTATTCTCCACCGATAATGAAGTCTATTGATCCTATTCTCCACGGATGATAAGTCCATTAAACAACGATTTGGGCCAATTTATTTTCGGATGGTATTTTCGTAATTTTGTGGGTGTCGAAATGCCATTTTCTTTGGATTTTGAAGGCTACAGATCACGGATTCGGCCTGAGACTATTCTTCAACGATGACTAAGTCCATTAAGCACCGATTTGGGCGGATTTATTCCGAGTCAATTTTTGGCAGATTGCAAAGGGGTACCATCACAGATTTTGGGCGATTTTTCCGAAATGCCATTTTCTTTCGATTCTGGAGGCTCCAGATCACGAAATCAGGCCGAGACTATTCTCCACCGATAATGAAGTCTATTGATCCTATTCTCCACGGATGATAAGTCCATTAAACACCGATTTGGGCCAATTTATTTTCGGATAGCATTTTCGAAATTTTGTGAGCGTCGAAATGCCATTTTCTTTAGAATTTGAAGGCTACAAATCACGGATTCGGCTTGAGACTATTCTTCAACGATGACTAAATCTATTAAGCACCGATTTGGGCGGATTTATTCCGGATCAATTTTTGGCAGATTGCAAAAGGGTACCATCACAGATTTTGGGCGATATTTCCGAAATGCCATTTTCTTTCGATTCTGGAGGCTCCAGATCACGAAATCAGGCCAAGGCTATTCTCCACAGATAATGAAGTCTATTGATCCTATTCTCCACGGATGATAAGTCCATTAAACATCGATTAGGGCCAATTTATTTTCGGATGGCATTTTCGTAATTTTGTGGGCGTCGAAATGCTATTTTCTTTGGATTTTAAAGGCTACAAATCACGGATTTGGCCTGAGACTATTCTTCAACGATGACTAAGTCTATTAAGCACCGATTTGGGCGCATTTATTCCAGGTCAATTTTTGGCAGATTGCAAAGGGGTACCATCACAGATTTTGGGCGATTTTTCCAAAATGCCATTTTCTTTCGATTCTGGAGGCTCCAGATCACGAAATCAGGCCAAGGCTATTCTCCACAGATAATGAAGTCTATTGATCCTATTCTCGACGGATGATCAGTCCATTAAACACCGATTTGGGACAATTTATTTTCGAATGGCATTTTCGTAATTTTGTGGGCATCGAAATGCCATTTTCTTTGGATTTTGAAGGCTACAGATCACGGATTCGGCCTGAGACTATTCTTCAAAGATGACTAAGTCCATTAAGCACTGATTTGGGCGGATTTATTCTGGGTCAATTTTTGGCAGATTGCAAAGGGGTACCATCACAGATTTTGGGCGATT